TTTTTTTTTTGCCGACCGTCCTCAAGTCTTTTGTCTCGTCCGGAGTGATATCACCATATCTCCTGTTTCTGTTCCTGTTCCATGTCGGAAAAATCCTTCCGCACTGTGCCCTCCGCGGCATTGCCTGAGGTGTTTATGATTGCTTATTCATTCTTGGTGACGGCGGTCATTTTTTTTTTTTTTTTTTTTCTTTCTTGCCGACTTCAAATCTGCTTACAGTCGAAGAGAGGTTTTAACGACGTGACGAATTTCTTGAGGAATCTTTATTTCATTTCCCACCCCCCTTTCTTACGAAGATTTTTCTTTCATCCGTCTTGAACCGCCTGGAACATCGTCAGTTACGTATTCAATATGGCTACGGGTAAGTCTACATAGTCAGCACTCGGGATGCTACTACCACCTCCACCGCTATATAGCTTATAAATATATGTGTATATATTCGAAACTGATCGAAACTGACACCATCTAGATTTCCCAAAAGTTGTCCCGCTGACTTGTCATGGACACTCTCGCCCAGTTCCACATATCAGCTTTTCATCTATGGTGGAAGATGATCAATACTATCTTATTTCCGCGTGCAAAGGTTAGCTTACACGTCGACTCTAAGCTTCAATTCGGCTGACTCACTGCTCGCTTAGATAACAACCCCATGCTTCGTGATGGTATCACTGGTGACTGGTGAGTACCTCTTTACCCATAGAGTCTAAGAAAATCTGCATGCTGACATAGATACTAGGATCGGGACATTCCTAGGCCACAAGGGAGCCGTCTGGCAGGCCCGGCTGTCTGCAGATGCAAATATAGCTGCTACAGCTGCGGCAGATTTCTCCGCGTAGGTTTCTTGAGCATGTAAATAATCTTCGTTGGCTGCCATCCTAACTCTCTTCTTGCTAGGAAGGTGTGGGATACACACACCGGCGAATGCCTGCATACCCTGCAGCATTCCCACATAGTCCGAGCAGTTGCGTTCCCCGTCCAGACCAACCCGCAAGTGCTGGCGACGGGGGGTATGGAGAAGAAGCTACGGATATTCGACCTCTCGCGCGGTGGCAGCAGTAATACTAACGAACTATCATCATCTGCCACCGCTGAAAACACAGCAGATCCGTCATCATCATCCGTAGCAAGCTACGAAATCGGACCTGGCGTGCACGGCGGCACCATTAAATCCATAGTCTGGAACATAGATTACAACATCCTCACGACAGCCGCAGAAGATCGCAAAATTCGCTGGTGGGACCTGCGCTCCCGCCACCCCGTAGTCGAGTATAACGTCGAGGGGACGATTGGTAGTTGCGAATTGAATATGCTCGCCACCCGACCCAATGAAGCGGGCATTTTGAGCGTTGCGGCGGGGAAAAGTGTCTATTTGTTTGATGGCGCGATGCCGGGAAGGCTGTTGAAGAAAGTCGATTTCAAGTATGAGGTTGCTAGTGTGGCAGTCAATAATGAATCGGGTCGTTTTGTGACTGGTGGTGCTGGTGAAGATACATGGGCGCGGGTATATGATTTACATACGGATGAAGAGCTAGGTATGTTTCCCCTTTATCTTTCTCAACTTCAGCAACACAATGCTAACGAATAACAGAAGTCCAAAAAGGCCATCACGGCCCCATCTGGTCTGTTAGCTACTCTCCAGATGGAAAACTGTACGGAACAGGAAGTGAAGATGGGACTATTAAGCTATGGAAAGCATGTCGTGAGCCGTATGGTTTGTGGCGGTGAATATTCTCATCGTCCCTATGTCTTTAAAATTCAAAGAGTTCAACAATATGAGACTTTTTTTTTTTACCATCTTTTGAATGAGTGGAATAAATAAAACATGACATGACATATCGGAAATTGAATAAATAGTCCAATTATATGTACCGAGACATCTAGGAAGTAAATATGACAAAAAGATAGTAAAGAAATTGGAGAATATGGTGGTAGTGAAATATACCTCAAGCTTCCAGTCTATGCGAGATACGTACGGTACATAATGACGAATGCTGACGTTCAAACAAAAGGTAGATAAGCAGAAAGATAGGGAACAAACTATCAGTCTCATTCAATCATGTCAATGTCATCGTCACCAGCTGCAGCTGGCTCATTCGTGGTAGTAGTCGCCGGTGCAGTGACGACCGTCTCAGCGCCAGCGCCAGCGGTAGCGGCAGAAGTTCCCCAATAATCATCCATTTCCTGGTCGAGCTCCTCCTGCGTTTTTCGGGGTCGGGCACCATTTTGGCGACCTCCTCCTCCTCCGTCTTTGCGTTTCTCATCTCGACGCTCACCCGGTCGACGACCTGTGTTTCGGCGATTTGACGAGTCTTGACCTGGCACGTACCGGTCAATGTGCTCTGGGGCAGGTTTGGAGACATCGCTGCGACGCCCGGCTCCTCCTCGTCCACGCCCGCCTCGACGACGTCGTCCACCTGCATTATTGGCTCCCTCGTCGTCCGGGCTAAGGCTGCGCTCAGCCCTGTCGTGGGGCCGCTCGATCCGTTCAAAAAGACTCTTTGGTTTCTCTGCTTTAGCTCCTCCCCGCAAGAGAGTCAACCGAATTGGTTGGCCTTTGGCATTGGCGCCGTCAAACTCCCGAATAGCCTGTTTGGCGTCTTCCAGGTACTGATATGTAACAGTGGCAACTCCTTCCGAGCGGCCAGCACGGTCATAGTCGATACGTACTCGTGAAACTGGTCCGATTCCACTAAACAGACCCTATGTCATAGCTAGCATTAGTTTCAAGTCTTCTCTTACCAGGCATGTATGAAAAATGATATGTTTTACCTCGAGGTCTTCTTCGGTCAAGTCATAGTGGAGATTGTCGATGCGCAATCGAGCTCTGAATCGTTATATTAGCATATTGTTCCAATACATCACCCATTAAATCGGTAGAAACTCACGGTTGCTCACTATCCGGCGAAGCACGGTCTCTTCTGACTCGGTTATCACGTCGGTGAGAGCGGGCTGGTAGTAAGCAGACATAAGTATGGACTTCATAACATGGGGGGAAGTGCAACACACAGTCTCCATTGTCATCATCAAAACGATCATGAACCCAATCACTTCAAACAGACAACACAAAACATCAGCACCAAATTCAAAAGAGCCAGAATGCTCCGAGTCCACTCACCGATCCAGATCAACACGGTCGCGATATGACTGTAAGTTTGAAAGAGGAGGACAAAGGTCAGCTGAGGGTATGCAATTTTGTAGTAGTTTTTGTTTGTTTGTTTGTTTTTTTCTTTATCTTCGACCATCCATGTTTTATTTTTTGTGTTCATCTCGGTAAATTTTCCAGTCAGTTGCATGCCGGCCATTGCACGACCAAACGGTCAGGCCGTCGGATACAATTTCGAGGTTCTTTTTTTCTTTCTTATTCACTTCCTGGTCGAGGCGAAAGAGGATGAAGAGGAGGAAAAGAATTGAGGAGCAAGAGGAGTAAGGAGGAAGACCTATACACAACTGCAATTAGCATAACAAATTCTGAGCAGCAAAATCAAAGGCAAACTTGTCGGAACCCACCTTTTTCACACCATCGCGTGGAGGAGCATTGCTTGTGTTCCGACTGCCTCGTCCCCGACGACTCTGTTTCTGCTGAAGGCAAATATTAGCAATTTTAAATCAATTGTACAGAAACTCATCCTAAGGAATCAATCAATCGTACAGGCCGCGCAGAGATGATTTCGTCCAAACTGCGATCCATAGTGGTGGTATGCGGTAGTATGGATATCGTTGCAGGATTCAAATTGAGTTGAGTTGGATGAGATTGAATTGAGCTGATTTAAGTTGAAGTTGTTAGTTAACTAACTTAAGACAGGCTTGATGACAGCAGACGGCAAGAACAGCGGCGGCGAAATCACGTGATACGAATATGTAGAACAATGGAAATGCATCAATGGCAATACGTAGGCAAAGAATTTACGGGAACAATATTTCATTAGATAAGACACTCGGATAATCGGTTTAATAGTGTAGTTTGGTATTTGTGTAAATATACAACTGCAGTCATCCTCCATAAGGCTGTCTGTATGGTAACTACTAAGTACGGGGTATGCTTCCTCAAGACAAAGGTAAGACAACAGCCTGAGAAAAACCAAGACAAAGAAAACGAAAAAAAAACAAAAAAAAAACAAATGCCTGTCCAGCATGCATAATAAAAGATAATGGAGCCCATTCTTAAAACACCCCATTGTGTTGCGAAAACACATCCCAAACGGCCAGAAATGCTTGACGATAAAGGGGCCATTCTTCTTCAATGGCCCCCGTTAATTGGATGTTGCTTTTGGTTATTATTCTCCGTAGCCCCTTCACTGTCCATCATCCTTTCCATAAAAGTAATATAGTCATATTTGGGCATATTCCTGTCTTCCAAAAGATCAGGTCCCTCGTGCTTTGGCATCGAGTCAAGAAGGTTCTCGATGAGTTCGTCAGGGATCAGAGAATGTCGGAGATCCAGCTCTGTGACGTACGGCTGCCGATTCATGTTAGTTACGAACAGTAATTTTCTTATGTTGAGTGACTTTTGACTCAAAACTTACCTTGCCATCAGCCACTTCACGGAAGCTCTGGAATACCTGCTCCGCAGTGTTCTGGTCCTCGGTTACACTGACCATAAACCGGATGAACTGTTCAAAGCTGACCGAAGAGTTTCGCCCGCAAGTCTCCAGGAACACTTCATGCATCTCTTCTTCATCGTAGACAAGACCTAGACTGGCTAATGCGGCCGAGAACTCAATCTCGTGCAGAGTATTTGAGCCATCGCGGTCGAAATGTCGGAACACAGACTCAAACTCTTCCAACTGAATAGGGGTAAGGTTGGTCATATTGCGTGCTACCATTTGGTTTTCTAAAAATGCAAGTTTCTTGGCCACGCTTGACTTGACCAATCCCAACTCATATGACAGTTCATCAAGCGTATAAGTGGTATAATCGTTCTCGTCAATGTTGGCTTCGATACACTGCTCTTCTAGATCTGCAATGGTCTCCAAAAATGCGTCAAGAGGCGGAAGATTGTCGTTTAGACGTTGAACGTGGGCGAGCTGATCATCGACGTCACCTTCGAGACCCGAGATGGCGAGAGTCAAAGTCTTTAGTGTAAGCGCAAAATCATTCGCTTTATCGGCAAAAGAGCGGCGCAATTTATTTTTGATATCTCTGATAGCCTCATTTATATTCTGACTGCGCTCATGTTCTTCTTTCATTAATAACTCCCAGTCTTCATCGCATTTGTCCAGTCTGAGTTCTGCAGGAGGTTCGTATGGTCGTAGACGATATGTGCTTAGCTTTGTTTTTATATTACCTAGCAAAGCCGCAAGATCGGACTTTTCTGCCACCCATTTTCGTTTCTGGTTTCTTTTATAGTGCGAGAAATTGGCGAGCTGCTCTTTTGCATCGGCATAAGTACCTTCAAAAGACGCATCCTGCCATTCAGCTCGTTGCTTCGCGATCTGAGCCAAGAGTTCCCTCATCCTCCTCTCGTAGGAAGTCTGCATCTCCCAGGCACCTTGCATGTTACTCACAAATTTCTCGACCCGTCGTCCGGCGTTTTCCACCTTCTCCAACTGCGAAAAGGCATGGAACCAATAAGCAATGTAGGTCATCAGTGACCGTTCGTCCGGTTTAGGCACATCGCAGACATCTTCAACGTCAAGCAAGTCTGGGATGCCGATCTCATTGGCCGCAATCTCAAAGGCCAATTGCATATTACCGCGGTGATCGTTCTTATCTAGGGAGTCGAAATCAATCAGATCAGGGCGGTGAATATCCAATAAAGCGCAGAAGGCCAGGCCGTCATTCCAACTCGTAGAAAAATCTCGGACCTCGACTTCGGGGTAGCACGCAGTCTTTCGTTGACACCATAATAGCAAACCTTCCTTGGCAGACATGCCCTCGGAACTAATGTCGCTGATGGTGAACTTCGAAATAAGAGTCCATATCAGACCTAAAATAATCTTTTGATTGCCATCAACAACATCTTCTGCACCAATGTTGGTCATTTGTATCCCGCGCCCTTTGATAAAGTCCAGCCCTTTGTTGACATTTTCGAACTTTTGCACTCGTAGCTTGGGTTTGGATGCATATCGGCCGAGGGATTCATCTCCGAGGATTTCAAGTAAATGGATGAGGATGACCTAACGAAAGAAAAGCAATGAGAAAAAAAAATACCAGTCGAGACATAGCCGTAGCGTTATCACTTACTCCATCAGACAGGTCATGTGTGAGATCGGCGATGTTTATATTTCTGACCTTCAACTTATTATTAAGCCTGTAGTATCAGAAAAGTTAGACGGCGATCTCTTTATTCCCCTTTCTTCTGCCAGACCATGACACCATACCATTTTGTGAACGTCTTTTGCTGCACAACAATCCACTGCTTTTCGACCATCAACATGGTTAAAGGAGCGGCGCGGGGGTTCAGTGAGCAATAACAGTGGCGGTAGAACGTTCCAAAGGAAAAAAAAAAAAAAAAAGGAAAATAGAATGCTTCGTAAAAGAAGAGATAAAAAAACGAAAGGAATTGAAAACTGACAACACTGCAAGGACGGGCAGAAAAAGCAGACACAAAAATGTGACGCTGGGTTTGTTGTTTTCCCCTCAGTGTTTCTGGTGTTGGTACCAGACACGGAATTGATTGGTTGATTTTAACTTGGGTCGATGATTGACTGAGCGAGTGAGTACGCGTTGATCGATCGTATGGTTTGAAAGAGGATATACACGATCTTCAGAAAGCAAGGGTTGTTTATTAATAGTATTCAAAGTCGATCGTTGGCGATAATCGGATTTGCTTTAATTTTAGGGGAGTTTGTTGTTGGAAAGAAGCTTGGGCTCCCCCCTTCCCTGTCTCGGTCGGGTCTCCGCACGGCAGGCGCAATGCACCCTTTTTGCCCGAAATGGATTAGATGCACTTTTGCATTGTCAACAAAGCCTCAGGCACATGTCGTCACGTGTTAATGAGTTGGCAATGCCATAGACATATAGTTATGCGTTATGTATTATGCATATATCCACTAGATATCATGGACTGGCTGTTGCAACAATAATGCCCTCCTCTTGCTCTACATATATGCTGTGCAATCGCAGCTTCACAACATCATCCTGAACCAAATAACATGGCAATTGCTCTAAGACCTGTTGAAGCACATCCTAGATCAGACTGTTAGATTGGTTGAAATGAAGGGAATAAACAGCTATGCGACAATATCTGAGAATCCTTACAAGACAGGCGATGATATCATCTACTCTGGAATGCCGTCAATTGGGAGAGGTGGGGTCATCCACAAGTATTTAAGAAAAAAAAAAAGGAGAATTGGACGTCACATCTTGACTTCACTCCCTAAATCACCGTACTCTTAACGCACACTTCTCTCACTTGCCACGCAAGCACTAACTTTGCAGTTATACCGTTAATAATGTCGGCCAAACTCGCCTTGACAGATACACTCCCCCTCCCTCAAACCGACGTGCGCATCCCTCATCTCGGACTGGGCGTCTATCGCATCCATGGCTCTCAATGCACTCAAGCGACTCTTGCAGCACTACAAGTCGGTTACCGGCATATCGACACAGCACAGTTCTACGGAAATGAAAAAGAAGTAGGCGAGGCATTGCGACAAACGAGTCTCCCCCGGGATCAGGTCTTTGTAACGACCAAGATAATGACGCCCGCTGGCTCGCCGCAGGCAACGTATAATAAAATCGTGGATAGTGTGGATAAGATTGTCGGAACGGATGGATATGTTGATCTTTTCTTGATTCATAGCTCTCGATCTGGACCGGCGGGGAGGAAGGAATTGTGGCAGGCTTTGGAAAGGTTGCTTGAAGAGGGTCGCACGAGGAGTATTGGCGTGAGCAATTACGGTGTTGCGCATATCGAGGAGATGAAGGCTTATGCCAAAGTTTGGCCGCCTCATGTTAATCAGATTGAGGTTTGTACTTTTTTTTTTTTTTTTACCTCTCCATATTTTTTTATTCGCACTTCAAAGTGTTGAGGGTAAGTGAGGTATATGCTGACTGCAGACTTCTACAGCTCCATCCATGGTGCCAGCAGCGTCAAACTGTCCGGTACTGCAACAACCACGGAATTGTCATTGAGGCCTATTGTCCACTTGTTCGCAACAACAAGGACAATGACCCTACTCTGGTGGCACTAGCCAGGAAATATGGAAAGAGTGTTTCCCAAGTCTTGATTCGATACAGTTTACAGAAGAACTGGGTACCTTTGCCAAAGAGCTCGAATCCCGAACGGATTGCTAGTAATGCCGACGTGTATGACTTCGAAATTAGTCAAGACGACATGGGTGTTTTGGATTATCTAGATCAAGGTGCTGCTGGAGCTATAGTCGAATCGGTGGACGAGGATTAGACGAGGGGGGAAATACTGTGATTAGCATGAAGTATCACGCCCTCAAGAAAACACCCACACTTGACAATGATTCACTTTCTTCACACTTTTGGTTACCATGATCAAGTTTTCCATCCTACTAGGATATTCGAGACAATTGCTTGAGACTCAGTCTGGTCTCTGCAAGAGAAATGAATTGACTGATTGAAGTGTCGCGCGTGAAGGATTAGCATCCGGTTTTGACGTTACAATCCACGCCAGGCGTTGACGAATGAATTGTTTGTCCATGTAAACATCTGGTTGTGCACCGACCAATTTGCCTGTAGATAGATTTTTATTAGCCTGCAAACCGGGTATGGGTGCATATAGAAAAAAAAGCAATCCATACCACTGTCATCATAGAACAAGCAAATGATAGTCAGGAGTACTCCAACAGAAAGATCCTTTCCCGTTTCACAAGTAACCAGTAGCGATTGCGAAGGATTGGGTAGAAGATGCTTCTCCGCAGAAGCCTTGACTTTCTCCAAAGAGGTTCGCAGATCCCGACTGCCAATCTTGTGGGAACCACAGCCAAGATTCAACCTTTTCGGGGTCGATAGTTCTGGTTTGTCGTTACAAGCAATCACGAAATCATACTCACCGGGTGGTTTTGTATTGGGTCGAGATTGGCAGATATAAAGATTTAACGATGGGCGAATTAAGAAACCACTTGCCTGTCGTTGGTCAGCGCCAGCACTGCTATTAGAACCAGCGTGTTTCGTCATCAATTCACTGATGACATCCGGTAAATCGCTCTCGTCGGTAGCGAAAAGAGCATCCTTGTTTGCCCAGAATACCGGAGCGGTTAAGCCATGAGACCATCCCTCACTGTCATCGCCCGCACCTTGTATATAGCCACCTTCAGAGGCTTCGGCGCCCCGCACTCTCCTAGAGGCCGAGCAAAGCACGAACAAATTGTAGCCGTGACCTTTGACAAGTGTGGTAGGATGGAAGTATGTCTGGTTAGCCCAGGCAATACGAATGGGCTGGCCTAGATCATTCCTTAGCTGGTCCATATCAAGTTTCAGTTCCTGTCGTAACAGGTCAGTAACAAGGTTTAATTCTCGACCCAAGCACAAAAGAACCTACCTTGAAGGTTTTGACAAAGCTGTCAATTCTATTTTCGATCTGGGCTTCTTCCGAGGCACCCAAGAAATTAGGAGGAAACTGAACAGGGTGGTATGCCGACTGTGTTGGAAATAGTGCGCGATTTATCACCGCACACCATATGGGCACTGTCTTCGACAAAGCATCGGGCATCACTGCCACACGTGTCAATAACGGCCAATGAATGAGTTTTCACGTGTAACAGGTGCAGTCAACCCCGGGCCAAAGGTCGCGTAAAGACTGGATAGAGCAATACTTAAGACATACATTTACCCCGGCGTGTAGAATCTACAATAATACACCTGTATAACAATCATATTAATGCCTTGTTCCGGGAACACTCGTGCATCCTACAATAGCAACATCGCTGAGAAATATATGCAAGCTGAATGCGCAAGATATCAAGTAATAACAGAGAAAGCTTACCCGCCATGTTTGCGAGCAATCGCGAGAATTTGCAAATTAAGCCTGCGGAAACTAAAATTCCAGATGCCCGTATGGCCATCCGTGCTCTTAAAGTACGCACTCCCGGCCTTCTGCTCTGGATCGATATACCAACTGCCACAGCGCTCGTTGGCAATGAGGGGTAGCTGGTAGTGATCGGCGACGTCTCGCACGAAGCGGGCGTCTGCTTCGATAGAGTGTAGACGATTTGTGACAGAGAGCGCGGAACGTCGTAAGGACGACAGCAATTGTGATACCGAGACTGCTGCTGAGGGGAACTCGATGTCTGATAGTGAGACGGAGTTCATTGCGCCGGTTGACTGACAGCCTTTAGCCGATTTGAAAAGGGCTTGATCAGGACCGGATTGGCCACAGAATGAGAGGATTTGTTCCTGAAATTGCCGCCCAATCAAGTCGCCCGTCTCACGTATCTGCCCGGTCTTTGCGCCGGAAGAATTCTCTTTTTCTCGCGATTTGTAGAACGGAGTAGAATTGCGGGATACCAGGCTAGGACGGAAACGGCATAGTGGCTGCGCTGCCTAAGGCCTTCACTAGCAATTCTTATTCACGAACATCCATCGTAGACGTACGTCATCTAACTACACCGACGGCAGAAGGATAAGCTGGGATTAGTCTGCCTTGAGATATTTTCAATGTCCATGTTCGTCTCGAGTAAACGTTCAAGCGCATGCTCAGTTCAGTACTAGGGAAGGAAACCCTTGTGGCAAAGTGCTGGTGTCGAAATCGACTCCGTCAAGCACGGACATGTAACCAGGTGGTTTTTTTGGGTAATCATGACTCCAAACCGAATACCCAAACGGGCTGACCGGGCGAACAAGATAGCAGTGGGGACAGGCGTATTGCACAGAGGCGAGGGTCTAGTGCAATTGGGAGGCAGCGCACATGAGTGAATTAACTGTCTGCGTCTGGGGCATGCAATTGGCTCCTGCAAATGCTCTCTGTTGTTTCCATGTCGTACTCTCCGCTTGGCGGTGCTGCAGTGCCATCACGGGTGGCCGTCAGTTGGCAGTGACGGTGGCAGATGAGTCGTGCCTTCCCCCGGATGCCCCCGATGCTGCTTACACTAGCCTGCCTGTTCGGGGCTAGCGCGGGCCTTAGGGCAGTGTCTCTGCTCCGAGTGGGCGACGTCACACTCATGCACGCTGATTGGATTCAGCTAGGCACCCGCCCCGCCAATCCCCCCCATGCCCGCCGCTGATTGGCTGGCGCAGCGTCTGATGCAATGCTGCTGATGGCCGTCATTGTCTGAGCTTGTTTCCTTTCCTTCCTCATCGAGGCTCCTTCCTGTCGTACTTAAACACGCTTTCTTCCCGCCTTCCTTTTGCTTCACTCGCTTTCCGCCCTTCACTCCAGCGCCCTTCATTCGTCACTTCCTTAGCTGTCTACCACCCTCCATCATCTCATCTCTGAAAAGCATCATCACATCACAGCTCAATTCTGCAAACATGGCCAAGGTAGGAGACATCCCCGCATTCAACCCAAGACCCACGACTAACACTCCACTCTCGCAGATCACCCAGCTGTTGTTTGACTGCGACAACACCCTCGTGATGTCCGAGGAACTGGCCTTCGAGGCCTGCGCGGACATTGCCAATGAGATCCTGGCCAAGCGCGACATCACTGACCGCTACACCGGGGAAGAGCTCATCAAAGACTTTGTCGGCCAGAACTTCCGTGGTATGATGGTCTCTTTGCAGGCCAAGTATGGCTTTGACATGCCCAAGGAAGAGATTGAGCACTACGTCAAGGAAGAGGAAAACCAAGTCATTGCCAAATTGGAGGCGAAGGCGGTGCCTTGCATTGGTGCTAACGAGGAGTTGGAAAGACTCCAGCGCCAGGGCAAATACGACATGGCTGTTGTGTCGTCCTCTGCTCTTCGTCGTGTCCGCGCCTCAATCAAGAAGGTGAACCAGGACAAGTACTTCAAGCCAGACCACGTTTTCAGCGCTGCTACCTCCCTGCCCCAACCGACCTCCAAGCCTGACCCGGCCATCTATCTTCACGCCTTGGAGGTGCTGGGCAAGAAGCCCGAAGAGTCTGTTGCCATCGAAGACAGCCGCTCTGGTGCTCTTAGCGCTATTCGTGCTGGGATCCCAGTCATTGCCTACGTCGGAAGCTATCACGGCGATGACAAGCGTGGTGAGATGGCAGCCAAGTTGACCGAACTGGGTGCTCAGGTCGTGATGAAGGATTGGGCCGAATTCGACACTTGCCTCAAGCAGATCGAGGGCGAGCCTACAGAGACCAGTGTCGCTAATCTTTAGACAATGTCGCCCTGATTTTCACTTCTGAATCTTCCTTTCTTTACGACTAATTTTCTAATTCTCCTCGAAAACCTCTGGAGGGGGGGTGTTTTCCACAATTCTTTCCAAGCGCCTGATGACACTGTTTGGTGTCTTTTTTTTTCTTCCCACTTTCTTTTTTTACGAGCTGAGCTCCCTTCTATCTAACAAGCATCACGAGGTTTTATGGAATGCATTATCATGTACTGTATGTTTTGCCGGCGAAATAAGCGCAGAGACTGATTTGGCGCATGGGTCTGGTTTTTAAATTTCTGGGCTGTTAGCCTGCCCATTTGTCTATCTTCTTTTTTCCTCTTCACAGATTATAGACATAGTTTCTGTTAATTAGCGATAGTTTGCAGAAATAGAGCACTACTCTGAAGGGACGCAGTTCTCCTCCTCGACCACACGTAGTTGTAGCTGATTGCATGGAATGCGGTCGTATGCGTCCATCATGATTGGATCCACCAAAATGTGCTTGCATCGCACTAGAAATGCACGACGACAACGCCGTCGGGTTGTAGCCACGCATGTACGGAGCAAGTATAGAGTGCTGTGGAGCATGCGGAATCGCGCACCGGAAGACACTCTGCCGCATTCTTTCTTTCTGCGTAGATGTCCTGTTGAAATCTTGAAACATGTGATAGACATGCCCGATGATACTGACTGCCTGTGAAAGTCAAAAATGAAACTCCCACTGAGTCATATAGTTGGGAAGCTTATTACAACCGACGAGGCCTGTATAATACAGAACTAATTATCATTATCATTATATGCATTCCCCTTCCGCTACGACATCGTTGATATTCTGTAGGACAATCCTTATCGGGTGAGATAAGGGCTAACCCCACATTGAAATGACATCAATTGGTCCCTCGCTCAGCTCTACACCGAACACGCAATCCATCTGCCCGTTGTATTAGCAACTCCAGCTCTCGTCGCATTTAGACGCTTGACATTTGATGTGCAATATGACTACTCGCTCAGCTCAAGCGTCCAAAATCCTTGCAGCGGGTCCACTGGTGTGTCTCACCGAATCAATCCTAATACCATTGCCGGCCAGGAAATCATGTCTAATCCCCTCAACGGAGCACAGGACAACGCAGAAGCCAAATGGATAAAACTAGGCAAAATCACCTATACAGATCCATTGGGTGTAGAACGAGTGTGGGAAACCGCCGAGCGACAGGTAAATCTCCGCCAACGAAATTTCCAGTCAAGCTTTTCATTAAAGAGGGTTGACTCCTGAGTGTATGATAGACACGGCCCCAAAACAGCCTCATCGATGCCGTCGGCATAGTCGCTATTCTCGAGACATCCCACGGTCCCGAAGTCCTGCTACAGAAACAATACCGCCCGCCAATTGACAAGATCTCAATCGAAGTTCCCGCCGGTCTCGTCGATGAGGGCGAGACACCCGAGCAATGCGCCGTGCGCGAACTCAAGGAAGAAACGGGCTACGTCGGGGTGGCAGAGAAAACGAGTGCGATCATGTACAACGGTACATTACTTCCCTCCATGCAATTTTCCTTCAAGTTACCAACCTCGCGCCTAACAATTTGGATTATTCTTGTGTCTATATAGATCCCGGCTTCTGCAACACAAACCTAAACATGGTGCACATACGCGTCGACATGAGTCTGGCAGCGAACCAGAATCCGCAGCCAGAGCTCGAAGAGAACGAGTTCATCGAATGCTTCACCGTCCCGCTGGCGACGCTTTTCGAGGAAACCAAGAAACTCGACGAACAGGGGTATGCGATTGATGCGCGCGTTGGCACGTTGGCTGAGGGTATTGAGTTGGCGAAGAGGTTTAGGCTGTGATTTCCACACTATTGAGCATTGTACATAAGAATACGTACCTAGGTACTTAAATGGAGGAAGAAGACAGGCCAGGGCGGCAGCGCCGTCTCCACACCTTCCCTAACCAAACCGCATGCATGACATCAACTCTATCTACAAAGGATAACTCGCTCACTCACCCAAATACCGAAGGAAGACAAACCATCCATGGCCTTCGTGCCCAGATTAAGACACATCACAGCACCAAACCTAGCACAGCACATAAGGAAAATGACATCGTCCACATTCACAATCCCCTTCAACCAGGCAGAACGCGAACAACAAATACCCGTCACCTGTCCCTCGAACAATAAAGATGGCCAAAGTATCTCCCAATCCCAACTTCTATCCTTCCCCGCGTTCAAAACTTGGCTCTCATCGCTCCAGAAATCGCTTGCGCACCAAAAAGCGTCTACACACGAATTCCATAAATCGCCTTATGTCCTGCGACAGATTGATATTCAGGCCGTGGATCATTTCGGTGGTGGGCGCCTGGGGTTTCTGAAGATGAAGGCGGTTGTTTCGAATGATTCCGGCGAGAGTTTGCCGGGAAGTATATTTCTTAGAGGGGGAAGTGTTGCCATGCTTGTGAGATTTCATGTCCTGCCTGCCTATCTATCTACCGGTTTACCCAACTGATTACTTTATAGCTCATCCTGCAACCAGACGATGTACCAGCGACTTCCGAAGAAGACAAATACGCAATAATGACAGTACAGCCGCGCATTCCTGCAGGTTCTTTAAAATTCGCCGAGATTCCCGCTGGCATGCTGGATGATAGCGGCACGTTTGCAGGCGGAGCGGCAAAGGAGATCCATGAAGAAACCGGTCTATTAATACCCCAGGAAGAGCTCATCGATTTGACCTCACTCGCATCCACATTTGTGGAAAGCAGACATGAGAAATCTTCTTCAGGCACTGAGGACTTCCTTCAAAAAGCAGTCTATCCATCTCCCGGTGGAAGTGATGAGTTCATTCCTGTATTCCTTTGCCAGAAGCGAATGCCAAGGCAGGATATTCAAGCCATGCAGGGCCGGTTGACGGGGATTAGACACGAGCGAGAAAAGATCACGCTGAAGATCGTGCCACTGGATGATTTATGGAAAGAAGGTCTGCGAGATGGCAAGACGCTTGCCGCCTGGGCCTTGTACACGGGCCTGAAGCAGGAAGGCAGAATATGATTGAAAACCCGCACATTCCTTCAAAGGATCTTAGAGATGATTTAACCATATGTCCCTTGCAAATGTCGAGTCAAGCCAATATGACCGTAGAATAAAGGCCAGATATTCGAAGCGGGTCAGGGATACAATATGCATCATCCCTGTTGCAGCGTTAGCGGGGAAGCAGATTTTTTATGCTCATTTCATTTGTAGACCGCCAAAAGCTCGATCTAGTTCCTCACCCTCATCGCGAGGTGCGATGGTAGGCTGTGGTTGCGACTCCTGCTCCTGTGACCTGGAATCCAAGATACTCTGAGAAGCACCATCGGCATTAGGATTCGCAGGGGTCGAGGACGGAGCATGCATAAGTGCAGGTTGAAGGAGCTTTTCCTCTCGATCTAGCCATCCAGGCGCCACTCTTCTCTTCTCGGCCAACTCTCGTTGTTTGACGGACTCTTCCCAGTCCTTGATAGTCTTCTCCGCAGCTGCTACTGTCTTGTGTAAATGCGCTTCAAGGGACTGGCAAGACGCTAGGATCTCGTCGGGATGAGCAGCATGACCACCGGTAGACGAAACAACATAGCGTGCTTTGGCATCAGAATCTCCGGGCGCAGTGATGACGGACGGGGGAAGCGTCGAAGCGATTGACTTGTAGGTGTAAGGCAAGGTCACTGCCGTGGGGAGCGAGATAAACGGGGATACCGTCAGGGACACTTGGGCCAGCAACGGGTGAGGACCTTTGAAGATGTCAATCAGAGAAAGACTATTTTGTTAGAGACTAGCAAAACCTACAGTTTGAGTCGTACATAATGGCCACGCTGAAGAGGAGATTGTGTGTTGTTTACCTGGCGAGTGAGTTGAGTCTGGAGTCTCGAGTGCCAAGGATGGCGGCAGGTGACAGCCCGCAGCCTGATTCCCAAGGCCCCCAAGACCCAGCTAATCCATGCCGCTCCCCGTCTCCTTGAGGCTTGATCAAAACCACATTTCTCAACTCAACAGCCCACTGCATCGAGCCAGTCCCAGCCAGGCCCTTTTGCCCTTCTTCCTCAATTGGCTCAGCCTTGTCGCCTTGCCTCCCGGTGTCCTTCCCCAAGTCTCGCGTCGCGCGAGACCGGCAGTTCTCTTCTCAGCCTGACTAATCCTCCTCCTCTTCCTCCTTCGAGTTCTCTCTTAAACCACTTTTATCTGCTCCATTACTAAAGCACCGAGCGTGTCACGGGACATCCAGCATTCGTCTTCATAGGGCCGGAAAGGAAGTTGCGTGCAATCGATCGGCAGACGCTGACTCTGAGTCTCTGTGCGCGCGGCTCGAAAGCCTCGACAAACCCCGCCACACGCGCGCTCTCATATCTTCTCTCTCCCTCTTTCTCTACCGCTCCCCCCGTTCCTCACCTTTTCAAGGGCGCCATCTTCTTTACACACCCTCTAAAAATTTTCATATTTGAGAATTCGACTTGGTTGACCCTTTCGCAATGGATCGGCAGCTTGAGCATGCGGTGACGCACAAAAAGCCCGTCCCCGAGATTGACTTCACCTTGCATCGGATGGAAGATGGCACCCAAGTGTCAACATTGGAACGAGTTTGCAAAGGTATATACCGCTCTTTCGTTTATTCGTGTATTCGTCTGTTTTATTTTGCTTTTTCTATTACGACGGTGATTTATAGTTATATATTTTTCTCAATTAATTCATGGTCTGGTGAGCTGACATCGTCCAGAGGTGCAGGCGCCCGCGCTCACAGTTCCGACCGACGAGAGTTTCTGGTCACCAGAAGACCCAGAAAAGCCAAACTTGCCTTTTTTAAAGCAGCACTTCTATCGCGAAGGCAGACTTACTGAGGAACAGGCGTTATGGATTATCAGCAAAGGTACCGAATTGCTTCGTTCGGAGCCTAACCTTCTTGAGATGGACGCTCCTATCACAGTGTGCGGCGATGTGCATGGCCAATATTACGACTTGATGAAATTGTTCGAGGTTGGCGGGGATCCCGCCGAAACCAGGTATTTATTTTTGGGGGATTATGTCGACAGAGGCTATTTTAGTATCGAGGTTGGTAGTCGCGACTCATTCTTTTGCCTGCACTGCATTGGAAATTAACAACGATCTAGTGCGTACTATACCTGTGGTCGCTCAAAATCTGGTATCCAAACTCTCTTTGGCTGCTACGAGGAAATCATGAATGTCGCCATCTGACCGACTACTTCACCTTTAAACTCGAGTGCAAACACAAGTATTCCGAGCGCGTCTACGATGCATGCATGGAGTCCTTTTGCGCTCTACCCCTCGCTGCAGTGATGAACAAGCAGTTCCTCTGTATTCATGGAGGGTTGAGTCCAGAGTTGCACACCCTTGAGGATATCAAAGCTATCGATCGATTCAGGGAGCCGCCGACGCACGGATTGATGTGCGACATTCTTTGGGCCGATCCGCTGGAAGAGTTCGGACAGGAGAAGACAGGAGATTATTTCATGCACAATCACGTGCGAGGATGTTCCTATTTCTTCTCATATCCCGCTGCCTGCGCTTTCCTAGAGAAGAATAATCTGCTATCGATTATCCGGGCGCATGAAGCTCAAGATGCCGGTTATCGAATGTACCGAAAGACCCGTACGACCGGTTTCCCAAGTGTGATGACGATCTTCAGCGCGCCCAACTACCTTGATGTCTATAACAACAAGGCTGCTGTTCTCAAGTATGAGAATAATGTGATGAATATCCGTCAATTTAACTGCACGCCTCACCCTTACTGGCTCCCTAATTTCATGGATGTCTTCACCTGGTCGCTACCTTTCGTGGGAGAGAAAATCACAGATATGCTGATTGCCATCCTGAACACCTGCTCCAAAGAAGAGCTTGAAGACGAGACGCCCTCGTCCGTCTCCCCTACCTTACCCTCTCCCCCATCTGCCACTGAGAAAGAAAGAGACGAGCAGACGGACTTCAAGAGACGTGCAATCAAGAACAAAATCTTGGCCATTGGTCGTCTGTCCCGAGTTTTCCAGGTGTTGCGTGAGGAATCCGAGCGAGTCACTGAGCTCAAGACTGCATCTGGCGGTCGTTTACCGGCCGGAACCCTCATGTTGGGTGCTGAAGGCATCAAGCAAGCAATTCACAATTTTGAAGATGCGCGCAAGGTCGATCTGCAGAACGAGCGACTTCCTCCATCACAAGAGGAGGTTGTCCGTAAGAGTGAGGAGGATCGAAAGGCTGCACTGGAGAGGGCTAAACACGAGGCCGATAACGATCCTAGCCTAGCCACCGTCGCTAGGCGTATTAGCATGTGAGTATTCATCTCCAAACTGTTCAAGTCTAAGGGAAACAATTGCTAATGTATAATTATACAGGTCTGGCAACAGACGCCGGAGAGAGGCCCCCAATCGAGAAGCTCCCAACCCCGAATCCTCTTAATGGACATGTCACGATAACTAAAAGAATCCACCCATGACATTAATATCCTATACCAGCCTCTCTTTTCTATATTTCTTTCTTTCTTCACAAATGTCACATGTTAAATTATTGACATGGGGATGTGTACATAAACCACGGAATGAGCAATGACATGAAGGGCACAGGGTCTTTTTTTTCTTCTTTACTCCTCTCACTGTTTGATTCCTAAATAGGCCTTTTTTTTGTTTTGTAGTTTTGTAGTTTTGTCACTTCGTGTTTCAGTTGATGTGGTGGGATTGATCTGTTATATGTTTGTATTGAGAGGCCGAGGCGTCCGTGACGTGATTTACGAGTTTTGATGAAATATATGAAATATACAAGTGAAAATAGTTCACTTCAGTATTTATTTAGTAGGCATGAGATATCACATAGATACATAATAATTTGAAGTTGCGAGGACGTATATTCGGCCAGATACATTCGCCAAATCGCGGAACGGCCGCGAAAACTCCGTGTTTACCCACTCTCACTCTTCCTGGAAAGTTGAAACCCTGTCTCCAGACTCAGACGGACTGTCTTTCCTCCCAAGGTCAACGCGACCACCCATCATCATGCCTACAAAACTCCGCGCTGCAGTTCGCAGGAGCTTGGTGCCTCTTGCAGACAAAAGCGGCGCCGCAGGGATAATCGCGTACCCTTCATGTTCGACGTGCCGAAGACGGACGCTTTCGACAGCAGCGACGGCATCAACATCAACATCAACAACGAATTATCGGACGCGCAACGGTAATTTTCGAGCCAATTATAATATCGCTCCTAGCGCTAGATACAGCAATGACGGTCTATGTACGACGACGATTATACGCCGCTATTTGAGTTCCTCAATCTCGCTGAATAATAGTATAGTTGGCGGTGTTGGTGATACCAACAACGACAACAAGAAGAACATTGTTCCGCCGCATCTGAGGGACTTGCATAAGGCTCTTACAGAGTTACAAGAAGTTGCGGCGGATCATGTCAGTTTGAGTCGATTGCAGCTTGCGCAGCGCGGATTGGAGTCGGAGGATCCAGTTATTCGTGTTGCTAGTGAGTCTGCACCTTGTTTCGTTTGCGTGTGGGTGTCGATTTCCAAATATCCTGACTAATGGGACTGTATTTAGTACTTGGCATAAATGATGTTCGCGCTACACGTCGCCTGGTTAGACTGCTCTTAGCAGATCCATTGACAGAAAAACAAGCTTGGGAGGACCTGATAGAATCCTACGGGATTGAGGAGTCGAATGGACTCCTCATACGGTGTGTTTCCATTTTGCCATACGGAGGAAGGGTATAGACGTTGAACTAATGGAATTAATACTTGATAGATACGGACAAGATTCCGGCATCGTCGAAAGCAGTTTATGCCCTACTATATCCATTTCGTCTCCCGTCTTGAAGAGAGGAGGCATTGAAATTTTCGTCAGTACCCTTGGAGCTGGAGCAGAGCCAGCCACCGTTCCCGTCACCGATGAAGCCTTCTTTGTGCCTACGATCACCGTTTCAACGTCGGAAAGCGGTGGGGGACAACACCACGAGCTTATCAGATATCCGGTGCATAGAAGCATTATTTGCGGTACGGGTACAGATGGGCTGTTGGCTTATTCTAGCCTGCTTGGCCGCGCCGTCAATTTGAATTCGTCTGAGCAATTGATACATGGCGTCATAGAGCTAACTGTTAACGGGGCGAAGAGCACTAGTAACAATACCAACACGGTGACATTTGTAGATGCAAATAAAGCCGAAGAAGCCCTGGCTAAGTTTCGCGAGTCTGTCCATTTTGCTTCGGAGTATGAACGTGGCTGGACTGCTAGCGGGGCCCAGTCGATTGCAGATTGGCTGTCTAATAATATAACACCTGCAGAAAAAAAGGGGCTGGGTTCGGACTTGCAGATACTTGTCCGGTCACTTTTGGACACAGCCGAGGCAGAGGTCATTACTGAAGAGACCGCTCGCCTCAAAGAGCAGGAATTGACCAGTGCCTCTGCCGAGACTCGTCAGAGTCTTGATCAATCAGTTTCAACGTGGGCTGAGCGAGCTCATACCGAGCTTCGCAATGCCCTAGATGAAGGGTTTGCGAGCCGGAGATGGAAAGCACTATCATGGTGGAAGCTCTTTTGGCGTGTCGACGATGTGGGATCAGTTATGGCGGAGATATTGCAGACTAGATACCTCCCACGTGCCGAGAAGGAAATGATCTGGACAGCAGGACGAGTTAAGCAGACGGGCCTGTTAGACAGCGTTCCCGATGCCGAAGACTTGTCGCAAACAAAGCCAGAAGAAGGAGAACCCCATCCCTGGCCATTGCAAATTGCTACTAGCCGCCTTCAAATGCTCAGCACAACAATCCCCTCTTTGCAAGCGCTATCACAAGGTCTAGTGCTTTTCAGCGCCTCAACAACCGGATTAACATCGGCTCTTTCGGGGCTATTATACGCCTCTGCATCGACTGGCCTGTACGAGGCGTGCACCATCGCGGCTGTTGGATTGATCTATTCTATGCGTCGACAGCAAGTCAAATGGGAAAACGCGCGCTCATCATGGGAAGCAGAGGTTCGTGAAAATGGACGCACGGCACTGGTCGAGACGGAAGAGCTTTTGCGGACCTTGATTCGAGATGGTCCTGTGCGACGACAGGAGGAAAGTGCTGAAACGCGGGCGAGAATGGTTATTGCTCGGGCTAGAAATGCTCTTGAGGGTGTTGGGAAATAAGTGTATATATGTATTATCATCATCGTCATCATCATTATTGTAAAGTAGCGAAAAGACCTGATTCCTGATTGATCCCCTGAGTTCTTGCCATTTTCGACATAGCCGTCACGTGCATAATCTCCATCAAACACCCGAAGTCTTCTAAGACTGACTGATTGATTCATGGATTGGCTAGATAGAATGTCCAACCTCAACCTGCGCCATGCAGTCCCCATTGCGATCAAGTGCTCTAAGAAAGAGCAATGGGAACCTACAGGAGGATGTGTTACAACAGATGCCTCCTTTTCTCTGCGATTTCTACCCAACTCGCGAGCCCACCGGTATTTGTGCACTTAGCATCTCCGCCCCTATATTGGGGTGCCAGACTTTGATTTCCATCCTCCATTTTCAGCGCGATACGAAGTTTGGGATGAGATCTTTGCACTGAGACATGTGAATGATGGCGCCGCCAGAAGGCTAATATCACGCTTCTAGTTAAAAAGCTCTTATGTTTGTGCTGACTCAAATAGAACACCAAGAGAATTCTCCCGATTCCATTTCAAGTCAAAGCAAACCTAAGAATAGTTGGAAAACAGAGCTGATATCAGTGATTGAGAAAGAGGACAATGTCGATACCATGAAGGGTCTATTGAACAATGAGACGGACCTGGAGGCTTCATTTCGTTACGGATTTTCCAAAGAACGCGTACCTGATGACAAGGTGACTTTTTTGATGCTTGCAGTGGGATATGATCGCCCGGAAGTCGTGCGCTTCCTTCTAGATCGAGGGGCAAACGTCTTCGCTAAAACCCAGCATAGGTAAATGACGGCGCTCATGTACGCTCTTTGGGGAAAAGCCTCTATCAAAAATTTCCAACTGTTGCATGAGAAATGCGGAACTCAACTTCTGGAGCAACGGGATTGTTTTGGCGACACTGCTCTTCATTGGGCTGTGATGGCTAGGCGTACTGATGTGGTTGAATGCCTCCTTAATTATGGGGCAAGCGTATATGCTGTGACTGATGATGGGCCTACCTTATTACATGTTGCTGCTGCCACAGGAAACCACGAGGTTCTTCAAATGATATTTGCGAGGCTTAGTGCAGAACTTGAAAAGTACGCCCGGTTCAATACTATGGGAGGTTATGTAGGATTTCCCCGCATGGACAAAATAAGGGAACTTATTGCCGCAAGAGATAAGTCAGGTTCATCAGCTTCGGGTTATACTGCAAGATATAGCCATATCTTCATTGTCCTTCAATTGCTCGATACACCTGTACTATTTCCTAAGCTGGTTTCTCTGCCGGCTCGTATGCGGCAAGCAGATGATCGGTTGTATATCTCGAATCGTAAGGAGGCCGATGAAATTACGGAGTTTCTTCTTACAGCTATGAATGAACAAGAGTCTGGTGCGGCTGAATCCGAGACTGAGAAGTTCCATGAAATCAACAGCCACATAGAGGCAATTCTCTATTGGGCGATTTTGAATGCACAGGAATCCCAGTTCGACAGATGCATGTCAAAAGTCCGGCCCCTGATGTCAAGCACTGAGAATGGGAGTCCATGGATTAGGGCAGCAGTACTAGGAGCAAACAAATCTATCATAGATAAGCTTCTTGAACATGAAAGTTTGCAACAGGAGGGGAATTCCAGAGACCCCACAGATACTCTTACGCCTAGCAATTGAGAGTACGAATATTGATTCCGTTAAAACATTTCTTGCGTGGCTCAGAAAGAGACACAAGCCAACCCAGAATCATGGTGGGTACGTACCTATCTAACCAGGACCTTAGCTCCTGCCCTTCAAAAATGGACCTAATATTCTCCTTTTCTATAAACAATAATCACCAGTACAACCAAAGAGGACTAGCTTTTTCCAACGAGTCCTGGCCAGCATCAAGGATCAAAAGAACAATCCACGCTGGCCAGTTGAAGATGTCAGAGAGCTGATTCTCAGCTCTGCTGTTGGGATGTTCGACAGGACCGAATTTGGGATAAGTCGCCTTTGGGAATCTTTCGAGAAATTATCCAGGACGTGGTAAGCACCTTCGTTCACCCCCATTTTGGGATACTTGAAGTCTGATAGGCACAGCGCAACAAAGAAACCGGGCTATTCGACGCCTTCTGCGAGAAACTACAGGAAGGTCAAAATAACGACAAGAGGATATTGGAAGATTTGTTATAGACTCATTCGCGATACGGCAATACGGAGAGAGAAGGAAGCACCACTGAGTGATGTTTCAACGATCGACTCCTCGGCAAAACAGAGATAAAGCGGAGCACTACTAACTCCAAAGACCACATATGATGATATTCTTGAAGAGACGAAACTTCTTGGGGAGATCAAGGATACATGTGACGAACTTAATATGCTGAAAAGCTTGGCTGAGGACCAAAAAGAGGTTTGCGAGAAGCTATGGAGCGAGGAGTATAACCCTAAAGCCATTTGTACAATATATACATACGAGCAGAGAATGATTTGTATAGCCCTGGAGAATAGTCGTGACTGTTCAAGAATTGCCGTTTTCGGCCTAGTCAGTCATACACCATCTCGGCTCTCAGGCTCCTTTGTTCCCCCTTACTCAATAGAACAGCCTCATTTCTTCTTCTTTTGAGAATATTGGCCATGCCTTCTCTCATGTCTTCGCTTTATAGTCTCGCTCTGTTCTAGTATTTACAATATCTCTGATATAGCCATAAAATCTATCGCCTTTGATCGTCTCATTCTACGGCATGCACTAGGGGCAAGAAGTCATATTAAAATGTTCCTACTTCAAAGCTGACTAGCTTATTACTTATTTGATAGGAAATTATAGCTACACGCTCAATTTAATCACAATGCAGCTCGCCGCTCAAAACGCCTGGAGTATGTGTATCTCCGGTATTCGCAGGGACTTGACGACTTCTTGGTGCCAACGAGTTTCCCTACCGTCCAGATCAAGGAGTATATTTGTGCCGCATCGAACCGCCTCGTCGTGGACATGCACCCCAAGAGTATTTCCCACCTCGGGAGTCGAGTTGCTTGACCAGTCCATCGAGCTTGACGAGGAGACACTGCCGACGTATCAATCTGAGCAATACTACCCGGTCACCCAGGGTGAGATATTCAACGACCAATATCAAACACTTGTCAAAATCGGGTATGGAGTAACCTCCACAGTGTGGCTTGCGAAAGACTTGATGTAGGTGCAACTGAGTCTCTCCAAGAAGTCCAGACGGTAGCATTTCTAATAAAGAAGACCAGTGCTTCAACATATGTTGTTTTGAAAGTTTACGTGACAGTCAATAACCAGAATTATGAGGAGAGAGAGCTAAATATATACAAGCACATGTGTCTGAAGGAAACAAAGCATCCGGGCAGGAATTTCATTCGCAAGCTGCTTGACCATTTCTACGTCCAGGGCCCTCATGGCCGGCACGTCTGTCTTGTTCATGAACCTCTCGGAATGAGCGCGGATCTTCTGATCAGAATGACTCCTGGGCAAGCAATGAGTCTTGATAGCATGAAGCCGGGTATACGACAGCTTCTTATAGCCCTGGATTTCCTGCATTCAAAGTGTCAAATCATACATACCGGTAATATTTCCTCAGGCTGCAGAGCTTATATTACAGGTCTAACGCTTCCACAGATCTTCAGCTCAAGAACTTACTACTCCCCGGACCGGAAACAAGCTATCTTTCCCGCTTCGAAGAAGCTGAAGTAACAGACCCATCGCCTAGAAAGATCGCCAAAGACCGGACAATCTACCAGGCTTTGAGTTTTCTTCCAAGAGGCGGGCTGCCACTTCTCAGTGATTTCGGGGAAGCTCGATTAGGCGACAAAGAACACAACGACGATATCATGCCAAATGTGTACAGAGCTCCTGAGGTTATTTTGAGATCGAGCTGGGGCTACAAGGTTGATATTTGGAGTATTGCCATGGTGGTGAGCTTAAACTAGGTCGGATTTCGGGTTGATTGAATAAAGAAAGCTAATATTCTCAATTACGTAGGCCTGGGACATTGTTAGTCCTCGCACACTTATCAACGGCAAAAACTCAGATGGCATGTTTGATGACAGAGTTCATCTGGCCGAGTTGGTTGCCCTGCTAGGGACCCCGCCATCTGAATTTAGGAAACAGAGGCACCTCAGCTCGGTCTTCTGGGATGATTCGGGGAAGTGGAAGGACGTGGCCCCGATTCCAGATATTACTCTCGAGAGCCTGGCGGAGAGAATCGAAGGCGAGGACAAAGAAGGCTTTCTGCGGTGGCTCCGGATGGCCTTGCAGTGGAATCCCGAGGACCGGCCGACGTCTTTGGAACTCTTATACGACGAGTGGCTGATGAAGGGTTTAGGGGAGAGGAGGGCAAGTAAATAGGTGGACAAATCGAAGGGGAAGTCACAATGTTGCCTGCGTATGTGTATTATTATCATTAATATCACTGTAAATTAGATGCCATGCACTCCTTTCTATCTTTTTTTCTTTCTTAAATAAATGATCATGTCAATTCAATACTTCCAGCAGGCACGCCCTTTCGACTCCTCAATCGACGAGCAAAGAATTGCATAACAGGCAGCATATCATCTCTATTGCGAGGCATTCCGTCACCGCGCCTGGGCCAACGATGGATCTCGACAAACTCAAAGACATCCTTTGTCCTCTTCAGTGCAGTATCTGTCACCGCAGAGCCGCCATCGTCTCGACCGGCAAGAAGCAGGACAGGTGTGCGATCCTTGGGTCCAAGTGTGCTTGCAGACAATGGATACGCAGCACCAAAAGAGACTACACCTGACAAAGAAGCATGGTAAGGGTTTGTTCTCTTACTGTTCATTTCCTCGGTTGCACTAGTACCAGGACCAGCGCTCGTACCACCAGGAATAGACGTTGTTGAGGAGGAGGAGATTGTAGCCTCTGGCAACTCATCCACGACGGGAGGATGCAGACTCAAATCCCGCGCGGCATCCAGCGCGGCCATGCCTCCCTGCCCAAAGCCCAGGAGCATGATATCGCGCAGCTTATAGCCTAGTTTATTCACCAATGTATCCGTAATGACATCCTTCACTAGCACTTTGCGAGCGCGATCGAACTCCGCGTCCATGGCGAGCGTGCCGTGATCGTCAAACATGACATCATTGCCCCAATGGTAGCCCTCATGGTCGATGAAGCTCGCGGGCAAAGGCGTGGGCGCCTGGACGGTGATGCAGGTAGTTTCAGGGAGATTGAGCGCGCGGCCAAAGGACGCGAATTTGTTGGCCGTGTCGCCGAGGCCGTGCAGCAGGACCAGGATGTTGTGGTGCGTGGTAGCGGAGGTGGTTGTTGGCGGCGGGGTGCTGTCGTGCGAGCCTGGGTAGGATATCACCACGGTCACATTTGGGGGGAAGTCTTCTGCAATTGGGAGTTTGGCTGGCATGTTCTTCTCGACACGTCTATAGAATGAATTATTGTTAGTGGAGGATTGCGAGCATTTGCAGCTCGGAGACGTAGGTTCAGCACAGCCACGTTCATCATACTGTGTGGCTGATGCAGACACTTGAGTCTTTTGCAGACGCACAGCCACAGATGCTTTAATCTGCCGTAAGATCGACAGGCTCAGCAAGATCACGCCATACGCATACTCCGTAATTTAGGAACGGTTTCAGCATAAAACTGGTAGTGTATCAGATCAGGCGAGAGCTAATTTCCAGTCATCGGCGTATCAGAGTATGGTATCATACATATACATACAGTACGGTACCCTAACGCCAGCGGGGCCATGTGGCTGAGCCACTCTTTCCGCGCGGCCAATCAGCAGCTCCCATCCAAACTCAGTTTACATGCTGAAGCGCTGTGATTTGAGGCTTGCGCACTTGGCATTTGCATTGGAAACAACTTGAGTCGCACAATGCGAAGATTAATTATGGAGTTGACTACGTAACTGTGTCCCAAGAATAGAAACCGCTTGTACTGGCTGTAATTTTGGTGAGGGGTGTGTTGTCCCCCGCGCAAGCTATATAAGAAGCTGTTGTTCCCCCCCCGGCGTCTTCTGCTTCATCTTCATCATCATCGACAATAAAGTAAATCACCCTCTCTCCATTCTCATCGATTTCTCTATATCAATTCCATACAACTGTCAAAATGGGTTTCTTCAACTGGGGTATGCTCGTATCCTCCGAGGACTGATTTCACTTGCTAACCCCCCTTCCCCTAGATGACTCTCAAGGTGCTCACCAGCAAGTCTACGGTGGTGAGCAGCACGAGGCCAAGTTCTCGCACGAACTCATTGGTGGTGCCGCCAGCTTCGAGGCTTTCAAGGCATTTGAAGACCACCAGCGCAGGGAGGGTAAGCCATCATCATCATCATCAAGCCTAAACACAAGAGAAATGAACAGATAACCAACGAATAATGAATTAATTCAGGCAAGCCCGTCTCCCACGCTTTCGCAAAGGAGCTTCTCGCCGGTTTCGCTGGCGCTGAGGTCGACAAGCTCGTCGAGACCAAGGGTCTCACTGAGTGGGACAAGATCGAGGCCAGGCGCCATGCTAAGGAGAACGCGGAGAACCTTTATGACCAGCACTACGGTGGTCAGGACCAGTGGCACCCTGACTACCAGGGCCCTGGACGCTGGTAAATTTTGGGCTGTTCATACATATATCGATGTTGACGAGTTTGTTTAACGTCGAGGGTTGAATATCTATCTGTATTGGGATTTTGGGTGTGAACTATTATTGTGTAACGAATAAATGAGACTGAATATATAAATAAGATTTATACATGAGCCTAATATTATAGGAGTTGTACTGGATATCCTGGTATAATGAGGCCATTTTCATCAATGCAAACCATTTCAATACCTAGATTGAAGCAGGGAATCAAAACACCTAACCAATGTACAATGCGCATCACATCAAACAAAGGCAAACATCAAAATAAGGTAGACAAAAATAAATATGCAACCGTGTATATATCTCGGTTGAAGACGACGGGACGCAAAACCCAGCCACTTCCAATCAAATGCAGAGAAAAGCTCATGAAGGGAAACATAAAAAAAAAGTTTACACACACTTTTTTTTTTCTGGATATATTTTCTACTTTCAAAATCAAAGAACATCGATGGAAAGAAAGCCGGTCTAGTAAATCCTCGAAATTCGATCGGTATAGATACCCGTCGCCGTTCCCGCCAGTAATTCCTGAATGTACTCTTCAAAGGTAATCGGCTTGAAGTCTGGATACAGTTCCTTTGCGTCTAGGTATCCCAGATATTTTGCGTATTCCGGTACATTGTCGCCGCGAATACCCCATGAGAGTTGGTACTCGGCGGCGTAACGAGGTGTGAATTTTGTTGCGTCGTAGGGGTAAGTTTCGCTGAAAGCACGGGCTTCTGCGACTCGTTTGTGGACGGTTTCTTCGGGGATCTATTCTCTGTTAGCCTTTGTACATACATTATAGTGACTAGGGCAAGAAAACATACATATTTTGGCTCTAACTTCTCGCCACTCAGCTTCTCGACAAGTGCAAAGATGCCTGCTGGCGACGTGACGGTGTTGTATGCAAACACCATCTTGTTCTCTGTGCGCGGGTCGACTACAATGCGAGCGACATACTTGCCGATATCGCGCAGATCGGTAAATGCACTTGGCGTTGTGCCGTCGCCAATCAATTCGTCGTTGGCCAGTGTCATGGCGTAGTCGAGTTTGCCAGAAGGAAGTCGAGGGGTGGCGATTTGGTACCACCAGCCGACGTCGATGATGGTGTATGGGAGTTTGATCTGTTTGATGTGGTTGTATACTTTCTCTTTCTGTAGGGCCATTAGTAAGTATGTACGAGTCAAAAGGTTCGATTAAAGAGGAATTACCTCATCCCGCAAGTACATTATCCCCCCTGGAGCGCAAATCGTGATGAACGCACAAGGAATAAATCGTTTGACGCCGGCAGCCTTTGCCGCCGTTGCGATATTGATCTGAGTATGTTGATCTGTCGTTCCCACACAGCTGATGACAACATCGATCCCTGCTAGGGCCTGGGCCAGTTCTTCCTCCGGCGCGGTCAAGTCGCATGTTCGCACGATGACCCCTCTCTTCTGTAGGTCGAGGAGCTGCGGCTTGGCCACCGACGCAGGCCTGATGAGAGCATAGACTTCCTACGCAAAGTGAATATGGATTAGTGAGGGACAAGGGAGGGAGAAGGGGGGGAACAGGGAGAGAAAGAGGGAGAAAGACATACAAAACCACCGGCTTCCAGAAGGCCGTTCGCAATCGATCGTCCGGTCTCGCCGGTTGCTCCGATGAGCAAAACCTTGACCGAAGCCATTATCGCAGTAGCTTGTTCGGAAAAAGGAGAAGAAAATAATCAAAATTGGAGATAACTGAGGGCAAGTTTTTCGCGGTCTGACGGGAGAGATGAGGAAGAGGAAAATGAGAAAGAAAGAAGAGGTTGAGAGCAATGACGATGTTGTTATGGGGAGTACCCAGTATTTACCCACCTATGAAAAGCACAGGATTTATTGCACGGAGCATCGCCGTACGGATTAAAATGGATACTCTGCCTCAACTCTTGGGATGGTTGGAACATGGATTGAGGGTTGAGGAAAAAAGGTGGGTCCGATGCCCTTCCTAGTCGTCTAGCATCGAGGACGGTGTAGCATGAGTTGGTAGCGTGGTGCGGCGTGCTGTGCGATGTTGCATACGGGGAGGGGGCATCAGATGCTCGCGGAGTGCTGTAGGATTATATTATTTACTTGCTCGAAGGCAAAAATTTGGTTGTTGAACATTCGAGTTTGAAGCCTTTTGGGGGGAGGGGGGCCATGACGTCAAAATCCCGTGATGCACGCTCGCCCCGGCCCGACGACAGTTCGGAATGCCGATTCGGGTATCCCTGATCCCATGTCTTGATAAGTATATATCTTCTCGAGACGAAGACCTTGAAGCCATATACGTGATTGGGCATACTACATGGCCATGCTACATGCCTGTCGCCCATACGGCTTGGCCACCGACTTTCCCAGTATGACCGTGTCGATATCCACACGCTTCGGAGTACAAGCCCCCGATCCAGTCTGCTGCTAGTGTGGCCCCCGCTGGACCATTCACATTATCGCGGTGGATAGTTCGCTGCATGGCACGAGAATCATCGCATTTACTATCTAATACGGGGAATTCCATGGCTATGGTGCGTGCTTCAAATTTCACAGTCATATCATCAGGAGTAGAGGTCATCTGACTCGATAACGATCAGTCCAGGAACGCACACCCTATTGGACAATGGCCCATTGGGATTGGCTCGATTCATTGAGCTGGACAGTGGAGACTTGAAAGACATCCTCCCGGTTTATGCAGTTTTCTCGGCTGGTATGCTGTAATCTTCTACTCCGTGCGCCTCTCCGTTCGTTGCAAGAGGAAGACCTCAAGCAGGGGCCTCTGCCTGTCTTCTGATTGGCTGCATGTGTTTTACGTAACTAACCCGAAGTCACGTGGCTTTGGTGCCTCAGGCCCTCAGGACGCCCAGGCAGGTGTACGGTGCTTACGGTGCTTACGACATGGGCTGCGCGTCGCGACCACGTAGTAAGACTTCCGCACGCCCCTAACAATTACAAAATCTCGAAATAACTAACTAGTTATATAGATAATGGGACAGTGATGTGCGGAGTATTTAACTACTTGAATTTTTGAATACTCACAACGACAACAACAACAACAAGACTCTGCAACACAATACCTTCTGCTCGTCAGGGGTGATATTGCGATGGGCAATCTGATCATCGTGAGCAGCGCAGGTCCTTCCGAACTGCGACGTTACGTGGTCAGCGTCTCCTGCGAGAGCCTGAGGCTGCCATCCAGCCAGCGGCAAATCAAAGGCGGCAATTGGGCAATAAGGGGTTGGGTCTTTCGGGCCTAGTGCTTAGCACATGTACTGAAACTGGCAATAAATAGTATTAAATACGCGGCCATAAGGGTATTGTCGCAGATGCCAGCCAATCAGCCAGCGTGGCTGAGCTCCCTGCCCAAGATAGCGGCGCGCTAATCTGCCCCAGATATCCCACACGGGCAGCCCATTGGCCCGGCTGGCGCTAGAGGACGCCCCCTTCCCCACTAAGGCAGACCCACTGTGGTCCACGGGGCCGGCCTGAGTCTGACGCTCTGGACAAATTGAAACACCAGCCGGAAAGTCCATCATTTAATGTTCTCCCCTGTTCTTTCCCTTTTCTTCCGCTTCTGCCTCCTTCTTCCACTTCCCTCTCGACATCCACCCCCAACCTCTTCATTGAGCATTCTTCTTTTTCGCTCATGAAGTCTTGTTAGAATTTTTGTTTCTCTTACCCGCCTTTTGCATCTTCACAGTCCCTCGTTCAGACCATTATTAATCCGATTCTCTTAAACAAATTGAGCGTGTCTTTCAGCCCCTCATCCACTCATTCATACGGACTCTTTTCATCATCATCATCATCATCAACGTGATATTTGACTAAGAACACACAAAAACCCGAAATCATACGGCCCAAAATGTTGACGTCCCTTCTTGCCGCCGGTGCTGCTTTCGCCGGTGCTGCGCTCGCCGATGTCGACCCCGTCATTGCGTACGGTAGCAAGTTTTTCTACAAGACCAACGGCACTCAGTTCTTCATCAAGGGTGTTGCGTATCAGGAGCCTTCATCCAGCTCTACCGACTTCATCGACCCTCTGGCCGATATTGACAGTTGCAAACGTGATATTCCTTACTTGACTGCCATCCAAACAAACACCATTCGTGTCTACGGAGTCGACGCCAACTCCTCGCATGCCGACTGTGTGAACGCCTTTGCTGATGCCGATATTTACCTGATCATCGACTTGGGCTCACCCACCGATTCCATTAACCGTGACGACCCTAGCTGGGATGTGAGTTTGTACGAGCGCTACACTTCAGTTATCGACAACTTCGCCAACTACACCAACGTCATCGGTTTCTTTGCTGGAAATGAAGTCAGTAACACCGTCAACACTACTCAGGCCAGTGCTTTCGTCAAGGCTGCTGTGCGCGATTCCAAGGCCTACATTAAAGAGAAGGGATACAACAAGAGCGTTGGTTATGCCGCTGCTGATGTCACCGACATCCGCTACCAGCTAGCTGACTACATGAACTGCAATTCCGAAGATGAGTCTGTCGACTTCTTTGGTGACAACGTTTATGAGTGGTGTGGAGATTCCTCCTTTACCGAGTCTGGTTACAACAAAATTGCCTCCAACTTCGCCAACTACTCTGTGCCCTACTTCTTTGCCGAATATGGTTGCAACACTGTCAACCCCCGTACATTCACTAACATTCCCACCATGTACGGCTCCGAGATGTCATACATGCTGAACGGTGGTATCGTCTACGAATATTTCAATGATGACAATGACTACGGTATGCGATCTCTTGCCTTTCAAGCGCGTTTTGTGGACTTTATAATTCTAATTATCATTGACTCGTCGCAGGTCTCGTCACCCTCTCCGGCTCCAGCATCAGCACTCTCACCGACTACAGTGCTTTCTCCACTGAGATCCCCAGCGCTACCCCTACTGGTACCTCGCGATCTGACTACACCATTTCCAACACCGCTCTTCAAGCTTGCCCTTCAGTCGACTCCAACTGGGAAGCTTCTTCAGTCCTTCCCCCAACTCCTGATTCAGAGCTCTGTGCCTGTATGGTTGCCTCTTTGACCTGTGTTGTTTCTGACAGCGTGTCCAGCGACGGCATTTCTGACTTGTTCGACTACCTCTACGGTCTCGACGACACCGCCTACACTTCTGGCATTTCCACCAACGCAACCAGCGGTAAGTATGGTGCTTACAGTATGTGCAGCTCCAAGGACCAGCTCTCCTGGGCCCTGAATGCATACTACGAGGCGCAATCTGCTGCTGGCAACTCAGACTCCGCTTGCTCCTTCAGCGGTTCTGCTAGCACCCAATCTGCTACCACTTCCGGCAGCTCCTGCTCTACCAAGTTGGCTGCCGTCGGTACTGCTGGTACCGGCACTGTTTCCGGTTCTGCTGCCACTGCCACTGGCACTGCTGGTAGCACTTCCACCTCCGGCAGCGGAGCATACAGCAACGCCCCCAGCGCCGTCTTTGTCGGCTCCTGGCAATTGGGTGCTTACATTTTCGCCGCTGTTCTCAGCGGTGGCGCCATGCTTGTTCTGTAAATCAATTTTAACAAAAAGAACCAAAAAGAAATGGGGTATACGGCCTGGCGAAACACCCTCTCAAAAGATTTTCCCTCCCCCAATCATCCCGAAACGAACCGGTGTTTTGTTACTGTGTTTATATTACATATTCCCATTTCCACGGGAACGAACATTATCTCTTTTCTGGCCATGTAAATCGAGTCATTGCATTTCTTTGTGACTTAATCTAACTGTTACTATACATTTTCTGTGTGCTTCTGTATCTTGTTATTGTCCAGAGTTCAAATTCCATTCGTTCATTCTTTCATCTACATCTTATATACCATACTCCTTTTGTAATCTGGCACGCTCAATTCAATAACTTCTTTTCCTTGTGGACATAACTCTTCTTTTTCCCCTCTCTCCCAGGTCGTAAGTATGGCAGGGGGCATTTGTTTTTGTTCATTTGGTATAGATTATCTGTATCCTTATACCTCTCAACTTCTTGAAGCATATTTTTATCTTTCTTTGAAGAAAAAGCAAATTTTTTTGGTTGAATATCTACGATGTGAAACACATGAAATAAAATGCCCCAAAGAAACGCCTCGTTGAGAATGGCGTCTGTTTGGTAAAGCTTCGCAATTAAGCTAGTATAACTAACTGACTAGACTAAGGTATTTTTTTCATTTCGTCACACATGATCACATCCCATATAGTCTATGTTTCTTGTTTTTCACAAAATTTCCCATACACCCCCTAGAAAAAACCAAATGCATATGCTGTTGAAAGAATTTTGGAATCAAAACGAAAAAAAAAAAGGGGGAAAAAAAACATTTGGAACCCAATCCAGTATAACAAAGGAAAAAGTAATAGGATATCAATTTCACATGGTCTATTGTGGGAGAAGGGGAGGAAGAAGAATGGGGGGAAGAGAGAGATAGAGAGACCTTTTAAGCCTTCTGTTGTTCACGGAAGTACTTGGCAGCACTGACCAGGTTGGCCAAAGCAGGCTTGACCTGTTCCCAGGTACGGGTCTTCAAACCACAGTCAGGGTTGACCCAGAGCTGCTCGGGGCGGAGGTACTGCAGCATCTCAGAGATACGCTGCTTAATCTCCTCCTCAGGTGGGATACGAGAAGTGTGGATATCGTAGACACCAGGCTAATCAATGTGTTAGTTTCTTTACTTTATCTTCAAGTTCGTTTCGATTATTAGAAAGAATGATACTTACTCCGATGTGGCGAGGGTAGGCCTCATCAATGAAGACCTTGAGGAGCTTAGCATCAGATCGGGAGTTTTCGATAGAGAGCACATCAGCATCAAGAGCAGCAATGGCGTGGAAGAAGTCCTGGAACTCAGAGTAACAGAAGTGGGAGTGAATCTGGGTCGAGTCCTCAACACCAGCGGTGGAGAGCTTGAAGCTGTTCACAGCCCAATCCAAGTAGGCTTCACGTTCTTTGCCAGAACGAAGTGGCAGACCCTCACGAAGAGCGGGCTCATCAACCTGGATGACATAGATACCATTTTTCTCAAGGTCGACAACCTCGTCGCGGAGAGCAAGAGCAAGCTGCATAGCCTGGACAGACTGGTGCACGTCATTACGAGGGAAGGACCACCGGAGGCAGGTGATAGGACCAGTAAGCATGCCCTTCATAGGCTTCTTCGAGACGGAAGCAGCGTACTTGCTCTCCTTGACAGTCATAGGAGCGGGACGAGAGATATCACCGACAATGATGGGTGGGCGGACGCAACGAGATCCGTAAGACTGGACCCAAGCATGGGTAGTGAAAACGTAACCCTCCAATCTCTCACCAAAGTATTGAACCATGTCATTACGCTCAGGCTCACCGTGGACGTAGACATCCAGACCAAGCTCGTCCTGAATCTTGATAGCGTAATCGATCTCAGAGCGGATGAATGCATCGTATTCTTCCTCAGTGATTTCACCCTTGGTGAACTTGTTTCGCTGGATACGGATCTCTGAGGTCTATTTATTATTGTTAGATATCCATCAAATAAGAATTGTTTACTTGGGAGGCCGAAATCGGGCTTACCTGGGGGAAGGAGCCAATAGTAGTGGTAGGGAAAAGAGGCAAGCTCAAGTGAGTTCTCTGTTTAGCATAACGGGTCTCAAAGGCCGACTTGCGGTTGTAGAGGTCGGGAGTGATCTTAGAGAGGCGCTCCTTAACCTCGGGGTTGTTGGTGCGCTTGGAATCCGCGCGAGACTTCTGAGCCACAGCATTGGCCTCGAGTTCGGCCTTGACCGACTCAGAACCCTCGGTGGCAGCCTTGGCAAGGGTAGCGACCTCCTTGACCTTCTCAACAGCGAAGGAGAACCATTGGTAGACTTCCTCAGGAAGCTTCTTCTCACTGGCAAGGGTGTGGGGAACGTGGAGGAGGGAGCTGGAAGTGGCGATGACAATGCGGTCCTTGCCAAGAGCTTGGGCAGCGCTGTCAATGATGGCGAGTGACTTCTGGAAGTCGTTCTTCCAGATGTTACGGCCATCGACAACACCGAGAGACAGAGTCTGGTTGGGACCAAGGGCCTTGATAACGGTCTCTAGTTGCTCAGGGTTGCGGACAAGATCGACGTGGAGAGCGTTCAGGCCAGCAAAAGCGGGGACAACATCGATGTTGTGAACAATGTCACCGAAGTAGGTGGCAATGGTGACCTGGGGGGCGGCGCTGCCAAGAGCGCTGATTGCTTCATAAGCAGGCTTGAAAGCAGCCTTGACTTCAGGCTTCAAGTCAAAAACGAGAACTGGCTCATCAATTTGGACACTGGGGAAAAAGGTATTAATTTAGCTTTCTATCTTGCGATCGAAGGTCACTTCGTTGTGTTGGTACTTACGAGTCAGCACCGGCGGCCTTGAGGGCCTTGAGAAGCTCGACATAGACTGGGACAAGCTTGCTAAGAAGAGAGATAGGCTCAACAGAGTGGCCACGCTCAGTCTTTCCGAGAGCCAAGAAAGAAACGGGACCGAGAATGACGGGTCTGGTGATGAAGCCAGCTTCCTTGGCCTCGAGGAATTCCCTCACTGGCTTGGCGTCCTGTGCAAGAGCGAAGGTCTGCGAATCACTGAAAGAAGGCTTGGTGTAGTGGTAGTTGCTGTCGAACCATTTGACCATCTCCATGGACGGGACATCGACACCAGCTTTTTGGCGACCACGGGCCAAAGCGAAGTACTCGTCAAGAATGTTTAGTTTTTGGGAAGCATAGCGCTCAGGGACGGCCTAGCGTTGTAACAATCAGCGAGAGAAGCACGGAGAGGGGCAATTGTAGCGAAGCTTACGCTGAAGAGCTGGATGTGGTCCAAGACCTGGTCGTAGAAAGAGAAGTCGTTGGAGGGGATGATATCGACGCCGGCATCCTTCTGGATCTTCCAGTGAGCAAGACGGAGCCTCTTTCCCTCAGCAATGAGGGCCTCCTGGGTGATCTTGTCGGCCCAGTAAGCTTCAGTGGCCTTCTTGAGGTCTCTCAGGACTCCCATACGAGGGAAACCCAAGACGGAGGACTGAACCATGGTGATGGAATAAACTGAGAGAAATCGGGGGATGACAGAGAGAAGGGAGAGATGTGGATTGGACCAAGAAGTAGAGACAAGAGGATGAGGTCTTGTAATAAAGCGAAGACAGGGAAAGAAGAGGTCCGTCTTCGGCCTCCGAAATTTTTCGGGCCCCGCCATATTACAGGCAGGAGCGCCAGTCCGGAAGACGTCCAGCTTTGCGGGGTAGATTGCGCCATATGAATTCGTTCTGCAAACAGCACGCAACCAAGCTGTGTTGAATGGGAAGAGCGAATGTGGGTGCTAATGAGGGAATTGATACTCCGTACAATGGCGGATTATATTGGATCTTTTTTTGTTGTGGGCATAGTAGAGGTCCTCAAGTTGATGGTATATCTGGGATACCTGGACCCTGTATCTAGCTTGGTAGTGCGTATCGGAATATGGCAAGAATTAAGGGACAAGATGTATCTCTAATCTTTAAGCAAATTTTCTCTGCAGAACAAAAAGAAAAGACTTAGGAATACATCTATCGTTCCGGTCTATTTGCACTTTCCTACATATATATGTCTAGGTGGAATCATGGAAGCATATACTCAGCAGGTAGTGTGAAGACTAAACAGCCATTTCAGCATCTCTACATTTTTATATAAGATACAGCTCAATTTCTAACCCTACCCTATAAATATTGCTAGTCATACTAGTCGTGCCCTATTATTTTTGAAATTCCTACTTGTTACAGCTCTGTGACATGCTAGGTAGCTGTTGCAGCTAGTCCGGATATTCTGCCACAACATTGCTGTATGTAGTTAGGCTTTCCGTATACACACCGCCATCAAGAACCCCATCAAAATCCATCCCTCACGCATCTCTGTCTTCGTCTTACAATAATCCTTGTGTCCTATTAGCTAGGCAGCTGTTTATTTCCTTTTACCCTCATGCTGTTTAGGCGTCAGAGCTCAGTTCATGCCATTAGCGGTGCAGTTTAGGATCAGTTTACCTGAAAAGATACATCTTCTGCCTCGTACCGACCCCTTGAATCCAACCCACTCGATGCCTTGGCAGTCATTGAATGAGTTGTCCAAGGATAATATCATTGCTTGATTGCTTATGAACATGCGATTCTGCCATTCATACTTGAACATCGACCTTGTTTATGTATACGAAGTCAGCCAACTAATAGCTTTGCCCTGACAGTCGTGAGTGGAGGGAGGCATGAGCGATATCGGCACGCACAACCCGCCGAGCCTCGGGCTACTGCAGGGACCGGCATCGTTTCTGCCTTGTTTCTGAGGCATCGGCAGATCTCAGAATCTCGTGCCACGAAACACAAACACGTGCTTTGGATTTGCCTCTACTGTAAACATTGGATAGTCTCAGTTGAACAAAGAGAAATCCGACCAGAATCTGAATGAATAGTAATGTCGCTCGCATGCCCATGTCTGTGAAAGTCGGCCTACAAGTTCTCGGCAGCTCCGGCCTTTCTTTGTTGCCTTTTCTCCGCTTTGATATGAACCATCGATAATTCCGAACAATGAAGCTCTCTAACTATAAGAGGGAAGAGCCTCCCTTCTGGGCCTCAAAGATTGGCGCTCCTGAGCAAGCTCTGCTTTTCAAAGAGGCAGGCAGCCTGATGTCTTACATGACGGAGCGACCTTTTCGGAAAAGAAACATTAAAATGCCAAATGGATATCTGTATACTGTATAACTAGTGCAGTACATACATCTGGGAGAAATTCCTATCACCCCTAGCTCTCTAAAACTTTTTGTCGGGGCATGTTCACGGAAAAACAGTTAAGCTCTGCTTCACAAGACTACCTAGCTTAGGCACTCATGTTTGCTTCATGGCAGTGAGGCAAAAATACAATGTGAATCCATAGATTTGCCACAGACATGATGGAGAGCATCGGTAAGATCACGTACCACCAAAGGGGACTACACTGGGCAGCGAGTCTATCCTCAGACAAAACGGCTGATAAAGTCTGCGGATGCGATTCCATTCCGCTCCTACTCTGGCGGTAGGACTAGGAAGGGAGGGATGGTGAATTTATCTGGGACCAGGTTCAGCTGAGCTCAACGTTTTGCCATGTCAAGTAGTTAGGCCATGGCGAGGAGGAAGATTTCGTAAGACACATACAGGCAGTTAAATAATACGGGCTTCGGTCGATCATGTGCACGCAGACCTTGCAGACTGCCAAGGTCCAAGGACAAGCACGTAACTACTCGCCGCATGAAGCCCTCACGTATCGGAGTAACCAATACGGAGTAGTGTTCCGTAACACATGATTATTCAACGAATCATTGAATACTCCCTCGCATGAAAAGATGGCGGACGCCGGACGAAAAAAGCGCGCAGCGACAGAGGAGGCGCATCTCCAACATGCCGTTGGTGCGACTGAAGCCCTTCTATTGGGTAAGGTGTAGGTTGATGCGTAAAACGCCAGCGGATGGATGTTGGACAAACTGATAGGCTTGCTTATTCCTCTAGGAAGAATGCGCAGAGAATCACGAAGGATGGTCGGATTCGGCGCTCCCCACCAAGCATTATCGCTAGTAGGCTGCAGATCACCGGTCGATGATCTGATGAATAAGAAAAGAAGAAACACTTAACAAACAAACAAACAAATACTAGTTGGTGAAATAATGACATGCCGTGTAACCCTTGAGCAAGCGAGTGAGTCCTTGCAAACGATTGATTGCCCGCGGAGGTGGTAGCTGCCCTTTTGGGAAAGAGCCAGCTTCCCACCACCACCAGCTGCTCCTCCTTTTCACTTCTTCGTCTTTGTTTTCCTTTTTTCTTTTTTAGCTCTTCGCGCTGCTTCCTTACCGTGCACACTTTCCAGGCAGGTCTCTCGTCGATTCCTACATGCATGTCTTAGATTGTTCGCATGATATTCAATTACTATTTATTGCATTCCTGTCCCTTCCATTGTTGGCCGCCCTCTAAATACTCGTCGCGTACCGGAATGCCTTTCTCTCGGTGAGAGAGACAAATGACAAACGACGAACGCGCCCTTGTCTCTCGTCTATCGTGATCCTACTTGAAGCATGTCGACACCGGAGCCTTCCACCGAGGTGTGGACAAGGGAATTCGAAAGTGTGCGCACCGAGGTCACCTACGAAGAGGTCCGGGAACAAGTGAGGACTTCTAACGTCAATGGACTGAGTCGAATCCAATCCGGCGTCGATGTAGAGCGTGCGGAAAAAGACTTTGAGGAACTCAACAGGCAACTCTCCAGTCTCTCCCAACAGGCTAGGCGACTCTCCAAACAAGAACCCGTGCATGATATTGAGAAGACTGCTAGCTCACATGGCTCCAGCGCCGAAGAGCCATGGGATCTGGAGACTACTCTCCGTGGATCAAAAGCCGCCGAAAACGAGGCAGGTATTAAGCCTAAACATATTGGTAGGTTATCCAAATCTCCTATTTGAAATACAGGAAAAAGAGAAAGAAAAAAAGGCAGTCCTGGATATGGGTTGACACTAACTAAAAATGTAGGCGTCATTTGGGACGGCCTTACCGTTCGAGGATTTGGCGGCGTCAAGACTTTTATACAAACATTTCCGGATGCAATAATCGGCTTTTTCAATGTTTACGATACATTAAAATCACTTCTAGGACTGCAGAAGCAGGGCCCAGAAGTTGATATTCTCCACGATTTTCGGGGAGTACTCACACCTGGCGAGATGGTCCTTGTCTTGGGCCGGCCAGGCTCTGGTTGTACCACATTTTTAAAAGTTATTACGAACCAACGATTTGGGTATACGTCTATTGACGGTGATGTCATGTACGGGTCTTTTGATAGCGAGACATTTGCAAAGAAATTTCGCGGCGAAGCTGTCTATAATCAAGAAGATGACATTCACCATCCTACTTTGACTGTCGGTCAAACCCTTTCATTCGCTCTCGACACCAAGACCCCCGGCAAGAGACCAGGTGGTATATCCAAGCGAGAATTTAAGGAAAAGGTCATTCAATTGCTGTTGAAAATGTTCAACATCGAGCACACGCTCAACACAGTAGTCGGCAATGCTTTCGTCCGCGGAATTTCAGGAGGTGAGCGCAAACGAGTGAGCATAGCAGAAATGATGGCAACTTCTGCTACTGTCCTAGCATGGGATAATACAACTCGCGGCTTGGATGCATCTACTGCCCTAGATTTTGCGAAGTCGCTCCGAATCATGACCAACATCTACAAGACAACAACCTTCGTGTCTTTGTATCAGGCTTCCGAAAGCATTTATAACCAATTCGACAAAGTGATGGTCATCGACGAAGGGCGTCAAGTCTTTTTTGGGCCTACTTCTGAGGCGAGAGCTTACTTTGAAGACCTTGGTTTCGAGCCAAAGCCTCGTCAAACAACCCCTGACTATTTGACTGGTTGCACAGATCCCTTTGAAAGGGAATACCAGGATGGTCGTAATGCCGGCAATGTCCCCTCTACACCAGATGCTTTAGCAAAGGCTTTCAACGAATCGAGGTATCGAGAGCTTCTCGACGAGCAAATGGCTGCTTATCGTACTGAAATCCAACAGGAGAAGCACGTGTTTGAGGAGTTTGAGCTCGCTCACAAAGAAGCTAAACGCAAGTTTACTTCGGAATCCTCTGTTTACTCTATCCCGTTCTATCTCCAGATATGGGTATTAATGCAACGTCAATTCCTCGTCAAGTGGCAGGATAAATTTGGTCTGGTTGTTTCTTGGGTGACTTCCATAGGAACGGCGATTGTGCTGGGAACAGTTTGGTATAAAATCCCTACTAATAGTTCCGGTGCCTTCACCCGTGGTGGGTTGCTTTTCATGTCACTTCTTTTCAATGCATTTCAAGCGTTCGCAGAATTGGGATCTACAATGCTGGGACGTCCGATTATAAATAAGCATCGTGGATACACGTTCCACCGTCCGGCTGCGCTTTGGATTGCTCAAATCCTGGTTGATAGCGCTTTTGCTGCGGTGCAAATATGCGTTTTCAGTATTATTGTGTACTTCATGTGTGGTCTAGTTCTTGACGCAGGGGCATTCTTCACCTTTGTTCTGATCATTATAGCTGGTTATCTCTCCATGACGTTGTTCTTCCGAACAGTTGGATGCCTGTGTCCTGATTTTGACTACGCGATGAAGTTTGCTGCCGTGATCATCACTCTTTACGTGCTCACAGCTGGTTATTTGATCCAATATCAAAGTGAACAGGTTTGGCTTCGATGGATCTACTACATCAATGCACTGGGGCTGGGTTTCACTGCTTTAATGGTCAATGAGTTCAAACGGCTTACCTTGACTTGTGACTCTTCTGCATTGATACCTTCTGGACCGGGCTACAATGATATCAATCATCAGACATGTACTCTCCAGGGGAGTACGCCTGGTTCATATCTTATCTCAGGTACTGATTATCTCAGCTCCGGTTTTGACTATGAAGTTGGCAACCTCTGGCGCAACTTTGGAATCATAGTAGCATTGACTGTGTTTTTCTTGTTCACCAATGCCTGGCTAGGAGAAGTCTTGAGCTGGGGAGCAGGTGGTAGAACTATCACCTTCTATCAAAAGGAGAACGATGCAAGGAAAAAGCTCAATGAGGCGTTAATAGCCAAGAAAGAGGAACGTCAAAACAAAGAAAATAAAGTATCTTCCGACAACTTGAATATTACATCAAAGGCAATACTCACCTGGGAAGACCTCAACTATGACGTTCCGGTTCCCGCTGGTACCCGTCGGTTATTGAATTCGGTCTATGGTTATGTCCAGCCGGGCAAACTAACGGCTCTAATGGGAGCTTCTGGGGCTGGAAAGACAACACTGTTAGATGTATTAGCAGCACGAAAAAGCATTGGAGTCATTTCGGGTGATGTTTTGGTTGATGGCAAAAAGCCCGGTCTATCTTTTCAGCGTGGTACCTCATATGCAGAACAGCTTGATGTTCATGAGGCGACCCAGACTGTACGAGAAGCGCTGCGTTTTTCGGCCGAACTTCGTCAACCATACCATGTACCATTATCTGAGAAGCATGCGTATGTAGAGGAAATTATTTCTCTTCTGGAATTGGAGCCGCTGGCAGATGCAATCATCGGGTTTCCGGAATTCGGATTGTCTGTGGAAGAGCGTAAACGGGTAACTATCGGAGTTGAACTTGCAGCTAAGCCTGAGCTTCTGTTGTTCTTGGATGAACCAACATCCGGCCTTGATAGCCAGTCTGCTTTCAACATTGTCCGTTTTCTGCGCAAATTGTCGGCAGCTGGACAAGCCATTCTATGCACTATACACCAGCCTAACTCAGCATTATTTCAAAGCTTCGATAGATTGCTCCTTCTTCAAAAAGGTGGCAGATGTGTTTATTTCGGAGACATTGGACAGGACAGCCAGGTTCTGATTGATTACTTCCGACGTAACGGAGCCGATTGCCCTTCGAACGCAAATCCTGCTGAGTGGATGCTTGATGCTATAGGCGCTGGACAAACGCCTCGTATTGGGGGTCGTGATTGGGGTGATATCTGGAGTGAATCACCAGAATTGTCTCAGATAAAGGAAGATATATCGCATATGAAAGCAGAACGTATTGCACAAACCAAGGAGATTGAAGTCTCTACTCAAGAGGTAGAATACGCGACGCCTACTTGGCATCAGATCAAGACTGTTGTGCGAAGAATGAACCTCTCATTTTGGCGATCGCCCAACTACGGATTTACCAGATTGTTCACACATGCAGCCATCGCCCTTCTCACTGGTCTAATGTTTCTGCAATTGGATGATTCGCGAGCATCTCTTCAGTATCGTGTCTTCGTACTTTTCCAGATTACTGTCATTCCTGCCATTATCATCCAGCAGGTAGAGCCTAAGTATGATATGTCACGACTGGTTTCGTACCGCGAATCTGCGTCCAAGACATACAGACCAATTGCATTCGCGATTGCTATGGTTATCGCCGAGGTTCCGTACAGTTTGCTTTGTACGGTAGCGTTCTTCTTGCCGATCTATTACATTCCAGCTTTCCAGTCTGCCTCTGATCGTGCGGGATATCAGTTCCTGATGATTCTAATTACTGAGTTTTTCTCGGTGACGTTGGGTCAGATGGTTGCAGCAATCACACCAAGTGCATACATCGCGTCGCAGCTCAACCCCCCGCTTGTCGTTGTATTTGCTCTTTTCTGTGGTGTGGCGGTTCCCAAGCCCCAGATTCCTGGATTTTGGAGGGCTTGGCTATATCAACTCGATCCGTTCACAAGGCTTATCGGTGGTATGGTGGTTACTGAACTTCATGGACGTGAAGTCGTGTGCAAGGAATCAGAACTCAATTCTTTTACTGCACCTTCCGGTCAAACCTGTGGTGAATACATGTCTTCATACTTTGAATCCGGTGGACTGGGTTATATCACCAATAATGCGACCGACGTTTGCCAGTACTGTGCCTACAAGGTCGGCGATCAGTTCTATGCTTCCTTTGACTTGGACTATAGCAACCGCTGGCGAGATTTTGGTATCTTCCTCTGCTTCGTCGTCAGCAATGTTATTATACTTTTCCTCGGTGTAAGTGCATTTTTTACTTTCTCGTTTTTGAACCCTGTTCACTCACAATACCATATAGGCACGGTTCCTGAACTTCAACAAGCGTTGATTGCATCACACTTCGTTTCACTCCTTTCGTCACGCATACATTTATTTTGTCATTTTATTACAATATAATTTATAATTATATATCATGTTCGGGCATTGAATCTGTACAAAAAAGCAATTTTCTTAGTCATTTGTTTGACTAAATGGCAATATTGAGAGAATATACATTGGATAGACAGAAGTTCTATATACCTAAATTTCGATGTTACCGTGATAAAAGTTCGATTGGATTTTATCACATCAGTCTCATCGCTTGGTATATTTAGGAAGTCTTGTAAAATCGACATCCGGTTCGCATCAGTGTTAGATAAACTAGCAACAGTTTGGGATTGCCATTGGTGTGTTTCTTGGACATCGAATTGAATTTGTCATATTGGGGGTGCATTGCCTTCGAGTGTCTGACTATGTATGTGATGTTTTCTCGTACCTGCTTAATATGCTTCTTGCGGTGAATGAAACTAACAATTTATGATCGCACAATGCAACGACTCGTCTATAGAGTCATCGAGTTCGGGAGGCATTTGCAGGGAGAGAAACTATCAATCAGCTATTCTGCTCTCAAGCCAAAAATCTTGGCCATCTCTATCATTTGTTGCTTCATGCCATGGCCCCCTCTTGATGATTTTCTTTAATTCAATCCATGACCTGACTCCTATCCTCATTGCAGCATCCTGAAGCATTTTCATAAACCATACCCTCTCGTCCAGTCCAGTTGCGCCAATACCTCCCATTGTAAGAATCCAAACCAGCATGTGATCATCACCATCCCAGTCGGTGAGTGCCATTCTCAATTGCGTTACTAAGTATTTAAATGGCGCGACACTATACGGCAGCGGAAATGTCACAAGCAGACTGTAAATTAAAGCTGTGAGTCTGCAGCACTCAGATCTACCCATCCTCGGCGGGAGTGAGAGCAAAGCATGCTGCGTCATGTTCCTGTGTTCAATTAGCACGGAAGCCGCGACTATTCTTCGACCCTCGCAGAAATCGTCGATCATCATGGTATAGCTATTTAGCATTGATAACACCATGTAAATATCCTCATCCGCGTCAAAGCCCACTCCCTGATCATGGAATATAAACTCTCTTGACGCGCGCGGCAGCGGAACCACTGGGAAACGTGGTGCAGTGCACTGTCGAGTTGCGATTAGAAGCCCTCCTCTACTGGAAGGTTAGATTCTTCTTTAACTTCGTAGCGTAACACATGCAGCTGACTTACAGTGATATGAGAGCGGCGAGTCCTGGGATCTCAATTTTCTCCAGTCCCCCTTTGAGCTCAATTAATTTCGACAAACCGTCAAAATGAATTGGATCAGTCTCCGATAATGCCAGCCAGTTCAGTAACTGCAGGCTTTTCAGCGGACCTTGCTTTGGCATTTTTAGTGGCAAATCTTCCACTTTCTGAGACTTCCCAGCCTTGGCCAATGCAACAACAGCAAAAATATTCATGTCCTTGCAAGCTTCTATAGGATCTTCGATTGCAACACTCAAGTTTCGCACCATCTCGGCGCGGGACCGAAACATGTCGAAGGCAATACGATCAGAAGGTGTATCAGCAAGGTTTCCTTGTGGAGAATTGCTCAAAGCCCCGGTAATGAAAATATGCAGAACACAGGGGTTCGATATTGACATTTGCACCAGGTTCGCTCTAATGTTGAAACTGTCGGCGCTGTCAGGGAATAGAGCGGGAAGAACAACCTCGGCATCTTGACACCATTAGCTGTGATATATTGATAGGGGCTAGGTTGCCTACTAAATGCAATGCAATAATTGACTAACGCACCAGGGAAGTCAGATTTATACAACAGGGGCGAGTTAATAATATTATTGGGTCCACGTTGGATGCTGTTTACCGGCCTCCGCTTGTCATGGCGAATATCAGTACCACGCCCTGACCGCTTAGCTATGACTTTATCCTGGGGAGGCCGATTGTGACGCCAGTGAAAGTGGGCAGCATTTGCTCGAATAAGTGACCGTGTTTTCATCCTCTGATCCTGATCATCTGGCCTGACACTGACGAACTCAAGGTCAATCTTGGTACCGGGGCATGACCTTGCGCATCGTTGCTGTCGAAAGGCGCTTCGTTTTGATTCCATTAGGTAGGGGCATGGAAATTAGGGGTTGAATCTTTAAATCCGAGGTGGGTTTTATTGTCAACAGCAGCGTATCCCGAACCTCCATGCAAAATAACTCGAACGTAGTATGAGCCTTGGGGTGAAGTCAGAAGAAGAATAAACAGCTATTCCGTATTTAGTAAGTCTCAGCCTCCCATTCCAGATGAAGAAAGTGCATTTTCAGTGCGCTAAACCCGAACGGGACAGTGCATATACGCATCTTCTTGAGTGTGAATTCGCTTTCTGCCCTCAATGTAACCTGCCCTCAATTCAAACCAAACACAAGAAAAATCCCCTAACTGCGGACTTAAGTATGCCACGCCCTTCTAGGAGTTATCTGTTTAATTCCGAGTCTGCTACTATACCGCTTTCACACTATGCATTACGATCGCGGGTCAAACTGCAGCTCCGGAGAGAGTGAATGCATTGAGCTGTTCTGGGACAATTGATGTAAGCCATAGCCTCTCGAGAAATATAAATATCGTATGCTCCCATCTACCCTCAACTTACAAGTCTTCACTATCTTCACAAAGCCACGCTACCTCAACTCACGATGGGTTCGAAGGATATGGAGCCCCTGGCCGCCTCATGGTGGCCAATATTCTTCAAGTCTCAGTTACATTACAAGGCCAAGTTCCCACCACAGGATACCAGTTTATCCGATAAAGTTCTTATTATTACAGGAGGAAATCAGGGGCTCGGCTTCGAATCCGCACGTCAATTTCTCTCATTACATCTGTCCCACCTTATCATTACTGTGCGTTCTGAGAGCAAAGGGAAAGCCGCAGCTTCGAAGCTCCAGGAAGAGTTTCCAAATGCAACTATAAGTGTGTGGTCGCTAGATATGTGCTCATATGACTCGATTCAAAAGTTTGTCAAGCGTGTGGAGAGCGAGCTACCACGCCTAGATATTGCTATCCTCAACGCCGGGCGGTCCAAGGCCGATTTCGAACTGGTCCCTAGTACCGGCCACGAGGAGTCCTTGCAGGTTAACTACCTCTCGACAATGCTTCTTGCTACCCTGCTACTTCCAATTTTGAAAAGCAAGTCTCCGCCAGGAACACCAGGCAGATTGTCTATTGTTTCCTCGGGTACCACTCTCGCGACAAGCTTCTCCAATAGCCAGCAGTCACCACTCTTGAAATCCTTCGATGATGCCAAAACTGGCCCCAGTCCGGGGCTTCAAACCTATGGCGCGACTAAAATGCTTTGTCAGATGTTTCTCTACAAACTCATAGATTATGTATCCGCGGACGATGTGGTTGTAAATCTCGTGGACCCCGGGATGACCAGGGGGACGGGATTGAACCGCGACGTGCCCAAAGTTATCAGGATTTTCGCTGTTCCTATGCTGCTCGCAATATCCCGCAGTGTAACGGATGGTGCTTCTGCATATTCAGATGCCACTATCGTAAAGCAAAAAGAGTCTCATGGATGTTTCATCATGGATTGGGAGATCCGACCGTGAGTTGTATTCTATCTTTTTTCTCTTTGATTGCTTGGCTCTGACATTCTTCTTCTAGATTTCCTCCTCTTCTATACACACCGCAGGGGAAAAATACTATTGAAAGATTGTGGCAAGAAACCTTGGATGAATTTGAATTCGCAGGCGCTCGGCGTGTACTGGAGTCAATGAAGAAAACCTGAGATAGTCATCACAATTGATCATCTAAGCGAACAAGACAAAGTGCTGATATAACTATTGTTGATATTATATAATTGTAGAATATAGGTTCTTTTAAGTCTTTTATATCCGGTTTTCGTTTACAAAGAGCGTGCCTTAGTAGATAATTAGTTAGGGTTATGGTTCGGAATTAACCTAATGGGGCCCTTGGGATGGAAAAAACCAGCCGACAAGGTTCGTAAGAATCAATTTCATGAATTAAAACATTTGCGTCACTAGAGTACGATTATCGGCGTAAGAAATGAAACCATACACGTCCTAATATTCAGATTAATTAGAATTAATATGAGATCGTCATTATGCAGGACCGGCTGTACCCATTTACAACTGAGGTGTTAAGCACCTCCCTACAAGGGACAGCAGTTACAGTCCAATTAAGGAATTTATAGAAAGATCATACTAATGGTCGGACAAAAAAAATGGCATACGACTCAATTTCCCGCAAATTCCAACACGTGGAACCCACCTCCCTTGCCCATGCCAGACCGAGACAACAAAAATGATAATAAAATGTACGTGCACTAATCAGGTACTATTTCCTATATGCACATCTGTTGGAACGTTTGGTTTTAGTTGTGTCATTCATAAGAAATTCTACATTTTGTGTAGGGTTCTATTATTGTTTGAAGTTATGCGCATTGATCGTGTCTCTTACTCCTTCTCCTGGTCTGCCTTGCCTGCTTGAATACCTCGATGTAGAGATGTAAGAATGTTGATGTGTGGTGCACTCAATTACTTGTAAAAAGGAAAACTTTACGATAGCTACTTCCGCGTTATTCCTTGAAGTACACAGTGAGGTCCTTTCTTCTCCTCTTCGCCTTTCTTGTCACTCCTTATCTGACATTCTTCACCTGTCAATATGCATCTATATTACTTATTTTTTACAATGAGTATAGTTCAAGCTACAGCTGTTATACCCAAGTTCGTCTTTGCACACTTCTTGGTGAGTGTAGCACCGTTTCATTGAGTGTTCTGTGTTCAACAAAACTTGGGCTAGAGCTGACATAAAATCCTACGCAGGTTGGCAACGCAGCAGGTCTTACACAGGAACAATGGGAATCAGAAATTAAATTGGCAAAACACTCCCTCCTCGATGGGTTTGCTTTGAATATAGGCCAACAAGACACCAACACAGACCAGATTTTGCAGAAAGCATATGCCGCGGCGGATGCAGTGGGGAATTTCTCTCTTTTCCTCTCCTTCGATTATCAATCTGGTGGGCCATGGCCTGCCAATAAAGTGGTCCATGCTATCAACAAGTACAAAGCACTTCCAGCTCAATTTTACTACTACGGAAGACCGCTCGTATCTACTTTTGAGGGCGTTAGTAACATTGAAGATTGGCCCTCTATTCGCAACAAGACTGACTGTTTTGTCATACCGGATTGGACGAGCTTGGGAGTGCAACTCTTTGCAGAAGTTCGGCATAATGTTGATGGTTTCTTCAGCTGGGATGCGTGGCCGGCAGGGGCTGATGACAAGACCTTACATAGCGACGAGGCATGGGCGAATGTCACCAATGGAAAGCCTTACATGATGCCGGTTTCGCCGTGGTTCTATACGAATCTTCCGCAGTGGAACAAAAATTGGCTATGGAAAGGAGCGCAGCTCTGGACATATCGGTGGGAACAGATATATCGTTTCCAGCCAGATCTCGTTCAGGTACGATGCGACAATCTTCCTGTTGTTTGGTGTACGCTAATCATATAGTAGGTCATCTCGTGGAACGATTATGGAGAGTCGCATTACATCGGACCTATTCATGCTGATGGCATCCCGCAAGGAGCAGCACGATATGTCGAGGACAACCACCACGATGCATGGCGAGAGTTATTGCCATACTATATCGCATCGTACAAACTAGGCGACAGGTCCAAGATACGGGTAACCAAGGACACACTGGTTTACTGGTACAGGCCTAATCCAAACAATTCCGGCAGCAACGGGGGCACCACAGGCAACTGCCCGCAGCAAGGTCAGCAAGAAATGGATCCAGCTTCCCTTGCCGAAGACAAGATCTACATTGCCGCCCTGATTAAGGAACCGAGCTGGCTCATGGTGCAGATTGGCAGTAATAATTCCATAACCACCTTGTTTGCGAGCCAAATTGGGATGAATACCTTTGAGGTACCGTTCAATGGACAGACGGGAAATACAACGTTCTCAATAGTGAGGAATAGAACAGAAGTCGCGTATGCTACGGGACCAGCTATCACGACGAACTGTACCAACGGGGTGATTAACTGGAACGCAGTTGTTGGGTCGAGTTAGGCAGGGGTCAGCCCCCAATTCTGGATACGAAGGAGGATACAGATTCGAAGAACTCGCGTATATGCGGATGTAATTGTTCAGAATGTGGTTTTGTATAATAAGGAGCGGTATTGTGGTCGTTCTATTGAGCTTTCCTCTGATTTTATGCTCCATCTTTGGGGAAAAAAAAGCCTGTCATATGGACTGTGATATGCGTAGGGGACAGACCTTGCATGGTTGTTGAGACAAAACTAGGGCTAAAATGTAACGTGATCTCGCGGTGATAAGGCGTGTGACGTTGTGGGGCCTGAGGCTGGCGGTAAGCTCGGCCACTGGCTGCGGGCTGATAAGCGGCCGCCGCTGCCCCTGCGCTGCTGTTTACTCCTTCGGAACTCCCTCGTCTTTCCCACCTCCTCCCTGTATACACTACACATTGCAGTACCAGCCCTGCCTTGCTTGCTTCCCCTTCAAAATTCCAGCAACATGACGAAGCAGCGATTCTCATCCCTTCAGTCCTCGGTCTCGCGACTGCAACTTTCCGAGTCTGATCCCAGCGCCAAAGCTTCCCCACAACAGCAACCACAGCAACGATGCGCGAGCGCCGCCTTCGCACCAGAGGCCTATACGCAGCCGTTTATTGACTTCATCAGCAAGAACCCTACTATATTCCACGCTGTTGATTATTTCAGCAAGGAACTCGAAGCCCACGGCTACACGAGACTCTCGGAACGCAACACGTGGACCTCCCAGTTGAAGCGCGGTGGAAAGTACTATCTCACCCGCAATGGCAGCTCTTTGGTCGCATTCGCTGTTGGCACTGAGTACAAAAGCGGAAATGGCATTGGTCTTATCGCGGGACATATCGATGCGCTGACCACCAGGTTGAAGCCCGTGTCGACGTTGCCGAACAAGGTTGGGTACAGACAGCTGGCGATTGCTCCATACGCAGGTGCCTTGAATAAGACCTGGTGGGATCGGGACTTGGCTATTGGTGGCCGGGTTCTCGTTAAGGATGCAAATGGCGTTGTGAAGACTAAATTGGTAAAGCTGGACTGGCCCATTGCTCGTATCCCGTCTCTGGCCCCTCATTTCGGCGCAGCGTCAACGGCTGCAAATCTAGAGACCAACATGGTTCCCATTATTGGTGTAGATAACTCTGATCTTTTCTCTGCAAATTCGTCTTCCATTGATGAGGTTGCGAACTCTATCAAGCCCGGCACTTTCGCAGCCACTCAGCCTCCGAAGTTGGTACAGGTCATTTCCAAAGAGCTTGGTGTCACCGACTATAGCAACATCGTCAACTGGGAATTGGAGCTTTATGATAGTCAACCTGCCCAGGTTGGTGGTCTCGAGAAAGACTTGATCTTTGCTGGTCGCATTGATGACAAACTCTGCTGCTTCGCAGCCCACGAAGCTCTGATCGCTTCTCCCGATGCGGCATCACCGGGCCTCGTCAAGCTCGTCGGCATGTTCGATGACGAGGAAGTCGGGTCTCTCCTTCGCCAGGGTGCACGGTCGACTTACCTGAGCAGCGTGATTGAGCGTATTGCCGAGGCATTTGCCGACGGTAACTACGGACCAAACGTCTACAACCAGACCGTTGCGAACAGTTTCTTGATCTCGTCCGACGTCATTCATGCTGTGAACCCTAACTTTCTCAATGCATATCTGGAGAACCACATGCCGCGCCTCAATGTCGGTGTGACCGTATCAGCAGATCCCAATGGACACATGGCCACCGATGCCGTCAGCACTGCTATCTTGCAAGCAATTGCTGATCGAAGTGACAGCAAGCTGCAAGTATTCCAGATTAGGAATGACTCCCGATCTGGCGGTACCATTGGTCCTATGAGTAGCGCTCAAATTGGAGTGAGAACCATTGATGCTGGTATCCCGCAGTTAAGCATGCATAGTATCCGGGCGACAACGGGAAGCTTGGATCCCGGTTTGGGCGTTAAGTTATTCAAAGGCTTTTTCGACCATTTTGAGGAGGTAGACAAGAACTTCCAGGAATTTTGAGTTGTATTGACGGCCCCCCCGGGGGGGTTTAAAGGGGGTATAGCATTTGATTTCCGAGCAGAAATAAATCACCCATCGCTTGCTTAGAGTATTATTTTAAAATCCTGTCGATTTGGGCTTGTGTGTATATATATACTTGTTTGGAGCAATCGGATTAGAATCGAGTACTGCCATCACAGCCATTAGTCAAACTTAGCAGATAAAAACGGATCCATGGATATTTAGGGTATACTCCTAAGTTGCGATGAGTGGTTACTCTTGCTAGCTCCACATAATTGATCATATTATTGATTCTCCCAAGACACTTTTCTAGTCAGTAACGCCGCATATAGTTTTGTTCATCACACCCACCACGACTGAGCGGTCGATTAATCTCAAAACCACATATTGGCCCTTCCCAAATCTTCAGTATACGTCATCATCTTCAACCCCTCGAGTTCCCTCTGTGAGTAATGTGTTTTATTGCCGTCAACAAGTTATACAACTTTAAATAGCCAAATCAAAAGACGAAAGGCAAAAACAGAAGAAAAGAATAAAGGTCAAATATAGCTGCTAGGACGCTGCTCAAAAAAAGGAACCCTTACGCATCAAATTCTGCGCAAAAGCGTTTCCAGGCATAGGAGCAACCCTAGGGTTCATGAATTGTTGGTATTGTGGCATACCGCCGTTTACACTGTATTTGGATGCGGATTCACGGCTAGCTTCGATCTCTCTAGAGGCGAAGTTCATGCGCATGTTAGTATGGCCACCACCACCGCCGCGGCGGGTCAGGGATGTCTGATCCGTGATGGAGGGCTCGGGTTGACGGTCAATGGATACATCAGGAAATATGAATGATAATGATGGCCATATGCGGGTTACTGCTGGGCGGAGAGTTGGGAGGCATGCACAGATGATTCCCGTGTTGCATTCGACGGCAGACCACATTGATACTGCTAGGCTATGGTCTGTCGAGGAGAAGACGGAGTGTTAGTTGATGGTACTTGACAAAAATTCAGATGATTTGGGGGGAAGGAGAGACTCACAAGAATGATCATCTGAATCTACCAATGCCTTCAAGCTCTGCAGGCGGCATATACTAGTGATACAGACACTGGAAGCAACTAAATTAGAGAATTTCCATAATGCACATGCACAATTATATGTCGTTGATAGCACTCAACGGAACGGTTTTAGGGAGGGATAGGGTATGAGACTTACAACGAACCCAAGGCAAAGAGACAGCACAGTCCAACCTTCTGTCTAACTGGCAAGCCCAACGAAGTCAAGGCCGGAATTGGAATGACAAGAATTGCCATGTCAGTGAAAATATTCAGAGATGCATTGGAGAACCAGAGAAATTTATCCCGCAGACAATGGCCTGGAAGGTCGGCATTCCAGAATTTGGCAACGGGAATACAATTGAAAATAGCACTGAATACCATCCAGGTACCGCACAGGATCATGATAGCAGCCATGACCAAGCAGACGATGCGCATTTTTCTGGTTGGGAAGACGTGAAAGTATTGGATAATAATAGAGGCTTTGGCGGTTATCATTGCGGCGTTGTAAAATGGAATACTAATCCAAAAGAGCTTAATGATATATAGTTGTCAGCATTTCAATTTTGTGTACTTATAGGGACTGCAGGGTTATCCCACATACTTTCTTTTGGAAAATAGATGTTCCTAGAGGAACATCATCATCGTGCAAGCCCATACCAGTTGTCACTTCTGTAGGATAGGATATTTGTTAGCTTCGAGTTTCTGCGAGTGGATCTCAATATGACAGGAGGTAATCTAACCTGCAACAAATATTCCAACAAAAGCAATAGAAAGTAACTAGACATTATGAGTCAGCATGGGGCCTAACTAATATCGACATCCATAAATCAGGAAGAGGAGGAGGAAGGGTCACTGCTTTCGCACCAAGGAAACAAGAACCATCCAGTCGCTCGACTGCACTGCGTTGATGTTGCGTCGTGTATAGAAGCGAGCAACAAACAAGCCAATTGCCAGTACCATGAGTATCACACTGGCAGATATTGCCTCGACAGCACGGGGCGCCAGAGGGACGATATGGACATCCTGAGTGCTCATGTTGGTTACATAAATTGAAGAGCCAGTTTTGACAAAGTTTTCCAAGAGAGTAAGAAGACGAAAGAGACTAAATCTTAGACGTGTAAATAAACAAGTAGGCAACTATCCAAGGAGCACTCGTCGTCGAGGGTAGTTGTCCTGGAAGTAAGAACGGAAAGGAGGAGGAGAAATAAGAGGGTGGACGCGTGGGCGAGCAAAACGGATCTTGACCTAATTGGGCAGGGCGGTCGTGGTCCTTGATTCTTGTTTATGCTGCAAGACTGTGGCTGGCTCGACGGTCCTCACACAAAGCAGCACGATGTCGTCTAATCTCTGGGGCTGGTTGCATTGCCATGGGAGACAGCCACCACCTGATGCAATTGCTTTATTGGCCAACTTTGTGTTGAGACAAGCGTGTCTGAAGCGTTTTTATTTGGAGAGATCATCGCGGTCAATCCCGTGGAACATAATGCGTACTTAGTCACTTGTGTATGGTCTATTGTTCAATTTGCATAACAGTATTAGTGTTATGCCCCAGGAGATGTTTCTTTCATTAAATACACGACAGGCCACCAATGTAGAGGCGAATTAGAGAAAGCAGTTACATATTGTTGGCTAAGAACGAGGGCTAGTTAGCGAGATGGAGCAGGACTGTCTGGGAGAGGAGGCTCGATACAATTAGGGTGCTTATGATTGTACAAGGCTACTATAGTACCTTTGTAGATAGCTTGATAACTACCAGGTGTATCCCAGCAGGAAAAATCAACTCACTCATAGGCAGTGAATTGGAGACCTGCGAGAATCTACAACTGGGCGCCAGCTTCCAGCAAAAGTAGCCCCGCAGGGAAGCTTTGGCAAAACCTATAGTATACATATTGAAGCCCAACCAAACAGCACATAGTCACAGGCTAGGAGACCCCTCTCGGTAAAGGGACCAAATTTTTATCTTATGAAAATACTGGCAGACTGTCGATTGTAGTTAACTGAATCGAATGTGGTCAAAATTTAGGGCTGGAGGTTAATCGATAAGATAAGAGTCTATGATAAGCGATAAGTGATGCGGTGCACGGACCATCCACAGAAAAAGTTGCATGAAATTCGACGACGACGACAGCAACAATAACTCCTCGAAATTCACCCAGTTTCTGGAAGAAGTTCGGGCTTTTTAGTATCTATACGATTAGCCAACAACATCTTGCAATCATGGCAGAACAGCCTACCTCGACAAAGCCAGTGCACACCATTGTACTTGACGCTGGACCCCTCTTGAAAAACGTACCCCCGCTGTCGACATTACTCGCACAAGCCGAAGAATTGGTTACCACCCCGGCAGTCGTGGGCGAAATCCGTGACCCCGTTGCCAGATCTCGAGTTGAGACGCTTTATCTTCCTTTCCTGAAGCAAAGGGCACCATCCCCCAAAAGCGTACAGGTCATAAGCGAGTTTGCGCGTAAGACTGGGGATCGCGCGGTGCTGAGCAAAGTTGATATTGAGATTATGGCCCTTGCATACGAAATTGAATGTGAAAGGAATGGCGGAGATTGGAGGTTAAGGAGTGTCCCCGGTCAAAAGAGACTGAACGGCAAGCCCCCGGCTACGGAGGAGTCGTCGACGGAAAATACCACAACTGAGAAGCCAGTTAATACCGAGGCTACCGACAGAGCAGAAGGAGAAGAAGCGACCGAAACAAAAACGGCAGATGTCAACACGGTTACTGAAGACTTAGCGGCGACCACCATTGATGCGAACGTAGAGCAGCGCGCTGGACTAGATGAGGCTGCGCCGGAGGAATCAACACCTAATCTTGACGATACAGTGAATGGTGCACCTGAGGGAATTCAAGATGCAGATAACGCAGAAGAAGGTGAAGACTCGGATGGCGGCGGCGAATGGATTACACCCTCGAATATCAAGAAGAAGCAAGCTCGAGATGAATCAGCAGGCGTATCAGCAACCCCCGAGCCTAAAGTCATGCAAGTTGCCACCATGACAACGGATTTTGCAGTAAGTCATGTCGTATCATTACGCACGAAAGAAATGAATTTGATGTGCTGATTTTCTCCCAGTGTCAAAACGTTCTCCTGCAGATGAATCTGAATCTTCTGTCAACGACAACATTACAAAGAATTCGTCATTTGAGAACATTTGTCAAGCGCTGCCACGCATGCTTTTCCACCACAAAGGATATGAATAAGCAATTCTGTCCTCGCTGTGGCAAAGACACCTTGACACGAGTCTCGTGTTCCACCGACTCCAATGGCCAGTTCAAACTTCATTTGAAGAAGAATATGCAATGGAACAACCGCGGCAATGTATACAGTATCCCAAAACCAGTCCACGGAACTTCAAATGGCAAGTGGAAAGGGGGCGGTGGTCAAGGAGGCTGGGGAACAGATCTCATTCTTGCCGAGGATCAAAAAGAATATGTTCGCGCTGTGACTAATGAGCAGCGCCAGCAACGTAGAGAGCGCGATCTCATGGATGAAGATTACCTACCGAGCATTTTGACCGGCGAGAGACACCGATCGGGCGGTCGAGTCAAGGTCGGAGCCGGCCGGGGTGTGAACTCGAGGAAGCGATAATGATCGTGCGCATAGATATTATTGCATTCTGATGGCGTTCTGGGAAGGACATACGGTACATTATCTTCAAGGACTATGTGTGAATAATGTTCCTCTTTTCTCTTTACTATACGAATTTTTAACGAGATATGAAACCAATCTTCGAGTATATACCATGTTTAATCATCAACCTCGTGAGTGAAGTAATGGAGCAATAAACCATTCATATCATCTATCCTTGATTCAGTATACATGTACACAGCTATGGGAACTGGCATGCTTTCCCTCAAATATCAGCAGCCATAAAACTCATGCAGTAAACCCATCGTAAACAAAAACACCATTCGCCATATTCGAAAAGGTATCACATATTCAACTTTGGGTACACCTCCCTGGTGCCCGCCAAAATCTCATCTTTTCTTTCTTTCTTTTTTTTTTTTTTGCTTTCCCATATCACATTTTCGCAGCAACTTTGTCTGGCTGTTGTGTGAGAAGGAGGCCGTAGCGCTTTTTCAAAGTAACTCGGTGTCTATACATTAAAAAAAGTAGACCCATTAGCGACCGCTGAATTCAAAGTCGGCATATAATGGAAAATGGCATCAGTGCTTGCTCACCTGGAGTACTTGTCATCTGGAGAAAATCGAGCTGGGTGTGCGGATTTCGTGACCTCGCCGCTCAAGACTTTCTTCAATGTATCTGTAATAACCATGAGATTAGTTTAGTGCCCACGTTCAGCTGCTTCAAGAAATATAACTGTGTGGAGGACGAACAGATGCGCTTGCCATCTTGATCGAGAGTGTACTGCTTCACTGTTAGCGTACTTTCTCAATGACAAAGGTGGAAAAGAAATCACAATACCATAAGATGCATTTTGACGGTATTTCAAACAAAGGTGCTTAAGATGATTGTTATTTTCCGACGGTCGTGTTGGGATAATTATCGCTTGCGAGCGAGTCTTGACAATTTTCTCGATTTTGATTTGGCCTGGAGAAATTTTTGGCGCATCTCTCACCGCCCGCACTCGAGCTTGATCTCGAATTTCATTGGTCTGAACGCACGCTGACAAAGATTTGGCTAAAGTCGAACTAAGCTAGAAATTTTCCTCCCGCTTGTTTCTCTTTCGTCTTTTCCACCATTACTACGCCTGCGTCTAGTATTTATAGAGGCTGTATCACAATCATTACACCTCCATTGAGTCTCAATTATGGTCGATTAACCGTGAATTCATTTTGCAAATCCTGTGAAAGAAAGAAAAAAAAAAATTCTGCCGTTGTAGCAAGATTTCGCCTCAAGCATGCTCCAAGGTAAGCCATTATTTTCTTCCCTGTATTCCGACCATTCGCTTCGGTGATGACACCTATATCGAAATGCCTAGACCTACGGCGTTTTGATTTCTTGCTGTTTGTCAATGGTGGCCTTGATTATAGACTACAACGGTATCTGAGAAAAGCGAAAATTTCTATCATATGCAATCACCATGCCTTTTTTGTGTGAAATATTTCTCCGGCGCATATAAGACTAACTTGTGTTTATGATAGTGATCTGATATTGCACATTTACACATTCATCTTTATCCATATGGCTTCGCCTAATACTCTGAATGGGACTGCCACCCAGCCCGAGACAGGTAACAATAGGCGTCCTCGACCACCGAAGCCTAATTACAGACATATTCATCGCTTCCCACTTCCTGTCACAGTCCAACCATTACCCCTTCTTATTCCTCATAACCCGATATCTGTTATAAGTGTTCTTCTGTCATATCTTACAACATACTTAGCTTCTCCACTGGACAAAAAAATATATTTCGCTTATTTTGATGCTGCTACATCATCCGTTCAAGTTACGGACCCCAGGGCTGTGAGGGCTCTTTGGGAAATGGGATTTTTTGGCAAAGGAACCCTTAGCAGAAGTGAACCCAGTTGGCTCGAACGTGAGAAGAAAAGAAGAGGTCTCTTAGCCTCGAATACGAGCGAAGAAGTAACTGGCGAAAGAAGGGTAGAACGTCGGGAAATGAAACTCGAAAGAGCTAGAAAAGAGCAAGAAGCAATCGCCCAGCAATTGAAGGAAGAGGCAGCTAAGAAGAAGAGTAACTCCGGTGTCTCACAACAGTTAGAGACAAGAGCCGATTCAGCTGATGAACATGCCAATGGCTTCATTAATGAGTCTGCGAATAAGGATGCCGTCTCATCTCTGGAAACAGCATCGCAAACACTAAATTCCACTCATGATAAAATCGAACCGGTGGAGGAAAAGGCCTCTCCTCTAACAAAAAGCGTCCGTTTCTCGCCTGTCCTCGAGGAAAAGAAATATATACCCGAGCCTCAAGGGGCTGTGAATGGATCTCTCATTCGAGACAGTCTGACAAAAGTCGACGTGGATGACTTGGTCAACGAGGAGCACCTCCAGCTTACCAATGAGGAGACTCTCTTTCTTGCCTACGGCTTGGGAGCTCTGCAAGTTTATGACCAAGACACCAGATCTGTTATTCCGACGACGTCTCTTGTCAAACTCTTCACACGGCATTCTACTTTCCCGCCTCGTCCTGAGACAGATGCTATTGGGCCCGATGACCCTTTTCTTGTATCATACGTGGTCTACCACCACTTTCGCTCGCTTGGCTGGGTTGTCCGGTCTGGTGTCAAGTTTGGCGTTGATTATCTACTTTACAACCGTGGACCGGCTTTTGCACATGCTGAATTTGCTGTCCTCGTTATACCATCGTATGAAAACTCTCACTGGGAGTCCACTCCTGAGCTAAGAGACTATTCGTCCCGGAAACAATCTCGGAGTTGGTGGTGGTTACATGGGGTCAACCGTGTACAGGCACAAGTCAAGAAATCGCTCGTGTTGTGCTTCGTTGACATACCACCACCCTTGGCGTCCCTGCCACTGGATAATATTGGAGAGACACTACGCCGATACAAAGTCCGAGAGATTCTTATCAGGCGTTGGGTGCCAAACCGCTCACGAGATTGATTTTTATATATAGTATCTGCTTGGATTTTTGACATGGCCTCGCATATTACGTGCATTGCATTATCCCAATTGTAACATGAATTTCTTGATGAATGTACGATAGCATGATACCCATATGAAGCTGCACCTTGAACCTATATTTTCACGAGTTCATAGCAATGTTAACTAGCATACTCCGTAGATTCCTCTCTTAAATCAATTATCAGTTTATCACAGATGCAGATACGCTAGCCGCAAAGGGAAAGATTGAGCCGGCTCCACCTGGCACGGGTTGTCATGTGCATTCACGCGTTTCGCGTCGTGACACCGAAAGGCGACATTTGGATGGAAAAAAGTAGTCGCAAAATTCGAGGCCGTCTCATGTCGAAATGCTGTTGTGACTGAGCACTTTGCAATATGGATTCCCAGACATCGGATAGTCTGGACATTGCAAAACTAAAACGTTTTGCGCTAGGTGGCGATGTATGTGCTCTGCTGATAAAACGGCGTCCGGCATTCTGGCCAAACGCGCTAACTGCAATATAACGCTTTTAGGAAAATGATTTGTCTCATGCGCTTGTAAGCGAGGCTGAATCTCAATCTTCCCTCACCAGCCAAATAAGCCATGGAAAACGTGTTTCCCACCGAAGTCGACCTCGTGGAAATAACAGGAAGCCTGCTATTGCTGTCGAGGTGTTTTCGAACACAAAACGCCATGTAAAAGATACCGGCCAGGGGAATTCGCATTCACAAGAGCGGTTGAGCGGCGTTCCTGACTCGATCACCCCCAAGATGAACTCCGGAGAAAGCGGCCCAGGCGATACTCAACCGATATCGCAGTCAATTTATGAGAATATTATCGCTCGGGCGAAGTCGTTTCATCCGTCACAGGATGGCAGCTATCCTCGTTCAGATCTTCACGATGTGGACCAGGAGTCTCTGCAGCTGACCGTCAAGGAGGGAGAGCCAGGACATATCGATTTGCTGGCCGGCTTTGACTCGAAGAAAGCGACGGTCATTCATAATAGCTCAGACGATGACGAGCTCAGTTCGAAGGAGGGACCTTCGTCTCCCGTGCACTTAGCAAGCCACGAAGTCTTTCCAGAATCGCAACGCTTTCTAGAGACTCCCATGACCGCGGAGAAGCAGCGGGATGCCCCGAATCTGGCAACTACGACCCCGTCCCTTCCTCGTAACCCTCTTGCTGCCGATTTAGGCTCAAGTGGTGGCACGATGGCCCTCAGCCTCGCCGAACTTTTCAAGGCTACCCAAGCTCCTTCTTCGCCGTTTGTGAATGGGCTGCCCTCTGCACCGCTGTCCGATCGCCCTTCTCCTGATATTCCTATCCAAACTCGTCCGCTGGGGGAATATACGTCTTCCCCTTCTCGCACACCTCGGCCGCACTTGATTCGAAACCATACCGATCCTTTGTCATACGTGCCCATGGACGAATCACAGAAGTTCCGCGACAAACTAAGCGAAGAGAAGCGGACTCGTTCTGCTGAGAATATCGATTCCGAAGAGCGCATTGATACGGATTTCGAGGAAGAGTCAAGTTTTGTTCAACGACTGAATCGACAACGGGAGATTGTTAATGAAACAAATATCCGTTTGGCGACTGTGACCGAAGGGGAATCTCCCAGCTCTAAGGCTAAGCTGCCCGCAAAACCGATCAGGTGTCAAAGTCGGGATGGATTCTTGGAGGCAGAGCATAATGAACAAGAACATTCTGCTTCCTTTAATAACGAGGGAGCGAGCGAAGAGGAGACTGAAAAAGAAGACAATGTTGCAATACCAACTAATCAAGCTCGTCGGGTTATTTCATCGTCCGAGGAGGACAAGGAAAATCAGGTTGGGCTATATACCGCTGGTCCATATACAGCTACTCTGGCACATGATCGTCTATCGCAAGCTTTGGATCTATACAATGGTTCTACCTTGACTGACACTCCTCCAGCGGGACTCTCTTTATTAACGCCCGAGGGAAATATTATCAAAATGTCAGAGCAAGTGATAAATGTACGGGATTCTCAGCCATCACCCAGTCAACGATCATCCAGACATGTTAGAACCACAAGTCTTTTCTCTCAGCCTGAATTTGAACAGATTCACTCATCCTATGATGACTCCTCTCCCCCCAGAAAAAGGCAACGTCAGAGGTATTCCGCACAGGAACGTGGAGCTCATCTTATACAGCGCAATTCTCAACTATCACCCTCGAAGTATCAGCAGTCTTCCATACAGAATCCAACGGGGTCATCATCTATGCCGTCGGTTGTTGCCAACACTCCCGTTAACAAGATTGGAGATGATACCGTTCCCGAGACAAGTATACCGGAGTCCACTCCTGACCGGATTCGTCAGCCAACTATAACTCTAGAGGCTCCCGGTCGCCTTTCTTCTATGCAGGAGACCGACAAAGAAGATCCGGACTTGCCTACCATACGTCACCAACGGCAAAGGAGAAACATCGTTGGTATTCCTTTACGCAATGGAAGCCCCCAAGCCCAACCCCGAAAATGGAGCGATTTTGTCAGCTCCAGTCCTGCAAAGGGCGCTATCAAGACCTTATCAGAGATATCTGCTGAGCAGTTCACAAACACAACACCAGACGATATTTTGGATATTGAGATTCTCAACAACGAAGATCGAGAGTTTTCTAAGACAATCGAAAGTCCTAGACATTGTACACCCAAAAAAAGACTACAAACAGCCAGTGACTGGATCAGTCCAGATATCAAATCCTCCCTGGTACCTCCAGAATCAAGTTATGGCGTCAACGCTACACATTCTTTACATACTGAGACACAGGCCAATCACCCAGAATCTCCGGAGCCCTCATTGAGACCCGCCATTATTCGACGTCAACGTACCAGGCCACCGCAACGCGAAGATATGTTTAATATGGACGAATCGCCTCGCACTCGCACCCCAGCTACTAAATCTAATATGTCACGAAAATCTCAATTTAATCGATCAGAAGAGAAGGCTTCTGGATTACCTGCCTCAGAAAAGTCTAAATTTTCCAACGATAGCTCACGGCGCTCCTTTATTAATTATACAAATACCAACTCCATTCAAGCGGAGCAGATGGTGCGAGGTGCATCCGTTGCGTCGAACAGGAACTTGTCGAACACCAACACACAAGACGATAATGCAACATCTGATATTGAATCTCCGGTGCTAGAAGAAGCAATGGTTGCCCCAAATCAAGTTCTCGCTTTCTGGAATGGTCGCAAACGTGCCTATTACCCTGCCACTTACCTCCGTTCCTGTGGGCCGCAACGTTGCATGGTAAACTTCGTGGACAGTGGACCGGTAGAGGTAGCTCTTGGATCGGTTAAGAAATTACAATTGCGTGTCGGAGATGCAATCAAAGTCGATTTACCGAATGTGCCCAAGGTTACTCACATAGTCCGAGGGTTTTCTCAGCAGCTTAAACCTGGAGATCTATTGAAAACAAATGACTACGGGCATTTTCCTGTCACAGACATATATGGGTTCTCGACCGTCATCCTTGCTGCCAAACAACGCAAGAGCCTTCCAGGTGGCGGCCATTTAGAAAGTGAACAGACGATCGAAGTTCCAATACACAGTATATATCTAGACATGATATTATGGAACCAGTTGAAAGGCCGCTCATTTGCACCTGATAAGAAACTGGATCCAACGCTGAACGTTATCCAGACCCCAAGCCGAGGTGCTTCGACTCCTGTGTCGCCAGGGTCAAAGGTTTCACGTACTCAACTTCCTACACGCGTAGGTCTCTTCTCTGGGATGATATTTGCCGTCTCCTTTGGGGACCAGGATGTCACAAAGGCTCGACTCACAAAGCTGATTCTCGAGAATGGTGGTCAGATCCTCCAAGATGGATTCGAGGAACTCTTTGAATTCCCATCTAGTGTGCCGCCTGTTACACACACAGCCACTTCTTCTCAAATTCCAAGCACCGAGGAGTCCATACACTTTCGCCTAGCGCCCAAGTTTGAAAATATAGGATTTACTTGCTTGATAGCAGATAAACACTCGCGTCGAGCCAAGTATATGCAAGCTCTTGCTCTCAATGTTCCTTGTCTTTCTAGGAGGTGGATCGAAGATTGTGCTAGCCACAATCGTATCCTTGGCTGGGAACATTATCTTCTTCCTGCCGGTGAATCCAAATACCTCCATGGGGCTATCAAATCCAGAGTGCTTACACCATACTCCGCGGAAACTACCATGTTTGCAGAAATGATCGACGGACGCGCGAAACTTCTTGATGGTCAATCCGTGCTTTTGGTCTTGGGACGTGGGAAGACCGAAGAAAGACGCAAAGCTTATCTTTTCCTTGCCTATGCTCTCGGAGCTACAAGGGTCGGACGTGTACTTGATCTGAAATCTGGCAAGAAATTGCTTCATACAAACGCTCGGAACAATGCCGGGAAGTGCGGATGGGATTGGCTCTACGTCGACGACCACGAGGAGGCCGCAGCGAAGGAGATTATAATAGGCAAACCTTCGGATACCGCCAACAATAGCAGAAAGAGAAAGCGATCATCTATATTCACCAATTCCTTCGGAGGAGCCGAGACCGCGAGGGATGAGGGGTCGATACAAATTATGAGCAACGAATCTGTCTGTCAGAGCTTGATATTAGGAATGATCTGCAAGTAGAGTGGAATTTCTTATGTTTAGACATTTCAAATGCTGGTTCATATATATATTACGTCGGTATATCAGAAAAAAGATACCCCCATAGATAGAATTAGATCTATGAATGACTGTCAGACTCAACTAGCAGTCGCATGTGCAATGTACAGATTTCGTAGAATTTCAAGCTATCATATGTCAGTACAGTTTGAGATTAAATCGTGGGGTTTGTGCTTTGAGTTGAAGACAAAAATTGAAGACAGGAAAATGGCAGGAAAATGTAGGCCGGGTGTGCACGAGAATGATCTTTCGTATTTGTTAGAGATAGAATACAAGTTAAAAGAGAAAAAGTTCAGACGCCTATGCCAAGACTCTACCATCCCCCAAGATTTAAACAAGCCGATTATTTGCCCTTGCTCTTCTTAGATGCCTTCTTCTTGCCTTTCAAACTCTTCATTTGAGCAGCACGCTCAGCACGAGCTTGTCTCTTTCTCCAAGCCAACCATCGGTTTTTGCGGTTGAACCGCTTGGCAGTGATACCAGCCTTCTCAGCCGCTCTACCAATCTGCCAATTGGCCTCACGATACATGTATCCAGGACGCAGAGGTAGATTGGCAACGGCTGCGGGCAAACTTTGTCGGGCAGCACCCTCCACGCCAACAACTCTTGTGGTATCCTCGTCCACCTCCGCAGCAATTTCTGTATGCATACCAGCGACTTCAACTCGCGGAACAGACACCATATTCAAACGACGCCTAGTTGGCGCATTCCGCGGTGTTGGTAGGGTTCCGTCACGGTCGAAACAGACTCCAATATATTTCCTTTTGGGATGTAGCTCCGGGTCAAGGTAGTATTTGACATAGCCCGCCTCAGTGGCGTAAATCGTATGGTCCCGACCCATGCCACAGTTCTCGCCTGGAAACCATTTTGTGCCTCGTTGTTTGAAGATGATATTTCCGGGGACCACGTATTGTTCTCCGCTCTTTTTGGCGCCGAGACGTTTACCCGCTGGGTCGCGAGCCTTTGCGTTGGCGCGACCTTGAGTAGCGTGGGAGGCGTAACGGACTTGAAAAGAAGGAAATGTATAGCGAGAGAGTGGTGAGGATGACGAGGATGATGATAAGTTTGATAATGAGGACAGGACGGTGGTTCTGGACGTCCGATTGATGATGTTGGGGCAATGTGTTGACAAAATCGACGAGCTTAAGGCGCGGTCGAGGATTTGCCAGGACGACCTTATCCTTGGCTGCATCTTGGAGTAATTCGTTCTTGCTCCTGAGAGCGCAATGACCGTGTTCCAGATGTGTCGTGCTGCTTGAGGAGAACGATTTGGGGTGGACAACGGGGAACTTTTTCTCGGAGAACAACTGAGCACGGGCCAAGTGGTCGATGGATCACGTGCCACCTATCGCGATACATTGGATATCTGGCTTCAGAATTAAGAAGAGATGGTACCGAGTAAACTATTCAACCTCGAGATACCCGGAGTCTACAATAAGTGGTATATATTCGGTATATATTTGCATGCGCATGGGCTTAGCTTGAAAAACTCTGCAAAATGCTCGCGAAGTCTGTGACTGCCATTTGGGCGCTTCTTCTCCTCATCACGTCTGCGCAAGCCCAATTCCAATTCTTCGAGCAAATGTTCGGAGGAGGCTCGCAGCAAGGTCGCCAACAAGAGCAGGAAGCTTCCAGCGATAGTGCTTGGTACCAAAAGACATGGGACGGAGGTAATAAATATCTTTTTTCTGTCTCGTTGCGTTTGTCCTGGTATTGGTCAAGAATCTCGAAGCTGATCAATCACTATTCTCGATCTAGCGCGTTGTACAAGATATCTTTGTCCAGACACATTAGCCTGCGTTCACTTTCCGCATCATTGCCCGTGCCCTCATCCAGACGTTGAAGAAAAATTCGAGCTTGCCGAAGGAAGTGCTATTTGCGTATCAAAGAGTGGCTTCAAGGCTGGTGAAGCTGCGAGAAAGATCGAATTGGCCCGCAAGGGTCTTCTATGAAAACCTATTTCCAGTCGCTGGAGCTTTGATTGTCGCCAAATGAAGTCTATATATAGTTGATGCCAGGGGACGGATTCTTTGAACTATTAGCGGTTAGCATTGTCTTTATCAAATCTGTCTTCGTCATTGGATATCATTATGAACGTGTATGATAGGGTTGCATTCATTAATATGATCAGAATCGTCATTCTGAAACTATCAGAAGCATGTAGTGTAAGGATGAAACCGTTCGACTAAGTACTTACAAGGTAGCTCCTGTCTCTATCTCCGAATCTCCGCCATACCCCACGAGCTTCCTTAGACATCTCTCGCCACTCCAAGCCTCCTCGCCATCATCTCAACAACATCATGTACATCGTCTTAGTTTAATATTTCGTTTGCCAGATGATTTTAATACTCGTTTATTACCTATATTACTAGATATGTGGAGCAAATCAATTCGAGCGCCCGCTTTGCGGCGGGCGACTCACTACAGCAGAGCCTTTGCGACTAGGTATCCATCTACACCACCACAAGGACCTCGAAACTCTATACGAAGACCAGATCTTCCTGCACCTATAGGGAAACCTCCGAATAGTTCTTCCGAAATTGCACATTCAGAGCTTATGAAATCCGCAGACTTGCCAGCGGTATTGCGCGAAACAAATCCAGCGGAAAATACTCTACTATCTCCTGTGCACGTACCAGAAGATCCCAACGGAGTATTAAAACAAAATCACCCGGCCGCAAAATTGCTCGCAAACTCGGGTCTTGTGATAAGAAGAGAATTGGAATTGTTGAATGTTTTGCTGTCAGTTTGCCCCGGGCTCTTAAAAACCGTGCGTTGTGCTGACACGATTATAGCGCTTATGAACAGCCAAATCGTTATACCATATACGATGCGCAAGGAAACCACGTTGGCCATATCATAGAAGATGTAGGCGGACTGGGACGGTCGATAACGCGCCAGTGGTTTCGCACACACCGGAGTTTCACTGCACATGTGTTCGATCGAGACGAAAACGAGATTCTTAGGGTATGTCTAAGTTCTCCTTTGCAAGTCTTTTCACTCCCTCACTCACTGGAAAATTCAGATACATCGCCCATTCTCGTGGGTAAACTCCCGTATACGTATCTACGATCCCCGAAGTCCTACAGATCAAACATATTCCACGACGTCACACTCGTACGAGCTCACTTCCAATACACAATGGGTTCCCATTGCCGAAGATGGCAGTTTCAAAATCTCCCAGTTACCGTTATCTGCCATGCGAGTCATTGGGGAAGTACAGCAGCAATGGGCACTAATGCGCCGCAAATATGATATGTTTCTTTACCACCCGAATCCCACCGCCCAAACGGACCTCGGTGTGCGACAGATAGCTGAGCCGAGCGATGGCCTATCACAGCCCCAACAAACACAGCTTATAAAGCATTCAGGGAACTCCAATGGCGCAGGCGAATATCATCAATTCTCGTATGTGGACGAGCCTGCGTTATCGTGGGACTTTTCCCTTCGCTCCGCGGATGATCGATTAATCGGATCTGTCAATCGCAATTTTTCTGGGTTTGCCAGAGAGATATTCACTAATATGGGCGTTTATGCTCTTCGAATGGACTCCGCGGTTTTGGCTGAAGATAAAGAACGCCAAAATCCCACTTCTCAGCCGAGTCACCAGCTCGTTACTCAGACGGAGAACAATACAGGAATGACATTGGACCAGCGTGCTATAATGCTGGCTACTGCTATTAGTATTGACTTCGACTATTTCAGTATTCACAGCCCTCAGAACAACGCCGAAGCGCTTCCGTGGTTATGGTTTCCCGGTGGGTCATCTGCCGAAGGAGCTGCAGCAGGCAATGCTGAATCTGCTGCGGGTGCGAGCGCGGGCGCATCTACAGAGTCAACTGCGCTTGGAGAAGTCGGAGCTACTGCTGTCGGAAGGGCTGGGGCTGCTGGAACTATGGCGGAGGGAGCAACTGCTGGAGTTGCGGGCGCAGGCTCCATGGCAGGTTATGACGCATTGCGACGTGGAATCTCTCCAGACAATCAGCCTCCCCCCTTTTATGAAGATCAACCGTTGGATTCTACCCGACCAGATCAATCTGCTGCTCCCGAAGAGGTTTGGGGGGAGACTGAGAACCCCTGGGGTTCAAAGGGCGGTGATGTTGGTCCCAGTGGAAGCTCAGAAGGTGGTAAATCTGATGGCATCGACTTTGATGACTTCGATTTCTTTTAAAGCTCTTTGCTCGGTCATGTTGCCCAAGAGCAACTGGCAACATAGCATTTTAAGGGGTTTGGCAGCGTTTCACTGATTATTTTCCTGGGCAGCGTTTATTCCTGGGGGTTTCATCGCTTGGGTTTTGGAAATAAAATTGTATACTAGTGATAATACTCGAATCTATATATTATACAAAAAACATAATTTCGGTGTCCTTGAGTCTACTAAACGTCAAGACTGGATCGATTTTATAAGGATATGGGATTTCTATCCTGATTGGCCGAAATCTTCGTTTCCCCGGCCCACCGTGCAGAGGGGCAAATCATCTCTGATAAAATATGCCGACTTTCGGGCCTTCACATCTCCATTCCGCTTATCTATACATTCATCTGCACATATTGGCAAATTGCATTGTGCAGCAGCTCGATCACTCACACTCGTGCTGTCATATCCCACATTTCCACTGTCAATCTATCTACACTACGTCGTCCCAACTCGCATAACTCCTACTTTCCGCACTCCGCACTCCGCACTCCGCCAACGATCCTTACCGCCACTTTGAACACTTCTCAGCAATTATCAAGAAAGAAGAGAAGGAATCACACCCATAGGAATTGCAATCAAGAGAGGGAAAAGGAAGGAGGAACATAACAATGGGATCGAACGTCGCCCAAAAGCGTCTTTTCCACGAATACAAAAACCTCTCTACCAACCCGCCAGAAGGCATTACTGCCGGCCCCATATCCGAAGATGATATGTTCCATTGGGAGGCTCTGATCCAAGGGCCTGAGGGAACGCCGTTTGAGGGCGGGGTGTTTGCTGCAGAGCTCAAATTTCCCAAGGATTATCCGTTGAGTCCGCCAACGATGAAGTTTCTAGGCGGTGTATGGCATCCAAATGGTATGTACCCCGTATAGATAAAGACGTCCGCTCTCTCTTGGATCGTAACAGGACACTGATGTTTTTGCCATAGTTTATCCGAACGGCACTGTTTGTATATCGATTCTCCATCCACCAGGCGACGATCCCAATCACTACGAGCATGCGTCCGAGCGATGGTCACCAATCCAGAGTGTGGAGAAGATTCTCATTTCGGTAATGAGTATGCTCGCCGAACCGAACGATGAGAGCCCTGCGAATGTCGAGGCAGCTAAGATGTGGCGTGAACGGAGAGGCGATTATGAGCGGAGAGTCCGCGAAGAAGTCAGGAAAGGACTGGGTCTCTAAGGTTGAGCCTACTCACTATATAGTACAGGGCTTTCGTTTTTGGGAGGGATAAAAGAGAGATGAGACGTTGTAATGATGCATGACTCTCTTGGACGTATAGTTATTGTTGCATTCAGTGTGCATTGCTACACTCTACGGCGGGCGTTTGGTTCTTGATTCGGGTGTGGTTGGATTTCTTCCTTTCCTAAGTAGTTTCTGCATATATCCTTACTCGCACACAATTGAACATTTTTAGATTTTAGCTGGCACCGTTATTAGAAAATATTTCAATCTGCTCACAAAATAATCAGTCCCCGTCACAAATCCTTCATCTTTCGATCAATCCATCCCTCCAAGCCACCTCCCGTGCCATACAAGACTTCAGTTTCAGCTTTCATATTCAGCATCATCATCGTCTGCAATTCCGCTCTCCATTCAAGCTCGGGTCCATCCTCGCTGAACACTGGATTCTTCGCCAACATGCTTCGAACTTTCTTGACGTCTCTGTGCGATAGGGAAATCATTGCCCAATCCTCACCATCATTACCATTCCTATTCTGTTCTATTACCACATCTTTGATACGCGTTCCGAGCCACTCTAGTCTCGGGGCATTGAGATGGGCACTTGCATGAGCGTGAGCCATGGAGCCGTATTTATACGTAGACATAATAGCTACTCCGTCGCAATCCCCGTCCACCAAAGCGAGAAAGCGTGGTGTAGCTGTCGGTGGGGTGATCTTAAGACCTCGAAGAATTGAACTGCTGTTCTTAGTTGCAATATCTGAAATCAAATGAACGAATTCCCGGGTGCAGATATCTGGGTATCCCTTTCCTGTGATCAGAATACCCTTTCCAGCGGCCGAATTGAGGTGGTATTTGTTATGGACGAGTCTTCGAAAGACAGCCTATTCTAGTCAGCGAAATTGTGTACGCATCTATGGCTTCTTGCATGGGGGTATGTGGATTCAAAATATCCAATATATGCATCTGGAAGATATGCCTGCCTCTTTCTCTACAATAGCAATCCATTCAACCTCTGATATGTTGATACTGCTGATATCAGCGAGACGAGGTATGAGCGCATCCTTTCCCAAAACAATGTTAGCTCCGTTGACTTATCAGGCTACAGAGAGGAAGGAAGGCCTTTCAACTCGCACCTCAACTGACATGTCAAGGCAATTTTTAGCTTTGGTCATGATACGGAAAGCTCCAGCAGCCAGTCCTTTACCGACCGAGATCTGGGTTGTTCATTTTGAAATCAGGGATGAATGTTGAGTATGTTTATGGTGGGAGCATACGACGTGCAATGCAGCTCGATCAACTCCAACAGTGTAGGCTATGTCATCAACGATTGTATTCACCACACTCTGTGTGCCGAACAGCTCTGGATTATCGTAATAGATGCTCCTTTGAGATGCTTGTGTTAGTATTCAGGAATTCCACTATCACCTACGCACCGCTCCTTGAAGGGTACGACACCTCTTCGTAATCAACATGTTGTTTTGGACAGCCTCAAATATGAGAGACAGGATACGTAGAATGCAGCCTTCGTTTGTTTGTTCAGCATAGCGTACAGACTGTTGCCTGCGAACACATACTAAACTTCCAGGCCTCCTGCGGAGTCTTTCCTGGCCACGAGTAAGTCATTTTTCTTTCCGGCACCCCTGGCTCCATCGCCAGTATCCTGTCTTCTGAACTTTCATGGGGTGTCGCGATTTGAAAATGCGACGGTCTCTTCTTGAGGGTTACGGATAGTTGTGCAACGCCCTTGTCGAACTCGTCGAGGAATGACAGCTGCAGATTCTCGAAAAACTGCAAGACGGGACTGTTCTCCGAGGCAGTCATAGCAGACTCTAGACAAAATGTGTCCATCTCTAAGAGAGTTCGCCGCCAATTCTTGATAGTAAGTCCTGGCAGAGAAAATCGAGAGGGTGAGACGTTCCTCGGCGTTGCTGTTGCTGTTGCTGTTGCTGTTGCTGTTGCTGTTGCTGTTGCTGTCGGGGACACCACCCGTCGCACCTTCCTCTTGGGCCAAGTCATACTACCGCAACATAAGCTGAGAAAATTAACAGTGTCAACTATTTTTCTCATCTCTCTAACTGGACATCGCGCGGTCTGTGGCAGCGTGCGATAGTTTCTTCAACTTCCTTGTGCACTAAAGTGCTAGTGGCCCCTGGAGGAGGCCAATTAACCAATCACAGCTTACTTGGCATGTGATCGACCTGCTTAAAAGAAGCTCCAGCTTTCAAAAGAATCCAACGTCAGCCTTCTCGTTGATTTCTTTTTAATCCAACCAACCGCGCGGTTCTTCTGTCCTGCAGCTTGTTTCCTACGAGCCGCATCGAGGATGACCGAGGCAGTCGCAAATGAGCATATTAGCAGCTGGCGAACAGAAGCCAATGGCCATCTGTCGGAGGATGCGAGCGGCGACAAGAAGACGGACTATTCCAGGTGGAGATTGCACGACAACGACGGCCGCCTGACATGGCGCTATCTAGAATCTGACGATGACAATGAGAAATGGCCACAGACTTTTTACGACAAGTATAATCTCGGGCTTCCAACAGTAAGAGACATCGTAGTACCTCGTGGCGTATAATACTCATCATCTAAACAGGGCGCGCCCGAACTGCCAAAAGCAAAATCTCCCTTGGAAGCAGCAGCGAATGGCCTTGAATTTTTCTCCAAGTTGCAAATGCCAACTGGGCACTGGGCTTGCGAGTATGGTGGGCCAATGTTCCTCTTGCCAGGCATAGTCATCACTTGGTATGTGACCAACACGCCCATACCTCCTGAGTACGCTGTGGAGATCAAGAGATATCTTTTTGCACGGCAAAATCCAGACGATGGTGGCTGGGGGCTTCACATCGAAGCCCATAGCTCGGCATTTGGTACTGTCATGACCTATGTGATCCTGCGTCTGCTTGGTGCGAGTGAAGAAGATCCTCGCTTGGTTAAAGCGCGTGGGCTCGTTCATAAGTTTGGGGGCGCATTGTATGGACCACATTGGGCAAAATTCTGGCTTTCTATCCTGGGCGTTATGGATTGGGATTGTGTCAATCCTGTCCCACCTGAGATTTGGTAAAACTTTTCACCTTGTCTCCTTTGACGTTCTCTTTCGCTAATTCTATCAAGGCTACTTCCAGACTGGGTACCAATTGCCCCTTGGAGATGGTGGATTCACATGCGAATGGTTTTTCTGCCGATGTCATACTTGTGGTCCAAGAGATGGAGTTTCCCACAGAATGCGTTGACAAAGCAACTCCGGGCCGAGATATACACGCAGGCTTATGAAAGTATTGATTTTGCTTCTCATCGAAGCTCTATTGCTAAAGAGGATAATTATTATCCAAAGACGTGGTTGCTCAACACCATGAATTGGATGTTGTCCAATGTATGGACCCCTGTGATTCGTTGGTCTTCGCTGGTGAGGAGGGCCGAAGACTGGGTGTGGGAGTTAATACAGATGGAAGATAAGAATACGGACTATGCAGGCCTTGCTCCTGTGAATAATCCAATGAACTTTGTCGCATGCTATGTCCACGATGGTGAGGGTAGCTACTCGGTGAAGAAACATCGCGAGGCGCTGCATGAATACCTATGGATGAAGAACGAGGGGATGCTTTGCAACGGTACAAATGGAGTACAGGTTTGGGACACGGCATTTATTACACAGGCTATCTCAGTGGCTGGCTTCGCGAAAGATCCGAAATGGCAACCGATGCTTACCAAAGCTCTTGAGTTTCTGGATAATCATCAACTCCGAGAGAATGTACCGGATCAAGAAAAGTGTTACCGCCAACATAGGAAAGGAGCTTGGCCGTTCAGTAATAAGACCCAGGGGTATACGGTCAGCGATTGCACTGCAGAGGGTCTTCGGTCGTCTTTGCAGCTTCAAGAGATATACGGATATCCCAAGCTCATATCTGACGATCGTTTGAAAGACTCCGTTGATTGCCTCCTATTGATGCAAAACGATACTGGCGGCTTTAGTGAGTATGAAATTAGACGGGGCTCGCCCTTGTTAGAATGGCTTAATGCAGCAGAGGTTTTCGGGGGAATCATGATCAGCTACGACCACGTCGAATGCACAACTGCATCTATCACTGCATTGTCCCTTTTCAGCAAGTTCTATCCAGATTACCGAGTCGAAGAAATCAAAGCTGCAAAGCATAAGGCCGTGCAATACATTAAGCGCGCTCAAAAGGAAGATGGAAGCTGGTATGGCGCATGGGGCATTTGCTTCACGTATGCGGCCATGTTTGCGCTTGAGAGTCTTTCTAGCATCGGAGAAACTTACGCTACCAGTGAATATTCACGTCGAGGATGTGAATTTTTATTGGACAAACAAAAAGCTGACGGCGGTTGGGGAGAGTCGTACCTTAGCAGTGAAAGGCACGTCTACACCCAACATGAAATATCCCAAGTTGTACAGACAGCTTGGGCTTGCTTAGCTCTAATGGAAGCCGAATACCCGGACCCGGAACCTATTCGCAGAGGAATCAAGCTTCTGATGTCCCGGCAACAAGCGAATGGAGAGTGGCTTCAGGAAGCAATCGAAGGTGTTTTCAACATGTCCTGGTGAGTATCTTCAACGCACTTTCGCATCAGCCACCTGACTAACTTTACATAGTATGATTTCATACCCCAACTACAAGTTCTACTGGCCCATCCGAGCATTAGGTCTGTTTGCACAGAAATTCGGTAACGAGGCGCTCCTGTAAAGTATCATGTGGGTGTTACATGTACCATAGTATGACGAAAAAGTTTCTACCATAACAAATTATAATATATATATATATATATATATATATACTACTCCAACTTTGTGGTTGTTTGATCTATGAATAGCCTTGAGACTTGAAAGAGATTGATGTAAATTATAAAATAGTAATGTTTCTAGGTGATTCTATTTATATAAAAGAAATATGACGGCATGACCGTCCCGCACCGCAGAACCTCACAACCGAACAAACCATCTCCAACCTCCCAGGCTGAAAGTGGCATTCCCCATCTCTACTTAGCACAAGACACGCAAAAGTTCCCAATATTTGCTAGTAAAAACCCTCAATCTATTTGCCAGCTTACTTCTACCTCTACTTTCGTCTTCGCGCGGGGCAGCCGCATTTCTTCCCCGCACAAGCTCAGTACCACGATGAACGCTGCCACAGAAGGCGACAAAGCTGCTGCTGCTTCCGACTGGCCCAGCGCCATAAAGCACTACACTAGGGCTCTGATAGAACTGCCTCGCGCCCCAAGTTATTATATCAAGCGATCAACCGCCTACTCTCGCCGCAAAGCTTCGGATGGCGGGCCCGATTTCCAAGCTGCGCTTCGCGATGTCGAACTCGCCCTGGCTTTAGCTCGCGAACGAGCTAAAAGGGAGCTCATCGTTGAGGCCCAGCTGCGCCGCGCGATTGTCTTGTTTCAGTTAGAAAGATACGGCGATGCAGGATACCTATTTGATCTTCTTGAGGAGAAGATGGGAATCAATAAGGGGGTTGTCGACAAATCCACACAAGTGCAGGCTGCCATGTCACAGAAAGGGTCGCAGAAACAGGAGAATGAGTTATTAATCTGGAAGATCAAAACTAAAGGAAAAATCAGCAAGCTGGGAAACGGCGATGATAAATTAGCTGTGTCGATACAAGAGTACCCGGCCACCAAAATCCCGTCGGAGCAGGAGCTTAGGAAACATCTCCAAACGCAACTAGGACAATCAACGAAGGCCACGGAAGGGAACGGCGGCGAGATGTCAGATGCGGATAAGACTAATGAGAGCAAGTTGGACGTTTCAAGTTCTAGCTCCGCTGCGCCATTCACAGCTGGACCAGGTGCACCTGCTGCCCCCGTTCCTGCAGCAGCACCAACGAAAATCCGACACGAATGGTATCAGTCCCAGGACTCTGTTGTCCTAACGGTCTATGCCAAAAATGTTAACAAGGCTCAGCTGGAAGCTGATCTTCAAGAGAACTCTGTAAGTCCAGTTTTCCATTCTTGATTCTCCCGACTTTACATCCCACAAAGCTAATAATCTCAAGCTCTCGATTGAGTTTCCTTTACCTTCTGGTTCAACCTTCTCGTTCAATCTAGATCCGTTGTATGCTCCAATCGATACAACCCAGTCTAAGGTCAATGTTCTATCCACGAAGATTGAGATCACCCTTCGCAAAAGAACACCAGGACAGAAGTGGGGAGCACTGGAAGGCTCAGAGATAGCCCCTCATCTATCTGATCCTGCCACAGTTATTAACAAACCTGCCTCAACCCCAGTTACCCAACCTACACAAGCCACGGCTGGTCCCGCATATCCAACATCATCCAAACACGGAGTGAAGAACTGGGACAAACTAGCAGACGACTTGACCGCAAAGAAGAAGAAGAAGGCCGACAAGACTGCTGAGGCCAAAAAGGACGTCGGGGAGAAAGAAGACGCCGAATCAGATGCGGAGTCCATTGATTCAGAATATGGCGGAGGCGACGCGGTTGACTCATTTTTCAAAAAGCTCTACGCAAATTCAGACCCAGACACTCGCCGTGCTATGATGAAGAGCTACTATGAGAGTCAGGGAACTTCTTTAAGTACGAATTGGGATGAGGTCGGCAAGGGAAAAGTTGCTGTTCATCCTCCGTCCAGCGATTAGTTTACTGGCGTGATAGTTACGACTTGCCCATCTACTAGGTAACTCGTATTTTTAAATTGCTTGTTTCCCACCTCATAGCGTTGTGCGGCATAAAGGAGTCACGAAAGAATATCCACCCTTGCATTTCTATTCATGGCGTGCGCCCAGGAGTCTTCGACAAAGATTTTGTATTTTTCGGATCTTTTGGGCACCATACAATTAAGATCAAATGTAGAATACCTATCTTCCTAGGTGGTACTTGTTGTTGATCCAATTCAATAACAACATCTTATGAGAGTAACAATTCTATGGAAAACTCCTGATATATACTTTAAGCTCTGTAGTCTGGTTTGAAGCACTTCCACCGTGTAGGTCGGTTAGTTCCACCAACTGTTGAGATAAATAAAGCCTTCAATGGGTGCCGGGGGAATGGTAATAGCATTTAAACATAACTTCTCCTCTATGATGATAACTTTTAAATAAACATGGGACCTACTCTAATAATTTTCGTCGTCCTTCTGATAGAGAAAGAATTGTACAAAGATGGCCATATCCAATAACAGGGTTCCCAAACTTCCTATCAACCAAGACAGGTTCACAAGTATATACTGTCCATAAACCGACGCAGCCTCGCCAGGCTCGCAAACATCGGATTGACAGACAGGCGAGTACGCGAATATTGACAGCACATATGTGAGATTGCCAATACAGGCAAATAGGAAGAAAAGAAGCGACACACCTTCTGTTGATTTACGTTGGTAATTGAGCAGAAGCTGGGGAATGCGTGAGCCGAGATATAAAATGGCACATAGATAGCCAAAGACTTGGCCCCAAAAATCGAAGGTGAGCGGCGCAGACGAGTCCACGGTCTTATCGTTTTTGGTCTTGTTCACGCGAGAACTGACATACCACCCCAGCACACCCGCAGCACAGACAAGGATGATGACAAAAGTGTTGAGCACAGCGGCTTGGATATTAGAAATCGAGGAGCGTGAAGCAGCACGACCACCGTCAAGTCCAACAGGTGAAACGGTGTCCACGAAAGGAGTTGCTGGGGAGAGATGTGTGCCGTCAACTTGAGTACTTCGTTGATACTGTTGTGGTTGTTGATGATGGTGGTGGCTGCCATTTCCATGACCTAGTAATGCCGTCCCCTCCGACACGACTTCACCCTCATGGCGACCTTGCTCTAGCTCGCCATTTTGTTGACTAATTTCCGTACTCTTCTTAGCCTTGTCACCCGAGAATAAAAGCCCTCGGTAATAAAGGCATTGTCCTAGCAAAACAATATCTGCAAGTGTATAATATATTGCCAAAATAATCATTGTTGGTAGCACACCCTGGAGCACAGCTCCAAGGATATTGAAGACATCGCCGGCAAGCCAGACGACAATGAAAAGTAGCGAGAGACCATCGGCTGATCTACGTCGGAAATTTTCGATGATTTGCGGCGAAAAGACAACAACCCAGCAGGCTATTGAAATCGAACTAAAATTAAGAGTGTTAGCATGTGTAATCTAGTCAATTCACTTCTTCGATTGCGCAGAGAACTAGAGAGTAGGGATAGCTTACGTACCCAAGAATACCGCTCAGGGCTTCAATGTCTATATTATTATATTGTGGAGGAAACATGGCTCGGTCAGGACAGTATAATAGAAGTTATTTTTTTCCTTTTTCGAAATGAAATCACTCAAATGATTTTGTTCCAGTCGTGGACGCTCAAGCAGACAGCCGTTATGTAAGGCTGCTGTTCACTCTATGACGGCACGAGTGATATTCCGAACCCTTCCATGCGAGTAGCTGCGCAGTCTACTCAGCCGGCTTATCCAGATGATATGATTGAAGCTGTAAATATTCGGCAGCAGAAGAGAACGTGCAATTGCAGCAGTGGAATGAGGGGAAAGCCGACGTTGTATGTACCCAGAGAAAAAATCATGTCATGGGGTCACGTGCATCTTTCTGATTGGCTGAAAAATCTGGGGAAGGGGCGGCTCTAAAGTTTGTCTTAGCGCGTCTCACGCGATTCATCTTAGATCTTCCTAGACTTCCACGCTACACACATCGACTCCAAGTGTCAAAGAAATTGCGGAGGGAACCCGAAACGAGTAATTGTTCCTTGAAGCTTGATGTCTTCAATCCGAATATTTTGCGTAGAACTGACAAACAAAAAAACACAAGAAGCTACAACCGACGATAAGCGAGTTCACATATACATACATGTATAGCACCAGTGAAAAATATGCCGTCAGGCTTTTATATTACGTTTCATTTTGTTGTCTTCTCTCTCTTGTGCTTCTCTTGTTGGCATATAAATATAAGATCGGTCCACTAAAGCGCTCGTGTAGGCTTTTTGGTATGGTGGTGGGATAATCCATCTCTCACCAGTTGGAATCACTGCACCCTTTTTACCGACTGCGTTTCCCAAGCTTAGTCCCCAGTCTCTGTCATGCTCAGGAAGTCAAGTCGATCATACGGTACCTTTTGCTTGAGGTAATTTCAGTGTGCGATTATCTCGAGACCGACCTCTTGGTTGAGTATTCCCAGACTCGCTTGGCTTCTTTTTCGGTGTTGAGAAAATCAATTATTATCGCCAAAGACGACAATTAAATTTTCTCACATCCTCACATGGCTCGATAGCCCGTGGGCCAAATATGTTCTTGGTCGTGAATTCTCGGTCTGGAGTACTTTCATTACATTTGACTGCCTGCTGATAAGGCCTGTCCAACATGGTTCTGGAAATGACCCTGTACGCCGTGTTCATCTTTGATTTATGTCCATGGCTGATATAGTACGAAGGGACCTTGGCACTCGTGGTATACTACTCGACGGTTTAGCTTTGCTCGCGGGTCACTTGTCAACAGGTGCGAGATTTTGTCGAACGAAGTCAAATGCAGCGATTTTTGGTATACAAGGACATGTCCTTGCAGAGCTGTAAGGGGGCTTGAAAGAAGCTATCGAATATAGTAGAGGATCCAGCAGATCCCGCTTTTTCGAATGTGGTAGATAATGTGTTGGCTGTGATAATAGTAGGTACGCGTCTGTCAAGGAATTGCGGTCTAAAAAATACGCATGACCAGATACTGTGAAAGCATTATTTCTGAGCTTCTTTGAAGAGTTTAGCGAGGTCATTTCGCTTTTTCTTTTTTGCTGAAGGTCATGCCGCCTTGGGATACGATATATCTTCTGTGCTATTTAGCTATACTCATTCTTCAATTAAAAATAGTTGGAACTTACCTGTTCAACCCGGCGGCTGGAGGATTGGGGTGATATTTAACCCATACTACCATCTGTGTGACTAACAAGGTTATCCACGTCTTAGCCCAGGATCAACGCAGCAGAACGAACCTGGGGAAGGCTTACCGCGAGCCATCGTAAAGGGAGAGATGCCTGAAAATGAAAACAGGAAAAGGTAGTTAAGGGGAAGAAAGAAGAATGAGTTGGCAAGAAGTAAGGGAGAGTGTGAAGTCGAGAAAGATGCTTATATAGCTATTAGAGAATTTTTGATGGAGTTCCTCCATTTTGGTCTTTTGGCATTCATTGCCAGACGCCCCGGGACATCTTTGATATGACAAACACAGACGCCCGCGGTGTGTGTTTGCCTTTGCCCCGTATGTTATATTCCAATAATATAGCATCGTCCTATGCCTTTGCCCGTCGGTGACCCATTTCTATCAGCTGATTCTTTGATTCTTTTCTCAAATGATGGCTGGCTAGGAATCATGAATGCTACTCGACTTCGCACGACAAAGGAAAGAGGTCAAAAAGTTTGCAGTTGGGGCGACAAAATTTATAATGTGCGGCCAAATATTAGTATCCTGGGGGGCTAGGCCCCTATTGTAAAGTTGTTTGCATGCTGTTTGTGCCTGCTCGTTGCCTTGCCTCCTTTGTTTACCCCTGGGAAGTCCTGTTTCGGCATGACGGTATACGCAATGGGAAACCGTAGAATGTGGCTCAATGAGCTCATGGCCCCCAAATACAATGAGTTCGTGTACTTATAGAATGGCGTGGAGCTCGAAAGTGGGTGTGAAGAATGAAGTGCAATTAGACTTGGTAGGGCACGGTAGGGCACGTAGTATATTCGGGTCTGAGGCAACAATAAATGATATAACTTTGTATTCAATAAATTGTCAGGAGCCACCTAAACCTTTCATTTTAAACATCAATATGGCTGCAGTAGCTTGACAAAGGCTCGATCGTGGAGTTATAAATACTTACATCAATAGTCCATATTTGATTACTCACGCAAGGCAACTGCCTTATGCTTATTGAAGGGAAGAGCCGTTTTTTTACCTCATCTTTCTCAGTTGAGGTTTTCTATATAATATTATTTATTCTCTTTCCAGTGGGAACTTTCAATCCTCCCTCCAGGTAGCAGTGGTCGAGCAGTGATTCAGAGGTTTGTTTGCCGTCACGTACCTCGATCATTGTTTCTTAGAGTCAGCTAACTTTCTTGCAGTCTTGCATAGCCTTGCCAAAGAAGTCACCTTCGGGAATTACACTTTAATATCACAAAGCACTTCATATATCTTTGCTTCTGAAGCATCTCAAATCCTTACTATGGATCCCAGCAAGAACCCGGACGTACAAGCCGAGTTTTCCAGTCTCATGAACAGACATATGAAAGTGTTCGACGAGGGGAGTGCCAAATTCTCACAGCGGGTAAAGAGTCTCCATGACTCGGTAAAAGAAGCGTCCGCGGAGTTTGAAAGGGCAAACCAGGCGCTGAAGAAACCGCTTGAGGAGCTGGAGAAATCAGATAACAGGCTTCGGAAACTGTACGACAATCTGGACAAAGCAAATGAGGAGTTAGAAAAGTCACGTCAAAAGCTGAAGGACTTTGAAGAACTCCATGGAATATGTGCTGATGATTTATCCGATTGTTAGGTATGTGCAATATGGAAAGAACCTTTAGTGGATTGTTCTGCTGAAACCTTCTTGCTCATAAATGTCGAACAGGACTTGCTCACGAAACGAACTTGACGTCGCATTGTCGACATTTTCGAGGCCTCATTGAAAGTCCACGACTAACCAAGTACCCAATGAACGTCATGAATCGTTCCTCAAGGCATTCGGGGGCTCACCCGTCGAGCAGAGTCGTTCGAAAGATGGGATACCAACCGAGACCTTAAATCATATCACCGAAAAGGCGTCTGACAAACCAGTCTATGGATTTAATTACTCTGGCTAGAGGCAAGAAACCAAGTTATCTTCCTGGAGACTAAGTAGTTTCGTGTACTATGATCCCAAGAATAGAATAACATTCGTCATATTTCCCACAAAAAAGTTTCAGGTCATATTTCAACCAAAATAATAGTCTATTCTGACTTGGACTTGATAAGAGCAATCAATTTATCCTGCATATCGCAAAAAATATTAATAGCCTACACGAATCAAAAGTCAGAGAAGAGCGATCACCTCTAGTGAAGATGGATATAACGTACCTGCGTCAACTTGTCCTCGCTCTCCCCAGCAAGATCCCGAGTAAAAGCAATCCGGTACGCAGCTTCATCTTTCAAATAAGACATTTTGGGAAGAACGGTCAATCCCGATGTATCACCATCAAAGAAGGACGGAGGAATAGGACAATCCGGCACGGACAGAAGCCCAAGAAGTGGCGGAGCTACCGTTATATGGTCTACGCCTGCCAGAGCAAGTACTTCGTCTGTCGACGTAAGACTGGCGGGTAAAACTTGAGTGATGGCGCCGACTGATTTGTAGTACTTTTGAATAGCAACGCACAGTGTAAAGAGCTTGTTGGGATCGACGAAGCTGGAATATACGGGGTCAGATATACGTCTGTCAAAGCGACTAGTGGATACTAACCCAGGCTCAAAGTGGACCTTGAGTTGATTGACATATGGCGCTACATATGTACATCCTACTTCTGCGGCGAGGACTGCCTGTGTCATGGAGAATAAAGTAGTGGCTAGTGTATGGACACCGGCCAGTTGTAATGTTCGGCAAGCCATCATACCTTCCCACGTACTTGGGATTTTGATGGAGATTCTTGAGCTGTCCCAGGTGGGTGCGAATTCCTTGAAAAGATAAACAATGCCTTGGATTGTTAGTGCTTATACCGTTACAAAGTGGCAGACAGACTAGGCCTTACGAAATGCGTTTGCAACAGTTTTCTCGGTTGAATATGCATAATATGGATTTGTCTGTACATGAATTCGTCCCTGTAGATGAGGTGTGACTTGGATAGCCACCCTCACAGTCTGCAATATCTCATGTTAGAAGAATGCTATAAGCTTATAATCCCTTCTTACAGGACAGAGATAAACATGCCGCAATTTCAACAGCTAGCTCATCGAGCTCAAGGCCGGCAAATCGAGGATCCTTGGTTTCTGCCATAGACCTCAAGAGCGTGCCGGCATTGAGGTGGGATTCAGCGAGTAGTTCTTTGTGTTCGGGTTTGGAAAGTTCAAAGAAGGCGATGGCCTGAGACGCACATTCATTGAGTACATCAGTACGATTTCAAGCCACTTGATATCATAACATACCTGGTTAGATGTGCAATCTTGGAAGGGCCCCAGTGTCTGTGCGACTATGAAGGAGATTCAGCAAGGAACACGAGAAAATAGATCATATAAAACAGCAAGGCACCTTTAGCATCAAGTGTGTCGCAGTCAACCAAACCTCGCGATCGGAGGTAACCCAAGGCAAAGTCTTGCGTCACAGACATGCTTATCGGCTTTCAGGGATATGAATCAAGGGAGTGTTTGTGGGGAAGCAATAGCCAGAACCTGACAACCGGGGTAGACAGCTCTGAGTAAGAGTGATCGAAGCGTGATGAAGTTCCTCGGTGTCTTTCGGATCGCTGAAGTTGAGGTTGTTGTGTGATGCGAGCTAAGCTCCAGGATCTCCCAGAGGGGCAGGTAAGCCGACTGCCTATTTGGGCATTTCCCCGCACTGACAAGGATCTTAAGAAGAACCAATCATGCTGATTTACTCAGTACGTACGGAGTAGCAGATATCAGATTCTGAAGATGGGTATACTTCTAATCTAGTTCAAGACTGCCAACATAACCTAGATTAGATCCACAAGACACAGCGACAGGAAAAAAAGTCCGACGGATCTATGATTTGCAAGATATCCCAGAATATGTAGAGTGGAAGTGTCCCAAGACAAGCATAGATTAACATGTATATGAATTTTTACTGCCTCGCGCCCAATGACAGCGGAGGAAGGAAGATGTTTTATCCCGCGCGGGAACGTCGACTATGTATTATATAAGCCGTATTGCGGCTAACGTAATCCACACCCGAGCGGATCACACCACCGAGCGGATCACTCAGCTCCAAGAAAGCGTCTTGTATAGATTTTAAACCTCAATTTTCAACCCGAAATAATAATTATATACAAAAAATTAATTAGTAATACGATTAGGGCATTGAGGCCTTCTATGCCCGAAAATTCCACACTCACTACATTGAAATTGACGGCGTACACGTGGTTGAGAGGCCGGAAGCTCAGGCTCGGCCGGAGCAGTAGTAGGAGCTTGAGATGCCTCAATTGGCCTATTTATAAGTGCCTGAGCATCCTCTCTAGTAATTCCTTGCTCATGAGATATCTGCTTTTTAGATCGTGTACGCTTTCGCTTCTCTTTCTCATGTGCAGCTCGTAAATCGTGAACTTCCTTCCGTATAATAAGAAGCTCGTTAATACTGGTCTCGTACGCCTTTGACATGCGACTAATTGCTTCATCAATAACTTCAGAGGGGCTCCTTGTACGCCGGCTGATTCGTCGCTTAATCGTACTCAATTGGCGTTTGAATTGGCGTGGATTTTGAGGTGTCTGTAAGCATGATGATTGAGAATCACTAGGTGGATTAGGAGGTGGTGTTGGAGTCTTTAATCGGATAGTAAGTTGACTATAAACTCGATCTGGATCCAATGGAACTAATCCAGTTGCTTTGAAGCCATTCCGAATAGTCTCAGCTTTATATGCCATCGTACGGGCCTCTGGAAAAGCAGTAAGAAAGTCGATTTTATCAATATGATTAAAGCCGAGTCTCATCCGCTGCTCAACAAGCTTTCCATATTGTCGCTTTAGAACTGCAAAACAGCTAACATCGAGAGGCTGTAAGAGATGCGAGGAATGTGGAGGCATGCAGATTGGGATAATCTTATTCTCAGTGCATGTACGATCAAATTCGGCAGTTAAATGGCTTCCATGGCCATCGAGAATTAACATTCGATATTGTCCGATTATCCGGCCATTTGTATGAGGAATAAAGTGATTGATGAGCCAATCCATGCTAATCTGATCTGTTGTCCACCCATTATCACTAATATTGATCTTCCAATCATCTGGAAGGGTCTCAAACCAGCCTTCCTGGGAGTATTTAGTAGCTTTAAAGATCACGTACGAGGGCAAGGCCCAGCCAGTAGAGTTGACTGCCTCAATTGCAGTTACCCATTCTCGATTACCAGGCTGTAGTAGATGTGGACGGCCATATCGATCGCTTCCAGTAATAACCTTTGCGCTCGCGCAGAGGCCCATTGCAAAGCCAGTCTCATCAAAGTTATAGATATCCTCCGATAGGATTCCATACTTGGCTATAGCCTCTCGTACGCGATCAAAATATTCCTCAATTATCTTCGGATCTTCGCATTTAGCACGCTCGTAGTTATATCTTCGTGAAAATCGTGTTTTTAGCTCTGAGCGACGTTTGACTAGGTTATAAACCCAGTTCTCGCCAACTGTTTGATTTCCATGTTGAGAAAGAAGAATATTGGCCATATCTCGTACCATAGAGGGTCGGGGAGGTAATCCTCGCTTATCTAGATCTAATATCCATTTAATAAGCGATTCCTCTTCAAATTGAGTCAATTTATGCCCATTTGCACGTATCTCAGCTTTCATTGGGATACCATTGAGGCGGCGCGAGAGAGTTGTATATGGCACATTATAAGTGCGTGCTGCATGACGAATTGATGATAATTTTCCATTTTTAAAATCGGATATAGCTAATAAGATTCGTCCTTCTTGTTCCTGAGAATTTGATTGATTTTTATTAGGAATTGGTGGCATATTGGCGCGTTGAATATAGAGAGTTGACTCATTTGACGCGCTCGGAGTTGAGTGATCCGCTCGGTGGTGTGATCCGCTCGGGTGTGGATTACGTTAACCTGGTTGGGTGAGCTCCGCCGGCGGGAAAAAAAGTGCTTCTTGGATGGAGACAAGGGTATCTACTTTTGGGCATTCCTACCTCCATCATTCTTAGTAGCTTCTTTTGGAACAAGCTACAACACTCGAGCCGAATTCACACGTTTATAGGAAGCCACCAACCATGCCCTCACCTTTTCTCAATCCCGGCGCATCATCGGCCGCCGATCAACTCGCCATTCTCCATTTGCGCAGAGACAACTTGGTGCCAGCCATACTCAAAACACATGATGACGAGAACAGAGGTTACAACGAAGGAAAAGTCGAGAACAACCGGTTTGGATCGTTCCCTCACAGCACTCTAATCGACAAGCCATGGGGTTCTCAAATCGCGGCGTCGCATGTCGACACTGCGAAAAGAGGAAGAGCAATGCGGGGTAGCAAGGCGCAAAAACGAAAGGCGGCAGTCCTTGAAGAAGGAAACGGGGAAGCAGGAGATCAAGAAGATTCTCAAAATGCTGCTACAAACCCTGATGACTCCGCGTCTGCGACGCCAAAGGCTGCGCCAAGCGGATTTATTCACATTTTACCACCAACCCCCGAATCGTGGACATCGGGATTGCCGCATCGAACACAAGTGGTGTATACGCCAGACTACAGCTATATACTCCAGAGGCTACGCGTTTGGCCTGGAAAGACTATTATAGAGGCCGGAGCAGGAAGTGGTTCCTTCACCCACGCAGCCGCTCGAGCGGTGTTCAACGGGTATCAACCGGCTCACAAGAAACAAAGGCTCGGCCAAGTCTGCAGCTTCGAATTCCACGAGACAAGAGCCGGCAAGATACAGGCAGAGGTGAAAGACCACGGCTTAGAGGATGTTGTCAAGGTAACACATCGTGATGTCTACAATGACGGGTTTTTGCTGGGCGATCCAAAGACTGGACAGTCGCCCAAGGCAAATGCTATTTTTCTGGATTTACCAGCGCCATGGCTAGCACTCAAACATCTCGTTCGAGACCCTGAGGATGGCTCGGCGTCACCGTTAGACCCGTCTTCGCCTGTACATTTATGCACATTTTCGCCCTGTATAGAGCAAGTGCAGCAAACCATCAAAACTATGCGGCAGCTTGGTTGGCTGTCAATTTCAATGGTGGAAGTCGTCCACCGACGGCTGGAGGTTCGGAGGGAGGTAATCGGCCTAGATACAGAAGGAATACCGCGCGCCGCTGTATTTCCCAAATCAGTAGACGAGGCGCTGGGAAAACTACGAGTCGTGGAAAAGCGGATGAGAGAGTACCGCAAAATTCAGAAGGAAGCCCAGTCTGCTGAAGGTGGCATTGTCGATGGTGCTGCTGACAAGGAAAATGGAAAGGTGAATGAAGACGATATCACCACCAAAACAGACGGATCGGTTGAATCTCAGTCCTCAACAGTTAAAAGGAAAGAGACGGACAGAACTACCCCCATATATGAACTCGGTCGCTTAATTCACCGCACCGAGCAAGATCTTAAAACTCATACGTCGTATCTTGTTTTCTCTGTTTTGCCGCGTTCTTGGTCGGAAGAAGACGAGCGGAAACAGAGGGAACTATGGCCATCGCGGTCCACAAAATAGATAGGGGGCATATATTGCAATAAGGAAAAGAAGAATAAAAGATCATAATTTTATGTGTCTAAGTCGTTATTTGGGGTTTCGTAATATGTCCAAGATTTCAAATCATACACATATCGTGGGCAAGTATATTTTCGCATCGTAGCGTTTTCCGAAGTGTATGCATATACAGAGCCTTTTTTTAAAACAACCCTTTTCCCTTCTCTTCTCCGATATAATCCATCGTAGATGGATATTAGGCGTTGTTGTTGTTGTTTTCTAGAGGTTATTCTCCTGGCGAAATTTATCCCATGCTTCGTTCAGCGTACTGAAAACAGCACCTGCAATCATTCGTTGCTCGGTTGTAGCGTTTGTTGGAATCTATGGGTCTGTGGTAAGCGCATGTTTTTCTTTTTCTTTTTTTTTAAAAAAAAAAAATACAAGTATATATATTTTAATGCTTACCTTATCGGGATGCACTTTGGCAATCCCTTTCATGTACTGTATCTTGACCTTGTTTGGAAGAATCAATTCTGACATATTGATCTTCTTCCATCCAGACTCTGGCCATAGTACATTATCAAGACTCCCCAACAAAGCTCGGAGATTGTCCTGCTTTCCGTCCTTCCAAGCCGATAATCTCGCATCAACACTATCCGTGAGGGCGAGTTTCTCCTCGTCGGCTCGCTCAGCTGCTTCGTTCGCAGCTCGAAGACGTGAGACAGCTTCGCCTGTAGCGGCTGGCTTTTGCCCTGAAAGATCACTCAAAGCAGATGTACGAGGTGCTGCTACCTGCGTCCTTTTGTTCGGCGCAGCACGCGCTGCACTAGGCCGAGCAACGGGAGGTGCTGGCGGTTTGCTGATACCAGCCGCTTTCTCACACCTGTTTCGGCCTTGAATACTCGTAGTACCTCCATGGCCTGATTCAACAGCCTGTTTCCACACTTGCGCTGCGTCTGCCCATTTTTCCAGATGCTCGAGAGCTTCCGCCTTGCGCATAAGCGCCTTTCCAAAGAAATCTTTCATGGGTTTGGTCGGCTGGCCATTGCCAGGTTCAATACTTTCGCCTTCGCCTTTAGACGGTCCAATGAACGCTATGATAGTGTCTGCGTCAGAGATAGTCACTTTAGGCTCGCCGATCTTCAAAGCAGTCATGGCACGATTGCTAAGCGCCATTATGGTTACGGGGTGATCAGTTGGAAGATGAGACAATGCCTTTGTGAAAGCATCGTGTGCTGCTGCGTAGTCTCCTCTTTTGTAGGCATCATTTCCGATTTCGCGGTCCTTGTGGGATGATAAGAGAGCTGATTGTGAGACAGAGGGAATATTGCGGGCAGGAGCTTTTGGTCGTGATGGAAGGGGCGTCCTCGGTTTTGATACTGGTGGGCTTGAAGTTGGTACGGCGGAGGGCATGGGTTTATATGCTTGAGGTTTCGAGCCATCTAATAGATCTATACCATTGTCTTCAATGGCTAATGATGATTTTTGATCCTGCTGCGGTTTCGTTGCTGGTTGGGGTCTCCTTCGTCTTGCAGGGCTAACATAGGCCTGCGCTGATTGCTCTTCCAATGCGCTTCGTGTGAGCTGGGTTCGAGGATCCCTAGGAGGATCTTGTGGCCGGCGCGCCTGCTGTTGTTGCTTTTGTTGTATTGGAGGATGTCTAGCCTCGCGCCTCTCAATAGGGCCATCGGTGAAAGGTGCTGGCCGCTGTTGTTGCCGCGGCTCTACAGCATCAGGTCGCCGTGGAGTATGGCGAGTAGGCCGTCCGACATCTGATTCTAGAAGCAAAGCCTCATCTGTGATATCGGCGGTGCGTTCAGGTTGAGCGCGATCGCTCCGTACATCTCCTCGTGCGTCTTCTCGCACAGGTTTCGGAGGACGAGTACCACGCTCTTCGCTGGTCTGAATGGGGACGGATTCTCGCATCCACCGAGGTTGACTGGAGTCTGCTTCGGAATTGAAATCGTGCACAGCCTGTTGTACTTTTTTGCTCCCCGTCTTCCAAAGAGAATTGGCAGTTTTGAATAGCTGGTTACCGAAATTAGTAGCAAGTTCGCCCATGTCTCGATCGCGAGGAACTGGAGACCTGCTATCTCCACGATGCCCGGACTGCCGCTGCTCTAGCTCACTTTCTTTCATCCACGAAGGAACCCCCTGGTTGCGTGCTCTAGGATCCTCTCTCCTACGAGTTGGGGGCTCTTCTGGGGGAAGCCCCGCCTTAGCCCTCGTTTTTTGTCTTGACTCTGCATGTGCTTGATTTAGAAGCCACCCAACAGCAGCCTGTACATCTACCCCAGATTCTGTGTTTTCTAGAGCCTGAGCAGCCTTCTCAGGCGGAAATCCCATGTCAACTAGCTCGGCTACAGCCCGGTCCCGTGGATCATCAGCTTTAGGGGGCGGGGTTGGAACAGAAGCATCCATCTTCGGCCGTTCATTAACCCGCGCTGATTCGGACACAGGCTTTCCAAGCAATCCAAGAAAGTCGTCATCGTCATCCTCGCGCTGCGTGGATACAGGTTGAGCCACTGTGGGCTTGGATCGCATTTGCCCCAGACCGAATGGATCATCATCATCATCACCAAACGCTAGATTATGTGAGTTTTGACGAGTTGGCAAATTCGAGGAGCTGTCCGTGGACCGAGATGATGGAATAGGAAAATTGGTGGAGGCATCCACGGGCGCTGCAGCGTCAAACGCAGCCAGTATATCCTCCTCGTCCGGAGAGCTTATGCGAGGTACTGTGGGGGCCGGTGGCGTAGATATAGCACTTCTATCTTGACCCAGAGTATCCCAGAATTGAGCATCCTGGCCTCCAAACTGTGCCTCTAGCTGACGGCGCTTCTCGGCGTCTTGCTTGGCTTTTTGCTCTTGCAACTGCTTCTGCTGCTCGAGCAAAGACATATTTCTGTTATTCGCACCGGACGCTCCGAAAGACACCAGATTGGCAAAGCTGTCGTTCGCTGGGGTCGCTGGTTTGGACGGCGGATTGGAAGCGTGTCCGTTCGATGACGGCGGTGTAGGACGCCCCTGGGTAGACGGTGTGCGCATTGATGTTAGCAGGGACGCTGAGCCCATAGGTGGAGGTCTGGGATTGGAGTCATTGGAGTTGGAATTCCAGCTCAAACCGACGAGGTCGTCCATGGTGGGTTGAGTAGAAGCGGGGGCGCAAAGAGGACAATGAGGCGGTTTGTGCTGATACAACTGTCAGGATAGGGTCATAGAAAGTAGAGCGAATGTGATTCAGCCAATCATTTCAACAACGTTATCAGAAGTCAGTTGCTAAGCCATCATAAAGCGAGAACAAAGTAACGCGCAATTGAAAACAACGTGCATGGTAAATAATATGGAATGATATGCCTCCTGAGGCAGCCACTCGGATGGCTTGACGTGTGTGGCTGACGCATGCGGGAGGTGCCACTGCCACGTGTGGCTGATGCTTGGTTTGTGCCTCAGGCTTCAGCAGGTCATTTCATCTGACTAGTATACATCGGGCTAGTCTTGGTAACGGTGGTAATCGTCTTGGTTTTTTGTACAAGAATTTGAAAATATCTTTACTTACACTTTTTAGAGCCTGCAATGTCTGTTCTTGCACTGTATACAATTAGTAACCTGCAGTTTCAACGATACTGCCTCGGCATTGCTGCTGTTAATAGGTTAGTGATTCCAGGGACTCTGTATTGAAGATATTTCGGAGCTTCGTTGGAGCATCGGAATCCGGGAGGTGTTCCCGTAACGGGTCAACTTCGGGGTACCCACCCAGTATTTTTCGCAACAATTCCCGTACGCGTAGTACCTGCGAGATACATTCGACTATTGAATGCTAATGCCTCACGGTTAAGTCTTGTGCAACAGTCAGTTCAAAATTGCCGGCAGTGTACAAAGCGGTGCATGATATTGCCGATCTGGATGGAGTATTGATTATTGGATATAGTTTAGTAAATTCATAGTATGGGGTACGAATAGCGCCGGCGTGCTCCGTGTGACGATGCGTCGGGATCTGGATGTGACGCTATTCTTTGTTCGCTGTTTTTGGTATTTGTTGCTTACTCCCTTAGCTCAAGAGTACTAAGTCAATTCTCGCTATGTTCGGTTGGGTGCAAAAAAAAAAAAAAAAAAAAAAAAAAAAAAAAAAAAAAAAAAAAAAAGGGGAGAAGGTGTGCATGCACAAGATCTTGGGAGTGCGGGTTGTGACTGGTGGCTTTCCCTGACTGCAACCATGCTATCTATTATTCTATCTATCTCACAATGCTACGAGTAACTCCCATTGATGTATATGATTTCTCCCAAGTCATAATTAGGCTCTAGTATATCATTTAATGATTGCATATGGACAGTGCCAATATGATAGACAGAGCTATTGATGCTCACGTTTTAGTTCCTAGCGATTGCTAGGTAGCAGTGCTAGTTACGTATGCTGCATGAGGGGCAACTCTTTCCCTGTAACAAATGCCACCTACTACCAAGTAGTAACAGATCTGCCCCGTCAAGCTATCGCGTGTCAGCGAGAGCTAACTGAGTCAGTGCCTAGTGTGTGGGTTTGACTGCAACCCTCGGCGTCACCACGGGGCGGGGTGGTCTTGTCCTGTCTGGATGTGTAGTCACATACATGGATAATAAACATGTACCTATCTGGGCAGTTAGTTGTTCGTTGTTATAATAGAAATAAGTTAGTTACAGGCTTCAGGGACGTACAATTACGTACCCCGTATTTTGGAACCGGTAATTAATTTAGCGTTCGTTATCTGTGCGTTAGCCCGCCGGGAGTCCGTGCTTTGGCACCGTGTACCGCGTCGTATCGTATTGTCATCTCGACATATCTCTCACACACCGTGCTAAATAGCCGATGTCGACGCGTATTGCATGCTATACTTACACTCTATGAGCCAGAGTAAGCACTCGGAAATGGGTCTCCGTCAAGGCGTATGATCGCGGGCTAGCGAGGTGGTAAGTGTGCTGCCAGAGACAAGTAAGGGACTGCCCAGGGTCCAGGCTCCGGCGACCCCGGCCATCACCCGGTCAGGTACTAGCTCCCAATTTTTCCATATCACGCTTTCTGCTCGCTGCACAATTTTCCCTTTTCTGTGCCCTGCCCCTCCTTCCGCTGCTTGCACGTGCCTACAGCTTTTGCTTGCGTTGCTGTGTGTGCTTGTTATGTGTCGGTCTGAATGAAGCAGGCTAACAGCAGCGTCTCTAGTCTCGCGTGCCCGCCGATAATTAATTAATTGTCTCTTATTATAACCAATTATTTGTTGTTACTATTATTCCTGCGACTACTCTGGCCATTCTCAACCCCTGAATCGCAGACCGCAAAGATATCCCCAAGATATCTGTCTACCTGCTCGGCGGCGATTTTCCCCTCCACTTCCCCGCCCTTGGCCACACACCACGGGCGCAAAAAGACACAAGAAATCAGCAACACAATGGGTTTGTTCAAGCGAAAGGATTCGAAACCCTCGATCCACAGCGATCAAGATGAGCAGGACGCCGTCTCCGCGCACAGTACGCGCAATTCGACTGCCTCGCTCAGGTCGTCGGCCCTCAAATCGACCGGAACCCTCCCCGTCTCCATTCCAGAGGTGCCTATCGCGAAGCCTCCAGACCCGAGCCTCGACCCTGCTGCGTATTTGCGAAGTATACATTCCGTGCGGGAGCGCTCTAGAATCGTTATGAAGAAAGCAAGAGCGAACCAGTTGAAGCATTTCGATGTCGACATGGGCAAGTTCGAAGTGACGGCATCATATGTGGTCTCTATTATAAAGGTGCGGTGGTCAATTGCTATATCGCCTATTCACACACACACTCTCTCTCTCTCATAACTAACTTCTTTTTTTTTTTCCCTCTCTCTTTTAGAGAGACTACGCCCCCGATTATTCTACAATCCCTCCCCATGGTCGTTGGCAACACTTTGAGGTCGGCGGCAGACCCCGAATTGCTCAGCTCCTACAGTCGTGGCCCAGCACAATCGATGCCCAAGAACGGACTCGAAGGTTAATTGATCTCTTCCTGATTTCTGTTCTGTTGGATGCGGGCGCAGGCAACAAGTGGTCGTATAAATCCAAGGAATCCGGCAAGATTTTCTCGCGGAGTGAAGGGCTTGCCGTTGCAAGTTTAGAAATGTTCAAGAGCGGGTTATTCAGTAGTGATCCTACTGAGCCATGCCAAGTAGACGGCGCGGGACTGAAAAAAGTCACAGTCGAAGCGTTAGCGAAGGGCATGCAACATTCTGAGCAGAACCCTTTAGCTGGCTTAGCGGGCCGAGCTGGGCTTTTAGTACGACTTTCCGAAGCACTGAACAATCAAGAGCTTTTTGGGGTTGATGCTCGTCCTGGCAATATGCTTGGTATGTCTTGAAAGATTGTTGGTAAAATGGTGATTGACTACTAACCCTGCCAACAGATTATCTACTTTCCCACCCATCAACCCTGGCGTCGTCAGTCCCCATTGTATCGGTGCCTACCTTGTGGTCGGTGCTGATGGATGGGCTAGCGGCTATTTGGCCTCCGTCACGAACACAGATCGATGGTGTCTCCATTGGCGACGCATGGAGGTGCTCCTCCCTGCCTCAGTCTCCCCAGGCGAAGCCCTGGGAGGGAATTGCGCCGTTCCATAAACTAACACAGTGGCTGTGCTATTCCATCATGGTGCCGATGACTCAATTGATGAAGATTTACTTTGCTGGTTCCGAGCTCCTCACTGGACTTCCTGAGTACCGGAATGGCGGTCTTTTAATCGATATGGGGCTGTTGACGTTGAAGGGCGAGGACATGGAAAGGGGTATCCAAGCGTACAAGGACAACGCACGAAGAGAGGGTCAGCCAAGCATGGAGGTTGTTCCCCTCTTTTCCGCTGATGATGACGTTATTGTCGAATGGCGAGCTGCCACTGTAGGTTTCTTGGATGACTTGTTAGAGGAAGTCAATGATCAGCTTGGTCTACGGGGAGACGATGCTTTGTCTTTGGCTCAGTTACTTGAAGCTGGCACATGGAAGGTAAGTCGCTGTTGTGTATGCGCTTCTCTCAGTGATCAATCTCTAACCAATCAATCAATTCAGGGTGGTCGCGAAATCGCCGAAGTCTCGCGACCGAATACCAGGGAGCCACCGATCATGATCATATCTGATGGTACCGTCTTTTGATGTCTCCCTTTTATTCATTTCACCAAAAGATTTCTTTCTCCTAGCGCTCGCGCATATTGCCCTTCGACGACATGACATGGACGAGTTGCCTGTCTATAACTATATTTCACTTTGATTCCCTTTTTTCTCCGTGTCCGTCCATATTTCACCGAGACAGACGCTTGATTGACGATACCAATGGTTCAATAAGCTTCCCTTCCCCCCAACAGCAAGACTTTAATGCAGTCATGGGACATTGCATGACTGTAGATTCTATCGGAATATCTTATGAAGTGGCCGGACCTACTCTCAAAATATATGATTGACTATAACCATTCTATCCCTCGCGCCAGCCGTCTACGGTTTTCTTTACTTCTTCTTTCCTTCTTGTACACCTTTTATGTTCGTTTGTGATGTATACTTGTATACAGGGCTTTCAGAGAATACAGCCTCGATTTCATATTGCTTGCAGTCAGAAAAAAAGTATGTATATATATATATACTCTCATCACTCGATAAAATACCCCACTGGACCCTCTAACCATTAGCGGCCCATTAGTAATGACGCATGGACATGGGCTTACCCGTCTTGCCGTACTTGACTATCATCAATTAAGCAACGCACACCACATACATAGCTCGACACACCACGCTGTTAATTCGTTTATGCTATAGACAGTTTTGCTCGTCTTTCTCTTGGTCATACCTGTGCATGCGATATCCATATCCCGATCTGTCGGCTGACATGCGACACGGCGCACATTCCTCGTCTGACCGATAGCCTCCAACGCCTGTCGACTACAACCGACAACGCCAACAACCAGTTCCAGCATGGATCTCCGAAAGAAGAAGAGGAAGGTGCTTTTAATGGGCAAGAGTGGCTCTGGGAAGTCATCAATGCGATCTATCATATTCAGCAACTACGTTGCAAAGGATGTGCGACGGTTAGGTGCAACAATTGATGTGGAACACAGCCATGTGAAATTTATGGGAAACCTGACGCTTAATTTATGGGACTGTGGAGGGTATGTATACATGTATTTGTTGAAGGAAGTGGGGAGCTGTCTGACATTGTCTAGGCAAGATGCGTTCATGGAGACTTATCTCGGCGGCCAGCGAAGCAACATCTTCTCCGACGTTGCCGTCCTTATATACGTGTTCGACATTGAGTCTCGTGAAGTCGAGCGCGATCTTGATACATACAATTCCATCATCGAGGCGTTACACCAGAACAGTCCCAGCGCCCACGTGTTTTGTCTAATCCACAAACTCGACTTGATTCAAGCCGAACACCGACAGCGGATATACGAAGAACGGTCGTCCCTCATTCGCCATCGCTCCAAGCACTTCGATATAGATACCTTTGGAAGCAGTATTTGGGACCAATCCCTCTACAAGGCCTGGGCGGGCATAGTACACAAACTAATACCAAACCTCTACGTCATCGAGCGCTTCCTCAGCGCGTTTGCAACCAAGATTGACGCGGAGGAAGTGATCCTCTTTGAGCGCTCGACATTCCTGACTGTCACTTCATATGCATCGGAAGTGGGCAGCTTAAATCCCATCTACGACCGCCATGAGCGTCTGTCCAATATAATGAAAGCATTCAAACACTGTGCTGCGCGCAACACGCACACCACACCGGCCTCCGCGGGATTTTTGGTCATGCACACCAAAACGCCGCAATTCAACGTCTTCCTGGGCCGATTCACTGATAACACGTATATCTTCGTCGTCGTCCCACCGGGCGAAGCATCATACAACTGCGCCATTCTTAACACAATGCTTGCCCGCGAAGGATTCGCGAAAGCTGCTGCTGCAGGTCACGGTGGTGATGGGTTCCCTTTACCAGTCTCAACGTCGTCAAACACAGCCAAGGGAGTACTGAATAATGGATCAGCACACCATCCGGACCCTATGCGTAGCGAATGAAAAGGAAAAAGACAAGACAGACAGTAAGAACAATAAGAACTTTTCCAAGTCTGAAGATCTTTCTGAATTTTTAATTTTTTTTTTAATTCGTGGTCACATTATCGCTTCTCACCCCGATTGGCGGTTGATTTACTTCTGTTGTGTCTATTCAGCGGAGGCGTTTTGTTTAAGTTGCTGCTATTTCTGCTATTATCATCTCATGCGTGAATGAATTTGGATCTATGCAGTGCAGTGCGGTGCATTGCAGCCTTGGGAGTGGTGGTGCTGGACATTGATGATACATTAGCAAGAATCATGTACATAGCATAAATCAATATGCATGAAGAGAGAAAAAGAAAAAGGGATATTTCAGAAGACATGCTCTTATTTGCAAACATATCACGTGATTATGAGTGTTGAATATTTTGGTAATCGAAGTCATCCCGACAGAAACAGACTAGGGAGAGAAAAGGACAAGCTTGTCTATCATTATGATAGAATATCGTGGTTTTGACTACTGATGTTAATATCATAATAATAAATAACTTTGACTCGCTTGTGCTGTACAGTACAGTAGCTGCAACTGTACTCAAATAACATCATTATTGTACATCTGGTAACCGGACGGCGATGTCGCCTGATTGTGTGATGTATCGCACCCAGGGTAGAGATGGGTATTGTAGCTGTGAAAGAGAATTAGTTAGTTATAGTTTCGACAGACAACGGGGATGAAAAAGTTCACCTTCGGTTCGATAATCTTCAGATACCGCACTTGTATACCACTTGTTGTAAAGTACGGTATCTCGAATTTGACGTTTATAGGACGCTTCCCCTTTCCGGTCTGGCCTGCTCCTCCCATGCTGCCTCCAAATCCACCGGTCATACCGCCGCCGTGCTCGTCGTCGCCCTTCACAGAAGGCAAACCAAGCTCGGCACGCATAAGGAACTCCTTCCCACCACCGAACTGTTTAATTTTCCAGATAATTGCCGATTTCTCGGGCGCGTAGTGGACCGATCCTATGTTGGTGCGGAAGCGTGGTGAGTCTGCATCCTCGGGAACTGGGACGAGAATTTCGACATTGTTGGCAGTGCTGCGGCGTTTGAATTGGGCTTTTGCCTGTTATATTATTAGTTATAGTTCATGGTTCATTAAAGAGAGAGTGTGTGAGCAATAGTGTGTACCTTCAGCATGTACTCGATTCTTGAGCCAGAATGCGACTCTACTAAGCATTCAACCCAAATCAACGGTTTCACTTGTGTATTGAGACGATAGCTCATCAACTCAAACTCTCCGTCCGGCGGAATGAAGCTGATTGTTCGGTCGTTCTCGAATCTTGATAGACGGACACATTGATGGAACTTGACATCTTCCATTTCGATCGCTTTGCCTCGAGTCGCACGCCCCGTTGTTTCAAACATGACTTTATCGTTTAGCCCCAAGCGCAGCTCAGGCATTCCGCTAAGATAGCATTTCATCTTGATAGCCCCCAGGATCTCCGAGCGCAGGACATTTCCGCTTGCCGAAACCAACAGATTGAGCGACTCGACAACATCCAAGAACACTTCGTTCTTTCGATAACGGATACCTTCGCTTCTCCACGAGACTGCGTTAGTGACAGCAATGGGTGGCCGCGCCTGCACCTCCAGTTTATGTGACTCTTGTGTGATATATCTAATACTCGTCAGCCAATCCTATATTCCTCCAAGTTCGAAAAGGCTTTCGACTGACTCTTGTAGAATCTTGCTCTCGGTAGTCTGAGGGTATCCAAAGTCCATCATTTCGTCCAACAATTCGTAGATGACAACAAAATTGTCCCGAATACTCTCCTCCTCCAGCTCTTTGAAATATTCAGTGAAGACTTCAACGATCTTGTGGAGGAACAGGAGGATTTCCGTTGCATTGGTGTTTCGTTTCGTTAGCGCGAGAAGGTAGAGGTTATTATGGCGAATATACAAGTACTGTTACGACAGTGTTCCAAGATTAGCTGCAAACTATCTCGACCGCGGCGGGGCAAAGCGAATTATACGCACGTTGATGCCTTCGTGCGAGAAGCAAGGAGGTACAGCTGAACTTTCTTCTTCGGCTTCACTGAGAAGAATAGGGAATTTCTCGACTGCTGACATCGGGATGTCACCGCGATAATTGCGGGCAAGGAGAGCCTGTGACCAGCAAGCGCACACACATACATCAGCACTATTCCGAAACCATAAACTGTCGAAACAATGGCCATACCTTGCCCTTTAGGTCTAGAAAGAAAACAGCCGACGCCATAGTGTGAAAGTACTGTGCGAGGTCCTCCGGGCGAAGTCAGAGGGAGGTAGATAGGGTGTTGGCGCTTTGTGTGTGCACAGCTGTGGTTCACGAATATACCGAGGAAGATTCAGAATCGCATTGCGACAAAGACCCCTTCCCAATGCAAGTTCCCTTTGTTTATAGCACTCAAGTCACGCGGACCTTCAAGGAGACGATGGTCACGATGTTGTTTATCAGCGACTGCGGGCAACTTCACTATGACTTCCAGTTTCCAGAGTCCACATGTGGCCCGTCCGGACTGGACCAATCAGAGCGCTGCGTTATCCGCCTTCTCAGGAGTTCCGCAGCCCAGCCAGATTAGGCCTAGCGCGGGTCTGCAATGCACATATTTTTTCTTGCTTTAGCGTTTCTCTCTTCTCTCTCTCTTCTTTTTCTACTTCAACGCTCTCTATAGACAGTGCAAGACAACACCTGTTTTACTCTGGCTTTCTGTCAGGTGTACTCACCAGGCTTATCCATTGCTGACCCTTGCGATATTGAGGTGCGGAGAGTAGGATTTTTATTTCGGCGATTCCATAAGAGCTGGCTGTGCATGACATCTTTGGACGTCCTTTACGGTTGCACAGGCGGTGTCAGAGGAATCATACATACTTTTGTTGACTACATTCTCACTTCTAGTAACCACTTCTAGCATTAGAACATGTATCAGATATGTATTTGGAGGAGATTGGCCGGGTCAAAAGTTAGGTATATAATACAAGATGCTGTTCAACCAACTCAAAACGTACATCACCCCTTTCTAGTATAACAATGCATCAAACGGCCACATTCAACCCAAAAAAATATAAAATACATGAAAAAAGAAGAGCATTAGCTGAAAAATATAAGTATCTTTTTTCCCCCAGAGCACTGAGAAAACTGATATGAAACGCCGTTGAAAATGCTCCTTCCGCTAACCCCGTTATCAATTCAAGATCGGATAGGGATCATGCACTTGTCAATCCTTGGGGAGCTAATATTCGTTCTTGGGCGAATTTATTTGCTGCAACTCCTCCCCTCTCAAGTGCAAGGGCTCCAACGATGGCATACAACGTGTGTGCGAGAACGACATCGACGCCGGACTGGACTAAGTCATTGGGCTGCGGTTCACCAGATGTCAGCTTAACATGTACAGGGCCGTATAGTAAAAACAAAAGGGAAGGATCTTTTTGCATGCTTACATTTCTGGGTCCCCATCTCATAACCCTTACCACGTCGTATTTCTGCGCGAGCTTCGCCATATTGTTCCTATGCGTAACCCATCCACGTGAGTTATGGGAAAGATTCTCCAGTCCCGCTAAAGCAGGATGATTGAATGCTATCTTCTGTTCTGCCGGGCTTAGCGGAGGCACTGGGTGTTTGTATTTGGTTGGATTCTGAACTAGGCACAACGATGCCTGCAATTGTACTATCCTCTTGCCTGTACAATCGTAGTTTGCAATTAGCACATGTGAAGAGGAAAGAGAAAGAAATATTATGCGCATTCATCTCGTCCTATCCATAACCGGAGACAAGGAGACATACCGAGTAGCGCTAGGCGGTCATTGAAACCTCGTCGACCCTGATCAAAACTCTTATGAGTCACCGCCAACCATTTGATATTCTCGGATAACATTTTGTCTCCATCCTTTCCCAACAGTGAAATATAGAACTTGTCCAAAACCGCCTTGTCTTCGTTGACGGGATAATGTGGGCGTTTACTCTCAATTGCATTCAGACTGAACGGAGATTTTGCACCAGGAGGAGTGTACGACCATCGTGGCTTTTCTACCTGTTCTTGATCTTCGGCGCAAGAGGACGAGCTCGAAAACTTGCGTTGTGAGCACGGAATCGAAGACGGTCTGAGGGAAGAGCGTGCTCGCGACGATAGCACTCGCATCGAGTGACGAGTGACATTTGTGGCCATGGTGTAGCCGGGAAAGGAAAGAACGACGCGGGGGAGAGTTCAACGAAAGAGGAGTTCGCCGTAGCAATGGTGTTCTGGTTAATGAATGATTGGTGTTATGGAAGCGCTCGGCGACGATAATTGATTATTTGGAGGAAAGATTTCTTGTTTCCGCACTAGCCCGTTTTAGTCAATACCTCAGGTGCACCGCCAAGAAAACCCCCTGAACAAGCTTAGCTTCATCTTGACTACCAACGTTGAGTATCACTCTCTAGTTCTATACCACAACATTCGCCAGCTTGAATAGCGACCCAGCCACTAGCATGAAGAATGATCAACTGAGCATCCCACGATACCAAACGCTAACTAACTCATGCAGCACTGAGTCGCCATTTCCTTAAACGGCGGCGCCCAGAAGCCACTCCAATCTTCTTCAATCTCACTGTATCTTTATCTCAAACATCCTCAAGGCAGTCAGCAATTCTTAGGACTCGAGGCAAATGCTGGCAGAATATACAGATGCGATGTTATTTCCGACTGCCGTTACACAAACGAAGCCTCCGTCGAAGGATAGGCAATCAAAAGCATAGGCGCCCAGTGTGACATCAGCTCGGTCCAGTAACAGAAGGCTAGTTTTGTAGGTGCCCTAGATGTGACTAGATTGCGAGAAGTGGACAATTTCTGATGGTTCTATTTTGGCCACTCTCACATCGAAATTAGACTTTTCGCTGTCAGTCCGATGCCTTCGACGCTCGTATCCCGTAGAGGAAATGGATCTCATACAATGATATCCAACTCCACGCAATATTGAAACATAGCCATATCATGGAAACACGTGGTGGCCAATGGTCGGTGGGACATTTGGAATCTGTGGCCGTACACGTTTCATTTCTGGTGATACGAAGACTTCGAGGCAACTAGGTAGATCAGTCTCGAATCTAAGACAGTAGGGTGCTGGTTTCAAATTATACTACATGCCCACAGCCTTAGAAGTCGGGTATATGCAATGCTATGAACATGGTCCAAACAAAGAGAGACCGACATGGCGGATGGGAAGAAAGTCTGTGTCACTCCTTCACAAACAATAATAAGAGCAGCTAACTGCCTTTTCCCCATCATTGCTGGGATGCTGTCACACCGACGGCCAGGATGAGCAGAGGTGAACTGCCGTTGGCCGTTGAAGACATTGGATCCATGCATTCAGTATCCGAAACTGACAGTAACTACTTTTTAGCTGTCAAGTAGTCTCAAAGTGTGTGTAGACATGCTTCTTCACTGGAACTCGTGTATTAATCTCTCGTAATAGGTATACTTCTTTGCTGAAACTAAGTCAGATCATTGTATGATTTCGAGATATCATAATATAAGCTACGCACTAATCACTGTATCATTCTTGGCTGCTCAAAGCTCTTTGGAAATGCGCGCATTGACTTTGTTCGAATTCTTCACACCTGCTTCATCCTTCTTTTCTATGCCCAATAGACGTTGCTCAAGAAACGGAAAGACTGAGTAACTGCCAGACGGCTATAGCATAAGCTATTTGATAACTAGTCTAGCCCTAGAGAGATTTGTGAGATGTACTTTCCATTGAAAGTAAGTATAAGGTAACCAGAGCGACCATCAGCCCTTAAATAATCGAAGCGGTCAAGACAAATAGAGCTGCAGTGAGGCGGCCAAAGCACAATATCTCTATTCCATTTGTACGGATATGAGTATGAGTGCTGCTGCCGTACGACATGGGGCGTCGACTTGACTACACACATGTGTTTCCGTCACCTCGGCAGTCATCCGTGAAACCTGGATCGGTCTTCTTCAAGTAGTTTTAAGCCCTGTTTGGTAGTTACTTGTCCTTTTTGGCGGTTTCCTCGACAAGAACAAACAAACAAGAAAAAGAAGGAAGACGAAAAGGAGGCTGTACGCTATCTGTCCGTTGGGCTGCAATGGAAGAGACAACAAGCACATAACGCTGACTTCAAAAAAGTCTGAGATAGCGGTCTGCAAGAGCATTGATCCAATCAGTTGAAGGTCTTCAAGACATATTAAGGGTAGGTGTTTGTTGACTGTCCGTATTGATGAAGGTATAAAGCAAGCCCGAGATACTCCTCTCGAGGACAATGAAATGTGAAGTTTTCAAGTCTGTCAGCCTATCTCTCCAGTCTCGAGGGGAATCCACTGCACTCGTTTAGATATTTGTGTCTTCTTCCAACTACCGTTCAGGTTATGCATATCATAGCTTCAAATTCTTGCTTCTGTTCAAGTTGAACCACATTTACAATCCTCGCATACTCGAGATATCTTGCCCTAATTAGTCGACGTCCAGTCCAATACAGTACACTTCCAAGAGCATCAAATCATCGATATATACCCTCCATGGCGACACCAGTCTCCAAAGTACACAAGAAACACCAAATCTGCATCATGAAACCGTGCAGCAGCAGCGAAGAAGGCATGGATGCAATGTCCCAATCCGTCCACTATCCACCTTCGCCTCCTCCTTTCCCTCCAAATCCACCTCCGAGTCCCGCTCAGAGGGTTCGTGAGTGCCAATGATGGATTCCCTCTTTCTGTTTTGTCGCTCAGGTATGGTCAATTCAATCGTTTTTGGTAAGGGACTCCCAATCCATTCCAGAACACAGACTCGTTCGAGACTCTCTGTTGACAACAATGTAACTGATGTGATCAGAATTAGAAGGAGGAAATATAGTAGCCAGTCATATTCAAAGTCTGAATCGGGGTTGTCTAATGCGGAAAGGGAGTCAGATTGTTCAAAGTCATAATGTTGATGGACTCAGTGTATTGGCTGGCGGGAAGAAATTCAGACCTGGTTGATCACTCTAATAGTATAGAAATTCGTCTTCCATGTAACTGAACTGTCTACATTAGTATTTGAAAGCCCAAATTCCGATCTTCATATTTGCTTCGTATGTCAAATAGATTTCCATAGTGACAATCTATACCACCTTCATAACCAATTAACACCACGTAACAAAAACTAAACAGAAAGAATACAAAGTAGTCCAGTGTAGAAGGCAGTATATATCATGCCTCAAGATGGTTATAGTTATCTTTTTAGTACGAATATAGCATACACAGGGAAATGTTCAATGACAGACAGAAATATCCAAACACTTTGATTTACAAAGCAAGGTAAAGAGCACTTAGCGTGCTAAGTGCCACCACAGTCCAACCGGTCTGAATAACCTGCTTGTTGGTGAAGAAACGACCGGTATCCCAGATCAAATGTCGCACGCCGTTGAAACTGTGGAAGGTGAAGGGCATGGCAATGCTGAATTTAAGCAAGACCTTAGCTAGCAAAGGCAGAGCGCCAAAAGCAGCTGCAATCGACGCAGACTCAAGATGCCAGCCAACGACGGGCGAAATGAGGTAGGCGGTGGCGAAGACGTAGAGGGCACCAGAGAGAGTCGAACCCGTAATGCGATGCAGACCACTAGCGTACCAGGTGATCTGAGGACGGTAGATGGCTAGATGGGGAGAAACCGGGCGCTTGAGACGTTGCTGAGCAAGGATTTTGGTTGGGTCGGTTGTGTTTGTTGTGGAAGAGGTTGGTCTATTGGTAGTAAGCATATATACGTTAGTCGAGAGCCTTTCCTGCGATCCAATAACAGAAATTGGAGAGCCGGGAAGCAAGTCCAAAAGGGGGAAAGCAAATACCTCAACTGCATATAGCGTCCAGTAGCAATGGCAGCTGGGGACGCGAACTTGGCCATGGACAAGGTCAATGACGAGGGGGATTGCACGGCCACTTGATACCGGTTAGTGCATGGTCATTCATGGAACTGGGAAAAGCAAACATACATCGCCGCAGCGATTGCTGCGCAACCTTCTGGGAAATCATCGTGAACTATCTTTGAAGTGACAGCAACAGCAATTAACCGTTTGCAAGTAGACGGAGAAACGAAGGCTTGTCGGCAAAATGTCGACGAGCGTCACGGACGGAGAACCTCGGGACGCAACTGCGAATTCCGGCTTCCGGCCAATCAGAGAGGGCCCAAATGTCAGGCTCCAGAAAGAGCAGGCGGTGAGTATTCTACTAGCCTCTTCAATTATTAACCACACAATTTCTGGTTTTCCTCTTCTTCTTCTTCTTCTCTTCCTTCTATCACGGGCCTCATGTTCACAACCTGAACTATATCACTGCCATGTCTGTGGACAAATTTGTGTCTCATTGCTTCGGCTTTCTGTCGTGATCGCAGAGACTTGTTTTCAAGGTCCTAAGAGGGATTGCCCGTCGTTAATCGCCCATTCTTTTCTGTCAATGAAATGGAAGGGTTTCATATCAGGGATACATAATGCATACATATATCTTCGATATTGAGTAAGTCTATACCACATAGGTGCCTTATAATTTCAGGTCTGTCACCTGTATTTGTTAAAGCGCGCAAGTAAAGTGACATTACAACGTTACATATTTAATCTTGTAATGTGAATAGACTATGTACACGAGACAAAAGTACTTCTTGAAAAACTTAATTATTAAATATACATGAGACGTGTTTCTCATCAATCATGTCTCCCCAATTCGCGTGCGAACCTTGGAAGATTTCTGGATGCCATGACCTGGAGAGTCCTCGGATCCGGAGTCCGGGACGTCAGTGTTCGCGGAGAACAATAGAGCCTGCAGGTCTGCTGAAATATTCGACACCTGCTGAAGTATGCTCGACATCGACGCTTAGCCTGCGCAAGCCTTGCGGCGAATGAGGCATGATGTGAGGTGAAATGCTTTTAGTGTTCGCTTCGTAGCTTGTTAATGTTCACTGTTTGGAAGCAAATCTTCTGTCGAAATAACGCAAGACACCCATAACACTAGCAGCCTCAACCTCCATTGCCGGCCGCTCAGTAATGGTAGGTCCGAGACTGTCAGTCAAAGAAGGCTCGCGTGGCTTGGGCAGCGTATGCAACTTGGGAAGCCAAGTCGACAATTCATCACTTGCTTGTGAGAAATTTGGATGGCGTGAAAGTGTTGTAAATGCATCAGCGCAGGTCAAAGTAAGAGGCGATGTCTTGCTGGGCATCGAAGTTGAGGGACGAGGTGCCGGCCGAGACTGGCAGCAACCACCGTCGGCTCCTTTCCCGCCACAACATCCACCAGACGAGCCACTAGCAGCTCGAGAAGCAGCAAGTGTTTTGCAGAACAGCGTACTGCGAGGATCGGCTCTGCACTGTGCGCAGGTTCCTGGGCCATTGGCGCATGGATTTGTCGCTTGACTGATAGACGGTAGTGTCAGCTCCCGTGCATCCCCGTCAGATGGCGGTGGCGTGAATTGTGAATAGTTCTGAATCGGAGCCAAGCGATTCTGCTCGTATATATCATGTCTAGACTCTTGGTCCGCCATTTCGGCACAGATACATGCAGTGCCATCTCCACAAAACCCGCAACGCTCAGCAGGCGGGGTCGATGTGGTTTTGTTCTCTACTGACACTACACCTCGGGGGGCAGAGAAACGAGCTGTGAAGTCAATCTCCATTTGGTCTGGGTCATATTTAATTGTCAGCTCGGAGGCTGAGCGTTCATTGTCTTTCTTTTGCTCGGACTCGTCGCTGAAGTTTGTGGCTTGAAGGACATCTTCGACGCACTGACAATGCGTGGTTGAACAACTTCCACAGCCTGCGGCCACCAAGTCGAGTTGCTCATTTGAAGCTTGAGGCTCGGTGGCCTGTGTATTGAGTCTTTTGTGACTTCCTTTACGGCGTATGTTAATAGGAACTGTATCGGGGATAGTTTCATGGCTATATTGTTGGTTTCCTGCTTTTCCTTTCTGGCTTCTCTCGAGAGAAAGCTCCTTCTCCAGTGAATGGCATCGATTTCTCCACCAAGAAATATCGGAATGAGCCTGATCAAGGTCCTTGGTGAGTTGGGTTATTTGATTCCGGAGCACCAGCTCAAGAGCGTCGTGGTCATCTTCGATTTTCTTTATTTGTTCTTCGAGTTCGCCCACTCGTGCAGCTCGCCTCTCCCGGAAAGCACGTTGAGCCGCGCGGTTCTGGGCTTTTCGTTTTGTAGGCGGAGTGTCGGTAGCGGGCTTCCTGCCTGGTTTTGGCCGTGGCGGGATGACCCATTCCTTAGAGGTCAAAGAACCCGATAGCCCCGGGCTAGGAGACATACTACTCATTCCAGGCTTGGGCTGCATGGCAGGAGCCAAAGCCGGTGCAAGCAAGCCGGTCGACACAGCGGCCGCTGGTGGTGAAATGACGGCCGACGACATGCTGTGGGAGAATATTTATGTCTTTAGTGGTGGTGAGGTGGTCTGACCGACGGTCGGAGTAACCTCGGAAAACTGTGCGGTACGTACGTACTCCCGAGCGCAGTCAGCAGGGAGTATCGCGCACACAGCGTCGAGGGAGATCTGGCAGTGGCCGGTGTGTGCGTGCGTTACGATGCAGTCACAGATACTGGCAATTGATTGAGCTGAAGGGTCTGGCGGGAAGGCGAGGGAGCAGGGAGCATGGAGGGAGAGGCAGGATGTGTCGGGCGGGAGGGGAGAGATTTTGATCAGATTAGATTATCTGCTGTGCGTGCGCATCACGTGAGCACCGGCAGTCGTAATGCCGATGTCGCTGCCTGCAAAGTCTGGGAACTGCTTCATCTTATCTGATCGTTGGACGCATCTCCATTGGCGGGAGCCCAGCGCAGCCCCACAACGGACTGTCTGTGGGCGATCCCACACGCAACTGGCCAAGTCGTCCTTGTCCAAATTGAGACAAGCAGAGGCAGAGAATTCTCTTCTGCTCCTCACTTTGCGCTGGCTGACTCACTTATTTGCCGATCTCGGTTCAAACACGTACCTCTCCCTTCTTTTCCGGCATTGGAACACCCAGCAAAACCTGACCTGGGAGCCGGGAGGCGGACGGGCGTTGCACTCGCTTGCGGTATTTGCAGGTGCTTGAAGTACACCACAGGAGGTCACCTCTGCACAATCGGCCAAATCAGTGGTTCATGGGAATGGTATACATAGCCATCCTATCAATGTTGATACTCCTTAGACTGACTAGGACCATGATCTACCGTACGGCAGCTAGAAAGCAGAACGCTGCACCTACGTACTGATATTACTAAATGTGTGGAGTCTAGTAAAAGAGCAGCGGAAAAACTTAATACGTACGGTAGAGTCTGGTTATAGCGAACGGAAGGTCTCCCTATATCAGAATTGATCTCAGCTTAGATTATTTAGTTTGGAGGTGAAGGGCTAGGGTGCTCTTCATATCCAACTGAACTCATTTCTAAGCATATTGACTAGCGCCCTGAGAGGCCTTCCCTTCGTTATAGTCAGGTGACTGTATGTCCCAACCAAACTTGTTGCTTCTTGGCAACAAGTGTGGAGGATGCTCCAAGTCACCATCATCACGAAACTGCTCTCGAGTACTGATCTCGGAGTATAGGCTTGCTTACAAAGTGTTATAACTTAACTGTCTCAATATCTTGAATTGACCATGTTTTATCGATTAATTGATGATCGTAGAACATTCCTGTTCCGCAAAGGCATCCATCCGAGAGATGTCCCTCCTCCAAATACCCATCTCCTTTAATGTCTCCCCTCGCTTTGACACAGTTGCAACACCATTTATATTTCGCATTCAGCGTAGAAAATACATCTGGTGACAATCAGTGCAGGCACGATTTCTAACTACTTAGGGCTACATGATCACGCTAGTCCGTTCCTGTCCATCGTCATTGAGTGATTTGATTGGCGCGACATCAATCTTGGCACTTCTTTGACTCGTTGAACCAGGAAACTGCTTCATTGTCATAGCATACCACTCGCTCGTGGAATACTTGAACCATGTCTATCAAGACCGTGGCTGTTGCCGGAGGCACCGGGTCTCTGGGCGATTTTATTGTAAAGAGCCTTGTGTCGTCGGGATTCGACGTGACAGTGCTCATCAGGAACGCCTCGTCGTCACGAAAAATCGAGTCCCTGCCCGTACAGGTCAAGAAGCGAACCGTTGACTATACGTCGCATGAGATCCTCGTGTCTGCTCTCCAGGGAATTGACGCTGTTGTATCACTGCTAAACGGACCCGGCCTGGATTTCCAGCCAGCCATTGTCGAAGCTGCCATCGAAACAGGCGTCTCGCGGTTTCTGCCGAGCGAATTCGGTGCAAATACCTTTAGTCCCAAAGCCGCGGAGATTCCGATCTTCAAGGGCAAAATTGCTTTTCAAAAGTATTTGAAAACAAAAGTGGATCAAAATCCCACCCTTTCATACTCCTTAATCATTCACGGGCCGCTTTTCGACTTTTGTCTGGCTCAAGGGCTCCTCTGTGATCTTAAGAATCGCCAAATGACTGTTTATGACGGTGGTGATAACAGATTCTCAACGACCTGTATCACTGACCTTGGAACGGTTGTCTCTGGTGTTTTGAAGCATCCGGAAGAAACAAAAAATCGAGCCATCTTTGTTGAAGGGGCAAATTTGTCTCAGAACGAACTCTTGCGTATAGTTGAGAAAGTCACAGAGGGGAAATGGATCACGACAGATGAAAATCTATCAGATCTGAATCAAGCCATGCATACCGAACTGAGGAAGGACAGTCCGAATGCAAGTGTATTTGTGCCAGGATTCCTCAGGGTTGCTATCTTTGGTGGATCGGCGTACGGCTCGAATCTCAGAGAGCATACCCCCGGACTCGATAATGATCTTGTGGGTCTAGATGAATACACCAAAAATGATCTAGAGGAAAGGGTAAGGAGCATTGTTGCTTGATTTTCTTGGGTTAGCCAGCAGATATCACATTTTTGACGCGTATTCGCGCATTGCAATACAAGAGTTTCGGGTTGTAGGGCAGGGAACGACGCAATTAATTTACTTGCTCATTATTTTTTTTTTTTGAAGTCATACAACACAAGTCATGAAAATGAATAACATAAGTCAAGAACGATTCAAAAATGGGTATTCGTATGAGCTAGGAAAGCCAAGAGTTCGACACGAGACCAGATATAAAAGGCCTCATCTAATCACAAGCGGCTCAAGATATTATTAATAAGTTACGTTGAAAATGAAAAAACAAAAAAAAAAAGTGGAAAAGGAGCCTCACGAAAAAATACCATCATGGCATTTGGCGAGTTTCGACACACCTTTTTTCCTTCAAGCTCATGACAACCTATGTAAAGACCCGTACGCATGAATCTGCGCTCCTGTGGCAATAACGCATTGAAACTTAGACTTAGTAGCACCCATATTTGTCGTTCCGTTGGTCGTTTCGGTTTCGTTCCTAGGACTAGGACCACAGCGAATGCAAGTAACAAAATGGTCATGTGCGTTATCAATTGTCTTTACCAATCTCCCTTCCTGAGAGAGATCCCAGCACCGTATCGTTTTGTCGTCCGCAACTCTGATCAGATGTTTCCCGTTGGGGTGGAATACCAGTCCTCTAACCCAATTATCATGGCCGACAAGAGTTTTAATAAGTCTGCCTCGAGCATCCCACAGCCTGATAGTTTTATCTCTACCTCCTGTCGCAATGAATTCGGACGAACTGCTTGCAGGAGGCGGTTTTTTTAGTCCGGCGAGAGCAGCCAGGTGTCCATAGCTTGCTAGTAGCGCAAAGACACAACACTCAATAAAATTCTCATAGCCCAATAATGCAGCTTTCTGTTCTGCTGATGAAATTTCCCACACTGTTACCGCTTGGTCACGGCCACCTGCGGCCAACCATTTGCCGTCAAATGAAGGTGACACATCCCGAATCTAAGAGTCGTTCACCCTAATCACCTTCACGCAATATCCTGTTGAAACATCCCAAATTCGAATTGACCCATCTCTACCAGCTGAAACAATAAGATTCTCCGTGGATGTCAGAAAGCGCACGGCCTACACAGAGTGATCATGGCCGGAGAGCGTTCGAATATTCGCATAATCCTTGCTCGGATCTTAAAGCTTGACGGTAAGATCGCTAGAATAGGATGCTAGCAGTGTATTTCCCTTTTGTCCACCAAAATCAAGTCAAGTAACCGCTCTTATATGGCCCTTCAGAGTTCCTTCCAACTCACCCAATTCCCGGTCCTATATCTTGATTGTACAATCCTCAGAGCCAGAGGCGAGTGATTTGAAGACGGGGTGGAGTGCGATGTATGTAATAGCGCCTCAATGCGATTCAAACGTACGCGCCGATGACGGTCCAGGAAGCCAATTTTCGGGGTCTTGGCCGCTTGGAGACTAGAAACTCGAGATTCTAGATCAAGTATCTGCATACAAAACAATGAAAGTCGTTGCCCGTTGATCGCGGTTTCCATGTCTAACAGCCATGGGAACTTGTACCTTCTTCTGCAGTCGAGCGATTCCTGTCCACTTCTTTTCCAGCAGTCCTTTGTACTTCTTGCAGGTAGCGTCGTCGAAACTATCGCCGATCTGAAGCTCTTCGCGCAGCGTCGCAACACTCCCGGGAGATGCGTCTATGGAGGAAAGGTAGGCAATCATTGACTTGTGCCTGGTTGCGCATCAGTGGGTGATCACTTCAATTCGTTGGAAGCAGCACGGATACTTGCAGCTCCTCCGCTTGTCTTGCGGTCAAGATTTGGCTCATGGCGGTCTATTGTAGTAGAGGCATCTATTATAGAAACCGAGACGCAACGCAGCTGCAGTTCAGCCTCTCAGGTGGTTTCGCAAGTTGTCGCGGAGTGTGTGGTGGTTGAGTCCAAGTGTTGCCAACCCGCACTGCGTCGAACATTTGTTGTGATGCCCCACATCAGCCGTATGCAATCATAAATAGAGAGAGTCTTGGCATATACAAAGCAGTTTTCCCTACATTGGACGAAACAATGTCAGAGTACATAGTACTTCACAGTCCTATACCGAGGTAGTTGTACACTCTGTAAGGCTTCTGCTCCTTCGCGACTACTGCAGGAAGCTCGGCAATATCTTTCTCCCGCACAGCCAATATTCCAAAGGTAAGAGTGATGACCATGGAAATAATCCCTTCCAACACCTTGGATTCAATCCAGATGGATATCAAAATATAACACCGAGAGTGTTACTGCATTAGGATTAGACTGCTGGATCGGCGTAACCTTATTTGAGGCGGGTCAAACGCTAAGCCTTATACAGCAAGAGATTTACGCTTAATCTGGCGGTCTGTTCAGCCGCGTGTCGAGTTTGACATTTGCTATGCGGACAACTACTCTGTGTACTCAAGTAAAAACCAAAAATCCGTTGAATACATTCTTGCCTAATCGAACAAGCCTCCTTGTACCCGAGCCGTCAATCAAAAATATCCATTCAGTGTGGCGTACATTGGAAACAATCAACAAACATTAAGTATTCACAGTTGTTAGGTGTTTTTTCCTCAAAAACAGGGTTGGCACGTAAGTACTACAGCACAATAAGCAGTCTCACAGCTTCGTCAGTTTTGGCGCGCCAGGGGCAGGTGGTGCCGAGTGTCTGGTCTGCACGAAGACCTTCTGCAAGCCATGCTCTCGCTTGTTAAACGAGGCATACACCTTTTCCATATCAGATATGTCGAATCGGTGGGTGACCATGTCCAGTGGCTTTATCGTATCCTCTTGAATCAATTTCAGAAGGTGATGCCAGTATTTCTGGATAGGCGCCTGGCCATTCCCAATTAATCGAATACCAGTCTGCATGAGCGACCCGATGTTGAAATGATTGCACTAGAATCAAGCAGTGAGCAGCGTATCTTTGGGATCAGTGAGTACCCAGGTTATTGAGGGGTCACAAACATATCCAGCATAAACACCAGTTACGCCACAACGCCCAAAGGCGCGAACTGATGTAATCATCTCATTGAGAAGTTCGGATGTATCAGTCTCAATGCCCAAAAGGGTCTCGAAATAATGCTGCCAACCCTGTGCATACTCGCCAGCAGCACACTCAATCGCAACATCGGGGCCTCGATTGTCGCACATGTCCTTCAATTGGCTTGTAACACTCTTGCCCTTTGGTAATTTTGTGAAATCGACGGTCTCAACTTGAGCCACGCGACTTTTTACAAAATCGAGCCGCCATGCACCTGATCCGCCGTCAATCAAGATGACCCGACTAGCTCCATTCAAGAAACTGAATTCAGCTGCCATTTGCCCAACGGGTCCGGCACCCCAGATGGCTACAACATCGCCTTCGGAGACACCTGTGTCGACGACTGCATTCCAAGAGGTTCCCAACACGTCAGATAGATAGAGACCTTTCTCATCGGGCACGTCATCTGGTAGTTTCAGTAGATTCACGTCACCGTAGGGAACTCGCACCCATTCGGCCTGTCCGCCGGCAAAACCGCCGGTGAAATGTGAGTAGCCGAACATCCCTTGGTTTCAAGGCCAATTAGCACATGTTGTTGCTGACATTCTCTGTTGGAAAGACATTGAAGAATGAAACAGATATAGAGGCTTGTGAGCGAGGAAACCCACCGGCAGTTCGTCGACCATATAACTTGTTCGCCAACTCGTTGGAATTTGTCTGCTCACAAACAGATGAGAGCTTTCGCTGGCAATAGTAACAAGTACCACAGGCAATTTGGAATGAAGCAACAACTCGATCTCCAAATTTGTATTTCGTTGCTTTAGGTCCCGTAGATTCAACAACACCACAAAACTCGTGTCCCATAATATCGCCCTTTTTCATCTCGGGAACAACACCTGCAGAGAATTAAGCTGAGCACAGCACCTTCTCTGGATAAGAGGAACTTACCATGGTAAAGATGGAGATCACTACCACATATTGTGCTCCCAGTAATCTTGATAATAACGTCCGTGTCATCAATAATTTTGGGTTTCGCGGTTTCCACTAGTCAGCACCAGTCAGTCATGTTGATTTCACCATATTTAAAAAAGGCATAGGGCTTCCAACCGAGTTTGACACTATATTTTCCCTGCCATGTAAGAGCTTTCATAGTTTGGCTATGATCGCCACGGTCGTCAGCAGCATAGTTGGGCACATTTTCTGTGATGGGCTTCTGCTCATGAGGCAGGTTGATATCAACCACATTGGCAGCCTGAGAAAAGGCCATTGCGCATCACTCGGTTCAACCTTGCGTGTTTTTAGAGTATATGATGGACAGTCCGATTCATGTCGGATGAGAAATTGATGTGCATTATATTTCTATTATCACTTCTTCGCCTGCTGCTGAGTTCAGTGCTGCTGACATCACCGTGTCGTGTATGTTTCAACATCCCGCCCCTCCAATCAAATGCGGCCCAGGCCAACTTTTTCGTTTTCTACGCATATCCATGGATGGTTTGGAAGAGCACACCTTTCAACAAATGATTTGACGTCGTATGTCTATGGCCCACCACAGCTAACGTGATGGAGCCAACTCATTATGGGGAGCTAGCTGCAGCCGATCTTTGGCTATGAAGTTCGCGGCTGCACCTAGAAATCCTTTTGCGTGTAAATTGAAAGAGAAAGATGGAATAAATGACTACAAGTGGAAGCAGAAGGACTGCATAAAAGTTTCCAGGTTCTTCTGGAGATAGTTTTATTCGTTTGCCTATCCCATAGCTGATTGGGGTGAGTGAAAATATGAAGCGTTAGGTTAGCATGTATAAATCAAAAGGAAAAAAAACAATCCCATTGCAGATTAAAAATCCTCTTATTGTACAAGATATCAAATTCATGCGTTAACCAGCCGAAACAACGTTGGATTTGACTATGTTCGACCAGCCATGGCGGACTTCTGGCGGAGGTAGTTGCGGACAATGTTCTCAACGCTGCCAATATCATGCTTGGGTTGCCTGTGCCACAAATGAAACAAAAAGAATTAGATAAGTATTCCAAAGTGACTTTGATCCAGGAAACGGAAAAGTATTGCAGAACGTACCGCATGTAGTAGATACGAGCTCTCCTCTTCCTCTTCTCAGTTCTTTGCACAATCTCTACACCTTCGACGTTCGGGCTATAAGCCTTGATCCACATTTCCACACCGACTCTTGTCAGATTATTTCTGAGTAAAAAGGATGTATCAACGCCTCGAAGTCGGATGGCCAAGCAAATGCCATTGAACGGATCGCCGCTCTTGAAAGTAACCCGAACAATATCACCGGGTTTAACACTGCGAGGGCTGCGTCGATAGTCGAAAAGAGCCTTTCTTTCACCAATCGGGTCTAGAACGGCCATTTGCCTTGCTGTGATAGTTGCGATGGGGTCTTTGCACACATTCATTTCCGACGGAGGAGATGGGACAATCTTCCATTGCTTTTTCTCTGTTTTCACGCACACAGGGTGGTTAGTCAATGATTCAGATAACAAAGTTTTTGTTTTTCTTTCCTTCTTTTTTTGGAACAAAATTGAAACCATTCCACTGCCTTGTGCTCAAAGATACTTACCTGGTTGTGGTCGCAGTCTTTTAGGGAGCTGTGAATAGTATGATTCCGGTAAATTCTCTGGCAGAGGCACCGGACTTGGCTTTGGCGTATATTTCGTAGTGATTGACCGTATGGCAGTTTGCGGCACACCATTGCTTGGCCGTAAAAAGGCCAGCGGCCGTAATTTCTGTAGATAGCCAGCCATGTCTTCTCGAAAGGGCGTTTCTTTGACGGGAATGCCTCTTGATGGCAGCGGAGAAACGAGCGCTGACACAACGGAGGTCGAGGTGGTCCGAGCGTCTGCAGAATTTCCGCCGCTGGCCAAATCGGTTCAGTTCATATTTATGACCTCTCTTCAAGCTGCGACACTCACGCAACCACGAACAATCATTTATCATTCGCTTTCGTCGGATTTTTTGAGACCCTGGTCTGTCTGCCAGACACTTCCGTTGCCATTCACAATGGCGCAAAATGCCTTGGGAAGGAGGCTTTTTCACTCTCGAAGCGGACTGCAACAGACCCTAAGTCCTCTGGTGCAGAAGAGATGCCAGTCTACTAAAGGTATGCTTTACTAACTATCTCTCATAACTGATGGCTTAACTTAACTATTTTTCTCTTTGTCTAGCGGTGCCATCCTTCAGTCCGACATCTTCCCCGGAGTTGGACCAGAAATTGAATCACATACGCGAAAACCTATTTATTCCGATGTACTTGGCAGAGAACCAGAAGCGCCTTGTCTTTCGCCAACGATACCGAGCCAGGCTGAACTTTGAGCAAGTGAATATCACAATTGGGGACGAAGAATTCCCACTGCGACCCGCGGACCGACAAAAACTGCCGCAGAAGCGGGAAATCAACCAAGCTGTAGAGGCAATGAAGACATCGCAAGATTGGAAAAACTTTATCCCTCTATTAATAGGATCTCGCCATTCGAATTATAAATACAAGACGGAGCATTTCGAGAAATGGGTTAGGTTGGCAGGGAAATCCGACGCGTTTGGGAGCATCCTCGAAGCCGCGAAGCAATCGTCGCGGACCGGGTTTTCCTTTTCTCATCGAACTATTGCCTTCCAGTTTGCATATGCTCTGCACCAAAAGGCTGAGAAAGCAAGCTTCAAGGGTGAACAGGTAGTGACTGCACTACGACATGCTGAGCAAGCAGCTCAATTGATGGATTGGCCGGAGCACACAAACCCGCAGCTCGCAGAGGATCCGAAACGGCAGCCATTCTTCATCGGCCTCCTCACAGAATTGAGTGCTGCCCGTGCCATTGACGAAGCCGGCGGCGCTGATGTCGATGGCAAAGTGCGGTCTTACGTACAGAAACTTCTGGCGACCTGGGAGTTTGCTGCTTTCGATCGGAAAGCGGATACTTGGTACGATACTAATGCTTTGCTACTGGAAGCTGCGCTCATCCATTCCGGTCTAAAAATGGCACAAAAAGTGAAGGATGTTTCAAACGATGCTGCTCTAATGAAGACCATTGCAGAGCGCGTAAAGAGGTTGAAGACTGTAGCTTATAAGGGCATCAAAAAGGCACCGGAGAAGGTAATTGAAAACCCAACCTTGGGACTGAGGGAAGCTCAAGCGATTGCTTGAGGGCTCAGTGTCTTGGGTGACTGTCCGTCTTCCCCTAAAGGGAGTGAGTCTATTTCGAAATTCCTTAATTACATCTAACCACGGCGTTTTGTCAATTCAAAGGGGTCAATGGATGGCTGACATCAACTGTGTACTTTACTATAACTTCGTGTACTTATATGTTCGATCTTTGCATGACATATTTACTAGCCTATTGAATTTTTGGGGTATAAGCTGATCTTAGGTCTGAATCATCACATTTCCTATAGTTAGTTAACTGATGAAGAAATCATTGTAGAATATCGTCCGAAAGCTTCCGTGTACTGCCAATTATGGACAAATAGGAAGACATGAAATTTTAGGGGTCTCATACAAGTCGTGATTTGCTACACTTTTGAATCCGCATGATGTCGATGGTTTTATTTGAGCAATTGCAATGTGTTGTCGTCGCGAAATCGTGCACGCACAGGAACTGTCAAAGAATTCGCGACCACAGCCGGTCCCGCAATCGTAAGCTGAAGATGTTAAACATTAGCCGGGTTACATATACGGATATAGCTGGGGATAAAATCTACCTGTCCTTCAACGGCTCGCTCGATGCCGGAGTCCTCGGAGTGTCCGTCAAGGACAATCTCTACGCTGCTCAATGGAGGACCAAAATGCGCGGGTCCGGCGTGTCTTCTGTAATCAAATATATGTGTCTGAGCGACGGCACCAGCAATACCAGGCACGGTCAGGCCATATACGACGCGGGCCCCAGTGAAGACTCGAAGATCCGTCAATTGCTCTGAGCTGAGAAGGTCCTCTGGGGAACCATCCACGCCGTATGAAATAGCAAGCAATCGCAGTTTTGAAATGGACAGTTCAGCAGTCGGACCGATGTTAGCCAGTCGACTAAGCACATTCTGTGATGGCATCCTGCCGGCATCAAGTGCGCGAGCCTGGACCGAGCGACCGAGGGCTGAAAGAGGACCTGTGTGAGGTTTCATAAACTTCTTCTGATAGTCTGCAATTGTGCGTGCTGAGGACACAACCACACTTGGCGATATGCCAACTGTCGCAAGCGCGAAGTCGGCCCCCTCGCCCGCGACGGAGTTAAAAGCAATTGATGAATTTGAGTAAAGAGCAACCAGTATCCAGGCTAAGGGATAGGGGCGAATGAGCGAGTCTATGGGAAGAACCACGTCACTGGGGTTCAATCGTTGTTGTCTCGGTAGCGAGCTGAGAAGTGCACCAACTGCGGATACAATATTCTGCGAACCAGTAAGCACGGGAATACATGACAAAGGAGCCCAGAATTAAGTAAGTCTTTACCTGAGGCTTATACTCAATGAACTCTCCAGATGTTGGCCACAGAGCAGTTATAGAAGGGGTCGCGGACTTGGGCTCATAGACAGGAACTTCTGTATCCTCCAGGTTCTTCTTCTCCTGGACCAGTTCATGCCAAACAGCGACTTTGAGATTGCCTGCAATTTCTGCTGGAACTTCATTCCAATCCATGTGTCTGCTGCCCTCCTTTGCAACCCACACTACACTTTTCAGCTGCTCGTTTCCTGTTGTAACGACCGTGAGATCAACTGCACCGGCTTCCGCAATCAGCAACTGCGCCTGAACCTTTTTGAGGTGACTTCCTAGCTGCTTCGGCTCCAGATTGTGCGGAATTAGTACTGTCTGGAAGCCATAGAAGGCACAAGCTATGGAATTGTTAGAACGAGCTTCCCAGAAGACCTTGGATTTACTCACCAAATAGTGAAGCCAACAGTTCAACAGAGTCGGATAAACTGATAGCGACAACCTTGGCCTCCGAATCGCGAATATGTCTACCGATAACGTTGATCTCGGCCGTGATGTCATCTATGTTATGCTCGATAACATTCTTTCCCAGGACGCTATATAGCTTGCCGCGCTGTCCAGCAGTGATTCCGTCCTCGCCCGTTGTACCACGGACAGCTTGGCTCCAAATGTCCCGTAGATCACCGTTTCGTCCACCGGTCCACTTTGGAGCCTGGGGATCCTTTACATTGAGGCCAGTCTTCAAGGGGAACCCATGAGGGACCTCGAGGTTCCTGAAAGCAGCCGATTGGCCAGGCTGTCTGATGGGAGCCTCGGTGGCCTGTCGAGCGAGGATGTAAGGGTGAACATCCGGGTCTCTCAGAGAGTATAAAGAGTATGCGAGAAAGACGACGATTGTGGTCGTGATGATGGTTGAATAGGTGTCCCATTCGGCGAATATGCTCGCCAGGAAGCTGTCCAGCCTGGCCAGCCCGGAGGCCTCTGCCATCTTGAGGAGCGACGGGTCCTTTAGAGCAGTGATTATGCAAGCGAAGTTGTCGGCCGAGGTGTTGTTCAACTCAGCGCAGATATCCGGGATCATTTGCTCCTAGGATCGAGCATCGGAGAGCGTTTCTTTCGACCTGCTTTGGGAGAGGGGGGGAGTGCAAGACGGAGGGAGATGGCTGGCCTGTGGGGGCCGGCGGATGATGCCAGTAAGCAGCGGCTTAGGTAAACCTAAGCTTCCGTCGCTGGGCCAGCCCGCCAAGCCCCAAGTTCTGACAACAACTTCAGCAATGAACGCGTGCGTGTACGCTGCAATTGTAGTTGACCACAACCAATGCGGTGGCTCGCTGTCACGCTCTGACCCGGTAAGTAGCAGCATATTCTGGTAAGTATTGCTCTTGTCCTCGCCTTAGGTAAGTGGCACTGCACCCTTTGCCCCCCTCCCCGTTCACATTTGACTAGTCGGTCAAACTGAGATAATAGTGCATATCAGCTATCTTCCCCCCTTTTTCACCACCTTCTCGCCTTCGTCGTCGTATCTCTCCCATGGCGTCCACCATGTTACCCTCGACACCCAAGGCTTCGCCTGTGGCCGACAGCCAGTCGCCAGGAAAGTGGCGGCACCCGCGATTGAATGAGATTGTTCGACGACAAAATGCGGCGACATTCGACGGACGTAATGTCAAAAAGATAGCGCTAAACGTCAGTGCTATCTTTGCGACACTGATTGCAGAAAAGCCGCTGGGATCGTTGTAAGAGCATTCATTCATTGTCCGGTTTCGCAGAACATTGCGTTGTTGACATTTCACCTAGCACACACAGTCTTTCTGCGGTCTTCGGCATCACGGCAAATGCAGATGTCATTCTCGTCATACTCCGCTTGCTGTTCATTGTGAACATCCTGACTGCACTGTATCCCCTATTTCGGCCGAAGGATGATCTCTCTGACATTCCTTTAACCCCTACCCAGCGTTCTCTCCTTGGCCTCGAACCCAGCTCTACCCCTCCCGCGACGCCCGGTACGCAGTACGCCACACCACCACGGTATCGACTTGTATCGGGGTCGCGAGCAGGCAGCCCTTCAAGTCGTGGTACATCGCCCCTAGCTACAAGCGGCAGCCCCGCGAGTCGTCGAGCCTCATACTCCCCAACTGCAACGAGTCCTCTTTTCCAGAAAGCGCTGGTCAACGGGAATCGAGAAAGCAGTCGCCGACAGAGCTTTGGATCTTCCTCCCTGAATTCTTCTCTGCGGGAGTCATCCATATCGGTTCTGCCTTCCACTCCGTCCCCATTGGCCAACAAAGGGAATAAGTTGGGATTGAGCAACAAGTGGCTGTACGAGAAGAGCCGCAGACACTCGGCCGGAAACAACCTAATCTAGGGATCAATCGCATACTTGGGCATATGGAGTTTGGGGCATGTTGGGACAAATTTATTGTAATAGGCGTTCTGTTCAGTAAATTTTTTTTTTTTTTCGTCTGTCTGCGTCGAGCTTAGACAATGTAGACGTTGTGAAATCATTCAATTCCTCTTCTATTCTACGACTAGAGTCTCTTGCGACAATTTGTTCTCTACGCTTTCAAGCCTGCGCTGCTTTGCCGCGCGCGTGGTGGGGAGAGCCTGGGGTAAAGCGGATAAGTCAAGTAAGTCATGTAGTGCGAGCTTGCTGTCAGACTTCCCGCAACTGCGTCCAACGTCAAACGGTGTCCCCAGCAAATCGCAAGCGACGACCAACCGTCACAGGCATCTTGTATCGACTCAATTTCTGGGACGCCTTTGTGCGATATCCTGCTTGAATGACGCCCACCCCTCAATAGCTACTTCGCTTCGGAGATGGGGGCCTCGGAGTCGAAGCTCGTTTTCAAGCAAGGCATCTTCCGCTTGTATGAGGACAAAAACATCCCCGCGGACGACCAGTTTTGGCTTAAGGTAAGGTACCGGATGTGTCTTACTTCTAGTTGCCGGGCTTTTGCTGAAGACTGTTCAACTTGTTCCAGTTCTGGGAGCTGCCTGAATCCACCGAGGATGTCTTCAGCTTGTTTACGCCGACAGACATACGGCGCGCCCGCGACTCAGCTCTACCCAACCTTGAGACGCTTCTCCTGGCTATATGCTCCCGCTTGATTGTCCTGAAAAACCACCCTTCGTTTCCGGATCCAGAACTCGCTCCAGACACGGACGCACTTAATTGCATCCGCATTCTGACTAGAATCCTACCCTTCATATACGAAGCAGACCATCTGGAAGCATGGGAGGAACAATTCTTCTGGGCTCCTCGAAAGAGGAGAACGCGGCAGGCTCAGGTAGCCGCGGAGATCTTATTCGATGAAGGCCACGGAGACAATGAAGAGTCGCTAGCTCAACCCAAAGCTGACGGTCGTGAAGACGTCAAACCTTTGGCGGAAGAACTAATTGATACGCTTCTGGACCTGCTCTTCTACGCCGACTTTACCATTCCAAAGCTTTCCACGGCAGAAGGGAAGGTGTCATATGCAATATGGCAGAGCGGTGTCGGATGCAACACAGCCATGGTCTCTACCAAGGAACACGAAAATAACCGCATGGAAATATTACGATTGTTGCTCACACTGACCGGCAAATCCATGTATATGTCTCCAAGTCAGTTCACTTCCTCTCCGGGTATTGTTAAATTCTGAAATTCATAACTGACACGCAAAAAAGCCCTCCTTCCGGTCAAGGGTGTCAAGGCCATTACCTACATCGCCACATGCCCTGATAAGCAAATTGTGCTGACCCTTCTATGCTCGTTGTTAAATACTGTAAGTCCTCGAGCCGCTTAGTTCACAGTTCATTAACCTCACACTGCTTCAGACCATCAAATATAACCCGGCCATCTGGAGAGTGCCTTACGATCATGTCGTCTGGAAAGATCCGAAACAAATTCTAGTCATTTATTGCCTACAGTTATTGCTAGTGATTCTACTGTATCCTATCCCTGAGGATGGACGCGGTGTGCCTCCTAAGAACTACTACCGTCACTATTTCGGACGACTACATCGCCCTCAAGACTTTCAGTTTCTTGTTGATGGCATGACAAGGGTTTTGAATCAGCCGGTGAGTGCACTCAAGACGGTCCAAATAGTTGCATGAGCTGAACTTTTGGTTTCCTCAGATGCAAGTGACAAGTTCATATTTCCCCGGTAGTCAGAAATCTGTCAAATGGGCGCCCGAGATGCTCATGTTGTTTTGGGAAGCCTTGCAATGCAACAAGCGGTTCAGATCTTTCATCATCGAATCCAATAGGTCTCATGATTTTGTCATTCTTTGTCTATTCTATGCGACCGAGCATCGAAATGACCCTTCCAAGCAAGGCATGGTAAAGATGTGCATATTCATCTTACAAACATTAAGTGTTGAGGTCAGCTTTGGACGGCGCTTGAATATGAAGTTCGAAGCTCAAGACACTCTTCCGACAAGTATCCGTCTTGCTGGGTTCCGAGGCTCCTACGCTGATTATCTTATTATCGTAAGTTTGTGTCTGTGTCGGCTGCAGTTGGGAAATCTCGCTAACCGGGTTTAGTCGATACATAATCTGATGACAAGCAGTAAAGGAAAGCTTGACGCAGTTTATCCTGCCCTCATGGCTATCCTTAAAAATATTGGCCCATATGTCGAAAAGTTATCAACGACAACTTGTTCGAGAATATTACAGTTGTTCGCGTCCATGTCATCTCCGAGCTTTCTACTTGCGAATGAGACGAATAACTACCTTCTATCGGCCTTGCTTGAATTCATCAACGTGGTCTTGGAACATCAATTCACGCGTATGTCATTACTTTTCACCTTGCCCTATTTCGTAGCCTGACTGACGGGCTATAAGGAAACCCTTTCCTTGTTTACGGTATTCTAAAAACAAGGAAGAAGTTTGAAGCTCTACGTACATTTACATTGGAAAGTGGGCAACAGGAAATTGAACGCCAGAGTCAACTCAAAAAGGCAGCTTCTTCGACTGATGGACTCTCCAGTCCCGCATCGCAGTCTGTAGAAGATTTGCGGAGGTTGAGTGGCGCACGGTCTCCGTTGAGCCATATTCCAGAAGAGAACAGTCCGTTTGCCATTGGAGGAGACGACTCGGACGACGATGAAGTCGAGGTTCCAATCACCCCTTCACTCTCTTCACCCCCATCTCTACGGAATTCGCGTGCTCCTTCAATATCTTCTTCCCTCGACGATAATGTGCCGCTACAGATTAGGGGGATGTCTGAAAAGGCTAGAGGCAAAATGCCAGCAGGTCAGATGGGATTTTCGCGTCAAAATAGTTTAACCAGCCTAAGTAGTTATTCTGCTGCGATTCATTCCACCCCCGCTTCATTCACTCCGACGGCTGCCTGGGTAAGCTCCCTACCTCTGGGCTTAGGAAATGTCTGTATGGCAGGACTGACGAAGACATAGATTGAATCGTGGGTCGTGGAGCTCCCTCTGCATACCATTTTAACTATTATCTCATCGATATTACCTCACATACCTGAAGCTGCCTTGGAATCGTCCTCAAACCCAGAAGCCAGGACATTAATCGGCAATCTTCCCACTTTCGTCGAAGAACCCAATATACGTGCTTTGATGGCAGAGCCGGCTTCAATTAAAGTCCACTCGTTTGAATGGTCCCCACTTGCGTTGGGTTGGTATGAGTCCCTGCTATGGGGGTTTATATTTTCGAGTGAGATGCTCGTCGGCTCAGCGAGCAATTCCACGCCGGGCTCAGTAGGCGTCTGGAACGGTACAATTGTGAAGCTCTTCAAAGTCCAAGAAACAGCCGCTCAGGGGCCGTCGCTTATGGCGCCCAAGGGCGCTGTTGACGCCGTCGGTAGCAACCTCGTCAGCCGGATAGGCAACTTGAGGCTTCGCGGACGGAATGGCAGTACTCAAGATAGCTCGAATAACGTGCAGTCACCCACTACTCGCGAGGTCTAGAGAGCGAAGCCTTCGAGATCTATATGCTAGCTCTTCTACAGTTGTATTGTCTTTTATATCAGAATCGCCGGTATCACGGTGGTTGGCAAAATTCGCAGCATAAATAACATAGTCTATTAGACAGTTTATTTGAGACATTGCTCAAGCGTATATTCTAGTTCTGTCCTCATTTTCAAAATTTGGCACCATTAGAATGCGTGCTATGGGTCACGTGATTACGCGGTTTGCGTTACGTCATTTTGCAGGGCCAATTGCCCAATCTGGAGCAGAGCACCAGCGACTTCCTTCACCCTGCCAGGGATGAATATCGATCATACCTGAACGCTGCATCTACGTCCTCCGTGGCGATGGCCACCTCACAGCTAGGAGACCTCTTGGCTGAAGTCGTCCCCAAAGACGCCAAAATAAACGCCCGTCACGTCTCAACGACGCCAACGCGCTGTGAGGCGATCTTCTCCGCGCCGCCTGGCGAAGACCCCGAAACCACCTTTTGCGAGTCGCACTTTCTGGTCGTGTCTCTTAATAGAGGCGGTGCGGTGAACGACGAGATAGCTATCCTGGGCGTCGAGGTAATTATCTACACAACCGAGCGACTGACAACACTTTTTGTCTCCAAGGCGGATTCGACGGGTTACTTGCATCTACTAAATGGAGCCCCGGAAGCAGCGGCAATTCCCAGGGCATCGTTACTCAGGCTTTTAACTACTACCTTCTTATCTTATCTCAGCCATTCGTATCAGCGGCCGGGGGTTCGGCTGGTACTTTCGCTGTTTGCACGAGCACAGAGCCAGTATCTTTTCCCGGGTAGCGTTGACAATAAAAGGAAACACATCTTGGATGACCGGGGATTGATAAAATGGTGGTGCCGGGCAGCCGACCCAATTCTTCGCGAGCATGCTGCGGAGTCTCAGGAATCCTCGGATTCTCCACTTGATGCAAAAGTCGAGTGCTTAAAGAGTTCGGCCACCGCTTATTTGCTTGTACCTGGGTGCGACCGATATGAGACGCGAGCGTTTTTCCCACCCACGGCTAGAACGGATAATGCTAGATGGCAAGTTTCGTATCCTCTTAGCCAGATCTGTGGCCACGCGCCAGATGCTCCTCCACGCTGTCTAGTCCCAAGATTCCCAGATGATCCCAAGGCGCGCTTCCTCGTCAACTTGGATGACGAGCTGTCCGAAAATGCCGCAGACTCCGAAGCTTCCAATTCTGGTCAATGGCGAAGCGTCAAGTCGCTGGATGAGTTCTGGGAGATGATGTCTTTCCGTCAGGAGTGCTCTGCGGGAAGGCTGGTGGGTTTCTTATGGTTGGTCATCAATCCTCCTGGTCTGCTCAGCTCGGACAAGTTGGAAATTCAGACATTGAGAACGGCACCTGTCGAGACGACGACAAAGGAAGCCACGGATTCGTCAAGTGCCGGGGACAAAGTATTATCGAACAACGATGCTCCTGCCACCACAGCTGCAGAGGCAAAGTTCGATGACAGGTCGTTGTCTTCGCTACGCAATGGAGCCCAGCAGCCGATTGCAAGTGGCTCGGATGTTGGACGCAACCCCTTTTTCTGGCCTGAAGCAGGCCGGGGGGAGGTCATTCTAAGCGAAACAGACTACAAGAGTGCAAACGACATACTGCTAGAGCAGGACTTTGAGACCGAAGAACTCGCTATGGCGGGCACAATGGCCTGGGTTCGCAAGGTCGCCTCGCTCGCAGATGTCCTATGGTGGGGGGACAATATTACAGGCAAGAGAGAAGTAGCTGTCGCCACGTCGCAGCCATCACTTCCCATACAAACCCTAGATACGGGGCTTATTGTTCGGAAGAGGAAAAAGGGCGTCCAAGAGGCCGCGGACGCTAGCACAAGTGGCAGTGGGCTGGGGGAGGATACGAATACGAATAATCGCATCGAGGCCGGGGTCAACATGCTGAATGCCAGTCTTGTCAGGAAAAGGAAGAAGACATGAGCATCTCCCTCGACAGACAGTCCTGTATAGCCACTACGTGTCCCCCTGTAGCCCATTAGTAATCCGTTGACCTAACTAACCAACTACCACAGCCAGCTGCATTAGTTAGCCAAGTTCACGTTTTAAAAATAAAAATAAAAACTGTTCAAAGAGCACTAGCTGCAAGAAGAGGAAGTAAAAAAAAAAAAAAAAAGAAAAAGGCGCTGCGTTGCAATTTACCGAAGCTTCCGCTGGCCGCAGGGCTCCACCACCGCCTGAGTTATGCAGCTGCTCAGCTTCATAAAAATTACACCCCTTCTGAATAATAGCCACAGCGCCGTTTTGCTATAGTCATATAACATCTCATCGCTTGCTGGATCCTCCGTCCTCTGCAGCCTCCCTTCTCCCCGTTTCCGATGAGCCTATTGCTGCTGGTGCAGTCGCTTTGTTTGCCGTCCCGCCCATGCTGGCAAATCCGCTGAGCTCCTCCGTTGTCCTCGCCGGGAGTTCAACGCCAGCCGACATATCATGGCTGATTGAACCTCTGGCCTGGGCTGCGCTCTGCTGGTACCTCCTGGTTGTGGCCGTCTGTGCTCTGGGGTCTTCGCAAATGTGAGTGCTAGCCAACTAGCCATCTACCCTACCTGACCTGCCTATGCTATGGCCCCAATTGCTGACCTGGCCAAAACTAAACCACGCAGATGGCGACTCTACTCCAACGCTCCGTCCAAGTCCAGGTCTGCAGCTGCGTCAGATGCGCCCCATGTCACCGTCATCCGGCCCGTCAAAGGCATCGAGCCGTTTCTCTACGAATGCCTGGCGTCGACTCTGCGCCAGGACTACCCCCGCGACAAAATGACGACTTACATCTGCGTCTCCACGAGGGAAGACCCCTCGCTCCCAATTCTAGAAAAGGTCGTGGAGGACTTCTCCGACTACTGCAATGTGCGCCTATTTGTGGAAGAGGAAGACCCTCTTCTGCAGCCCGGCAGCACATATCCCTTGGGCCCAAACCCCAAGATCAGGAACATGAGTCGCGCGTACAGAGAAGCCAAGGGCGACATCATCTGGATCATCGACTGTAATGTCTGGGTGGGTACGGGGGTTTGCGGTCGAATGGTCGATAAGCTCTGTGGCTACGGCTCCAGCAACGGGAAGATATACAAGTTCGTGCACCACCTCCCGATCGCAGTCAATGTTGATCCGGAAGAGGCGTTGGCGGACGAAGCTAAGCCTCTACTTGCGAATGGGAATGAGAATGGGCATTGGAGTTGGAATGGAAATGCCAGCCATGAAGTCGGCGCACATAAGACCAACTTAGTGCTCAAGGACGGAGGAGGACGACTCGAGGAGATATTCCTCTCTTCGTCGCATGCCAAAATGTATACCGCCATTAACACTGTGCTCATTGCCCCTTGTATTGTGGGAAAATCGAACATGTTCCGACGATCTCATCTCAACTATCTCACGAATCCGGCTCCAGGTAATGCCACCGCTCGCAACCCGGGCATTGACTGGGTTTCAGACCAGCTATGCGAAGATCATATCATCGGCGATTGGCTGTGGAGGAACAAAGTGCGAGAGGAGAAAGAATTTGGAGAGCGTCTCGGAAAACACGCCATGGTCTTCGGAGACTATGCCTTCCAACCGGTTGCCAACATGAGCGTCAAGGCATATATCGCGCGGCGTGTGCGCTGGCTGCGTGTACGCAAATACACTGTTCTAGCAGCTACACTTGTCGAGCCTGGCACCGAATCCATACTCTGTTCGCTATATGGTGCATTCGGCGTGAGTACAGTGGTGGCCAAATTTCTACAAACTCGTGGCTTCGAAACAATAGGTCTTTGCCTACAACAATGGCCGTCTTTCTTCCTTCTATGGTTTTCCAGCATCATTCTGTGGTGTATTAGCGATTGGACACTGTACGTCAAGCTCCATTCCGCAGCCACCGTTGAAGTGGACCACGACACGCCCCCATTCGCGAAATCCGCCAGATCCGAGACTCAGCTATCTCGTCGACCCTTTCTGCACTGGCTCGGGGCTTGGGTTGTTCGAGAATTGCTCGCATTCCCCATCTGGGCATGGGCTGTCTATGGCGGATCAACGGTTGTTTGGAGGAGTCGATCCTTCCAGGTGTCTCTATGGGACACCAAGGCGCGTGAGGTCAATCGGTCGGCGCGGAGTCGGCTTCTTCGCCATGTGCATGACTCGTCGTATTCGAGCAGCAGAGCTCTGCGGACTTCGTCGTCTTCTTCGTCGTCGTCATCTGCATCCTCTGTTGTTGCGCGGAATGATAAAAGGGGTGATAGACATAAAGGTCGGAAACATTGATCCTATTTTCGCATTTTCTTCTTCTTCTCTTTCTTGTTCCTTTCTTGCTTTTATTCTACCTTTCATATCTTCTTCTTCTTTTTTTTTTTTTTTTTTTTCCTTCCTTCTTTTTGCTCTTTTTCCAGATTTCTAAAAGTACAGTTAGGTGTTCATAACGACGGGGATATAGAAACTGGCATTCTGTACATACGACACAAGTCCTGAAATTCGATCTAGGGCTGTTTTACATTGGATTTAGAGGAGATATAGCTAATCAGATTCCACCGTCTGATTATATAACATAAGACTCATGAGTGAAGAATAAAGATTTATATAGCATGACGCTACACATCAGCCAGGTTTTGCGTCCCCATGACTTTGGCAATGAATAGATTGATATGGGACTGAACATTAAGGGTGGGAAATTCAATAGAAATATACCGCACTGGCCTTGCATTACTCCATACCTGGTGAGTTAGATAAGATTTTCTTTATATTGATACTAATTTTGTAGCTGTTTAGGTTTTAGGATATTTGAAGATTATTTAAGTCTGACAGGACAAACCTAATACTAGAATTTATCGCGAAAATCTTTTATTATTACCTTGGATACTTGCTGTTAGATAAATATAAGCACTTGTAGGCATTTATAGTGATCTGTGGTAAGCTCTGTCTCTGGAGGACGAACAGACACTGCACTTCTATCGAGAGTGAAAAGATTTTTATTGTTTTACCTAGATACATCGCATTGAAGGCATCTTTTTCGGCTTTTGTTGGTCTATTTGCTTCGGGTATCGATAGAAATGTTCTTCTTCTCCTTTTTTACACAATTATTGGGCATCCTCCATCTGCGTATCCTCGCCATTGTTCGCAGCATCAGCTGCAACTGGAGCCTCAAATCCAGCACCCTTATCGCATGCCAACAACCACTCAACAACCTGTCTAGCTTTGGTTGGTGGTGGAGCAGGTTTCCCTTCTTTTTCTCCCTCCTGCTGGTCTTGTACATTAATCTCAATTTCAGTCGTAGTAGCGTTCTCCTCGCCGCCGGCATTACCAGTATCCTCCTCGTCGTCGTCTTCATACGTCCCAGACCAGTCTGCTCGCTCAGCGAGGAAAAGCGCGTCGTGACCGGCATCGTTCTTCAGGCTTATATCAGCGCCAGCTTCGACGAGGGCCTTGACGCAGTCGAGATGTGTATTGAGCGCAGCCCAGTGCAGGGGGGTGTTGCCAGTGTAGTTTCGATAATTAATAAATGACGCTGATTCTTCCGGCGTCGTCTTAAGAATCTGGAGAAGATAGTTCAAGAGTTCTATACGCTCCGCATCAAAAGCTCTTAGTTAGTACAGCCCCCATCGCCCTCTTTTCTTTTAGATGAATGGAGAAGTTCGACCTACCGACATTCCCATTCGCAGCCGGCCAATGCAGTAGACTCGCCCCAGTGCCGCCTTCGCTCTCGTCTTCGGTGTCGAGCGCAGATCTAAGGATTGTCGATGCGGGGATTTTGTGTTCCTCGCTCCATTTTGAGATCTCGGCCTTGAGGGCGTCGATGTCGCCTAGACGAGCGTCGTAGATGAGTTCGTCAATGGCTTCGAAGGAGAGTGCCACTGGGGCTGGTGGGTTGGTGGAATATGACATTTCTCTCTCTTGGTGGTTTATAGACGGCGGTATGCGATGCTCTTCTCTCTTCATAGGGTAGGATAACCTGTAATTGATCAATTTTCATGGTATAAATAAAAAAAAAAGGAGATTGAAACCTCTGAAAGGTCGTCAAGAGGCAATGCCAAATGCATAGCCCGAGGTACATGAATCATATATGGAATGTAGAGATATATATATATATATTTGTCCGAGCATAGCGGGGTGCTTCACAACAAAACAAGCAATGCATATAAGTTGGGTTGATGACTAGACCAAAACAACAGCAAGAATTAACAAGAAGAGATGAACATACCTTTTTATGAGATTAAAAGGGAACGAAAAAGAGGTAGCTTGCTATCACCTCGAGATGACAAGGGGGAAAAAAAGTTCTGGAACAACACAAAAATGCATGTGGCTATCGCGGGTATCACCACGTGACTTGACGATAACTTTTGTATAGCACACTTTGTGCACTTTCCAGACTTCATAATCAATATTTACATACAGTTGATAATATTTATATTCCGTGTAGTAATATGGTATATTCGCATCTAGCATACCAGCACGATAACGGTAAAGAACATGCCGTGACTTGGCAGGCAAGTCAGAACTCCTCTCCAATGCAAAACCATACGAATCAAAACGCCCCAAGATAGTACAGAAATATAAATCATAAACCAAACACAAAGTAGTATCAAACAGCCGCATAGTGGTATAATGTCCATGGGATAAAGAAAGCGCAGAAACCAAAACCAACAATAGCACCAATTTCAATCTCGTAACCAAGCTCGCCGCTTTTCCTCCTTCCGTTCTCTCCTCTTCTCGCGAAAAGCTTTCACTTCTGCCTTGCTGAGCTTCTTACCACTGCGTTCGGCCTTGAGGCTTCTGCCATCGTGACTGTTGGCGGCGGCATCGACGTCGAAGTAGGCGTGCATCTGCCGTCGAGACTTGTTCTCATCGTTGAAATTCTCCGGCGCCAGCGTCGCGTCTTGCCACCTGCCTGTGAACCGATTGAAGGTCCCTGTAGCTGAATAGTCTAAATTTCCACTGGTCACTTGCACCTGTGTATCTGGCTCATATTGCTGCGCATATGGAGCTGTGGGGTCGTAGTCGCCATGGATAGCAGGATTGTAGCCACCCACAATCGCAGTGTGTTGTTCTCGCTGCTGTCGTCCTTCCCCGGCCGCGAGACCTGCCGCCGACGCTGCTGGCACACGGGGGTTTTCCCATTGCGATACACCGGTAATCCGGTTGTAGAAATAATATGCTTGAGCGTTCCCATCCCAGACAGGCTCCCATCCATCATCAGAGCCAGCACCCTCCACCCCCTGGCCTGGAGGCGCTTCATCAGGAAGTGGCGGAACCTCCTCGTCCGGCAATGGTGGCCCTTCAGAGTTGTTCTTGTCTTCTTCCTTCTCTTCTTCTTCTTCTTCTTCCCCTCCTTCCTCAAACCCACTCTCACCTTCTTGCTTGTCACCATCACCATCACCCCGCCCGTCTTCTACCTTGTCCTCGGCAGAGTTTATTTTCCTTCCTGTTGGCTCTGACGACTCGGCGGGCGAGTGGGCAGTCTCCGATGCGGCCGTCAACGGCATATCCGGCTCATGTTCGGTCATTGTTCTAACATTAGTAGAACTGCAAACCCGGGACAGAAGAAGAGAAATCTCAATCTACTTGAAATTTATCAGTATACAGAAGAGGAAAGAAAGCAATCAGAGCTGGATTTAGCCAGGCTGCAGAGAATTGTTGATTGCAGACAGTTCCGTGAAAGACGCCTTCCGAATAAATTCATCGAAGTTCGGAATCCCGAGAACCGCGCTAGTCCGCTTTGAGAATTATATATAACTATTTGCAGATTTCTACGAATATTTGCTCTTTTTCTTTTTTTATTTGCTCGCATCAAATGCAATTGAACGATAGTATGTTCATGGCATTGTGGGGCCCTCATCTAGAACAAGAGTCTCAACCGCGATAATCTTCCTCTTCCAAGCAGCTTTGAGAGTTCGTTTTTTGGCTCGTGATGTATGTAGTGCACAGCTGCCGGCCAACACAGACAACTGTGAGCCGTCAGTATTCAGGACGTCGAGTTTTTCGTGATCGTAAATCGTCAAGGTCAAGGCAGGGAGTGTCACAGAGGTAAATGAGAGACAAGATACAAGTCGATGACATCGACATCGAATGAAATCACGTGACTTACCTTGCAGCCTGAGGCAGCAAATTTGATCTCGACTTCAAATCTCTCGTCAACTTGCTTTCCGCGCCAGTTGGTGTTATCTATGTCGTCTTGTTTACAGCCCAGAAGACATACAAGATGAACCAATCCTACCATTCAAGACAACGAGCATGCCTTGGAGCAACTGCTGGGGCTGCTAGCTATGGACAATGGAGCAAACCCCTTGGCCCCTCAATCCTTTCGCAAATTTCGGGACAAAGCAGAGAGACCTGCTATCCCTCGGCCCAATAATGATACCTTTTCGGTATCCATGGATGATCATTTATCCTGCAACCCTGCATGGCCCAAATCCGTTGTCATAGGTCGGCAAGGCGAACAATTTTCTGCATGCCTATCTCTCTTTTTGCCTCTCTCATTTTGAGACCTGAGGGCCAGGGCATTGAGTTTGGCAGAGAATCTATAACCTGTATTTTCATTCGTCAAGTCCCACGAGGGACTCCTTGTCCCTCGTGTGGGACTCGTGCGTATGACCCTTGCAGGTCGATTTTGCCCTGCAGTGCGTTCCCGAATGCTTGGCGTGCCACGTACATCACAGGCTTGACCGTGATAGCTAGAACTCTAGTAGGAGTCTGCTGGGGTCGGCAAGGCCAATATCGACTATCAACATGACCAGGAGAGAGGTCCTAAGGGCATTGATGGAATTTAGAGATACCGATATACCCACTGTATACGGCCCGCACTACTGTCGGCAGCTACACAGAGGAATCTCCCTAGTATCAGAACTGAGGTTGCTGGGACATTACTAGGCAATGGACATGACATTTCTACCTTAAAAGCTACGGCAATAAGGTTTATATTAGTGCGCTTTGTGGCATTCAGGGAGTTATCGTCTAGGGAAAAGGCAAAAAGTGCCTCGAAGATGGTCCATCAATGTGGTCTCGATCTTGAGGATTGTTTTCGCAGCGCACAAATGAGCATTTCATTATCCACAGCGAGAGGAGAAACAAGGCTGAGATTTGATGGCATGCCTGAGCCTGTCGATATGAGCGGTGTTCCTGAATCCTCCCGAGGGCTCGTACAGAAGGGTGGTTAGAGACCCATCCGCATCCCTTCAAGGGCCCCTCACAACTGCTACAGCACAGGGTCTGGTTGAAATTCGGACGAATGTTGCATTCCAAAGCTAAGGTTTACACAGTGTTTGCTATACCAAACACGGCCCCTTGGATTGAAAACAATCCATGCCCAAGAGCCTCCACTGCTGTCTATATAAGGAGGCCAATTCCGCCTCCCAGTCCAACCTCTCTCACCATCATCATCACAATCACAATCACTCTCCCAATCCTTCAATTCTCTACCGAGCAGTCTTTCCAGACAAGCAACCAAAGACTTTTCTTTACCAACTTCTTGAACAAAGTTCATTCATTTTCTTTTTTTTCAAAACAACAAAATCAAAATGCAGTTCACCACCGCCCTCCTTGCCCTCGCTGCTACTGCAGTTGCCCTCCCCAACGTTGGCCCCAGCCCCCACAAGGGTAGCGCTGTTGGTGCTCAGAATGCTTTCTGGCCTGTTACCGACGGTGTTACCGTCGAGCAGGCCAAGGCTGCCTGTGGTAACGACAACCAAATTGCTTGCTGTGATGACACCACCTTCACTGGTGACCAGGTCGAGGTTGAGTCCGGCCCTCTCGCTGGTGCCCTCAAGGACCTCCTCGGAGGCAAGAATGGTGCCAAGGGTCTCGGTCTCTTCGACAAGTGCTCCAAGCTCAACATTGATGGTAAGTCTCTAGCATTCATTCTCTCAATCTGCTCCATTCTAACATCTTCGCAGTTATTGGCATTTCCGACCTCATCAACAGCCAGTGCAAGCAGAACATTGCTTGCTGCCAGGGTGACTCTGCCGACTCCTCTGGCGACCTCATCGGACTCAACGTCCCTTGTGTCGCGCTTGGCTCTCTTCTGTAAAAAGCCCACTTGCGCAACTATTCTACTGTTTTCTTTCCATTCTCATGTATCGGCCAACAAACATTGTCATTTCTAGACGAATTGTCATGTATCACTCGCAGTTCGATGGAAGGAAGGCAACGCACTATGGGAGGGATTGATTTCGGACTGATCTTGGATTGAAGGGTTCATTTATATACATTCTGTTTCTCCATGTTGCCTTTTGTGCCCTACCTGCTAGCTAGTTGGGGTGGTATAAATGTAATAAACGATTGCTAGGCAAACTTTATATACGTTAAATTTTTTTTTCTTCATTATTATAATCTGATTATCTCTAGCACCATTAACAGGCCATGGATACCTTATCTTCTCAGGCAACCGTCAGATGTTCATTCAGTAAGCGTCACCATCATCAAATCGCAAATTATATATCTACCTTGTCTCAGTTTCTCTGAATAACTTTTATCACAGAAAGTAGGAGGCATGGCCCTCACCTCACTTCTGGAGTTGTATGCACGATTCGACAGTAAGGGACGCCATCGCGCTGGCAAGAACCTGTCACTGCATGTATACCGCCCTCAAATCTACGCTGGATAAAACAGTCATTACTACCGGTGCGTACGGGAGAATGATCCTTTACGCAGCCATACATGGCGAGGCCACCATGAGATCCAAGCCCTTGAAGATGGGGGCTAGCATGGAAAAATTCAGTTACTATAAGGCAGACTATGCCACATTTATCTTACGACATACGTGAAACAAATCTGGTATAGAGAATTTCCTGTTGTCAGCCTCATACAAAGACGCATGCTGGGTTCTGCTTTTCATCCACTACTGGAATCAGTTGCGCCGTGAGCAACAACAACCCGATGGTATCTTCTTCACCGTTGATATTTTGCCGCCAAAGTTGGTAATAAACGCGCGGTCGAAACCATATATCGGTTACTGGAAAGGCAGATAATATCTGCGGCGAGACAGACAGGGCGTTCTATCCTCTCATTCCAGCAGTTCTCGTGGAGGGTCTGGGGTAATAATCCTTATCGATAAGAGGCAGCTTCACATGTCAATCTGCAGCAAGCAGAACTCCTCAGCGTCGAGGTCATAACACATAAACCACCAGGTTTCTCACATGGTATATATGTACGCATGATAATGGCAGACACAGAGACAGACAGACAGGATAAAATCCCGTGCCTGTCAGGTGATGTGTCCGGCAGGCGCTCACAGCCTCGGCAACTTCCCCACGCCGAGGCCTCAGGAGAATCACTCCGCATGCTCATCTTCTCCCCAACAACTTCCTCTTCTTCATGACCGCTTGGATAGATTGAATTAGCCATGCCTTTTAACACAGCCCTTACCCGGAAGCTGGGCATTGCAGGTGAGATGGCACCGTCTTTCCACAGATCCGGACAGAACGACTAACTGCGCCAGTCCCCGTGGTTCAGGGCGGCATGCAATGGGTTGGATATGCAGAGCTCGCTGCAGCAGTTAGCAATGCCGGCGGTCTCGGAATTGTATGCTGCCTTCCTCTTCTCTCACGGCCTGGCACTGACTCTCTTTCTCTCATCAGTTGACAGCGCTCACGCAGCCCACCCCCGAAGATCTGCGCAAAGAGATTCGCAAAACCCGAAGCCTGACAAACAAACCCTTTGGCGTCAACATAACCCTGCTCCCGGCCCTAGTGCCCCCCGACTACGCCGCCTATGCCAGAGTAGTCATCGAAGAAGGCGTCAAAATTGTCGAGACGGCCGGAAACAGCCCGGGCCCCGTGATCCAGCAACTGAAAAAGGCCAACACCATCATCCTCCACAAATGCACCACCATCCGCCATGCCAAGGCCGCAGAGCGCTTGGGCGTAGACTTCCTGTCTATCGACGGCTTCGAATGCGCAGGCCATGTTGGCGAGACAGATATCACAAACTTCATACTCCTGAGTCGGGCTCGGCAGCAGCTAACGGTTCCCTTCATCGCATCCGGCGGGTTCGCGGATGGCCAGGGACTGGCAGCTGCGTTGTCACTGGGAGCTGAGGGTATCAATATGGGTACTCGGTTCATGTGCACCATCGAGGCGCCCATCCACCACAATATCAAGGAGGCGATCGTCAAAGCCCAGGAGACCGATACTGCGCTTGTGCTGCGTCGGTGGAAGAACACCACGCGGCTATTCAAGAACAAGGTGTCGCAAGAAGCCGTCAGAATTGAAAAGGAGAGTCAAACCGGCGAGTTCAAGGAAGTCGCGCCGCTTGTGAGTGGCCAGCGTGGTCGCCAAGTGTTCATCAATGGTGACCCAGACTTTGGTGTATGTCTCCTCTCCTTATATTTCGTCTGATACTAACATGCTTCAGGTCTGGACCGCTGGTCAGGTCATCGGCCTCATTAACGACATTCCCACCTGCCAGGAACTGGTATCGCGCATCGAGAGAGAAGCAGTCGAGTCACTGAACAAAATAAGCTCTCTGTACAAAGGTGGCCTGCAGAGTAAATTGTAAATACCTGACTCGCTTTTCTTTCGACATGTTCGTTTACTATTGAAATGAATACTATGATAATGTACAGTGTTTGTTGGAATATTTGTCTGCCTGTATGAACGGACTAGACTAGAAAAACTAGGTAGTTATGCTCTTTTATCTTGGAAATGCAAATGATGGAAAGATTGCCTTACCGGGGTACCAATATGCATGCTTAGTTCTTTGTCACACCTTTTTATGAAGTACATACATACACCGGTCTAGCCATACATAAGACGAGTGTATTTTAGAAAATTTCAGTCAATGGAATGATTACCACGGTAGGTAGCATAAGTATTATGTAGGATGGTAGTCTGCTTATTAGAGTAGAGTTGGAGTTGAGTGAATCGAGAGGAACGAAACAAAATAAACATGAGCAAGGGACAAAAATCATAATCTGTCCATGCTGTGGTATATAGAAACGGGGGGGAAAAAAGAAAATCGCCAACAAGAAAAAAAAAAACATCCTCGCCTCTATGCCTCAATCAATCAATGTACAAAGAGTCAAACACCGTGAAAAGACAAAGCCGTAAGATAAAGGGAGAGTGCCCGTCAAATAATATGTCGCGTCGAATGAGAGATATGATATCGTATTTAGGATTGGTGGCAGTAAAAAAAGAAAAAAAAATAAAAATAAAGGAGATCAAAAAGCCCGAGCTGCACCCCCCTTGCGATACGCAAAGCCAGGGGTGGATGTCACTATTTCCTCTTCACCGTTGCCCACCACAGCGCCTAGGAAGCCTGCTCCCCATATCCCTGCCAATCCCCACATTCCCATTCTCCAGCCACGATAAAGTCCCTGGATGCCCTGGCCCGGTCGCCGGCGCCGTCGCTGGTGCTGCTGCCTGCCTACCAGTCGGGAGAGTTCGGCGTCTTCCTCGCCTCCTTCGGGAGAGACACCTTCCTCATACACAATGCTCCACATCGTGCCGACAATGCCGCGGTACGTCCTTGGAGTTGGTACGATTGTTTCGATTTCGGTGCTTGTTTCTGTGTTGTCTCTCTTTGGCGGCTTGCCCGACGCCACGCTACTACTACGTTGACGCAGAGCTGGTGATGTGAAAGTGGCAATCTGCGCTCGCCGCAGGACAGTCTCTAAGGGGAACCGCACAGCAAGGTCTAGACCGGTTGATACGAAGCTGAACAAGCTCCAGGCGGAAGGATTGAGAACGGGATCGATTGAAAAGTAGTTTTTGAGGAATAGAGGAGCGCTCATAGAAAGCAAATTCGGCAAACTTGAATGCAGGATCGTGATCGGGACGAGGTGGACGGGGATGGTATAATTTGAAGTCGGGAGAAGCCGTAGCGCTCGAAGAAGCGAGCGAGGGCCGTGTGTGAGAGGGGTGGCGATGAGAAAAGTGCGTGCGGTGTCAAGAGGCGCTAGAATAATGGATGACAGTGCAGAGGCGATGAAGGTTATAATTAATGTAGCACTTGGAGAAGACACTGTCAAGATGTCTTCGGTGATTGATGATGCGCTGCCCATTTCGGGCAGACCGATGATGGCGGATAAAAGACTTCGGATAAAGGTGTTGAGTGTCGGCAGAAGCAGCGAGTACATAAAGGTTGCGTTTGTTGCTTTCCAAACTGATGTAGGCCCACTTGTTGACCATAGCCGTGAGATTACTTCCATCAACGAGGCCGGATTCCTGATCTGCAGGCGGTGCTTAGAAACCGCAGGCGATTGAATATATCCAGCTCGGTCGGTTATCTGAGAACGGGATTTACGAGATCGCGGGATAGAAGGCGAAGGTGTAGTCGGAGCCGTGCTGGTGAAGTAAGTGCTCTCATCATCAGACGACTGTGAATCCTACAGAATGCAGGTTAGCCCGCTATGCTTCGGTCATGGTTTAACAGATTATATTCTATGCAAACCTGGTCCGAAGAGTCGTCCTGAAAGCGCTGGCCCTGCCTTCGTTGAGCACTGCCCACATCCTGGAATTCCTCGTCACTTGGTGCAACGTATATCTGAAGGAGGGTCTTTGCGACATCGAAGGGCTGCGCTAATAGCGTGCTCGAGTATTTCCATACTGCTCGGTCGACAAGATCCCTGAGTCCGTCCGACACTGATGGCGACGCATCCAAATAGTCGCTATAATCCAAGTCCGACAGCAGATCTCTTGCCGAGCCGCCTATGGTCGTTCTTGACGATGCATGAGAGACAATGTGCGCGGCAGACGAAGCGTTGACGCTGTCGGTGGGAGAGAGTCCGATGGGAGGAACGTAGTATGGACGTAATGGGTTTGCTCCCTCGCGCGACGAAGCCATGATGGGAGACTACACTCCGTGTTTAGATGCGAGGCATTCGATAGTTCTTGTGGCGAGCGTTGCAAAGAGACGAACGTGGGGGGAGTTGGAGTTGGTGATGGGAGTTGGAGTTGGAGTTGGAGCAATGATGAAGTTGGTCGAGGTTGCCGCCTTTTTTTTTGGGAGGGCTCCACCAGGTAACTACTCAGCATTTGATATCCGCCCTCTTTGCTTCGTCCGCCGCCGCCCTCGGATTTTCTATACCATTGCACTCCATCCATACTTACCACAGCCTTGCAATCATGACTCTGTGCAGGGAAGCTGCCCAACAGCTCCGACTCGCCGCATCTCGGACAGGCGCTGTTGAAAGATCTTTGCGCACCTCCCGTCGGCATTTCAGCGGACTGATACAATCGACCAAACCGAGACAGAGCATTCCCAGGAAGTCTCATTTACAGAGCTTCGCGCAGTCTCGACGGCAGTTCTCTGCCACGCCTAGTGCAGCTCATGGCCACATTACGCCGCCCAAACCGGGCGAGGAGTAAGCCGGATCAAGTCTTTGAATTACAAACAAAAGGGTTCTCAATGCTGACCGCGTCAGGATCAACGTGACGTTCATCGACAAGGAGGGCGAGAAATGGGATTTCCAAGTATCGGAGGGCGACAATCTACTGGATATTGCGCAGGCCAACGATCTAGAAATGGAGGGTGAGTCAAGGCAGTAATAAATTGCGCTCAACTTATTTGCTGACGTGCATTGCTTAGGCGCTTGTGGAGGTTCATGCGCATGCTCGACCTGCCACGTAATCGTCGAAGACCCGGATCTTTACGATCGAATGCCAGAACCCGATGACGATGAGAATGATATGCTGGACCTCGCCTTTGGGCTTACAGAGACATCTCGGCTGGGATGTCAAGTGAAAATGACGAAAGATCTAGATGGCTTGGTGGTCAAGTTACCGGCGATGACGAGAAATCTGCAAGCGAGCGATTTTGCAGACAAGAAATAGGAGGACGCCTACCTTTCGTTTGGAAATTTTTCAGCTCTCTACTCCAGCAGATGTGATTTGATATGGCTACGTTTGTCGCTCAGTGGCCCAACTTGTATTTGTAGATAGATATACGGACGTCATTTAGCTTGTAACAGAAAAGACTCTACAAAAAGACTTTTTGAAAAAGGGGAAAAAAAAACACCGAGCAGAAAATGTCACTAAACGCCGAAGATATGCACAATAGGGTAATCCTTAAGCTTCCTCAATGTTCAAAGCCTTCCCCTTCTTCCCGTTGATAAGCTCCAAGAAGCTCTGCTTGCTAACCTCATTTGCTGCCTTCTTCCTCTCTTCAATACCGACAGTGCCCTTCTTCTGCTCGGCTCGCGCGGCCTCTTCTCCACGAACCTGTGCGGCACGGACTGCATTAAACAGCTTCACCACACCACGTTGCGCAATCTTGCGTAGCCTCTTTTCCTCTTCGGCCGTCTGGCCAGCTTCTCCACGCTCAATACCAAGCACGTCTCGAACTCGCCCTCTGTCCTGCTCTTCCTTCTTCTCGGCGCGTAGTCTTGAACGCGCTCGCTGCTCAAGACGCTCATTTGCAAGGTCGAACGAAGCCTGAGCCACGGCTTTGCTTCGAGATAACACGGGATCTGCGCGCGCAGATGTAGGTAGTTTTGTCGACAAGATTTTGGACATGGATGTAGAAAAGGCCGAGGGGTCATGGCGTTTCGGAAGTGTCTTCCCACCCGACTCTGCTTCTTCTTCTTCGTCGTCTTCATCATCATCATCATCATCTGGGAGAGAGAACTCGTCCTCTAATTCGTCTTCGTCATCGTCATCCTCTTCGTTATCATTTTTAGATGCATTCAGGTCTGGCTCGTCGTCCTCATCCATCAGGTCGTCATCTTCACTATCGCGATCTTCCTCAACCTCTTTTCGCTTTGAGGCCTTGTTTGTGGGCTTGCTCGTCTTCTTTCCAGTTTTTGCACCTTTCTCAGTGTGTTGTTCGTCGTCCGAGTCCAATAAATCCACGGGAGCAAACGTGGCAGCATCGTTATCGCTCTCTTCTTCCTCGCTGCTGCTGTGGTAATTGGTCTGTTTTCTGACCTTCTTTTTTGGCTGTATCCTCCCGGCCATTCCATCTTGCACTTTCCGTTTCTTTGAAGCCGACGTGAGAGCCATTGTTGCGAATATTCTGCTTTGCTGTATGCAGATTGTTGCAGTGCGGATAAGAAGCTCTGCTATATTTTTTTTTTTTGAGACTCTCTATAGGCGGAGCTGAGCGCGCTCCGATTGGTGGAGAACTCCGCAATCTGGACTTGCCACGCCCACTCACTCCCATCCCACTCTGTCTCGACACCAGCGAACTAGCCTTGCACACGCCAGAAGCACACGGGGCTGCTTTCTCGTTGCTGGATTAGGAGCCCTCGTATACAGACCGGCATGGTTCTCCAAGATTTAGGGCGGCGCATCAACGCCGCCGTAAGCGACCTTACAAGGTCGAACACTGTGGATGAGAAGGTAGCGATCTGAGACACTACACTTGTGTGTATTGCGGACTAACCAACCCTCTTACTATAGGCATTTGATGATATGTTGAAAGAGATCTGCTCTGCCCTTCTGTCTGCAGACGTCAATGTCCGACTAGTTCAGAGCCTGCGAAAGTCCATCAAATCGAGCGTTAACTTTGCGTCACTTCCCTCAGCAGTCAACAAAAAGCGCTTGATTCAGAAGGCCGTCTTCGATGAGCTGGTTGCCCTTGTCAATCCTCATGCGGAACCGTTTAAGCCAAAGAAAGGACGAGTCAATGTGATTATGTTCGTGGGGTTACAGGGCGCGGGCAAGACGACAACATGTACGAAATTGGCGAGACATTATCAGATGCGCGGTTTCAAGACGGCTCTCGTCTGCGCCGACACATTCCGTGCCGGTGCGTTTGATCAGTTGAAGCAAAATGCCATCAAAGCAAAGATCCCGTACTACGGCAGTCTCACGCAGACGGATCCTGTCGTTGTGGCGGCGGAGGGTGTTGCGCAATTCAAGAAGGAACGGTTCGATGTTATCATTGTGGATACGAGTGGTCGACACAAGCAGGAAGAAGACCTCTTCGAAGAAATGACGCAGATTCAAAATGCAGTATCCCCCGATCAGACTATTCTAGTTCTCGATAGCACCATCGGTCAGGCCGCCGAGGCACAATCGTCAGCCTTCAAAGCCACCGCAGATTTCGGTGCTATTATCATTACCAAGACTGACGGCCATGCTGCTGGCGGTGGTGCCATCTCTGCTGTTGCTGCTACACATACTCCTATCATCTTCCTGGGTACCGGCGAGCACATGATGGACCTAGAGCGATTTGAGCCCAAGGCATTCGTGCAGAAACTGCTTGGAATGGGAGACATGGCCGGATTGGTTGAGCATGTGCAGGCTATGACTAAAGACTCAGCAGGCGCCAAGGAGACTTATAAACACATTTCAGCTGGTATCTACACTTTACGCGACTTCCGGGAGAACATCACGTCGATCATGAAAATGGGTCCATTGTCCAAAATCTCAGGCATGATTCCCGGCTTGTCAAACATCACCGCTGGATTGGATGATGAAGACGGATCTATGAAACTACGACGCATGATCTACCTCTTTGATAGCATGACTACAGCCGAGCTTGACAGCGACGGCAAGATCTTCGTCGAACAGCCGAGTCGTATCGTTCGCCTTGCCTGTGGTAGTGGCACCACGGTCCGTGAAGTCGAAGACCTCCTATCACAACATCGCATGATGGCCGGTATGGCCAAAAGGGTCGGTGGACAGCGTAAGCAAATGCAACGTGCCCAGAATATGCTCAAGGGCGGGAATAAGGAACAGCAAATGGCTGCTATGCAGAAACGGATGCAGTCAATGGGTGGTGCCGGTGGTATGGGAGGTATGCCTGGTATGGGCGATATGGCCAAGATGATGCAAATGCTACAGGGACAGGGAGGTGGCGGTGGGATGCCGAATTTTGGCGGCATGGATTTGCAAAGTATGATGAGCCAGATGAGTGGACTTATGGGTGGCGGTGGTGGTGGAGGAGGAGGAGGAGGCAGAGGAAGGGGACGATGAAGATATTTCTTTTTCTCTTTCTGTTCTTTTATATCTTTATGACTTGCCTGGTTCTTTTCTATTCTTATTGATTCCCACCCCTTTTGCATAATGCATGGCTGGAAAAGAATCTCAGATGTTTGGCATGCCCTGGAGTTACTTGGGCGTTGGGATTGAGTTTGTAGCCTGTACAGCGTACCAAATCAGATGATTCTCGACGTCTTAATATGTAGTAGTATTCTGGTTATAAAAGAGGAATCCTTTGCATAGGTATCAAGGTGCTTTCAAAACATGGATCTCGACACAGATATTTAAAGCCCTAATCAACTCTCATCTCTTTCCGCTCCCAATACAGAAACGGTGCAAGCCTCTCTTTGACATCATCCCACAAAGCCTTTGCTTTCTCTTCAACATATCCAATTCCCTCTTGTAGCCCCCATCCTTGCAAACGGGCTTGATCATACAACACTTTGCCCGGTGGCAAGCGTGTGCCTACCTCGGTGGAATGCAAGGGAATAGACAACTGATACTTCCAGACAACCTTGTCATCGGTGTGTAAGGAATAGGTGAGCACCGAATGCGAATCCTTGCCATCACTATCACTGCCACTGCCACCTTCGATGACGTCCGAAGCACCGCCCGTTCCGTCGTAAAGATCAATATCAATTTGTCCAAACTTGACATTTCCATTTGGCACGTATTTAACCATGATATCCTCGCTATCAGTCTGATAATACGAGCGAATTGGGAGATAGAACATGTTTAATGGGCCCACACTGAATTCATGGATACCGTATTTATCTGGCGTATCCGCAACAAGCTCGTTGGAGCTGAGCTGATACTCCGGGTCAGGGAAACGAGTTGCACCGAATTCATGGCGATCACCGCTCAAAAGGACAATGCGAACGCCGAGTTCTCGCTCAGCACGCCACATTGCCTCGAACACGGTCCGGCGTTCGTTGAGGAATCCTCCCCATGTATCCTGCGTGCCAACGTGCCAGTTCTTGGTAAATGGAACGCTGGATGCGACGATTTTCCACTTGACCTCCGCAGGTTCAGGGCGTGCTATGAAGGTTAGAAGAGAGCTGAGCTGTGCATGTCCGAGGATTGTAGAGTTGGGGAGATTGGCTGTTGTACGATATGTGCGGGTGTCAAGCATGAAGATAGATGCCGGCCCTTGGATGAAGGAGAAATAGGTCGTGTTCTCCGGTGCGGCATGTGGCATTGGTGGGATTGGAGGATTCACGCTGACGTGATACAAAGAGTATGGGTCAACTGCCTCGGGATAAGGATGGGTCATGTTACCCTGGTCCCAATCATTCTCAATTTCATGATCATCTAGTGTATGGATCCAGGGTAAGTCGATGGGCCGCTCGTCCGCGGGCTCGTGCCAGCTCGGAGAGGAATAGACACGCCTGTACTCGCTTCGGTATTCTTCCAATGAGGATCCATGCCGGAGGGGTACGTCGATATAAATGAAGTCCCCGAGAAAGAGCATGAAAGAAGGCCGACTCAGCGAGGGCAATTTCTTGATCGCATGCGAGATTTGTTCAATACCAGCAATGCGGAGGGGGTGTGAAAACGGATTGTACGGGAAATTCGGCTTGATACAACTCGAGGTCAAGAAACTCAGTCTGTTGGCAGCCTGTGTCCCGGATCGCGGAGCAGTAATGAAAGTGCCGGTTTGGTTATTCGAGAGCGCGTAGTGGTATTGAGTTGCAGGCTTAAGGTTCTTCAAGGTCACCGGAACCGTGTAGTCGGTTTCGTTGGTAAGCTTGTATATCTTGCCTTCTTCAATCCATTCTCCAAGATTCGACTGGGCTGCTTCCTGATACTTGATCGTCACGGGGAAATTTGCGACGTCCGGTTCTCTCACGAGTAGATTCGCGGTGGTTGGGGAGACATAGCCAATGCGCGAGAAGGCGAGGTCCTCGGTGGGATATAGAACTCGACCGCGTTGCAGAAAGTCGAGGGTGGAGCCTGTCAATGCCACGTTGACCAGGACATTTAGCGCTGTCGCGAGAACTTGTTTCTTCGACGGGACGCCCGTGAGAAGTGCTTTGCCGGCAGATAGCCAGGACGTTTCTGCCTTTTCTGCATTCAACTCATCGGTAGCTAGAGCGGCTCAGTATGTGTATTCTTGAGAAGCAAGCGATGACTGTCAGGCAGCTCACTTGTTGGTTTGTCCTCGGCTGGCGTCGCGTCGGCCGGCGCAAAAAACAGCAAGGTTGAAGAGAGATAGATTCCGGAGCAGGTCAAAATGATAGGAGGAAACAGGTGGCCTGGAACCTTGACAGACGGTGTATATAGTGTCAGAATGTGATTCAATGGGTCTAGAGGCGAGAGAGAGATGTAGCTACCCATCGCAGGAAAATGAAGCTCGCGATCCGGATCAGCGCGGAGCTGGTTGCCGTTGAAACAGTGAGCCAGCTCATCGCGACACAATCGCGGTCATGGGCTCTATAGGCTTTCTGGAGTAGAAAAGGAGAAAGACAGGGCCTGGATGTGCGTATGTAGTCTGTAGGTTATACGGGTGCCAGTGGTATGCGATGCGGACCGGCAGAGACTGACTTTGATTGGTTGTCTGTCTATGACATCATGATTTTCTCGGGCTTGCGCGTAGTGCTCTACAATCTACTTCCTGTAAATCAGAATTCATGGTCTTGCAATCAATAGGCTATCTATTCATCAACGCTGGCCTCTGCTCTGGCCCTGCATACTATTCAAAAGACCTATGAGCCCGTCTCTCAACGATCCCATGCCAGCCACCATCTGTGCTGTTGTGAGCACACGCTCCATTCCCATACTGAGCGACATCTCGGCCGCCCATTGCCAGGGCTTCTCCAGTCCTCCAGGCAGAGCATTGAAGTACTCCCAGCCCATGACACCTCCGAAATCAGGGAATTGCACTGTCAGAAACCCAAGCACGGGGCCCAGTTCCTCGGAAGAGACCCATCCCTGGCCGCCATTTCCAGGGTTCGTCAGCACACCCATAACAACCTTGCTCGCTGGCCATCCGCTGGCAATGATGGCAGCATATATGCGAGGATCTTCAGCACGGCCCCAGCCGTTGTAGAATTGTGCATTATACCAGTTTATCTTCGGCCCGCGGCTCTGCTCGAGCTCGCGATAATTGAAGCCAGACAGATTGCCCAACCCGACAAGAGCAGCCGCGACTGGAGCTAGAGTGATTATAAAGCCGTCACCGAGGTCAGCCTTGAGCCGGTCAATCAGTCTGATGATGCCCTGCAATGACATGGCCTCTTCGACATCCAGATCCAACCCGTCAAGCCCATACCGGCGAATGATAGCCAGCAACGGCGCGTAGTAGGCCTCGAACTCTTCCTGTAGCCCATCTAACCGCTGGAAACTCCCGCGGGCAGCTCCGCCCAGCATGCCCATGACCTTGACTCCCGTTCGCTGGATCAGAGGCACCTCCGCCCATAGTGGATTGTATATGGGATTGTCGGGCGGGTCATTATTGAGCGTAATGTCCCCCGGCTGGCCATTTATGTGAAAGGCAGCGAGTATGACATGTGTTGCGCCGGTATAGTTCTCTATCAAAGGTAACATAGGCACATAGCCGTGCTCACGAGGCACTAACGTTTGGTGATAAAGCACTATGCGGCGCTGGCTGGGAGCCCCAGCGCGAGGCAAAGGTGGCATTTGGAGTGCCGCTTGGGATACTCTGGAAGAGTCAGTCAGGCTGCTGAACTACTGGAGAAATATTCTTTTCTTCCTGGCAATATCGACGAGGTTGAAGGTGAAGAGCAGAGCTGAAGTTGGCTCGCAGGCTCGATGACTAAGCCGTAGTATCTGGTTAACTAGTTAACTAGTTAACTAAGTTAGTGTGATCTACCTACCTAGGTAACTCTTCTAACTAGTTAACTAGTTAACTAAGTTAGTGTGATCTACCTACCTAGGTAACTCTTCTAACTAGTTAACTAGTTAACTAAGTTAGTGTGATCTACCTACCTAGGTAACTCTTCTAAAAGGATTTCTTTACTACATATCTCTAACTATATATCTACTTTATGTATATCGAAGACAGAGTCTCGTGTATATTGAAAAGAGCAGTGAGCTGTTACCTGGTGGTGCCAATTCAATCTCTCGTTTTGTTCCTCTTATTTCTAGACAATTCGACAAGACGCTCGCTGCCATACAAAAACGCCTCCAGAGACTGGCAATGCTTTTCAATACTACATTGCTCAGGAAAATCTCGACGGCGGTTAGTTAGTAGTTGATGCTGCTTAAACAACGCTGATGAAAGTATGACCGCAGGGTGGCCATGGCTAACACGCCACAGGCAGGAGGCTATAAGCATTAGTTCTGGCGATTTGCGGATGACAAACCTCTTTATAGTTGCATAGCTCGTTATTACCAAACCATACACACGCCTTTGAAATCGACGCTCAGTTGATCGCTTTTCCTGCAGCAATGTCTAGCATGCCTAGTGGCCGTCAGACCTACAAGCATCTCGGGCAATATCTCCTCCACTGCAGAAAATGTTACCTCGGAGCAGAGCCCACTGCTTCCTGGTCTTTGATTACTCCCGTCCGTGCTCCTGGTAGCACGGGGAAGAGGCAATTCGGCACGACGCCGCAGCCTCGTCGCCCTCAGCATCCCAACCCAGGCAACTTTGTGAATCGTCCTAAGGATGAGCTCCGCGAGATTGGCAAAAAGGGCGGTCAAAAGGGAGGACGAGCTACAGGCAGCGGAGGGTTTCACGACATGGATCCGGTCAAGCAGGTAGGCATTGGCATTCTTCCCCGAAGCAAGTGTTGAGTTGTCGTTGTTGTCTCGGTTTGTTGAGAATAGAATATGCGATCGATTTAGAACCAGACTGATGAGTTTTTTTTTTTTTTTTGAACATGGAATCAGCGCGAGATAGCAGCGAAAGGTGGGCATGCGTCGACTGGATCGTTCACCAAGGGAAGCAAGCAGGCTCGTGATGCCGGTCGAAAGGGAGGAAGAGCGCGCAAAACCAGCTCCCCATCAAGGGAGGAGTACGAAGACGTCTTTGTGTAAGCATGATGGTAGACATATAGTTAGTTGATCTGAAATGTCATAGCCCTGAGAATGTTGTTTGCTTGTTCGCGAGTCTTCCGTCCAGTAGTGTCAGATTGTATGCAGACTGCACCAGTTATTAGCCCGTGCATGTGCAGGACATCACGTCCTCACAAACAAACAAAAAACCATCTCCGAAAGCAGTTTGCCTGTTTGGTCGAATATGCTGCATTGGGATGACGAAGTGCGGTGGTTCAAGTGGAGGAGTCGACTCGAGACTCCAATCGAGACGCGATCGCACTAACCCGATTAGGTGCAGCGTAAACATCTTCTCGTGGATCTCTCCTCAGTCATTCCTTGCAGCTTATATCAACCAAATCATTAATAGATGAGCTGCACAGCTGCTCGCCTGATAATCTAGTCGCAGCAGCAGAGATGCGCCACTGATTGCAATTGCACGCCGATATTCGTCCAAACAAGCCACTCTTTAAGGCACGCTCCGTGCCCGTTTTTTCAATACCATGCCTATCCACACGTCGCCGTTCCCAACTACGCACGATACAATCGGCGCATCAGCTCTAGACAGTTCTACCCGCATACCATCCTCGCCTCCCTCCGCTCAGTCGCCTCAAAGTCCAGACAAAGACGGTGGGAAATCGGAGAGCAACGGAAACGCCGAGTCGGCTCAAGTAGTGGCGTCACACGAACTTGCCATCACAGATCTAGACAAGCGCCTCTCGCAGTATACAGTGGACTGGAATAAGTTTGCAGGCGGAGCTCACCAAGATATTCGGGACGCGGATGACGAAGACGATCCCGAGCCTGACTTTGGGGGCCCCGAAGATTTCACATTCAACATAGACAAATATTTGAATGGATCAACGCCGCTGGCAGGCAGAGACAATGACGCAGATGACCTAGACGCAGAAGAAGATTTGCTTCCGGATTCACCGTCTCCGCGGCCCCGCCACCATCATCACCATCACCAGGAGGAAGCTGAAGAAAGTGAGTTCGGCCCGCCTGTGGACATGTCAACCCCCTCACATTTGATGTGGAGGAAAAACGCCACCTCAGGAAAGGGGGAAGAGACGCGCTTGGAAGACATTGAGGAGAGTCTTCCTAGTTCTCCCGAGAAGGACGATAGTCCTTCCAAGCACGGCAAGGAGGGTAGTGGTCTAGAAGAAAGCCGGACATTTACAACGGTGCTGCGAGAGATTGAGGATTTGCATGAGCAGAGACGTGAACGCGATGAAAAGATTCGTGAAAATGAGAAAAAGCTGTCCTCCGTTACCGAGGAGATTGAGTTCTTACGAGACGAGCTACAGCGCAAGTCCTCGCTGCTACTAGAAGCTAACGCCAAAGTGGGCGAACAATCCGTGCTGCGAGAGCAGTTAAAATTGCTGAATGAGCGAAACGAGGAGAGAGCCGCAAGCGATGAAGACAATGCAAAGGAGCTTGCGACGCTGCGACGGGATCTGGAGGATGCGCAAAATCAGTTAAATAAGAGAGACGAAGCTCTAGAAGAAAGCAGCGCCAAACTACGCGAATTGACCTCCAGCACTGAGCTGCAACTGCGTCAGAAGAATACTGAGATTGAGGACCTCAAGGCCCAGCTCAACGAAAGGGAACTAGAGATTACGGACGCGGAGGAAGAATTAGCGGAAACGCAACGCCAGTACGATGCTTTGAAGGGCAGAATTGAGTCATTGGAGACGCGAAATAGTCCACTCGAGGAAAAGAACATTTTGTTGGAGAAGGAGTTGAATAGTGTGAAGTTAGAGCTTGAGTCACAGAAAAATGCCATGTCGACCATGGCCACTGAACTATCTGTTGATGCTGAGGGAAAAGAATATAAGGATATCGTCAGCAGTATTCGACGTCTTTTCCAGCAAAGAAAAGAGTCCGACCAAGGAAATTTTACTGAAATCGAAGAACTCAAAGGCAAACTAGACAAAGCGCAAGCCTCAATCCAACAGCATGTCGCCGAGAGGCAACTCACCCAGGCAGAATGGAAGAGATCCCAAGATCTAGTCGGCGAATCTCGCAGCCTCATTACAACGATTGAAGGCGAGAATACTCGGCTGTCAGCACGAATCCAGGAACTCAACTCGAGTCTCACAAAAGCACGCGAGGAGGTTAACCTCATAAAGGAACAACAGCAACAGTCTGAACCCAAACCGCAAACCAACGTTTCCGAACAAATAAACCTAAACGCACTACACGAATCACACCGAGTTGAGACACAAAACCTCCGCGAACTTCACATGAACGCAACCCGAGATCTCCACACATCCTACAACGACACCATACGCCATCTTCGCGCCATGCTTTCAGCCACAGAGAAGCGCGAAACCGAGCTGCACAACCAACTCCTCGCCGCGCAATCATCAACATGCATCCAGACCAACGAAATCTCGTCACTCAAGTCCCAAATCCAGCAGCTGCAATCTACCCTGGCCCTGAAAGAAGAGACTTCCGCCGACATGGACAAAATGATTGCGCGATCTATCGAGAAGCGCGAGCGGGAATGGGAGCGGAGGATGGAGTTGTTGCTTAAAGAGAGGGACAAAATGAGCAAAGCCTTGATGATGGCTTGGGGCGAGAAAGAGGTCGGAAAGACTTCTTCGTCTGCTTCTTCTCGTAGTACGAAAAGGGGCGATGGTCCTGTTGCTGCTACTGGTGCGTCGCATAATGAGAAGCCTGGCCAGGGATATCGATACAAGTATGTCGTTCGGACATGAGTCATTCTTTACACAGTTTTGCCTTTCCTTTTTTTTTTTTTTTCTTCGTTGTGCATTTCATGCGTGCGTGTTTGGGAGGAGGGTTTATGGGACTGGATGGGATGATTTTAGGGCAATTCCTTTGGAAGGGTGTTTGGCTATTGACATTGACGATCGTTCTTTTTATCTACTTTTCTTGGTTCTTGGTGTAAATGTGTTTCTATTTAGGGTTGTTTTGAGGCTAGGTATGAATCAACGAATTGCTTTCATTCTCATCTCCGTGATATAAAACTTGCAAGTACAACAAGCAACGGATATCCAAACGCAATGGTGGATAATAATACATAGATATAAACAAACAGTCAAGCGTAACATCGTCAAGCTGTCCAAAGCACCGAGAGCAGCCCTATGCGTAGACATGATTGGTGGCTAAACAGCACAGATACTCGTCCTCTCCGCGCCCCTATACGTATTCTTCCTCTCGACAATATCTCGATCCGCCTCCAGCGCCACGCCACCATCAGCCAGACTCAGGGAAGTGCGTGCATTTTGTCCCGTGACTTCCCTTTCTCCTGCCTGGATGCTTTTGCTGCTTTTATGCACAGGTCCTGAGCTCGTACCAGGGCTACTAGAGGAGCCCCCGTATGTGGAGCTGCGCGGTCGTCGTGTACTTGGATACAAGGTGGCGGTATCGTCGCTGCGCGGGATAGGCGGTAAGGTTCGTGCAGGGTCAAAGCCTCGGCCGTCATTTGAATGGAAACGACGCACATAAGCTGGTCGGGCTGGTAGATGGGGGTGGAGATGGCGTGGTTGAGGATAGTTCATGTGTTGTTGGTGTTGCGGTTGGTAATGCTGATGATGCATTGGCGCATGCCGAGGCAGTTGAGTATTTCGAGACAATGAACTTGATGTATGGAATCTCCGTTGTCTTTGTGGGTGATCTCTGATGATTATGGAGCTATGGTTTGACAATGATGTCTGAATACGGGGATGATGAGGCGGATAATGAGCTCGACCCATGCTGGATTGGCGATGAGAAGGGCGGCGAGTAGCTGGTTTTGGAGTGGTGTGAGGCACGTGGGATTGATGAATGGCTCGAGGTGCTGGATTGAGATGTGAAGTGCGAGACTTGCGAACCGTCAGAGGCACTGGAGGAAGGACAGGAGGAGGATTTCCTGGCGCTGTCATTGATCGCCGTCTTGTTTGGGCAGGATTTGATCGAGTCGATTGGGAATCGTTTACTCGTGCAGGCGCTGGAGGTGTAGGCAGCGTTGAATGCGACAGTCCGGGGTTACCATCTTCTTTCTCCCTCTCGTCTAACTGCTGCACTGGTTCAGCAATTTCTGGGGACGACGGCGGAGATGCGAGAGCCCGAATCTGCGGATCCTCCGAAAGAGGCTCGAAAAGATTCAAATCCTTAGGAAGGAATTTGCGGGACGAGACCGAAGATTTTTGCCTCTTGTGCTGCTGCTGCTGCTGCTGCTCTGCTTGAGACTGAGATTGTGGTGGGATTTCAGGAATATCAGGTACCCTTGGCACTGGCGGTCTGGTGAAAGCAGCCTCGGTGCCCATCTGGAGAGTCGAAGTCATGGAGGGATTTCGCGATAGTGGAGATACATCACTCCGCGCACTGACCGACCCAGCTGCCGTTTCATCTACTGGGGACACAGCCGGGGATGTACCCGAGAGTGAGGTTGTAGCAATCGTCGGCCTTATAGAATTTGTGTGCGTGGTGATGCGCAGCTGAGGCCGAACTCGCGCGGGCCCTGGATATCGAATGCTGGGCGGCCGCACGGGAGTTTCGAAGAGGGAGCTGTCGTTGGGCGACCAGTAGAGCTCTCCATTGCCGGGCCCGGCATCAGGATGTCGACAGAGATAAAAAATCTCATTCTTGAGCGTCTCGCTCTCCCAGCTCGATTCTGAAAAGATACTGCCATCCCGCGGTGGGCGTTGTGGTGCATTGAGGCCCAGCAGGGAAGCGTCGTATGGGCGTTCACATACTTGAAAGCAGAAGAAAAGGGCTGATGATATAACACTACATAGCAAAAGTCAGCTATTTCCTTTAGTCTGTTGTGCAAGACCAAAAAGAACTTACAAGGCCAGAATACTTAGGATGACTGTGCCTCTATGAATCTGACAGCTCATGCCGGCTTTCCAAAATTGCTGAGCTTGGGAGACTGGCACACATGTTACCTGCTTCGACACAAGAACCAGGCCTGCGACAGATGCTGCGAGCCACATGGCCACCATAATGCGAGGGAGATGCGAGCATGCCATGTGTAGCGCATTTCGGGGCATGTTCAGTCCGGGAACTCGGCGATACTGCCAGGAGAGTATTGTATGAATGACCACGAAGGGAACAGATAGAAATGACTGTGTGCGTAGACAAGCAAGCATTAGCAGACTCTTAGAAAAGGAAGGGTGATGTTCTACGGGGATGATAAGACACTAACAGCTACAAGGCCGATAATTAAGCTGGGCGTCTCCAAGTCATCAACCTGCGCACTGCCATACAGATAGAGGACAAGAGCACACTGGGTGAAGGACAGTGAAAGTATCAGGTAAAGTCCGACGAGGATCACAGCACGTATCCATGCCTGCTGACTCCGGGTAGTCTGCATCGTAGGGCCGAACGTGGTTGATGTAGGACAGTTCGGGTCAGATAGCAATAAATATATATATATATATATATAAGTGTAGCGGAAACCCACTCAATGACCGCTACCAGGGACCATTGCACGGAAGAAAAGCAGACAAATATTGGTTACTTTCCTCAATCACAATATAGGCACACAAAGTAAACCCAAGTATCTAGTAAAGCAAGAAAATTCAAGACTGTACGAGGAGGAGGGGGATCTCTATCCTATAAACGACGACAGCGCACGCGTAAGACGCGGCGGATTATGGACTGAAGGGCGGAGAATGCATCGTGCATAGTGAGTGGCGGGTGTAAATTGACGTAAAGTGCTTAAATCTCTATTCAGGCGTCTGACAGGGTGATGGAAAAGGTGAAGAATGCCGGGCGAATTCCAGACTCGTAAAGGGGCGCGCGCGTTCGGCCTCGGCGCGAATACACCTGTGTTATACTGAACCTAGACAGGTTTTACTGTATAAAAAGAAAGGAGTTCCCTATAAAGCCAACGCAGGCTCAGTTATGACATACTGGATTAAAACATCCCAAGCCTACCTAAATGAAGGGTCGGCTATCTAGGGGCGGCGGCGCTCCTAGAGTTTGGCACACTCTAGGAGACCCAAGGGAGTCGATGCTGACCTGATAGTTGAAATAGGAGGCAAGATAATCTTAGATTGCTTTACGCCCTACCTTGTTTTTATTTTCCCCCATTTATGTAGGTATATGCTTGAATGGTTGAAACATGAGGTTATCGCCGGTTAGGGCTATTTAGGCTTAATCCCTTGACCCAAAATTCTCTCGGGTAGCTCCAAAATTACCCCGTATAAAAATTTCATATAGGCTCATGAACATAGGTTTCTTCATGGTTATGCCCTAGTAATTCCACTTTAAATACATCAAAGTATTGCATGATGGACAATTCTAGATTCTATAGAGAGAGTTCAATATATAATATCAAATATATTAGGATAAGAAGAGATTTATAAGTTGTGCTCACTTCTTAGAGTGACAGATTAGACTTTCACTCACATTAACAGAAATATTCGTGAATAATTTGAATTCCAAGAACTTGTTGTGAGTGAATTTTTGAACCAATCAATATATTCATAATACTTTCTCACATATAATAATTGGTATATAAAACAAAAGATTTGTAGCGTATTAACAACAGCCCTGGTGGTTTAGTGGTATAATTCACCGTTAGGGTTCATCTTTTCTTAAAGATCACCGCCTCGGTGAGGTCCCGCGTTCGATTCGCGGCTAGGGCCTTCTTTTTTTGAAAAATTTAATTGCGGTCCGGGAAAACCACAGTAGGAAGAAGTTGCTCAATCCATACGCAAATTGTCGGAATTTTTTTAGATGCCCTGGAATTAAGGGGGAGAATAGGTGAAGAATAGAGAGCGCTGGCGCAGTGCGGTGTGACGGCCTGGCTAGAAATAGGTACTTAGAACAAGAATACACAAGAATGGGGAAAAGAAAGAAGGAAGAAATGCATCGTGAGGACACCCCGCGCGCATTTATGCGCAAAGGCTAATCCTCCTTAGTCGCCGACATGAAGCTATCCCCAAGTCAGTACCGCTGAGCAGGGTTGGAAACCTACTCACGGGCTTCTCCGAGTAGCTTCATGTCTTCCCGATTAGGAGGGATTGCTTCCCGCACGCGGGCACCGAGGCGCCGTCACATGCGGAACACATGCTGTGTGTGTCCTGCTATTTTGTATGTACCATCGATTCATCTCGATATGGAATGGGTTATATTTTACGGAGAGTCATTGAGCCCCGGTGGTTTAGTGGTATAATTCACCGTTAGGGTTTATCTTTTCTTAAAGATGACCGCCTCGGTGAGGTCCCGCGTTCGATTCGCGGCTGGGGCCATTTCTTTTTTTATCACTTCTTGAGTTTTTTTCATCTTCCCAATATTTGTCACTAGAACATTTTCCATTGATTCTCAATACACAAGAGAGAGAGGTAAGGATCTCCTTTTGAGTACGCCTGAAAGGAGGATCCTTTCAAAGCCCGGCACCAGCTGCATATAATTCGTCCAAGGAAGACAGCCAGCGGATATCCTCGCAGAGCCGCACACCACCACATATTAATCTTGGCAAAATGTTGTATAGGCTTGTCAATATATCAAGTCAGGGAATTCTTTTGGTGTTTTCCTCTGCGCTGTCGGGGATTGAAGTATGATTCATTGTAAAACATTGTTGTTAGGCTTGTCTCCTCTATGCATTGCTATAACATAGGACAGGTCCCATTGCTGTTGAATAGTAGAGTAGATAGAATAATACCCGAACAATCTGGCATTGTTTCGAAGCAGTGTCAAGCTCTGGGTGGTTGTTCAAATCGGCGAACATGTGAGTTTCCACAAATGGCTTTATATGAGAGAAAATAAAGGCCTTTGGCATGCTTCTAAAGAATGATGTATGAGATCTATCTGTCTTGAATAGATCTTATGGAATGTAGCAGGACATCATTAGAATGTAGTTCTTAATACATTAGAAGTTATGAGTTACCCAGAATTGTCATATTTCCTTGCTTCGATCCTCAGGGGTATTTCAGGGCTTCTACAATCACTATACTTTGTTGAATCTCAAGTTAGATACTATTAGGGCTTGCTAAAATAGGTTATCGTAGAGCTGAACAATCGTGCATACCAAATTGACCAGCACCTTGGCCTCCTTTAGCAACCTCCACATTAGTTTGCTTGTCGAGTAAATCAATCTGGAATTATACTGGCAGGTGGCCATCCGTGTCTTCGCCAAAAGTTGCAAAATTTAGAATTAGATCGCATCATTCAATCACGATACGGCCATTTTGCAGTGCGAGTGACGCGCATTCTACGCGCCAAAGGCAAGCTAGATATACATGGTCTACAACGTTTTAGCCTGCTTCCAACTCAACAACTCCAGCAATTACTCAACAAAATGCCAATGGATGGATTTGTTGACTTTCAAGAGATACCTACCGGCGAACCGCGCAATGTACATGGCATAGTTTTTCTTTGGTACTTTGAGCCCGACAGAGTTATTCGGAACCTCCTGGAGGACACGTACAAGGTCATGTCGCGCATGCTACAGCGCAGGGAGTTCGAGAAAAGCAGGATACAAATCCTTCTTGAGAAGGCAGAACGAAGCGAAATCAAGGGAAACGAGGAGAAGTATCTTACCGAGTTTGAATTAATGCATTTGAAACAATGGAAAAAAAAAAAGGCATTGTTTTGGGCGATGGTAAGTCGCTTGGATTATCTCGTAGCGGTATTCCGAGATTTCTAAACTTATTCCCAAGCTAGAACCCTTAGGGGCTTGCAATTTGATCTCTCTTTCATTCTTTTGTATTCTGATATTGAAATTTCTAGATAGTGCAATTCTCAGAAGTAGTGCTGCGGTCCTTATAGGCTAAAACTGACTGAAATACATTGAGCACCAGACTCGACTAGAGAGAGCTCACTCATTTAACGGTTGGTGTTATTCCACCTTCTCACCATCGTATTCCATCTCGAAACCTAATCAGTCCCATGCAGTTTTTGATTATTCTCAAAATATACCGAGTTCCCCTTCACCTGTTTCCAACTGGTCCGACCAGGTTGTTGCAACGACAGCTCTAAAGGTAGTCCTTCCAGAATATCAACGAAAGTATTCATGTAACTGATAGCCTGCTTGCTGCCGCTGCTAAGGAAAAAGGAATGCTCTTTTTGATCGTGTGCGGTGGCCTTCACGAAAAACAAAAGTCTACTGCAAGGATCCCCCGGGGAGGCTTTCCAGACATAACGCAGTGGGCTAGGGTTGTCCATCAAAATAGGCCGGACAAGAACCGTCTGGCCCTGTGCCAAGCGAAACCCTAGGTTGTTAAACGATTGGACCTGCAGTTTGTATTTGCCACGACATAAAGTAGGGTGTCCTTGCTTGTTGATTCTAATTGTGCATTCTTTCCCGTGGCGTAGGTAATTCCCATACTTTTTCTCTGTTTTCTGCATGAGGGCATTGTGACCCGTCTGCACAAAGTTTTCCATAATCAACTGCCTCCAATACTCGCGCTTTTTGGGATCCGGAGAAGACGATAAGCTATGAAAGACATCACGTAGGTGTTCGGCCCACTGTCTGACAAGCGGGTCGGTGCTAAACAGGCATTCCGTGAAGGATCTTGTCACAACGGTTTCATCCATGGCCTGGTCACTGAACCCTTGCCATAGAGGCAAGGCGAGATTCAGATGTTGGTCAGCCCAAGGCTTTGGAACATTTGTCGGGAGATACTTCTCAAGATCGTTCGGCCGCAAGGTTTGAAAGATGCAGCACGCGAACATCTCTATGATGTTCAAGAGATATGCCATGGACCTATGTTGCTTCCCCTGAACAGTCGCAATTTTGACAAAATTTGACTTGACATCATCGATAGAATCCCCGACCTTGTAATGTAGAGATGGGTGTTTCCGGTGATATTCGGGATCATTGTGATCACCAATGCATTCTCGAAGTTCGAAAGATTGACCGACATATAGCCAGAAGACTTGATCTGTTTGATGTCGTTTCGAAATTCTCAACTTAGTACAGGTTTGGTTCCGACCTCGGAGTTTATTTTTTTACTTACCCAAGGATGACTGTGTAGTCGTAATGATGTGCAGATAGATACCGGCATCTTTGTCGATGGCAGGATCTCCAGATATCTCCATGAGTCTACCATCAGTCAGCAGTCTTCATCAGGTACGAAAGATAGGTATACATTCACTCACTCCTCCAATCCAATTGAATCAAGGTCCAAGATGGTTTGCATTCCCGGTGTGAAAGCATCGAAGACCATCTTTTCGATTCGATCCATTCCATATTCTTCGAAGAATGGACCATATCGCTTTTGATGTAGTACGTTAGTTCTTGAAAGAAGATGCGAGAGTATGGTCTCGGCTGAAATCTTTCTCAGACACCCCATAACTGAGCGTGAAAATGGCAAAGGTTGTTGGCCTTGACTCGCTCGTTGCTGGGACTCTCTCATGAATCTGCAATAATCTCCAAGAACCCTAAAGCTGTCACTGTTGTCTGTGAGGCCTAGGGTATTTCACTTCATCTTTTTGAACGATTCCCTATCACCAAGTTCCCCATAAAATGAGCCAGGAGGGAACGCGACCTTGGAATTTCTGCTGCTTGCTCCCAGAGGAAAATCAACATAGGTGCGATGATAACAGTGTTCTATTTCTTTTGGAAAATAGGGCTCATCATCGGTGAAGGAGTCCTCTTCCACGTTCGTTGTGCTGTGTTGCATTATCTGCTGGCGTACTGGCTCCATGGAAGGCTCATTGAGATACCAATAAAAAACAAGAGTGAAAATATCATGGTCCCAATCTTCGTCGAAGTCCACAGTATATTTTCCACTCAAATAGAATTTCTTCATGATCCTGAAGATGATCGTATTCTGAGCGACCATCCGTTCTGGACTGTTAGCCTCATACCAGCTGAATTCAGCTGGATCATTGCGGATAGTGAAATCATCAACCAAAAAGCACAAGAGCGGATTAACGAGGGGGTAGCACTGTTCGTAGAAAACCGGGGTGCATTTCTTGAACAGCTGGATTGTCTCCAGGCAGTTTGACTCGATTGGGCTTCTGAGCCTAGTGAGTTGGCAGAAACAGGCGCCATCTTGAGGCTTAGAGAGAAAAAGTTTAGAGACGGAGCGTGATATGATCAAGTTATGTTATTTATTATGTTGTTGTTGCTGCCGTCTAGACAAAGGAACAAAGAAAATATCCATATACATTCCTAGCATCGGTATTCTAAAGGGATATCTGGAAGAAACTCATCCTGTGCAACTGGGCTAGTGTAGTTACACAACTACTATTCGTGACATTAGTCTCTGAAGACAAAACATAGATTTGTCCATGTCGCTTCGCAGTAAAATAGCTCAAGTTCCCACAAGTTCTAGGGGGGTATCTAGTATAGCAGAGTAGCTGTACGTATGTTCGGCTGCTGGGAAATAGTAGAATCTGCTGTGTGACGTATAGAGATGAAAGGGGGAAAGAAGAAAGGGAAGCAGACAAGTAATTCAGAATTTCATTGCGTTATATGACTATTCTGCATCTATGAATTACGTAGACCGAGATTGCGGCTGAAATGGCATCAGTCGGGACTCGGAAGTTGGAACGAACTGGCCCTCCAGGCATCTTCGCTAATCTCAATAGTACACAGTATGGACTTTGTACTAATTGGATACGAGATGCTACCTCGTTATTTCGTTTATGCCAAATCGAGTAATAATCTCGAGGGGCAAAGCCCGCTAGATTCATCCGAGCCAATCACAGCGCGCGGGGGTAGGGGTACGCTCTGATTCGACAAAAGGCATTCCACGCACATGCTGCGATTGGCTGGCCGCCCCTCTTAGAGGCCGGGCCATGTTTGGTAACGTTCAAAGTTACGAAGCTTACCCAAAGGGAGAATTTAACCGAGCGCTCCGTGGTATATATAAGCTTCAACATCCCAGCGTTGTTTGTCGTCTGTTTTGATCCTAGGAGGCTGAGAAGCGATGGACATTGTGCTCTCTGGCATCGCGAAGGCAAGTAGTGGCAGCAACTGTTTTGATCACCACGATAGGCAGGCGTGATAGGCGTAATCGATAAAGCAACAACGTGGTCTCAGGAACAGGAAGGCGGGCCGCTGATCCGGTACGCCCGGTAAGCATCCAGTACTGGGGTGGTTTTTTTTTTTTTTTTTTTTTTATTACGCTGCACGGTCTAAACTAGTGCAAAGCATCGCGAGGAATTAGTCTGCCAGGTTGAGGCTCTGCTGCCCTACTAGCGACTCACGAGCCTCGTTTTTTTCTGGTCTGCGTCCTAGGCCCGCAGGTCGCCTTGCCACTCAGCCAATTGACTCCAGACATAACCACAAAAAATATCACCATAGGACGCCGTGGCGTTCTACTTTCCACGGTTTAAGATTAAAAAAATACACTGCCACCGTAGTATCACGGTATCCGGCCTCTGCATCAGCTTATGTACATACAATTACACACTTGCAATGCATTATTACGGCCGGATAGGAGTCAAGTAATCAAACCATCGTATTCATGCGTGGATAGGCTCTTGCATTAGGCTGCTGCTCTCCTCTTGCCTAGGGACCTAGGTAGCAGCGAGGGAAGGTGCGTGCTGCTTACTAGTTTGGTAGCATGTTGGCAGCGCCTGCCTGGCTGGCACAGTCAGCCTCTAAAACCCTACCGAGTCCTTCCTTTCTCTCTCCTTTCTCTTCTTCTCTCCTTTGCACGCTCTCACTCCACGGCCTCACGCTCCTTTAGCAGACACTTTGTCTGCGTCCTTTCGTTCGTTGCTCGCCAATCGCCTTCTCTGGCTCTGCTGCCAGAATTCCATTCTTTTCTATCTACGTGTTTTTCTTTCGTTGTAGACTGCAGCCATGTCTGCTGCTACAACGTCCGCGGTGACCTTTGCAGGTCTTACCCAGGTTTCTACATATTATGTATGTCTCATATCATCATCACTTTGCCCGTGTTCCAAAGCTTGGACAATAAAAGGCATGCTGACAACTACATCTAGGGCCAAGGAGCATACCAGCCCCGTCTGAGCACATTCTGTGCCGAGTCGTCTCTGGATATCATCAACATCGGCTTTGTTAATGTCTTCCCCGACGTGGGCAAGGGTGGATGGCCGGAGACCAACTTTGGTAACCAGTGCGATGGATCTGTGTACGTGAACGACGGCGTGACCACCGGTCTGCTCGCAAACTGTCATCAGATCGTGGAAGACATCCCAATCTGTCAGGATGCTGGGAAGAAAGTCTTCCTTTCTCTTGGAGGCGCTGGCCCTGCAAGTGGTCAAGTTATTACCAGTGACGACTCAGCTATCGCTTTCGCTGACTTCCTTTGGGGTGCCTTTGGTCCTGTGGATTCGGCCTGGACCTCTCAGGGTCTCCCCCGCCCATTTGACGATGTCGTCTTCGATGGCTTCGACTTTGATATTGAATGGGGCACTGACATCGGTACCTATACTTCTCCCCGTGTGTCAACATGCATTTTACTAGGCTAATCGGAAGACAGGCTATGCCTCTTTGGCAAATCAATTGCATTCGCTCTACGAAACTTACAGATCCAACAACCCTGGATCCAAACAATTCTATCTTTCCGCAGCACCCCAATGTGCCATTCCTGACGCACATCTCGCCAACGCCATCAAGAACGCCCCTTTTGATTACATCTGGGTTCAATTCTACAACGATCAAAACTGCGCAGCTGCCAACTATGTCGAAAAACTTGGTGGCTTCAACTTCGATGACTGGGTAAATGTTGTTCTGGCTGGCAGTAACCCGGACGCTAAGCTCTTCATTGGCCTGCCTGCAGAAGAGTCGGAGGCCAACGCTGGATTTTACATTGACTACACGGATGTGGTGCCCATGGTCGATGAGTACATGACCAAGTACCCATCGACATTCGGTGGTATTATGTTGTGGGAAGCCACTGGTTCTCTCAACAATACTTCCCCGAATGGAAACACCTATGCAGACAACATCAAGGAGGTCCTGGTCAATGCTGCCACAACTATCGTTCCATCGCCCACTCCCACCCCGACTCCTAGTGCGACGCCAACGCCAAGTTCTTCTTCTTCTTCGTCGTCGTCTTCGTCATCCACGTCCTCATCCTCTTCATCGTCCTCGTCTTCATCCTTGTCTACCAGCTCAAGCTCCACCAGCAGCCCCAGCTCAGTCTCCACACCGAAGTCCACGCCGACCCCAAGTACTTCCGCTTCCTCTTCGTCGTCTTCGTCCTCGTCTAGCGGGTCCAGCTCAGTCTTCACACCGAAGCCCACGCCGACCCCAAGTACTTCCGCTTCATCCTCGTCTTCGTCGTCTTCTTCCTCTTCAAGCTCCAGCTCAGCTTCTTCAAGCCACGTGGTTTCTTCAAGCTCAAGCAGCTCTTCTATTCGGTCATCTACCCCGGCTGTCTCTCCTAGCCCACGGCCTACGTCAATCTCAACAGCCTCATCCCACTCGGTTGTTCCATCAAGCTCGGCTGTCATCTCTTCCCGCCCAACTGTTTCATCCTCTTCCACCCAGTCCACTTCCAAGCGGCCTTCTTCGACCCCTTGCACTTCCTCAAGACGGACTACTTCAGTATCTTCGTCAGCCGTAGTCAGCACTCATACTTCTTCGCCACTGATCTCGTCTGCTAGTCACTCTTCAAAACCAACGACTAGCTCCTGCTCCAGCCGTTTGTCTACGTCCTCCTCGCACGCTGTCTTGCCGTCATCGTCTGTTCCCGCCGTCGGCTCGACTCGTACAGGCAGCTCTTCCTCGACTTCTACCGTCACCGGTGAGGCGTCCTCGACTGGAGTCGTTTCTCCCGGAGGTCCATCTTCATCTAGCGCAAGCGGCTCTACTGTCTCAGCATCGTCCAAGACTGGAGCTACGTCTGTTGTTGGGGGTACTACGACGATAACGGCGTCTCAGACATCCACCGGACCGGCTGGATCTTCTGGAAGCAGCTCTTCCAGCTTAGGATCTGCCTCTGGCTCTGGTTCAACTACCTCTGGTGTTTCTGTTCCAGTCACGGGTACTATCACAACCACAGCCACAGCCAGTGCTACCGCCACCGCAGCTTCAACCAGTTCCGAATGGACTACTACAGTTGTGACAACTTCATACGTCTATATCTGCCCAACTGGACTTGCCACTAGCACCATTACTTACACCGAGTCGTACTGCCCATGCACTGCAACAGCCAAGGCATCCACTGCCTTGCCCACTGGCTGGGCCACTACCACCACCGTCTGCACAGTGTGCGGTCCTGAGCCAACCACAGTGACGCTGACTCTGCCACCCTCTGTGAGCGCCACTTCTACGTCGCTCCCAGGCTCTGGCCCTGGCCCTGCTCCTGGCTCTGGAACTAAACCAAGCACTGGTTCTGAGTCGGTGGCTCCTGGCAACGGCTCTGGCCCTGCTCCTAGTTCTGCATCTATTCCAGGCACTGGTTCCGAGTCGGTAGCTCCTGGCAACGGCTCTGGTCCTGCTCCTAGCGCTGCATCTACAACAAGCACTGGCTCCGAGTCGGTGGCTCCTGGCAACACCTCTGGCAACACCTCTGTTGGCCCAGCTGGCCCGTCTCAAACAACCAGCAGCATTGTTGCTCCTGCAACTTTGACTGCCCGTCCAAGTGCCTCTTCCTTCCCCACGTCGCCTAGCTACACTCAATCGGGTGTCAGCCCAGCGTTCACCGGGGCTGCTGCTGGTGGTCGGGCGAACTTGAGCCCGCTCTTCGGCGGCTTGATTCTTGCTATTTCTGTGTTTGCGCTCCTGTGAAAAGGTTGATCGATATTTGAACATCTTTCTTTGCTTCTGATTATGGCGGATTTTGACTGGACAAATCTAATTACAAAACGATATGCTTGCGATTAATTATTATGTACAATTTTGTCTATTTTTCTACTATTCTTATACACACTCTTTCGCTTTCTTCTGAGCAGTCTTCTTTGTACATACCAGATACTAGTAATGTTTACGTGTACGTATATACATTGATGACACGCTTTATAATTAACATTCCCATGCAGCATATCAATCAATGTCAAATGTTATGCAATAAAACATGCCAATGTATTGTTAGTCCTAACTATAGCCTAGTCCCGGCAACGGCTTCTTAAACAGCGACTGCTCATTCATTTCTGTGCCTAGGGCTAAGCCCTGACTTGTTTTAACCATCGTCGGAGTGGCAGAACAAACGCCGAGTATAGTATTGGATTGCGTTCTTTTTATGCATCCAATAATCTTTTTATGTATGCATGCCATGGGGGGTCAGCAGCTACTCAGTTACGGACTGCATGGCACGCACACCGAGGGGTAAGTTATTGCCCAATGAATTCAGCCATCCATGCCTGGACATCAGCCTGTTTCAAAGAGTGTCTGTGTCTAGCACCTCATACTCGGCCGCAAAATAATTGATTGGTGTGGATTGAGCCGGCATTCACTACTACATGATCCTAATCTATTTGCAGCGGCGGGGGTGAGGAGGGGTGGCTGAGTCTCTGAGCTGTCACGGTCCATAAGTATCTGAACCTTTTTCCCCCTTTTCTTTCGTTTCGTTAGAATAATGTTTATTTGATTATTTATATATATATATATATATATATATATATTGCATTTCTCGGCGCTTTGTTTACTTTCTTCTCCGTCATCAGTACCATCATCATCATCTTCTTCTTCTTTCCTAGTTCCCTGCCAAAAAGGAAAGAAATAAAAAGAAAAAGATGGACTTTGTCGAAGAGCAACAGGTCTACTATTCTGGCGGTGCAGGCGGACCTCCTTCAGTCCCTGGTCCTTGGGTAGCCCAGTGGGCCGAGCAGGAGAGTACGTGGATTTATATAAACGAAGAGACCGGCGAACGGAGCTGGGAAGCGCCCTTAGCCGGAGGTCCTGGTGGATACCAGCAGGAAACCTTCCAGCAGAATACCTATGTGGAGGAGACCTACCAGCAAGATACTTATGAGCAAGATACTTACCGGCAAGATACCTATGAGCAACAAAATGAAGGCTTCGCGGAGAGTGCTGCAGCATGGACTGGCGAGAAGGTATGAGTATCCATACCATACATGATGTACAGAGAATTTACGCAACCACCTGCTAATATAAACAAACAGGTCGGCGAAGTCGAGTACGATGCGCACGAAGTGAAGGAAGACGTGGAGGATATCCCCGAGGATATCGCTGGTTGGGTAGGAAGGAAAGTGGGAGATGTCGAGCGGTTTGGTGACGAGGTGGATGGCGCCTATGATGTAGGCAGAGCTGAGGGCAGGGATGGATGGTGATGATCGATATTCTCTTAACATACCTAGGAAGGTAGCTTATCGGCTGGGTGAGAAGGGCTGTTGTTCTACGTGCCACAACGATGATTACATTGCGTTACACTTTGTTGCCTCAGATCTGATTGCAACCTCGGCAGTTGTTTGTTCTACAATCTTGATATAAATATGGCCTTGTATTTATTGTACACTCTTATGGAATACCTTTCTTAATCTACCTAGATATGGACAATAACCCGTTCCGGTGCGTGGTGCGATATAATCTGTATCTTCAGACAGTGTTGCGAAAGGCTGGAGTGTTATAGCTGCCTAGGTCGGTGTCTAGACTCTGATCAATTGCCCACGTGTAGCCAACTCAGAATGAAAATAGGGTCACTAACGAACGAACCCTCCTTCGATATCACGATAGTATCCATTCTCCATGGCCATTCCCAACGAGACAACTCTCACTACTACTACACCCACATCCTCTACGGTCGGGGACTCAGGAAACGTGGCGGTCATATCTGTCGTGTGCGTGATTACGGGCTTCATCATGCTGGTTCTGCTGGTGGTATGGTTTCGACGACGAAGGGCTCGTTGCGATGTGAACTATGATACGAGACGCGAGGGCTTGGAAGTGCGACATGGCCAGGTTTTGCTGTGATGTCCTCATTGTGGAAAATATTTAAGTTGTCTAGTTTAGATGTTCCTTGCTTTGCCTTGCTGTTGTTGTTGTGATGATGTGAAGTAGAGCGCTGCCTGAGGCTACAACTAGCTCCGTCGGCTCCTCTTGCCGTGCGCCGCGGCTTCTTCAATACTTATGATTAGATGCATCGTGCAACAACCACCACGTAGCGAGCGAGCTGTGCTGGTTTACTTAATAACTGCCTTTCCCCTCTTTTGAAAACTGCTATCTTGTTTGCGAGATTTAAGCAAGCCTGTTTTATCGATAGGCTGAAAATGCATTGAGCACGGCTGTTGCCAGCATGCTCAAGGTGGGTGACTATATGTTCCGATGCTTCAACATCAATGCTGACGCGGATATTTCTAGACTGCTCGTGAACTGCTTCTTACACCTATTTAATGATTGATTTCTGAACCCAAAAAGCTGCAAGCATGTGGACGACCCATCCATTGAACGGCGTCAAAGTCGTCGAGCTGGCTGGCCTAGCACCTGGTGTGTGATTCTTTCATATCCAGTGCAAATGATAGATAACTCACCATTCTGTTTGCATACTTGTCAGGCCCCTTTGCCGGCCTTCTGCTTGCCGACTACGGCGCCTCAGTGCTCCGCATCGACCGTGCACCCAGCAGGAGGAATACCGTTGGGCCTGTCGGTCTGACTCGCCGCAAGTCCTCGATCTACCTCGACCTGAAGAATGCGCGGTCTCGAGATCTCCTTCTGTCCATCCTGCTCCAAGCCGATGTCCTAATTGACCCTTTCCGGCCAGGCGTGCTTGAGCGTCTCGGCCTCTCACCTACCGATGTGTTACTCAGACATAACCCGCGCCTTGTCGTCGCTCGTATGACTGGTTTCCGCCGTGACGGCAAGTACAAAGATATGGCAGGCCATGATATCAACTACATCGCTGTGTCCGGTGTTTTGTCTATGCTGGGACGTAGCGGTGAGACTCCCTACGCGCCCGGTAATATATTGGGGGATTTTGCCGGTGGCGGGGCTATGTGTTTTATGGGCATCCTCCTCGCGCTCATTTCGCGACAGACAACGGGCAAAGGCCAGGTAGTCGAGGCCAATATGGTAGATGGATCGGCGTATTTGGCAACCATGCCTAGAGTAGCACTCACTACTCCGTTATGGGACGGGCCCAGGGGCACGAATACGCTGGATGGCGGGTGCCCCTGGTACGATACTTATGAGACCAAGGACCCGGGGAAATACTTTGCGGTTGGTGCGCTCGAGCCGCACTTTTATTCGGTGCTTTTGAAAGGGCTAGGGTTTGAAAAAGGGGATGTCCCGGATCGAGACGACAAGGGAAATTGGCCTGCTATTAGGCAGATGTTTACGCAGAGATTCAAAGAAAGGACACGCTCAGAATGGGAGATGGTCTTTGATGGCAGCGATGCTTGTGCTACTCCTGTCTTGGAACAGGCTGAGCTGGAAAGGCAGGGGTACGAGCAGAGACTACCGGTTGACCTGGTCAGTACGCCGGGCAAGCCGTTTGCGTCGGAGGAAGCTGGAAGAGGAGGAGGAGGAGGTGGTGGTGGTGAAGGCAGATTGAAGGAATGGTTTGGGTGGACTCGGGGAACGGAATATGAGGAACGAGATAGAGTTTTGGTTTCAAGATTTGAGACCAGTAAGCTGTGATAATTCCTTCTAGCATAACATATATTATATACAGTGATATATAGTGAATAGGATGTATTGATTTCGCCGCCACACGGCATGCTTCGGTAGCATCGACTCGTTTCAGCGGGGGATCTGACTGCAACGGTAATGTGGCGCAGAGTCTTCATAGGCCTCGACTGTCTTGGAACAACGGTCCCTAGTTATTTGTTGTGATGATTCATAGACCAAAGGCCAATATCTTGTTGTCTCACATTCTCGCGCCGTCCTACTATAAGTTGGCTGGCCATCTCACCTGATTGGCCAGGTTGCATGATAGTCAGGCACGCATAGTCGTCGTCGTCGAGTCGCACGTGCAGGCGGGCTGACTAACACCACTCTGTAACTGTTGTCGCCTTTTAAGACGTATTATAACTAGTTAACGACTTCGTACTGGCTAGTCAGTGAGCAGCGCAGTGTCACCCGGCCCCTGACTGATGAGGACTCCTTCTTACGCATCGTTATCGCTCTGAAATAAAGCCGACCTACTACTTAGAGCATCCGTTACATCCGCGACATCATCGCGGCGATACTTCCCCACCGGAACCACCGGGCGTGCCTTGCTTTTCAGGCTGACCCGCTGAAAACCTACTCGCCTACAACACCGTTTTGGACAACGACGCTGCTCGAAGACAGAGGGAGAGACACACAGAATGGCCGCCAGAGTGCAGATGCAGGGCAATAACATGGCCGACTATCGCATGTACCAGATGCCGCGCAGACCCGTAGGGGGCTCGCACCATGCCGGCCTGCAATTTCAGCCGTCTGAGGCTTCCAGTCCGCAGCAACATCAACCACCACCACAGCGACTTGCCCCCAACTACGACCAGCCGGCCTATGCCCAAAGCCAGCCTCACCAACGCAGCGCCCAGTACAGTCGCAACAGCGACAGTTACCAATACCACCACCACCACCACCCGCACGCCTTTCACCGCCAAGCGCAGCATCCCCAGCAGCAGCAGCAGTACCACCACTACAACCAAGTTCCTCTCGCCGCGGGCCCCGTTCCCTCCCGAACTCTCTCGAATGCTACAACCTCGACTTCTTCAACGGGCGGAAATCGTGTTACCAATACCATGTCGACCGCTTCGTCTGATATTCACCGCAGCGCCTCCTCGCGCTCGGCAAGCGCCCCGCTAAGTTATGTGGCTCTCATGAGACGCCAGAAGGGCACCGTCTGGTGCGACCGCGCACAGCCCGAGGATCCTCGCCTTCAAGCCCAGAAGCGAGCCGCGAAGCAACGCGCACACCTCGAATTGCACGGCTCCTCCGGGCGCTCCAGCACTTTTGCGAGCGGCAAGATCCGGCACAGCGGCAAGGCCGGCCCCAGCTTCTCGCCATCTACGCTGATCGGTGCTACTGTTCCAGTGCGACTCAGTGCAAATGAAATTGGCGACGACGACGGAGACGATCATTCCAGCGAAGGTGGCCCGTACCACCGTCGCACTGGCAGTGCCAGAAGTTCCTTGGGAAGCATGCAGCGCTACCCAAGCGGTTACCAGCGTCCGCAGGGCAAGACGCCGCCAAACGAGCAGGCCGATATTCCCGAGGTCGCCGAAACTGCTGCTGCCACCACAGGAGCGGCCGGTCCTGACGCCGCTCAGAGTCTTGATAGCGCAAACGACAGTCTGACGTCCTCGCTGAGAGACCTTACGACAGAAGACCAGGACTTACATGACGAACACGATTTTGGCAATATTGGCGAAATGGGCGCCCCGGCTGCCGCTCCTACGGCCATGCAAAAAGCGAAGAAGGCAGACGATCTTCGACGTCGCGGTAGTGTCGATGACCGGACTACGAGCTTGACTGGTGTGAGACTATTCGTCGCCAATCCGGATGCAGACGATTGAAAATTTCTTTATGTATTTATTTTTTTTTTCTTGATTTGCGTTTGTTTGGCTCCGAAAAAGTTTCCGTCGGATACCCTTTTGAGATACATTGTTCTCAATTTTGCGTTGGCTCGGATATATTTTTATTTGGCGGATTGCATGGCCGGTTGGCGATAATTGTTCGAGATATTATGGGTGTTTTTGTACTTGTTTTCGCTGCGGGAATGTGCTTCTTTTCTCTTTACTATTTCATGTATTCACTTCCTACCTAATAATAATCTCGTGATAGTTACAAATCTTTACCCTGACCTTGGGTTGAACCTTACTCGTAGGAAGAGCTTTCCCCAGAACGACAGCAATGGCTTTTGATGAATCCTTCCCCATCTTGCTATTATTCACCTCGAATTCACCTCGAAACGAGTGACACTGCCAAGGCATATCACGTGCCTGCTTACTAACGGCAACGCGTTGCACGGCGCGACATTTCAATTAACGCGTCTAATTAAGCAACGGCAAGCCGAACATCACCAGAACCTCCAAGCATTCCTCCCCCTTCCGTCGCTGACGTCTGACACGGCTCCTCATTTACTAACGAATAAACCCATGACCACGATCTATCCATCAGAGAGCAACCTGTGGCGTCGACACCACGCGAACTTCTCTATTCGACACTCATCATGGAAGTCTCAGTCGAGTTCAAGCCATCTACCACACCTGCCGCCACTGCATCCCCCTTCTCACCTACACCATCCTCCGCATCACCGACTGTCTCTTCTTCCCGGAAGCGAGCCTTTAGCGAACTCGAAGACGGCAATGCAGTACAAAATCCCGAGACAAGTAAGCTCCAGAAGCGAGACGATGACGGCGCTGATCTAGAGGATCGCGAAAACCGGGATCCTTCAATATATGAATCACAGAATATGGAGATCGACAAGCCTTCCTCAAATGTGATAGTACCTGCTTTTCAGAATACGCCTATTATATATGGGCCCGATGCTTCTACTTCTACTCTCTCTTCTAATGCCGATGCGTCATCGATGAATAAGGCTCTCGCTGCCCTTCCTGCGGCGTCTCATACTCCTCATAATACACAGCAACAACAAACTATTCATCCTAACCAAACCGTTTCCTTACCCGATAGTAAGAAACAAAAATTGTCTCCAGCCGATAAGGAAACAAAACGACTAGAGAAAGAAGAAAAGGATCGGCTCAAGCTCGAGGAGAAGGCGAGGAAAGAAGCAGAAAAGCAAGCGAAGGAAGAGGAGAAGAAGAGGCGGGAGGCTGAGCGCGAGGAAGAACGTAAGAAGAGGGAAGAGAAAAAGAAGATCAAAGAGGAAGAGAAACAGGCCAAGGAAGAAGAGAAGCGAAAGAAAGAGGAAGAAAAAACGAAGAAAGAACGGGTGAGTTCTTCTCATATTTCTGCCCCGTTAGGGATTGACATGCGTATTCTGACCTTTCTATAGTCTCAAATGAGATTGAATGCGTTCTTCGCAAAACCCACCGCTAGCACTGCGAAACCGGCCAATATAGGGCCCCCATCTCCTCAGAAAGGACTGACCCAGGAAACTGCGAAACCATTGTCGCCAGGAAAAACGCGGGAAGCATCGCAGTCTAATTATCGCAAAGAATTCCCAGCCTTCTTTCTCCAGAGCAATACTCATCTTTCACCTCCCCACCAGTTTCAGCGTGACAGCGAGGCATTGTACCACATTTGTCAGAAACTTGATGGGTTCCTAAAACAACCCACCACACCTCCTGCATACCGTGGGTCGGAATTATTTGATATGATTCCATACCAACGACGGAATGGACGCAATATCAAGTCTGTCCGGACCATCGTAAACAGCGCTCAGAATGAGAGTAATCACATCAACCTTGCCGAACCGAATACTACTTTCCTGAGAGATCAGCTGAAGAAAGTGACAATGAAAAGCCTTAGATTTGGAGAAGACGTTCGGCCGCCATACTATGGAACATTCACCAAGCCTCTATCTCACAACCAAGCCCATAAGCTCTGTCGTGCTCCATATACTCGTATAATACCCGGGGTTAATTATGACTACGACTCCGAGGCTGAATGGGAAGAGCCCGAGGAAGGCGAAGATTTAGACTCGGAGGGCGAAGAAGATGTTAGCGATGACGGTGATGATGATATGGACGGCTTCCTTGATGATGAGGAGGAACAAATAGACGGCAGAAGGCGTCTTATTGTTGGTGACCTAGAACCCGTTAGTACGGGAATCAGATGGCATGACGAGGGAAAAGTCGACCCCGACATGGAGGTGTACCGCATCGAGGCTCTGTCAGGTATGTATTATGTATAAATATTGACAAATAAGGCGAGATGTATGGCCTAACACCGAACTTGCAGAAACTATCCAGTTCCCTATTGACCCATTTTCGACGGCACACTGGCCAAAGCCAAAAGCCGTGGAACAGGCTGCGTCGAAAGGGCCGTCTTCCCTGGTTCCTGCTAGATCTACTCTTCATGCCTACTCTACGAATACATCGAGCCACACACAATTGCCTCTTGCACCACCATCACGCCCCGTTGCAGCTGTGAAAGGAAAGCCCTTTCCGGCCGAGCATCTGGTAGAATTCAAGGAAACTGTCGAGGGCTGTGATTTGACCAAGGCTGGTTTGATCGAGGTTCTCAAGAAGCGGTATGTACTGAACAATGAACCGACCTTTCTAGGATGTTACATACTAATTTTTTATCTGTGATGCATATAGCTTTCCTAAGATTTCGAAAGACACTCTGAAAGACACCGTGAATGCTGTCGCCGTACGCGTCGGTCAAAAAGAAGCGGACAAGAAATGGACTTGCAAATGATTTCCCCTATTTTCCGAAGAAAACGAACCTGATCCATTGAGTTGGCCGCTGGTTGTATCGGACTAGAGTGCGAAGAGGCGCAGTTATGCACCGATTGAACAACGACAACACCATCAGCCACAGAGAAGTGTGATTGGCGGACGCCGGGCTTACAGATCACCGACAGGGTAGGTGTTATTCTACGAGCTACAGCTGGCTGTTCCTTATTCCGGGGATGTGGCTGGTTCCTGGAAACGTGGCAACCCGCCAATCCGGCTACTGCCGTGTACAAGTTGCCTGGCTAGTATTTCGTATGCTACGTGTTCAGTTGCCACCAACGAATGTATGGAACAAATGCATGTTGCGGAGGCACTCCGATGCATTCCTCACCACCTAGTAAACCTGTTGAATCTTAGAAATGGGAACAAGAATAGGAATAGGAAACATGGCATGATCCACTTGATCGTAAATGCCGATATGATAATACTACTCCACGTTTTTCAGCCGGCTGTGTGTGAGACTAGGCTCTTTTAGTACGAACAGTTCTGCTACTATTAGCTGGCAGTGCATGGCGTATAAGCGAACCGCCAGGACATGCCTCTTTCAAGTTGTATGATATAAATACTAACATTCCACCAGACGTACTCCAAACATCAGTTACATCAGTTACACCAGCATTGCTACATGTACGTACCTCCAACGGAATATGTATGGACGGGTCAATACAGCGCTTCGCGCTTACTAGTAGTAGTTTAGCCAGGCCAGCGCATCTATAGTATATACTATATAGTATTAGTATCCATTGATATGCACTGCCAACACATACCTTCCGTAGTGGATAGTGGATACTCTAATGGGATGCCTGCATCTATGATTTCTGAGCGGTACGCGCTTTAAGCTCTGGGTGGTTGGCTGGTTGAGAAGGAGGAGTAGAAAAGACGTGGCACCGTGAAACCACGCCGCTCGATGGAGCACTGCTTTGGTTGTATCTTGTTCTCTGTGCTGAGGCTGTTTGTGAGTTTGTGAATTCTCAGCTGGAGCTGGGGTTTTGCCTCTGGCGACGAGGCCAGAGACAGTGGTTGGTATAAGTAAAAGCAAGCAGAGGAAGGAGCGGCCCTGTGACCTCTCCCTCCTGCCTTCCCGTGATCCTTCTAGCGTTGCTGTACAACAAACCGCGCTCAACCTCCTCATTCGTCCAGCTTGCGTGCCCCCGACCTACTACTGCTACTACTGTGCCAGCGGCGACGACGACGACGACGAACGACGTCTTCCGATCATTTTCCGCATCGAGGCCTGCATGCCCTGCGTGTCCAGCCGATAGACACTGTCTGCAAATCATCTTCCAGCTAGTGTGCTGTCCAGTCGCCCCTCACTTCCCTTGGTCTACCGCCATCTCATCAGTCGCTTTGCCGTCATCGTCAAATCACCAACCACCTCACTCACTACTGCGAGTCTAATAACCGCCTTACTCAACGCTACCTTCGCGGGCTAAACCCCCTCGAGCAAGGCAGCCCTTAATTTACACTTCACGTACTTTCCCCGCCACGATCGACTGACGGACTGACTCTTCCACTCTCTTTCTCTGAAGTTGTTTACGAAGTACGCGAAAAAAAATAAAAAAAAATAAACAAACAAACACCAGCCTCCCGACATTGCATTCTTTCTTTATTGTTGCGCGCGCCAGCAATAAATAATGCGATAGACAAATAATTGATTTGTCGCTCGCCGCGGGCATTGCGCATCCGTCCCGGGAAGGCGCCAGGAGGTCGCCCATGGCAAGATGATCGATGCCCAACATGCCTATTCTCCACCTCTGGGTCTGGAATACACAATCCGTATGTGCACTGCTTTCTTTCTGCTATCATCTGCTTTGTTGTTGTTTCTTTGATCTTCATATCTTGTCTGATTTCCATACCCTCGCTGTTCTTGTGCGTGTGTGCGTGCGTGTGTGCTGGTGGACAGATTGACAACGGCAAACCCCCCCAATTCCAGGGTTTCTGTCGCAGCGGCTAATTAGCGAACCCGGCTTGAAAACTAACACAACTTCAGCTCTACCTCCTTCGCCCGTTGCATTTTTGATAAAATGTGCGTCTTCACTTGATCTGAGCGAGGCAGAATGCTCTCCTCCCGAATTACCACCAGCGCCTACCATGCGCATTCCTGCTGGAGACCCTGGCCCAATGCCGGAGGAGAAGCCTGCCATTGTATGTGAGCCCAATCCTGAACCACCCGTCGTTCATCCAGACACTCGCACCATTTTGGACTCGAAGGATCATGAACAGCTACTCCCTGCTGCCCATATACCCTTAGCCGTGATCCCGGGGCCCCGGTCCCCGGAGCCCACAGTTTCATTCGAGCAATTTTCAACCCAGTACCGACGCTGCCAGCAAGCAGAGATTGAAAAACAAGTCTTGGAGCATCGTCTGATTTCCACCAAGGTTTCAATATGTCTGTCTTCGAGGCTCTTGAGAACGGGAGCCACCGTGCAGCGTGGCCTCGTCGATGCTTTCAGACATGGAGATAAACCCGGCTTTGTGGCAATATATAACACGATCCATGATATACAAGAGGCCTGTGAACTTGGCTCCCACCGTTCTTCCCACCGACAACAACCCTTATCAGAGGAGCCTATCTTATCTTTGCATTCCCAGAGGCCCCGTGCTGTCAGTTTCATGCATCAGCTTAGTTCCCAAAGTAGGAAGGATCTCCTGGAAATTATAACATTGGTTAGAACAGATTCCCAATTCCTAGCGGATTGTATAACCGGCCTACTTCCATCACAACTCTCTGCGCTGACTGCCCCCGTTGGTTTCTCCGCTTACGGGGATACAATTTCGTCTCATTCAGCACGCTCTCGCAATTCTGCCTCCTTCGCTAAACGTGTTAATGCAAATCCCATACCATTCAAGGATCATGCCTGGGCCCTTGAACGGTCTGATCCGCTCTCTGCACTACTTTTCAATGTTTTTGCTGTTCCCTTGGATTGGCACCCCGGAGAATCTGAACTACGCCTGGATGTCTGGTCTTCCACGTGTGCAAAGCTGCTGTCCTCTGGAGATAGTAAATATTCCAATTTCGTTGGTCAGGTTTTGTCCTACTGGTCTACTACCAGCGACTGGCAGGCCCGCCAGAAAATCGAACTTTACCTTATGGACGTCTTGCAGAAAGGCGCATTTCTCCTGGAGAATATTGAAAGCCCCGTAGCCCATTCCCTTGGTACCGAACCTCCGGATCCTCTGCGAACAGACGCCGCCGAAGAATTCTTTGACTCTGCAGTTCAAACTCTGTTTGAAGTTCTTGATGATACCGACTCTGGTCTTCCATCTGCGGCCCTGGAGTTTTGCAATGCTGTTTTGAATAAACTGGTCGATTCTGAGACTCGGGACCGCTTCCTAGAATTCATCTTTGTCCAGTGGTTCTTTTCTAGATACCTTTATTATGCTTTGACTTTTCCAGAGGTAGGCGAAAGAGAAAAAGCAACAATGATATCGAAGTGTGCTAACGACATTCACAGGGCCAGGGTCTGTTACTTGATTTCCACATCAGTAAGGAAGCCCGAGAGAAACTGTTGAGTCAGATAGCTCTGCGCGCCCAGTCTCAATTCTATCGAGTTTTGCATTCTGTGTACGCCCTCGCTCTGTTTTTTCTCTTGTCGGGTTCTATTTCTACTTACAATAGCTGACGACTCGCAGGCCACAATTTTCAACCGTAAACTCACAGGTGAGAAAACACGTCGACAGCATGCTAAGGAGATGTCTATTTTCTTCTCCCGCACAAGCATCGAATGCAAAACCACATATGCCAGACAGCAATGCCGCGGAAGTTGAAAATCCGTCGTCTAGCTTTCTCATGCTGTGTGCCTCGGATGTTGTTACACTTTTGAATGCCCTATTTCCAAAGTCTGTTAACAGTCCGGCTGGTTCTCCTTCATCTAATTCTCCCCACCCGGTTTTGAGCTATGCGCAACACAGTGGTCCCAGGCGAGCAACTCTGCCTGCTCACTGGTCTGGTAGGATTGAGACAGTACTGGAGCGGCCGAATCATCCGGAACCAGCCAAACCGGAGACAACTCAGCGAGCAGGCTATCATCGATGCGCAGATGTCATCCGGTTTGAATTATCTGACATTGGAGAAACAGAAGATCACCCTGTTCTGGACCATCCATCTACTGAAGATTGGACCCTATTGGATGTTTCTCCAGATGGCAAATCCTTGACTTGGGACCCTCCTAGTGGAAACCACTCTGATGGCGTGTTCGACGGTTTATCTGACAGTGACCATCACTCTGGAACCGTGCAACCCGAGGAGGATTATGAAGCACTCCACACCGCTATAAAAAAGCTGGCCAATACTTCTGAAACCTTCAGCCAATCCAGAGGTCTGCGTACGTTCCGTGCTAACAAGAATCATTCCTTAGAAGAGAGATTTGACACTGCACGGTCAGTCTGTGAGAGTCGTTCGGATTTCCTTGGCGCTCACTACTGGTGGACTGCATCAAATCATCTCAGGCAGAGCGTCGCGAAATTGGCAAAGCTACCGCAAAGTGATTCTTGGATCTTGGTTCCCATGCTTAAATCATCCAATGAATCCTTCCTTAGGTGTAGCGCAGTGATCCAGGAGAGTGAAGAGGGTCTTTTCACTCTGAATCCTTTTGTTGAACAACTAAGGGAGTCCAGCAAGAATAGTATTGCCATTATGACTAAGCTAAGGAACAAAATGTGGTACATGACTGATGTCAAGAACTCTATGCGGTATGAAGACGCCAAGCATGTGGCTCTTGCGTTGAAGACTATGGTATACCCAACACTACATCGAGAAAGCCCCAATGACTACCGTTCCCGCAATGGATCGAGGTATCTTGGTGGAGGCCTACTTCAGAAACCAGAAGTGCACGTCATGAACGTCATGAAAGCCACGACCAGCCAAGGTGGCCCTAATAAACTAAGTGACGAACAGGTTGAACTTACACGGAAGTGGATCTCGCATCACGGCATTGATAATTTCTGTCGAGGGGAAGAGCGAATTCATAGATTTTGCTACGAGGTCAAATCAAGCATCAATAAGCTAGTGGGTGATTCAATGGCGGAGACCCCCGTGCTTTGGGCGAGCGAACTATTCCAGAGAGAGCGTGCCAAATTTGAAGGACCTAGCAGTAGGAATATTCCAGGTATTCACACGACGCCTGGAGCTCGTCCTTCCAGCATCAGCAGTGAAGATGCATTGTCCAACATACCATACGCTAGCCCAGGCTTACGAGGTGCAGAATCACTACGACCCACAGACTTACCACCATTAATACGGAAGTCATCACACCAGAGCTTGTCCTCTGAAAAGTGGAGATATTCGCGAAATCTTGATTTAGACACTGTCTCCTCATCTGGTGGTTCTTACAGCAGAGCTACGTCTAGCTCTACAACTGAATCTTATACACCGTTTTGGTCACCGTTTCAAACACAGACGCAATCTGCTGCTAGCGCTTCCAGTTTCCAGTCTCGGCCGCCGTCAATGTTCAGCGACGCACCAGTGCCTCGTCGCACGGAGCGTGCTGCTGTCTACGGCAAAACGGTTTTTCTGGATGATCTCAGACAGACTTTGACCAGTCTGCTACTAAGTGACTTGGGGTCTCCTGTGTGGAGCTGTGGTAGCGAGACTGATGCGTGGTTTATCAACTATCTCAACCAGACACGAGTGCAGAGGCAAATGGACAAGCAGGCCAGGATCCAGAAATTCCTGGCCGAGTCTGACGACGCAATGCATCGGCGTAGCGGCAGACTGGCTTCTGGCACATCTCATCTTTCCCACCAGAGGAGCCATTCGGCTGATCCCATCCTCATAGGTAAACACGAATCAAAACCCGTCACTGAAGTTCCGTTCGGTAATTCATTTTGTGAACAACCGGCAAGCGAGCAGCCGGACTTCAGTTACAAATCTGCGTTTTCCCAGCTACTAGATGTGTTTTCACGCAATGCCAACCCTTATGTGAAACTCGGGGCATTGAGGGACCTGAGGGCGTTGATAGTGGCATCTTTAGACAGAGTCCGCGATATGTCACCGACACCTAAACAAAAGTCAATCCGATCTCAGGGTATGTCTACGGAAAGAGTCAAATCTAACCGTCATAGCTTCACAGAAGAGCTATTATTATACCAAGAAGAACTTCTTCGAACACCCACATCCCCGATGCCGGAATCCGTCGACTTTGACTCTCACCCATCTTACGATATTTTGAACACTTCTGAAAGCCGTATCATCACGACGATTAAGAGCATTTTGAAAGAATTGCAACCCAAGACATTGTTCCGGGACTTGCAATTTATAGCTGCCTTTCTGCCGAGCGACACTCTAAACAAGACAGATAGCGGGACTGCATTCCTGCAATTTGGACTCGCAGCATTGTCACTGAAAGAGGATGTCTGCGCGAGCATGGTCGAGTTGGCCGATAAGATTGTGTCTCAAGAGCTGAATCGGCGACACACACAGTCATTTGATTTTATTTCCCGCGCGCAGGATCCGATTGAGGATGCAGCAAGGATGTGGATCATCACAGCCAAGGAAGGATACCCCGTGGCACAACGCGAGCTCGCCATCTTGTATCTGACACACCCGGAAATTCTTCCTCGCGTGACACTCCCTCTAACCCTTCCGCGGGACACGTTCAAAGCGGAGATGATGTATCGTCGGGACAGAGACTCTAAATTTGATCCGCAAAGTATGTGCTTGGCCCTGCACTGGATGCAGCTGTCAGCCAACGGCGGAGACGAATTAGCAAGAAACCGTCTCCGAGAACGCGAGGAGTTTGAGTCTCTTGTTTGATTTTGAATTGCAGATATTTAGTTCTCTGCTTGTTCTTTTATGCAATATTTTTTTTTCCCTTTCCTTCCTCCCATTTCCTTTTATTATTTTTTATTGTTCTCATGTTGCGCCCTTACCTATACCCCAATTTTATATCCATAGCATATGTCTGTGTGTTAGTACGTTTCGTTTTTCTAATTGTTATTTTTACCCCTTTATCATTACAATATAGCTTAGCATATGAAGCGAGTCAGTTGTAACTGGCATGGCATTTGTTGGACTCTTGCTTATATGTGAACGGTCACTACTTGGACTCGCGGAGTTTTGTTTTGTTTCTGTTTTTGCATTCAGGTCGTAGCGTTGATCGCCGATCAGATATAGTCTTTTCTCTCCCTCTCTCTTCATTTTTTATTTTGTTTACTATTTTTCCAATTGAATGTTACTGAATCCATGGAGTTGGAACCTTTTCTTTTTTTCTTTTTTCAGGAGGCGCAATGCAATCAGTCGAAGGGGCAGGCAGGTTACTTTTCATGGCTCTTGTCATCTTCGTCTCTATTCCCCTGTATCCAATATCCAAAGATGGCGGCGATACGATGATAGGTACGTATTGGGCTTCGCTTTTGAGTGATATATATTTGTTTCTGTTGGTGCAGGCTTGATTATATACCAATTGTCACAAGTTAGTTACTTCTCTTTACAATCAATCATATGCTGTATCAGTCAAGACCAAGTCCGATGGAATATTAAATAACCTGGCCATATGCTTGCCTTTGGCCAGCTTGCATGTCTTGTTCTTTTTGTAGGCAGCAGGTACTGGTAGTAAACTTCGCAGTGAAGTGTGTGTGTGCCTGAAGAGTACCTAGTTAAGTGCCTGAGGCGGCGCATTGCGTCATACCTTCCGCCCACCTGCCGGCTGTCCCTCGCTGACCTCCAACTCTGTTTTCCCCCAGCAACGCCGGATTCATCTCCCATTTTCGATTTCATTTGTTGGGAATACAGCCCTGGAGTCACAGGGGGAAGTCTGCCTGGAAAGACAGAAAGAAAAGCCCCTCTCGGTCTCAGATTCTGTGTCGCCAGTCTCTGTCCAACGACAAAGGTACATGCTGCAGGTGCTGCATACCCAAACCAAATATTTTGACTACTCTCTCGTCTTTCAGCCCAGCTGATGCGAAAATTACTAATAGTGTCTGACCGTCTAGAAAGTTTGACTTGACTACTGTCGTTAATCAAGATTTTCTGCCTCGCTCGTCCGGCGTCCGACACATTTAAAACTACCCCGCCGCGACTGGCTGGCTGGCTGGCTGCTCTTTTTTTTCCCGTTTCTCTTTGTGATATCGTCGTACTGTTTCTGGATCAACATGACTTTGTCTCACGACACAACGGGAGCCTCCCATAGCCCCGAGGAAATGCCAAAGAGACCTAAGGGTATGTTTCTCCCTGTCAGACTAGGGAAGTTATATATATCGTTTTTTTTTTCCTAATATCGTTAAGGTATCTTGAAAAACTCTACTTCCTTTATTCACCAACAACAGCAGCCGTCTTCTCCAGAAAAAGTCGACATCTCGTCACCTTCCCTGCCTGCTGACCCAGCCGAAAACAAAGAGATCACTCTCCAGAACACACTGCAAAATGCCGGTCGTCGCTCGTCGAGCGCAGCACGTCGCACTTCAGCGGGGAGACGCCTATCGGGGACTCCTTCGGCATTCGGTAACCGGGACGAAGAAGATCGATCTTCTCATCTGAAATGGGACGAGGCCAATTTGTACCTTGCCGAGCAGGAGAAGACATCCAAAATGAAAATCGACGAACCAAAGACCCCCTGGGCTCCGAGTTACGACCCCTCACACGACGAAATGGAACTTGAAGCACAGAATCACACGCTCGATGCGCATGACCTAGTCGTCGACGAACTGGATCAGGCTCGACAAAAGAAAGCCTCTGGCACGGGATCAGTGCATGACAACGATATCCCTGACTTTGAATTGGGCGAGCCCGAGGAAGATATTCATACTCAGCAGCAGCATTTGGCCGGGAGCGGAAGCCGAATTACTCGCGAACGCAGCCTTAGTCAGACTTCAAACCGTAGTGACAAGCATGTTGATGTTATTGTCGATGATGAGGAGCAAGGCGCTGGTGGTCACGGTGAAGAGTTGATGACAAGCGAAGAAGCGAGGGAGAAACATCGCAAATTCGAGGAGCGGCGGAAGCAGCATTATGAGATGAAGAATATCAAGGATTTATTAGCGTATGCTACCTTTTTGTTTCGGCTTTATGATAAACAACAAGACTAATTTAATATCTCTTAGCCACCCCGAGGAACTCGACGAAATGGATGAGGACGACAACGAGAGTAGCGAGCCGCCAGAAGTGCCGGCAATCCCCAAACACCTGGCCTGATCTGATTATAGAAGACTATAACTTTTATTTCAAGTACAGGGCGGCACGATATGCACGGTTCGTCAAGGTTATGTATGAAATTAACGAAACGTTTGGAATAACTTTCCTTTATTTTATTGTGAATGTGCCACGGATTATTCTTTCTTGTTTATTTTATTTGACGCCAAACTTTTACTACTCTCTACGTGACCGACATGAAAAAGGCACCGGGCGAGTTGGATACCCCTGTACATTCCACAAGAACGAGTACAATGTCTATGTAGCTTACATTGGGCTTTTCTGATTCTTCACAGCATGTGTTTAGCTATGTCTAATTAACATATTCAACTTATTTATGCATCTTTACGAACGAGTAAAAGGGAGAGAAGATATCATGAATAGACATATATACACAATCATATTGGCGAGCTTCTATGTCAATATCTCTAAATACTCATCTTCGCATATCGACGGCGCATTAACCGGATTACATCTCGCCGGGCCAGGCAACCCGACGAAATAATCACTATTATACCTCGCGCTCACACCAGCACCCGCCCAGTCGGTACTGACTATGTGAGCACCACTCGCCAACGCCGCCTTGCGCATGGCAGGCGCATCCCCATTATCGCGCAGAATCATTTGTATGGGCTCATCGGCGCGAGTGCGAATAAAATACCCCTTTGCAACCAAATCCTGAATCTCGCGCTGGTTGTTGCCCGCGATGGGGTCATTACGCTTGATGAATGCTGCGTCGGGTTCGCCAGGCACGGAGTTGGTGAAGATTACTCGTCCCTCGAGGTTTGGGCGTCCGCCGCTGCGGTATGGATCGCGTATTTGGATCGGGTGTGTCGGCTCGTTGTCCATCACGAAGAAGAATTTGCCTCGTGATGAGGCTAGGGTTGGCCAGCCTCCGCCGTGCTCAAAGGAGAGGATTGCATCTTCGAGGGTGATGGCTGGGTTGTCGTTATGATTATTATTATTATAATTAGCGTTCATATTTTTATTAATGTTATGTTGTGCTTGCTTGCGTATATCGTCCGGTGTGATGAGTTGGTCGTCTGAAAACACCGAGCGGATCTCTGCGTCTACTCTATCCAGCGCCTCGACCGTCCAGTCCTCCGCGCGAACGCCGCCTTGCTTCTCAATGCCCGGTTCTGTCTTTTTGAATTCTAGTAATATCGGTATAGGCACGTGCTGGCCGTGTTTGGTCTCGGACCATGTCTTCACCTGCGTCAGACATTCGACGAGGGTATGACATATTGTGCCCACATCCGCGTCGGCAATATGCAATACTTTTGTGCCTGGTTGTCCCATGGCGGACTTGGGTAGGCCGTAATGCTGTTTGTCGGCATCAGACATGTTTGCCAATCGACGGATGAGCGGATCCGCAAACAGGCCGCCGTGGGTGTCGACGTACAGGTCGAATTCGAAACTGCGCACTTGCTGGTGCTCGAGTTGGTCATGCACGGAGGCATGGGAGTAGTAATAGTCTTCAACGCGAGGGTCGACATTGGCCATGAGAGACGGGAAAATGACCCGCTCTGGAAGCGAGACTTCGCGGTGGTAGCTGTTATGGGTGCCGATGACTTGGAGGTTGTTGAGTCGGAGCTGTCGGTCGTGTTCTCCCTGTTTCTGTTGTTTGTAAAGGTGCGAGGAGGATGTTGTTGATAGTGATGCATGTTCACCTCGAGATAATGATTGTGATGAATTCAATGTTTGATTAAGGACGGAGACTGTAGTTCTTCTCGTAAGAAAGCTTTCATTTATACACCACGGACTGTAGTGTAGCATACATACCACCGATAACAAAGACCAGAGCTGTGCAGAGCACAATCTCTCGCATGGTCATAGCCATGGCTCTGGCTTTTCATCTGAGATATTGATTTGTTTTTGTCTGCATCGTTTTATGACGTCTAAAGATGAAGAGGGCACGGATGCCGCTCGACACATGTGATTGGCCTATCCCGAGCAGCCAATCAGCGACCCGCGACTCTCTATATGATATAACCCTAACCCTAATCATCCCTTATCGGACGGCCGGGCGGCACGTGAAACCGCGCTAGTCTAGATATAGCCCGTCTGCTCCTGGGCCAGGCTTGGCGCTGGTCCCGTGCTCTCCTTATCGCTCTGTTTTTTTTTTTTACAACCACCTTAGCATATTCCTTTGTACTGCCCCTTTTTATCTCGAATAGGAGGTGGGCTCGACTCCCTGTGTCCAGACCGGACTTGTCTTATTATAATAAGGTGCGTCCAATACCTCCTGTTTCAGAGTCTGCTCCGTTGTACTCTGTGACCGCTGTCGCATGTCTCAACCTGCCGTCCCATTAATATAATCTCGCTCGAACTTCCCATTCATTTCTCTTTCACACACAATAACAACACTGACACGATTACTCTTTATCAAGAATCCCTACACGTGTAACAGTACCGCGTACATCCGCAATGTCTGCTGCTGAGCCTGCTGTTGAAGCTGTTCCTCAGCCCGTCGCTGAAACGGAAGAGAAGGCGCCAGAGCCAACCGCAGCCGCAACCCCTGCTGCTGAAACCACCGCCGAGCAAAAACCAGAGACCCCAGCTGAGCCCGCTGCGGACAAGCCTGCAGAAACTGCTGCTGAGTCAACCGAGAAGGATGACTCCGCCGACAAGAAAACAGAGCCTGAAGCCCCAGCAAAGCCAGCTTACCTGACCAAGGTACCTGGCCTCGGCCAATTCTTCGACAGTCTTCCAGGCATTCTTGAGAAGTCCGGCCACCCGGAAATGTGGGGAGTGACTTTGAAGGACTCCGATGACATTCCCACAGTCAACGTCCTCATCAAGTTCCTCCGTGCCAACGAGGGTAACGTCAAGCTAGCCGAGGAGCAACTCACCAAAGCCCTCGAGTGGCGGAAGCAAATTAACCCTCTGGAACTTGCCAAGAGCGCCGAATTCAGCGCAAAGAAATTCGGTGGATTGGGCTACATCACTTCCTATGTTGATCCCACATTCGGCGAGACAGTCTTTACTTGGAACTTGTACGGTTCTGTCAAGGACCTGTCGGACACATTTGGCGATTTAGACGAGTATGTTTCTTGTTTTTATTTAGGTCCTTTGACCGTTGTTGCTGACTGAGACGTAGATTTATTCGTTGGCGCACAGCATTGATGGAGAAGGGCGTTCAAGAGCTTAAATTGAACGAGGCGACCGAGGTGATTGAATACGATGGCGAGGATCCGTATCAGATGCTGCAAGTGCACGATTACAAGGGGGTCTCATTCCTTCGCCTGGACCCCGCTGTCAAGGCTGCTTCCAAAAAGACGATTGAGGTGTTTTCCCTGGCCTACCCGGAATTGCTTCGAGAGAAATTCTTCATCAACGTTCCTACCATTATGGGATGGGTGTTTGGCGCCATGAAGGTGTTCTTGAGCAAGAACACTATTCGCAAGTTCCACCCAATCTCGAATGGCGCCAATCTTGGCCGAGAATTTTCATATGTTGAAGATCTCCCCAAGGCTTATGGAGGTCAAGGTGCTGACCTTAAGGAAGCTGGCCGCACTGTTCCACTGATTGACGACATCCCTGCTGGCGAACCTGAAAAGGCACCCGCTGTGCCAGCAAAGGATGAAGCTGCCAAGGAGGAAGAACCTACTGAGCAGGCTGCTAAGGAAGAAGCCGGATCTGCAGCTGAACAAGTCCCAGCGGCCACCGAGGCCCCCAAGGAAGAGGCTCCTAAGGAAGAGGTGGCCAGAGAAGAGGCCCCCAAAGAAGAAGCGACCAAGGAGGACTCCGCCAAAACTGAGGAGCCAGCCAAAGAAGAAGCCGCTGCTGAGCCAGTCGCCGAAGAGGCGAAATAAGTCATACCCCCAGATATACCCCGTGATTAATATCGAGATACCCGGTTATTGCCAGCGTGGCTGGATTGATTTTGTGATTAATATGCATTCATATTCCTTTGTCGCAGTTTGTATATTTTGTCACAGCGCTGCATGAACGACTGGCCTGATAATTGTGTTTTTCTCGTGGTCACCAGTCGATTTTATACCCAGTTGAAGCGTGTTGGCATATTGATGTTGCGAACCCCTGTTAATATAGCAATTGCAAGTATCATAGTAGTAGTGCTATTCCAATTTTCTTTTTTCCTTCCATTTTTGTTCATTATATAAATTTAATGATGCTGTAGGATAAGTAATGCCTGAAATGTCAGGCCTACTTGCCGCTGTCTTGGCGATTAGATTGCGATTGGCTGCCTTTTTCCGACAAGCTCAAAGTACAACCAGCCTTCGACACTTTCATCTTACGTTGTCGCTCACAGCTCAAAGCAAGCTCACTTTGGACGCAGAGCCACAGTATGCGCTCAGGTTTTCAGCGTTGACATTTCATTCTCGTTTACCCCGACCATTGAAATCGCAAGTCAAGTCCGTTGGATTGCGCTCCGCCCAGACCTAAGGGAAACCCAACCTCCAGTTACTAGTTAGTGACCATGTCTGTGTGGAATCCAGACAACATCCGAGACGTTGCGGAATCTGTCGGCATCTCAAATCTGAGCAAAGACGTGACGGAGAACCTTGCCCGAGATGTCGAATACCGCATTGCCCAAGTGCTGGAGGAAGCTCTCAAATTCATGCGACATGGCCGGCGTACAGTACTCACAACACAAGATATTTCTCACGCTTTGCGGGTGCTAAATGTTGAGCCGCTCTATGGTTACGAGTCGACGCGTCCGCTGCGTTTTGGGGAGGCATCGCTGGGCCCTGGACAGCCATTATTCTACGTTGAAGATGAGGAGGTGGATTTTGAAAAGCTGATTAATGCCCCATTACCAAAAGTACCACGCGAAGTTACGTTTACCGGTATGTCTCCTGTACGGTTTGGAATAAGGAAAGCGGGAAAGACTGATTGAATGCCTCTTGATGATACAGCACATTGGCTTGCCGTTGAAGGCGTGCAGCCACTGATTCCGCAAAACCCTACATCTAACGAATCACGCAACCTCGAACTAGTCTCCAAAGGCCCCAATGCGAATCAGACCCTGGCTGCGATGAGCGGCAATCAAAACACCGCCGTTAAGCCTCTCGTCAAACATATCCTATCCAAAGAACTACAGCTTTACTTTGAGAAAGTATGCAGCGCTTTCCTCGACCCGACTAGCGAGGAGTATAGGACGTCGGCGTACTCAAGTTTACGCGAGGATCCTGGACTACACCAGCTTGTGCCGTATTTTGTGCAGTTCATCTCTGAGAAGGTGACGCATAGTCTGAATAATATCTTTGTCTTGACTCAAGTGATGCACCTGGCTGAAGCGATGATTCAAAACCAGTCTCTTTACATTGACCCTTATGTAAGTCCCAGGGCTCTTGCTCGGAAAGACTAAAAGTGCAAGACATGAAATACTGATTTATATATCTTCATAGATTTCCGCTCTTGTCCCTCCGGTGCTCACATGCCTCGTTGGACGTCAGTTCGGCGGCAGCAACACTGAGCTGTCGGAACAATTCGCCTTGCGTGACCTGGCAGCTTCACTGCTAGGCATGATTTCTAAGAAATACTCACATGCCTCTCACACCCTCAAGCCGCGGATCGCACGATCATGTTTGAAAAGTTTCCTCGATCCCGCAAAACCATTTGGCACGCACTACGGAGCCATCCTTGGACTAAAAGCTATTGGCGGTGCGGACGTGGTGCGCGAACTAATCTTACCAAATCTCAAGCCGTACGAGAAGCTGCTACGAAACGCCATTGCCGAGGAGGGTCCCAGACGCCCCGAGGCCGAAAAGGTACTCCGTCTGCTGGTTGCTGTTCTTTCCACCCTGGTCGAAGACCACGTACACCTGACCAATGGCTACGCGACTGAGGTTTCCGGAGAGGTCCTCAAGCAGCTCACGGAGAAAATCGGGGAACTGCTGGCAACTAGGATTGCGGAGACCGGGGAGGTGCGGTTGGCGCATGCTATTTTGGCGCAGTAGAAGCAAACATTCTGTACATACATACCCTGCTTGTGCATCTTCCCTTTCGTCAAGAGCGTTTTCGTGTGGGTTATTTTCTTCTGGCGTTGTGTGTGGATGGGCGGATTCAGAATGGCCGGCGGTGGGCTTGTTATACAGCAGGCGTTTTATGTTACGTATTTTAGTTAAATGTCCTGCGGCATTCCTCGAAGAAGCGCATATATCTAGTTAAATAGAAATAAATAACATTGAATTTCAGCAGTGCGGTGTACCTGGCAGTATACATGGTAGTAAGGCGCAATATTGCAAGTATTGGCGGAGAGTGAAAACTACGTCACTTGCTGCCCGACAGGTTTATTACGCGTATCCTCGTTACGGGCCTGTAATTAACCCTTCCGTGTCGAGTTTATCGCAGATCTCTATTATTAGTTAGTGAGAGCTAGTCAGTAACTACATGCTACTTAACTACGTAGTTAGTACGGAGGAGTATGGAGACTTCACCGCTCCAGCTTCTGCTTGTGCCGGTTTCTCGTTTTGTGACAGGATGCTATGCTAATGCTCTGCTCTGCTATGCTAAGTTCTGAATATGTACTCTGTAGTAGACATACATCATAAATACATGATGTACTGTATTGTTTTATATTCCGCCAATTTCTCGGTCGTGTGGCTGCCTTCCGCATAAGTTGGTATCGTATTGTCCGTAACAATAATACGAGTGCCCCCGCGTCTTTTTTTTCACGCAGACCCAGCTGGACCACACAAACAACGTCGACTCTGCTCTGGCTTCACTCCCCCGAAGAACCTTCCTGCACAAGTCACGATTCTTTCTATAACCAGTTTTCCTTTTTTTTTTTGAATAAAAACCTATCATCTCTCCTGTGCAACTCTCAGAACCCGCTACGGCCCTGTTAGTCTTCGATGCTGATGTGCGCTGCTGCACCCACCTCATTCTAAGCAGACCCTTTGCTTGCCTTCCATGAGCTCGAAGGATCTCTTGCGTTTCCTGTCTAAACCTGCAAAGTGAGTGCTTTTCCTGGAAATAGAGAGGAAGAGCTGGCCCCGTCTCAGCCTCGCAATTGACAATTGACCTTTGTCGTCCATGCACGCGAAAATTTTCTCATTGTTCTAACGTCTTTTCCAGGCCCCGATAACACCCCTCGTGCTGCCATAATTTTTCTGTCTTTCTCACGCTCTTCTAAACCCAATCACCTCTCCTATCTGAGCAGATACCCTCGTCTGCTAGACCCGATACTTTGACCGGTATCGGTATCTTCAGTGCGAGGACGACACAGATCGCCACCATTTCGTTCCATCTGTTCTTCAACCTCCTGTCCGCGCGCCCTCCCTAACATCCCTTGTCAGGGAAGTATTTCGATATAACATCTCTCCTGGCTGGCTGATTAGCCAGCTCAACTCGTCTTTCGATAAACGGGCCTTCTCCTTCTCAGGCGGACACCGCATTGTCCCCTGGGTGGCAGATTGTGCTTCAACGGCTCTCGTCGTCCCAGCCTAATTAACGTCGTGCTCATCTTCGTCGAAGAGAAGTAATCTCAGAAAAGAAAAGAAAATACACAAAAAAAAAACCACCAACTTCAAGGAAACTCCTTTCATACAAGACCAGACTAGTCTCGCTTTTTCTTGAACAACGAAAAAGAATATCTATTACAGCCAGACTTTACGGATATGGTGTACATTGGAATCCCCAAGAATTATACGACTTCACCGTCCTCATTTATCGGGACCCCGTCTCTGACTATCAATCATGAAGCTGTCGTTGATCTCGACAGTTCCAATGCATTCGAAGGTAGGCTGCATTAATCACTGTTTCCCCTAGTTCTCAACGACTGATTATTCTGATTATTTATGTGTATGATAGGTCCCGAGAAATTACTAGAGGTCTGGTTCGGTCCCGCCGCCGACAATCTACTCGGCGGAACTGAACCTTTGGGTCTCAAGGCCGTTCCTACCGAAATATGGAAGGACATGCTTGACTTGGTGAATTGTAAGGTGCTGTCAATTGTTGAGTCGGACGATGTCGATGCCTACCTATTGTCCGAATCCAGCATGTTTGTCTGGCGCCACAAGCTTATTTTGAAGACTTGTGGCACTACGACCTTGCTGTCAGGTCTCCCGCGCATCCTGGAGATTGCTGCCTTGTTCGCTGGATTCCCCAAGTCCACCGCGCCTTCTTGTCGTGGCCTCACCGTTGCGGCTGCCCCCTATCGTGTCTTTTACAGCCGGAAGAATTTTCTCTTCCCCGATCGTCAGCGGGGCCCGCATCGAAGCTGGCGCGATGAAGTTAAGAGTATGGACAAATTGTTTGCCAACGGCAGCGCTTACATGATTGGCAAAATGAACGGCGAACATTGGTATCTTTACCTGACCGAACCTCATACATCGTTGACACCACCAGCGAGCCCACCTCCTGAAACCCAGACTCGGGTCATCAACATCCCGGAGGATCTCGATAGCAAGCGAGCGAATTCTGAGTCTTACGAACAAAACGACGAAACTCTCGAAATTTTGATGACGGACCTGGAAGAGGAGAATGCTGAGCAATTCTACCTCGACCATGCGAGTGCGGTCGCAGATCTCCGTTATCGGAAAATCGAGAAGGAAAAAGATGAGCTTGTTGACGTGTTTAGCAACACGTCTTCAGACATGAGCGATATAGACTCCGACGGGGAGCAGCAACGCTCCCTGCCACCAGAACTGACAACCGAAGGTCACGCCCTGGGCACTGTCGTGTCGGAGTCGTGCGGTTTGTCCGATGTCTATCCGACTAGCAAGTATCCTGAGTCTCGCATCGACGCCTACCTTTTCACGCCATGTGGCTTCTCTGCCAACGGTGTGGTGCCCGCGCCCGACGGCAAATCTGGCACTCACTACTTTACCGTGCACGTAACGCCAGAGCCTCAATGCTCCTACGCATCCTTTGAGACTAACGTGCCTCATTCCCAGAGCGGAAGGGAAACGGCAGACATTGTCAAACATGTCGTGGACATCTTCAAACCCGGCCGTTTCACTGTTACTCTATTTGAAGCAAAGCCGGGCTGCCTCTCGGATGATGCTCTGAGCGCAAGCAAGTACGACCGCGCGGCTATCCTCCGGGCCCAGAAGATGGAGAACATCCCTGGATATCGTCGTGTGGATCGTATTGTCCATGATCTTGATGGATATGACCTGGTCTTCCGATACTACGAGCGAAATGACTGGAAGGGAGGTGCTCCACGGATTGGAGAACTATGATCGGATTTTATTTTTCTCTCACATCGCCAGTGATTATTGTTTTGCATTGACCGTCCCTACCGCTTACTATTCGTTATATTGCTGTTTCGATTTGTGCATTTTCAAATAAAGGATAGTCAATACTTGCCTGTCGCCACCATTTATTCCTCATTTTCGAGGCAGTCGATGGTGAACTGTCGCACCTTGTACTGGCTTGTTTGCCTTCCTACCTGTTATTACGTTGCGGTAGTCTGTCTCTACTGCATCATGCCGCATCAGGCTGCCTACAGTCTGACTGCCAGTAATATACAAGCTACCTTCGCGCTTTATGACTTTGAGTAGCGAGAACTGTCTGTAGAGGCCCAATCGTGATCGCATTGTATTCATCGTAATGTCGAGCTTGTTGGCGCGGTTATTGTTTGATTGTTCCTTGAGGCTTCAAGAATATAAGGTTCCCTCCCTAAATAGGCATGGGATGCATTGTGGAGACGCCGATTGGTGGATCCTTCCATTCGACGCTCTCATTTTAGATTCACTCTCACTTCTCACCTCCGCATCAACAGCTGCATTCATCCACGATCCAGCCCTGTTGTTGTTGTTGCTGCTGCTCTGGGACTGAATACAGCTTACGGACGATATCTTCAATTACTGCTACTTCGTCGTGGGCATGCAGCTGAGTTCTCTGAGCGCGCGACGGACTCGGATTCTTCCACGATCATAAAAAAGACTACCCAAACAACCATCCTACGACCCAAATTTACATAAGATCCATCTTAATTCACAGCCTATTAAACTCCCATATCATCACGAACCGAAACACAAAATGTCTTCGCCGCCACCTACCACCCCTAATCCGCTCAACCCGCGAAAGCGGGCGTCCATTTCATCTACGGCATCCGGCCAAGCAAAACGGCCGCGCATGCATCCCCTACGGCAAACCTCATTCCCAACGGGGATGGGCATGGAACCGGAGAGTGCGCGTAGTCGCGCTCCCAGCGATGCAGGTAGTGTGACGGGCAGTTTTACGGGCAGTCTCGGAGGAGCAAGTAGCGTTTTGGACGGGCCGAAAAAGAGAGGGCGTAAGAAAAAGGCCGATAAAGATCGGGAGGATGCTTCCACAATACGAGGTGCGGATGGTCGGAGTACGAGGGTTGGTTCGGCAGATGTCGATGGGGCTTCTGTTAGAGGAGGCGCTGGTGGTGGAGCAGGAGAAGGGAATGATGAAGCTGGAGAAGAGGATGAGGAGCAGGATATGGAAGGTGATATGCTTGGTGCGACGGAAGGTTTTCTTGACCTTGCGACGGAGAAGAAGAATCTTGCGTATGTTTGAATCACTTCTTTCAAAAACAAAAAAAAAAAAAATCCGGTGCTTTTGGTTTGGTTGCTAATGATTGACCTTTATTTTTCTTTGGGCAGTGTTTTGACCGGTTCTTTCACACCACTCCAAGCCGATCGTTATGAGAAATGGAACCGCACGAGGCTACGGAAAGAAACACTTCGACGAATTGTTAACCATGCTCTTTCACAGTCTGTTCCGCAGAGCGTCGTAACGGTGGTCAACGGTTTTACAAAAGTTTTTATTGGCGAAATTATCGAAAGGGCGAGAACTGTGCAGGAAGAATGGGCCAAAGCATATGACTTGGCTGCCCGGGACGCTTGGGAGCAGGAGCAAGCCGAGATTGAGGCCGCAGCCGCCGCAAAGGCGCATGCAGAAGCACAAGTACAAGCCAAGGCTAAAGAGGAGGCTAAAATCAAGGAGGAAGCCACGCGGAATGCAGCAACACCTTCAGCGGAATCCATAGACGAGGAGAAAAAGGCAAACGGATTGCAGTCTCCTGCTCCGCCTCCCAACATCCCAGCCATGCTCTCACCAGCAGGCTTACCTACAGATCATCAATCTCCTTATGCATCAACGACCAGCACGGGGCAACAAGTCAATGGGTTCAACCCGGAATCCAAAACAACCCACGCAAGACGAGAATTTGTGCCGCCCGTCAATCCACACCGCGGCCAGCTTCTTCCAGATCACATCCGCGAAGCTTTGCGACGTTATAAACGTGCCGGTGAGGGCGGCGGAACTGGGATGTCCGGGTTGAGTCAACCGAATTTGGGAGCTAGAGGTGCTTTTACATTGCATGCTGGTGTTGGAGGGCGGAGATTGTTTCGATAGCATGCTGCACATATTTGATTCTGGGAGGCGGGCTATTATCCACATACGAGCGTACCCCTGTTTCTTTCTAACAAAAACTTTATTTTTGTAATCTCATATCATGCATTAGATGGAGTTTAATGGGCCTCTCGCGCTGAAATCGACAGGATGAAAGTCATGAAAGTCATGAACATGGAGCTTTTTGTATTTCGCCCCCTTGTTTACCTTTTTGATTGCATGATACCACTGAAAATTTGCCAGCACAGAAAGATAAGAAGACGTTAAACTGTTCCTCATTCATTAGCAGATTGTTCTCGACAAGTTCTGCTTGAAGTCAGTGCTTACCGAAGCACAAATTCTTAATGTTGGGGACAAATTAGACATGCTATGAACTGTTCCATTCCCTTGAATTTGTTCGTGTACACATGCCGCTCATGCGAATACTTGCCTGGAGTCGAGAGACTGTCGTTAGAGGATATGAATCTTCTGATATGGCTGCACGATACCTAGACATATCCATCCGGACCCTCGAAGTAAAACTCCATGCTTTCAACGTGTGCTTTCTCAGCCTCAAGACAATCAAGTCTATACTGAACATACTCGTACAGATCGTCCTTGTTGCATCTCCCCAATCTCTTTGCGTGTATGTGTTCATCGAACCCAATCTTTGCAGTCAGGGGGGCCAAGAAGCGGAAATTCGACAGGCTGCAATCCTTCATGAGACGCAGCTTTACATCTTCAACGAACAGATTGAACCGTCTGCTAGTGCAGTTCACGAACTCTGATTCCCATTCTTTGTCCTCGTCGTCGTCCAGCAATGGCTCGTCTTCATCTAGTTGCTGCTTGGCGTGCCAGTAATCTTCGACATAGTCGATCTTACTCTCGAGAATGTTGGCTCGTTCCATCTTGATGACGTTGAAGGCCTTTCGCTGCACGTTCTCTAGCTCAGTGTGCGGGAACATAACCCATAGCACTCTATCTTCATCTTTTGTGGAAGCAGACCACAGCCACGACCAGGAAGAGGATGCAGTTGCTGGTGCAGGTGCGGACGAGGACGAGGATGCGGACATGGATGCAGATTCAGCCCTCTTCGCCGATTCTGATAGGAGATGCCTGATCCCAAAGCCCTGAGCAGCCTTTTCCAACAGGATCTTTCGACCAAAGTGCTGGCGAAAGACTCTCAAAATGTGCTTGATCTCGTCGACTTCAGCCAGGCACACAGCCAGCCCCTTTTCTGCATAGGCTTGCTCGACAGTGAGTCCATCAGCCGGGGTGAAACATCTGGCAAGTGCCTCTTCACAGAACTCGAAGTACATACAGATCATCTCATCTGCTTTGAATCGGTTTTCGTGGGCCTTTACGAGAGCGTCGATGTTGTGGAGATAAGGGAGGATAACTTCGTCGATGAGCTGCGTGCCGAGCGTCCGCTTTCGCTCAGTATTATTGACCTTGTGTGCTGCCCACCATATGTCTGAGACAACCATGGATTTATTCAGGCAGTCTTTCATGAGCTTGTACTGCTGCTGCAGGAGCCGGAGACGGGATGCGCAGAGAGCTTTGAATGTCTGGGCATCTTGCTCTTCTTCCTGTACGTCGATGGTGGTAAGGGCCTCAGAGGGAGTAGAGGAGGAATCTGAGTCAGGCATGACTAATGTCTTGGTTTTAGTCAAGGAAAGTCGCAGACGTAGAGAGAGAAAGAGAGACCAAGTCAATAATCAGTAGGATGAGGTGGAAAGTTGGGATTCTGCTGGCTGCTGGAAGCAAGAATCAACTCGACTCGATTTTAGGCAGAGAGACGGACAACAGAGGAGAGATCAAGCAAATGAGTACCTAATGAAACCTTTGAACAGAGAATAAGAGGGGAAAGAAGGAATACACTCAGTGAATGGGGTCTCACACTATGAGGTCCACGACATCATTCAAAGGGCGGCTGGAATGCACAGTGCCAGTGCTTTTCACCTGACCATGGTGTTTTGTGACTTGGTATGATTGTGAGTATAGAGCTACAAAGCTATGAAGATGGGTTACAGACAAAGGTACTAAGCATAGATTTATTTCTTGAAATGGCCATTGAAATCACTTATTTTAGGCTTTCTTTATACTACAGCCATGTATAAGTAAATCTTAGCTAGCATTACATACTTATCGACACAACATAGCTACTACCACCTAGGCATATATGAGATACGAAGTTGCTTTAGGAAGATTATATCCAAATGTAGGTTTTGGGTACTGTCTTTTGTGCATGTCAATTGCCAGCAATACCCGTTAATGACAACAGGGATTACGACTTACCACTGTATAGTTTTACACAAAACATATGTATAATTTACTATATAAGTCATAAAAATTTAAATCTATAGTTGCAATGCCACAGCAGATAGTGCTCAGGATGTTGTGACAGCTATTCATCTGATGCAGTGTGCTTGAATTCCAGAGACATCTGGGCGTCTCTTATATTTCAGCCTTAATCATTAACATAATCTTGGAAGCAATGCAGCATTGTCTCTCATCATCTGAGCTCTGTAGCCTGGCATTTGCCAGGGGTTGTGTACGAATGATCTCTTTCAACCTCCCGCTGACAAGGGCTAGCCCTAATGTCTGACCAGAGCTTGCAGGCATTGAATACTCATCCGGTTATCGGATCAAAACACCTCTATTTCAGCTTTTTTAAATATAAGAAGATAAATGCTAGGGAATTAATCTACTTAGGTGATATTTAAGAAGACACAGGCCATGAAAAGACTGACCCACTTCTATTGACATGGGCACTTCTAGTACATACCAAATGTCAAACGTAACTGATTATGTCTTTCCAAAAGACCAAATAGCAGAGTACTGGTGTTAAAAGTTGATATGTTGCCTAAGAGTTGGAGACGCCATGGACATTGCTAGGATTACAATGGAAAGGAAAGTTGCCATGTGGGCCATTAGGGATAGAGCTCCATGGTATATTAGGAACAGATCATAATCTGCATAAAGCAGGAGTGGCAGTTGTAAGAAGACAGAACATCATTCGCACAAAGGAAAAAGACAATCAAAAGCAAGAGATAAGACCGAGACTGCATCCCTCTTTTATTGATCGATCTGTAGGCAACGAACATGAGATTGACGGGTCATGACAGCAAGGACTTATCAAGGTTCTGGGAATCAAAATGCAAAGCTCAAAATTCCGAGAAAGAGTGTTATATGTATACCTAAGGGGGCAATCTCATGCAGACAGGGGCTAGGGACTGTTCAAGCCTTTCATTCGAGGATGCACATACATGGACCTGAGCCCAGCACTGTATGAATGACACCTGGTAGTAGATGCTGCTTTTCTCTGGGAATTAAAACAACCCATCAGGGAAGTTGCCGTCTTCGAGCATATGATCCTCAAGAACGAATTCCCCAAATCTGAAGGATTCATCAAACGAGTACAAGGGAAAGTCTTCAGCATCATTAGAAGTTTGTGAGGTAATTCCACGCCCTGGGTTGCTGGAAGGAACTTGTTCATTCCATCTTGCCTCATGAACTGCCATTTCTGCTGGAACAGAGATTTCCGTAAAATGCCCTGCATCTCTGATCTTGGAGTTGTAAATTTCCAGCTCCCAGAGGTCCTTGTCAATTGCCTGACCCAAGGCAGTGCAATAGTACTTTTCATCACCATTGTTCTTCTTTAAGCATTCCAGCCGCATAACGAATTTGTGATTGTAATGAAATAGTGTTTTGAATTGAAGTTTATGATAATCCCCAAGTGATTCTGAGAGATGGCTCATCATATGTCTCTCAGCAACTCGTGGTAGTATTCCTTTTTCCTCACAAATGTTGCATAACCCCTTGTATCTAATGACAGGGTTATTAGGTGAGCTGTTGATAATTTCATCATTTCTGTGTTTGGGAAGAAATAGACAACTATTCTTCTCAACTGAATGTCCACATTCATTGTATATGTGACATCGCTCTTGGTTAATATGTCTGGCTTTGTAATCCTCTTGAGTCAATTTTTGTGGAGGCATGCTTTTAACAGATCCAGTCAGACCTCAATAGTTGACGCAGGGTTCAAAGTCTCAGGTTTGATATTGTGAAAATAGGTAGTTCAAGATAAATTCAAGTTTTGTGCTTGAGAAAGAAGAGTTTGAACAGAATGTACTCAAAACAAAACTTACTCTTTTTATATAGAGATATGAGCAGCTTCTAGGTATGGCTCATATTGCCTAGTCATTGGCTTTATGGCTCACAATTCCCAGGCATGAAGTGGCAAGATATCAATGAGTATTCACTGTGACTGGAGTTCTTTGTATGGGATACCCAGTCATTGTCATATGGCTTTGCCAACAAGATGAGATGACAATCAGCAAATGTAATTAATCATTAAACAATACTCAAAGCTTATTCATGTCGTTTGCACTAATTATATAGGGGCCACTCACTTACCAAACCAACAGCCAGTATATGCTTTTCAAACAGATAGATCTATCAAAAACCAAAAAAGGAAGGGCATTGATATAATGATACCAGTCCCCCTACTGTCATAAGATAAAACAGTTTTATAGAAGATGTGGATTGGTTTCCAGCTTAGCCACTTCATTAAGCAGAGAGATCTGGTTCCTTGTCTAGCCATGTTTAAGAGTAGACTTGTGCAACATATAGCAGCCACACATTAGAAGCACATTACTTAGTCTTCACCAGTTATCAATGTGATAAAACACAAATCACATGAACACCTCATTGATTGGCATGGAATAAGGGGCGAAATTCTTGTAGATACCTTAACTGGAGGCTAAATAAAACTAGCTGGCTTCATGATGCTGAGAAGTAATTTGCACAGATCCTTTTAGTCAGAGAATACCTCAGATTAGACAAAAAGTATCAAGCCCACTCATCCTCTGAAAATAATCAGAGAAGGGGTCTTTCCTTTATGACAGCATGCATGACTAATTATTAATAGTCATCGTTGTATGAGTTTTCAAAGTCCAGCATCAAGATTCCCAAGCCAGAAACCATTCTGACTATGTATGCCTGAAGGCATATTTCTCATTGCAATGAAGCTATTCAGGGCTCCTGGGAATCGATTATGGATGCCCTTGAATTTCCTGATTTAGTTTTTATAGCGTATTGGTTGGCATTCAATGCGTAGAGTGTGTATACTGCGCTGATTTCACTTGATAGTGGCATATATCAACGATATGACTGGCTTCATTCAAGATCATTCCTTGATGTATGATGATTTTTTGTTTTATAGTCAAGGTACTAAGTACCTGGCTTTACTAGCCATGTCCAAATCGAGCAATCTAGGGCATATATTTGATCACGTGGGGAAAGACTGTCTGGTTGCCCTCGACGGCCAGAGAGTGCTGAGTTCTTTCGTATTCTGCTACGGTTGCCAGACATTGCCATACGATAGATGTCTAGTCTTTTTATACTTGATGATTTACATCGGATAAATGATTTTTCCCTTGAAGATAGCGTTGTGTTACCGTTGTTTTCTAGCGATTGAACCTATTCAGTATAGATCTTCAGGCTCTTTGTCATTCGCTGTCTTGTTCAGAATAACACGTAGACGTAAGCAATCTCTGCTGAAGTTTAGATCATGATGGAATGGCATTCTGTTAGTACCTAGACAGTGTACAGAAAGATTTCTTGGATCAAGATAATGCCACTTCAGGTAGCACAGGACAGGATCTTTTGGATGAATCATAGATGCTTGGGACGGCCTGTGCTACAAGACCATCCATGACATGACACGAGGGCCTCTGGATACGGCCACACTAGTACAGCTAGCTCTGAGCAGCTCTCCAGCACTTGGCTGTCAGTCTCCAGAGAGAGATGCCGGTATACGCTGAGCTTAGCTTTGGAAGTTGATAGAAATGGCGCTGTGTAATATACCATGCCCGAATAGCACTAGCGGTACTCGGCTTGTTTGTGCCGGCCGCCTACGGGACGATCACGGGGTAGGAGGGCCAATTAGCACGCAAGGAAAGCAATAGCCCTGGATGGCGGTCAATACGGTGACAATACGGCGTGTTACACGGTACAGCTTTCCCCCCCGTGCCCCACCAGCAAGAACATCGATCGATCTGCATTTCTTCCTGCGTCGACGCCAAACTCCGAAACAAACTCTCATGCATCGTCATCGACTGCATCCTGACAACAGAGTAAATTGAACTTAGCCACTCTGTCTCTGCATGCCATAGTCCGCAGATGGAGTCGCATCCTAATGGCGAGGCCAACGGCCGCGGTGTCCGTCCCTCAAACGCTCCCGTCCGCGGGCGGCCGCAACTCTCATGTACCCCGTGCAAGCGCAGAAAGTACGTCTATGCTGTTTCTGTCTCATCTCGTCTTGGACAACATTATGGCACTTACAGGACACTAAACAATGTATTCATGGAGTAGACTCAAATGTGACAGGGCCCGGCCCTGTGACAATTGTGTCAAGCGTCGAGAAGCAGATACATGCGTGTATCCCGCCAGTGGATCTGCTCCCCGCGACCAGACGCGCGAATCCAAAAAAACAAAAAAGCGCATCGAAAGACTTGAATCGCTCGTTATGGAGCTTCTGGACCGGGGCGCCCCGAACCATGAATCTTATTCGGACGGTCCCTCGACTAGCGAGAGCGAGAGCCAGGTCCATTTTCACATGCCTCACCATGCATCGGAGAATGGCCACGATACTGACAGCTCACCTGTCCAACGAGACGTCCCTGCGATGCGGCGGCCATTAGATTTGGCTGCTAGCAGTTCCTCTTCGTCTTTATGGGAGAGCGTTCTCCAGGACGTAAGTATTCTTCTTTCTCTTATCGATAACGAGATAAACTAACCCCCTTTTTTTTAAAAAAAAAAAAGATTGGAGAAATCAAATTATATTTCGAAGAGAATGAGAGTGAGTTCAAGAAACAGCTTGGAAAGGTAGAAGAGGCGAGAACTCCAGCACTAGAGCCTTACGCTCTTGAAGGCAACCCAATCCATTGGGGCATCGATACATTCATCCCTTCTCTGCCGCAGCGGCCGGATGTTGATCTCCTGGTTGCAAATTACTTCAGCCCAGGAAGTTTTGTCAGACGTGAGTAGAGCTTGGCCCCTTCTGCATATTTATGACTGACTCCATCGCAGCTATTATTCACCCCAAGAAGTTTCTCCGTGAAGTATGTTTAGCTGTTTTCCCTAGCTGCGTATCTGCCCAAGCAACTAACAATTCGTGCAGTATGAAAAATTCTGGGATGATCCATACAGCGTTTCAAAACTCTGGTTAGGTGTATTGTTCACCATAATGAGAATGGCAGTACACGCATCTCGAGAACATGGTAGCGATCTCCCACCCACCCTAGGGGACACGGACGAAGCCATGACCTTGTACCGAATGCGTGCTAAACAAATCTTGATGACCGAATCACACGCCAAACCTTCGATAGAGAAACTCGAGCTGTTAGCACTACATCTTGATGCCGAGTTTATTCAGTGCCAGGATGCTAGCACAAGTATCTGGGTCAGTGGGGCTACTGCAGTTCGCATGGCAATGGAACTTGGTTTGCACCGAGATCCGAGCCTCCTAGGCGGGAAACTTTCACCTTTTGAATGCGAGATGCGACGTCGTTTATGGTTGGCAATCATGCAGACTGATGTGCTTATGTCATACCAGGTGGGACTGCCGAGCATGATTCCCAGGGGCCAGTGCGACACGATGCTTCCCAAGAACCTTCACGAAGAGGACTTTGATGAAGACTCTCTTTCACTCCCGCTGTCACGGCCATGGAACGAAATGACCAAGATCTCACCTTTCCTTGCGAAAGCCCCGCTTCTTGCAGTGTTTACAAAAGTAGCGTCGCATATACTAGACATCCATCCCAAAGACTCAGAAATTCCAATCCTGGAGCAGGAACTTTATGCTGCACGAGACTCGTTACCTCCTATATTCAAGGTCCGTCCGATGCACGAGTCCATTCTCGATCATCCAGCCATGATTCTTCGACGCCTTGCAATCGACCAGTCCCTGCATAGCGGCCTATGCATTCTTCATCGGCGTCATTTGCCGCTTGCTCGCTCCGACCCACAGTACAGTCATTCGAGAAAAACTGCTATTGATGCTTCTTTGACTTTGCTTAGCTATCAAGCTCTAACTTACTACGAAACCAACCCTACACAGCGCCTGGCAGGTCACAGGTGGCTAGCAACGTCTATTATACGCCATGATTATTTGCTCGCAGCTATGCTAATCTGCCTAGATTTGCGCCAGGGCATAGAGGGCGAAACACACCCTGGATCCAGCGATATCACCCTGTGGGGCAGAGATAGACGGGAAGAAATGATGACTGCCTTGGAGAACTCGTATAATGTGTGGTATGCGTGCAAAGATATCTCGATTGACGCATTCCGTGCAAGTGAAGCTGTGGCGGTTCTTCTCAAAAGAGTCAGAAGTGCAGAAGAGGAGAAACAAAGATCAGAAACAACTGTTTGTAAGCTTACTTCCCCCCACTTCTTTTTGGGTTTTATATGAAACTGATATCTGTGTTTAGCCTCAATACCATCAGTGGAATCACTTGAAATCTCACCAGAGCAGTTCATTCCTGCCGGTGCGGATCCGTACAATCTCAGCTTGCCATTCTCAGAAATGGTGGCATCTCCAGGAGCTATCGACTGGGTAAGCCTATGATCTAAAGATCCTTGTTTTATCATAACTAATCAATAATATCCATCTCACAGGTCGAATTTGATCGCTACGTTATGGGTGGGAATATTCCTAGAGAACACAATATGTAGTAATCTTTGTAAGGTATTTATTTGGTCGGTGCTTTTGCAAGGAGGTGTTTTAGGGATTGGATTTTACATTATCATTCCAGGTTTGAGAAATGGAGGATTTATGTGGCTATACCGTAGGATGACTTCATTCGAGATTTATTATCTGCTATCCTCTGTAGTCTCTTTTTGGAATGGTGAATTCAGTCAGATTGTTAATACATCCTTGACGAGAAGAGTGAAAGAAGAACAAAAAGAGGAGGCTATACATATGTTACATTGCTCTGAATAGGGGAGGAAACGAGAAATATTTGACAGGATATAGAATCGCACGACCCAAAAGAAGATAAAGAAGAGAAAAAAGAACTTTCAAAATAGTAACACAATCCCGAATGACCAGATACATGCAAATCTAATTCATGTATATGTATTGACTTGTAAAGGCAACTTTGATTTTTTGTTTTTCTCTTTTGTCTACTTCCTCCCCTTTGATTTCGTCCTCGATTTTGATGATCCTGAGGAATTCGCTGTTGCTGCTGCCGCCGCCTCCTTTGCTTTCCTCCTTATATCTTGCCATGAATTAACGGTCTGGCGCTGCTCGGCCTCGTATCTTGAATATTCTTCCACGCGTCTGCGGTTGTCCTCGGCCATGATACGCGCGTCATCGATTTCTCGCACCGACTTGTAGGAGTTTGCATCAGCTTGCTCTGCTTCGGTCAAACGGGGTTTTGCACGTGGAGTCCCGTCGGGGTTGGCGGAGTTGTTGCCTGTAAATTCTTCTACTTTGTTGTTCATTTCCTTTTTCATGCTGGAGAATTCCTTCTTGGCGTTGTTCACCATCTTGTCGATAATGCTGATGTTTTCGGGCTTCGTGGACGATGCCGAAATCTCGGATGATGATGTTGTTCCACCTGTCTGTTCCTGTTGCTGTTTTCGGAGTTGGGCAATAAGTTCTTCTTTGCTAATCATTCGGATGCCTGATGCAGCTAGAGCATCTGCTGTTGGCTGTACCTTCTTGATCGGAGCTACACCAAGCCATGAGCGTGTGCTAGGCGTGTTGAGCAGATACGCCTGGACTAGCGCAAAGAAACCGCTGGTAGCAAAATACAACTGCAAAGCAGCTGGTTGCCACATTATAAACAATAACGATATAGCCGGCAGTCCCATGGTGAAAGACCTGCCGAGGGAAGTCGCTTGTAAATCGTTTGCTCCGCCAGATGTCCCTTTCTGCAGAGGAAAGAAAAGAGTGCATATGTCAGCCTAATGGAACCCGAAAGATGTGTGCTGGTGGGGAAAGACCTACCCGAAGAGCCATATACATGAATGCCGTTGTTAACGCAGGCATCACGTATAAGGGATCGTAACTCGTAAGATCATGAATCCAAGCAAATTCTTCAGTCGCAAGCGCCGGCACCGGAAGTAAACTCATTCCTCGCACAACACGGAAAGTTCCAAATCCAAGAGGCACTTGCAGCAATGGCATAAAGCTCTTCCACATGGCAATGCCGTTGTTCTTGTAAAGATCATCCATCTCCACTTTAGCCTTTGCCGCTTCCAATTGCTTCCCTTGGGACATGAAGTTGAGCCTTTGCTTCCTCAAGATTAACATTTGATCTCTGACAGGCGCGGTTTTGGCTGCATTGTCGGCTGCCATGAGCGACGGCTTGAACAGAGCCAGCCGCGTTAATACACCGGCAACGACGATACTGGCCCACCAGGGCATACCGCTGAGAATGTGAAGATGTTCGATTGTCCATTCCATAAATGCTGACGGGCCCCAGCCAAAGTCGAGGCCGAGTTCTTTCAAGTACCCAATGCGTTCGGGGATGTCTTCGATTTTGGGGATGAGGTCTTCGAACTCCGGAAGGACATTTTCAGTAGCTTCCGGTGTCCCGCTGGCCGCGGAGGACGTTGAATTGAATCGGGCGTATGAAAGACCAGACACAGAGGCCGGAGGTAAAAATGAACTGGCCTTCAAGCGTAGTCGAGCTCCGGGGCTAGAAGCGAGAACAGGACGAGAGGCAATGGACGATAACTACCAGCAGTAGCGAGGTTAGTGCTCACGGCTCCAAGACATGCTATTCCCCTGATAAAGAAAAACGTACCGATCGAGCTGGGGAGATGTGCTTCACTGAGGGAATGCTCCTTATATTGCCTTTGACGGCAGCCCTTGATAGGCCGCGAGCGCCAAACATCTTGGCGGCGGTGGTGATTGAACGAGAAGGAGAGGAATAGACGGTTGTCTTCGATGCGCGCGCTGTTGCGGCCGACAAATATTTTGTTCCGCAGCGATGCGCCAAGCCCGATTCTGCCAGGCGGCGGCCTGCCGGCGAAGAGTCAAAAATACCGATATGAAATCAATTAAATTGAATTGAATTGAATTGTATTGAATTAATTGCACTTATTGATTTGGTTTCGTATAACAACATTGTGCCTGTCAGATGAAGCTTCAAAAGAACAGTTCCATGCGTGGATCCCTGTGTTCTAAATACGGAAATGCCTGAAAACGCCGGCCAGAAAGTGCGCCCTTATATATACAGAACCCTGAGGCTCCTTGAACCCCGTAGCTATAACAGTAATAATAGGAATAGATAAATGTGATGTGAGCAAAATACGTGTCTCTCCGTGTTCCTTGCTTCTTGACATTTTGAAAATCGACGCTGCAAGGTATTATTCTTCCCGTCTACTCAAGGGCCGCTGCATCCCCAACATCGGCGTGAGGATTTCTCCGTCGGTCTCGTATCTCTCTCATTTCGATTCCAGGGCCAACCGGGGTGGTGCGCCTGTAGGTCGGGAAAATCTGTATATATATATATATATATATATAATCAGCATCCATTACAGAATAGAGAGAACCGCGTGAGAACTAACCTTTGTTCCAGACCAGCCCAGACGGAACGCGGCTTCATGCGCGAGTAATTCACCTAGGCCGAGCATCAGGCCGTTGACAAAGGGGAGGATGACATTAATGGCCGTTCCGCGCAGTAAGCTCCAGAAGGTAGGCGGCTTGTAGAGAATCACCGGCGAGCTTGATGTGGACGGTGGTGAGGACGAGAGCTCGTTGTTGGCTGAGTAGTTCTCCGAGTCTGAAGGCACGGTCAGGCCAGAATCGTACAGTTCGATTGGCTCGCTCGCTCTGTTGTCGGCCATGGCGTGCGTGACAGCGTATGTATGTAAGTAAGTAAGTACGTATGTGCGTGTGTGTATGCGTGCGCTCAAGAGGATGGTATACGAGCCGACGTCAAGCAAGCTGAATGTTTGGTGGGGAACCCCGGCTTATGTAATCAGCAGCTCCTCGCAGACGGGGATCAGAGGGCGTGATCAGGCCGAGAAGGACGCGGTGGGCGTTGAAGAGAGTATGTTTGCTTTGAAGCACCAGCTGCTGCTGCTCTAAGCCATCGCACGGAGTTAGTAGCGGTGCAAGTTCAGCAAGTTGGGGGGTTGGTTCAGCGCGGCGGGACCAATCAGGCAACCGTGACGTACGGGAGGAGTAAATAATGCTAACCTTCTCCGACCTTCCATTCACCAGAGGACTCCTGCTTTCTTCAACACTCCAGCACATCGTCGACATTTTTGACTCTGGGCCAGCATCCTCCTCACACACCGACATGGCCTCCAGTTTCCATGCCAATCAGGATGAGGCCCTTTCTCAGTTCTGCGCCATGACGGGCGTCTCTCCATCGGAAGTGAGTTCTCGCGCCTCGTGTTGCCTTCGTCCATACTAACAGTCTCTCCAGGCCCGCCCCTTTCTAGAAGCTAACCAGTGGGACCTCGATGCTGCCGTCACCGAATTTTTCGCAGACCAAGAGGAAGAGGAGCTCTTACAAGACATGGATCCGAGAGGCGGGCGTCGATTAGGAAGCGATGACCCAAGCGAACGCTCGACTGAACATACTCCGCCAGCTAAGCAGTCCGACACTCGACGTAGTCCGGCCAAGAAGTTTGCAACGCTGGGCGATCTAGCCTCAGGCAGTGGACGTGACTCGGGCAACGAAGATGACGAGAACCAAGATTTCTTTGCAGGAGGTGAAAAATCCGGCCTCGCAGTGCAGAATCCGGATGATCTTAAGCAAAAGATTTTAGAAAAGGCCATGCGGTAAGATTTCCGCCTTTATTTGAAACTACTATGGTTACTTGAATTCACTAACAACCCGTCGCAGACCCCAGCCCCCCAGGTCTGGTGAGTCAGAGACACGAAAATCTTACTTTACTGGATCCGCCCGCACTCTTGGAGGTGACGATACGCCTAGCCAAGTGATACGAGATCCGAACGAGAATCGTCCTCAACCAGCACCCAAAGTAAACCGCACATTACACTTCTGGGCCGACGGGTTCTCGGTGGATGATGGCGACCTTTATAGATCTGATGATCGTAGGAACGCCGGCATCCTCGAAGGCATCCGGCGGGGCCGCGCTCCTCTTTCGATCATGAACGTCGCACCAGGCCAGGAAGTTGATGTGGAAATAAAGCAGCACGACGAAAAATATACTAGGCCGAAGCCAAAATACAAGCCCTTCTCCAGCGCCGGCCAGAGGCTGGGAAGCCCTACGCCGGCTATTCGCACATCCCAGCCCGAACCTGCTGCAGCGGCGGCGGCGGCGGCGGCGGCGGCGGCGCCTGGACCTTCAGAAGCAGCGAAACCAAACATAGACGAGTCACAGCCGACAGTGACGTTGCAGATCAGACTCGGGGACGGAACGAGGCTGTCTTCTCGCTTCAACACAAGCCATACAATTGGGGATGTCTATTCGTTTGTAGCAGCAGCCAGCCCAACCAGTCAGCCTCGCGCATGGGTCTTGATGACTACCTTTCCCAGCAAAGAACTGACCGACAAAGCCGCTATCCTGGGCGAGTTGCCCGACTTCAAACGCGGCGGGGTTGTTGTGCAGAAGTGGCAATAGTTCAAAGCCAACTTCTAGCCGATCTAGATTTCAGAACTTGCATACTTGGATTCTATAAAGTCTCAAAATCTATGCCTAATGTAACTAGATGAATGCTAAAAAAAAAAAAAAAAATCGCTCCGTTCGATTTTGAAACAATCCAAAGCACTTATCCAGTATGTAGTTATCAAAAAGTAGTTGAGATTGCGGAGATGGCTGCTTATCAATCAACGCTCCGATGACGCAGAGCAACTTTTTTCTCCCTGAATCTACCGCGGTAGAGAACCAAAAACACGACGCATGCTTCTACTTGCAACTGAGAGCTTGGATTCGCTTTCGTATTCATTGTTCTAGTCACCTCAAACCGCAAATACAGCATTAGAAGGGCACATCTGCATGCAATGCCCCTCGAAGGCGTCAAAAATATTGTGCTGGTAAGTTCCCCCCCGCTCGCTTATCGATAACAGCAGCGAGTGACGCGCTCTTCTTCAGCACTGTTGATATATTATTTGCTGATCGATATCTTGCTTCCTACCAGGTCCTCTCCGGCAAAGGCGGAGTCGGCAAATCGTCAGTGACGCTGCAGCTCGCTCTCGCGCTTACGCTCCAGGGGAAATCGGTCGGCATCCTCGATATCGACCTCACGGGCCCTTCCATTCCCCGCCTGGTTGGCAAGGAGGATGCGAAAATAACGCAGTCGCCGCGTGGCTGGATACCAGTGGAGGTTTACCCTGGCGATGCTAAGAACGATACGAATGCGGCTTCGCGCGGGTCGTTGCGATGCATGTCTGTAGGCTTTCTTTTGCGCGATCGCGGAGACGCCGTGATCTGGCGGGGTCCGAAGAAGACGGCTATGGTGCGCCAGTTTATGACGGATGTATATTGGGGGGAGACGGATTACTTGCTTATTGATACGCCTCCGGTATGGACGTGCCGTGAAGAAACTCCCCGTATATGTTAATATCAAGTACGGTCTGATGCTAATGTGGTGATGTATGGTAGGGAACGAGCGACGAACACATTGCCATTGGCGAGAGTCTTCTCACCATGTCGACGCCTTTACGTACGACAGCCACAAGCCAGAATATATCCTATCTCGCCGGCGCGGTGCTTGTCACTACGCCCCAGGCCGTCGCGACGTCTGATGTTCGTAAGGAAATAAATTTCTGCGTAAAGACGCGAATCCCTATGCTGGGCGTTATAGAGAACATGTCCGGGTATACGTGTCCATGCTGTGGAGAAGTGAGCAATTTGTTCTCTCGTGGTGGAGGGGAAGTTATGGCAACTGAAATGTCGGTTCCATTCCTGGGCCGCGTGCCTATCGATGTCAAGTTCGGCCAGCTTGTTGAAAGCCAGGAGATTGGGGAGGAGTCAGAGAGTGATTATGAAGATGATGAAAATGTCGGCAAGACTGCTGGCAATGGTACAGGGAATAAAACTGGACAGGTTGAAGAGCAGGGACCTGGACAACGTCCGGCCGAACTTGATAATCGACTATTGGTAGACAGATATATGGATTGCTGGTCGTATCCCGTCTTCCAAGGCTTCACCAAAACTCTTTTGGAAAAAATTGAAACCTGATCGAGGCACGGCAGATAGAAAAGGGAAAAAAAAAAGAGAAAAAGAAATCGCATACAAAGGCGCTCAAATGGATTTGTATTTATTACCTCAGCACACTTGATATATATATACAGTTATATATGATACCAGGCTTTGATAAGAGTGTGCTATCATCAAGTCATCAACTCATTAGATTAGACACCAGTCTGAATCAACTACAAACGGGCTTCGATATTAAGTAAGTAGGAGGATTTGGTCACTTCAAGCCGTGGGAATAGCGATAGCCTGGTCCTGATCCCTGACAAGCAGTGCGCGCAAAGAATACTCCGCAGAATGCGACTGAGAATGAAACGTTTGCCGACTAGTCTTCTCACGCTGTATTATCGTCTTCAACCAGCTCAACCAGTTTTGTACGTCAGCCACGAGGGATATCCTGTTGCGGCTGGTTCTATCCGCAGTGAAAGAGGAAGCCGGGAGCATGGAGGAGCCCCGGGGAGTATCGGGAGGCTCTGAAGGCCATGAAGACCTATTGCTTTGAGCATCAAGACGCGTCTCTGAAAGCAATGCAGGCGAAGTCCTTGTCATTGCTGAGTTGGTAGTCTTCGCTTTCGCAGAGACATTTCCCAGCAGAGCCTTACTTCCTGGCCTCGATGACGTAGAAGCAAATTCCTCCATTCCTGTCACCGGCGTTACTGGAGGACGTGTCTCTGTCCCAGCCCTAGAAATATTTCCTCGTCTATTTTGATGATTTGAATTCGTTTCCTGTGTTTCGACTCGAGTAGCTCGCGGATAACCGGTTGCAATAGCCGTCTGCCGGAGATCGTCGAGCAAACCTAGTGATGACCCATAAAGGTCGTTATTATCATCGACAATGACGATGTGACCGTCTACATCTGCGGGGCCATCCATGTCGTTGGTGGTATTCTCTTGGATAGCTAGTAATTCGCCGGAAGGAGGATGAACCTCGCCGAAGGGAGCAATGTGGCTGCCATATTCGTTGGCAAGACTTAGTTTACTTCTGCCGCATATCTCTGCGATAGAGTCTAATGTACTGCGAATTTCTGGCTCAATTGCACGTAGAATGGCCTCGATGCCGAATTCGTCAACAGAAGGTAAGTCTACTTGTTGCGCAGGCATATTTGTAGACAGCCGAGCGTTCTCGGTCTCGACCGGATTGTATGATCTCACCAGCACTGGCTGTGAAGTTAATGTAGACAAACGCCCGTTTATATGTCTATTGTCTCTCGATTCTGGGAAACGTCGCAGTAAAGATCTTTGATTTGCATGCAGCTGCCGCTGAGCAGTGGTTCTTCGTGCTAAGGTCGATTCGTCAAGCGCCGACTCGCCTCGACGAGATACGATGGGAGAAGGGACAGCCAGGTTTGGCAACAGTGCAGGGCCCGAAGTCCCTCGCGAGACAGCCGGCTGGGGCAGAGATGAAGAGAGTCGAGATCCATCATCTTGGTGGGTCGAGGCCATTGTAGATCTGGCTTTCATCTTGTCCACGTTCTGCTGCAGAAGACGCAACTCAAACCGGGCTATTTCTCAACGCTAAAGCTACCTTACCTACGTAGTCGTATGCCACAGGAGATGACACGCAGCAGAGCAATGAGGGCTGACCGTACTTTAGTCTGGCAGTCAAGACGAGAATCCACCGGGGACCCAAATTAGGACGGCGGCGTTGGTCTCAGCTCGGCTCACAGCGCAAGTTGCATGTTCAGCTGCACAAAAGCGGAACTCCTCTCGCAGAGCAGATTGAAAAATACATCGGAGGGATGGGATCTTGCAGGGAGTGAGTTGGCAGAGGTGGTGTTGTTGTTGTTGTTGTTGCTGCTTGCCGAGGCGGGGTTGGTTAGGGGAGGGAAGGACTGGCCAAGTTGAAGTAGGAGCAGCCAACCATCTGCGCGCAACAACACAACGCTCCAACTGCCAACACCTGACGGCTCTTCCTTGCTTGCATTGCTGTCCCAATTTCTGCAAGGGCGCTTTTCAAGATGAGCAGGAATTTTGTATGCACCTATTCTCTTCCTCCTTTTATGCTGAATCGAATTGAATCAACACTGACCGCGCAATCACAGTTCCCTGACTCCGATGATTCAGGGTCCGACTTCGACGAAAACACCACCGATCTTCCGTTTCCCAAGCCATTGTCGAGGACCTCGTTTCTTGCGCCTGATTTCGACCCGGCCACTTTCCTCTCGTCGCTTACAAACAGACACCAAACATTAGAGGATTTGCGGTTGGAACTGCGAGAGTTAAGCCAGGGACTGAATAAAGAGCTGCTTGATGTCGTCAATGAGAACTATCAAGACTTCCTGTCGCTTGGTGGCGCTCTTCATGGGGGAGAAGAGAAGGTGGAAGAGATTAGAGTTGGGCTCTTAGGTTTCCAGCGAGATGTCACGGATATACATGCCAAAGTCGAAGCCCGGAAAACGGAAATGCAGAGCCTGTTGCAAGAGAAGAAGAGCTACCGAGAGAAAGCGAACATTGGAAGGTCGCTGCTTGATATTGCAGAGCGCATTGAGGAGTTGGAACAGCGATTGATGATTGTCAACATCAAGAAGGCCAACGGTGTTACAAGTCCCTTGGAAGATGTAGGTTCTGACGCTGGAGAATTCGATTCCGACGACACAGACAGCGATGGAGATTTAGAAGATGATGACGACGAATCGGCAATAATACCAGTTAAAAAACTGGAGAATCACGTTCAGAAATACGTCTATGTCATTTCTGAGTCGGAGCGAATAGGCAACAATCATCCCTTTGTGGTTGGCCAGCAACCCCGTCTGCAAAAGATTAGGTCTACATTGCTTCTTGATTTGGACACGGCGCTTAAGCAATCTAGAAAGGCTGGAACCAAAGACGAAGCTCGTACAGTCAAGATTCTGCGGCTCTATGACCTCCTAAAGGCAGAGTCAAGCGCGGTTTCTGCTCTCAAACAGCTTTCGATATAGCTGTTGCAAAATCATTTCACGAATTTTCTATTGTTTAAAAGTACATTGCATAGCGTGGAGTTGGTTATTGATTTCAGATAGCTAGCTGCTTTGATAGATACCATGGAACGCCATATATAAAAGAAAAAAATTCTAATTAACAATACAGTACCGAGAATCTTAAGTAATTTACAAGCCCGTCAAGTACGCTGCATCGGGGGAATCGTCGGATTTGAAGTCTCCGTTGAGACTGAAGCCGGGGCCGTTGGTCGAGCTCAGCACCTACACCAAGTTAAGCCATGCACACATTTTTATGTTTGATCAACGATTCTTTTCTTACCACTTCATATATCTCCTTAGGAACACGGTCACTCAGCTGGAGGGCATCTTTCTTGACCTGCTCGAGGGTAGCTCGCAAGTTATCGCGCAGTTGATCGGGCGAAAAGGCCAATTGTCCAATTGGCATTCGAATCACAGCATCTCTTTCACGATACACGGTACCGCCCCGTAGCATCTGTACTCTGATTCCAACATCATCGACGACGGTACCGGTTTTGACACTTGGCATTAGACCTCGAGGACCAAGGAATCGACCTAACCCAGCCTTGTTCATTGCATCGAGACTGTCCGTGTGGCATATACACCGATCGAACTCGATGATTCCCTTTTTGATATTTTCAAAGACTTCTTGCTCTCCCACAAGGGAAGCGCCGGCTGCCAGGGCATCCTTTGCGTGTTTTGACCCGGGCGGCGCAATAACGCAGATTCTGGATTCGGTTTGAACAGCATGAGGAAATCGGACCATGTTGCGAATGACTGGACCGTCCTTTCTGGATTTGAGTCGAATATGAACTTCGTATTTTGCCGATTCACGATCACGCCCGACCTCGAAAGCACGGATGTATCTGTTATGTCATGTTAGTAAGATGACATACATGTGTTTTTTTTTCTCTCCCTTTCGGCGTAAAACCGTACCTCATCGCATCACACAGTGCATACTGATCAATCAATTTCAAATCTTTCTGTTGATAGTCACGGGCACCTTTGTTGCTCTTCTTCTTCGACTTATTCTGATCCTTCTTCCCTTTGGCTTGGGGATTGTTCTTCACACCGCGCACTTGTTGCTGGCTGAGCGGATAGAGGAAAGGAGCAATGACGCCATTTGGTCGCAGAGCCGATCGGTATGATGCTGATATATTCCGTGCCGTGACTGGCAAGGATCGAAAGGGCGTAGCCATTGCTAGAATACAACCCAAGCCTGACTTACCTTCGTGAATGACGGCTCTGCCGAATGTTTTCTCGGAGCGTTTAAGGAGCGGAAAAAGGTTACGCCGGCCCTTCTTTCTAGGGTGGGTCTCCGTGGCTTCCCTCTGCGATTCGCTGTGGGGCATTGCTTTTTCTGGCTGAGTCACCCCGCTATAACTTCGCTTTTTGCAATTCTTCTTGCTGTCTATCAGAATATTGACACAAAGCAATGGCTTCCTGCAAGTTGGTCTGCGCGAGCGGCTCCAATCCGGCGGGTCTGCTGCCCGCCACGCTGATTGCTACTTCCGTCAACGAGGCACGTCCCAGTCCGGTGGTTGAGATCATCTATGAGAATGCTACTGCCCTCACCGGCGGTGATCTGATCCAATTCACCAATGCCGATGGGAAGACGGTACATGGTATTGATCCTGTCATTGCAGAGCTTCGTGCCCAGTTCCCGTTCCTCAAAAGCAAATACGAGGCCCAAGTATGCACCCACTTAATCCCTATATATAGCTTAGAGTCTCTAATGACCACTACAGGAGGACCAATGGCTGTCTCGGTTGAAAGAATACATTCCTCTAGACTTCAAAGCTCTCGAAGCTCCGCTGCAGGCTCTGAACTCCTACCTGACTCTACGCTCTTTCCTCGTTGGCTACTCTTTGTCCGCCCCCGACATTGCCCTCTGGGGTGCCCTCCGTGGAAACCGCGTAGCAATAACAGCAGTGAAGAAAGGAACACTCAAGAACTTGTCCCGTTGGTTTCGTTTCTTGGAGGAGCTTTGCCCCTGGACTACTGCTGCTGTCAACGATGTGAATGCTGCAGCAAAAGCGAAGACTGCAGCATTGTCTAAAGCAGGTGCCAGTTATGATATTGCTCTCCTCAACACTGATCAGGGTATCTTGACTCGCTTCCCACCAGAGCCATCTGGTTACCTTCATATCGGCCACGCAAAGGCTGCATTATTGAATGATTACTTCGCCCATGAGAAGTACAAGGGCACTCTTCTGTTGCGGTTTGACGAGTAAGAACTCTTTACCCTTCGTCTCGACTGTTGCATTTTACACAACTAACTCTTAACCAGCACCAACCCCAGCAACGAGAAAGAGGAGTATCATGACGCGATTATTCATGATCTGGAGCTGATGGGAATCAAACCGGACAAAGTCTCATATTCTTCGGACTATTTTCAATTGCTGCACGATTATTGTATCAAGTTCATCAAGGCAGGACATGCATACGCGGATGATACGGACAAAGAAACCATGGCCCATGAGCGCATGAACGGGATTCCGAGCAAGCGCCGTGATGCCTCTGTAGAGGACAATTTGGCTCATTTTGAGGAGATGAAATCCGGCTCGGAAGAGGGTCAGAAATGGTGCATTCGCGCCAAGATCTCCCCAGACGATAAGAACAAAGCTATGAGAGATCCTGTCATCTATAGATGTCAACAGGCTGCTCACCCTCGGACCGGCTCTACTTGGAAAGTTTACCCGACTTATGATTTCACCTGTCCTATCCTGGACTCAGTAGAAGGGGTAACTCATGCGCTGAGGACAATTGAGTACAGAGACAGAAACCCTCAGTACGAGTGGATGCTGAATGCCCTACAATTGCGAAAAGTCCAGATTTGGGATTTTGCTCGCATGAACTTTGTGCGAACACTGCTTTCCAAGAGAAAGCTCACCAAATTGGTTAACAGCGGTGCGGTCCGAGGCTGGGACGAGTAAGTTCAGATGACTCAATTTACCTAATACTTCGCTAAGCAGCATACTAACTTTATTATTTAGTCCCCGTTTCCCTACGATCAGAGGTATTCGCCGACGAGGCATGACTATTCCTGCACTTAGGGAATTTATCTTGAAACAGGGACCAAGTCGTAACATCGTCAATCTGGACTGGACTATCTTTTGGGTATGTTCCCCATAGTCATATTGTGTTCTGCTCCTTTAACTAAACAATTTGCTAGTCTACAAACAAAAAGCACATCGACCCCGTTGCCCCACGTCATACTGCAATCTTGAAAGAAGGAGTGGTCAAGGCTACCATTTTGGGAGCTCCTGAGACATTCGTTCAAGAGAAGCCTAAGCATGACAAGAATCCCGATATCGGCAAAAAAAAGGTAGCCTTCAGCAAGTCTATTATCCTCGAGCAAGAGGATGCGAAGTCTTTCAAACAGGATGAAGAGATCACTCTCATGAAGTGGGGCAATGCCATAGTTCGCAAGATTGAGAAATCTGGCGATGTTGTAACCAACCTTGAGATTGAGTTGCACCTGGAAGGCGATGTTAAGAAAACCGAAAAGAAGGTGACATGGTTGTCGACCGAAGGGCAACAGCTTGTGCCAGTCGAACTTGTGGGCTTCGACCATCTCCTGACCAAAGACTCTCTTCAGGAGGAAGACAACTTTGAGGACTTCCTGAACCCTAAGACCGAGTGGACTGAACAGGCGTTTGCTGATGGAAATGTTGCTGACCTCAAGGAGGGCGATATCATCCAATTCGAGCGGAAGAGTTACTACCGACTTGACCGTCCTTTTGTTGCTGATGGAAAGCCGGCAGTGTTCTTCGAGATCCCAACCGGAAAGTCATCAAAATAGATTTTTGAGAGGCCATGTTAGCCGATAATCATGTGGCTCAATTTGTCTACTAGAAATATACAATGTTAAACGTAGCTTTTCTCGTTTGCCAAGTAGTAACGCAGTAGAAAGGAAGTCCCCCCCATGCCAATAAGTGCACAAGACGTGACACTGCATGCCCCACTTGTGGTTGACTGAATCAGGCTGTCACTTCTCTTCTTTCACCAGATTTCCCTTCAAAACAACTGCCAAAAGTCATTCTCAATAAAATCAAGCTTTGAAGACATCATGGCTATCGCCTTGTCGGCACTAAACACCGGCGTGATCATCACTTTGCTCTTCCTGGTAAGTATTTTCCTCTATGGCTATCGATTTGACCGCGACTTATAAGTTTTGATAGAGCAGTGCAATTTCCATCGTATTGGGAGGGTGAGTCCAGCTATTTCCAGCTGCCGACCTCTTTACTCAATGGAGAACATATGCTAACTTGTAGCTAGAATCGCCTGGTCGCGCATAGTGTCGCTCTTCCTGCCCTTTCCAGCCTCCTGGGGAGCAATATCTACGCTCTATCCAATCCTCCCATTTCTCTTTGCATTCGTCTCGGATATCCTTGCATCTCGGTATCAGCAGAGCGTTGACACGCGCAAATATCAGATTGCGTTGTCGTCATCATCCTCTGCCGAGACTGTCACTGATGGTAATAACGACAATAACGATACCACAGTGATGGTCGCCAACAGAAACATCATCAATCGACCCTCGTCGAGACCGTCGCTTCCGAGACCCTCACTTCCTACTTCTCTCTATCCCTTCATTGCATCCACCTTAGACCATTTGCTGACCATTCTCCCTACCGTGATCGCCACTCTCGCCGCCACATATGTCGCACCGAGTGATAATAGGTGCCATCTCGAGCAAACCTGGCAATCCTTCTATCACAACAAGGACGTGAGAGCTATCCGTACGATACAAGACCAATTGCAATGCTGCGGTTTGCGCAGCACACGAGATAGAGCCTGGCCGTTTAAGGATTCAACACACGGCGATAATTCGTGTGAAAGCACAACGGGTTATCGGCAGAGTTGCTTGCAGCCGTGGAGTGAGCAGGAGAGGCGTGTTGCGGTTTTGGTTTTGGTGGCTGCTGTCTTTGGTTGGGGTATTAAGGTATGTTTATATCTTCTTTAACCACTTCCCTCCTGTGCTCACCCCCCCCCCCCATTCTCCATTGTTTACTCTTCGTAGTAATGCTAGCTAACTAAATGGCATATCGGTAGATGGGGATAAGTTCACTAAACCTCAGATTTATCTTCCGGGGCAATCGAGGCAATGCTTGGACTAACTTTAACCATGAGAACATTACTCGGGATGAATCTACAGGCCCTAGATACCGTGATGATGAAAACGCGGATTCGGGGCATGGAGGGGCATCAGATGACGACCCTACCATTAGCAGGAGCCTCCTGATAAACCCTGGCTCGCGAGATTTCCCCTCTCTAGAGGACACGGATCTTACGGGGACGGGCCGAGGGAGATAAGACGTGTGATTATCTCACATGACACACACACGAGCAGAAGAGAGAAGGGAAAAAAAAAAGAGGGAGATACCATTCGGTTAAGGAAAAATGAGGCTACTTCTATTCACAAATCTGTCTATACCAGGTACTTGGTATGCCAATGAGAATTCTCTTTCGGGTCCCACGTAATATCCAGAAGCCCATCTGCGTAAAGCCCACTAATAACAAGTCGGCCTCTTTTGGAGTCCATATTACCCGATGTACTGCTTGGGTAGTTTGTTCCATCATCTAAAAGACGAGTCAGTATATGACAATAGAAAGAAAACAGAGGGATAACCCACCAGCGTAGAGTGTCCGGGCAAAGTATTTACTATACAGGTTGAAGAGGCTTCCAGGAAATGGACTGAGATCTAGACCATGTCCTCGACGGATCTCTGCCACCACTGAAGGTGCAACACATCCATGCGGCCCCTTGGCCATGCAAAACAACCTACCAGCGTCAGGAGACCCAGCTGCAATTACTCCGCGAAGGAACTTTCCATTTCGGTCAAACACAGTATGGTCCTTGACGTCTAAAGATTTGTCGAAGCTGATATGTTCGGGATGAAAGGTCAGATAAACACTGCTATAACTGCCAGACAGCGTGTTGTTTTCTGGGTCACGCTCATAGACTCGGACAATGTCCGTGCTACTCGAAGCGACAAGAAGCTCTCTCCCAGTTGGCGTAACAAGGATTCCATTCGCGAATGGTATACCACCTGCAACAATGGAACATATGGGTTGGGCCTCAGTGCCAAAATCGACAAATGTGACCCATCCCAACGGCAGACCGAGCACCCTTTCAGTAAAGGACAGGACTGGATGTCTTCGGCGGAGGAGACATTGATCATTTGTAATGTAGAACGAGGTGTATGACACCGGTGACACAGAGTTTGGAGATCTTATCGTATGGCCGTCATCAATAATAGTGCCTACGTACTCTGCCCGTGCTTCCTCATAGTCTATATCCATGATTTCCACACTACTTCTGTCCTGACCTTGATGATTGACAACAAACAACCTTGTGTGGTCATTCCCATTTTCACGATATAGCCCTAAGCCAAGGGGATGGAAATCAGACACCACCGGAAAGTTTGTCAGTTCCAATTCTCGAAGAGAACCTGTGCCGGCGTAATCGTACAGCATTAAACAGCCTCGTTGATGGGAATTAATTGCACGGCCCTGCAATAATAATTAGAGATGTATTGGAATAAAGACAACAGTGGCATAGAATCCAACCAACCCATAGTGAGCTCCAAAACACCCGTCCGGGGTCTGAGCTGATAATTGCGAGGCCACGCTCATGGTCCAAGGCCATATCCTCTGAGAATTGAACGCGGTCTTTGAATAGGGTCCAGGCTAGACCGCTCCGAAACGAGAACCATTGTTCGGGGAGCCGAGGAAGCTCTACCCATGGCGAAAGAAGCTTGTGCAAGAATGCTAGCAGGATGGAAATCACGGCGATGATCGTGAAAGCCTAGGGAAGTGTCAGTGGGGGTTTCAGATGGTGAAGGAACTCTTTGGTTTGTACTTGGGCAGGAGATAAGCCCATTCTGATGGGGAAAGATATCGCATGTAAGAATATCGTTTTAGTATGTACGGTCGAGGATGGAAGCTGTTCATAATGAGAAGTTGGCGTATGTTTTTCTGTGATTCTCCGGGGTCCGCTCCTTCCTTCCTTCTCCTTCCCCCCTTCCCATACAAAAGAAGCAGTCCTGCCATCTCACAAGCAACAACGCCAATTTCTCTCCTCTCTCGGTCTTCCATCTCCACTCAAATCAATGATGCCTTTTCTGATTTCCTATAGCCGCGTCGAACACTATATTTGGTCGGTGACTTTTCTGGTTGACTTTCGAGTCGGGCTTGCCGGGAAGTCAATATCTACTTGTTCGTGAGTTCCATGAGTTATGATCCTTCGAACGACATGAACATACCAGGGTACTGATTATATCTTTGAGTTGCGCTGCTGCTCCGAGCCAATGATATTAAATCTATCGATCGAAGCAACGCTCAGATATTGTTCAGGACCTTGCTCTTTAGTCAGCATTTGGAGTCTAGTGCTCGCCCATTCTCTGAACCACGCTTCCTTCTCTGAATACTGCACCATAAGCACAACAAGAAGGTTCAAGGCTATGAGCGAGCTCCAATCAACAAAGTACAGACTTGCGGTACGTCAACGCGAAATCATCAACGATGAGTGTTTGTGTTTGGTAAAAGTAACTAGTATGTCGAAGAGCACAAAAGAGAAAAAAAAAGATATGGCCACGACGTCACTCTGAGTTGAGAAAGTGTGTAAACTGAAAGTTTACTTGATTTGTTTCAGTTGAACAGGAAACACCAGAGCCGGCAGTATCCGTTCGCTTACTCCTGGGCTTGTGTGGTATTCCATGCTTTCTTGTCTTGAAATATTTTTCAAGAACCTTCTCCTTTGCTACAGAATCCGAAGAAGCCGAGAAATATCAAGTGTGGAACAGTTGCTTACTACGAAGAGGATGTCTGAGAATCCAAGGGGATCCAGCGATGTGGAACAGCAACAGTCCCGTACCTCACGACGCATGTCTCGTGCTGAACGAAGAATTTCACGGGCTATCAGTGTTGCCAATGACCAGAGCCTTGATGAGTACGAAAGGCTGGTCAGATATGTATCCGTCTACAGAGAGCCAGGGACTTCTGAGATTGAAGAAGAAGGGGGAGAGATGAAGCGTGTATGGTATACACCTTGGAAGAAAAAATGGGTACCCTCAAACGAGGCGATGGAAGCAAGACAGCGATTGCCAGACGACTGGCTTATTACAGATATAAAACGAGGTCTATCCGAAGAAGAAATTACCAACCGACGTCATCGAACTGGGTGGAATGAATTGATATCACAAAAGGAAAATCCAATAGCGAAGTTCATGTCCTACTTTCAAGGCCCTATTTTGTATGGTATGTTAGCTCACATAACCATTTTCTTGCATTGGGTAAATTATTTGACTGACAAAAGGGAGAGGAAAGTCATGGAAATTGCTGTACTTCTCGCAGCCGGTCTCAAAGATTGGGTCGATTTTGGCGTTATCATCGGTATACTTTTCCTCAACGCCTCAGTGGGATGGTATCAAGAAAAGCAAGCTGCGGATGTAGTGGCAAGCCTCAAGGGTGACATTGCATTACGATGCACAGTAGTTCGCAACGGTCGAGAATGTGAAGTATTAGCTCGTGAACTGGTTCCAGGTGATGTGGTACGTAGAGGTTTGAATTTGTTGAATGATTTGGCTAAGGAAACCAGGTGATTGTTCAAGAAGGAACCGTTGTTCCCGCTGACGCCAAAGTTATATGTGGATACGATGATCCAGATGGTTTCGAGGCCTTCAAGAGAATGGAGGCAGAAGGAGCTCTCGATGAGTCATCAGGAGAGGAAGAAGAAAAAGAATGTGGTCAAGAACGAGAAGAAGATGAGAACCTAGCCGATGGCGACCAAAACAAGGAGAAAAAGGGAGAGGAATCCGGGAAAGAAGACGAGGAAAAAGAGAGTCGAAAAGGATATCCAATTCTGGCCTGTGACCACTCAGCTATTACCGGTGAATCCCTTGCTGTCGACCGGCATATGGGAGAGTTGGTCTACTATACGACACACTGCAAACGAGGAAAAGCTTACACGGTTGTGCAGACACCAGCAAAGACTTCCTTTGTTGGAAGAACTGCGAGCATGGTAGCAGGTGCAGGTGATAAGGGCCATTTTGAAATAGTCATGGATAACATTGGCTCTTCGCTTCTAGTCTTGGTGATGGCATGGATCCTTGCTGCTTGGATTGGCGGTTTCTTTCGGCATGTTCCGATTGCAAGCCCCGGAAAACAGACTCTATTGGAATATACCCTGGTACTACTGATTATCGGAGTCCCAGTCGGTTTGCCTGTTGTCACTACTACGACCATGGCTGTTGGAGCGGCTTATCTTGCCCGTAGGAAGGCAATTGTACAAAAGCTAACAGCCATAGAGTCACTCGCGGTAAGTTTAATCAATATCTCGATACACAAACAATAGGGTTAATGATATGCTCAGGGGGTCGATATCCTATGTTCGGATAAAACCGGAACTTTAACCGCTAACAAACTGAGTATCAGGAATCCATATGTAGCGGAAGGTGTGGATGTCAATTGGATGATGGCAGTAGCTGTTTTAGCATCTTCTCATAACATACAGTCTCTGGATCCTATTGACAAAGTGACCCTTCTGACGCTCAAACAATACCCAAAGGCAAAAGAGATCCTTCGGTCTGGCTGGAAGACGGAAAAGTTCACGCCATTTGATCCTGTCTCAAAAAGGATTGTTACAGTCTGCACATGTGATGGTGTCCGATATACATGCACTAAAGGCGCGCCAAAAGCGGTGCTCGGCTTGACCAAGTGTTCTCAAAGGACTGCAGATTTATACAGGAAGAAATCACAAGAATTCGCCCATCGTGGTTTCCGCTCACTGGGAGTGGCAGTACAAAAAGAAGGTGAAGATTGGAGATTACTGGGAATGATGCCAATGTTTGATCCACCCCGTGAGGATACCGCTCAGACAATTTCCGAGGCCCAAGCCCTTGGTATCAGCGTAAAGATGCTTACTGGAGACGCTATTGCGATTGCAAAAGAGACATGCAAAATGCTTGCATTAGGCACAAAGGTCTATAATTCGGAACGATTAATTCATGGCGGTCTGAGTGGCGCGATGGCTCATGATTTGGTTGAAAAAGCGGACGGTTTTGCAGAGGTGTTTCCTGAGCACAAATATCAAGTTGTTCAAATGCTCCAAGAACGTGGACATCTCACGGCAATGACAGGAGACGGTGTGAATGATGCACCGTCTCTTAAAAAGGCAGACTGTGGCATAGCTGTTGAAGGGGCTTCAGAAGCAGCACAGTCAGCTTCAGACATTGTTTTCTTGGCACCGGGCCTTTCAACGATTATCGACTCAGTAAAAGTGGCTCGACAGATCTTTCATCGGATGAAAGCGTACATTCAATACCGGATCGCGTTGTGTTTGCATTTGGAAATCTATCTGGTCTCGACAATGATTATTCTGAATGAGACTATTCGGGTTGAGCTGATTGTCTTTTTGGCATTATTTGCCGATTTGGCGACAGTGGCAGTAGCCTATGACAACGCATCATTTGAGCTAAGACCAGTGGAATGGCAGCTACCAAAAATATGGTTTATATCGATCGTTTTGGGTATTCTATTGGCTGCGGGAACCTGGATAATTCGGGGTACGATGTTTCTTTCCGACGGTGGTATCATTCAAAATTGGGGCTCAATTCAAGAGGTTCTTTTCCTTGAAGTGGCACTCACCGAGAACTGGTTGATTTTTGTAACTAGAGGAGCAGACACCTTACCCTCGATTCCGTTAGTTGGCGCAATAGTTGGCGTTGATATTTTAGCTACGATCTTTTGCCTTTTCGGGTGGTTTACCAATCAAAACATGAGAACGCATCCTGGCGATCGGTTCCGGGAGACACATAATGGCTGGACGGATATTGTCACCGTGGTACGAATTTGGGGCTACTCTCTGGGAGTGACAATTGTGATTGCTTTGGTTTATTTCACACTCAACAAACTCGAATGGCTAAACAACCTAGGGCGCAAGTCTAGAAACAAGGGTGACATTCAGATGGAAAATATGCTCGGTCACCTTTCTCGAGTTACTATTGAACATGAACAACATGGTGAACTGAAGGGACGGTACTTTTTGAGCGCGGCTCGAGAGGAGGAAGAGGCTGAATGATTATTCTTCACATATCTCTGCTGAAGTACATGGCTTCAACTATCAACATGCTCGCATATAATGTCAGGGAAGACGCATGGCTTTGCCATGCGTAATAACATGATTAGGGAGTGGATACCAGGTATCAAAAGGCGAAGTGAAAAATTGTTGGGGAAAAATATGTTTTACATACTGCCTAGTACGTCTAGGCTAGATGTTGTTGCTATTCTTTGATTAATGTGTTTTCTTCTTGTTACTTAATAGTCGCTTATATTGTTTAATCTTAATAGAGACTTATCTTGAGCATAGACGAGAAGCGAAGCGAGGATCCTTGTAAAATGTCGCAACACCATGCCAGCGGAGTGCCGATGTAGTGCGTGATGCAGATCTGCAATACTCGAGCCTCATAAAATGCAGTGATGGACATGGATATTGTCGATCTGTCTGTCGCCAAGGCCCCTTTGAGACGATCACGATTTGAAGATTCAAGAGGTCAAATTAAACATTGCCAAGGATAGATAGCATTCATCGCTGCTATTTCTGGTTCGCACATTCCAGTCACGCATGATTCTGCCTAGCAACATGATCGATAGAATCTCACGAGGCTTTTCTTTTGTTTTTGGAAATTCAATAACAGTGCTAAATTCACTAGCTTTCATTTTCTGCACGAATAGACCGAATGTGCAAGACCCATTGCAAATCCGAGGTGCTTTCAGAATATTTCCTAAAATGGTAATTAGGGCATAGTTAACCTTATTTTGGTGAATTTGGTGAATTTCTCAACGAACGCATTTCATATCCATTCCACAAGTTTCTAGCCAACAGTATGTACAGAGAAACCCTGAATTATAAATATGTAATGTACTTATTAAATAATAGACAGCATTCTTTCCTCCCAAGGTAAGAAGAGGGTTGGAAAGACTCAAATGAGCAAATTTGTGCAAGAGAGATGGATGATAAGCGTCATTTCAATCGGCTCTGCCAGAGAGCCTTATTCCATGACTTTCGCTTTGAATGTCGCTCGACTGGGCGGCCTTGAATTTACCAGTAAGAACGGTCAGTAGAACGGCGCTTCACGCGAGAAACAGTGCGGCTACTGCTGTTGCTGCTACCGCCCAGGTCAGCAGCAACGCCGGAAATGAAGCCGTTGTTGGCATATGCCTGGCTGGCGTCCCACATCATAACACCGCCGAAGCTTGAAAATGTCTTGGAGTATTGGATCACGGGCTGGAGACTGGAGGCAGACAAATAACCAGTAGAGGCTGCGCCGGTGTTGGCTGGCACACCGAGGAAAACCTTGACATTGGGGTTCTTGGATGTGTTCTTGGCCCAGTTGTCCCAGGTATCGAAGTTGAAGTTTGTTTGCGAAGAAGAGCCAGAAACATAGTTATTAATACCGCAGTAGTTGTTGTAGAATTGGACCCAGATGGCGTCAAAGGAAACGGCTCCGTCCAGCATTTGATTGTCTGCAGCATCGGGGTAAACACACTGAGGGGCGGCAGTCAGGAAGTATTTCTTGCTGGTGTCGGCGTCCATGAGGCTACGAAGCTCGTTGCCGAAGGCGGCCATGTTGGAGACCGTGGATTCGAAGTCGAAGTCAAAGCCGTCAACGACAGCGTCTCCGAAGGGGCGAAGCGCTGAGCTATTCGAGTCCGGACCGAATGTCTCCCAGATCAGCTGGGCCCCGGCGCTCGCGGCAGATTCCGAGCTGAATCCTCCTTCAGAGTAGGTGGCTCCACCGATAGAGAGAAGAATAGTTTTGCCGGCTGCCTGGCAGGTCTTGATATCGTCGCTGGTAAAAGGCCGGCAACAGTTAGTTTTGATTCATCGGAAATGCAAGGATAAATCTATACATACCCAACCTGGGGGCAGTTCAACAGGGATGTGCCATCGAACGTAGTGCAATTGTCACCGATATTGGCAAAATTGATCTCTGGAACGCCACCTGGACCGTTGATTACAGTCACAAAAGAGAGTTGCAAGACATCAATGTCTGAATTCTGGCAGTAGTATGCCAAGTTCTGCTGTTCAAGGTCGCCGCTCGCGGCATTGTACGAGTTCTGGCCCCAGTATACAGCGATATTGCTCGTAGAACTCACATCAAGCGCAGCTTGTGCTCCAAGCAGGCCAGCCATCATGGCGGCCCTGGCGAAAATGTACTTCGCAAAAGACATTCTTTTAAAACCCAGGGAGTGTGTCACTTGGAGATGTAAGGACTGATATGCTTAGCTGAAGGAAGAAGGAATGAAGAGCTGAGCAAGAGCAAGCGGCTTGATTTTGTGAATGAGAACTGACTGCGAGAAGAAGAAAAAAATAAAAAAAAGAAGAAATGAACGAGGAGGAAATGAATGCGCATGTTTTTATACCTCTGCCGTCTACTTGGAGACTGTCGGTTAGGGTTACCCTCTGAGTAATAATATATCATCCACCGCGTGCCAACGACCATGACGATCCGCATTGGAAGGCGTGAGTATAAACTTAACTATTCATTATTTTGGGAATCGAGGGTGGGCTTCTATACAGCGAAATACCAATGGGCGGCAGAGAAACGTCTCGTTGCCCTGTTCCTCTTGCATTCCGACGGCTGCTTCTCCCCACAACCAGGCAAGCCATCGACGGCTTTTGGAATGTGACCGCGGGCTTCCTGACCTCCAGGACTCCGAGCGGCCTTTTATTCTAAGCCGAGTACGTACGCTGTTGGGTTGCACTTGCCCGGTGCTTGAGATTAGCATCAAACAGAGGTAGTACGTACGCTCATTTGCTTCACACACTGCGCAGCTGTCTTTGGTCTAGTCAGGGTCACACGTAGGGCTCTTTTTGCTACACGTGGACCTAGAGGTAGCCGACTGTAACTCAGAACTTGAAGCTCCGTGGTAGAAGAACGAGAGAAGAGCATATGCACAATGATGCAGCTAAATGGCGGGATCGCCCTCGCACGCGACAAAGTCACCGGCATGGCTTGTAAGACTTGACTTGCGCAATGGCAGACAAAGCCCTGTGTGAATACAGGGCGAGTTCTTTGAAGGGAGTGACACGGAATCCAGAGTAGTACACAGTGCTACCATAGCTCGTTTTGGGATATCGTGAAGGCATGGCCGTGATCATCTTCACCTTCATCGAAACGGGCACTTACATGATCCTGATCCCCCAGACCTGGGTTTACGAGTCTACTCTCTGTAAACACTACTACAATGACGGTCGCATGCAAATTCCCGAACACGAGCGCAAAATTGCCCCGATCCAAGGCGAAGTTGCCAAAGTCCGCGCTGTATCCTCCAGTTGGCAGATAATCCGAGGATCGGACGGAAAGTTGTTTTGGCGATCAGCTAGATCGGCGTACTGCTTCAGACATATACGGAATTGCTTGTTTGCTGGTTATCGTCCAATGATCCAGACATCTCTTTGCGGCTCTTGTGGACGGCCTTAGGCGGCGGTGCAGGCGTAATGGGAGCGGTGATTTGTACTATGATCACAGACGTCGTGGACATAGGCCAACGGTTTGTCTTTATCTTTCGCTGTGTTCATTATACTTGCTGAGATATGTATAGCTCTGCGGCGTTCGTCTACGTTAGCTTATCGCTCCAGATATCTCAACTCGTTGCTCCAGTAATCACATCATGGATCATGGCTGGCTTATATCATTCCTACCATCCTGGCCACCGTAGGTATTCCCGTACTATTGTTTCTTGGGAGTCCCTTGTTGGCTGTCTTGTTTGATTGGGGATTCTCGATGGGCAAGGAATGGACTGGTCTTCCATTTCTGGGCAGTGGCATTTTACACCGTGCCTTGTGCTTTGCAGTCTGGATCATCCGACTTCCTGCTGATGCTACCAGCGCCACGTAAGTAGTACTTTTCTTCTGTACAATTTAAACATCTCCAATCCACCAGGTTTTAATTCCAGTCAAGGAGACCATCACAGGCCTAGATCCTGTCTCTTCGGCGTGTCGAGATATACGCTCAATGTAAACATATGACTGTGAACGAATGGGCCCAGGTTCAATAAATGTAAGCCGGACAAGACTATGACAAATCGATGGAATCCAAAAGGTATAACGTATAATCCACGACATACAATAGGAGCAAACAAAAGATATTACCTCCCTAGGTAAATATATGATAGTGGTCTGGATTCACATAATCTCAGTATCATCAGACAGAAAGTTCTGTAATAATGAGCCAACAGTGCGATACTGGCCACCCATACGAGTGAGTATAAAGTCTGAATCTCAAACGTAAGTAAGTGGACAAGAAGCTGATCACATATAGTTCATCTGCTTTTTCTTTCCGATAATGTTGTGGTATTAGAAAACGGTTGCATAATCAAGGATTCCTCGCCTACGCACTTTGATAGGGGTAAAAATTCAATTCCTGGAGCTAAGTCCCTCCAGCCAATAGACCTTGGATCTAACAACAATCAGACTGCGAAGTCCATGACTGTGAATGAAGTGCCATGTGAGTCTGAGACCCGCGAACAATCGGCCAAACAACCCATAGACAAGGCGACAGAGATCTCCCGTAGAAGTGGTGACCGGACTGTGTATTTGTACTATCTTCAAAAGGCCGGCTATACGTTTCGTTATTAGCTATGGCTGCAAAGTTCACAAGTGCATTCATGGGCAATTTTTTCAAGTAAGCGCTTTTCATACACTCCCTTGTTAGCCTGAGGGATGTCACTGACTCTATACTCGTAATGAAAGCGTTGCGGTTACAAATGGTGGTCTGACGCAAACGAAGAAAATTTCAGTCTATGGTCTCATAAGTGCTATTGCCACTCTATCCTAGACTATAGCTTGCTGGTGAGGCAGCTATAATTATCTCTCGCAAGAATGGGAACCAAAATATTAATGAACAATCTAGACTCTTCCTCGTTAATCTTCGACAACTCTGCATTGAAGCTTCACGAAGACCTTCTAGAAACTACTGTTAGGTATTGAATTTGATTGGATCATGTATGAGGAAACGAGCATGTATACGAGCAACAGTTCATGTTTGGATATTCAACTCTAATTAGAAAGTATTGACTGACTCATCAAAATCCAGTACGGATCATGACACCGAACATCTTATGCAAGAAGCCATAGAGCAAAGAGTTTAAAGAGCAAACAGTGATGTCCGTGGTTCATTGATTGCTCTTCATTCGAAGCTATGATCGGGCGATTCTGCTCAGGAATGGGAAAGTATGTGAATGTGACAAACCAGATATATTGTTGGGAAGCCAGTCGGAGTTTAGGAAGATTTATGAGAACTGGTCTGAATCCTGATAATCTTAGCATCATGTGAAAGCAGCAGGTATGGATATGTGTTTACTATCTAAGTGTCTGCATAGAGAAAAAAAAACTCCTCTCAAAACATCATTATATTCGCATTTTAAGTCCTATCATTCTTCACTCAAGCACCTTACAACAATATTGGATATTCCAGTTCAAGCACGGATGGCGTTAGTATGTGCATGGTTATGGCCATGATGCTTGTGCCCGGTTTCCAGATGATGGCTGATTTTACGTTTCTCTTGCGTTTTGCTGTCTTTTTGGCCGTCCACGTCCATATTGTCTTCGTCGCCCTCCTCGTCCACATCGACCATATCAACACTAGGCCACTCCTCCCATCCATCCTCCCACAACTTATCCAAGGCATCAGTCTTCTGTGCAGTAGACATTTTAGGGTTCCGCATAACTCTTTCCCATTGCCACATTTCCTTGTCATCCAACAAACATTCATCCAGCGCACGCGATATCTTCTCTGAATCAATACCTTCTCCTATGAAGACAATCTCCTGTCTTCTATCGCCCCATTCGCCCGCGAAGTCACGCTCAATCGACTCAATGATATCCTTATCATCAGGCCATACATCCCGCGGAAGTTCAGCGAACCACACTCCGCCACAGCTCACGGTCAAAATGCCACCGGCTTGGCTCCATTCGCCGAATTGGAAAGCTCGAGTGGCAAGCCAGAAGAACCCCTTGGAGCGGAGAACAGGGCCAAAAGCAGGATTAGCTTGCTTGTTGCCCAAAATAACCGAGGGCTCAAGTTGGTCGAAGTCTGCAATGTCAGACATCTTATCGTCATCATCTGTGTCATTCTCCTCCTCGTCGTCCTCCTCGTTTTCATCTTCTTGTTCATCATTTTCTCCTGTGTTTTGGTTCTCGTTGCTTTGTAGAAGGATAAATTTGTCCTGCAAGAGGGCGAATAGGCGTCGAGGGTGGAACGGTCTTCGCGCGGAGTATACGAAGTTGTTGATACCGTATCTACAACAACATGATCAGCTACACGTGTCGTCTTGGGCTCCTCCTGTATAACGTTCAGGAACAAGAGAAACTTACTCCAGTGTCTCCGGCTTCGGCGCCAACCTCTTCTTGCCATCCGCGGTATTCAGCATTGTCATCTCATGCAGACTTCTCAACCAACCGGCCCCAGATGCGGCCTTGACGAAATCGAATTTCCCCGTCTGCACGATTTCTTTGACATCAACCTTTGAGAAATTTGTCTCAATGACTTTGGCGTCTGGGTTTAGCAGTTGGAGAAGATCTCTGATCTTCTGGCGAGCTTTTGCATCGACAGTATCGATTTTGTTGATAATGAGCACGTCGGCGAATTCGATCTGATCCACCATCAAATCTGAAATGGTTCGCTCATCTTCCGGGGCAATCTCGTCGGAGCCGTACCGATCAGACAGGAACTCGGCGGTATGAAAATTGGAGAACAGATTGAAAGCATCGATAACGGTGACTGTGGTGTCTAGTTTGGCGAGGTTGTGCAGCCCACCCAGTTCCGCCCTGAGAGCCATTTTCAGTCAATACATTATATTTTTGGACGAATCTGACATGGTAAAGAATAAAAGAAAAGACATACACCTCCATAAGAATCTTTCTCTCCTCTTTCGCAATGCTGTCCATGCTTTCAGGATCAACCTCCATCATAGCGGCAGTAAACTCCGATGTAAACGTTTCAGCAACTTGCATCGGTTCACTGATCCCAGTGCTCTCAATAACGACGTAATCCACCATGCCCGGAGAGCGGGCCAGACGGGCAAGCTCAGATAGCAGATCGCCTCGAAGCGTGCAGCAGATGCATCCATTTTGAAGCTGAATCAGCTTTTCCTGTGTCTGAGAGACTTTGTGGTGGGTGATCAGAGCAGCGTCGATATTCAGTCTGATTCGTCATTGTTAGTATGGCCCCTAGGAGAAGGTAGGCAGGCTACTGACGATGCCATGTCATTGACTATCACGGCAATCTTCAATCCATGCTCGCTCGATTTAAGGATGTGTTCAAGGAGCGTAGTCTTGCCGCTTCCCTAATGACACATACTGTTAACGATATGCCTCAAACCTTGGTCCTTGGATCACCAAGCATTAGAAGAGGAATAAACGCACCAAGAACCCTGAAAGAAGGGTAACTGGGAGAGGCTTTGCGATGAGGTTGTCCTGTGCCATTTTCTGCTGCGGCTCTCTCGTATGAACCAGTAGGTCGAATGTAATGACAGAATGTAGATTCACTTCACAAATGGACAGAGGAAGAAAGGAGTAAAATAAACCAACAGTTATGTGCACTATGTACTATATATATTTTCTCCAACCGCACAATGGTACCTACGTTCTCTCGGAGCAAAACCCTAGGCGAACCACCAAGGTCCCAAATCACGAGCATATCAGCTACATCGAAAAGCGTCGACAATGATAGAGGGCTTAGCCAAGCTTGACAAACACGCGGACTATGACTGGCCCATTTCCACATGCTTAAACTCGACCCACCGGCCGGCGTAGAATTGTGTCTTTCAAGGTACTTGGAGTATTGCCGGTTGAACACCAATCATCTCGGGTTATGAACCAGATTGCCACACAGCGTCCTGCGGCTTCCACGTCAAAAGAAAAAAGAATCAACTAATTTATCATCTCGTATACTTGTCACGTCGCTTTCCCCATATTCGGCCTGCGGGTGGCGGAAAGCGACGTAAGGAGTACAAATGCGTCCATTTTTGGCCCAACAACATCAGATCCGTAGCCACGGGTCGATTGCTAAACCCATCCGGCTCGGTTAGCACCCTGCTCTCCTCAATCGTGGGGCCGGTACAAAAGATCACGTAGGCGTAGTCGGCAAAGAATTGTCTGCGTGCAATGGAATATGATTGGAAAGCAGTGAGCTGCTTGCCCATGCTATCTTGATTTGTGACATGGAGGGCCTTCTCTGCGGCACACAGCGCTTCGATCACATTTTCGAAAAGATTGGTGAAACCTCCGTCGTAATTGATGATGATGGCCATCTCAACCCACCTGAGACATCGTCTTGAGAGCAGAAATTCAGTTAGCTTACTGCACAAGATGGATGCCTGCACTAGGTCGTCATCATCAAGACAGTCTGGTAATGTTTCAAGGAACAAGGCGTTCCATAGACCGTAGGCCATTTCGAAATAGGTGTCTATCCCACCGAGGGGCTGGGAGGGATAAGAACGAAGGGAGTCCAACGCCTGGGTGCATTTGATAGACTCTTCAAAATACCGAACACTAGTAGTTCCGCGATAAAGCGCCTTGAGGGCCTGCGGTCTCAGTATTGTTGGTACCGCCATGGCCTTGTTTGCGGCTTTTCTACTCGCGCTTTGACGCACAAACTGTGCTGCAGTGTGGTGAATGAAGCTAATTTTGAATCGCTGGTTTCTGGCGCCCTTGCCCTTAGCCACATTGAGGGTAATCAGGGGTGAACAGAGCCTCTTTGCAAGATCAATCGAATCAAAGACTTCTTCCCCCGAATTTTCGGCTTGAAAGATAATGCTTAGGATCTCTTGATCTAGCTCGCTTCTTCCAACTTTAACAAAATCTATCATGTCGACCCACAGAAAGACCTGCTGTGACAACCTGAGTTGCAGAGGGGATAGTGGCTTTTCCATTGTTGCAAATATGCTTTGATAGAGTTGCACAAGGCTATTGGGGGTTTTACTAACTGTCGTTCCACAGAAGCAGCACTTGGTAGTCGTTGGATTTCGTCCATCATCAGTCATGCATACAGCCACGAGCCATCTGCTGCGGTAGATACCTTGTTTAATACGCCTAGGCCAAGCGTGGTTCCGCTGATGTGTTTAGACTGTGAAACCCTCTCTCTGACATAAGCTAGGATAGGTCTGTGTACGTGCCTTGGTAGGACCACCAATTCTTGTTGTGGTATCTGGGTTTGTTGAAAACGCTGATCAAAGAGGTCACGTAAGTCCGGATCTTCACGACTAGTAAGTATGAGTTTGATGACGCCTTTAGATGCATTCAATATGGTGATTAAGGACGAAGCGAGCAGTCGGCCGTCCTGACATTCGTCAAGGGCATCTACCACAACAAATACAGGTGGCCTGGTCGATTGAGATGCCAATGCATACTGAAAGGCCTCATGGAGAGTTGCGAAAGACTCTGCAGATTTCTGTCCGCTTTGTAATCGTAACTGGTCAATCCATGCGTAAAGATGAGATTTGTCATCGCTGGAAAGAAACTGGGAAAGCAAAGTGCGGAGGACTTAGGGTTCACTTTTGTTCTCGTCTGTGCCCTTGCAAAAGAAGGATAGGACGTAAGCATTACCGGTTTCTAGTAGAAAACGAACAATGAAGGCAGTGAGAGTAGATTTTCCACTTCCCGGAGCCCCATGAATTCTCAGTATTTCTGTCTCGGTTCTCGAAGCAAGAAATGACTTCAACTCTTTGGTCGCAAGAGCCCAGTCGCAGCTACCAGTCATAAAGCGCATCTGGTGGCCGTATAGGTCATCCTTGACATCAGCAGGAGACAGTCATTGCTGAACATCGAAGCGAATATTATCAGCACCTGAAACATTACAGTAAGCAATTGGATACGTAACTGTTTTAAAAGTTCAACGAAATAGACACACTCACTTTTGTCGATCATCCCAATAGCCTCATATGAACCACCGTGTGCTTCACCTCCTGGAATAACGCGCATCAACTCTTTCGCATACGCTGCTGCAGTAGCAGCTGCATATCCCTGCCAATGATCATTCTTATGCGAGTCTGCGTAATCGCTAATCCCTCTAATGACCAGACATAGAAAGCTATCGACCAGGCCAGCTGCTTCCATTTCAAAGCAAAGCACGTCAAGCTCCTTTCGCAACTGGTCCCTCATCGCACCGTGCTTTATTACTTGGCCCCCAGATGCAATGAGACCATAATGAATAGACGGTAGTAACACTCTCGACGAACGAGGCTGTCGAACCTTCAATCGCGCGGGGTCACAGGATGAGCATGTGCGTTCATCTAAGGGATGTTCATAGTCTGCCTCATATAGGCAGTCAGATTATGCATTAGGACGGGAATACTGCGCTCGCATTGCTGGGTATTTGTTAACCATATGCAAAATATCACCTTCAATATCGTGTCCATGCATGAAATGTTTGGCTCGTAGGTTGCTCAATGCGCTCAGTAAGACCTCGGGGGGGTTGTTCAGCATACCAGTCCGCTCAAATCGCCCTTGTTGAACTGTTTTTCCAAAGTCGTATTGAATGACAAACCCCCAGTAGTCCGGTTGGTGTGCCCACGACAACATCACCAAGCCGGATATCATGCTCTGCGCTTGGTGCGCCGCCGCCGATTCCGACCATAAGCCCAAATTTGAGTCGCTTAAAGGTTGAGAGCATCTGGTTCACCACTTTTGCGGCCGATACCGTGCCTGTCAACCCCGATGGCAAGCAGGCAATCACCACATTGTGTCTCCCTATACGTCCAAGTAGGTGTTGCTGTCGCGAGACTCTCGCCCGAGAGGCAGGGCATCATGGAGCTCATCCAGCATCGTACAGGTCGCATCCAACTCCAATGGCAATGCGCAGACCCATCCGGCCGTATATTCATCATGCCTCAAAAGGACGCATTTAGCGGGGTTCCGACTCGAATACTATTTATTACCTACGATGCCTTGTAAGTGCAATTCATTCAAGTACAAAAATTCCATACTGACGTAAATAAACAGTGACCAGCCAGTTAGTCGTTTCACGGCATTGAGTTTCCTATGGCGGTGCGAATGCTGAATGATAGGACATCAATTCCCGTGATAAACCTAGAGATGGAGTCGGGCTACTTGATGGTCGATGGTCACATGCATTGTCAATGCCTAACGCGCTAATTAGAGCGTAGCGCCCTTTTTTCTCTATATCCTGGTCAAATAAGTTGAAGCTGGCTTTTGGCAATCGTCGCTATCTATCTAGAATTAAGCTGTAAATCTCGTTTCATGTAGGCTTACCATGGCCTATCTCTACGAACCAAGAAACATTAGATAAGAGTCGAACCGTGTACATGTCCTATATATACATTGGATTAAAATAAAATGTTACATCGCAATTTGCTGGCCCGAAAATAGGATGAGAAATGGGGCGCTATCGCTATCGCTGTGAGAAAGGAAATGAGAATGCCTGGTTTTAACTTAGCCTTGGAGTGGGGAGTTGTTTAAGAAAACCAAATACATGAATGAATGAATCATCATGACAGGAGATGGTGAAAATACTTTGTCCAGTGTAGGGAGAGCGGAGATGCATAGTCGCGTCGGCTATCGCCAATCTGATCAAATAATCAACTGTGTATATTTTGTTGCTTTTGCTCGCTATGGGCGTTGTTGAGGTTTACCGTGTCCAGAACCAGCCACCCCCTCGTCCGGAATCGTTATTCTCTTTATCCTCTTCAGAAGTGCGGCTGTGATGGGTGTTCACCTCGGCTGAAGGGGGAGGGGTGACTTCAACCGACTCGTCGCTTTCTTCACGGCCATCTGCAAAGCGCTTGGTTTTAACGGTCTTGGTTGAAATTGACCCGTCGGTCAAAGTGCGTCGCACGCTGCGTGTCATAGTCGAAACAATTCTCGAGCTAGCAGTAGAATCGTCGTCTGTAGTTGACTGAGAAGCAAGCAAATTTTTGTTACCATCAGATGTATACTCAAGCCAGTCTTTGCTCTGCACAGTCTCTTCTATCGAAGCTTGTGGAGTCTCTGCCTGTCGCATATGCCGCTTGCGTTCTTCATCTAGAAGGCGCATTAACGGACTGTCTGCAAAAGCATGGGAGTATCGTTCATGAGACTTGGCAATGTCATCGAGGAAACGATCGTATAGATCCAGCTCTGTCTCTGAATCGCTACCTTCAACTATATTCTCACGAGTGTCCTGCAAAGATGGAGGCTCTTGATCATGTTTGTTACTGTTATGCTGCTCGAGCCTCTCAAAAGCGACTCCATGTGGTGAGCTTTCTGGACCCAATAGCTTCCAATTGTTGCCAAGGCTGCCTCTTTGTACCAACCCGCGTAGCCACTTGTCAGCCGATTGAGTGGTGCGCTCGGATTCTGTGCTTTGATCCAACAGTTCCTGTCCATTTGTGACCCTTATGAGATCCTCGAACGCATCACGCCACCGCGGCTCGTTGGGATCTAGTTCTGCAGATTTGCGGGACGAAAATAAGGACGAAAATATTCTTCGCTGATGCCGGCCACGGTGGTGCGCCCTCTCTAGATGCAGAGGGGAATAGGAACTGAACAGTATATAAGCAAGCGGCCAAGTCTCCTCGTCTCCGTCGCAGAACATGCTTTCTGGCAACAGGAAGGGAAAACCAAAGCCTAACGGAAATCCGTCAAAGGAAGAGTGGAATCCAGAGTCGGATGAGCGTCTATGGGCATCCCAGTAGTTGAAGAAGTCATTATCTCTGTGGTAGTGTCCCCATCGAGAAGGGCGCCAGTGATTGTCTGAGCGGGGGTCGGAGTCGTGTCCGACTTCTTCCTTGCGCATTGCGCGGCTGTCGTTTTTATCCTCGAAATACAGCCATTTATCTGAGAACGGAGGCGCCATAGAGGGTAGATCCATAATCGATTGCATCATGGAAGAGATTTGTTCGTCCGCATATCGTCGAAAGGCGATGAACGGATTCTCAGAGTCGGTCCATGGCCGTGCTGCGTCATCTGGTGGCGGCGCGGTCTTGTTGAGGGTTTGCGTGTCGGCTTCGCTAGAACGATCTCTGCCAGAGCTGGCCATCGTAAAAGAACTGTCTTTTTTTTGTGTTAGGTCTTTCTTCGGATTACAGAATGATCTCGTCGACTGAATGGTGGTTTTCGAGGGAAAGCAACGGAAGGCACCAACAAACACATGGGTGGCTGCGAGCCTGCGAGGCCAAAAGACGCTAAGCCTACTTTAGAAGGCATTTTTAATGAGCCAATCCTGTGCTACACACTTGGATCCACTTTAGCTGTCTGCCGTAGCTAGTACAATTCAGGAAAGGTCTCATGGTGGGGTACGCAGGACGTATGTCATCAACTACACTATGTCTATTTGGGTATAGTTGCCGCCCAGGGCACGTCCAATAAACTTGTATGAACAGACTAAATGCACCGTTTCCTAATTAGGTAATCTTTGGATGCGGGCAGCGGGATGATAATAATTGACTCTCTCCTCCCTAATATGACCCCAGATGTACTTCAGGAGCCCCAAATTGTGCAAGACACCGGAGACTCTGGTAATAGTCCCGAAGGTAAAAATTTTCCGGGATGGCAGGGATTATGCAACATTAGACAAATCGAGAGAGATAAAGAACCATCCCTGCTGAGTGGAGAATTCCAACAAGCCAAATAGGTACAGACAAAAATGATGGAGAATGGGCCTCTATGCAGCGGCTTCAACCCTAAGTGTTTCTTCTACCTTCCCTCCAGAAATGGCATCATGACCGAAAAGTGGTTTATTTAGAGATTGAGGACAGTTAAAGGCAACGAGAATATCAGGGTCGACTCCTTGCAAGAATAGCCCGTCTGACTTCCTCTTAAGGCCAAGTTCATCCCAGACAGAACCCAGAGCCTTAGTAAGTTCGTCTCCGAGCGCCCGACTATGACCTGGCGTGGGTGTGGTTCTAAGTCGGTCTTGACCAACAGGCACAGTTGGATAGTTGATGGACTGAATGTTAGTACCGAAATTTTGCAACAACATATCGCTAGCTTTCTTTGCAGCCTTTGTGTTGCCTATGTAAAACTCACTATCCTTAGCTATTATAACATTGGTTAACGTTTCATAACTTTTGCCTCATGCGAAATTTTATTAGAGTAAAGATTTTCACTGATCAATTTTGAGATGATCATCAGTTTAAATACTGATCAAGGATGTGGCTAGGTAACTAAGAATTATTACAAAGCCATCTTATATTGCAACAGCTTCTGCTGCTATGTACCAGTCTGATTCTTCTGTTCCTGGGATGTGCACCTGTGTCTCCCTACTTTACTCATTTGTATGTGATTAGCTTAGGATTAACGCCATTCTGCTGCATCTTACAGTTCAACTGAAATACTAAAGTTGAGAACGTTTCCCAATCCCTGCCCATGGTTCTTCAAAGCCGCTTCCAAAGATCCATCTAGGTGTGGAGGCCGTGGCATCGATGGCTGGTTTTGAGATTAGCACTTTGTCTTTCTGGTATAGAAACGCTATGATAAGAAATGAAGAAGGAAAGGAAAGTATATTTACCCATGTTTCCAGCTTTGAGCCATGCATCGCCCTTCATCATCAAATCCTCTGCCTTGCTGATTTGTTGACCATGTGCTATAGCCCGAATAAGCTTGACAAGGTGTCCATCGTCATTCTGGTGGCTGTTACCGGCACGGAAAATCTCATCCCAAGTCTTTTTACTAATTGGGTAGCTGTTTATTTCGTTCATGTCAAGGCGAGGACTGTGACGGGAGGTATATAAGATAAGATCCATGCGCCCCTTCCACTCAAGCAAGCGGACTTTTGCGCGCGTACTTATCCAGGGCCGAGTGAGAATTGATGAGAAGAAAATGGAACAATTCACAGCATGTATGGTAATGAAATCATATTTGACTAAATTTGGTGGATGCTGGGCGGCAGCAGCACAATAAACTGTTGAAGAAAGAAATTAGGGCTGCAAATAGTTGGTTGGTTCAAGGTGGATTTTCTGTCACATACCTAGAGCATTGACCATCTCGCTCAATTGTTCCGCCATAGTCTCGGGCGATACTGTATATTGCTTGCAATAATGTCTCATTCTCTCCGGGGCACGCTTCAAGACTCCCGATCTGATGTAGCTATCGTCACCCCAATGGACACTGGAAAGGAGTTCCTCGTCTTGGCCAATTTCATGTATTAGCTGGGTAAGGGTTTTGCCAGGCTTGGTCCCAACGCCGCCTGCGGCGTCTTCTATGCTCTGTAGAAAGGGGCCTATCCATGCTTCGTGCACCGCAGCCTGGGCAAGGGCTTCCGCAATAATAGCTGGTTGATTGAACTCGATGCCAAAACCGAGATGAATCATAGGGTGGATTAATCCTGCAAAAGAAACAATCATCAGGTTGGGAGATTCTCTTTCGCAAAATTTCGCAAAACAGCTAGGAAAGAATAATGTCACCTGAAAACAGTCGACCGCGTAAATCATCTGCATGTTCGTCCTCAGCAAATATGTGCTCTTCAAGTGTCGTCGCTACGCCTTTGATGTCGAGTTCTTGCTGGAAGAAGACGAGAAAGTTACCATAGTGTTCTTCTTTACCTATATAGTCGGTGAAATTGGCTTTTTCAATTATGCTGCGCACAATATTATTGTCAATCGGTGGCAACGATCTTTGATAGCTACTTCCCCGGTCATAAGCGGCTTGTATTTCTTCAGGCGATGCTCCCAAAGAGAACAGTGTGAGTAAATGGTGGGCTATATGATCTATAGAGGATAGTCCTTGGTTAGGTCCCAAATATAGGCCATTCCTTCAAGGTGAAGCATTGGAAGCAATAGTATGAGACTTACTATGGAATCTACTTTCATTGAAGAAGATGTGATGCTCCTGCTCGTTTTTCTGTAGGAGCTCACTAGCGAGTTTGGCCGAATCTTCTCTCGCGTTGCGAGAGAAAACGCCGGCGTCTGCCGTGGACAGCTTGATGGTGGTCGCAGTAGCCATGCTATAGGGTCGATGGCAGCAGCTCACAGGGGAATGGAGTTTGCAGACTGAAATTGGTCGTAAACGGCCAGGTGCTATGGACTGGAGGCCTGTTAGTGCCTTGATCATTGATAGTGGCGACGATGATGATGACGATGAGGCAGACTTCAAAACGACACTACTGCAACTTTTTAAGGTTCGATGCGATAAATCTAGACTCGCGCCCATTACTAACGAAGCTTTACGTGAGGCGCACGTCAGCGGGCCCTACCCGGCTTCCCCGCATTGTGTCTCCGCCTCCACCGGGGACTGACTTCAGGTCTAACTATAGAAACTAATATCAACTTGAAGAAAATTTTACCAAATAGATTGAAATTTGCCAATCGATACCGTGTCACTGACTGGGTCAAGATGTTCTCAGAATTCTCATGACCCTTGGGCCACATAGACCATGATCATTAAATTATACATTGTCATTGTCTCACGAATACGTAGCTAGCCGCCTTGAGGTCCATATAATAGTATTCTATCGAAACACTGAGCAGAAAAGCCAGCGCTGCTTCTAGTCCTGGAACTTGCAGCAAAAAAGGCACAAAAACTCGCAGTATTACAAAAGCTGAGTCAGACTTTTCTCAAACTTGCGGTGGTAACTACTGACAATGCATTGCATGTGCTCTGCTTCAGCTTCTTTTAAACCGAAGCCCAGCACCTGATCTAACGTCTTACGAAGAACTGGGTGTAACTAACTGATGTCGTTTCTTTTATTATTGTGTTACATAAGATTTTCATAACTTCTAGGAGGGCAATATTGCCTTGGGGCAAGTGTCAGAAGTGTTTATAATTTAACTACTCAGCGACCAATACAAAAGCATCGCATAAGACGAACACGGAGAGGATACAAGTCTTCACAGAGACTGTTAGTACAAGTCTCACTCATTCCCTTGTACGACGTTAGTAGCCTTTGCTGTTCCTCACCAAAACCAAGATCCCTCTCCTATGAAACATATACCGAGCCTACCCGTGTAAATGTTTATCTACACCAACACGATTGAAACTTCGTGCTACAGCCTATAATCGATATTATGATTGACTTGTAATATTCCAACCGCTGCTTTTAATGAGTCAGATTATCGTATATACATTTCAAGCACGCGACATGCACAAAAGGAATAATTAACAACACGCTTTGTTTTGTTTTGTTTTTTTTTCCTCATGGATACAGCAGCTGACTTCATGCAGTATTTGATCGACCAGTATTTCGTTCTAGAGTCTAGAGCCGTACAGTATGGATGCCCAGGCTGCGTAATAGGCGCCACTGTAACATGCTGTGAATTGGTCGACAACACGGTGTAATGAAAAATCGCATATATGTTCTGTGGAGTGTGTATGAAAATATGCGCCGATGCAGTTTTGCTATACTCTAACTGCAACCGTGAGCGAAAATGTGATAGACCGCTCCCTCCAGGAACGAGGGCCCGTTAGCGGGGATATTCTTAGTGGTTTGGCCCTGTTTTTCCGGCCTCAATTCAAAAGCCGGATACACAGATTCAAAGCGGTGGATTTTCAATCAGACCGGTAGTTACTTAGGTTTTTTTAGAGATATATGCGTGGGTTTTAGCAACTGTGTGTGTAAATAGTTCTACCCCTGTTCAACTTTCTACGCTAGCATTACTCGTAATCCTCTACGACTGCAAGCCACGCTTCGTTTACCAAACACTTTCCAAGGTTTCATATTTATAACTTCCTACATAATATAAAATATTCGGCAAGAGGAATGATGGTATATTACTATGACTACAAACCTGTGCTCGCCTCCGGATTAGGGCTTTCTAATCACGTGAGGGCCCGTGGACGATAGCTGATGTTCTAGTTAAATATAATCCATAATATCAAGGGTAACTAGTGGAGCTATCTATCTGCTTACAAAGGCGCTCATAGAGCAGACGGTTAGTTAACTGGTCATGACTTTGGGCGGCCGCAATTGGCTCACTTGGTATGCACGATTCTTCGTCGGCGCTTAGCATGTGGCCAATGAGCAAGACGAGCTGCCTTGGGGCTAAATAAATAGTAATTTCATGTGAAATTCAAAACGCAGCCAGGGAGACACTATAAATAGATATAGAAATAGAAATGATAAGCGCAATGTCCATTTTCGCGTTTTTCAGACTGCGACGCAACTACGCTCGAAATTACCCGAAGCAACACCTCAAAGACTTCTTCTGTCGTTGAGAGAAGAAGGCGGGAAAATGACAACTACTACCCCTACAATACCAGCTCTTACAACGGTGTTTACGCCTGCGGCCTCCTGTCTCACAGATATCTACAACCTCACCACCACAATTGACGAAACACCCTGGAACTACATTCAACTCGGTCCAACACCAACATCAAACAATGACTGCTATCCACCACAATTCACACCGGCGACTACGGCGTACTATTCGCCGGGGATATGTCCATCGGGATATATCATGGCGTGCTCGAATATAGTCAGCATCAATTCTGTGTCGGAGACGAGAGCGACGTGCTGTCCGAGGTGTGTAATACCTAGATAGGAAATCACGGCACAACCGCCTGCTAACAGAAATTTCCATAGTCAATATACATGCCAAAACGAAAATGCCGCTGGCTGGCCGTGGTATCCGACTGAGCTCTGCACCTATGGCGGTACAGCGACGGGCACGTATCTGGTCACTGCACCGTCTTCAACTGCTACGTATATTGGCGGACCGAAATTCAATGCATACGGAATTTCGATTCGATGGCAGCTGGATGATGTGGTTACTCAAACGACATTTTCTTCGTCGTCTTCTTTTTCTTCGTCACTTTCTTCGACCATTACCTCATCACCAACATTATCATTGAACACAAGCACACCGGAATCTACATCGACATCGACATCAAACACAGGTCTATCCACTGCAGCAAAAGCTGGCATCGGAATTGGCACCTCCATTGGCATTATTCTTATTCTTTTCGGCATGGCCTACCTCATATATCGTCGCAAAAAACGTATCGCTTCGACAGCAACGAAACATAATCATATGTCAAGTTATCCGAAGCCGTTGCCAAATCCGAATATATACGAGCAAGGTGAATTAGAGGACACTCAACGCAGGTTATATCCGCATGAATTGGACTCGAAAAATATGTCTACGTTGGCGGAGCTTAGTTCGGAGTCGAGGTTTATTTAGTTTATGTGCTAGGAAGACAGTGCTTTTTTTCTGTTTATGCATAGTATTGTATTCTATCTCTTGTCTCTAGCGACTTATAGCCAGTTTCTTTATTTAGCTTTACTTTGAGCTGTAGAATGGGCCTTGAATTCTCATCTCTGGTTAAGTAAATTCACTACAACCCTACCTAGCGTCAAATTTGACCTTGTCAAACTAACGGAAATGGTATGCCAATACAAAGTCATACAGAATGTGGCAAAAAAGGCTTGCCAGGAGAATTTCTTAGTGGTATTATATATGTGTAGTTCTATTACTAGCACGATATGCACACAAATAAAGTTGATGGAGAAACCCCACGCTGAACAAGGGAAACAAGGGCACCAGGATAAGATGTTTTTTATAGCCCTTAGCTCTCCTAGTTATATGTACCAGTCATTCGGCAGCCGGTTTTCAGGTGCTGAAAATGGTGTTTTGCCAGTCATAACTTTTACCCGGAAATCCGACAAATGCTAAGTCGTCTTCAGCTAACTTGATCAGCATGTGCTCCGAGCCAACATTGCGTGTTAGTTTTGATTTAACACCTTTGTTTCAGCTGTTGGCTTTGCTTGCTTTGGCTCCAATTGATGATGCAGAGACGGGGGATATTCCTTGGTCTGGGGTTAGCTCAGATCAGTATTCGTACTGCCCAACTGTGGAGAAAGAGATAGAGTTAGCACCACGTCCATGGACGAAAAATAAACTGCACATGAAAAGTTCAAGTAACTCAGCAAAAACTAGGTCCAAATTCCTATGAGAAACTATAGCCTCGACGCACATTCGGAGCCCAAGCAGGATGGACATTAGATTGAGTAGTAGACACGCTGACGAACACGGCACGGTTGTGATGTCCAATCAATTCGATACCAACAAAGGCCGACCCTCAATTTGTTGAATGACTAAATGGCCTTCAAAATCAGTAAACATCGTCTTTCCCCTTAAGGTATCTCATTCTTTCAGGCATGAAGGGGACGCCAAAGTCATGGTCCCCATTGAGGACCGTGACTGGGATGATTCCATCGATCGCACGACCTGAACGACACGATAGCTTTCTCTATCATTTCATACATACACAGGGAATATTTATCGCTGGCAGACCTCCAAGGACGGGTGGAGATAATAAGCGTTCTGTTCTAAGAAAGTCGCTTCAACCCGTCAGCTACGGGTGTTAGCAAATACCAAGGTACTATCAACCTTCGAAGGTTGGAATGCACATATATATAAGTCTTGGATATTCTATCTTCCATACTAATTCAGTGTACCAACAAATCCAAGGCCACTCCAATGTCCCCTGAAATCCCAACTGCTAAGCCCTGTTCCTCCAACTCCCAGGGCACACATCCAGAAGCCTCCATTCCAACACGAATCAGTCGGAATGCTTGTGTTTCTGACTCAGCTACCAATTGCTCATTTGGCCATCGCAAGATACCAGGCGTATTCGATCCAATGCCCAATTCTAATATAAGAGTTCTAGCTGATCCATGAATTTCTAGCAGCTCCGTATCTTCTTTAATATTCTTCAGGAACAGTCCCCATTTCATATTTTGCTCTCGAAAAGGCGCAGAGTTAGAAATAATTCCCACTGCGACCGCATATTGTCAATTCTCCACCAATACTGACAATAAGGGATCTTCTTTTCATCAGTCAAAATCTGAGAAATGGGGTCAATAAATGGCAGTGCGGCATCAACCAAAGGATCAGATAAAAACACCGCATCAACTCGGCATTTATTGTAACACTGTAATAAGCGATATTCTATCCGAGTCGAAACTATTCTTCCTAAAGAAACCGTCCGCATTTGAAGTTCGAATAAAGTACTTTGAAGGGAAACGGTCTGACAGGTCACGGAGAGTGCTATAGACTGGTAACACAGGCCAGGATCGTACCATGTTCAAATGAAGAAAGTAGTAGCCCCATTTCTGGGCTGGACTATCCCAGCCAGTATATCCAAAGACGTCGTATAATCTGCGTAGGCCTTTCGCCTTAAAAGCTGGAAAATTCTTCTCAAAGAGGCTAGGTGATGTATAGTCTAAGCCTGTTGAGGCGGAGAGGCCCGCGCCTGCTGATATGATCAAGTGAGATGCTTCTTTTATCCACGTACGAGCTCTTGCTATGAACTTGGTAGAACTCGAGTCAAATGCTTGAACTGGCAGGGATGATTGGAGCGTTATATTGGAGTTGAAAGAAGACGTCAAAGTGTAGAAGAGGCGATCTTGTAGCCGGGTTATGATTTTCTGATAAAGCAACCGATCTTTTTCAAGGAATGTGTTGAATACGACATCTATAACAGTCGTGTTGGGATTCTTCAAGAACCAGCCTATAATAGTATCCACTGCAATGTTTGCTGCGTGGTCGGGGCAAAAACAGCCTTGAAGTTGAGAGTTTGCTGCATTGACAATGGCCGTGACATCACTCAGCGTCGTAATATCGCCTTTCCAGCACGAAAGCCTGATAGAGCTGGGGCGTGAGCCTTGACGTCGAAGCATCACACCTGGGGCAGTTGAAGTCGCGGATGCTACCAAATCATGACTGTTTCGGTATGTGATGACTGCCCCGATATCGTCTAGAATTTCGGATGGCAGCTTGGGAACCGCAGGTCGAATGACATAGAAGTTGCCGCAAGGCCCCCAGCGGTGACCAAGTGTCTGACCCCAGGAGAAATTCGGGCTGACTCAAGTGCTGGTGGTTTAAAAAGGTACCGTAGAGCATTGTCGAGCTGAGAAGAAATCATAGCCGCCATCGCTGATGCCTTTGATGTTTATAAAGCAGATTGTGTTCTTTCTCGGATATTTTCTTTTTGGCATCATCTCGCCAACAGCGGCACTAATTCCGTGCATCACGAATAGTTTTGTAAGCAGACCCTGAGCTGGCCTCTCACTCTCAGTGTCTGTCTGCCAAACGGCTACCAGAAATAATAGCTCTCTTCACCCAGCGAGGAGCACATCCGAGCTCTCAGCCAATCCTTTCAGTAAAGAGCCAGACTTCGATCTGGGATTCATTGTTGGCAGCAGAATTTCGAGGCGCCATGTTCCGCGCCACTCGGGGCCGATGTTGCTTCTATCACTGAGCACAATTTCGAGGAGGCGATGCCGTGAAGTAAGAAATCAGTAGAGCATTCGTCAGAGCACGATGTGAATAGTTGTCACCTTGCGGTTGGTATAGCGAGTGTTTGGACTGTTTGCATCTCGGGCAGAACAGCGACGGGTGTGCCGAATGCAGTTAGTGCTGGTTTGAACGAGCAACCTTACTGGCGGAGAAACCGCGTGGTGGATCTTCCACCAATCACGGCGCCCTCAGCATATCTATATCTGTATTATAATTCCCAATTAGCCTAATAGGCTATTGTTGATATGTACTATTGAATGAAGCATGGATTGGCATGAGAGACTGGCATAACCAGCGTGTGCGTGGGACAATCGTGCACGTACTCCAGCAATGGCGTCATGGCTCGGAGCATGTCCGACCGCATCAAACGCCGTAGCGTATATAGTTAGTTCTCTAACCCAGATACAACTAAGGCTCTGGCGGGGCATCGTGGAGGGGCATGTAAATGCTGGATCAGTGAGTAACGCGTTAGTTATGCAGATAGTCACTAATATCCCGTGCAAATTTAGCAATCCCATCCCATCCAAGCGTGGGATAAATAAATGCTGGCGTGCGCCCCCCCCCCCCCCATGATCCTCATCCTACTTTGACAACTACCTCGTACACCACCCCCCCAAGTAGAAGCCTCACACGCATCAAAAACACTCCAGAAACTCGCGTCAAAATGTCTCTGGGAACAACCGCTACATTGAGCACTGGTGCCAAAATCCCGTAAGTAGACTTGCACTGGAACTGGAATGCGAACGAGTATTGACTCCTCCCCAGTCTTCGAGGATACGGCACTTGGCAGGCTGAGCCCGGTCAAGTGGGCGAGGGTGTCTACCTGGCATTAAAGGCCGGTTACCGTCACTTGGTAAGTTCTTGTCTATCTCAATGTCTGTGTCTGTGCTGACTGGCGTTGTCAATAGGACCTTGCCAAAATGTAGGTAGCTTTTTTACGAGTTTGGTCACAAGCATTTCTCCAGGCTAATGTGCATAACCATATAGCTACCAAAACCAGAAAGAAGTCGGCGAGGGTATCCGCAAGGCCTTTGCGGAATTCGGCATCAAGCGGGAGGATGTTTTCATTGTAAGAGCTCGGATGACTGCTTGTCGTCAAACAGCTATGGGCTAACAACGTCTCCGCGGACAGACTTCCAAGCTCTGGAACAGGTTAGTGTCAGGTCTTTGTTAAGTGCAATTTCAATTCCTCTTGGACAATTGTTGTTGACAGCGAAACAAGCCAATTCCACCCCGATGTTGTCGAAGCTGCCTTGGATGACACTCTCCAAGAACTCGGCCTGGAGTATCTGGATGTATGTCAAGCTCATGATTATCACCACTTCCCACCGACTGACAATACCCAATCTTAGCTCTACCTCATCCACTGGCCGGTCGCGTTCAAGTCAAACAAACAGATCAACAACCTGTTCCCCCGGCAGGCTGGAAACGAAAAGCTCGTTGAGATTGATGACAGCATCTCCATTATCGACACTTGGACGGGTATGTGATCCGTGAACCAGAATGAAGAATAAGCCATTAACACTCTATAGCCATGACGAAGCTTCCCAAGAGCAAGGCCCGCGCTGTGGGAGTTTCCAACTACTCTATTGAACATGTGAGTGATATTAGTTCTCAGCATCAAACGTTTCCGGGCTAATAATTGCCGCCACTACTCCTTCTAGCTCGAGGCTATCATCAACGCAACTGGCGTTGTCCCTTCAGTCCTTCAGATTGAGCGCCACCCTTACCTTCCTAACCCACCTCTGATCGAGTACGCCCAGAAGAAGGGCATTCACGTCACTGCTTACTCGGTATGGCTTTCTCCCCACTCTGACAAACCAAACAGAATTCTTATTCATGTGTGGTCCAGGGCTTCGGAAACAACTCCATCGGCTGGCCACTCATCATCACTCGCCCTGAAGTCAAGGAAGTTGCCGAGAGTGCCTCGAAGCGCACCGGCACAACCGTTACTCCTGCACAAGTTCTGTAAGTTTGGCCAGATATCTATGTCGACGTTCTCCTAGAACGTCCGCTGACATGCTCGTTCTTCGCCGTCTAGCCTCGCCTGGGCCCAAGTCGGCAGCATCAGTGTCATCCCCAAATCAGTCACCGCATCGCGCATCGTCGAGAACTTCATCGAAGTCGAGCTCACACCCGAGGAAATCGCCAAGATCGACGCCCTCGGAAAGGAGAATAAGCGTTTCAATGTTCCCGGCTCTGTTAACGATCCTTTGTGGCCGATTAACATCTTCGGCACCCCCGAGGAGAACGAGCATCCCGAATTTCACAAGGTGATTATTTCAAAATAAACGCCTTTTTTGGCCGGATTTTAGATCTTTGAGCGGATATATATTGCTCAGGAAGGGAGACGGACATGTATATTTCATAATGAAGGTTACGCGTACACTCCTTTTAGATACCAATGAATTAAACAGTCAATCTGTACGAATTAAGATTTCTATTCTGTTAGATATTAAGACCCCGCGTAGTCACATGCCAGGTATGAAAAATCTGCCCCTAAAACGCCAAACTTGCATGTATCATCAAAATCGCTAAAACCAATCCATAAATGCATTCAATATTTCGAGAAAGAGAAGTAGGGAGAGAAGAAGCTATCACCGCCTACTCATCCCCATATCCTTCATAGCATCCTTACGCTTCTGCTGATCACGAGCAATTTTCTTGAACAAAGGATGATGCTGCGTCTTCTCCTTGAGTTGCTTATTGCGCGATTTGTTGTACTCTACATACGCCATATCCTCGCCGCCGGCGAGACCGCTCAATGTGGCGGCGCTGCGTTTGACGCCGACTTTCTTCTTGGCCTTGCCACCGCGCTGGGCGCCGGAACGTTCGCTAAAGAGGTCGTCAATCACATTCTCGACTTCGGCCGAGGTCTCGTTCTGGAGCATAACTTCTTGTAAAAGTTCGCGCCGTTCAGATGCGGTGGCATAGGCTAGACCTTCAAGGTTTTCGATGCCCTGTAGATGCGTAATGACCTTGAATGCGTAACCCTGGTCAACTAGAAATGCTTGGCGCTTAGAGGAGTAGTACATCTCGTCTGTGTCTTTTGACACAAGTGAATAAAAGAAAGCATTGAAGCCTTCGTCGTTACGACGCTTGGCTCGCAGGATACGCCCGAGACGTTGAGCTTCTTGTCGACGGGAACCGTAGTGGGACGAAATCTGGATGAGACAGGTGGCTTCTGGAAGATCGAGGGAGGTGTCTCCAATTTTAGACAGGAAAATAGTGTTGACCTGCTCATTGTGCTGGAAGTTCTCCAGGATACGCATGCGCTCGTTCTGCGGAGTTCCACCGTAGATATAAGCCTTGCCCAGTTTCAGGGCGTAGCGTTCCAGAGCGTAGACGTTGTCAGAGAATACAATGATTTTATCACCGCGTTTCTCGTGATAATCAATCAGAAACTGGCATGCCTGGAACTTTCGTGGATTCATGATATACAGAAGCGCCGCTTTACGAGACTTCTCTCGCATGTATTCTGAGTAAAATTCAGTTGTCATCGGGCACCAAACTTCGGCGCACTGAACCTTGGCGATATGGCCTTGCTCGGCCAATTCCATCCAGTTTGCTTCGTATAGCTTGGGTCCGATCAAGAAGTTCAAATCTTTGATCTTATCATCTTCTCGAAGAAGTGTCGCTGTCAGTCCTAGTTTGGCCTGGCAAGCAATGCTAGATGTGACTTTTCGAAACATCGATGCTGGTACGACGTGCACTTCGTCTAGAATCATCAAGCCCCATTCTCGTTGTGTCAACCAGTCCATCATCTTTTGTGCGTCGTATGACCGCGCCCTTGTTTGAGAAACCATGGAGTATGTTGAGACGATAATACCGGTAGACCGTTTGAATTTTTCTTTATTATCGGAGGTGAAAATGGCAATGTCACTGGGGTCGATATTCGACCACCGGATGAATTCATTCCGCCACTGGACGACCGACATGGAGCTGGTACACAAAACAATCACGCCTTTCTTGATCGTGCAGGCAGCGGTAATGCCGACAAGCGTTTTGCCAGCACCACAAGGTAGAACTATAATACCACTCTTGGCTCGGCCATTACCGAACATCTTGCTAAGACTCTTTTCTTGGTAACTTCGAATCTGAGCATTCGGCTTTAGATCAATGTCAAGCGTGGGATTGTCCCGGTCATTTCGAAAGTCATATTCTTCAAGAGCCGGGCAACCCATCGCTTGACATCGAGCTTTGACAGACTCAACGTCATCGTTGGGAATCTGAAAACTATGGACTTGCGCGTCGTCTTCGTCATCATCCTCATCGCGAATCGTAGCTAGAAAGTCATCCTCCTTCTTAGAAGCATTGTTCGTCCCGTTAGCCCCATCTTGGTCCCCAGAAGTCTGGTTTGCTTGCTTGACGCCAGCCGCATCCTTGGTACCGGGGATAACAAGACCCGCCATCTTAGGTGCTGCCTGCTGAATAATTCCTTCAGAGCCTTGAACTCGTTTCGTGCCAATCACATCGTCCTGAAGAAGCATTTGCAGCATGGCCGGATCCGTACTCTCCACATAATACCTGTTATTATTTAGAACTAACTTTATCTTCCCGTATGACTTGGTGAAATCGACGATAAACGACCGGATTGCTTCTGGCACGGGCGTTTTGGACAATCGGTCCAGAAAATGGATGATATCTTTGGGTTCCAAACCAACAGAGACTGCAGCATACAGACTGTTTCCGGTGAGTCGGTACTCATGTAAATGCACTGGTCGAGACAGGGGCTCGGCAATAGTCGTGAGGAAATCCGCAGCCTGGGAAGCGAGCGGGGAGAAGCTCTCAAGAGTGATGGTGCCTTTGAGAGGTTCGATCCAGAGCGGACGGTTGGCATGGTCCGCTTTCAGCGGAAGAGATGAAAAATCTTTGTAGCCGTAATGAGGATCGCTTCTTTCTACGGTACCCTTCTTATCGCGACTGAAAGACTCAAGAGAGAACTTTTCCACCAACTGCTGTGTCTTCTCTGCACTTTCATCGTACTCTGAGTATTCGTCGCTGCTATCGATGCTTTGCGGTGTATCAGGTACAGGCGTCGCTCTCTTTGAGGCCCTCGAAGAGCCACCATCGGTTGCTTTACGCTTCGGAGCCATGATGGCGAATGTCTCGAGTTGCTGATTACGGTGGCGAACGGAAAGTTAGGCGCATCTGAGGCCTTGTGCATGCGACCATTAACGACAGCAGTCGGATCCCAGCATACCCCAGCAGCAATAATGAGCAGTCAGGGACGATGGCTGTTCAGAATGAAGGAATGGAGAAGAAAGGAAACGGCGAAGTCGTAGTCGATGGACGTTTGCTTTCGAGGCTGACAAAGGCTTGGCACATTGTGCGGCACAGCGAATCATATCCATTGAATATTTAAGTCTAGTCTCGAACAGTACATACATAGCACGCTGGCTCCGGGAAAGCTGGAGCTATCAATTTGTTCTCACTCTCACTCTCTAGTCACTTACAGCTTGTCTAGCACCGGCTGAACAGTCACGCCCTCTGCTTGTCCAACAATGAACACAGTGAGTATACTGGGCACACTATATAATCGACGATTCGCTGACGAGACTCCAATGCCAGATCAGATCTACCTGGTGAGTCGAGATTGACAAACTCTATGGCTGTGATCAATCACTCTAACGTGCATTGACAGGATTGGATGGGGAGCTCTTTGCGTAGGTTAGTGCGAGCTGCCATATGCTTCTGAACGATTATGAACGAAGTGTCTAACTGCAATACCTCCTTAGCCGGCGGAGGTGCTTACTACTTCGCCAAAAAGTCCGTCAATGCCGACCGCGCTGCGAGATTCGAAGCGGACATTAAACGCAAAGCACAATTAGCCGCGATGGAAGCTGAAGACCGTCGAAAGGCCTCCGCGTCTGTACCCCAAGAAGTGCGAAAACCTACGGACGATCCTTCCTTACAACGTGCCGGTGGAGTCCCGTTTTCTGGCAGAGACGATGTAGCTTCTCCGAGCAGTGAAGCTGGTCAGGATCCGGCGCCAACCAGACATGAACCGGAAACGGAGGAAGAGAAAATGCTTGAGAAATCGAAATACGAAGCTGCGCAGACATTCCGACCTCCACGCGGGAATCGGTTTAGTTGAGCTGGAATCAACACGTTTTCACGGATGGGATGGATGGAATTGTATATATGGATGGAATCCTGCAGAAAACTACGTCGCAAGCGAAGCTGATTCAATAAAATCTTTCCAAGAATTAGACAGGGCTCTGATTCCGTCGTGCTCATAAAATCATAAAATGGCCATTAAAGAAGTAAAAACGAAATGAATTCAATCTTCCGAGAGCTACTAATCATACGCAACAAAATTCAAAACAACCAGCGCCGTGTAAGAATGCCCAAGCCGTATTACCGAATGTAAATCCCCGTAAAATGCAAATGGCGTGACTGGTATATCACGATGTCTCAAAAATGATAGCTCTTGAAAAAAAAAGCAAAATCTATTGGAACCGTATTCGTCCTGTCATTCCGTGAGGCCATAGATTCTGTGACTCGACTCTTCGTGCCACAAATGAAGGTGGGTATTTCGCATGGTAGTGAAGTCTATAAAGATGTGGGGGTATTGTATCGCGATAATAATGAATAACAACTCCGATGGAAACAGCAAAAGTGAACGGAAGCAGATTATCGTGCATGGAAGCAAAGAGGAGGCAGTGAGCGCGTCCTGAAGAGCGTCATGTCAGCGACGATTTGTAGGAGTAGCAAAGGGGAACCAGAGCTTACTTATGGGAATGGGTATCATGCGTGTTCCTTTCCCGAGAACTCTTTAATGCAGGAGGGACAAAGGGCAGCACAACCATGGAGACCAAGCATGACGAGGCCACAAAACGAGAGGTGCGAGAGTCCGGTCGTGGACGACGGGCTGAGAAATGTCGCACCCAACTGCGAGCTCCAGAAGCAGCGATGGTGACGGCCATGGCTGGTGTGTGTACGTTACAGTGTGACCTGACGTGCGGGGCGTCGATGCCGATATAGAAAGTGGAATGAATCGTCGAAGACACCGGTAGAGGAGAGCGCCAGGGATGGAGCAAAGGGAAAGAGAGTTGACGTGAGCATGCTCGTGGCAGCCCGCGCCATAAATAAAGCGCTTCGCAGCGAGCTTGAGTCAGTCAGTCAGTCGACCTGGAACAATCGCAGCGGGGCCTGACGGCTTGAAGGACGGCAGTCAGGGCGCAGCCAATCAGCGCGCTTTCATTATTAATGCCTAGTCACGCCATCCGCAGACATCTTCAGACACAAAAGAAAGCCATTGGACGTCGCATTCCTGAAATGCCATCTTCCTTGCTCGGCGGGGACCAAATAGGGTTATATTCGGCGCCGAATTCGCTTGGACGAGCATGATCGGATAAGGTCACTGCCTGGAACATACCCGGCCAGTATCGGGTACCATCTGCATGCATTGCTGCCATTATTGCGTGCAGAGCGCGAGAAACACGAGGATCGCCCCGGGTCAATGCATTATTTTTTAGCCAGCTATCGTTACGTTGGAGAAGGGCGCGGAGCCAGTCAAGATCCTCTCTCGCTAGCGGCGAGAGCCTGGCCAATGATCCGCATCACGTATCACGTGACACTCCGGGAGCTTCATCCTAGATCGTTCTTCATCCTTCAGCAACATCCAACGCAACGCCGTCTTCGCAATGGCCACCCACCAACTCGCCATTGCAAAGGCTTCGTTTTCGGCTGCGCTTCTGCGCCCGGATCCTGCTTCTCTGGGGCGCGACGACATTTCATCCTTTCACGCTTTACTAGATAGCGCTCTATCGCATTGCTCGCGTACCAACGTCCAGGTCTGATCCGTTGTGTCCTTTGGTAGCTGTGGTCGAGACGTGAATACTAAATGTTACCTATACGGGTAAAATAGACTTGCAAGGAATGGCTGCTCCGTCATGTTGTTGCCTCGTCCAACAGAGCAGCCGGCCTGGGGAAGTACCTGTCCGCTTTGTCGGCATCTTTCGACACGGCGTCAGCCAAGGAACAGCCGGCCTCGTTAAAGCCCGCTGGTCCGGGGACCTCGGGGAAACGAAGAAGGCTCCATATTTTATACTTGCTTAACGATATTTTGCATCATACAAAGTATCATACCAATGAAGGGGTGAGCGCGTTTGTCAACTTTAGCAGCGCCCTGCAGCCCCATGCTATCGAACTGGTGGGTTTTGCTGCATCGTTCGATCGCAAAAAGAACCCGAAACACCACCGGAGATTAGATCAGCTACTAGATGCCTGGTACGATCATGGATACTACAGCGCCGAATATCTCAACAAACTACGGGAATTGGTCCGAAATGCGGAGTCGGTGGATATGATAAAAGCATCTGTCGGTCTGTCAGAGGGGGCTGGGCAGGCTCAGACGCAAGTGTCTCGAAGAGAAGCGCCGTATATTATGCCCGCTAGTCATGGTGACCCGTCAACACCATATTATGATCTACCTGCCGGAAATTTTGTCCCGCACATTATCCCGGATTCGACTACTCCGATTCGACCAGATACCGTCAAACCGTTGCAATTTTTAGCTGGCCCAGCTGACCAGAAACTTGTTGGTATAATGAAGGAATTTTTCCAGGATGTGGACCAGATCTATAGGTCGAACGAATCAGAAGTTTCCGACAATGCCCATGCTGAAATTGACGAGCTCGGACAGGCCGTTGTTCGGGATGAGAAAAGTGGCGAAATCATCGATGGAGACACTTACTACGGATGGTCACGGGACTTTTGTCTACAAATGAAAAGAAGGAAAGCGAAGAGAATATATTCACAGAGTCGCAGCCATAGCCCTGGTGTAAACGTGCGCAGCCGCAGACGTCGATACAGTGACAGCAACAGCCGAGATTATGATTCTCGTTCCCCTGAACGGAGGTCCAGATCGCCATCAAGTAATGCTTCAGGCGAAGGCTACCGGCCGCGATCCGGTGCACAAACCCGTTCACGTTCACGATCACGGTCTAATTCGTACTCTCCAAGACCGGCGTCGCCGCCACAGTCGTTTCCAAATTCACAGCAAATTTTTCAACCTCCTACCCCGCCATCTCTTCCACCGAATCCTGCTTACTCACTGAATGGTCCTCCATCCTTTCCACCTCAATATTCAGTGAATCTTCCGCCGCCACCTCCCTTGAATTACAACGCTCCGTGGCCGACACCGCATGTACCTCCCCCGCCTCTGTTTCCCCCAGGCGGCCAACATGTAGTACCACCGGGTATTGCCAACTTCCCTCAGCAGTATCAGCCTCCAGCGAACCAAGCAAATCAGTACGGTCGACCGGGACAACAACCCATGAGTGCCTTTCCTCCACCGTGGCAAGGTGGTGGGCACCCTGGTGGTTACGGCCAAAGTGGACATAGGTGAGAAGGGTGAATATTAATGTAATATACAAGAATAATCGAAGTTTATTCATTCCAGATAAGACACAGTCACGAGGTTAATACCCATCCTTCCCAAGTCCCAGCCCAAACTAATATATAGAGGATTAGATTTACATGCTATACAAACAATACCGGTGAAAAAGCCCAGAAGAAAAAAACAAATCATATAAACAAACTCCCTTCAATGCAATGCCAAAATGTTCATTTCCCCCCCTTAAACAAGTGGCACACAGCCTAAAAACACCGAACCTGAGATGTTCTATAAATCCCGCAAACATTAGCACATTATTCAACAGAAACGCACGAAAGAAGGACAGAGGAAACTTACGACTTCCTGGTTCTCGCAGCAACTGACCACATCCCAGCACACTTCATCATCACCAGTGCTGCTATCAACATCGTCCTCGTTGATATCGACGCAATTAAGCCCAATCGTAGTATCTAATTGTTGGAGGAAGTCCCAATCGAAGCCCGGAATCAAGTCACCGACAAAATCTACGAGGTCGATACCGTTGTTGTCGTTGTTCTTGGTGCTCGATACGTCGTGCACGGCTGAGCAGCATTTGCGAGTTGTGCCACTAGAGCATGTCAAGGATGTTGCGGTGCTTGTTGTGGCTGATGCTGTGCTTGTCGCTGTGGGAGATTGTTGGACTGCATCGGAGTCCGAGTCCGAGTCTGAGTCCGAGGAATCTGATGTAGCAGATGTGGTTGTTGCTGCTGCGGTGGCTGATGCTATCTGGGCCAGGTCTGACGACAGGGCTGAGAGGGCTTCTGCAATAGCACTGCTGGAAAGTGCGGCAACGGATGATGGTAAGGTGATGCTTGGAATTGCGATTGAAGATGGTATGGAAATTGACGTCGGTATGCTGATGGTGATGGATAATGTACTTGATGGGAGAGTGGCAACAAAAACCGATGATGAAAAGGCTACTACTGACGACGAAGAGGCTGCATTTGTTGCTTTGACTGAAGAGGACTTCTTTGTTGTTGATGTTGTTTCCTTTGAACTCGTGCTAGATTTCGTGGAGGTAGTCGAAGATGAGGATGAAGTAACAGCAGCAGTAATAGTAGTAGAACTAGGAGGAGGTACTAAAGTCACTGGCCGTCTAGTCCCATCGGGGATTGGCATACCCAGAGGCAGTGCAAATGTTGCACTTGGTGCCTTGACTGGTGATGGAAACACTGTGACTGTTTTGACAGTAGCTACCGTGACTGATGATGACGATGTGGTCGTAGGAAAGAGTTGAGGCGGCGGCGTGGCTGGATGCATTGGCCCATGCGCATATCGCTGGTCAACTTGTTCGTTTTTATTATTCGATAGATCGTCAGTGGATCTTTCGATAAATGCGTGGTGTCGTCGGTGTGGAGCGGCGATGACATGGGACGATGTAGAGAGAATAATTGCCAGGGCAATGGCAAGCGGAGCTGTGTTAAGATGCATGGCTAGACGATAAAGTCTGGAAGTATGTCAGTATTCATTATGTCGTCTTATTCATTTGAGTCGGATTCATACTTCACGGGACCGGGGGGTTGGAAAAGTCCCACTGTCGTAAGGGGTCTTGCTTGGAGGAAGTGACGTTGAGTGGAATGAGACGACAACTTCTGATTCTCTGGTGCTTGTTTTGCTAGTTCTTGTCATAGGATGATATCGCCCCATAAATACTGGAATTTATCATCGATATTTATGCTTGACAGAAGCTTAAAGTCGTTGGAGAAAGAACTCTCCAGCCACCCTCAGAACTGGTGGAAGAAAGATTGCCTATTTGGGTAATTGAATTCCACATTTGGAAAGTTTCATGCTTAGCAGTCTGGCTCATCATAGGGCTGGAAAACTTAAGAAACATTCTCGAAAGAGGCAAGTACTCTTAAGAAACATTCTCGAAAGAGGCAAGTACTGTGTATCTATTACTTAGGCATGTGCCATAGAGATCAACCTCGGCGAAGCACTGCATGGCCTTTTTCTGGAACGCAGAGGCTCGCACGAGGAATGTGTAGAACTAGAATCTAATAGCCAGTTTCGCCTATCTATTGGCTTGCTGAATATTACGAAGCTAATAGCATTCTTTGCGAAGGCTCTTAGGTATTCTCGAGGCTTTAATGCCCCTGTAATTGGCCGTCCATCAACATGGCTTACATTCCTCCCTCTAGCTTGCATTCCACAGCATGACATCGGAATTAATCCACGTTCCGGAATGTTCCAGTAATAATTTTGCAAATCAAATAAACTTCATAGATTTTGGAAACTATCTTATCCAGATGTGCAGGCTTCACTGGAGAATGAGACCTACAGACCAAGCCAATACCGACTCTTCTCAACAGTGAGTGGAGCAGAAAGCACCTCATCTCCGGTTCCCGTAATCAAAACTGTGTAATCACCACTCTCTGATGCCCAAGACTTCCGAATTTCATCCCAAAAGCTGGTTGCTATCTTCTTCTCTACCGAGATAGAAACTTTCTTTTTCTCTCCAGGCTGTAGGAACACTTTTGTAAACCCCTTGAGCTCACGGATGGGTCGCTGGATATTTGCGATCTTGGGAGGCTGAATCCAGAGCTGCACTGTCTCTGCGCCGGCAACTGATCCCGAATTAGTCACAGTCAAAGAAGCTGTGACCATCTCGCCGTCTTCTAGAACTTCTTTCTCTGAGTCTACCTGCAACGAGAGGTCTGATCGGTCAAAGGCAGTGTACGACAACCCATAACCAAATGGGAATAGGGTACGGGTTGCGGTTTTTTCAAAGTAGCGGTAACCCACATACACATCCTCACCGTACAGAACTCGGCCTCTCTCAGAACCAAAGTTGATATACGATGGGCTGTCCTGAAGACGGACAGGGAAACTCAACGATAATTTCCCAGATGGGTTCACATCGCCGTATAGAACATCCGCAAGGCCGTTTCCGAGCTCGTTTCCTCCGAACCATGCCTGGGCTAGGACATTGACCTTTTCTATCCAGGGCATGGTCACAGGAGTGCCGCTTTGGATGATGACGGCCGCATTTGGGTTGACGTCGAGCACACGAGAAATCAATTCGTCGCTGCCCGGTGGCAGATCCATATGCTCTCTGTCATGGCCCTCGGTTTCCCATTCACCATTCAACCCTGCAACAATAACGACCTGGTCGACCTTTGATGCCAGGTCTACTGCCTCCTGAATAGACTCCTCCAAATCACGACGCTTACTTGCACCAAAGGCAAACCCGCCCGGGCCAAAGTCGATGACACCTCGGTTTTCCAATTTTGACGTGGGTCGGCTGCCGTATTTGAACATGACCCTATATGGAGTACCAGCCTTGAGCTCCTTTGTTCCGTACTCCTCCACTGTTGCGCTACCAAAGAAGGCAGTTCCTTGTCGTTGCTTGGTGAAATTATCCACCACAAGCTCGCCGTCAATATAGAGTCCTCCAGTGCCAATGACTGTAACACCGAAATCGTATAAGCCGTCTTCTTCCGGGGTGAATACGCCCTCCATCTCAGCATAGAAAAGGTCAGATTTGAGATGTGGGTTTTTGTAGTCAGCGAGGAATCCCGTCGAGCTGATGAGATGCAACTCATCTACAGCCTTGGTGTCCTTGTTCCTCTCTTCGGACGGTTCAAGGTACACTTTGAAGCTGAAGCCACGCTTGTCCCCATCAACAGTCTTCAGTAACGGTCCTAAGGGAGGCAAGCACTGATGAGCGTAAGCGCCCTGTGCGAATGAGACCTCGGCCTTGCTTGCCTTGCTCACACCTTCAAATGGGGTTACTGCATAGTAGGCTGGGAGGGCAGCTGAACCGCCACCGCAGTAGGACGCAACTTTCGAGTTCGGCCCTATAATTGCGATGGACTTGTTCTTGTCGAACGGGAGCACGTTTCCGTTATTTCTTAGTAGCACTATAGACTCAGCAGCAGCTCTGCGGAGGAGCTTTTGATCTTCAGGTCTATTGAGGCCCTTTTCTTCGGCGTTAAAGGGGATCTTGGACTCTTCGGCATAGTTGACCAGCTTGAGGACGTTTCGCACTCTTTCATCGAGAACATGCTCGGCCACTTTTCTAGAATTTACGGCATGGGATAAAATACTTCCTCGCCAGCGGGTCGGTCCAGGCATTTCGAGATCCAGCCCGGCATTGATTGCTTCAGAAGTGCTATACGTACCGAACCTATAATGATTATTGTTAGGGAGAAGCTGTGAACGTAAAAAGGGGATGGTCGCTTGCCAATCGCTCATAATAAGACCATTCCATTTCCACTCCTTGCGCAAGATATCGTCAATAATGCTACCATTTTCACTCACGTGATAGCCGTTCACTTTGTTATACGCGGTCATGAAGCACTTGGTCTGACAGATGCGGAGGGCTTGCTGAAAAGGCAGCAAATAAATCTCGCGCAAAGCGCGGGGTGTAACAATGGTATCTACAGCCATTCTCTCATGTTCCTGGTCATTGCAGACAAAATGCTTTAGGGTCGCGCCGACACCTTTGGACTGCACGCCTTTACAGTAATAACCTGCCAAAATACCGGAGAGAAGACCATCTTCGGAAAAGGATTCAAATCCTCTACCTCCTAGGGGAGATCGCTGGATATTTATTGTAGGGCCTAGCAAGACATGTGCGCCTTTAGCTCGGGCTTCATCACCCAGGAGTTCTCCAATCTGTTCCACAAGATTGACATCCCATGTTGAGCCCAGAGCAGTCGAGCATGGCAAACATGCCGCGGGAACACCATTGAAAAAGCGAGTTCCACGAACACCGTTTGGTCCATCGGAAGTGCGCACGGAGGAGATGTTGAGGCGCTCTATAGGCACTGTATGCCAGAAGTCGGTACCTGTTTGATGGCGGGTTAGCGGGTTGCGGATTATTTACAATTGAGCAATTTTATGCAAGTCTTCCACCATAATTTTTGTAATGTGGAAAGGGGATCGGAGTTTTGTTACCGGCTGTCAGAGCGATCTTTTCGTCCAAGTTCAGCTCAGAGAGAGTCTTTTCGACATCCAGGTTCACCATGGTTATGATGTTGGCTCACCAAGAACGGTTTACTTGAAGAAATGGTGAAAGATAAAAGACTTAGAAGCAGATTTGCACATCAAATTAATCCAGCGTATGTGCCTAGATATCAAGAAAAATCACAGGAGAAAGTGAATGGAGGGACAACGAAGCCCTTTAAAATGTCGTGATACACACAACTTGATATAAAGAGCCGAAGTTTACCCGGCTATCAAAACCCCGCAGCGTATACTTCAGCCACTTAGATGCGGCATGTAAGACAGTGGAACTCGGCCATTATTATCTATAAGCAAATTACTCGCGGAGTTTCGGCAGTGTTTTAGTCTCGCCCAAGTTTCGCTTATAATTATGTGAGGCTATTTGTTCATGAATGTGAAGACCAAAAAAGTGGGCCTTCATAGACACTCAAAGTTATCTATCTCTTCACAAGCTCGGATACTCTATCTTCGAAGTGACTCGAAAAAGTGATATTCTAGTCATTGATCTTGAACAGACCTAAAAGTCTTTTTCTTTCGATCATTTGAACATGTCATCGAGGTTCACTATGGAAGCTATGGTCGCAGGCTTCTGTTTCCGAAGACTGAATATCTAGATAATCTTTGACTTCCTTGATAGGATAATTCAAACCCGGCTTATCGCGCACAATCCAAACAGGTAGTGATCCTGAATCTGATGATGGCTCCCCGGAGCATCCTGTGGCAGGAAGGAAATCTCTCAACTTATTGGTTGGGATTATCCCGACTGCTACATAGATATCCAACATTGCTTGAGGTCTGCGCGATATTGATGGAAAGATGGCAGCTTGAAGTCACTTCTCTCAAGCCAATGATCGAGGGAGCTGTGGCATAGAAAACCCTCGCTCTGTGTACCGGAAGAAATATACAAAACTACGCTTCGTAGGTGCTGGACTTTAGCTACTTATTGATTGTTACTCGTCTGTTTTTAGCTAAACGAAGAGTATCAATATCGAGACGTGCGGCAGTTCTTCGCGGCGAGCATTAAACCGATACAGTAAATTACAGGAACTAATGCTCATTTTACAGGATCTTTCATTAAGTATGTTTGGACGAATATATAGATTGCATGCTTCGAAAGAGGTGTGTAGGGCTGTGGGAAAATCCAAGGAGAGTAAGTGGTGATATCAGAGTGTCTACTCTTCATAATAATTTTGACTCAATTCCCGTCGAACTTAATATCAATTCAATCTTATTATAACTCTCATCGACAAAACAGATAGACTTCAGCGTCAACACCGAGGATGACGGATAATTGACGAGTCGCATTCGCTTTTTCTTAAGTGTTTGTCTCAGCTTAGTTGACATGACATGCTTCCAGCTATCTGATGTCTTTAGTACGGATCCCGCAATCATATAACGTTGCCTAGGTACCTCAGCTATGCCTAACTGACTAGGTACCCACAAAATGATGCATGCTATGATGAAACATAGCCAACACAGAATCCTAAGCTTTCTTCTAACCAAAGGCTGATGGCATCATATTCAGAATACATACAGTCCCTATCCTCCGACTGTGACCCGAGTATCTCGTATGTCGCAGGAAGGACGTGCTTGGCTCTATGACGTTGGGTCAAACAGTCCAAATCAGGCATTCTGGCAGATGGATTGTCGACTTGACATCACTGGCAGATTCGAGACTCTTCAGAGAATTTACTAGCTCTTGTCTTCTCCACCTTCTTAAAGCATCAAGGGGCACTATTTCAGTCATATTATGACGACGATGTCAATGCCGACGTTGATGATTACAGAACTATACAAGGCGATCGTATAAAATACGAGGAATACACCAATACTTTTGATTCATGACCGCCACTATCTAGCCCACTATTCAATTGACTAAAAATTGATTTATTACGCCTGATCCAATCAATATCAGACATGTTTGGGACAGGGATGGCGGGTCAGTCTCGGTCGAGTCGGCCAGTCTCTCGTTCGCATCGTATACATACGTACTCTATAAATAAATCATAATATAATACACATTGCAATAAAAATAAACCAACGGCCAATTACTCAAATAACTGGATTTTGGTTATACGCCAGGATCCATTTAGTTTATGCATACCTCTGCGATGTATGCATATTGCAGAACAGTAGATGATTTTGGCTTTGGAAACTGCCGAAAAGTAATGAATGCAAGTTTAAACCTGTTTGGTTAACTCGATCTGAGGGATTCCTCCTTTTTTCCTCTCGATCCCACTTTGTAATAACGTTGAAAACGGTCCTGTCTTCATAATAATACAGAGAGCATATAGAATACACGGTAATCTTACATCTCATACAAGCGAAAATTGCTCATAACATCATCAAGAGCAAAACAACCAAATCATAAAGCTTCATAACATCGTAAAAAATGAGAGAAATAAAATGGAAAGAAAGAAAAATCCTCTCACCGGCTTGAAGACAAAAACACACAGTGAAACAATGAAGTGGAAGAAACGGTTGGTAATTTCTTTCTATTCTGAGTCTAGAGTAAAGTCTGCCAGTTCTCCTGTCGACTACCCTGACTGCAATGGACTTGAAAATATTTGCAGGTGAATGATGTAGGGGAAGTTCAAAGTGTATGCAGCATGTGGGATAATCACCATTATCATCACTCGCTCAAGTTGGAATGAAAACAATTGTCAATGGAGATTTCAAATCAGGTCGAGTAAAAGCCAGGCCCCCAAAGGCGACGGGTTCCAATCTAACCATCGGAAAGAAGAATCGAAATGTTGCATCTCGCAAACCACCTAACCTACTAGTAGGCTAGTGTTGGATAAGTATGTACGAACGGAATGTCAAGGGGGGTAAGGGGAAGGATAGGGGAAGGGTTTATTGTGTATGCGTAAATAAAACTCCAAATCCGGCGCCATTCGCTAGGACAAGTTTAGCAAGTCAGGCAATCGCAAATGAAAGGGATCATCTTCCAGCCAGCCTGATGCCGACACTTTTGCGCCTCTCTCTCAAATAAGTTATATGTAACTGACTCGTAATATGCGTAGGTTAAGACTTGCTGGCAACTGGTCAACGGATGATACAGGGGGTGCAGGCTACCATCTGCGAATTTCATTAGCCCGAGGAAGATGCTCAAATGCAACCTTGTTGACATACCCAGCTTGCAACAAGAATTCTTGGTCATTCAAAGAGAGTTACTGTAGACTATGCCCGAGGGCCTCCAGGAGACTGGCTGGCAGATGCTTCAGAACTCCGCTGAGGTGGTGGGCAAGTACCGGTGCGAGCCATGTTGCCCACGGACGAGGAATTGCTCTGGCCGCTACGACCACTGGTGCTGCTCCCTCGGCGTCCAGTTCCTTTGTCTTCCTGAGTGAATGCAGCGATTTGACGTTGGGTGTACTGCAGCATGACTCTGTTGTAGACATCAACTGAGGTATTCGGGTCGACGCTTGTGCCGGTGTCCAAGGATCCTAAGCCTGAGTCACGGCCAGGGACATCCTCGGCGGCAAATTGGAGGTCTGCTGGATCGTTTGGCATTTGGTTCGAATGCATACGCCCCTTCGTCTAAACTCTCTTTATCAGTAAGGTGGGATACTCCTCGTTTTAATTTCATCTTTCTAGAGCCAAAATGTGTCCAATGCATACTATCCATTTTTGATTCGATAATTTTTAGATTTTTTTTTGCGTCAGATACAACTTTGCAGGGCCATTTCTTACATATGCTATGGTGAAACTCAGCGAGTTAGTACACTCGGTGACGGTTTGTAAGCAGTTCGGGGGCCGGATAAAGCACAAGACCTCAACGTGTACTATCGATTTCGTGCGCAGTAGAGCGAGAAAACAGTACGAGAGCAAAGGGAGTCGATAGACAATAGCAAGTGCAGAGATATGCGAATAGACCTATGTTGTCGGAGAAAAGCGGAGAGCGAGTCTGTACGCCAAATGCAACAACGGCAGGAGCAAGTCTTTAATAATAAGTGCCAGATGGGCAGGCACGCAGCGGGCAGCCAACCAACAGTCCCACCGGGAGAGGCTGCGATCTCCTCGCAGCAAAACGTTGGTTTTCGTAGCATGATATCACGTTGCCAAAGCCCTAGGGTCGCCACACAATGAATTCATAGCCCGCATTTTGACAGATAGTCCTATACGGCCGCGAAGTGGGGGCCTGGGGATGTTCATCTCACAGTCTAAGCCAGCTAGCGTGCTCTATTGAGGTCACTTCGAAGACCGGCGGAGCACAAAGTACGGGTTTGCTCAGAGTTCTCCATAGAACAGTCACCATTCCTTACCCAGCTCCACTATCACGCAGCTGCCCACCGATAGTATCCCCACAATTGGTTTGGTGTTCTTCGAGGAGAGGGAAACGATGCATTTGATGGAGGGCGAGTCTACACTTGGCCATACTGGGGAACGTATTTTCCTACAATATTGGCGTCACGGCCCCACAACGCTGAAATGACGGCTCTACCGATATCTCTGGCATCCACTGATGAGATGCCACCCATACTTATCGAAACAAATCGATAGGCAACGAGACAGAAGAAGAGTAAAGCAAGTGAGCTTGACATGGGACAACAGCGTCATGGCAGCGTATCGATGTTAGGAGGATGCCTAAACAACGCTTCTCTAACGGAGCTACGCTGGATTCTTCTTTGGAAGAGATCAATAAAGCTGACATCTGTACGAGAGCATAGCAAGGAGGAGCTACAGTATACCGAATATAGTAAGGAGTATGGAGCAATATCGACCCGGTGACGTCGTAGGTCCTTCGGCTAGCACCGAGCCTGACGTCACCGTGCATAGGTAGCCGGGCGCTAGTCTGCATGCGGCGCTTCCATCCAATCTAGGCCTCCCCGCTATCACATTGCACATATGTAATTACAGAATACTACACACATATACGGATCTGCCTGTATGTCGATTTCACTCAGTGTATTGTATATACAGATATGCTGTCCACTGGCGATATGTGGGTTTGCGCCCTCTCAGGCTGAAAAATGCAACTGCGAAGAGATGATTTATTCGAAATCAGTCACAACCAGAAAATACTAACAGAGTTTAGCCTCCGTATGCCGTCCACTCACATCCGCTGCTGAGGAATCCACCAAGTTGAGATGGCCAATGGTAATATTAGAATTACACCTGAATCCGCTTTCATGCGGAGAAACATTTCCGTTGCCGAACCATATGAATGCTGATGTTCATCCACGAAGCTGATCATTCTTTGTGATATCTGTTATCTAGATTTATTGATTCATATTATCCGTCGTTGGCATCCAAATATGGACTCGCCATGAACCCTGAGCTTCGCTTTTACATACAGCCCACACCGCAAGTGGCCCAGACCCGCTGAAACTCGCATTCCAATCTTGCATGCTGTCGGCCTGTATGCCGTGGACATTGTCCCAGCCGTCTTCAATAGGGTTGTCCGCTCCCAGCATCTCTTCCTGCAGCCTCATCTTATCTAAATCACGAGCAATAGATATGTTAAATTAATACTTGTTCGTTGGGTCCACCCCATGTGACCGACTGTATGTCACTAATTTACTATCCGCGACTAACCGTGATATGTCATGTCAAATGCGAAGCAACTAGCTAAATTAAAGTACCGAGTAGTCATGGCGCATCAGTTCCGACTACAACGCTGTTGGTTGCCCTATCGGGAAACCCGAAGGAAATCGGGTCCGGGAGGTTCACCGTCCCCTGAATTACATATACAAGTGCCGGGTGAAAACCAGAAAACATGGGCTCCACATGTGAGAAGCACGCTACCGTCGTTGATTGCTAAGAAGTAAAGTCTTCATGATACTTTTCCATTCGAACCCGCTGCCTTGGAACACGTGATAGAAACAAGAATGAAAAGCATCAAGCTCTCAAATCCAGATAACAATGCACGCCAAAAAGTTTCATTAAACATATGCATATAACATCTCGGAGTTGCAAAACATAAAACACAAATTGTACGATTATACGTATCCTAGGTCGACGTCAGCTTGTCCATTTCATCGAGAATATCCAGAGGTAGAAAACTCACCTTTCCTCGCTCCCTGGAAAAAGAACCGCACAATAAACACCTGCAGGCCAGCCATAGAAACCATCATCAAACTCTCAATAACACTGAAGTTAAAGATTCGTCGTTCGGTGCTGCGCACTGTGTGGAAATTGCGGTTCTCACGCGTACGGAAGTACTTCTGGTTGCGCGAGATGGTTGAGAATAGATGGGACACCTTTGTGAGCGACTCTTCGACCGCAGTGGCCTGTTCGGGGTTGGCACCTTGTCGGGATGGTAATTCGGTTTTTGCCTCGTTTTCGACCTACAGAAAAATCAACCTCATCAGTTTGTTCCCTCTCTTCTTTCCTCCCAATCCCTTAGTTTCTAGTTCAACCCGGGTAAGTAATATATACCGCGATCTCAAAATCGACCACCTTCTCCGCAAATGTCGACATCTCATTGCTGAAACAGAAGCTGTATTCGCCAATGCTCTGCGCAGTAAACACAAAGTCTCCCTGTCGTTCCTTGGTTCCATCCAGAATCACTTTTTCAAGGGGACCGGTGACCGCATAATCGATATCGAAGGAGCCGCCGGATTGAACCTAGACGTTTTATTCACCAGTCAGTCACGGAGCGATAGAAATGCAATCCCTTTCCCATTTGCGTCCAAATGACATAATTCAAAAAGGAGAGCAAGAGAGCAAGAGAGGGGACAAATTCTCACAGCAAAGTAAAAAGCCACTTTGACATCCGCTTGCGGCACTTCGGTATAAAAGCATGCTTTTTCGTGAGCCTCGAGTTTGTAGGTCAATGCCGTGGCTGACACGGAGGGAATCAGCGTGGCCAAAAGGCCCGTCACGAGGCTGTTAATGCGCATCTTAAATAATATCCCCGCGGGCGATTGGGTTAGGGTGCGTAGTCAGGCAATTTATTTGTGTTTGTCTTTCTCCTGAAATGGCGCCGGCGATATGGACAGCTAGCAGATTAGTGTTTGTTGTGTTTGTTTTTATGCCTGAGGCATTCACTCCGCTACTTTCGGACAAACGTTTATCCATGATACCTTTGATATCAACGGCATCCACGATGAAATGAAGCACCAAGATCGTTTGATCCAGGGATGATTCTTACGAGATCGAAAGGAAGGACTGATCAGGACAAACTCTCTTGTCCTTATCTTGTAACCATATTCGATAAGGCTCCTAGAGGTCATGAGCGTCCTACCTTGCCCAAATTCCTATCAGCATTAACATACCTAGGTAAGGTGACTGATGGGAATTGACGAATGAAGATGTGCTATTCGTCCGTTAATATACCAAAAAAATCCTCAGTGCATAGCGTGTCTGTCAAGGATTTTAACAAATCATCCACACGTCCTTTACACGGCAATTGGCACGACTTAGGTACTCGTGTCCTCGATGGCACGCTACAAACGATCTCGTGCCAGAGTCTAAACCATCTTACTTTCAAAAAGGAAACAAGTTGAGAAAATAAGATTCTTTCAGACTTAGTTATCCCGTGTTAGCTCACAATACTTGCTCGTCAGCCTGATACTTCAATTAAACACTTTGACAGCGTCACTACTATACGTTAGATGAACTCGAATGCCTCATGGCATATAAACCTATCCCTACGAATGCCACTTGTCTGATTTAACCGGAATATTACATTTTGGCAAGAATATCAAGCTCGGACATTTAAGTAGTCACGTATACAAATGATAGTATGACGCAATTATAATCCGATGCTTAATTTCGATAACTACCTATTTCTAACTTCCTGTTTCTGTATAGTCCCTCATATTTTAGCTAAAAGACCATAGAGTTGTCAATAGCAAAGGTAACAAATTTGAAGCGAGGAGCAAGTACCGTCCCTCTCCTCATGCCGTGCCACTCTCAGTATTGGAAATCGTCTCCGTGACAACCGAGCTGTCCTGCTCGTAGACAATATAGAAATTTATGTCATTAGTTGGGGGGCCGTATTCAAACCAAGTGCAGCTGAAGTAATACTCAGAGTAATCTCCAAAACCTGACAACGGGTTGATAACGGCCTTGAGCCACTCTTCTTTCTGTTCCGTGCTAGCAGAATCCCCGTTTGAAAGCTGAGTGCCTGTCTCACCGATGGCAAAAGGAATACCGTATCCGGCAGAATATGTGTCATAAAAGGCTCCATAAGCGCTTTCGAAATCAGGAAGTCCTTCATCAGCGTTTGGATAGTAATCCATGCCTACGATATCAACGTATTCTTCACCGGGCCACCAAGGCGCAACGGGTTCGGATGAAGTGTCGTCATTAGGAGACCAAAACATGAATATCTTATCGTTACTTGAAACCGCGTTATACATGGTCTTCCAAGCAGTTTTGTATTCATCGTAGTTGACTGAAGTTGGGATTGTTAGCTATAGGAGTTCCATCTTTTCACTGCGTGTTGGAACTTATCATAAAACCAGAAGCCCCGGACGAGGAACTGAAACTTACGACCACCAGGATATGTGCCAACAGCAGCATAGTAATTTACTTCGTGCGCGAAACGAAGCCACACCGTCACTCCTTTGCCGTTGAATGTTTCTTCAAATTAGGACGCCACTGAATCACAAAGCTCCCAGCTGATATCGGTCCAGTCCACAGATGGCATCAAAGATGCGATAAGAACAGCTCCCGAAGAGACAATATCATCTACATTGTATTGATAATTGCCATCGTAAGAGCCACTGTCAACGTTTGACGACGTAATTTGAGAATAGACATTGTACCTATGTATTCATGGTAATTAGTTACAGTTGTCTGTATTCTTTCAGTGAGGAAGGAAATACAAGCAAGCCCAAGGACTGTACAAGCTTCTACGTAGATACGAAATATTTACTTACGTGGCGCCCTTCTGCCCTGTTGCTTGGTTCAGGGATGCGAGCGTTACTGATGGTTTATAATTTGGTGCCCAACCAAAATAAATGGAGTCGTAGCTAATCATTGAAGAGGCATCAATTCCATATTGGACACCAAGAGGGTTTTCCAGCTGCGGTCGCTTATTAGTAAATGCTATTTCTAGGCATCTTCAGGATTAGCGTATGCTCGAAATGACATACTCTTTTGTATGGCGCAGCTAGTACTCCTGAGATGAGGGATAGGGCAAAAACAGCCTTTCTCATGTGAACGGCCATGTTGATCGAGGAGTAAATAGAGAGAAAGAATTTGAAAGCTTCGAAGTAACTGTCCTTCGCAAGTCTGCCTGATCTCAAGCATCGGTTAGAAAAGTTGCCGGTATTTATACATTGTGTTATCTCCTATTCCTTCAGCGTTCAAGTTGGTTACGGTCGTATACGAACCTTCTAGTGTCAGGTTACATTAATAGTTGACATCCCCCTAGGTACCTAAATAGTAGGCCTCGTCGGCCAATGATTTGAAGGGACATCTAGGTATACTGTGGACAATAGATGGGGATATGAGCCCTATCCCTGTTTTCTGCGAGCATAAAAATTCCCTACATCTTGCACGCCTGCTACCTGGCTATTTGTGTAACGCCAGCTGGAGAATGGCGCCGGCGCTAAGATGCTTATGTACTCTATAGATCGATATTTCGGTGGTATCGTAGATTCCTACATCTCGCCCCAATATGCTAATTCGGCTAGAGGAATCATGCAAGATCGTCAAGGAAATCGCCGTGGCGTTTGGAACCTTGAAGTCACCTGCCTCTTTAGGCCGCTGCTGTTGACTGATCAGCCTATGACTCGAACCCAGTTGAAATCAGACAAGTATAGCGATATTCTGACATCCGAGATTAAACTCTCCGATGTATGGAGCCTAGATATAGTGCTTACTAGTAAGTAGATGCGACATTACAAGCCAATTGATGTTGTTAAGCGCTACGGCTGTCTTATCCGTTCTACACATATGTAGTACCTAGGTAGTCCGAGATTTTCTTTGCCCCGTCTATTATAATAGCTTAGAGTCAATATAACTAAATAACTCAATACCCCAAAAAGGCTCCTCAAAAGAGCTCAGCGACTAGTCTGCTAATTAAATTCATCGCTGTGCACTGTGCTCGTGACCCATCTTCCTTACATGTCGAAGTTCTGTCAAGTGAAACAACTAAATGACCACAAACTACCTACATGAGTCAAATAGGCACAAATTAATAAAATTCTGATCCACCGTGGAAATGACTGAGACGTTTTGCACGGACTTATATTCCGTGAGAGCTGGGTGGCTGGCATGAAAAGGTCTTCAGGGACATATCGAGGTATGAGAAGTTCAGCCCCATGTTCGAACCTGGGAAGGAGATCTGCAAAGCTACGTCAGTCCAGACTTTTGAGGTTTGCTATGCGAGCATTGTATTCTATATTAGTCTAACTAACCAAAACCTCTGATCGTTCGCGTATGAATCTCTATTCCGAGGGCAATGTCAAAGCCTCTAGGGCTTATATTTTTAAGCTCCACTCGCAGGGACGACGGTATCTTCTTTTGCTGGAAATAGCTTTCCCTTTGGCATTACCATCACAACAATCAACATAATCGCTCCTGATACTATACTCAGAATGTAAACTTTGCTTATAGCATCTGTGATAGCCTTGATAGCTTGTGTCTGAAGAGAGGGATTCAGAGAATCGAATAGGGCGCTCTGAGTTCCCATAATGACGCTCCTGATATCTTCTTGAGAGAATCCCTGCCCGTTCAGGACATGCGTAAGGTTTTTCATTGAAAAACTCTGGAATATCTGGCCCCCTATGAGCAAGCTCACCGTCTGGAAGCCCAGCTGAGACAGATTCTGCATAGAACTGACACGTTGAACGTCCAGATCAGAACCTGTTTGCGCCATTATCGTGATACTCGCAACTGTAAAGCCGAGATTGAAAACCAAGCCAGTTCCAGCTCCGAGCATGATAGTGTACCCGTAGACATTTGCAATAGAAGTATTGGGATTAACGGTGTACATGGTTGCACTACCGACTGTCATGAGGACTCCACCCACCGTGTATAACACCCAGCTAAAGTAGTCAGTTTATGGATGGAAAACAGCGACAACGAATATGGGCTCTTACTAATAGTTTATGCGTGGAAGAAGAGAACCCGAGACCATAGTCATGGACGCAAGGAAAGCGATGAAAGGTAATAGGCGGACGGCAGCCATCAGAGTTGAATCTCCATGAGCAAAGGAGAAATAGATAGGAATGTAATAGAGCGGTATGTAGATGTTGGCAGCGGCCACGGCAGTATTGATGTACAGCAGGACCTGCGTCATGTTGAGAAGAACATGTCGCGGAGGAAACATGCGCGCTTCACGAGTGGTGAAAACGACGAAATATTGTTGGAGAAAGGTCAAAATGAACAGCACTCCAGAGACAACGATTGTTGCGATTGTGCGGCCATCATCCCAGGACCAAGTTGTGCCAGCAAAGGTCAAGGCAATGGTGAATGATACCATTGCTCGAGTGCCCAAAATAAAGCCAACCCAGTCTAGAGCTACGAGCTTTCCGAGGATGGGGGTATCTGATGCGCGACCTGGCTTCACTGAGGGGAGGTAGAATATGTACACTGGTGCACATAAAGCTGCAACAACACTAGGTGTTCTTAGAAAACAGAATTGCGATGGTTTATGCGTTAAGCTAACTCACAGGTTAATGTAAAAAGCCCATCGCCACGTCGCTGAAGAGGTAGCGAAGGCGCCTCCCACCACAGGGCCCAGGACAGCACCCATCCCCCAAGTGACGCCCATGCCCGAGATATAGCGGCCCCTTTCTTGCTCGGCTGTGCAGAGGGCAAAGTAGTTCAGAATACTGATAGAAGAAACATGTTAGCAGAGCGTTCGCCACGTGCTTCTAAGATAAACTGACCCAAGGAAGATTCCATTTCCCCCAACACCGGCTAATGCCCTACCAACAATAAGAGCATTCATGGTAGGTGCTGCACCGCAGAGTGCAGAGGCGGCTTCAAACAGAATGATGCTCCCGATAAACATACTTTTGAGATCAACGATAGCATACAAGGCAGCCCTTCAAGCGGCAAAATCAGCTTTCTCACATCTCGTGCAAGAACTTAGGAATGTCCAACCCACCCAGGTAATATAGAACACACGGAGCCAAGAGGAAAACCAGTGCCAATCCACGTTAGACTTTCGACCTCGCCGAACTGTTCGATAACAGCAGTTTGGATGTCAGCAGCAACAGTGCCATCAAGCCCGTAGATGAGTGCTCCAATATATAGAGACGTAGCAGCAGCAGCCCATTTCCACCCATGTACTGTTCTAGGGCTTGGCTCGAGGCTGGAACTAGAGTCGTCGCCTTCTCTCTGTTGCAGAGACGAGCCAGGTAATATCTGAGATGCAGGGTCGAATTTAAACTCTTGGCTGCTATTGCTTGGTTGACGTCGAGGGTCCTTATGGACTGCATGTTCGATATCTTTTGTAGCTGCCATGTCGGGTTTGGAACACTTCATGACGTGTAGATTGACAATGTTCAACAGAGTGTGTGGAACAAGAGAAATATATATATATGTATATTGTTTCCAGGTATCGAAGGCAATATAAATAATCATAAGTCTTAAGTCTGTTATCTTTTTATTATACACGCAGGTTTCCTTTAAGCTGTGTAGCTCGTAAAAGGGGAGTTAGGGTTGGATATCCACACGTGATCCAACATCTGTCGGCCAATTTGGTCTCTCGGCCAATTTGGCCGAACTCGCTGAGGTTAGTTTGACTACATGCATTAACAAAAGACCCACCTTTCATCATCTTGTAGCAAGCTCAAGCTTGGAATCATTCAGGATATTCACTTTATCATCCTCCGCTGTGCTTCGCTCGACCACCTCGATCACTTACGGTCATGGATTCTGAAGTCGAAACATATTCATCTCCTGGACCCATGTGGTTCTGCGGCTTTTGTCAGAAACCATTCTTGAGAGGTTGGTCTCCTTCACGGTTTTATTTACTGTCATTAAGGAAATTTCAGAAATGTCCTACAAACGACATATTTCATACTGTCGCCGTGCTCAGAATCGCCCTCGTTCACGTTTCAGGTCATGCCGAGCTTGTACTATGGCCAAAGTGAAGTGCAACTTCCAGCCTCGATGCTTGCGGTGTACCAATAAAGGTCTCGAATGCGTGTATGATACGACTGCTGCTAATGCTTCTATTCATGCTCCTACTACAAGTGAGGAACAAATTACCAATGAACAACCAGCAGCAAACGCGTCTCCTGTCTTTACCCTGGACCTATTCGCAATTGGTGACATCAATAGTACCTTCAATGACTTCGGTGCATCCACTGAGACAATTGATATGGACGAAGCGCAAGTTTATGTTGACTGGGATGAGGTCAATCTCGTAGAGAGTCCAGAGACTGACATCCTCTCACAAAGTCCCATGAATAACCTGCCTTGTTTCCAATATGAGCAGGCTGCTAGGCCTAACAGGCAACCCGCTCACAAAGGTACTCCTTGTCGTATACATGTCATTGATTTCCTGACTAACTTTTATGTAGAGAACCTCTTGCTCACTGATCTTCCCTGGTCTGCACTGGGCCCTCCAGATAACAGTCTCCCTGTCATGTCCGAAACTACATGTCTCTCCGAGCTACCATATCGGGAATTTCTTACTCCAATCCCAATACCAAACCCCGTTGCAAAGTTTACTGGTAATATTGTCATGCAGATGCTTTGTGCCTTTCCACAGATGATGCTTCGAAGGGAAACTCTGCCTCCTTTTATACACGGGCACTGGTATCAAACAACAAGTGCTATAGAGCCTGCTCTGCCTAGGCCACTGGTTAATTGCATGGGACTAGCGCAGGTCTTTGCTTCTCACAATCTTGAGACTAGGCTATTTTTGTGGCACACAGGTCGGGCAGAACAACATTCCCTGGCTGAAAAGGTTCAGTCCCTGTTTTCCTTTTATTGCAACTCCTAAGCACTCACAACGGAGAAAATACCAACACCCAATGCTATACTTCTACTTCTGACCGATACACGCAGCCCTGAACGTCTTGTTCTTACAGTATAACGTCACAGCTAACATTAAGCATAGGCAAGTCAGTGCCAATTCTCGAAGGATGAGCACCTCGCAGCAATACAAGCCCTGCTTGTATATATTATGATGCGAGTCATCGATAACTCAAAAATCGAGCCGGACTTAAACCTTGAATTGCTAGTTACTTACCAGGTACAAGATCTTGCTCCTAGCCCAAAGAACTCTTGACTAAGCGATGCAGAGCCTTTGTGACAGCTTCAAAGGTTTGTGTGATGAACCCTTTTACCAGCACGAGAGACTACACCCAAGTTCTAGCTGGGAAGATTGGGTTTTTGCCGAGTCCAGAAGAAGGTAATGTTCAATGCCACTTTTCCACGCACACGCCCATACACATCCTAATGTTCACTAACAACCTAAACCGCAGAACGGCAATCGTGTGGCTTCTAATTACCCAAATGTTCCAGATCAAGATTGGTGTACCTTGCGATAGATTCGAGAGCTTCCGAGATATCCCCCTCTCTTCTCCCAAGTCACTCTGGGAAGCACGAACACGTGCAGCATGGCAGTCGGAATATGAAGTATACGCCACCATGCCGCGGATGGGTTTGGACGTTTTTGGCGACCTTCTTGATGCTTGTAAGCAGGGCGATGTCGGTTTAAACAAGCTGAAACTGCACGCTTGGAATGCCACGGTTGATAATCTCGGCATTTTGCTTAACCTGTGCGCGGAGATGACTTAGAATCAAACGAAACCATTCTTAGGGTTCCCTGGCCTCGTCAATAAAACGTCCCAGAATAAGTTTTATGACACAAATATCGAGCCCAAGCTTGTCCCCGCTCGCAAAATCTAGTTCTGGACCCTAGCGTTCGGTACGGCCCGAAGATGGTAAGGAGCACTATCTCACGAGGTACTCCATATGAACTTGAGATCTGAAGTCCAGAGATCTTATTAAATCGAAGAGACATCGGCCTAGAAATAGCCTCAAATAGGCATGCATAGTCTGCAACTTTGAACAAGTAATATTGGAACTTTGAGATCTATCTATCCCTTGGATCATATACTTCATCCAGTACATGATCGTGACCATCACTCTCAACAATGGAACATAATCGCATACTTTTCCTCGTAAAGTCCGTTTCGGAAAACTCGTAATCCCGAAGTACTAACTAGTAACTATGCATTGGTTACCACAAGACCACCAATGATAACATGTAGTACATAGTATAATGATGACAGTCACATGGCCAAAAAGAAAACGTCACGCCACACGCGATAAAGTGAAACGAAACTCCCCCCAGTGCAAAGAAACCTTTCCTTCGTAAACTTCCAGTAATAACCAACAGCCTTCTTCACCAACCAGCGTACACGTATCCGTAATCCCACAACGCCAGATATATATCTGGTCGTGTTTTATTTGATAAAAAATGTTTCCCCTCTGCTCCAGAAGCTTCTATTCTTATTTACATGGTCAAGTCCCAAGGCGTCGCCAGGCTCTGTGGCCACATCTGAGAGAATATCATCTGGTAGTTTTGCGTTAGCATTTGTATTATCACCCACATGAAAATCATGTCGAGGGAAATTTTTCGCACATACCATCTTCGAGATATTTCGGGCTTGGGTATATCCCTTGAGGAACAACGGCGAACTTGATTTTTTCAAATTGTTTGCCCTTGATGCCAGTCCGTTTTGTTAGTCGTTCTTTTGTTTCTTTGAAAACCTCACCCTGTAAATTGGCTTGTTAGATACATGGCATTGTCTTCTTTGGATCTGGCGTCAACAGCACTTACAGGCTTAACAACGAATTTGAAGGGAATGCCATGTGACTTGCTAGGCTCCCGATCGAAATTGAATGCCGTAATCAGGTGCTCGTCACCTTGCATATTGAGCTCTTCTTCCGGTATTCTCTCCGCATAAAGTGACACATATTCATTCAATCCAGTTATACTGAAGTCTACCCGAAGCTCCTTGTGAATCTTGCCACTTTGGGCCTCATAGACCCTCACGGCTTGCATTGACTCGTCATCGATTTCGGCCTTTTTCTGAAGGGCAGCCAGCAGGTCGCTAACGGTACCAGTTCTAGGAACAAGAACTTCATAGTTGACCTTTGTACCTCAGTCAGCTTCAATTGATACGCACTAGGACACATCTTGCAGATTTACGAACCTCTTTGTTGATACCTTCGGCAAGCCAAGTGACTTTGAGAGTCTTTTTCGTTTCATATTCACTGAGGCTGGTGTCAAGGATTTCATAGTAAAGTGCATCAGGCATGTGCATGCTATATCCATAGCTTCCGTACTGTCCATTCAAGATTTGAAACAATGTTTGATTGATATTCCGCTTGATGGGCTGTTTGGGTTTGCCGTTGGTTGCAAGCACGGGAGAAAACCGCAAGTGACTAGGATCGACGTTCAGGTGCTCGCCGACTTTCTTAGAAAATTGATCGTAAGTCATTTTGCGACTTAAAGTTAAGGTAAAATCGTCTCCTTGTTGCTTCAGATGCGCAAATCTCACTTTCATTCGGTTCAAAAGATAGTCGTAATATTGTCGCGTTTCCGTGTACAATGCATTGGAAGGGAGACTAAGATAAAACTCAAGTTAGCCAATGTAAACTATATATACCATATCTAAGAGTGAACACTGACTCAGTTTCTTTCCAGGACTTCTGGAAAGTAATGATATCTCCGTCCTGTATTTCAGACTGCTGAAATGTTTGCTTTGGTTTCATCGGATCTACCATGGTGTGTTTGATCTCCTTTTGAATGCAAAATGTCGGCATTAGTAAAAAATGCCAAAAGACAAGGAGAGTGGGTGCTTACCTCAAAGAGATGGAACTCTGTTCCCGCAGCCCAGCCCATCTTTTCGAGAATGATAGGCGCAAGATCTGCCACTTTTTGGTTCTTACGAACATGCACAGGGCTGACACCTGTCAATGTCTGGCTAGGTACGTCGAAATGTTTCAAAAAGATAAGGACAGAGGAGCCCGCCTCCGGCCATGACACGGTGCCATCAGAATCAACCTTGCCAACTTCCATCCATACTTTGAGAGGGTTTCCTTTTGTAGCAAGCCGGGTCCAGACATCTTCCAATGTCATGTCTGGGTTTGTAATCACTTGATCAGGGCGAGTAGTTTTGTTCTGTCGGTTCACCATGACCCACAGACGGACCTGTTTCGCATCCAGACTTTTCTCTTCGGCCAGTTCGCGTGCAAATTCACCAACCTTCTTGGACCGAAGAATACGATGTGTCTTTGGCAAGGCTGGGTCGCCACTGGGCAAGTCGGAACTAGTCAGGTCAAAACCGTGATGAGATCGGAAAGTTGTCTCGTCAAGGACCCCGACATTCATGTATAAGTGGGCCTCTTCTCTTTCCTTTCTCCTTCGGACCATTTCTGCGCGTTCCTCAACGAGACGTTTTTCTGGAATGACTGTTAGCGAGCCCGGGAACAACGAGCAACTCCAGATATACTTACCTATATGCGATGGGACATCCTCCGTGGTTAAAGGGAGTAGGACGTCATCCAATCGTGATTTGCGAATGTATACCAACATATACGCATTCATTGAGCGCTTTGTGGATAGTCCTCTGGCATATTGTTGCCTCATAGCAGCTGTACCATTTGATAGATCATATTCTCCGCCAAAATTCTCTTCTAGAACTTCCTTCTCTGTCGCACGAATGACTTTATCATCGTCAAAGCGGTAGAAATGGCCGTCTTTGGTAGGCTTCAAAAAAGCATAATAGTGGCCGGCATTGAAATCTCCACTATGTACTAAAACTCCGTGCAGCTGATATTCCCAGGACTCTGACTTATCTGCTTCGTCTGAAAGATACGGGCTGAGGTCGATGTCCATAGGAAAAGTGTGGCGATCATTGATTTTCATCATGGCGTCGCGGTTGATATCGTATTCAAAACGCTTCAGGTGAAGATGTAGAACAGGCGGAAAACTTTCGAATATCACTCCTTTCTTGGCATCCTGAAGTCCATATGGCGGACCCGCGTCATACTTGTTCTCGCCTTCAAGAGTTTCAACCTGAATATAGTCTTTAAAGCTATCATCCAACGTCTTGTTGCCTCGGACGTTCAGTTGAATGTCCCAAAACTCCTCCACACGCGAGGACTCGTAGTTCACATTGATGCATGAAAGATATGTTTTTGTCTTTCCAACAAAGAGATCTGGGAGAGCCTTTTCGGCCGGTGTCCCTTTCATCTTTTCTTCCAGTCTCTCCATCAGTTTTCGGCAGAGTTCTTGGACATCTTGTTGTTCGAATATTTGTCGAGATTCCCAACCAAAGGATGCGGTAAGTTCCGTGGTTGATACGGCGCTCTCATTTGCTTGAAGGTTGTAAAATAACCGTTGTAGAGTCCACGTACTATTCTCCCTCGTGGCTTCCTCGTCGGTCGGGATTTGATATACAGCCTACAGAGTCAGCTCGGAGAAACAACCCTGCGTTTGCCAGCTAGACCAGAGCCACACATACCTTTCTAAATGCGTTTGTAAAGTACAATGATTGGAGGAGAGAATTGAGATAGCACGTCGCACCTTGGTTGCGCAAACCTACCATGCCAGTTTCTTTCTTTGAATCATAGCTGTATTATGTCGTTAGGATTGCGGGTTCTGCGGTGGGACAAACAGACGGGTGTCATAACATACTTCTGGAAGCTATGCCATAAAACTCCAGTGGGATCTTTCACAATTCGCACATAGGCAGTTACCATGGCCTCGTCATTTTGCACTAACGGCGTCCCTCGGCCCTCCCACTGCATATTGAAGAGCTTTCTCAATTCGCAAAAGCGAGTGAAGCCCCAATCGGCTTCTTCCGCATTAAATCGATGTGTGGCAACTTGACTCCCTGTCAGTAGGAAACACACACGCAAAAACAGAAGACAAACAAAAGAGACTCTTAACAAAGGATTTTGCTGCTTACCGTGGGAAACATATAAAGACGGATCATTTACGTTCCACAGAACCAAGGCGAATTGGACACAGGCGTACCAATTCTCAGGTGGTTCTTTTTCCCATGCTTGTTCGAGATAAAACGAGGCATGGTCGACTTGATTGCCGTAGGGAAAGAAAAGAATCCGCCTAGCACAGGTTAGTACGAAGATTCAGACGACGGGAAGACCGTGCAGCAGATGCACGCACCATGGGGCTCCTCCACATTCAAAAACAGGCCCATGTTCCTTCTTCTTCAGCCTGCGCCAATCTTTTATATGCCACGTATTATAAGCTTCAGCTTCGGTTTCGAGTTCAGCATCCTGAGGAAGGATCCGGGCCATCATGGCGGGATCTGTCAAGCGAACGGCATGTCAGATCGAGTATATGTGATTACGAGCAGCGGGGAGTTAAATCTCGCAATCCTACAAGGGAGGTGTCGTACAATCATTTGCAGCTGGTTCGGACTCAGGCTCGTCCTCAGAACCTGAGCGGGACACGACGATCACATCGGTGCGGTCATTGTTGTTATATTGGTCATATCCGTCAAAGAGCATCTCGCTCTCCCCAAGCTATACACGACGACGAAAAGAGAAAAGAAGATAAATCAGATTAGCAAATGATCTGCAGCTGGGCTAGCAAAGCGAGCGCATGTATGTGGCTATTGGCAAAGGCGGGAATCCTTGAGACTTCCCGGGACAGCGGACATCACAAGCAAGCATCTTAACATAGCAAAGTCGGCTCACTTACATTCTCCATGGAGCGAGTGTTGCCTCCGCACAAATAAAGCCACAATACAGGTGTAGCTTTCTTTTTCGTTCCCAACGGCGACGGTGTGAGCTAGCTGGTCGAGCGATGGGATGGATGGCAAGAAACGCTTTCGAAATCTTGGACGGAGGCTTGGAAAGGCGGCGTGACGATTTACCACAAAGCAAGCGGGCGCTAGTCCGCTTGGCGTTAGCCGAGTCTGCGGTGCTGGGACTGCTGGTAGCCTGGTACTGTACTGTACTTTACCGTACCGGTACCGTGCCCGCGATGACGGCATTGTTTGTGATAATTTATACGGTTGCCCTAGCTTTAACTACTTACATTATCGACCTGACACAACCCAGCACCTCCATGCAAAATCTTTCTCTATTCCCTCTTGATTGTGGAAGCAGCCACTGAAATGGCGGAACGAAACTTTCCAGTACGTCCTGGATCAACAAAGTCATCGAATTCGAGGGCTCTCACGACTTCCCCGCCACCAAGCAGTAGGAGATTGTCAGGAGGTTGAATGAGAAATACATTCAGTATGGCGAGCAAGGTTGGGAAGATTTCGACCGTACATCTATGTACGCCTTTGCTCTACTTGAGTGTGTTGATCCTATGAACACCAGTCGATCTGCATTCATGAAAATCTACATGCAGTTTGTGCTCACTTTCTTATTATGTTTATCAATCATGCACTACAGAAATTCTGACTCCAGAATACTAGGATTCCATATGCAGGCTCAGAAATTTACACCCCTGAAGAGAGGTCTCAGAAAGCATCACCTGAGGCTGAAATCACGAAACACACAGCTCTGCTGAGTCTTACAAAGTTGGGATGTAAATCATCTCCACCGCTTATCAACTGGAAAAGAGAAGAGCAAAATACACTTGGTCTCGTTCCTGGAGGTTTTATTGTCTTTTCGGTGACAGATAAGCTACCTGGACTTCATCTAAGTTATGAAGCTTTCTGGAAACTTTCACGCGGCCAACGTGATGAAATTTGTGATGCTTTCAAGGTAGCATACATGTATGTCCCTGATCTTATCATTGTACTGGATTATCACTCACACTATCTTGGGTTACCTAGGGATTGTGTGAGCCATGGTATTGCCCCCCAGAGGCAAATTTGACACCAACTTACTCTGAGATGAGCACCAAAAGAAAATGTAGGTTTTGCTGGCTTGTTTCTTAGATTTTTATGCATTTTTCTTTTTATTTTTCAGGGAAATTTGAAGTTCACCGTTTTATTTTGTACTTTTATTGTGAGCTTTGAGTCAAGCGATCTTGTGACTGAAAAAGATGCCTAGAGGGTCAATCTCTGGTTGACTTGGGGATTTGGGAAACGTCGTCAAGCCTCACATTTGCCACGACCATTACCACCTAGTGCACGAGACGATGGCAGTCTAAATGAGGGAATATGGGGGCTCTGAGAAAAGGTCACGGGAGTCAAGAATAATGTTCTTCTAAGATAGCAAAATCTCAGTTTAGCTAGAGAACCTGAGGCATTAAAGCCCCCACGCGCTTCCTTTGTAGTCCTATTCACGCCAAATCCACGTTTCCCTTCATCCTCCTTACAAGCTCTTGATGGCACGCGTCAAATTCATTCCCCATCGACCTGAAAATTCTCAATCTGAAGCCAGTGGCATTGGGGAAGGGTTCTCTGGCTCTCCACACCCTCACTCAGCCTCTGGGCAACCTCACAACGCCATCTCAAATGTTCAGAACTCATCTAACCTACAGGAGACAATGTCAGATGGGAATCATCGAAACAACCAAACACCAGCAGTCAGATCGACTGGCCCAAATGAAGCATCAGCCGGTAGCATAGCAGCTGCAATTTCTGGACTACTTCTCTTACGTTCAAGGTTTCGTCGAAATGCAGTATCCGAATCTAGTGGTCCCTTGACTCAGGTGTAAGTCTGATGTCTGTTCAATCATTGTTGTTGTCGTGCTAACCAGAAGTTTCAGGCGGACCAGGGCGAGTATCATGCGGGATACTTCAAGCAATTCACAGCAAGCAGTCAACCAAGGAGGAGTTCAGCGTCCGAGACAGGCAGAACGGAAGCGCGGCGCTGGGAGAAGCTCTACTGCTCCCCAAGCAGCATCCAATGCGTCGCCAAGCATAAATTTCGGGGCTGGAAGGCCTGGGTTCACTGCCTTCCAGGGTATCATAAGGCACGCTCACATAATTTTCCACTTTGCCAATTGCCTCGACATTGACGACCTCATTGCTCTCTATTCCATCTCAAAGGATTTCCACGATATCATCGACTCAGCCATGACTGCGGTTATCCTAGCTAAAGCCATGCAACATGCCCCAACTGCAGCAACGATTTTCCCATTCAGATGCTACCGTAAGCTCTGCATCGATGATCCTTTGGTAGAATTGGATCGATCTCGAGGCCACTCCCGTCTAGTGCCCTCATTCCGCTGGTTGCGCATGGTATGCTGGCGTGAGCAGGTTGCAAAGAAAACGTTCTGGCTCTTCAACAATGAGGGCCTCTGGCTTCCACGGGAGTGCGAAAGTGTTATCAAAAAAGTCTGGTTCCTCATGGACATTCCAGATAACCAGCGGCGCATGGCTACCATTCAGAATTCCGATCTATGGACTACATCAGACCTCTTCCATGCAATCATGTTCTTTATGAGGATTGACATGCGATGCATCAACCCGATCGTCCCAGTGTCTCACGGCAATATCAGACGCATGCTACTAGCTCAGCCCACAATGAGTATGCTCTATCGCGTCATGGCACGTACCTGGCTCACCGACACCCACGAAGCCCTCCAGACATACCTTCGATGGAAATACAGAGCTACTGATCGTGAGAATCACCCTCTTTTTGGCGTACCGAGGTCTGAGTTGGGTAGAATGCAGTATGAAGGCTATGGGGTTGGGGGTAGTCGAGTCAAGCTCCAGCGGCCAGACGAGTTAGTTTTGAAGGAATGTGTTCGTCGAGGATTGAATATACAGCCCATCTTCTTCCAGATCATGAATTTGGCAGGACCGACATCTGACGTGGAGGACGTTGTCATGACAAATGCACCTGCATAGCAGTCGGTCGTTGGCTACATTGTGTTCACATAGTTTACTACTGGACCAAAGATTGGGGTGGGCTTTGAAGCATGTGAATGTTAAAATGCAAACCGGCACTGATACATAGTCAAAGCTCGTTAGCCTTTCTGATGGGTTCTAGGTAGACGAAATACTTATGGAATATTTCACTAGAGTAATGGCGACTTTTGATTGATGCAGTTGAATTAGGTATCAAATTCAAAAATGTAGCTCTAGTATCCTGCACTGTTACCTCGTCTCGCAGAGCCCCAATTTCCAGGCAACAAGGCGACAAGTGTGTACATCCCCGCATGACTCTTTATCGTTATTCTCCGCTCTCGCTTTTTGCTAACCACTCACTCTGAATCACAGAGCCGTACATTCCAGCAAGTCGAGGCCCTTCTCGAAATATCTATCAGAACTCTTAACAGCAAGCTGGTTGATGCTCTCAATTTAAGAAATCAGCAACCCCGCACCAGTACAAACATGGCTGACGCCGGCCATACCTTCTTCTTCTATGGTAAGAGCTACTTAGAGAGAATATCGACCTCTGACATTTATAGATATATATACTAACGATTATATTACTTACCTGGCACTATGGTAAAGGCACTCTCATGGTCCCCGCCATCCTGCACCGCATAATCCACGGAAGTCCAACCCCTGAGCCATGGCAGAAAGCACTTATAACCACCCGCCCAGCTCTCCTACCTGGCTACCGACGCTATCGTGTCATAGGTGCAGACTATCCAGCCGTACTCAAGTTACCATCATCGTCAGAGGAGGCTGCTGCTTCTTCCGTGCTTGGCGTTGTCGTAACCGGGCTTACGGAGGGTGATATTATTCGGCTCGACTCTTTCGAGGGATCGAAGTACACGAAGCGCCCCGTGACAGTCAAAGTTGTTAAGAATAGCACTACTACCAGCAGCCGGGATGCAGCGGAAGGTGATGATGAGAATGACAATGTGGCCTTGCAGCGCGGACTGGCCGAGACTGCTCATCTAGCTGATGGATCCGTGACTGACACGGAGGAGGTCGAGGCGACGACCTACGTGTGGACGGATCCGGAGTCTTTGCTGGAGTTGAACTCCGAATGGGATTTTGAATCGTTCAAAAGGGATAAATTGCAATGGTGGATCAATGCTCCGGAGAGTGAACTGTAGCACACTTGCCCATGGATGGATGTTTTCGACGGAATGGATAAATTTGGACCGGTCTTTTTGCTGGAGTCTCGACTACACCATTTTTCCTTCATCCTTTTTAGATATAGAGCCGAAAGACGTGCTGTCTGTTGAAAACAAATGCTTCATTAAAGACATGTTGGTATCTGAAAATACAAGACTCCTGTAATGCTACCCACACAGCCCTGGTTGAGATTCAGAGAATCTAGAATAAAACCTCAACCTCGAACGCGCTAACCATGCACAAAGAAATTTTGTTAAAGGATTAATATGAAAAAGAGAAAATAGAAGGGGAAAAAAGATTGGAGTAGAAGAAGTATGGGAAATAGAAGACAAATCACATAGCAACATGTCTCATGGATGCACGTATATAATTCAGAGAGTTCCACATCATTAGAAGCCTTTCTTCCTAGATTTACCTCGTCTAGGACTAGACTTTACCTCTTCAGTCCTTTCCGTTACCGGTGGTGGTGTCCTAGGTACCTGGATGGTAGGGATTTGTACTTCTATAGTATTTTTCGGTACAGGGATCTCCTGGCTCAGAAAATCATACATATCATCGAATATATCTGTCTCAGCTTGGATACGCCTTTCAGAATTCGAACCAGCTTCGAAATTTGACGTAGCTTGTGCAGGGGAATGACCGGGTTTCGCGGATTTTGTAGTCGATTTACGTTCGAACGTCTGGGGCAGCTGAGCCACTTTCTTCCCATGATGGTCCTCGGTGGTATTGCCTGTTCTCTGATGGCCATCTACCTTGGATTCATGCTGGAGCTCAGGCGTCGTCAGTGCGTCTTGGTTCTGTCTCAACTGCGTTTCTCGCACGACGGCTTCACCAGTAGAATCATAACTCAAAGCCGGATTATCATTTGTATTAGATTCTTCCTGGATAGAGCCAGGAACAACCTCAGACTCCGCAACATGGGCAGATCTTGCAAATTCCACGTTATTAGCTGGCCCCGTATTTGATGGTCCCAATAGATAAGATACTGGTCGCGCATCAACTAAAGCATTGTCTCCAGAAGTCTCTTGTTCTTCGTGTAACTCAAAGAGAAAGTCACGTAGTCTCCGTCGCAACAACCCGGACTTCAAAGCAGGCCAATCATCTTCTGCGCTCATTTCCCTTTGAAGCAATTTTCTAATAAACGCGTCGGGATCCTGCACGAACTTTTCCAGGTATGCGAGCAGGTAGAGCCCACAATCGGAATAATTTGGTTGCAATGGGATCTCTTTTGCCGTCATACCTTTGATATCCTTAGTAGAGAGCTCCAGGGATTGTTTTGCACTAGCTTCCTCCAACAAGTAGGATCGCAAGAATTTTACAGCCGGACTTCTTCCCAACCCGAGGGAGTCGAATGTGACAATAGTTGGCTGATCAACGGAGTACAGCGGGCCTGTTCTTTTTGGTTTTTTTGCCTTCTCGGGGCCTTTCTTAGCTGATTTCAATTCAAAACCCCCAGAAGATGTTTTGTTTTGAAATGTGGCAGGCGGTGTGGCGTGGTTTTCTTCCTTCTCTGGCCACTCATCATCAGAGTCGCGCACCTGTCGGGATTGTGAACCAGGCATATTGGGACTAATTTTCATGGAAGCAAAGGAATCACGGGCGCTTTCCTCAGGAGTAGACCTCTCATGGGGCGGAGTCTCGGGAATTTCATCATTGTCGATTAATTGCTGATGCAAGGTAGTCTTCTGAGATACATCAGGCTCAATATCCTCTTCACATTTTTTCAGGAAGCCAAGATTGCAGATTATTGCCAGATACCAATGGGCATTCTCATTGATAGGGACGATAACATAGTCATGGCTGAACAAATCGACATTTCTAGTCCATTTTTGTACAGCCTCGTAATTGACGCCCTTCTTCCCCTTTGGAGAGCTCGTGAGAGTCGCAAAAAAGTACGAATTGAAAAAGTAAACCCGTTTGGCCACCTCCGGATTATTTCGTTCAAGATGATGTTCCAAGAAACGAAGGTAGAAGCCTATGAGGTTATCATTTAGAAATTCACCATCGCGTAAACGCTCAAGGTCGTAACTGTCGACTTCCGCCTTCTTCTTCCCCTCGCGTGGATACACAAGCGGCTTAGACCAAATGCCATTACCGGAGGGAACATTGTATGTAGTGGTGGCGGGCTCATTTTCGACCAAGTCTACTAAAGCTTGGCGGGTCTTGGATCGTGTTTGACGGTTTTTAGACGAAGCTTGGTATTTCTTCTCTTCATCATTCCCAATTGTTCGACCTGAAATGGACTCTGATTTTGTGTTCAAAGGTACGCGGCGTGATGGCTGTCTGATACCACCGGTAAAATAATCCTCGCCTTGCAATGTCGCCGATAGCCTTTGTCGCTTTGCTGGCTCAGGCTGTCCATCGTTTTGAGACCCAGGACTTATCTCTGCACTGGGTCGCTTGTCACGACGCGGCTCAACCTTCAGCACGTTATTGAAAGCTTTGTCCATCCAGCTTCTACTGCACCGTTAGTACTGCTATAAATTTCTCATGGAACACGTGTAGGTATATTCACCCTTGTTTCATCAGAAGATTGATGCCTTTCTTTTTGAGCAAAGTGCAAAGCTGATTTTTGTCTGCTTCATTTCCGAATTCAATATCGACAGAGTCATGGTTAAAGGTACCTTCGATCTTTGAAAGTTTGAAGCGGCATTTCAAACTGCCATCGATGCCTATCAATACTTGTACAACTCGGTGTATAGGTATAGTTTTTGAGAGGGGACGTTGGTCAGCAGCAAGCAATCCGATGGTATTGTTTGCTCCGTCAAGGAACAGTTGCATGTTTCGATCTTCGACCTCAACATCGCCATATCTGAAAAACTGGATTTCGAAAAGGTGTCGATGTGATTTTGCCGTTCGTTGAATTTTAGACTGCTTTTTACCTGGGGTTCTATTCGATGTATTGAAAACTGTCGGTCGAATATCATTGGGAGACTGTCTTCGATTTATCCGTTTGACATCTTCGTCGCGGTCGTTCAGAGATAATTCCGACTTGACACCCCGTTGATGTGAGCCGAAATGTCTAGAATACGTTCCAACAGTTATATCCTTTTGTAGTTCATCTGGGCTCTCGCTACCATCTGAATCCCAGTGATCGCTATTCGAACGCTGAGCTATCTGACTTTTGAGCTCAACGTCGTCTGCTGCTGCTGGCATGCCATCGTCGTTGCTTTCGACATTGAGAACAAACTTTGATGCCTTCTTAGACTTTTCTCGTGTTATTTCACTTTTTGTTGAAATAATAGTACCAGATCGTAGTTCAGTACGGTCATTTTTTTCGGTCGATTTGTCTTCCGCTTCAGAATAGTCATCCTCCGGTACCTGGAACACTTGAGTAGGGTCTTTTATAACTTCTTTCTCATCTCCTATCTCTGCGCTAGCAATTGAAGGAATTCGGTTTCGACGCCATTCTCGTCTGTCGTTATGAGGAGATAAAAAATTGTCGTCGTCTGCATCTAAATCAATGACCTGATCTGATGAATGACGGCGTTTTTTCATTGCTCGGTTCTCATCATCGAATAACGTAGGCGAGCTCAGTGGATGACGAGATGGAAAACGCTGAGAATACCCGTTAACATTCGAGTTTTCCCAGGCACGCACAGGGCCGCTGTCCTTCCCCTTTGGCGTTATGAGATCAACAGGTCGGAATCCCGCATGTTTCTGAAGTGTCAGGACCAAATTAGCGTTTAAATTGACATTTTTACGTTGTTAAGACGTACGTGTACTCTAGATTTCGCCGTATTGCCGAATGTCTGCCCCGGTTTGATCAGGACATCGTCGTTGGATTTTCTAATCGTCAATGGTGTATTAGAAGCAGCTCTGAGAAAGAGAGAGAGCCTATGTACCTGTAGCTTGGGAATAGCCTGCCCTCATCCGAGTCGGTTTTCACTCGCTGCCGCATTTCCGACCTGGCAGCCGCAGTTGTACCACTGTCCGTGCAATCAGCGTCAATCCTAGAATATCTCAGCCTGGAGATGCAAGCTCACAAGAGCCGTCGTGAGATAGAAGACTGTTCTTTCACGTCAGCATCAACTCCTTAAAGGATCTATTTTAGTAGGCAACTAGCAGCAAAGCTAGTATACGGAAAATGTAATTTTGAGGGGGGCGCTGGTGCTATTTCACTCGAGAAAAATAATAAAAAGGATACTGACAGCAAAGTTCCTGCCCACAACATCTGAAAGCGAACTGCGGCTTCTAACCCCGGGGATCACCTCCGGTTCTCTTGTCTCCTCCACACCATGAGACGCGGGGTTATCTGAGTTGTCTGGGCGTTTGTCGGTGGACTGTGGTGATCGCGGGAGATAGTGGGTGAGGTTGGAAAATAGTTGCATTTATTTCATGCAATTGGCTGTCTGAATAAAGTATTACGCATGATAGTTATGTTGCACTGAGCTGCAGCTTGAATCGGGTCTGTTCGAAAGCCGAATGTTTGTCGACAGTAATGATTAAATGGAAGACATGAGTGCAGTGGATGCTCATCGCTGCACACAAAGGCGGTCAAGTTCTGCCGTGGTAGAGTCGCCGCCTGGAATAGTTACAACTTGCGCAAGTTATATACCCTCATTCTCTTTTCTTTTCCGTTCTCTTTTCGTAAAAAAAGGCAAATAAGGAACATATTTTCGTTTCAGTCATAATACAGTTACAATTCCACTATCCAGTCGACATGAAAATAAGACATTCGTAACACACATCCTCCATAAAGCAAGTACATCTTGTCAGATGCAGCAAGAATCAGCGAATACAATATAAGAAGCCCAACAATCACTCCGTAATTGCTCAGAATATGATGTATTTCCAGTATCCCCCACTCGTAGCCATTCGATCATGCTGCCAACCCATCCAAGTCCGGAAATCAGAAACGAAAAAAAAAAAAAAGCAGGAATGACCCAAAACCCGCAGAAAACGTTGAATCGAACACCATGTGTTGAAGAAATTTTACTATACAGGGCCGTATCAACCAGAGATTACCACCTTTTTTTTTGCAGAGTCAAAAATACCAAGACGCCATTCATTTGCTTCTATCCGCAAAAGACTCCTCGTTGTTACCACCCCTCCGGCGCTCATTGCCTCCATGATGGTAACCATGATGGTGAGTAGTGTTCGACGCAGCTTTCTCTTGTCTAGCTTGGTCTATAGCCGACCTTTGGGCGATACTGTCATCGTGGCTCTTCCAGACTATGTTGGTGTCTGCTGGTAGAACCAGCAATCGTTTTATCGTTTCTCTATAAGTAGCAATGAGTAACTTGGCAGTTGATAAATACAATCTATCCACGGGGAATATGTATACCTTATCTTGATATTTCGTCCGCCATCAATTCTAGTCCACACACTCAGCACATCTTCGCCGCTCCTGACGCTCAAGACTGCACCGCAGACCTCGTCTCCGGCCTCGGCGAACTGGTCACCGACTATAGCCAAAAGGAGGTCCTCCCAGTAGCGATCAGCCACTCCCTTTTTCAAGCGAATGATCCATTTTCCACCACGCTTGTTAGCCTCATCCTCCCAAACGGGGCGGATGCCTTTCTTAAAGATGTGATAGTCCGAAACGGTAGGAAGGAGGGAAGGACGCTTCAGATGCGAGTAGATCGACCAGAAGCTTTCTACAGACGATATAGATGCGAGAGCAATAGTTGACTTCTCGTAGTCAGAGTATTTCGGAGTTGGAGGACGGTACCAGACAATCCACGTTGATTTCAGTGGATGATCTTTGGTTGTTGATGTGGAGGCGGTATCTAATGATGAAGAGGAAGATTTGGAACGGATATTTCCTGTGGTTGCAGTATCCTGCTCGCTTATATCGCGCTTATCTTTGGCCGAGCCGAGGTCGAAGGCGCTTCCTGGTGTTTTGGGAGTCTTAGTGGACGAGCCGAAAGAAGCAAATGCGCCAGAACCAAGTCCGAAGGCGTTTGATGCACCTGCGGATGGAGATGAGACACCGCCAGAGAGGGGGGATATGACGTTGAAGGGATTAGATCGTCCGTGGGAACTGTCGGGTCCGAAGCGCTTCGATGAATGGGTCCGAGGGAGCTCTGGTCGTGAGTTGCCGTCTTTGTCACTGGCTGTGGACAGAGACAGCTTGTTTGCGCTACATGAATGCGCACTGTCAGTAAGCGGAAACTTTGAGTATGACAGCAGCAAAGATACTGGATATCAGAACTGAAAAAGCGGGAAAAATAGAAATAAAAAGAATACGCACTTTGATCTCCGAGTCCACAAATTTGCTTGATCCATCGAGACGGCGGCTACGACAGCTCGGAGAAGTCAACGATCATTCGATTGCTCAAAAGCGAAGCAAGCAGCACCGAGCTTGGGGTTTTGACAGGGTAAGCGAAAAGACGGAACACCAATATTCAATAGCAATAGCGGTCAATTGGCGGCGTCGTTTGATTCAGGAATATTCAGGGTGAGGCTCGAGGAGGACGGTATATAAATATTCACGAAGCTAAAATGGAAGCGAAAAGGCGTGGGGGAGTCGTTGGAGGCGAAGGTAGTCAAGTTTTGCGAGGGATGCTTGCAGTGGGATGGGATGGAGTTGGATTTATTATTGGCCTGAGGTGTTCGAGAAGCCTGTAATTTATGTATGGATCGCGTATTGCGGTTTACCGGCATAATTGCTGGTCTTCGCCGATCTTCTGCCGCACCGTTACGGTAAGCGTAAGCGCCAATCGGCATCGTTCTGCCCCGGCTGTCCGCCCGACCAGCCACTAGCTCCACTTGGACTGCAGAGTATTTTTTGAAGATTTCGCTCGCTCTTTTTCTTCCTCCTTTTCTTTTCTTTAACAAAAAACCCAAGACCACCGGCTTAAACTATCGCCAGTTCTCTACTTTTTACCACAGCACTGGTGATTTCAACGTGTGTGTCAAGATTAATGGCTTTAAAGCCAACTACGCATATAAAACCATCATCACGAGGGCTACCTTACAGCTTCCCATGATGCGTTGATGACCTGAGTGACGGGACAAGCCTACTTTATTTTTTTTTAATTCTTATATTTACAGCTAGCATACTATCATAGTCGCTGGGGTATACGATGATACTGCGGTTTTGAATGAGCATAATTCGTGGAAACACCTGGGGTCCTGTGGTATGTGTATTTCTCTTCGTCTTCAAAGCACTCAGATGAAGAATCATGAGCATATGGTAATTTGAGCCTCAACCGCACATTGTTTTGCACTCACCTTGTTGTTTGTAAGGCTGCTGGTTGAGAATGAGATGTCAAGGCAAAGTCTGATAATGTTTTTGTATTCTGATGAAAATATATCACAATTTGCAAAAGCTCATCCGTGGCTAACTAAAGCTTCTAGAGGCTACAAAGACAGCTGCCGGTAACCTATTCGCACAATCCACCTAGCAGATTTCCATTTTTGTATGTCGTTTTAGGCCAAGGACTTGTCGTGAAATCAATAATAACATAATATTATATTTTCTCACTATGTACAATTAACACTGATATAAACTACTCTGCTCCTAAGCAGGGCTTCTTTCTTTGCCCATACTTCTGACCCGCGTATCACTAGACTCACACTTCTCCAAATGAGTGTGCATACACCGTGCCATCCCGCAGTTCATGTATAAGGCCACTACCTTGAGGTCCGAAGTCCGTGTATCTCCGCCCATCTCTTAGTTCGTGTATTGTGATCCGGCGGTGGCTCTTTTTCCGCCGTGCACGAGGTCGAGAGACCGATCCGCTTGCACGCGAATCTAGACTGCCTGCATCACTGGAGGCTACCGTAAAAGGCGAAGGTTGTTTGTCTTCCTGGCCAATTGAGAGTTGTAACATGTGATCAGCCGCCATGGCAGCGCCGTCCTCGCAATACCAACATTGCAGCGTGTTTACGTATGCATGTTCTCGCTCGCCAAAAGTCATCATTGGATTTGTGACGCGAGATTTGTCCTCTACGTCGCGGAAAATAGCCCAATCACTGCCATCAACGCCTAGGAGCTTTAATGAACCATCGAAGCTCTGGACCTCGAAATTATGGAGCATGATTATGTCCCCTTCAGCTATTGCAGATATAGATGATTCGTAAGGTTGAGCTATATCCACAACGATTGACGTACCTGCCATAGATATATCGGTTATTCGAAGCCTTGTACGGTATTCTCCTGAAGCAGGTGCCGCGGGTTCAGCGGGTGATATGTCCACAACTACCGAGATAATATCGATCGTCTTATTGAGCCACCCAAGAAGCGTAGCAAGAGTAGGATAGACTGTCAAGTCACGCACCGGGAGCTCGTCTTGTCTCTCAAAATTGTGCGGCTGGTGTGTATCATCTAGGCTTGGTTGCATAGAATCATTCTTCACCAGGACTACTTCATCAAGGTGCTCTAAGGCATCATCGTCCTCGCCCGTAATGCTGTGGGTTGCAAATTCTTCATCCAAAGATCGACTGTCGGTCTTCTGAGTGTCTTCATCTGAACCATCAGTCCAACGACGATAGTCTGTATTCAAAGGAGTCTCGGATTGAACAACATCTGATACAGATGGAGACCCATGATCATCAGAAAGATGCGCTTCGATACCTACAGTTGTGTACAACGGTTCGTCGTTAGGAGCCGAAGAGGGTGTAGGCACTGGTTTCGGCGACGCAGTTCGATACACCAGTCGCTGGGTATTAGTGGTTGAACTCAGATCATGCTCTTGGCCGAATATCTGACTGCCTGAAACAAATGATTGATGCTGCTTGAGTAATGGATCATTTTCATCACTCTTGGCAAGAGCCGCTTCGCCACCTGTAGAACGGATTTGTCTTTGCTCTCCAACCACTCTAAGTTTTGTCTCGAGCGCGAGTCTATCGCTCAAGGCCTCATGTGTCGAGTTTGTTCTCGCGGTGTCCAAGTTCATGGTATCCTGGCCTGGCCTGGCTTCCCGAAGCCGAACTATACTCTCAGCATTGCTTTGCTCAGTAGGGAATTCCCCTCTATCGCCGAAACAAGTCTCCTCATCTTCTGCTTGCTGTAAACCTTTGCTAGGGGATTCTTCATTCGAACTGTAGGCACCATGAACTGGCAAATCTTCATAACTATGGTGCTCGTAGTCGTATAGATCGGCATCGCTTCGTAACACGTCTGCATCACGTTCTTCGTCTTGATCTTCGGCATCGCTGAACTCCTGTCGCTCCCCTTGCGTATATTCATCGTACTGGTAAACCTCACTTTCATGAATATAAGGTAAAGGACCAGAATTATGAGATGCAATTCTTTCCTGCATGGCCGGACGTGCATTCGATTGAGGAGGCTCATCATCGCTATCGCTGTCTATTACAATGACTTCTGGATGAACAATTGGCTGTGGAACTTCTGGCTCTAAAACCGGTTCGTTATGGAATTCATCATCACTTTCCACTTCAGATTCAATGTCAGTCTCGAATTCGGACATGAGCTCCTCGGAGTCTTCGGCGTCATCAGATAAATCTGTCTCGTCCAACTCAATTTCATCCTTTTCGGAATTAGTATAGTGGCCATGTTGAAGATTCTCGGCTTCGGCTTTTTGCATGTTGGCCGAAGCTTCCTCATAAATCATATCTTCAGATTCTGAATGCTGAGAGCTATGGTCTCTACCTCTCTCGGCGTTCAAACCCGTGTGATTTGTCAAGCGTCCACTACTTTCTTCAAGTCCATCGTCTTTGTCTTCTTCGATCTCTTGCACATCTCTCAGTCTGTCGGTATCGATGGCTATTTCATAAATGTGCCGTCGCTCTCCCGGTTCACTTTCTCCATCCTCTTTCATAATAGTTTCTCTGCTGGTGCCATGATAATCTGGAAGGTCTAATGGGTTTGCGGTATCCATCGAACTAGCATTAATTTGCTCTGTATGTAAGACGTGTGGTTCTGAAGCGGCCGCAGGCGGGGTGCTTTGTCTGGAAGATCCATGGTGACTAATGGTGGTGGCAGTAGTTTGTTCTGAGTATTTTGACCCTACTTTTGATTCGATATTCCCGATGCCTGTGTTTTGAACTTGTGCATTCGTACCGTGCATTTCTACACTGTCCCGGGGCTCCGCGTTGTACACATCTGGGACAACAGTTGACCGATCATTGTGTCCAAGGAAGTCAGTAACCGTTAAATTAGAATGCCAGTCATATGGATGATGAGAAGCTTCTGCAGTCGTAGATACGATGGGCGAGGCCGTTGCAGGATCAGGAGAGGTAAGATGATTCAAGTGTGGAGTTTCTGAAGGAAGCAACGTATTATGTAGAGTGGGCTGGATAACAGTCTCTTCTGGCGAAGATGCTATGGTTTGAAAGGGTGTGTGCGTGGTGTTCGCGGGCGTAATTTGCGTTTCAGACCCAACAAGTTGCATATCACCTCCCGGGGCACCTCCAGCAGGAGTTGTGTGAGATATGGTCTCCACGGAGTTTTCAGCTTCACGTGCAACTTCGGTGGCATTTCCATCATCCTCCTCATCGTGATCCAGTCCTCCTTCATCAGAATCAAACCAGTTATCGTTGTTTTCGTGAAGTTCTTCCACGAAGCTGTCGGGCTCATCCACTAATCGCCATTCACTGCTCGGAAAGCTAAATCTTGGCCTTTTTCTACCCTTGCCTGGAATGTATCCATCGTCTTCCGCGAAGAGGTTGAATTCGGAATATAATGGGCTACGCGATATGAGTCTTTTCGTTCGCAGAAATGCAGGTGTTTCCCACCTCCCCTGAGATAGGTCCGATGTGGCGAAACCATCGTTGAATTGTACCGGAGTAGAGAGCTCAGTAGCTAAATCGCTTTCCCTGGGTAACGAAGGTCGGTCGATATCAAGAGCAGCGATTTTTTCACCGTTTCTCGTTGCCTGGAGGAGACAGCATTAGCGGGCAGGTCAACAGGGTTTCATATGCTTTCGTACCTCAAATTTCAACCGATTCCTAAACTGCAGCTCCCAGCTCAGTGATTTTCCCGGAGTCGACTGAATTTTTGTATATTCTGCCCATTGCGCTCCTTGCAAGCTCAAGGTAACTGTGTCGCCAATGCCAACCTTGGTGAGGGCGACCTCTTCTGCGCATAACCCACAAAAAGTGACTCTTATCTGCCCGTTTTGCTTTCGCAGTCGGAAGTCTCGCTCGGCGAGCAGAAGGCTAAACAAGCGATTTGAGCTTGAGAACGGCCAAACGAGAGTAACGACGGCCTGGAAAGAGTACCGGTCCGCATCGTGCAAATCTGGAGACAACTGTGGTATGGATATCAGATTCGTTTGTTGGTCAAAGTCATGCGATTTCGGAGTACTTCGCATATCCATAATTGTAGGGCGTTTGTTGGTTCGAGGCGGTGCGACGCTCGCTGGCGGCTTGCTTGGGCTTATACCATGACTGGTGTAGAGAAGTTCCTTCCGCATTCATCAATTGAGAAAACACAAAGGAAATATGGACGATGTTTGAATGAGGTTCAAGTATCACAACCTGAACATGGCAGAAATCAATAGTACAATATAATACAAGGGGAAAAATATACCGAAGTCTGGCAAGGAGTGGAATGGAAAAGGAAAAGTTGCTTATTGCGTGTGGTTTGTCGTCACTGCGGAAGGGAAGGAGCTCGGCTTGGCATCTACACTCTGCTTCTCATATATAGAGAGCCAAGTATATACCTGAATTGCTTTTTATCTTCTGCCAGGACAATGTATCCTGTTAATGGCTGCTATTCAAGGTACGCAATGCATTCACCCCATCTGGAAACAAGTCGGCAATTACGGTGGCGCTTTCGAGAGGACATGCGACATCACAGAATGGTGGTTACGTTTTCATTGAAGGAAAAAATGTCCTATGTCGACCTCATATTACTGGCTTTCCGAATTCCTAACAACATATCATCCTGAACGTCATGGGAAGAGGGGCCATATGCGGAGCAGCCGCCGGCAAACTTGTTTGCATCGTTCGGATAGAAACAAGATGCACTGGACATAAGAACAGACTGTTGGCATCTGGGCAGGGTAGATAGGAAGTAGGGTATTAAGTGCATGTCGTTTGCTGGGCAAACCCTGCCAGGAAGCTTGCATGATTCCTCACCAGGTTTGTAGATTATCAGGCATTTTTGTTTCACTGATCTACCTAGGTATATGAAGCTTTCTGGGACTTCAAGCTTTGTGATATAGTAAATAGTCAAGTAGAACAGTTACACGACATAATAATCAACTAGATCCAAAAATCTGTTTCTAATAAGGTGACCACTTTAGCTTCAAATTCTGCATATAAAGTGACATGTAAATCTTAGTTCATGGTATGGGGTGATTATTTTATGAAGAATATAGTTAGTTTTGCATTGAAAATTCCTCGCCATTTATTCATTCATAAGACTGATTACTCAGTGGCACAAGGATTTCTCACATGATTTTTTATTTCCATCGGGCGGATGTACCTACATCCTTGCAGATTTGACATTACATAGTGTGCGGATACCACCTATGCAAACCTTTATTCTTGACTCATGATTACTTGGTGTAACAGGTGCCATTTCCATCGTGATCATCAGGCACCTTGATATTACTCCCACAGAAGCCATACAAAATCATGGTAAACATTTTATGCGGCACTGGACGCTGCGCCCCTTCCTCTGCCTCTGGTACTATTTCCTCCACGGGTTCCATGATGCCTTCCACGTCCATTTTTCCCTCTATTCAAGCCGGCTGGCGGCGGCACTTTATTGTAGCTTTGGGGCCGAAAGTCCGGATTCTCTCGGACTACTCCTTCATCTTGGTGGCCGTTCTCCAATGGTACATACCTTTCTTTAGTATTTTGATGCCCACGAGTGCCGCGTCCGCGCCCCCTTGTTCCACGAAAGTTATTGCCATTCTGTTGATTCTCTGCATTAGGATGAGGGCGAATAGGTAGATTGGTGTTGCCATTGGGAACACCACGACTGCCTCGTGAGCTGTGCGCACCGCGTCCATTTGCCTGTCCAGAGACTGCGCCACGATAAGATCCTCGTAATGGAGGAGGAGCGTGTGCCTCCCTTAATTGACCTTGTCCACCTGGTCCAAGAGGGGCTCCAAAGCCCACTTTTTTCGGCTCCTTCTGTGCTCGCATGTTTGTCGCAGCCCGTGTTCCAGCCACAAGCTGTCGATCACTCAGATTGAGGATAGAAGATACAGGGACTGTTTGCCCTCTGAATGGGGAGCAGCGGTCACCTAGTGTAGTTCCACTCATGAATGATACATCAAACACGACGTCAACAAGGACTGTTTGGGGCGTGCGAGTAAGCCCGACAACAGTCCCTCGTGTGGCAATAGGCACTTTACCGGAATCTTGAGCATAGACTACGCGGTCTCCAAGAGAAAAGCTCTGGTTTCCAAGTCGGTGCTCAACATCAGCTGGTTTCAACAGTGCCTGTCGAGGGACGCCTTTGATTCGCTTGATATCAGCAGTAGCTTGGGTCTGTACTAGGCGATCCGCGTCAACTTCGATGAGCTTCACAACATCAGAGTCTAGCTGTTCGGCATCTAGAGGCACTCGCTCAAAATGTTTCGCCTCAATAGACTTAAGCCAGTCTTTGATTTCCTTAATCTTCGCTTCCGCAATATCCTCAGGATAGAAGTCCGTTGGCTCGAACTTGTCACCCTGCGGATTTCGCTGGATCCCAGCAATAAAGTCGGGGAATCTGATCATATACTGCTGGATAAGGGCAATTGCCTTCTGGCTAAATTCCCAACCAGTCTGGCCTCGGCGAGAGTACCCCAAAACTTTAAGTTTCCGTGCTTCAAATTTTAGATTGAGGCCAAGATTGACACGTTGGCCGTCTATTGTAACGGAAAAAGAGGAGGTAATTTTAGCCAACACAAGAGGATTCAGGTGAAGATTCCTTGCAATCGCGAATGATGGCGTATAGGGTGACAGCCTTTCTGCCTCCTTGGCGTGCTGCTTACCAAATTCGGGCTCCTTGCCCTTAACTGCAGCTATCATGCCGTTTACCTTTCCATCTTCATGCCCAGTAACTTGCACTGGCCTTCCGTAATTAAACTCACCGAGGAAGAATCCCTTTGAGCCTTCAGGAAATTCATCTTCAATCAGAAGGGCTTCTCTTTCAATAAAGCGTTCATCTTCGCTGATAACGCTGTCAACGATGAGCTGCAGAGCATAATCCGTCTCCTGGCCGGGAATGTCCGCAAACTCCTTTATCGTTGCACCGTCATCATTCTTCCTTAGGCCCTTGAGCATCTGTACATGGACCATGGACTCAACAGGACCGATGATCATCCCAAGGCGTTTGCTATAGTATCCTTCAATCTTGTCTGCCTTCCGTGTCCACTGCTCTATCTGAGGAGGCGAGTGTGGGATCGAAACAACATGTTTTTCTCCTTCAGGTAAAACATAATCAAGTAGTTCATCAGATACTCGAACGACGAGAGCTTCTTGCAGGAATGGGTAACCGACATAGACGCGACGTCCAAGTTTTTGTTTGGCCAATTCGATATTCGATCTAGTCTCGGGTGCCAACAAGGTAATGACCATACTTTCCTTGCGGCTATCCTGCTGAAAGACATTAACACCGTGGAACGCCAGTTGCCCAGCATGCGGTAATGTTTGCAAGGTAGGGAAGCCTGCTAGAGCAGCTGCACCGAGTCTCACGCCGTTGACAAGCCCAATATAATGTTCAAGTCCATCCATGGTTGGGAGATCATAGATGTTTTCGATACAACGACAATGGGGAATATCTGGAAAAACTCCAGGAAGAGAGGATGGGTAGATAAATTCAATAGAGGGGGAGTAAGTGAACTTAAGTGTAACACCGAATTCGTTCCTTGCTTTCTCTTCCGGAGATAGAAGGTGTTCTCGAGTAGCCATTGCAGAAAGCAAACGCTGCTCTTCGATGAAGGGGATCTTCACAACGGCTTCCCATTCCATTTTTTTGCCATTCATATCGAGCTCAAAGTCACGAGGGTAAAAATCAATGATTGGCGACTCGGGAGACGTCATAAGTTCCCAGTAAGCAGGTGGGACGATCTTTTTGCTGCGATCAGGGAGCACACCCATGAGCTGTTGGAATGGACGGAAAGGTTGGCCCAGTTTGAAGTCAATATTTGCACCAAGGCCCTTCTTAACGTCTGAAAAACCATTAGTATGAAAACTATGTATGCTGTACTGAAGAAAAATACACACCAGATACCATTGGCGCGTAGTGGTATTGAAAGTACCACGGCCAGGAGACAACCCCCCTGTAGTAATAAAACAAGACCCACTGAAGACCTTGAACGTAGTTCTCCGTCAATTTTTTCATCTCAGCCTCATTGTCGAGGCCGAAACCGAACTTGTCCTGGTAGTACTTGTTTTTCCACTCCTGGAACTTTTGCTCATATTTTTGCTCCGCGGCCATTTGAGCTTCTTCTGCAGTCTGTTCATGGACCTTTGCGTTATCATATCTCTTGATAACTCGGCGAAGAGCCATAGAGGCCTCTTCATCTTCTTCATCCTCTGATTCCTCGTCATTTTGACCTTCGGCTCCATTCGCGAGAGAGGATCCTGGAAGCTGAAGTCTGATGAATCTATCGCCATGCTCGTCAGTTATCGTTGTCCACAATAGTCGCAAGTCATCTGCGAGTTGTTCAACAAATTTGCGATCTCGCGCGGGAAGTGTCGGGGGGAGGTCCAACGGCTTGATATGCTGCTTGGATGGACGATTAAGCACATATTGTTTAATATCCTTGAGCAGCTGCTTTTGCGAGGGAGTGATGGTAAGCGTTTTTTTGCTGGCTTGCTCTTCCACTGCGTCGTCACCATGAGTCTTCGAGCGAATCCACTTCGCATCTGAATACTCGGCTTCAAAAAAACGAAATTCGGATTCTGTGATATGCTCGAGAAGTATACCAAGTCTCTCTAGGTTGATAGTGCCGTACTCGTTCACGTAACCGCCCATTTTCGGAAGCGCCTCCTTGTATTTCTTAAACATCAGCCCAAGCGCACCTTCGTTAATGTGCATGTGTGGTAAATTAGGCAGAAAATCATTGCCGATGAAAAATGCCATCAAAATAAAGTCATCAATAATTCGCTCCATGTCAAAACCGACGCCGGAATCATTTTTATCCTTCAGATCCTGAAATTCCAACTCCAGATATTCCCTGACAATGCAAAGATGCAATAGATAGAAATTTTGATGCTCGAGTTCTTTCGACTTCTTTTGCGTCTGCCTTCCAAATGTGACTTCCTCACGCAGCAGACTAAAGTGGGGATCGTGGCTAAGGAGGCCAAGCATAATGAGATCTGCATCCAATCCGTACAAACAATGGCGCACGTTCGGATCGTAGCCTGGCTGAGCTTTGGCCTGGCGAATCTGCTCCATGATTTTGTGTTCTCCCTCTCCGGGAACTTCATGACCGGAAAGAACGATATCTACACCTTGCCATTCCACGTCTTCGGAGATTTTCTTGTTGATAAAGTATTTTAATTGCTGTGTCAATCGAGCCATAAATTGAGTGCCCGGGGTGATACAGTTGCTGTCAAAGGCATCCTCTTTTGGTAATTCAATGCCCTGAGCAATGGCCTTTTCCTTCGCCGTTTCAGCATCGAGAGCAGTACGAAATCGTCGAGATCTCTGTTGGTTCATCTTCGCGCGCGGAGCAACTCCATCAACAGCCATGAAAAATAGTTGCTTGGGTTTGATTTTCCCGTATAAATGTTCAATGTAGTTGAAAATCGCAATAAACATCTGGTCTTCGGTCATACGGAAAGTGGGCGAATCTGAATCTTTGTGTGTGCAGTTATGAATAATTCCGTTCATATCGAGGTACAGACAGTCGAACTCGGGAATGCGATTCTCAGCGATCAACTGCGAGATCGAAGGATACCGCTCGCTGAGCCAGCGGAAGAACTTGGGAACACCCATGGCTGTTTGTGGTTGTGGTGGCGACTGGAAATGCGACAGTATAGACAATCAAATAAACGCCTAAAGACTCAACGACTAGACATTAGGATGAGACTAGCTCAGATAAGTGTGCAGATGTCAAGAGATTAGAGATAGAAAGACTGAAGACGTAGAGGAGGTCGGAGGAATACAAAAAAAAGAGATGAGGCGACACACAAAAGAAAAGAGAAAAATCTTCAGATGTGCGATAGATGAAGCTGTCGAAGCCTTGAGGTGTGCCAACAAGGCGAAGCTGAAGCGGCATCAAGCCTCAGGCCGCCCGCCGCGGTGCCAAGGCTGCAGGGTCGGCAGCACGGAATATCTATCCCCCGGTTCCGGGTTCCAAGGCTCGGATCCTGGATGCGTCTAGTCCGTAACTGGCTTAGTGCCTATTAACGCGCTCCGCGTGTTTTCTGGAGCTTCGAGTTGGCTCCCCTCCTGGCCTCGCTTTTCGCCTCGCGGAGAAGTAAAACAACAACACTTGCCAAGCTGCTGACCCTGTATTATCGACTTGTAGCAGAACGCGCAAAGCTTTTGCAGTGACAATACATACATCAAGCAGCCATGGAGCCTTACGACGACGGTGAGAAAGTGCAATGCGATGTGCTTGGTTGGAGCTCAAATTGACGACTATGCTCATAGGTTTTATCGAGGAGCAGGAGGAACAGGAGGAAGAGAGAAATGAGGAGAAGATTATCAACGAAGGTGTGTTATATTTTGCGAGGCTATTTGGTTGTTCTCGGCGACTGACTCTTTCAACAGAGTACAAAACATGGAAGAAAAATGCGCCTTTCCTCTACGACATGATCCTGAGCACTGCCTTGGAATGGCCCACTCTCACGACTCAGTGGCTTCCCGATAAACAAGAGTAGGTCAAATGCAACACGTGCGCCTAGAAATCCACGATCTGACAGAGTTTTCAGGATCCCGGACAAGCCTTATTCGACTCATCGCTTACTGCTTGGAACTCACACATCGAATGACGCAAAGAACTATTTACAAATTGCGCATGTTCAATTACCCAACCCTAATCATCCAGAAGCAGACGATTATGACGAGGAGCGCGGGGAGATCGGTGGCTACGGCGGTAATTCAAAGAAGAACGCCGTGGAAGTGAAGTTCAATATTGTCCAAAAGATCGACCACAAGGGAGAAGTAAATAAAGCGAGATACCAACCTCAGAATCCAAACATCATTGCCACGATGTGTACGGATGGTAGGGTCATGATATGGGATCGGTCTAAGCATCCCCTGCACCCCACTGGAACCGTCAATCCCCAGTTGGAGCTTTTGGGTCACACAAAGGAAGGCTTTGGACTTAGCTGGAGTCCGCATGTAGAGGGGAAGTTGGTGACTGGAAGTGAAGACAAGACCGTCCGGCTTTGGTGGGTAGTCTAGGATTCAGCGTGTGTAGCGATGGCAAACTAACACTGGCAATAGGGACATGCAAACATACACCAAAGGGAATAAAGCATTGAAACCAACAAGCACCTACACACATCATTCCTCTATCGTGAACGATGTTCAATATCATCCTCTCCACTCCTCCCTCATCGGCACAGTATCGGACGACATTACGCTTCAGATTATCGACATCCGATCTCCCGACACATCAAAGGCAGCAGCTACCGCAGAGGGCCAACATCGCGATGCTATTAATGCGATCGCCTTCAATCCCGCTGCAGAAACAATCCTGGCTACTGGTTCTGCGGATAAATCTATAGGCTTATGGGATCTCCGCAACTTGAAATCTAAATTGCATGCCCTTGAATGCCATACAGAATCGGTCACCTCGGTTTCGTGGCATCCGTTCGAGGAATCTGTATTGGCTAGTGCCAGCTATGATCGCAAGATCATGTTCTGGGATGTCAGCAGAGCCGGCGAAGAACAGACTCCCGAGGATGCCCAAGATGGTCCGCCTGAGTTGTAAGTCATTCTAGCCGTTGCGGTACAGAATATCGTACTAACTCTTTCCATGTAGGTTGTTCATGCACGGTGGCCATACGAACCGAATTTCCGACTTCAGCTGGAACTTGAGTGACCCGTGGGTGCTTTGCTCTGCTGCAGAAGACAATCTGATGCAAGTATGGAAGGTCTCGGACGCGATTGTCGGCAAAGATCTGGGAGATGTCCCGACGGAGGAGCTGGAGGCATGAGAGTAGCTTGGACCAAAAAATAATGTAAACTTTTCTTGAGAGTACTGCCGGCTAAAGACGTAGGGTTTCCCGAATCAATACGACGAATTAACGATGTGAGATGCTAGCTTTCGTCAATGTAGCGTGGCTATCGTATTTAGGGCTTGCCGTGGAGCTTGCAGTCATGTCAGGATTTTGTAGAGATATTGAAGAAGCGAAAAGAGAAGAAAAGAAACAGCTGGTATGATCGTGCAGTATAGAACCGATAAAGGCGGCGCTTATCAGTGCTCATGCAACGCCGTTGGTTGCTAGAACGGCAAGGGAGCTAAGCCGCATGCAGCCGCACGGTACGGTGTCTCATTGGCTGCAACTGCCGGGCCTGCATCGGACGCCTGCTCATCTCCTTAAAGCGGCAGTCCCGGCGAGTCTACACTGCGGGGATCCAAAGAGAGCGAGAGGGAAGGAAAAAAAAAAAAAAAAAAGGGAGTGGTCGCTGACCGAAAGGCAAAAAGCATTGTCCGAGTTTAGCTCCGATTGCGATTAATTATCGAAAACTATCTTGATCTCAACTTTCGATTTTACCCTTTTCTTCTCTCATCATCTATCTCGTTGCTCTGGCTGACATTCTATTGCTTCCTGCTGCTGCTGCTGCATTATCTCCGTCGCGATAATCATAGTATATCGCTCAATTGAAGTCACGATGGGTTCCGGCACATCCCCGCCTCTAGGCCCAAAGCCCATCTCAGCGCTGCCATCACATCTATTAAATGGCAGCTCACCTCTGCATGCTCCAGCAAGTACTGCTAACAGCGCTCGCGAGCGCGAAAGCTTGAATTCGTCTATCCGCTCGTCATTCCGCGGGGCAGTCACTCTGGAGGCAGCCCCGGAGGCAAAGGATGAGGCAGAAGCACCACCGGTGAGCGAAACAGCTCTTGACGCCAATGGAATTATCAAGGCGAGGTAAGCAGCTTAATTTCCAGTCTTGCATGCTCTGAGAAAGTCGTGAAGTAACCAGTTGGTTTTGTTCACAGCCCTACATGGAACGGCGAACCCCGAGACAGGCCCGGACCGCCAACTCCGCCCAGTCTTGTCAGTCGACCAGCCAGTCCCTACACGCAGGTGCCTCCAATTGATTTCGACGGCTTAAGCTGGCCATGTACGTAGACTGTCGCATCCTCTGTCCTCTCTCTACAAACTAATACTCTCGTCCAGGCCCCGGTACCAAAGAGCGACTGGAGGAAACTCCCGAGCAGAATCAAGAACGAGTAAAGAAGCTAGCTGGAGCGGTGAGGACTATCCTAGAATGCGTCGGAGAAGATCCAGAAAGAGAAGGTCTTCTAGAGACCCCAGAGCGCTATGCCCGCGCAATGCTCTGGTTCACCAAGGGGTATATGGAAAATGTCCGAGATCTAGTCAATAATGCCACCTTCATGGAAGATCACGATGAGTTGGTGATTGTGAAGGACATTGAGGTCTTCTCTCTATGCGAGCATCACATGGTGCCTTTTACTGGAAAGGTGAGATTACTTGAAACATCGAACTATTTACCAGACACAGTCTAACCTAACGCTTATGGAATAGATTCACATTGGTTACATCCCCGATCGCCGAGTCCTTGGTCTTTCGAAATTAGCCCGCTTGGCTGAAATGTTTTCGCGACGTTTACAAGTACAAGAGCGCCTCACAAAGCAAATCGCTCTGGCTATCAAAGAAGTACTGAACCCCCGGGGAGTCGGCGTTGTCATGGAATCATCGCATCTTTGCATGGTCATGCGTGGAGTGCAGAAGACCAGCAGCACAACCACTACTAGTTGTATGCTGGGCTGTATGCGATCGAGCGCAAAGAGCCGTGAAGAGTTTTTGACCCTCCTCAACCGCAGATGAGGGTAGCTATGACATTAGCCAAATAATATAATGAGTTGGGTGTATTTTTAGCGACATTTTTCCTTCTTCTATTCGCGGAATGTCTCTCTTTCTTGAAACAACAGGTTTTCTGGATAAATGGAGTTATGGTGGAACCTCTCAACAGGGACACTGGTTTTGCATTTTGTTTTTTCTGTTTATGTTTTGTTTCGAGCTGTGGAGTATTTCATTTGTTTATACAGCAGGGCCTACATGGATATATTTCTTGCTTGTATGTTTCGAGCAAGGACTCTTCATTATCAAAAAGATGTCTCACATTTCAACCTATCCCAAGTCATATCCCACCTTATCTAGGTATGAAAGGAAGATTTCTCATGGGCAAATATGGCAATTGTTATCTTTAATTCTTCGATAAGGTGATGACAGTACTAGACAGACCGAGATATTTATTATCTCTGTCTCAGGAGGCCTTCACATTGGTTGAAAGCAGTGTCTCAGGGGTGCCTCAGGAATCACTCGTTTGTTGTGCCCAGTTCCAAGTGCCTTATTCTTTCTTTCCCCAAGCCTCATTTCATTCACTGTTGTCTTTTCCTTGGTTTCTATCGTTTACAATTTTCATCTAGATAGCTGTGTGCTGCATGTAGCTTGTTGCGTTCAGACATATTTTACACTTTCTTTGAAGCTTTTGATGGCACGAATCAAGTTCAATATCCCTCAACCTTAACGTGACTGATCCAAATCCGTCCAAATCCAGTGGCGTATTCTAGGTAAGTACAATGCCTGTTTTCAGAGGGTGTATAACTTAACTAACTTTATTTTGTTATATTTAGGCCAGATTGCCTATTACATGCACAGGCTAAAGTACAAATACACCTTCTTTCCAAACTACAATCAGACATTGTTTTTGAAACAGGTATCGACATCCGGCACATGGACACTGCACTAGCAATGTCGTCCAACATAGCACTGTTGGCAACCTATCCGCGAGAGAAGTATCATTGCGAAAATGCAGATTCTGCCTAGCCATCATGGCCGGCGAGGACCACCATGCCGATAACCACACGACATTGAGAAGCTGGGTCCGGAGAAGTGACTAGAGCCGTGTTGTTGGTCATTGACCATATGGATTGGATACCAAAGAAGACTTGCATCTCTGACTCTCAGGCGTTGGCTGGGAGCTATTCTGCTCCTAGTTTCGGGATGCGAAAATTTTTTCAAACGGTGGGATCTGGTTTGTTCACATTTTATTGCTTTCCTTTCCTTGTTTTTTGCTCTTTCTATTTCTGTTTGGAGCTTGGAAATAGTCAAATCAATCAAGTATCTTAACTGCGTATTTAGATACCTAGTTAAATTCATGAATTTAACAAAGGTCCCTTTCAAATGCATGATCAGACGTCTCTACCTAGATAGGTAGGTTATCCCAAGGTTCCTTGGAGAATTGAGGTCATTTTCTGACCTTCAGGTAGTATATTTTCTCGCAAGACTCCCGCAATTCCCAGCGACCACAGCCCATATATAACTATAAATTTTATGCTTCTATCCCGCCATAAGGAGTTTGGTTTTAAATACTTATTCCCTTTCTCAAAGAAGATACTTACTAGATATTTTGATCGAGACCGAAGGCGTTGGCGTTGGCTAATTTCCATATTCAGAAATCAGGTAGGTCATCGTTTATCACGTGCGGCGGCGATCTTCCCATTCCGTCGATAAGCTCTCGAGTTTCTTCCGCTTTACATCTCATAGACCATCCGCTCCTCTTCTTATGTCGGAGAGTATCGCCGCATAACATTCTCGTTTGATTTATTCCTTGTTTGCGGAATCGGATTTTCTCAAAGATTTGAAATGCCTGTTCATTATATCCTCTGGACACTTAGAGGCGCTTAACAGAGCGCGTCTGGCCGAATCAGGTATCTACAGCTTCTCGTTAAATACACACCCCAATTCACCACACTAACATGCAAAAGCTAGGGAACTGTAGAACGAAAATATTCGAACGGATAAGAAGACGCAACCGATTATCTTGCTGTAAGCTTGATTTGTGTGGTTCATCTGCAACCTCACACTAGCAACTAAACAGAGAGAACGGTTTGCCATTCAGTCAGCAACGGACATTGCACGCGAATTCTCGGGTCTACTATCATTATATACTTACTTCTATAAGCCATGGAGATTAGACCAAATCAACAGAATGCGCTAGCTTCCGAGCCGCTAGGAAAATATGATGATCTTCCCGGTTCCACTGCTCGAGAGAAACTCCAATATGCACATGCTCGACTGCGTGCAACTGCGAGTGCTGGTCCTAATCCAGCTGTCAGCGGTAGCGTGACGCCATCGTCTGCGGGAGATATTGAGCCCGCGCCGCCTGTCTATCTTCCCAAGACAACGCTACCTTTAAGTACTCGGGCACATGACGATCGCGCTGATATCCCTGTACCATCTGACGGACATGTAAATACTGTTGACGTTGTGGTGTCTCCGGAGCTGCTATTCTCCGAAGAAGCAGGGGTGCAGACTATACAACCTAGTGCAATTTTTGAAAAGACGGAGAATGTTCTACCGGGGTCCCTTCGACTTGGACCCTCCGAGTTTGCTGTCACTTTGCCTATGGACTCTAGAAGCAAGGACGAATACGAGATTGTTTTAGCTGAACACTCGCAATCTGTCAAACTACTGCTATCTGGTTTCAAGTCTGCGGAAGGCGTAATTGCTCCTGAGACCGAGGTGAGGGAGACCAGTCATTTATCAAATTCTGTTGACTAAATCAAAACAGCAGGCTCAGACTTTATCAAATGTTCGAGGTCTTGTTGAGAAACTCGATAATATTGCGGTCCACACTGATCTGAATATTGCAGCACATGTAAAGCGGTCTTCATTCGAGTCTCAAAAAGAGGCATCGTGGGCTGAATACTCAAGTGCCAAGTTCCAATTCCTCGGTCAACTTATTGAGGTAGCGGGCTCCCAAGATCTACATATGATTATTATGGTGAAACGTGGTGAAAGCCTTGAATTGGTTAAACGATATTTTCAAGGGAAAGGATTTATTCCCAGCAGGCCACAGAATGAAACGAATGGATATTTCGAGCTCTCTTTACAAAATGGATCGATCAGTGTTGGCATATTATCTGCGCAGTATGACGGTATAGTGGAAACATATCGACCACCGGCCATCGTTCTTGCACTAGACTCGTCGTTCAATGCGTCGAGCCCTTCCGTTGCGCACCTACGAACTACATACGCGCGTCACGGAAATCTGCTCCCTGTTGTCCATTTGCTGGTATCGAATTCTAGTGAGCACATTCAGCGATGTTTGCCTGATCTTCCAGATCGTCAGAGGCTTAAACTACTCTTGCATATTGTGAAGAGTTTGCAAGATTTTCTCGGTGATCTGCAAGATGACGCTCAAGGTGTGCAGGATAATGCAGATGAGATATTCACTTATCTTATGTCGGACGATTTCAATGCTAGTTGGAACCTTCCTGCGATCGAACCACTCCATATACTTGTCTCTGATGATTCGCAAGCTGCAGAAGGTCCTGGTGTGCATGCCACTGACCCAACATCTACTGCATCATCATCCATTAATAAACGCATATTCGTAAGTTGTCTAATTGCAACTAGCTGCAAACAGATATTTGTCTTGCTAAATTATACGAAGGATGCTATGGATACCGATACTCCTGATTCCAAGAGACAACGCCTTCATATGTCGCAAAACCTCACTCAGGCTACAGAATCAACGGCTGGGCTTAGCCAGACATTGGATTTAACAGCAAAATTAAAGGTAGTGGAGGATAGGATACTCGAACTAAAAGCTGAACATACTGCCGAAGTTAGCCAATTGCAGGATACGATATCTGAATTAAAGGCTCGGTCAGAGGAACGCGTGAAAGGATGGGAAGATTTGCAACATCGATATGAATCTCGCAACAAGGAATTCCATAAAACACGAAAAGAACGTGATGATCTGGTTTCAGAGAAAGCAAAGGCCGAGCAAAAAGTTTCGAGGCAGCAAGAAGAAATAACGAAACTCAAGGATGAACGCACTCGACTGAAACATGACCTAGAATCCGCCCGAGATGACATTAAGGCAGAGGGCGGTTTGAAGGAAGAACTAGAAAAAGCACGGGAAGAAAATCGGCAACTTGGTCTAGAAAAGGCGAAACTTCAAAAAGATTTCACATACGAAAGCAATAAAGCTGCATATACACTCGAGCAATACCAAATAGCATCGAACAAGGCGGCAACCTTAGCTACCGAGAGGAACCAGTTGCAGACACAAGTTGATGATCTCAACCGAAGACTTGCTGTCGAGGCAACGAAACTGAGGGAAATCAGGATGAAGGATGATGAACAAAAACACTTGGCCCGAGTCAAGGAGCTCGAGCAAACATTGGAAGCTCGTGATGCTCTTATTCGAAGGCAGGACGAAGAGCTCCGAAATTTCCGGAACAACCGACCAGCAACACGCGCAACCAGCACTCAACCCCGAAGCCCAAAATCCTGGGGAAATAGGAGCCGCCCGACCAGTCCTGGCGTCAACAACAATGGGGTGGGCAATCGTGGTAGTGGGCTGCGATTCAGCTCTGAGATGTCACTTTGAATCATCGACCTTTCCTTTTTGTTTAATCCTTATTAGTTTGGTTTCCTTCGATTACGACTATAACTGTATAGAAGCGTATTTCTTCATGGCAGGATCTATGCGAATATGGCAAACACCAACGAGACTACGACATTATAATGACCAGTATGACTATACTTTGTTAGTTCTCTTCCAGAAGGATAAGGCACATAACGCCACAATGACACCGCCACCACCGCCATATCCAGTCATAGTGAGACGCTAAGCCCATCTGGCTAGTACGCTGTGCGTAACATACCGTATGGTAACAAACATTCGCGATGTTTCACTTTCTGTTTACGACCATGCTACTACAGTGTATCACAGCAATAAAGCTTGATTATGTGATAATGTAGCGAGAGTAACAACCAATTAATCCTCCAACATGCAGAGTTGCACTGTACATTAGCTTTTACTAGTTGTTTCACTGTTACATACGCGTTTTGTAGGGGCAAACAAGAGATGACATCATCGGATGTGCCCAGGAACTGACTGTACGTACCTTCTTCTCGACGATTGAAGCTGAGCATTATTTCCTCACTATCTCAACCTGCTCTGCTTTCGCGACATACCTACTCTGAACTCCTGCATATACTAGAAGTGATCCAAAAGAATCATCAAATCCAGCCAATATGCCTAGCTGCTCGGCGTTCTGTCTCATCATCATTACCCTGTTCAGTACGTTGTTTTCTGCCATCCCTTGCAAACGAGTCAATTCGAAGAAAACGAGGTATACTGACAAGGTCAATCCATAGTCCCACCACTCGGTGTTTTCCTCATTGCTGGCTGCGGTGCCGACCTACTCATCAATATTCTCCTGACCATTCTCGGGTACGCATCTTGTATAGGATTGAGCTTAGGTAGTAGACAGGTCACTGACAAGAAAGCCACAGATACTTTCCGGGCCACATACATGCATTCTACCTAGAATACGTCTACTACCACCGCCGCGGCCTCGCTGCTGCTGGTGGACTTCCTTACGCTCGACCTGCAACGGGGGTTTATTCGGAACGCATCCAGAATGGTGGACATCATCATCATCATCATCGTCAACAGCAGCAGCAGCAGCAGTATGCTCCGGTCCAACCCCAGCCTCAACCTCAACCACAAACCCAGTATGGGACTATACGGACTTGATTTCAACAGACTATGTATTTTGACGTCGCGAGAGCGAGGGCGAGGGTGTGCTTGTATTAGACTGTGATTGGGTTTGGAAGTCGGATACCCATTTGCTATGTTTCTTCTCTTAGGTTTACGGAGTAGTTTGGGAAGTTGGTGAAAATGGGGTTAGCAGCTATTAGTAAATGCGAATATTCTTTTTCAATCCTTACACCTAACTATGCCTTTCTCCCTAAGTGCTTGCAGTCTGCTCTGTTTTCACCTTCAACGCCGGAAAATCAAATGATTTACTGCGTCCGGCTTTACCCTCGGTTCTAGGCCACGTCCCCGTGCCATCACTCCACCACAACGCTCCAACCCAAGGCTGCACATTCCAGCCTACCGCAAGAGTAACATTCTCACGCTCCGCAATCTTGCCCGAAATATCTGTAATCTGGTATTTCGATTTTTGGTTCTTTAGGTGAAGCACGCCGGGTTGAGAGTTTGTTGACTGTTGTTTTTGCTGCTGCTGCTTCTTCTTGTTTGCACTGCTGCTCTTCTTAGATCCCTTCGTGGGCTTCGATGATGGGAAGAACCGTTCCTTAAGGTTCGCAATTGAGTATGATGATTCAGGCGCCTCGATGATCGTATCCCAAATGATGGCTTCGGAGTTGCGAGGATTTTCGCTAGCTGGAGAAGCAGCCGGGTAGGAGGCTAGCACGTAGACGAACAACTGTTTTGTGTTCCAGTTAAACAAGGGCGAGAAGTCTGGTTTGTTTTAACTTAAGGCATTAGCTTGCCAACTCTTCCTAGCATACTAGCTATACCGGAATTTCGAACACTCACCGGCATCAAGGTCGAATTCGATCCGAGCATATTCTTCTCGTTTGGAGGAGTAGTAGTGTGGCCGACCTTTGACTCTGTGGGAGAAAGAGTAAATAAGTACGGTCTCTCATAAAGGCAGAGAAAATGTATGAATCGCTCGGGTAAATAGCGTACACTTGGACTTTGGTCAAATCCACGCTGGACGAGACATCCGTCGCAGGGTATAAGAGCACCGATAACGCTGCAAAGCCCGCGACGACAAAGGCAACCGTCGTGAAAAATCCAAACACCCCCTGCACACGGTTGACTGCCGAATGCATGTTGATCGCGGACGAGCTGCTGAAGTCGACAGAATGGCAAGTAACACGCTGTCAGGCGCGTGGCCGATTGAGGCACGGGGTGGAATGCGAAGGCCGAGGAAAAGTTGTGATTGAGTTCGTCAGTCAGCGAGACCTTGATTACCTAGGTAATGCGCCTGAAAATGCTATTACTGTGTAGGAAGCATGGAAGGAAATCGCCAACACATGGCGTTGTTGAGGCTCTGACCTTCTCAAGTGAAGCCACAGTGGCCGAATACCATTGGCCCACGGGCCCCATCGACCGTTATCGATAAGCTCTGATAAAGATTCCTCGGTTTATTTCGTCGTACTATGGACGGAGTATTATTTCACTGATACAGCTTCATACAAAGGTGGCCGAGGTTGATGCTACTTTAATAATTTGATTGAAGAAAACCATTCATTTCTAGGCTGCGGCTTGCATTTGTATCATTGGCTTTCTGATGTACATCAAAATTCATTGCTTCGCTGCAATGTGGCACGAAACTCAGTCAGCCGAAACTGTAGTGAGTCCAAAATAGATGGATGCTGGGCATGAGTCCACACGATGTTCTTTGCCAATTCTCGAATAGAACGGCTCGTGGAGATGAGATTCCGTCCCATGTGAATGTAAGCTTTCCGTGCGAGTCGGTGTGTGTACAGCCATGATAATTGCCCCGCTATTGAAAAAAAATAGATGTCGTTTCACCGGCTATGCCTGGCTTTCACTGCTATCTCAAACTGCATCCACCGAAGCCCGCGTGGTAACTTGCTCGTTCTTGTTGCCGAGCTTTGAGATCTGTAGAAAAGCGTCCACTCCATACCCTTCCAGGCTGTGCAGTTCTAGGCTCCCAGCCCAGTATTCGGCATAGACCCTGCTCATAGGCAGGCCCATACCCAGACGAAGATTCGGTGAGCGTGAACTCAATGTGGCCAAGGACCCTTCGTGTAAGGGATCTTTATTGACGGCCTTTTTATCGTGAGGAAGCTCAAGTTCCTGCATGGTCGCAGCGAGGGTTGGCACCTGACCGAGATTCTCTAGGCGATCCCGAGTCCGTGGCCCTTTGCTGAATGACCACAAGTGCGGAAAGATCTCCCTAGGAACGCCTCCACCCTGATCGGATATGCGCAGGATGACATGTTGTGGCGCTTCGCAGATAAGGACCTCAATTGAAGGAGGTTCCAAGGGTGAATCTCGATACTTTTCCATAACAGCTTGAATGGAATTTCGCAGAAGCTCGCCAACGATGTACTCTAAGTGGCCAAGAATGTACGGGAAAGTGGTTGAGAGGTGTCCCTTGACATTAATTGAGGGAATTTTGTTAGACCCAGAGCTCTGACGCATCAATTCTTGTGCGAACTTTCCACATCGCTCGACAACGTCTTTTGCATTGCACTTGAGAAAAACTTCGCCAACGAAATCAGCGTTGAGATCAGTGCTGGCAGCCGAGTCGGGGAAATGGTCCGGCGAATTGAAAGTTTCTGTCAAAGCAAGCTGTTGTTCTGCAATTACGCGGCGCGATATTCTCTGGTGGATTTAAATCAGACTCAACTTTTCAAATGAGGGAAGGGGGGAAGGGCAAAGCAGGTGAGGCGATTCATACAGCACGAAGCATAGTGTTCATGAATCTATCCAGTTCGTCTGGTTTCACAAGTCCCTGGCATTCGAGGACTCCCATGGCAAGATTCGGAATCACGGCTAGATGTTCTTTCAGCATCTCCCGCAAGACCTCACAGAAGCGGTCATTGTCATCCAGGGTGATAATCTCAGGAACCCTCCTACTTTTCTCAAAGGCTTTGTAATAGAGTTCGTACACGATCGAGATATGAGGGTTCGAGACAACCACGTATGGCAGCTTTTGCATGTCGCGCAGACGATGAGCGAGTCTACAAAAACAACTGTCAGGAATATGCATAACACAAACCGACTCATTGCAACACACCTTGTGGGCAGCTCAGTTCGAACATAATTGGCAGAGCTTATCAAGCGAGACTCAGTCAGAGTGCGACCAAAAAATGTCAATTGGCGCAGACTAATTGGACGCACGTCTCTGTCTACCCACCTGCAAGACATGTAGTTAGCATCGTGCTCAGCTCTGTGCTGCTCACAGGCAGCGTCTCAAAGAAAGATGGTAGTCTTTACTCATCAAGCACGACAGAAGGTCGCCATGGAGGTGGCTGGTGAGGCTTGGTTGAATACCGCAGTGCATTGAGGTGAGAGTAGAGGTTGGAAGGCACACGACCTCTAAGCATCGTGTCTTCCAAGGTTATCTTGCACTAAGTAGCTGGATTGTCCTAGCAAGAGGAAACTTCCAATCTGCCCAGATCCTGGTTAATGCACAATCCTGGTGAAGAGTCTGCACACAGCCATCTGCTCAGGATCCCATAGCAGCAGGAGGGCAACAAAGGAAAAGACCCAGTGAGTAGCTGCTAGTAACTTCAGATAACTCTGCCAAGGCGGTCTGGGGATGTTTAGTGACTCCCCCGCAACTTTTGGATCACATGACAGTACTCCTTTTTTTTTCTTGCTTTTTTATTTTCAAGGTGCATATGGGCCCTCACCTCAACTTGTTGGGTCTTGCTTAACTTATAGAGCCTTTATAGTTATATGCCTTGCTATCATACACTGCTATGCTTGCTTGCTAGTGCTGCCGTTAAGAATATAAGACTGGCATCTAAAGAGAGCACATTCTTGATTGTTCAAATCTTTATATATGAGGGCTGTGTTTACTAATAGTATATATTGAGCTCGATCATGTAGTTATAGATCCTCAGGAGCCAAGCCTGGGCCCTTGATTTAGTAGGTGCATGACCTATAATTATATCCGCTAGGTCACATGACCATCTACAATGCTTTATTACATAAGCATCACTACTCCCGATGGCACGTGATCAAACAACTGTCAATCTCCAGACGATCTGCCAACCCCCGAACATCCCGCCAACGGTGGTCGTTGAGCATCCGGACGCCTTCACCCGCAGAAATGGCAAGACTTGTATAACGCCGAAACGATTTACTTTGGATGTACTCTGCGTTTGCCTTCACTAGGTTGGCCCGAGTGGTACACACTGCGGTATCTCGAAATGTCGCCCGATTTCGTCAATTATCCAGGCTGCATTCAACCTAAGACGGCCGAAACCCCTCCTCACTTTGGATTTTCGTGTGTCCGCGAGATATACCAACCAGGCACCGCAGATTTTGGTGTTCGCTGTTCTCGTAGCCATGCTTCGACGCAGACTTTTGTGACAGATACGTCATCCGTGACTTTGTCGTTCAATATTGCTCTAGCCCAAATTGCACCTGTCCACTGACCTTGGGATACTTCAAGTCTTTTTTCGCAAATATGTTTTGTCCTGTTTGATTACTGGCAGACTTGAAAACTGGCCTTAATTTTTCCATGGATCATTGTGAAATGCGCATGAGATGATGGCTCACCCCACCCGAGCGCAACAGCAGTCAGTAATCGTTCGGTTCACCATCAGCGTTGGAAGAAAAGCCCCGCTCAGTCTGCCTACACTTTATGATATTGATGCTACACTTCACCCATCCAGCCATTGCATTGTTTGACCTATGCAGTGCACTTGAGCAGTGTCCCCATTCGACATGACAATATGTGTACGCCCGTGGGCGTCAAACTAAGTGATTTGCAAGTTGCTGCGAGTCGGTATATCTACACCCCAGTTCTGCTTTTTGCATGAAAAGGCTTCGACAAAAAAAAGCCACGGCAGCATCAAGGGTAGTACTATCCTTTTGGCATCATTCAACAAACCCCTCGTTTGATGCACTTGTTTCGTAGATAATCCCTTCGTTTTGTTGGACTGTTGAAGGGCCTCAGATGAAAATGAGCTGTGTGCCGATTTTCCACAACAGATCAGGCAGATTCGAGCCTGGGTGCTAGCAACAAAGCCTCTGGTAGCGAGTCTCGGCCTACATGGCTACCGCTACATCTACTTTCGGGATACAGAATTCTTGGTGACAATTACCATGCCTTAGATTCGGTGAGGAGTTACTGGCCGGTGCATTCGATACATAGAGGAAGCTTTGCGATGATCATCAATCTGCTGATGACACATGCCTTTTGACCCGCTAGAGGGAGATTTCTGGCGGATGCTACTATGACTGCAAAGATTTCGTAGAGTATCCTCTTCGCAGGATAAAGGCACTTCTACTAGCATGTGTCTAATTTCGGGGCAATCGTCCCTGCATGACGCGCAGATAGGGTGTCTTGCATGGTGTTTGCAGAGCTTGCTGCGAAAAAGGTCCTCCGTAGATTGGCTTGCTTCTTTGCAAGTACAGCATACTTAAACGGAAAGTGCGAGGTGCGTATATTTATCCATCCCCAGTCAAGTATAGTGAGTGTATTTGCACATATTTTGAATTCTAGTGGTACTGACAGGACATTCTGGAAGCCAAGCACTGACTGAATCGTCGAGACGCTGCGCTCCCCGGAAGAACAGATGTTCCGCCTTCGCAACGCTAATCCGCGAAGAGTACTGCGAATGCCAGTCGTCGACAAGCCAGGCAAGCCGCTGCAAAAGACTCGTATCTTGACGACGGGACAACACTCTATAGACCTTCGTTATTTTATACGAGACATACTCGCATCAGACGCATCAGCTTCTGCCGTTTCGTATAGACATTTGATCATATCACATTTTCATACGGTTTTTTTTTTTTTTTCTTTTCCTTCCTGCCATAATTTCCCCACCCGATGCAGCCATCGAAGATTACATGGCTGGATCCCGAAGGAGTCCGGGGTTGAGAGACGAGTGGAGAATTGCACAAGGGCCTCAAGACAATAGTGCTCCTGGTCGTGACTTTGCGCGAGATCGTGATCGCGCCACTGAGCAAAGCAGAGGCAGGAATAGACACCGCGGTAGACATCGGCCTGGTGGTCCTGATCATCGTTCCAGATCACCGCTATCATCACGTCTCGGTCCCCCATCTGGATACGAGGACCCATCGAAACTCCGTGAACCATCACCTAGAGCTTCGGTACCTTCTCGAGAGATACCTCCGACTCACCGCGGGCCATCACTTTCATCTTCTCGTTCGTTCGCCACCAACCAAGACGTTCGACGATTCCAAGAAACGAATGGCCAACTGATTGGAAAGTTGCCAGGGCAAGACGACGCATTTGTTGAAAATTCTTCACAAGGAGGCCGCAATCGTTCTCCCCGCGGCCCACGTCGAGACCGCAATCGCAAGACTCGCAACCCCGCGCGTCACGCTCGTGGGCAGTTAAACCAGCGAGGGAAGCCATCGAAACGAGAACGTTATCGGGAGAGAAATTTCAAAGGACAACCATATGAGAGCAGGGAGCCTGAGAGAGCTAGATTCCGTCGAGACTCTGGAGATACGATACACCGATCAATTAGTCCTGTCTCTGCATACGGAGGCTATAACGAGCGTGACCAATCGCGTCATTCGCCTGATTCTAGGCGCTCACGGTCTCCGATGCCATTGTCGCCAAATCGGGACGATAGAATGAGCTCGAATAAATTCCTTCAACCTGAAGCTGCAGACTTGGGGCGATCCCCGTCTCCGTCTCGGTCGATATTTGCTCCAGAAGCTGAAGCCCGTGATAGCTTCGATAAAGCTTACGTGTCTGAATCGTTTCCTAGGCGTGGGATGACCAACGCCAAACAACAGTCGAACTCGCAATATCCTCCATCACACCCACGTCTGGAAAGCAGACAGTATACCCCCCCACAATTCGTGGCATCTAATAGCTCATATCACGGCTCTCCAGAACCTGGATCACCCCGTTCAAGCGGTAGGGGTGGCCGAAGCAGCCATTCAGGGAACTTCTCGCGACACGGGTAAGAGACACATCATTATATAGTTTTGTTTCATCTTCTAACAAATTGGAACAGGAGTTTTTCGCCCCATCAAGCACATTCACAAGGATTATACCATCAAAGTCAAGGCCCAAATCCTAACACCATGTCCATGACCCACACAAGCACTCCGCAACGTGGAGGCTATCATCGTGGCGGCTATCAGGATCGTCGATTTCCCAATCATAGCCCTCCTAGCTTCAATAGACCAGGCTCTCATCGTGGCAGAGGTCATTTCAATAACCTGCAATGGGTTGCATCGGGACCCGGAAATCGATTAGAGCAGCAGGGCTCACCTATTTCACATAATCGTTCTGGTTCGAATACACCACAATATCAACATTCTCAGTCGAACGAAGAACTGCCATTCGGGGGTCATCAAGATGATGTCCCTAGGTTCTCAGGAAATGTGCATATGGCTGATTCTCAATCTAAACCAAATTCAGAGAATGGAGACGTTCAAAAGATGCCTCCGCCTACGCGAGAGCCTACTAGTACATTGACCACACCAGCCAAAGAAGGGGGCAAATTTAGCTTTGCCTTCAAATCGAAAGCAAACCTTGCACCTCCCCCAAAGCCTGTCCCAGATTTAGCTCAGAGAATGCAAGTCCGTGAACCGCCTCGAGCCCCAGGACTGTCTTCACGGGCGCCGGAGCCGTCACCTCGCAATAGATTGTCTGGACCACCGCCACCGCCGAACTATAAACAAGATTATAGACCCGACCGGAAAGACCGAGACCGGGAGTTTCACCGTGGACGAGGAGGCAGGGATGACAGGCGGGATTTCCATCCTAGAAACCCGCGCGACCAGCGAAGAGAAGACCGCCGTTTCGATCCTCGCGAAGCTCGACGTCGCGATGATCATCGACCTAACTTTAAATATGAGCGTCGGCGGGACAGATCTCCCGAGCCCAAGAGACAACAGAGGATCATCAAGCGTCTTAAGCCTCGACCGGTATTACCAGAGGAATTTCGAAATTCCGACTCGGTATATTATCGCAAACCTGGGGATGAATCTGTCATCGGTGCTGGAACATACGGAAAAGTTTTTAAGGCAATACATATATATACGCAGGACAAAGTCGCTCTGAAGAGAATTCGAATGGAAGGAGAAAAGGATGGATTTCCTGTAACCGCAGTGCGTGAGATCAAGTTACTACAACACTTGCGACATGATAATATCGTCAGCTTGCTTGAGGTGATGGTGGAAAAGAACGAATGTTTCATGGTGTTTGAGTATTTGTCGCATGATCTGACTGGATTGATTAATCATCCTACTTTTACGCTAACAGAGTCGCACAAGAAAGACCTTGCAAAGCAAATGTTTGGGGGTCTTCAATATCTTCATCATCGTGGTGTACTCCACAGGGATATCAAAGCTGCCAACATACTGATCAGCAATCGCGGTCTGTTGAAATATGCGGACTTTGGATTGGCGCGTTTCTTCTCCAAGAGCCATCAGCTAGACTATACAAACCGTGTTATCACAATATGGTATCGACCTCCCGAGCTACTCCTTGGGGATACCCGCTATGGACCTGCTGTCGACATTTGGAGCGCCGCGTGTGTATTCATGGAGATGTTCACAAAGAAAGCAATATTTCCAGGAGACGGCAAAGAACTCAGCCAACTCAATAAACTCTATGGCTCTCTGGGAACACCAACGCGAACCGACTGGCCCGGGATTGTAGACATGCCTTGGGTTGAATTGATGGGTCCCACGGAGAGGAAGAAAAGGGTTTTTGAGGATACCTATCGAGACTTTATCAGTCCGGGCGCACTCGATTTGGTGTGCCAAATCTTTCAGTATGACCCTGCAAAACGGCCAACGGCAGACGAGGTGCTCGCCCACCCTTATTTCACAGCTGAAGAGCCAGGCCCTCAACAGGCTACTGAGTAAGTCTGCTCTGTTTTCAATTTCCTTTCCAAGCGTGCTTACTAATCCCAACTATCACTGCAGGCTCGAGAACATTGAGGGTGACTGGCACGAGTTCGAGTCGAAAGCACTACGCAGGGAGCGAGATAGAGAGGCTCGAAGAGACAGGGAAAAGGAAAAGGAAAAGCGAAGAGCGAGCACTGGACCTCCTCAAGAGGCAGAACGGGATCGCAAACGGCAACGACAAGGAGGCGATGTTGCCCAAAACCATGAATGATGTCTGGTGGCTTTACTTTATGAAATTTTTATATAACTGCGAGTTGCACTTGCGTGCCATGTAATCTGGCTGTGAAGATTTAATACAATAATCCAGTGATCTTGTCGCTGCACAAGAGCATATTTTCTCTCGCCATACTCTCTGGATGGGTGCTTTAGTATAGTGTCACTTATCTAATAACCAAAAGTGGGACAATCACGCCAACTCAAGCCTCCCAACCACCCCGCACTCAGCTTGTTCTGCTTTCCAAGAATGTAAACTGCATACGAAGCCGATATTTTGCCTGTCTTACCAGCGTCGTTAGCTACCTAGGTACATAAAGAATATCTAGGTCGATATAGGTCGATATAAAGTGACCATACATGCTAGCGCGATACAACAGACCAGCGCATTCGGTTCTGTTCTCGACCTGATACACAACAATTTATATATATCTACGGAGTATACACGCGAATAACGAGCCACTGTCATGTCTCATCTTGATGCATCTCAATTGTTTTCCGTCCAAGGCCTCGTGGCCGTCATCACTGGTGGCGGAAGTGGTACGTTTATCCCTGAAATGCACCACCACAGCTGGCTAAACACGTATATGCGTGATGTGCAGGCCTAGGACGAACGATGGCCCTTGCCCTTGCACAGAACGGCGCCACAAAAGTATTCATCATCGGCCGACGCGCCGATGCTCTTCAAGAAACCGTGTCGCTTGCATCTCGCATCGGCGTGATCATCCCTGTCGTTGGGGACATCGCATCTAAAGAATCCTTAGAAAACGCATACCGAAGCGTCGCCTCTCAGACTGAATACATCGACTTGCTCATTGCAAACAGCGGCACCCTCGGTCCGCGGAATCCGCCTATTCAAACTGCAGATGGGGGAATCGCTACCTTGGAGCAGTATAGAGAACAACTATGGTCAGTGAGCATGGAGGACATGACTCAGACCATGCACGTCAACGTGACCGGCGCTTACTTCACAGCCGTCGCTTTTCTACCCCTGTTAGACGCAGCGAACAAGCGTCGACCACCTCAGGTTCCAGGCAGCGGTGTGTTGAGTCCCCCCCGCCCACAGATTATCATCACCTCTTCGATTGGAGGCTTCATGCGGAAAGTCTCAACGGGATTTGCATATCAGGCCTCAAAGGCAGCTGTTACGTCGCTGATCAAGACACTGTCGACTTCTTTACTCGACTATGATATCCGCGTCAATGGCATCGCGCCGGGGATATATCCTAGTGAAATGACCACAGGCACGCTTCAAAGCTTTGGTGCTCAGCATGGCATCACTGAAGGCGAGATTCCCAAGGAAGTCATCCCACTAACGCGCGCGGGATCACAGCAAGATATTGGAGGACTCGTGCTGTTCATGGCAGGTGCAAGTGGAGGATATCTTAATGGTTCGATTATGGTTACGGATGGAGGAAGATTAGCGGCGTTTCCTTCTACATATTAAATCTGGTGATTGTAGATTTATTCGTATATATCCGGCACAGATATAGAATGCCAGCTGTTATAAACTAAGTCTAAGAACAATGTTTATATTCTAGCAAGCTTTTCATCAATATACTCCTGGTTGATAGCCGCCTGGATCAACTGGTTCGCAATAGCAGTGACTGGGGGTAGTCGTAGATTTCCCTCAACGTAGTCCTTGCTAGGGGGTGCCCCAAGTATACTGGCGCCGTTTTTCAGCGCTTCTTCAATTTCGGAAATGGAAAACCATTTAGCATCCTCAAGTTCCGGGTCATGCGCCAAATTAATGGTTTCGTGAGCCGGATCACTGACCTGCGCAATAGCACCAATCATCAAATTTGCTGGGTACGGCCAAGGTTGTGTAGAGTGGATCACAACCCGCGATAGTGTTACACCTGCCTCTTCCCAGACCTCTCGTCGTACAGCGTCCTCGACAGACTCGCCGGGTTCGATGAATCCGGCTAGAGTAGAGTACCAATGTGGTGGGAATCTCTTGGAACGGCCAAGTAGCACTCGTTTGCCGTCAGCAGACAGCGTGGCAACGATGATCGTTGGATCGGTCCGAGGGAACGAGAGATTGGAGATGGTTGTGCGCGTTGAACAAGCCTGTTTCTCGGGGCTCTTGCCTTGTGCGGCGAGCGCCTTGTCAGTGGGAGGGCATGCACGCTTTGTGCCTGCATTGACAGAAAGAGTGGGATGGCCACAGGTTCCACAGAACTTATTACGATTATTCCAATCCAAGTATGCACGCGCTTGGGCGTAAATGGCGCCTGCACATGAAGTCGTTTCATCAATTAGCATTGCAAACGGAATGAAAGGGGAAGTAGGACTCCGGTGGATGGATTCAAAATTACCGTCGTTCGGTGGCTGCAACATATGCATCCGTGCTACAAACGGAGTAATGCCTCGTTCTCCGAGCTCCTCCACGAGCATTTTTGCATGGGCCTTCTGCACATCATTACCCTTCTCGCTGACATCCAGCGCAAAGTACGGTCGTCCCTTATAAATATTCCACTGTAGCAGCCCCTCGTCACCCTGTGCACTGTCCACGGTGCCCTCGTCAATCCCCAAAAATATTAGGTCTGGTTTCGTAATTCGCGAATCGTATTCTTTGATCATTTCCTCTTCGGACTGGTCGAAGATTGTCGGAGGAACAAGCTTTTGCACATCTTTGTACTGGGCGTAGAAAACCGAATTTGGGCCGCTGATCAACGGTGACAAGTCTTTGAGTAGAACAAAGCGAGTGGATGGGTGCTTGACGGCAGCAGACAGGAAAGGATGATCCGTTCGGAGGAAAGAGAGACGATTGAGCGGTGAGCCTGAAGAGGAAATGCTTAGTGACTGCTTTTCTTTTCTTTTCCTTTTTTTTTTCTCCTCTTTCTTTCCGAAAAATCAAAAGCGACGCCGAGTTCAAAACAAGACTAGAAGTACGTACCTCCAAAGTAATTCACGGTCTCCTTGCCGAAGCGCCGGGCCAGCATCGAGTCTGCCTGGATGTGAGCTGGCGTCGGAAGTAGAAGAGTATCATCGGGATTGCTCATGGTGCAGGCTATGGGCGAGAGAAGACCTGTTTCTGTGCATATCAAGGGCAATAATAATGTCCATGTCGGGTTGTGTCGATATCAGACGTTCCTGAGACAGCGGGGAAGGTCCCGATGCCCCCACGTGGATTTCGGATTATTCAGCGATGAAATCATCGTTTCCCATCGGGCCGCTGTCGCCTGATTGGCTGCTATTTTTAGAGAAATGGATGCATCCAGTCGGGCGCCTGAGGCATCAATGGGCCAGGCGCCAAGGCAACAAACATTAAATAGGCAGCAGCTCGCCAGTGGCATATAAAGAGCGCTCCACTCCCTCATTTCCCTCCCCGTTGTATATTTCTGTTGTTCTTCAAAGTGTCTTGCGCAGCTAGAGCTGAATTCCCCGTCAAGCTTTTTGTTTGTCTTGCGTCTCGTACATCTGCTGTCTTTGTGTGTTCTCTGCCTTAGTAGTTACGTGTACGCATTATATCTACACAATCTGATAGTCGAGGGAGAAACCAAGGTTATCATGTCTGCTTCTCAAGTCGCCGTTCATACAACGGAAATCGACGTCACGAATCTGCCAACCAGGTCGGTTACCTTTGCTCCGACGAGAGCCACTGTTACTCGTGCCCTCGAAGGTATTCGGACAGAGGTGAGTATGTACGCGAGCCGTATAGCATTAGCAGATTATCCGTAGCTAATACTGTTACTAGATTGGTGCAAACGAGGTCATTATCACCGGGCTTGACCCTAATATCGACACTGACTCTGTTCGTGTGGATGGCTATGGCCTAGCAACCATCACGGATATTCAGGCAGAGGTTGTCCCACGGAAAGAGCAGTTTGAGGACCAGTATCCAGACCATGAAGAGTTTAATGATAATGAGAGTGATGAGGACATACTCGCACTCGCTGATGAAAGTTACGGTGTCGACAAAACTGCCGTCGACAATGCGAAGAAAGAGCTGCAATCAGCGGAGGCGGCCCTGGCCAGTTCTCGAAACAGTCAAGACACAGCGGTAAAAGTCCTGCAATATTTGGATCAATATGGCCAGAGCCTCAAGGCCCATGAGGTTGATGTTGCTAAGATGGCCGATTTCTTGAGCGTCTACCGAAGTCAGCGCATATCAGAGAGTGAAAGACACCAGCAAGCTTCCACGGATATTGCCATGTGGCAGGAAAAGGTGGAGGTTGCTCGTGGGAAGCTGACTCTTGCTGAGTCAGCGTTGAAAAAAGCAAAAGATGCAGCATCGCGGGACGTTCGCCGAGAACAGGAGAAGAGAGCTCGCAAAAAGCACCAAGAACGCTTGCAGAAGCACCGTATAATCCAGCAGCGTCGCAGGTTCTGGTCCAACAATACTAGTCAGGTTGTTGTGTATCTTGACCGTACATCGGCCTCTACTCTAAGCTCAAGCAGGCGGAACTCTACCGCCTCAGCCGCAGAGAACAGCCTCGACTATGTGCCTTCCAAGCCACTCGATGAGGATTGTGTCAATCTTCTACTGACGTACGTGGTTCCTAATGCTAAATGGGTACCTCGCTATGAACTGAAGATCAGCACACCGAAATCGTCAGCCGATCTTGTTTATCGCGCAGAGTTCGAGAACCACACTTCTGAGATTTGGAAAAACGCAAAAGTGACCTTTTCGACTTCGCAGACATTTTTCTCCGGTTTGGAGGACAAGATTCCCGTATTGGACCCATGGCATGTAAAGCTGGGAATTGCAATTGGATCTGAAACCAAAGATGGCATTTCGACTAGCAGCATACAGAGCAAAAAGGAGATACTGGCGAATACGAAATCCCAATCAAACTCACTGTTCAAATCGAGTTCTGCTAAAGGTGCTACTGGTCACTCAGATCTTTTTTCGGTACCACCACCGCCGCCACCCGCTGCTGGTGCTGGTGGTGTTGCTGCACGGCGAGCGCCTGCGCCATTACCACCACCACCACAGCCATTTGCACGAGAAGTGCCGAGTCAAGCGCTATTTGGAGCAGCTACCGCATCTGTCCCCCGATACAGGAGAGCACCTAGACGGGCTGTCAACCCACAACCGGACGTCGAGGAAGATTGGGATTCCGAGGATGATGCTGATGCACAAACACTCGACCCGGAAGCTAGCTTAATTGCACATCAGGATTCCCACCGTCAAGACTACGGTCTTACGACAACGTATGATTTACCAGGGCAGCGTACGGTAGAACCGTCAACAGTCAAACGACGCCATGTCATATCCGAACTTCACCTAGCATCCATCACACTTTCGCACGTTCTCATTCCGAAACTCCGCCGAGCAGCGTTTTTGAAGGCCCGCATGTCAAACACCACAGCTTTCAGCCTCCTCCGGGGCAAGGCCGGAATGACAGTTGACGGCACATTTCTGGGCTCAACCACGCTTCCAAACTGCGAGCCAGGTCACTTTGTTGACTTGTCACTTGGCGTGGATCCGTCTATATTGGTGACTTATGCCAAACCCACTGCACGTCGGTCAACGGCGGGATTCTTTAGCAAAGAAGATTCGGCTATCTTCACCCGTAGCTGCTGGATCAAGAATACCAAGAAGAACGATGTCTCGATCACCGTCTATGACCAGGTACCCGTCAGTGAAGACGAGCAGCTGCGCATCAACATCTTGGAGCCAAAGGGTCTAGACAAGGAGGATGAGGTAGTAAAGTTATACGACCCTTTCAAGAACGGAGAGAAAGGCACAGGAGAAGTTGTTTGGGAGAAGGGTGGTCGGGTTAAATGGAATATTAAATTGCGGTCAGGGAAGGACGTCAGACTTATATTGGAATACGAGAGTCGCATTCCGAGTGGAAAGCAGATAGTTGGATTGGATTAAGCTTAGGACACACCTAGGTACCTATCTCGGGATATATATATATATATGTGTGTGTGTGTGTGTGTGTGTGTGTGTGTGTGTCTGAATTTTAAAATCAGACCTTCCCCCGTCGTATTTTTAACTTCCCCTCTACCTAGCTTACATATGATTTAACAACTTGATACCTAAATATCTATGTCGTGTATGTTCCAAATCATCTAGAAATGCCAGTGACTCTCTGCAAAGCAACATCCAGTGGTAGTCCCTGATCTATAACCCCAGCTACTTTCAACACATCGACCGTAGTCTTCACGATTTCACTGCTCAATCCCTTCGTAGTTTTCACGAACCTCGTCGCTTTCATCCACTCCCTGGCATCATCTTCTGCGTAGGTGCAGCCAAAATCCCCCGTTCCCAATAATCTGATAACCTCATCGGGCTTGCTCTCGAATTGAACGATCCCTTTGTCAAGTAAGCCAAACAACGCCTGCAAAGTCTCATCACTCTCTGGTGACGGGAATGTCTTTGTCGATGCAACAATGAGCCACGAAGGCCAAGGCGTATATATCTCCCCGATCTTCTTCAGCGGTGGCGGTGTTGTCGATGATGGGTCCGAGGGTTGGAAGTAGGGCTTTGTAGTAAAATGTTCCCACATGAAAAACTCTGCTTTGTCACCTTCACTCGAAGATTCGGTGGTTGATGTGACGCCGTCCCGTAGACCGGCGAATGGACCAAGAATAACCGGTTTGAGACTCTCAACAGCCCAGCCCTGCTGCTGTGAAAGGACAAAGGACATTATATGCGATCCACTACGTGAGTTGATTAGAGCGTGTGCCACTTCATGTAAAGTCAAGCAATATGTTTGCAACTCACCTTCCCATCCGACTCACGCCAACTCGCGAGTCTTTCAGGTCGTTGACCCCATTCAGCTCGCTTCTGTTATTGCCCGTGACAATTGCCCAGCGTAGCGGTGTTTCCACCAGCTGTCCTACTATTTTGTAACCGCCGTCATCGGTTGCAGAGCTTCTGTCTTTCAATTGTTGCTTGCTGGTTAGTCCGGCAACCCAGCCTTCTGTGAGACCGATGGCAACGTCAATCTCGTCCGCACGGAGGGATGTGATCATATGCCCTGTGCCGGCTGGAAATGGGACTAGAGTGAGTTTGAAGGGCAGATCTGCATATGACGAGTCGCGGATTGCAAGGTGGAGGGGTGCTAGGTAATGTTCTGTGTAGTTGTTAGTCATGCGTCATGCTAGAAACCTCGAATTGAAAGGTGGACGTCGACGTACCAGGCACATAGCCCACTCGAATATGTTTTTTGGGGGTCGCCATGCTGCACTGTTCCAGTTTTTGGATGACTGGCTCTCAGACAGATGGATGGATGAAGATAATTATTCTGGATGGTTGGGATGCGGGGCTGGACAGCTCCCCCGCTTATATCCGCATAGTATATTTTCGGCCGGTCAGCTTCATTCAGAGAGCACTGGATGTATATTAAAATTTATATCTACATAACCTATAATTTTCTATAGAGGATGGGCATGATTCAATCTCTATGGCAGAGACAAACGATCATCCCAAATGGATTTCTTTCTCACTCGGATATTGGGCTTTGCTGGTGCCGGCACCATACATCAAATATTGTAGACCCAAGTACATATCGCACATGCACTGGAATATTGCGCAGAATTTGAAGGCAGGTGGAATGACGTCCTGGGTGTAGAACAGGTAGCTCATCTTCATAGCATCACCGAGAAGCCAGGAACCCAGAACAGACACGCGGAACCCTTTGCAGGATCGTGAACGCTGGTTTGCGAGAACTTGCGGAACAGGGAGGAAAGCTTCGACTGTTAGTCCAGCGACGCCGAGGATATTGATGTAGGTCTCGGTTTGGGATATAAAGGGGAGGAAAACGTGTATCACGAAGAGAATGCCGGTGAAGTAGCTGAGAAAGGTCCAATACCTGCGCCGGTGTTTGTTAACATAGATCTTCTTTTTTGCGAAGGTAATTATGTCCGTGTAACATACGGCTTTTCGCTCCTCCAACGCCAGAAGTTATACGGCCGCGAGAACCCCATAAACGAGTTATCCTGGCGTTGTGCAGTAAAGGGCACATGCTCAATGCCTTCTTTCGCGCCGGGAGTCGGTCGGTTGTTTAACGCGATCTTAAGCAATACCAATTGCACGAATATCATATTGACTGCCTGAACAAACAACGAAGTCGCATAGTAAGAGCCGAACCAATAAAAAAACCTAGAGATAACTTCTCGTTAAACAGTGCGGAGATTATTTCAGCGAATCGGCGATGGCGAACATACTTGAAAATCGATGCAATGAGCATAATCAGGGGAATATCCAGGGAGAAGCCGGCCGAGCTCTTGCTCCGATGAATGCTATGAATCTGATCGGCGTAGGACGTGATGGGTGAAGTAATGAGGCTGCCAGTGTTGAAAAACGGTGGTTAGCTCTGAGAAAGGTGCTTTGAAAGGGTATGTATATTCATCCTACAAGAATGGGGCCGCATATTCGAAGATGACATCGAGGAGCCACATGTTTGCTGTCTAACAACTTTTGTTGACCGCTTCGCTCAATGGGAAAACTGAAGATAGAAGACCGGAGGGCGGAAGATGAGCAATTGATTGCTGGTGTGCTGTAAACGTCTTGGGATCTGTTGGCGTTCAATGTCTGGTCGTGTTTGGGCACTAAGACTCGGACCGTGACAAAGGGTCAATGCAATTTGTGCAACGGATATGTCGGGGATGACGAGAAAAGAGGGTAGAGAATCAATGTCAATCAATCGTCTAAGGCACCAGCTCATAAGGAAATACGCACGCAGGGGGGCGCTTTGGTGGAAGGAGTGTTGGGGTTGAGGACGGAGTAGATCAATTAATCTCACTGAATTTCGTCGCATGCGGACCAGTGGTTGAGATGCCTTACGGACGAGGCTGCCATTATTGATGCACGTGTTAATTTATGGTGGGGCTGCCACTCCTGGCGATCACTCGGGGTGGAGAATGATTTGATCCGCCGTTCCTTTGAGCATTTAGTTCGATGACTCATTCGACAACGCTGTAGTTAACTAGTTAACTTGTAAATATTCATCATTTTTTTCTGATTCGGCTGATTATACAAGCATGGCGTCTATCTCACCAATCTACCAAGCTATCGGCTCTATCGGGGAATCGCAGTTCGAGCTCCAGTCCAAATCTATCCCCGGACTGACTCTTCGCATCCCAACAAGCGAGACTATAGGCGATGTTGTAGATATTCTTGCAAACAAAGCCAATTCCGAACTTGACAGATCCATCTCCGATGCCACGACTGAAGAACTCCAATCAATTGCTCGACATTGGACAACGGTAGATAGCCCGTTGAGTCATGTCAACTTCCTCGTCCGGCAGGGTGACAAGCCGCTGGGAATTGCGGGCCTAGGCTGGATTGGTCCTGCCAACGATGAGGATGAAAAACAATCAGAGAGAGCCGGCGCTGCAGGTGTGATGATCCAACCCTTTGCGCGAGGGAAGGGATACGCATACGAAGCTCTGCGGATGGTATTTGCTTATGGATTACGCGAGCTGGGTTTGACAGAGGTTTGGGTGGGCACTCACTCGAAAAATGTTCCCATGAGAAAGTTGATGGAGAACAAGTTTGGCCTGCTGCCGGAAGTCAGTACGGATGGTTTAGATAAGTTTGGGAACGACCTGCAGTGGACTCTCAAGAAGGATTGGCTACAACCAAACGTCTAGTTTGTTGTTGAAAGAGCCTTAGAAACGGCTGCGTGGATTGGGCACGCCATTGTGGAAGCGTTAATCAAGGGTCTGTCACTATTTGACATTATAAGCTTCGTCTATTAAGCTCATTACAGCTACATCCAGAGTTAGTCCCAAGCCCTAACGCAATTCGACAAGCTATAAGCTGACAGAGAATCCACAGTGCATATAACAATTACCTCAATACCCATCACTGTTTGGAGGTATACGCTCGATAATATTATCCAATTGAAGGGCCATTATGTGCTATGAATGGCGTATCAATCGTTGGGTCAGTTTATTCAAGATCGCAATCCAACGGCAGTGAAATCAGGAAGAGGAGTTCTCCACGCCAGACGCAACGTTAGTCTTTAACTAGTTTAGAAATCTATGCAATACTATATCGTCAGCACGATAACTTAACACAGCTTTCGTTTCAAGGAGCTCTTGAGTCGTGCATGTTTACATTCTTTCGTGTCTAATTTGTTCCGTATCTGGTTTAGGGCTAGGTTTGAGTTGGCGGCTTGGCCATGTGGATCCGGTGCGCTAGAGACATCTGACAAGCTCCACTTGCTTTTGCCTTGCCAGTCCGGCATATCAGAAAAATATCTAGAGACTCCAGAGCACGGAGTAGGATGTTTTCTGTTAAAGTGAAGAAATAGACTTAATCTACACTCTTAAAAGACAAGGGGGAAAAGAAATAAATTATTCAATTCACGAAGTTTTGAGGATATTAATTAGTGATAACAGACTAAAACAAAGTTGACTCCTATCCAAATTCATCAGGTACATACTATCAATTTACTCCATGGAGAGGCTAGAATTCGATCTTCCAAGACCGGCCAATGCCAACATTAGGGTTTTTCACCACGGCATATGCCGCCTTGCCGCTCTCACCACGAGTAAACTGCAATGAGGCATGAGTAGCCCCCTTCGCGCCGTCCTCAATAACAGTGACAGTGGTTCTCTGTTCCCATTCTGCTGGCGCTCCGACAACCACAATCTTCTCAACACGCACATCAGACATGGACTTGAGATATCCGTCGGTTTTGGGACCTTTGCTGCCAATGTCCTCAGAGATAAAAGTCGAGTCGACGAAAGTGAATTGACGGTGGATGTAGGCTCCCTTCTCAAAGTCGTAACTTTCTCCGTCATCAACGTAAATTGTTCCGTCGGCTGCCCCGCTTTCATCTAGTACAACAACTAGAGTGTACGGGTCCCATTTCATCAACCCACTGCTGCGGCGAGGACGATCCTTGCGAGGGATTACATGGCCGCCCTGCATGAGCAAAGGAATCTTCTCTAGCGGAGCTGGAACATTGTGCCATTTGCCACCGCCCTGGTAGATTGTGTAGTCGAAGTAATCGTAGTACTTTTCATTGTCAGACAAGTAGATGTCTACAGATTCTTGATCCTTGGCAACGACGGGCTTCGCCAAAAGACCCGTTGAGCCTACATAGAATTGGTCATCCATGGCAAAGCCTTGCTCGTCCTCAGGGTGAATGTAATACTGAGGTCTCACAATGGGTATTCCAGTAAGAGAGGCCTCGTGGAATGCTGTGTACCATGCGGGAAGAAGTTGATAACGGAGCCGGATTGCTTGGCTAATAATCTGCATATAAGGCTCACCTGTCAAGTACGGCTCGCGACGGCGAGTATCAATATGAGCATGAGCTCGGAAGAAAGGATACCAGATACCCGTTTGATACCAGCGCACCAAGAGATCTTTGTCAGGGTTTCCGAAGAAACCGCCCACATCGGCTCCGGCGAAGGGGAAGCCAGCAATACCTTGGTTCAAGACCATGGGCATAGAGATGGCTAGATGACTCCATTCTGCTTGATTATCGCCAGTCCACATGGCCCCCATTCGCTGAGTGCCGGCATAGAACGATCGCGTCAAAATAAAAGGCCGCTGCAACTGACCTTTCTTTCGCTCAACCAAGCCCTGGAAAGTAGCATTGACTACCGTCATACCATTGATATTGTGGACGTCTCTGTGTTCCCAATTGCCGTAGTGGATGTTGTCCTTCGGCATGGTTGTTTCAGGTCCGTTAAACACGGAAGGTTCGTTCATATCATTCCAGATGAAAGTGTTGGGGAATGTACCCTTGAACTTATCGTAGGAGTAGAGTCCTTTCCACCAGGAGATAGCGGCTGGGCTAAAGCAATCAACCCAATGCGATGAGCCAGGCCAGCACCAGCCATCATAGATGTTGCCATCTTTGTTCTTAATGGCCAGGTCTTTACTCTTCAGCTCGTCAATGATTGGATAGCCATTTTCGTTCTTCAAGTGAGGATCAATAATGACCACAAGCTTACGCTCCGACTCATCTAGCTGTTCCTGCATGCCCTTGGGGTCGGCGAAAGTCATTGGATCCCATGTAAAATACTTCTTGCCGTCGGTATATTCAATGTCAAGCCAGATTACGTCGTAGGGAATCTGATATCGGTCAAACTTGACATCAACTTCTTTGACATCCTCGTCAGTGACATAATTCCAACGACATTGGTGATAGGCAATGGCAAATTGCTGCGGCAATTGTGTATATCCCGTCAATTCTCCATACGTCTTACTCAGGGTCTGCGGGTTCGGACCGAGAAAGACGAAAACGTCGAGCTGGCCTGATTCAGAGAACCAGTGCGTTTGTGTAGTCTTTTTACCAGTAAGTCCCAGCGACAGGGGGTTGGTAGTTGATTTCGACTTGACAATATCCACCCACGTCTCAGCTGCATTCAACCAGAAGACGGCCACGGATGAGTTCTTGCGATGAGCTTGCATGTAAGGAATGGTGCCATATAGTGTCATAGTGCTGTTAAGCTCATATTCGAAAACGTCACTATTATACATACGGTACGGCTCTTCGTGATTACCAGAACCGCCACTAAAACAATGTTAGCGTTAAATATTTGTAAACAAGGGCTATTTATGCTTACCGGGTTTCTCTCAGCGACAGCGAGTCAGCATGCTCAGGAATACCATAAACATGCTCATACCCTGGGAATGTGATGTCAAGAGCAACACTTTCAGGGCCCCTAGGTTTTGAATCAGTGTTTCCGCCGAAGGATTCCTCCCACCAGGTCGACTCGTCCTCCGGAGCGGTCTCGCCTTCCGGGACATCTACTTTTGGCCTCCAGTGCTCTAGGTTGAGCAGACCCCGGTCATTAAGCTTTACATGAGTCTCGCCATCACGCTGAAAAAGTAGTTCCAGCGGTGCATGGCGAATGACCAGTTGGTATTGATTCTCAGGGCCATACAGGACCTTGGTGAAACCCGTTTCCGGCTCGGGGCTGAAACTGGCGACCTTATTCGGTGTCAGAGCACCAACGAGAGTCCATTTCTCGGCCTCGTTATATCGCTCTTTTCGAATGTTACTGCCGTGTCGCAATTCGATGTCTCCCTTGAGCCTCCTTTCCTCATCCAGGACAACCCTGGTCGCGCCTGATTCCAGGAATGAGACGGTGAGAGGTAGCCGGACCTTCTCTCCAGATTCCGTGGATTTGATAACAATTCCCCGCAAGTAGCCGTCTTCCAAGGTGATGGATGAAGAGTCGAGCTCGTACGGGGCCTTCCAGTTGCTCCCCGATGCAACAGCTTCATCGGCGTAAGCTCGGTTCCGCTTGCAGAACCCGGATTGGGAACATTTCTTGAAATTCTCATGCTTGACGCTCACTAGAAGACGAAGGATAATTAGCAGTTGGTAAATAGAAGGTCATGACTTGGATACATGCCAACTGGTGAAATGATGCAAGCCAGGATGGTAAGCACAGTCAAGAACAGCGGCAGCCGCTGCTTCAGTGACCTGCTCCCGGCCATGACGGTGGCGTATGACGGAAGCAATTGAGGCTGGAAATTCAACTATATGCAAAGCAGTAGAAGCAGCACAAGTGATTTGCACCGACCCCCATTTATAGGAGTGTTCGACGCAAGCTTAGAGATGAAGCTGCCAGATAAACAAGTCAAGCAGCCAAGCTCGGCCCGCCAAGAGCCCACGGCAGCCAATGAGATGCAGCGGGAGGATGTCATGCGATTACACGCCGCCAGTATGGCAGCGGGCGTAATATTCGAAATATTTCGGCTTTCTTTCAATACCTATACAAAGTGCATGTTTACGTCCATTGAGGGCCTATGCCTGGGGATAGTTAGGGGGTAGACACGTTGGCAAATACATTAACCACTGCTGGGCTGCCTAACTTGATTCTCTCTATGCCAACTCATTGGAAGAGACAGCAGTAGGCCAATCGTGCTCACGAGGTACTGCAGTAAACCCCTCCGAGGCTGCCCCACCGCCTTTCTGTATTTTTCCCACTGATCTTCGCGCTCTGCCTTCCTCTCTTTGCCCTCAGTCCTTCACGAATCCACAGAGTCTTTAGTATCACTTCTGAATCCCTTACATCCAAGATGTCTACCGAGCAGACGTAAGCTACATTGCCTTCCCTAACCCTGTGTTCGCCCCCTACATGCAGCTTGCTTCCCAGGCGACAAAAAAAAATCCGATGCCCCTCCTAATCTACATACACCGCAACTGACACATTGTTCAGTTTCATTGCTATCAAGCCCGATGGTGTCCAGGTACCTATTCCCTTCTCCCCCAGTCAACAGAACCGAGCCTCAATTCGGATTCAACGTCCCAGCGAGCCGTGATGACAACTAACAAGTAGCCAGCGTGGCCTCGTCGGACCCATCGTCTCTCGTTTCGAGCAACGCGGGTAAGCCATATATTTGACTGGATAGACGGGACAATACTAATAGTTGGCGACCACAACAGCTTCAAGCTCGCTGCTATCAAGCTGGTCACTCCTCCCCGTGAGCTCCTTGAGAAGCACTATGCCGACCTCGCCGAGAAGCCTTTCTTCCCCGGCCTTGTTACCTGTTAGTCTTCCTTCGCATCCGCTTTTTTTTTTCGATTGTGTGTGGATCTTCTTGGATGCAAGACAATGCTAATTGACAATTTTTAGACATGTTGAGCGGCCCCATCTGCGCTATGGTCTGGGAGGGTCGTGATGCCGTCAAGACTGGCCGCAGTACGTGATCCCCCGGAATAACTTTGCAAAGGCAATGTTGTACTCATGTATTTTTGCAGCTCTCCTCGGTGCTACCAACCCTCTTGCCTCTGCCCCTGGCACCATCCGTGGTGACTACGCCATTGTAAGTGTCGTGAATCCTGCCATGTATACGGCCACTTTGATTAACTCGTTGATAGGATGTCGGTCGCAACGTCTGCCACGGCTCCGACAGCGTCGAGAACGCCCAGAAGGAAATCGCTCTCTGGTTCAAGGAGGGTGAGGTTGTCAGCTACAAGCACAGCCAGTTCGACTGGATCTACGAGAAGGCTTAAATGCTCTTTAATCAATAACACCGGACTGAGATGAACATGGCGGTGCTTTGTATGAGAGAGAAAAAAAAATATAGCCATTGCAAATAGAAGATCTTTCCATTATTTCGCCGAAAGCGTATGTACGAGTGCATACATAGGGACATGCGGAGCTATTCACAGACGTAGTCGTGCAAGGATACTTTGAAAAAGCACCTTTTTAGGATGATTTCCTGTGAAAAATCCCCTTCACACCTCTACTGATAGGGCTGAGTAGGACTCGTGCAAACCACGGCGTAGCCCATACACTCGCGACGATCCTTATAGGCAACAGTGCCTTTGTGGCGACATATGCAGCAGCAAACTGAAGAACTAGCTGCGCACCCTTCTGCTGTGTCATTACTTGCGTCTTCAGCCCATCCTCTGATGTAGCCGAGGCAGTCTTTGCAGCCTCCACATCCTCACTACCTACCCACCCTTTCTTTGTCATCCACTTGCCAAACCGCTGTATAGCTTCATTCAATGCATTGTCTTCGCCCGTGGAGGGCAGTGGCGTCCACCCGGAGTAGTGAAAGACGGCAAAAAGGCCAAATAGAGGAAGCACAGCAGTGATTTCGTGAAGTATGAGAAAAGAGGTTATATGCGTAGCAGGTGCCCCAAGCAAGGGGGTTGTATAGCCGCGGAGAAAAGCTGGCAGACGATTGTTGAATCTGTGCAATCGCGCGCGAAGCCCGGTTGGAGGCTCGGAGGGAGGAGCCGAGCTCAGAAACCGTCGCGCCGAGAATCGATTTATTGTGGACAAGTGTTGTTGCGCCAAAGACTTCGGCAGGGTCCTAAAGACTGGCACTGCAGTTTTTCAAGTTGGTCAGTCAACGAGATGCGATGCAATTGGGACCGCAGGGGGTGAGTTACTGGTAGTCCTTCGGGGGAAAAAAGTTCTGAGCACACGAGATCACCGGCTGTTTGGCAATTGGGCTGCAATGTCCATCACGAGAAAGAATCTATCCACCACTGCACAAGCTGGTCTGGCGATAGCAACAGTAACTACGTAGTTCACGAGTGAAGCGTGTTTGTGCTGTTTGTTTCAGCCGGCGTTTGTCGGCGGGCGAGGCGCGAAGACTCCGGAGTCCGTATACTTATACCGTAGTCGACTGGCCGGCCATAAGTATATAACTAGTCTATGGCAGACGAGCACTTGTGGTCTTTTCTTCAGAGTATGCGGCCTGTCTGTCAATCAGCATTCCTAGGAAAACCTCACCGAAGCCAGCCAGTGCTGAAGAGGCCCCGCACGTTCTCCGCGTCGTTCTCGACTGTCTTCAGTCAGCATTGCCAATTGACGAAGCCACATACATCCTGTGTCTCTGACTCGAAAACCTACTCTCTTCCTTGTTGAGAGGGCAATCGATTCCCCAAGGAGCGTCCTGTAGTTCGTCAACAAAACCATAGCTGCTGGACGTCATAAAATTGCACTGCGGGGAAGTCTCCCAGCGCCCCACCTGACAATTCTTCTCTTCCAGCGCCAGCGACGACATCTTCGCCTTGCAATCAGACAGATTCCGACGTTCTAATAGATATCACTAGTTGCCAACATGGAGAAGATCACGGAGAAGATTGCGGCATTGCCGCCGGATGAACGCTATTTTTCTCTGGAATTCTTCCCTCCGAAGACGCAGATGGTACTCTCTCTTTCTTCCCCCCGTCACAAATCTCCGCATATAACTTTCCAATGGAATTTATGCTAACATGCCATCGGCCAACAGGGTTCCGTGAATCTTCAAGCCCGTCTCGAGCGCATGGCCCAGGCGCTGCGGCCGCTGTTTGTAACTGTGACATGGGGAGCTGGAGGAACCACAGCGGCAAAGTCTCTTGAGCTGGCCGAGATTTGCCAGCGACAATTGCAGTTGACAACATGTCTGCATCTGACGTGCACAAATATGAATAGGAAACTGATCGATGAGGCGCTGGAAGAAGCCAAGGCACTTGGCATTAGGAATATTCTTGCTCTTAGAGGAGACCCGCCTCGCAGCGAGGAATACAACATGGACGGCGACGATGATAGCAACAAGGATTTCACATGGGCCATAGATCTGGTTCGATATATTCGACGCACACACGGTGACTATTTCTGTCTTGGAGTAGCTGCGTATCCGGAAGGTCATCCTGGGGAGTCCCAAACCGACATACAAGATCCAGAGAAGGATCTTCCTTATTTAGTGGACAAAGTGCAGGCGGGAGCAGACTTCATCATGACCCAATTAACATATGACTTTGACGCATACAAGAAGTTTGAGGAAAGCGTTCGCAATCATCCATCGGGGGCGATGAAGAATATACCAATTATTCCAGGCCTCATGCCAATCCACGGTTACAAGATTCTTACAAGAGTGACGAAGCTCAGCGGAGCCCACATCCCACCGGCGATTATGTCACGCCTCGAGCAAGTCAAGACCGATGACGAGCAGGTCAAACAAGTCGGTGTCGATATTGTGAGCGAAATTGTGGATCAGATCAAGGAGTTGCCCCGTTCAGGGCACCGCGGATATCATTTTTACACCCTCAACCTGGAGAAGTCCGTTTCATTCATCCTAGAACGCTGCGATCTGATTCCACAATTCAGCCAAGATAGCGCCGTTGACGAGGATATCGCGGTTGAAGATGCTGCGTCGTCAAATAATATAGATGGTGTCAAGCCTACTGCGTTGTCACGCCGTCGAGCCTCGTCCATCAATTCCGGTCCTCATAATCGAGTGATAGTAGATAAGCTGCACGTTCCCACCGACCAACAATCTGAGCGTTCATCAAAGAGATCCATCACATATGAAACTCTTGCTTCTAGTGCCGGTGTTCCGGCATTAAACCCCCCTCCGCGGAGCACCCAACTACAGATCTCAGAAGGCGTCGGATCATTGGGCCGAGAAGCGACGTGGGATGATTTTCCCAACGGACGTTGGGGAGACTCACGATCGCCAGCCTTTGGTGAGATTGACGGCTACGGTCCTTCTCTACACGTCAATGCCACAACTGCAAGACAACTATGGGGATTCCCCGTGACCAGGGATGATATCGGCGCCCTTTTCCGAAAACACGTCGCCGGGGAACTATACATTGTCCCATGGTCTGAAGGAGGTGCAGCGGAAGACGCAAATCTCAACGCAGAAACGCAGGTGATCAAATCGCAGCTCTTGCAGATCATTGAGAAGAAAAATTGGTGGACGCTCGCATCGCAACCCGCAGTTAACGGCGTGCGAAGTGACGACCCTATCTTCGGCTGGGGCCCGCCTGGCGAGGGATTCGTCTTCCAGAAAGCGTTTGTTGAATTCTTCTGCCCCAGCTCCGACTACCAAACCAAAGTGAAGCCCACGCTCCTAAAGCACGGCAGCGAGGAATTTGCCTGGTTTGCAACCAACGCGGCTGGCGATTTTGAGTCGTCATTCTCTGCTGTTGCTGCTTCGTCTTCTTCTTCTCCTCCCTCTTCCTCGCCAGGAGCCTCGGCTGCTGATGACGAGCAAGTCGAAATCTCCGAGAATACCGGTATGGCAGTGACATGGGGCGCCTTCCGGGGCAGGGAGATTACAACACCCACGATCATCGAGGGGGTCAGCTTCCACGCTTGGGGCGAGGAAGCGTTCCGCATCTGGGATGAGTGGCGGCGTATCTATCCTCGAGGATCGGCTACAGAGCGACTCTTGAACGAGACCAAGAACGACGTGTGGCTTGTTTGCGTGATCGGACACAGGTACGGGGCGGGTAACGAGCCTGGTTCGGAGGCAGAGAAGAAGGAGATGAATATGTTATGGGACGTGCTTGCTGGTGATATGTAAATATGAGAGCTACGTACTAGTACCAGGGTAATGAATAAGTAATAAAAAAGCCTTTTCTTTTTGATTGTTTATAAGAGAGTATTAATTCAAAAATCTGCGCTTTTCTCGGCAAATCCCTGTTTCTGCAACTCCTCTGCATCGACATCGGGGGTTGCAATGGCAGAACTTTGCGCTTCGGCATATTTCTCAAGCGCGTCATTCAGTATCCCGTAAGAGCGTGGATTTCTTCGTGGTTCATCACGTCTAGAGACATGGCTGGAATATCCTCTCAACCTATATATATATATACATCGCAATTAGTCAGTCAAATGTCAAAGTATGCCGGAGGTTTGTAAAAAGAGAAAGCGTACCTAGGTCCTACACCGGTTTGTGTGGGGAATGCTGATTCGTATTTTCGCTCAAAGAGCGCAGCATTTGTCTCAAATGTACCGTCTATAATTGACTGCCGGATGTCTTTGAAGAACAAATCCATAACATGGTGGTTATGGATTTGAACAAGGGACCATGCGAGCATTTCCTTTGCCGAGAGTAAATGGTGAATGTATGCGCGGTGATGCTTCTGGCATGCGTAGCACTGACATCCCTCGCAGATGGGAGCAACTTCTGTAGCAAATGAGTTGTCCCATAAATTCAAGCCCAGCGGCTTTGGTTTCTTATTTGCTTCTCCATCATGTTGGTCGTCGTACTTGCGCGAAAAGACGAAATCCAATGCAATACCAGCATCTGCCAGATCACCAATAAACGGAATGATGAGCAAATCAGCTCCAAGGGAGATATCGCGGATTATGTCTTGTGGTGCTCGCGGTTCGTTGAAACACAGTCGCGGTAGGTCCTCGAGGCCTTTTGATATTGCAGATAGAGACGCGGATTCGTAGACAGCCAAACCGGAGATTCCGGGTCGTAGCTCGTCTTCCAAATCTTGAAGATACAGACTCTGTTCCGTATTATCTATCGGCAATATTGGCGCAAAATATAATGGTTGTGGGCCTTGGTTTGAATCCTCTGACTTCTTATATAGCCGGTTTGTCGCATCTCGTGTGTATGCATGGGTGCGGTCGACCATCTTCTCTCGCCTCTTTATACCTGGTGCATGGCCATACGACATATCCGCAAAGCCAATGATGATATCTGGTCGCAAGGCTTCCACATATTGTAGCCATGCCTTGTCTGTTAAATGGTGAAACCCCACCGACGTCAGAATCGCAAGGGCATTGGGAAGATTGTACTGCGGGGCGACCACCGGTTTTGCCCTTCGCGCACCCAGTATCAAAATATCGTCGTCTTGCGCAGCTATGAAGTTCCGAAGCCGAGACTCATGCGGATGATTCTGGGGTAGATTGAGAATCGGAGGTACCTCTTTAGGGGCCTTTTCTAAAACTGCTCTGGCCAGAAGGTGATAGAAGTCAGTTTCTGCACATGGCTTCGGATGGGAAAGCGCGGTTGAACATACAATCTTCCAATCCAATATAGAGACATCCGAGTGTTGTATGATTCCTGGCGACATCCGGTGAGAGATGAGGCACGACTCCCCGCGACGTGATAGCAACATAGTGCGGCGTCTGAATGCTTTTCCTGCCCGGCAGGACAACCTTGCCCACACGAGCTGCGAGGACAGAGGCAGCAGCAGGGTGCACAGTTGTGAATGAGTTTGTCATATTGTCAGGTTGCTGTAGGGATTCGCCTTCCATCCTTTTGTCTTTTATTCGCGGACCCGTAGAATCGCCCAGGGCTATAACAGAAGCTGATATTCCGCCAGGTCAAAAAAACAGAAAATAGAAAAAAAAAAAAAAAGAAAACCCCCCCCGTCGGACCAGACGTTATTTATTTGACCGCCTACCTTATCTCCTCCCCGCACCGCAGCTACAGCTTTCTTCCAGAAATTAGCAGTGGACAGGCGGCATCCCGACGAATATCATCGATTTAATCACGGATTAATTGCTGGACTTGTTGATTGATTGATCATGGCTGAGAAGGGCAGACGCGGGGCTTTGGTGGTGGTGGAAGGGCTGGACCGCGCGGGAAAGTCCAGCCAGTGCGAGCTGCTCTATCGCAGCCTGCTAGCCCTGAACTACAAGACCAAGTACATTCGGTTTCCAGGTGAGAATCACACTGGCTGTGTTCAATTTTCTCAGACTAAAGCTAAACTAAAACAAAACCGCGGAGAAAAAGACCGAAGCACACCCATTGGCAAACAGATTGATAGCTACCTGCGCGGTCAGTCGCAACTAGATGACCATTCCATACATTTGCTCTTCTCTGCCAACCGGTGGGAGGTGGCACAGAGCATCCAAGACGACATCGCCGACGGCGTCACGGTGATTGTAGACCGGTATTCATACTCCGGAGCCGTGTACTCTGCTTCCAAGGGCAATCCAAACTTGTCGCTCCACTGGGCATGGCAGCCGGAGGTTGGACTGCCTCGTCCGGACCTTTGTCTGTTCCTGAGTATTTCCCCCGAAGACGCCGCCAAGAGGGGGGGCTACGGTGTTGAGCGATACGAGACCGACTGTATGCAGCGACGGGTGAGAGATTTGTTCCTCTCATTGCTGGATCTTCCACATAATGACGAGATCTGTGTCATTGATGCCGGAAGGCCTGTCGACGAGGTTGCACAAGATATCCTCGAACCGGTCCTTGAGTGCATGAAGAATGTCGACTCAATAGGCCCTTTGAAAAAGCTTGGGCCATGGACATTTGTTCCCACGGGGGATAGCCCATCTGCCCGATAAGAATGATATGGGGCTCACGCCAGCTCGTTGAGCTTTCAATCAAGATCTTCTGCTTCGCTGTCCTCGATTACTATTTCCACCCGTGAATCTAAAACCTTTTTCTCTGTGGCTCCAGGGTCAACATTTTCTGACTCGGAGTCGACGTTTACTGTGTTTATCCAGTTCTCATCCAGATCGTCGTCATCGAGTACATATGCATCTGGTTTTGAAGTTCCTCGACTGGACTTGGATAATTTCCTGCTTCCGGGATTGTTCTTGCGTTTGCGATCTGTTTTCAAGAGTTTTGCGACAGTTTTTTGACCCCGAAGTCGCAGGCTGAGTTCTTTCATAAGCGCTGCCCATGAGACATGTTGTTTGCACGCCGGGCATTCACCCAGGATCGGCACCAACTGAGAGCTCCCTTCCTGCTCCAGGAATAACTGGGATAGGCATTTGACGTGCGATGTAGAGCTACATCTAGGTTGCAAACAGACCACTATAATATCATTGTTTACAGATAATAACTCCTTACATACTTGACACGATGGCAAGCGGGAATCATCCAACAGCAAAGTCGATTTTTCTAGATGCTCCTTGATGCCCGTATAAGTCGCATCGATATGAGTCATGTCGTTGACGGGACGCTGTGGATTGAATACGCTGGCGCCCCCGGAATGAAAGTCTAGTTTGATTTGCATATGATCCGAAAGTAGACCATCGGCGCGCTCGTTCCAGAGTTGCCAGTGAGTATACGCCTCTCTCGACAGAAACCGCACCGTCAGAGGCCACGTCCTGAAGCAAGGAGAACGTAAAAGTTGATGCAGATTGCCCAGAATCTTCATTGGGGAGTGGCATATACCAGAGCCCTTGTCAACGGGGGTTGTGATGCGTTTTCTTCGAGTTAATTCATCAGTCTCGACGGCATCTATGTGCCGAGTTCTGTGCATATGCTGCCATGACCATCTGTAGAAGTATACCGTTCAGTACAGGGTGTTAGGGTTCCATTGAACTGAGAATAGAAACATACTCGAACTGTAAGGCGGCCGTTCGGCTCGTGAAACCCTCGACTATTGCTATCATTTCCCACGGCCGCATCGCCTCAGCCTTGGTCCGCTTTGCACCTCCTTTGGTGACTCCATTATGCTGCGCTAGGCGTCGAGCTGGGTCAGGCGTCGAGCCAATGTACAAGCAGTCGGGCCTTTTCGACGACCGCAGAAGATAGCAGCAATTGAAGGCGGGAATGGGGTTGACTTGACCAGATTCTTTCGACATTATGCTGCTGGTTCTTGTTATATTATTGTTTACGGTTGTTCCATCATCGACGGCAGCCAGCCCTGGCCGGCCAGGGCAACCGCCGCGTTGCGCTAGTCCTATTCAGGCTAGCCGATTTAGGCAGCTAAAGATAACCTGTCCAGTAGCTGCAGGCAAGTACAGCTTGTCGCCATGAAATATATGAGCATCCAGCGTGCTCATACGTACGAGAGTCATCGACAATGCATGCATCCATACAAGGAAGACATCCATAACGTTGCAGCCGTTGCATGATCCATACCGCCAGAGAACACGTGATGCGGGCCGGTCTAAACCAGCCAAACCGGGCTGGGTGGGGCAAGCGATACGTCTCTGCCTGAGGAACACACGCTCTCTCCCTCTGCGCAGTCAGCGTGGCCTGATGCGCGGAATCCGTTCGTGCTGGCCATTATTATCTTCGTTAGTCTTGTTCTCGGAACAAATATCAAGTACCACGTGACTGGCGCGGACAAAAAAAAAGAAAGAGCTCGTCTGATTGGCTTTCTGGTTCCAATGGTACGACCAGACGACTAGTGGGAGAAGTCGTGAGAAGCACCTGTCATCATCCCAACCCCATCAAAGAAAGCAAACAAAAAAAAGGAACCTGCACTGCCATGTCGGTTCCTGTAGCCGCACAGCTTGTCTTCAGTAGTTGCTGTCCGGTCCCGACTTTCCGTTTGCAGGCACGTTGGAAGAAGCATAAGTTATATGCTTATTATCAATGATCGATCGCTCTAACTGGTTACGGCAAAATCTCTCGTTATGTAATCCGCCCAGGCATGGCCCCTTGGACGCCGCAGCAGCAAAAGAAAAACAAAAAACAAAAAAGATAGATAGATAGATAGATAGATAGATAGGCAAAGTAGCATGCAAAGCGACCACACCCACAATCAGCACAAGACAACAAGCGTATTGCTGGAGTGTTCTGTGGTGCCGGCCGGAGGGAGGGCCACCCAAGGCACCTATCACATCCGCGCATGTAGAAAATTCCCAATGGGGTACAGCTAACCTCCCGCTGCCTGCCCCGTCGCCGGCCACTCTCGGTTTCCTTCCTTCCTTGCGATATTATTTCTTTCTCCGAGTCAACACCTTCACTTGTCTCCCCATACCCAACTAGCTACCCAGCTGTGTTCTCCTCCTGCTGCTCCAATCAATCTTTTCCTCTTCCCCGCTGGCTGAGGCGTCTATCCACCTATCTGTCCATCCTTGGGGACTTTTGACTACCTGCTGCCTCAGTCCTTCTGGCGTCGACGCTGCGTGTTAGTCCTCATATCTTTCTTTCTCCTCGTTCTACTTTGTGTTACTCCTCGTTTGAGATACTCCATCCCTCTCATTCTTCGTATCTGGGATCCCCCCTTCTTTTGATTTTGACGTGGCATATCCGACCAGCGTCTTTTCTCGCATACCCTTCACTGCCCAGGACTACCTTGTCCAATGCCGCCCTATCAACATCTCCACCCTTGATAGACGCGGCATCAGCTTCTTCCACGGTTCCTTTTACATTTCCATCTAGCGCCGCTCCGAGCGAGTCAAGCAATTTGAGCGAGAAATGGTGGCTCCTGCGACTACAGGAGCGAATGCGCAATCGACCACCCCCCGCCAGCGCCCAAACGTCTCGTACCCTTCCTACGGTCACAATGTGCCATTGAGCGCTCGACGCTCAGCGCCCTTGGATCTCTCTACCGTCGAGCGACGTGGTCAGCCGAGTGCTGCACGAGAACCGACGAATCGTATTCGTGCACATGGCTTACCGGAAGCTCCTACTTACCGCCCTACCGAAGAGGAATTCAAGGATCCGAACGAGTACATCCGAAAAATCGCACCAGAGGGGGCTAAATATGGTATTTGCAGGATTATTCCTCCCGAAAACTGGAACCCCCCATTCGCAGTCGACACTGAGGTGCGTGTTCATTTTGCTACAGCTCTCGAAAGGCGAGCGAAGCTTGAGCCTAGAACTTAGAATGCTGACGAAACATGAAACTGCAGAGATTCCATTTCAAAACTCGCCGTCAAGAACTCAACTCGGTCGAAGGAGGTATGTCGCAACCTTCAACAAATCCTCCTTCCTATGCATATCCCCAGAGCCCGTGTTCTAACTCAGACCAAGGCACCCGAGCGAACTTAAACTACCTTGACCAACTGGCCAAATTCCATAAACAGCATGGCACCAACCTCAATCGCTTTCCTAGCGTCGACAAGAGACCCCTGGACCTATACAAATTGAAGAAAGCTGTCGAGGTTCGCGGCGGCTTTGATCAAGTCTGCAAGTTGAAAAAATGGGCCGAGATCGGTCGCGATCTAGGATATAGCGGAAAGATCATGTCATCGCTTTCGACATCGCTAAAAAATTCATACCAGCGGTGGCTTCAACCTTACGAAGAGTATCTCCGTGTCGCTAAGCCCGGCGTACAACAGCAGCTCGAAGTCGAACAAGGTGGACCGTACACACCGTCCCCCAATCGTTCTCCAGCAGCTAAGCGACCCATGTCGACCACACCGTCAATTCCGCGACCTGAGTCCCCCGCCATCAGGGCTTCAAACATCCTAAATGCCTCGATTGAGTCTGATGGAGCGCCAGAACAGCAGACACCTGCCGAGGTCCCTATTCGGCCCGCCCCAGGCTTCACTGCGGTCAACAGACCCGGGGGCTTCACTCCCGTTAATCGTTCACCGTCATTTGCTGCAGTGAATAGTGCACCTCAAATCAAGAGAGAGAATGAGAACGGCTCATCCACCCCAAAGAGCATCGCCCCGCATCCCGGCAAGGATCTCGTTGACGCGAAACAGACACCTATCACCAATGGGCATACCTCTCATCCCCTCAAACGGACTATAAGCCATGACAGTTTTGCTGCCGACTCGCAGAGTGAGTCCGCCGATCTTGACAGCTCAGGCCGGAGAAGCAAAAGACTCCGAAAAGGTTAGTATACCAACTACTATAAACATACTGATACTACTACTGCTATGCGGCTGTGTTCGGTCTCTTGTTAACTGATGGCTTTTTGTAGATGGCGTTCCTACAGTTGCCGGTTCGCACATGAGTCTTCTTCGTCCGACGCCGCCAAAGGGGAAAGCTAAGAGCGGCACGCGCAAAACAGGCGATGTATGCCCACTTACCTTTTCAACCTCAATTTCTCACCCAAAGCTAACGAATATTAAACAGAAGTGCGAAGCATGCGGCAAAGCAGACAACCCGCAGACTATCTTTGTGTGCGATAGTTGTGAAAATGGATATCACAAAGCTTGTCTTGAGAACCCGTTGAACGCTGACCCGGACTATGATTGGCATTGCCCCAAGTGTCTTGTTGGCACCGGTGAATTTGGCTTTGAGGAAGGTGGAGTATATTCACTAAAACAATTCCAAGAGAAAGCGAATTCTTTCAAGAAGAACTATTTTGCTCCTCGCATGCCATTTGACCCTGTCCTAAATACTCAGCGCCGTGAAACCGAAGACGACGTCGAGCGTGAGTTTTGGAGGCTGGTGGAGAGTCTTACGGAAACGGTGGAAGTCGAGTACGGGGCCGATATTCATTCTACGACTCACGGAAGTGGCTTTCCGACTGTTGAGAGGAATCCTCTGGATCCGTATTCTCAGGATCCCTGGAACTTGAACGTGCTCCCATTCTACGGGGAATCTTTGTTCAAACATATCAAGTCCGATATCTCGGGCATGACCGTACCATGGGTTTACGTCGGAATGTGTTTCTCTACCTTCTGCTGGCACAATGAGGACCATTACGCCTACTCTGCCAATTATCAACATTTTGGCGCCACCAAGACATGGTACGGCATACCAGGGAGTGATGCGGAAGCTTTCGAAGAAGCTATGCGGCAGGCAGTCCCAGAACTCTTTGAAACGCAGCCAGACCTCCTGTTCCAGTTGGTCACGCTTCTGCCACCAGACCAACTTAAGAAGGCAGGAGTCAACGTCTACGCGCTCGACCAAAGAGCTGGCCAGTTTGTTATTACGTTTCCCCAGGCATACCATGCTGGATTTAATCACGGGTTCAACTTCAATGAAGCGGTCAACTTCGCTCCGACGGACTGGGAGCCTTTTGGTGCTCTTGGAGTTGAGCGATTACAGGCCTTTAGAAGGCAACCGTGTTTCTCGCATGATGAACTGCTACTGACAGCTGCAGCTAGAGATTCCTCCATTAAAACTGCAAAATGGCTTGCACCGGCCTTGGAACGGGCCGCTGGTCGTGAAGCCTCAGATCGTGCAAATTTCTTGGCCGCCCATTGCGCAGCTTCTTCACATCATTGTAAGTTCAGCGGCGATGATTGGTCTGCGGATGCAGAGTGCAAGATGAAATTTGTGGTGGATGAACAGGACCTCGCCGAGGAAGATCATCAATGTCATTACTGCAAAGCATATGCCTACCTTACTCAATTTCGCTGCGACAAGTCTGGAAAAACAGTTTGTCTCATTCATGCAGATATCTATGATTGTTGCGACGAAACTCTGGGGCAAAAGATGATGGGTCCAAATCATACGCTGCGATACCGGATGACAGACGAATCGCTGCGAAATCTACTACAAAAGGTGCAGGATCGCGCTAAGATTCCTGAAGCGTGGAATGAGAAGTTGGATAAGGTTTTAGAGGATGAAGCAAAACCTCAGTTGAAGGTCCTCCATAGTCTTCTAAGTGAAGGTGAGAAAATCCCTTATCACCTGCCCGGTCTGCAAGACCTGGCGGCTTTCGTTCAGCGGTGCGACAAGTGGGTAGAAGAAGCAAATAACTATATCACGCGGAAGCAACAGAACCGCAGAAAGAATGAGAAAGCCTGGCGTAAAGGCACTTCCAAAGCCGCACAGCTTGAAGAACGCGACCGTGAGCTTCGCAGAGTGGAAAATATCCACGCTCTACTTTCAGAGGCTGATAAACTATCCTTCGACTGTCCACAGATGGCGGCATTGGAAGAAAAGACGCACGAAATCGAGAAATTCCGCTTAGGGGTCCGTCTCGCTCTTGAAAACAAAAATCGTTCGGTTTCCGAGGTTGAGGAATTGGTGGAGTCTAGCCGGAATTTCAATGTGGACTTGCCAGAAGTTGAGCAATTGGAAACCATGCTCCAGCAAATGAAATGGAAGGAACAATCTCGCATAAAACGCAACCAACGCCTTACTTTCAACGATGTCGATCAATTCATTCAGCAAGGTGAAGAGTTAGGACTCACTGACAACGACCAGGACCTGCTTCACTTCAAAGATTTGCGGCAGCTTGGTGAAGCTTGGGAAGCCAAGGCCAAAGAGCTGATCTCTGTGGAGGCCGTCCATTATGTGCAGTTGGAAGCCCTATCTGCGCAAGCATCAAGATTTCCTGTATCTTCAGAGACGCTTGCGCAGGTCGAGGCTATTCTGACTAAACAGCGGGATGCTCAGAAGCATATTCGCACTCTTTATGAGCGTTCCCAAGACCCAGACATTCGCAAGCGACCTAGCTACAGAGAAGTTCGCGAGCTTATAGAGTCACTAGATCAGTTGAATAGCAGGCCGATGGGGGCTATCGACCTGGAACGTGAACAGAAACATCACGAGGACTGGATGCGCAAAGGCAAAAAGCTTTTTGGCAAAGCAAATGCCCCACTACATATCCTGAAATCATACATGGAGTACGTGGAGAGAAAGAATGCTTCGTGCTTTGATTTGGAAGATCGATGTCGTCCGCCTGTCGAACCCGCCTCTCGTGACAACACCCCTGATGGCCTTTTAGAAAATACGCATTCGAACTGGTGGGAAGCTAAATCGCGCAAGAGAGATGTATTCTGTATTTGCAGGCAACCGGAAGCCGGGATGATGATTGAATGCGAACTCTGTCATGAGTGGTGAGTTGTTTTCAACTCTTGATAAAAAAAATATAACCATAAAAAGCCATCACTGTTGCTGACTTTCCATAGGTATCACGGTAAATGCTTGAAGATTGCACGAGGAAAGGTTAAGGAGTTTGACAAGTATACATGTCCGATTTGCGATTGGCGACGGAAAATTCCTCGTGATGCCGCGCGCCCAAAGCTAGAGGATCTGCAAGACTGGCAGGCGGAAATTGCAAACCTCCCATTCCAACCTGATGAAGAAGAGATCTTGAACAAGATTGTCCAACAAGCCACACAATTCAGAGAGTTCCTCCACAGTTTCACAAATGCGGCTTGCACAACCAGCGAAGAAGTGCCAACTTTGATATTCTATCTTCGCAAGATTGAAGGGGCCGAAGTGCTGCTTGCTTACGAAACGAACTTTTTCCGGCAGGAAATCCATAAATGGGCACCGGTGGCTCCAGAGCCGCCTCCAATTTTGGAACAGTCGCTTTCGACACGTAAACCCCGACCTACGAAGAGTCAAAAGATAATGGCTCAGTTAGGCATTGATCGTGTTGAAGATCTGCCGCCCCACCTCAGACCAAAATCAAGTCACCATGCCAAACGCAAGTCTGTCGATGCATCACAATCGAGTCGGGCACTGCAGTCTGCAGATGGTGGCACAGCAACTGAGTATCAAGAGGAGGCCTCTGGAAGCAACGGAGCCAGTCTAGGGACCTCGTCTACGCCTTTTTTCACTGGTGGCTATGCCAATCTTGGTCAAGATTCCAGTCCATCATTTAGACTCTCATCTACCCCCGAGCCTGCCTCTCCTTTCCTTTCTCAAACTCTTCCCGGGCAAGCTTCAACATTTGATTCCCGTTCGCCGCCACGCGGTGTGGACCAGCCATTATTTACCGAACCTTCTGTTTTCCGAGACCCACAAGAGAGCGCTTCTGGGGTAGACATCGGTACTGGCAATCCTTTCAGCAGCAGCCCAACTCGTCAAGAGATAACTGACGTCTTTGCTGATCTGACCAACGAAGAGCCTGAGGCAGTTGAACCAATGGAAAACACACATGCGAATGAAGCCCTGGAGGCTCTTGATGTCAGTAACGGGAGTGAAAGATACGACTCCAACAATGAGGCTGATGGCGGCGAAACATCCCGTCCCGGAGATGATGTTGACAATCCCGATGGAGGCGGAGATGGCTTCTGAGAAGATTTAGTGTAAATTAATAGGGGCTGGTCCAAACAACATTTCGGCGTTTTATTTCGCTTTCGGATGCACGATATGAGGTGGTGACTTTACTAGGACGCGCATTCGCTTTTCTCGTTGGGTGTTGGGCGTGGAAACTAGAAACAATACCTTTGGCGTTTAAAATTTATCTGGATTTGTGGGCACGATGATGTCCTTTTCATTCAATTTTTTCTGTTGCTTTGCTTCTCCTGTTGACGATGGCTTGCTCTGTTGGAAGCTGATTGATTTCATCTTCGACGTTTAATTGCTTGTTATCACCTCTCTCTGTTCTTTCTCTGGTGTGCGATGAGGGGATTTCTTTCAAGTTTTTTTTCTTTCTTTTTTATTGTATCAATATATCAATATCTTTTGAAATGTATTACTACAGTCTTAATCGAGCTATCTGGTTGAATGTGGCTGAACGCACCTTGGAAATTTATGCCTTAAATTTCGGGCAGGGACGCGGCATGCATATTTAACTTCGGTATTGAAAATGACATCAGCCGACATTTAATGTTCCTTCATAAATCATCCATTTGAGGAGCGTGAATACCTCCCCCATGTTCTGAGTGTTATTGCTATAGCCAAGCACCACAGCAATGCCTCCAGATGTCTACTTGAATCTGGGCCACTCAAACACGCATTTCCCAGGCCTTCTGCCCTTTCTCAAACACGCCCGCCGCCATTTTCTGCCCACAACAAGAAATGGGCACACTCCGGTGTATGTGTTGGGCAACCAGTCCGCAGACCTGGATTCTATGATCTCTGCTATTGTCTACTCGTACTTCTTCTCGCGAACTGATAAAGATAGACGAGGCTACGTACCCCTGGTGAATTTGCCGGATGTGCCCAGTGGGCCGGAGCTGAGGAGGTTAAGGCCAGAGTTTGCTTGTGCCTTGGAGCATTCCCTTTCATCTCCACAATCTGCATCTGCACCGGTGCCTGAAGGGAAGAATGCCGATAGAGATGGCATTGTGAAATTGCTCAAAGAGCACATAGTGACTGTGGCCGATCTGCGCGATGCACTTTTATCAGCTGCGGATGACGAGGGCAACAAGGGTGACGGTCAGAACTCGAAACTGGAACTGGACTGCGTCTTAGTGGATTGGAACAGTCTCCCGCATAAGGCATCGGGTAGAGGGAAAGGCTCAATAGATGGTCTTTCTGATCTTGCTACGTTCTCTGTCACCGGATGCATTGATCATCATGTCGACGAAGGCTTTGTGCCTCCATTGGGAAATCTGCCAGAGGGGAATCCGCGGATTATCGAACTTGGTCCCGGCTCATGCACCAGTTCAGTCATTTGCGAGATCCAAAAGCGCGGTTTATGGCCCTCATTGCTCGCTCTGGAAGCTGAGAGACGCGATGACGAAGATGATCATGGGGATATACAAGTTGCCAAACTTGCTCTCGCAGCAATCCTGATTGACACTACCAACCTCACAGCGGAAGGGAAAGTAACTGATGTCGATCGGGAAGCGGTTTCATTCCTCACGGAAAGAATTTCATTGTCCTCCACCCCCGGTGCAGGAAAGAAATGGAATCGCGATTCATTCTTTGAACATATTAGTTATGCGAAAGCCCATAGTCTGGACTGGCTAACTGTTGAAGAGATCCTTGGTCGAGACTATAAAGACTGGGTTGAGTCTACTCCTTCAGGCGAGGAAAGAGCCATTGGAATCGCTAGTGTTGTACGTCCACTGGAATGGATCGTCAGTAAGGCGAATGAAGAGGACGACAACAAATCAAAGGACCAGAACCTGCAGCCGTTCTTGAACAAGCTGAAGAAATTCGCGACTGGGAAGCATCTAGATGTGGCATCTGTGATGACGGCATTCACCTCAGAAGATGCTAATGGCGACGACGCAGGACGTTTTGCAAGAGAACTGCTTGTTTGGGGACTCAATGGTGACTCCGATGCATATACCCAGAAGTTCATGTGCGCTGCAAAGGAGCAATTGGATTTGCAGAAATGGAATGGCTTCCCTGCTGAGGGCAGCCAAGAATATACGGGAGATTTGTTTGTTTGGAAACAGGGAAATTTAGCTAAGAGTAGGAAGCAAGTCGCGCCATTGCTGAGGGAATCGGTTAAAAGCTGAATATAAAACCCTTGTGCAACAATTATTGAACGTTGAGTCTTGGAATTTTGTTCATTTTATCAATTTTCTTTTTTTAAAAAATAAAACAGATGATTAAGTACCTAGGTACTTGGACGCAATACCACCGATTGGTCTCCATACCACGAACAAGAACGAACATGACGATTGATGCATCCTAACAGATATAGTATGCATATGAAACAAAACATAAGAAAAAAGAGTCCAAACACTGCCGCTATTGAAATGATGGAATAGACAACTGGATTTCGCTCTGTCAACGCCCTCTCTGGCCAATGTATGAATGAATTGAAAAAAAAAAAAAAAACAAAAAGAAATAAAGACAATCCCCCCCCCCCTCCAACCCCGTTTAGAATTCTAGACAGAAAGAAAATAGGATGACGCCTCCAAGTTGTATGCAGATTAATATATATCAATAGCACTCCCACTCGCAGAACACGCACCAACGCGCGCTGCGATCAGCCAAAACAAGACCGCGCCAAACGCCTCGCTCTCCAACCTTTATAACTGTTTCCCATACACTGCCGTCCGGTGTGCCCTCAGTCAGAGAGTCGGGGTTATTGTTGCTCGTGCTAATCATGTGGTCTGCCTTGCGCATCAGACGCAGAATCTTCCCGGATGGCGATTGTATCGCCAGCTTAGCCGGCTTCTCTCGATGCGGATTTGATGTCGACTTGTTCGATGACACAATGGATGTATTTGCGGTAAAGGCATCCAGGGACGTGGTAGAAGCTACAGATCCTCCATAACTACTAGACACCACGCTCATGGCACTCGAAGGGCGCATTATTGGTGACGCACGTCCGTCAACAGGAATCTCGCCGCTGCTCGACTTCGAAAAAGGCGCTGAAGGATGTTGACGGACCGCAAATACAAATGTGTTGTTAATAGCCAGTCTTCCGCACTGCGGCTGAATGACATAGATATCATGTCGCTGCGCATGTGGCGTTGGGTGTCGTAGCAGGAATTCGTACGGAGGATTTTCTCCAGTATGAAGAATTGGTAGTGTGACCGCAAGAGGATGGGGAATATCCCTGTTTGAATGCATCAACCCCTTTTTGCCGGCATAGATCTTGAGCACTCCTTGTCCTTCATCACCAGGCAGGAGTGCCTTGACGGTGAAACGTTTCTGACCACGAATCCAGTCGGGTTGAGCGATCGCACGTTTGCGCACAATATCTCCACTTTCAAACCAGTCGCCATCGAGATCACGAGCGAAAGCTGGTGCTTCGACTTCAGCGACGCATTCGACGTCAGGAGGGACGAGGATGCGCAACTGCAGAACATCGAGACCTTCCAGGTGACAAAAACTTGTATCATAATCCGGCATGTGCATTGCATTCTTGAAAAACGCTGGGCTGACGGTAGGAAGAGCCAAGAGAACATCTGGGGAAATGGGAGGGCAAATGTGTTGTTCTTCCGGATGTAAAGGTATATGCGTATAACAAATTTCCAAGGGACGAGCAAGGAAGTACCAGCTCTCAGCATGGTGAGAAGTCGTGGTGACTATTTGACTACGCTGAGGGTTCGTTGGACCTGCCAGGGAGCAGTCCATGATCCGCCATTCGCCATCAATCAATATAGCATTCCACCAGTGGTTCGGGCGAGACAAAGCGCCCAAGTCCAAAAGTTCTCCAGGGCTTTTCAAATAGCCTTTTATGACATCAGCATGCAATCCAACAGCTGAGCACATCTCCTTGACGAGAAAGGCAACCTCCTGAGCACTTCCGCGTTTCATATTGATCACTCTTTTCAAGTCTACCTCATTTTCGTCCACGGGTTCCTCCCATGCAATCTTTTCGCTGACCCAAGTAAAAATGGCCCGCAGGCGCTGTACATCGCTCTTATAAGGCCGGCAAACATAGCCTTGAGCTAAACTAGCAGCGTTTGTCAAGGGTGGCAGGTTGTTGATGAAACGAGCGCTTTTGTCAACTAGCCCAAGATTAATAGCACCCCAATTTGTAGGATCGCTAAGGGGAAGACCGTCAATGCTTTCGTCTCCTTCAGCCGTCTCTTGAAGCTCTTCCACAGAGTAAATGACAGGGTGATCCATCATTTGACATCGTTCAGCGCGCTCGACTCGCTCATTTCGGCTTGGTGTACTCGCACGATTGACATCACGCCGAATCTGTACCCAGTCAATGGGGCTATTACCTCCCAGCTCCGTGTCTCGAAAACCAGTATTTTCCGTATTACGCGATGAGCCAAATGACTGAGTGAATCGATGTTTTGTGGGCGACGGAGATCTTCCACTTTGTGGCACCTGAATGCTGCTTCTAGCAGTTGCGGCCCCAGTTTTAGCAGAGTCTAGGAATCGTTTCAAAAACCCGCTCTTTTTAACTTTAGGTGTAGCAAGACCACCAAACACACCAGGCGAGCCATTGATGTCTTTGCTAGGTGACCACGGTACAGCCGACTGAGCTCCCTGCCTTGAGGTATTGTGGCTGGAATGGTACGAAATGCCACTGATGGGAGTTATTGGCCGATCAATATCACTATAAATACCTTTATTCAAGCCATCTATTGCCGTTGTTGGCCGCTCAGCTGAGAAGCTGCCCCATTTCGCATGTCTTGCAAAGCTTCCAGCACTTGTTGCACTGAACTGGCCAGCTGATGTACCACTCATCAAGCTGGCTGTTGTATTTGTACTGGTTGTATCCGCGGTAAAAGTGCTTTGCACGCCGCTGGAAGAATTGGTTGTGCTCGATTTGTTGGTCATTGTACGATTTAAGAATTGTTTGCTGAGTTCTGTAGCTGATTTGCGGCCGCGCAGCTGAGGACGGGAGGCGGGGATTGAGTCATGTCTGAATTGGTATTCATGTTGCTTGGGCGGAGGTGGTGGACCAATGTCATGCTCATCATCCTGAACAGATCGATCAGATTGATTGTGCAGTTGTCTCAATCGATTTTCCATCCGCTGCACATAATTGTTGAATTGGGGAGGCCCATCCTGATGTCGCTGATCCTGAGAGTGCTGGTTACCATAAACATTCTCTCCGTCGTCGAGATTTCGTTCTTGATTTGTACCAAATCCCAAGGACGTATTAGCTCGCGCGTGAATCGGCCGTGGACTAGAGGTGCGAAACTCGTCGTATGCATCCGGTGACCAAGGATTGGAAAACTGCGGAACTGGTGACGGAGATGGAGCACCACGAGGAAGACCCATGTCTTGCAAAGATGTCATCACGTCTTCCATAGCATCCCGTAAGGGTGACGGCGTGTTTCCCGGACCGATTGAAGACTGACCTGCCGGGGAGTGTCCCGGTGAGAATCCGGCTGGAGAAGGGGGTGCGTCATCTGGAGGGGGAGTTTTGGCAAATATAGTGAATCGATCATTCATTTCTATCGGTGCAGGCGGTGGTATACTTATACGATGAGCCTGACTTCTCACTGCTACGCGATGAGGAGGCGGAGGTGGGGGTGGAGGAGATTCTTCTCGGACAGGAGGTTGCTGGGAGACATCTGGAGGCACTGTATCTGAAGACACTGCATATGAAGGGGACTGTGACGAGGAATCGACATGACTTGGAGGCAAGGGTGATCGCACGCGAGCTTTAACCGCAGGGCTTGGAGACTCAATTCGCGACGGCGATCTTGCCAGTGTGCCGCGGGCTCGAAAAGCAGTTGCAGGGGTCCGCGGAGGTCTCTGTGGTATATTTGATCGTGGAGGTGTATTCTCTCGCGATGTTGCTGTGGAGGGTGTCTCTGACAGTCTTTCCTTGGCTCGACGATTCGCTTCTCCCGGAGTGACAGCCTCTTTGTGCGCTTGAAATGGTTTCCTGAAGACCGTTCGTTGCTTTTTAACAGTGCGAGAATCTGCACTATCATTTCGCGCCAAAACGTCTGTCGTGGATCGACTCACAGGAACAAAATCCTCTCCGAGCAGAACCACGAAATTCGAGGGGAACAAGCCCATCATCCTCTTATCGCGGAACAAGCGTCCCATCCACCATGACCCGTCGCCAGCGTTCAGGCATTCTATAAGATCCCCCTCCACAAACCCCAGATCTCTTTTCGATTCCCCTCCCCATGAATATACTGCTCGACACCAGCATGGAAATTTGGTTGGCAGCGACGGCGGACCGGGCGCCATGGCGAGCGCTTTAAAAGACTCTTGTGAAACGATATGAAGAAAACCCGGCGCTGCAGTGCCAGCTTGAATTGGCACTGCTCCAAAATTCGAGTATCTGCGACCCAGATTACAGGTCACTAAAGGTAATTGGAAACGAGAGTAAGCGTTCGTTGCTGTCGTGGTTTGGGTACAAGTGAGCGACGGAGCGGATGTGATAGCTGAGGAAGGGCGGGAATACAATAACAAAGATAATAATGAGCGACCTTCTAGGAGAAAATGACAGTCCGCACACAGTTCATCTGCTGTTCTGTAAGCGACCAGCAGACAGACCAGAAATAAAACGTTGAGGCCAGACTCATGCGCCAGGCCTTGGTTAGGTAGCGATGCGAAGTCGGTGAGGAGGAGAGCGAACGAGCGTTGCCGTGTTTGGCTGGATGTTTGTGCCCGGTGTTTACGCTGCACCTGTTTGGGTTTAGCGCGAGCTGTCTATCGATAAGCTTAACCTCGACGTAGCTACCTGCACTTCCTTTCTCACAGCATGTTTTTTCGAACTCTAGTACTGATGTCGAGCTTCTCTACGAGCAATTAATAGTAGTCAGGTTTTGTCAATCTGCGCTGCCCTGAATACATCTTGTCTGTACCTTGGGAGTAGGCTGCGGTCAATCAAGTCACTCTACACTGACCACAGTTTCCAACAAGTAAAGGATTGGGGAAAGCGAGCATCGAATTGGACAGCAACTGGACCAGTATCTTCGTATCTTTCGCGGCACAACTCCTATTTGCACGACAAAAAGGTTGTCGCTCCATTGTTGGTCGTGGTTGTCGACGGATATTACTGAGCTCGGATTCACGTCGAAACCAGTCACTACGTTCCGATTTTCGCTATTAATGAGCTTTTAGGATCCGTTCCAAGCGCTCTCGGGCGCATTAGGCTGTTTGTTTGCATTTAAGAGATGAGTTGGAACGCGACTTACTGCTCGGAGAGAGAGAGAGTGCAAAGGCATGTCTGCTGTAGATGGAAGTCTCGCATTCTTTGGAATGGTTAGTTAAGCTTGCAGTGGTGACAAATCAAGGCGGCCTGCTTTGGCGCTACGCATGCCCAATATAGTGATAGTTGCTCCATCTATGAATGGCAATAATGCACTTGGCATTAACCCCTTTAGAACATAAATTTCTTGAAATGCAACGTACCATCCTTAATGAAACCGTTTCAGGAACTTTGTTAGCACCCGATATTTTGTTGATGCACCTATATTTATTCTGACGTCTTCGGATTTAGTACTCCCGGTTGCAGAAGTACATTTCCAAATGCGGAAATAGCACCACATTCCAGAGGACGTGTTTCGCCAATTGTTTCGCGAAATCTATTTATATCACTGCAAGTGGAGGACAGCCCTTTGAGGGATATGACAGAGCCTTACGTCGAGATGTATGCATAGTTTTATGTCGTAAGACCGAAATCACACCTTCAATCGGGGTTTCTCATACTGTTTTCCATCCCCTGCTAGAATGTTTGCATCCCAGGACTCGAATACCAAACCCGTGTCCGTAATAGAGGATAGTTGGTCTGCTTCCGAGTGATTTAAGTTCGATGCAGTTGTCCATGAAAGCCAACGAACCCTTTGATCGAAGACTTGCGAAGCTGTGGCAAGTTTTCAAAGATTGGGTGTTAGCCCATATATATATACTCTTCCATTTGAGAAACACATGCTTCCAAATATTGACAAATATGTTAGCTGTAGCAGTATTGCATTTTGTTCGTTTCTAGGCTCGACATCTGTACAGAGGAAGTTCTGGGGATCGCTCTAAATATTTATCCATGCTCGAATGCTCGGTAGCATTAAAGTACAAGTCTTATTATTGAAGGAGTCAATCATCGACGTCATATAAGCTACTATATACTTGCAGCTATTCGGCCAAGAACAAGTGTAAATAGCATTTGGCTGTTGTCAGTAATGGGTAAATAGGGCACCGGAACAGCACGTGACACTAGCGCGGGCTCGTCGTCTTCGTTTTCTCCGTACGACGACATTCTCTCGCTGGCCGCTTGCGGACGATCAGTTCCACAACAATTGAACATCAACTTCCAATGCACTATCTCCTACCGTTTTCCTCGACTAGCTCTGCTTATCACTTTGAGTAGGCAGGCAAATTAACCGGATCCTCCGAGACCATGCAAGATCCAGGCCCATGTGGCCGGCCGATTATGCAGCACGGCTGTGGCTGCATTTATCAACACGCTCTTATAGGCTAGAAGACTTTGCCAAATATGGGCATTTTGATCCGTATGGATTCGGATCTGTGGATCGGCGGTTGGTGGTCCTAGTCCGCTGTCTTCCATCGTAACGGTGGCATCTAGCAGCTCGAGGTTATCCACATTGCCGTAAATCGGAGGCGAGTTATGTATTGTTTTCCACCGAGCCTCCTGTCACTAACTTCCTAATTCAGCATCTTGCCGTCTCTCCCGTACCCCAATCAGGAAACTTCACAATTCTAGAATCTGTAAATGCTCTTCAAGTGTCTTTCTCACGTTGCCGCTTGCAACGTCGCCTCACCAACGTCATCGATGCCTTGACATAATTTGTAACCATGTTTGCGCATATGTTCTGGACATAAAGACCTAACTTGACTAAAGTTAAACCAAGGAATATCTTCCCTTTTTATACAACCTGGCGTCCTTTTGTTGCAAAACGTCTCCCAAAGTTCTACGTTGACAATCTTCGGCAACATTAACCACTGCCTATCAACAAGCCAGCTTTCAACCAAGCAAACTAAAAAGAAAAGACATTCATCCAACTGCTATAATCACTTTGGTCCTAGCCAGCAATTAGAAAAAGAGCCGTTATGGGCTCGGCGACTTGGGCCTATGTCTTTGGTGACCAAACTAGCGAGTTTGACTCTGGGCTCCGACGCCTCATCCAGGCAAAAAGCAACAGCCTTGTCACTTCTTTCCTAGAAAGATGCTTCTATGCTTTGCGCCACGAGGTCACCCAGCTTCCGCCATCTGACCGTCGGAAGTTCCCTCGCTTCACCAGCATTGTTAGTTTACTCTCGAGATATCGCGAATCAGGCCCAAATCCTGCACTTGAGAGTGCTTTGACTACTATTTACCAACTGGCCTCTTTTATCAGGTGAGATACCCGTCATCATAGTAGTCTGATCTATATTCCTCTAATCGGTACCAGTCACTATGGAGATGGAGGCCAAGTCTACCCAGTAGGGTCAGAGAGCTATGTTATTGGACTGTGCACTGGTCTTCTTGCATCTGCAGCCATTGCCTCATCAAGGACAATTGGCGAGCTTATTCCAGTTGCCGTCGAGGCAGTGGTCGTTGCCCTTAGGCTTGGGCTGTGTACCTTCAAAGTCCGTGAATATGTCGGCCAGTATGACGGCAAATCCCAAAGCTGGTCTGCTGTAATCTCAGGCATAAGCGAGGACAAGGCTCTCGAAATTATTGAACAATTTTCTGTCAAGAACGTATGTTATGATCCTAGCCTGAATATTAGGATTTCATGCTAAACTTGCTCAGGGACTCTCCCCTTCATCTCGCCCTTACGTTAGCGCCGTCAGCTACAACGGTCTGACCATCAGTGCACCACCTCTTGTACTTGAAGAGCTCATTAACTCTCAGTTGGAAAAGATCGCCAAGCCACTCAGAGTACCAGTTCACGCACCTTTCCATGCACCTCACCTCTATGGGCAGGATGACGTAGAATGGGCACTGAAAACCTCAACAAGCGGTACTTACAAGGGCTATACTTGCCGTATACCAATCCTCTCGAGCAATAGCGGTCGTGAAATTGTTGCTGAAAACTTCGAGGGCTTGCTGAAAGTTGCAGTAGAAGAGATTCTCTTGAAACAGCTTTGCTGGGACAAAGTTCTCGATGGCTACACTTCGGTTATCAAATGTTCCTCGGTTTCTAAGTGTACCATTGTTCCCGTGGCGACCTCCGCTTCTTCTGGAATTATGTCTGCTTTGAAGCGCGCTGGAATTTCAGAAGTCGTGTTGGAAAACGCTCTTGTGAGCTCGTCAAATACTGAAAATCACAAGAGCACCACTGGAAGGGCCGAACAGTCAAAAATTGCCATCATCGGTCTTTCGGGAAGATTTCCAGAATCAGACAGCCCAGAAAAGTTTTGGGATGTCCTATACCAAGGCCTTGATGTTCACAGAGAAGTTCCCCCTGATCGGTGGAATTGGAAGACTCATGTCGATGTGACTGGGAAGAAGCGAAACACCAGTCAAGTTCCCTATGGCTGTTGGATCAACGAGCCTGGCCTCTTCGACCCGCGATTCTTCAACATGTCGCCAAGAGAGGCACTTCAGGCAGACCCAGGCCAGCGACTGGCATTGGTGACCGCCTATGAAGCATTGGAAATGGCAGGTTTTGTACCCGACTCCACCCCTTCGACACAACGGGACCGCGTCGGCATCTTCTACGGCATGACTAGTGATGATTATCGTGAGATAAATAGCGGTCAGGATATTGACACCTATTTCATCCCCGGCGGAAATCGAGCTTTTACTCCTGGTCGAATTAACTACCATTTTAAGTTCAGTGGACCTAGTGTGAGCGTGGACACTGCTTGCTCATCCAGTTTGGCGGCCATCCATATGGCGTGCAATTCATTATGGAAAAATGACTGTGATACTGCCATTGCCGGAGGCACGAACGTCCTCACAAACCCTGACAACCATGCTGGTCTCGACCGAGGTCACTTCCTTTCTCGTACTGGTAACTGCAATACTTTCGACGATGGAGCTGATGGCTACTGTCGTGCGGATGGTGTAGGTACCGTTGTACTCAAGCGGCTCGAAGATGCCATCGCCGACAACGATCCCATTCAGGCTGTAATTGCAGGAGCTTATACCAATCACTCTGCCGAGGCAGTTTCAATGACTCGTCCCCATGCTGGAGCCCAGGCTTTCATCTTTGACAAACTTCTCAATGAAGCCAATGTCCACCCTCACGATGTTAGCTACATTGAGATGCACGGAACGGGCACACAAGCTGGAGATGCAGTAGAGATGAAATCAGTGCTTGACACCTTTGCTTCTGATTATGGTCGCAAGCCCGAACAAACACTTTATCTTGGATCAGCAAAGTCGAACATTGGCCACGGGGAATCAGCATCTGGTGTTTCTGCTTTGGTTAAAGTATTGCTAATGATGCGCAAGAACACTATTCCTCCACACTGTGGTATCAAAACAAAGATTAACCACAACTTCCCCACGGACTTTAAGGAACGAAACGTCCACATCGCTTTCAAACCTACTCCATGGGTTAAGCCAGCGTCGGGATTGCGCAGATGCTTTCTAAACAACTTTTCGGCTGCTGGCGGAAATACTGCATTGCTTTTGGAAGATGGGCCAGCTGCTCAAGCCCAAGATGCTATCAAGGATCCACGCTCGACGCACCTAATTGCTGTTTCCGCCAGATGTCAGAATTCGCTCAAAACTAATATAAATAACCTGGTGGAGTACATCAGCAAGAACGCGCCAAACATGAGCGAGGATGGATTTCTGGCCAAGCTGTCTTACACTACTACCGCTCGACGCATTCATCACCCTTTCCGGGTTATGGTGTCTGGTGCAAAGATTTCCGATATCCAAGATTCTCTCCGTGCAGCAGCTAGTAGAGAGACCATCAGCCCTGCGCCAGCTGTCGCCCCAGGTATCGGTTTCGTTTTCACCGGACAGGGAGCTCAGTATGCCGGCATGAGTCAGCAATTTTTCGAGAGCTTCTCAGAATTCCGCTCTGATATTCTTCGTTTCAATGGAATTGCCCAGAGTCAGGGATTCCCATCCTTCCTCTCCTTGATCGATGGGAGTTCGCCAATCGAAGAGTTGAGCCCAGTTATTACACAGCTTGGAACAACGTGCATGCAAATGGCATTGGCAAATCTTTGGATGTCCTGGGAAGCTCGTCCCACTTTAGTAATGGGCCACAGTCTTGGCGAGTATGCTGCTCTATATGTCTCCGGAGCCTTGACGGCGGTTGACACCATTTACTTGTGTGGCCGCCGTGCTCAGCTTTTAGAAGAGAAATGCAAAATTGGAACTCATGCCATGTTGGCAGTGCGGTCTGCCTTGGGTGAAGTGACTCCTTTCCTTAACCCAGGAGTACATGAAGTGGCTTGCATTAATGCTCCAGGAGAGACTGTCATCAGTGCCACAAACCAGAATATTGATGCTCTTTCTGAGCAGCTTGTTGCTGCGGGAATCAAAGCAACGAAACTGAAAGTTCCTTTTGCATTCCACTCTGCTCAGGTTGAGCCAATTCTAGAGAAGCTCACCGACGCTGCTAACGGGGTGAAGTTCCGCAAACCTTCTATTCCCCTCGTATCTCCTCTTCTGGGGGAAGTTATCAATGAGGCCAACTATGAGCAACTTGGTGGCAAGTACCTCAGTCGTCACTGTCGGGAGACAGTCAACTTTCTCGCAGCTATCGAGGCTTCTCGACATGCCAAGCTCACGACGGACAAGACCGTTTGGATTGAAATCGGTTCTCATACTATATGTTCTGGTATGATCAAATCTACTCTTGGCCCGCAGACAAACACCGTGGCTTCACTTCGCCGGAATGAAGATTCATGGAAGGTGCTATCTCAAAGCCTTACATCTGTGTACTTGGCTGGAATTGAAGTTCAATGGAAAGAATATCACCAGGACTTCAAAAATGGCCACGAGGTTCTTCACTTGCCTTCCTACAGCTGGGACAACAAGAACTACTGGCTGTATTACAAGAATGACTTCTGTCTAACCAAGGGCGACAACTCAGTACCTCAAAATTCAAACACTCCTCGTTCCAACCTCACAATTTCAGTGCAGAAGATTATTGAAAGTACTGGCGATGCGACAAAAGCAAGTGTCATCGCCGAAACTGACATTTCCGATCCCCTTTTGTGCCCTGTTATTCAGGGCCACAAAGTGAACGGGACACCTCTTTGCCCCTCATCTTTATATGCCGATATTGCCCAGACATTGGGAGAGTATCTCGTTGACAACTATAAGCCCGAGCTTAAGGGTATCGGATTAGATGTTGCCAACATGGCTGTCCCCAAACCTTTGATCTATAAGAATGCAGGGCCACAGCTTTTCCGTGCAGCTGCCACTGCAGATTGGGATGCGCGCCAGGTGTCAATGCAGATATACTCTGTCACTCCGGAGGGAAAGAAGATCACAGATCACGCAAGTTGCGTTATCAAGCTATTTGACACTGAAGCGGCGCAAGAGGAATGGAAGCGCTACACATACCTTATTCGCAGAAGTCTTGATCAGCTGTTCGAAAGCGCTTCCAAGGGCGACAGCAATAAGCTTGGTCCTGGAATGGTATACAAGCTATTCGGGGCTCTAGTCGAGTATGACAACAATTACAAATCAATGCGAGAGGTCATTTTGGACAGTGAACAATATGAAGCCACTGCTTTGGTAAAATTCCAAGCCGAGGCAGCCAACTTCCACCGAAACCCATTCTGGATTGACAGCATAGGGCATATTACTGGGTTTACTATGAACGCAAACGACGCAACTGACTCGGCCAATTATGTCTATGTTAACCATGGCTGGGATTCGATGCGCTGTGCAAAGAAGTTCTCTGCTGATGCATCGTACCGCACCTACGTGAAAATGCAACCCTGGCAAGGGACTATCTATTCCGGAGACGTCTATGTCTTCGAAGGAGACGAAATAATAGCTGTATACGGCGGTGTCAAGGTACGTACCATCTAGTTTGATAGTATAACTAGAAGATGCTAACTGGCGATTATCTAGTTCCAAGGAGTACCGCGCAAGATCCTCAACACTGTCCTTCCACCACCAAGCGGTGCACAGGCAGCTTCAAGGCCATCAGCAAAGGCCCCTGTTCCTGCTCCTGTCAATGTGTCAAAGGCGAAGCCCATTGCCAAGGCAGTCAAGCCAAAGACATCTGCTCCGAGTGTCCTCGTACAAGCTTTCAAGATACTGGCCGAGGAAGTTGGATTGTCCGAGGCAGAACTTTCGGACGACCTTGTTTTCGCCGACTATGGCGTTGACTCCCTGCTTTCCTTGACTATCACCGGCAAATTCCGCGAAGAGCTCAGCATTGACCTTGAATCTAGCGTGTTCATGGATTGTCCCACTGTCAAAGACTTCAAGCAAATGTTGTTGCAGACTGCAGCTCCCACCGATAGCAGTGAATCCTCTTCGGACTCCTCCGTATTCGATGACACTGGATCGGCTTCGGAGCCACCTACTCCGGGAACTCCTGGAGACTTTTCTACACAAATGAAGACTACTCCATCCCAGGGAGAGGACAAAACGCTATCTGCTATCCGCCAAATTTTGCTTGAGGAGATCGGTATTTCCGCTGACGAACTGACTGAGGAGGCCAATCTCAATGAGATGGGCATGGATTCATTGCTTTCTTTGACGGTACTTGGAAGACTACGTGAATCACTTGGTCTAGATCTACCATCGGAATTCTTTATTGAAAATCCAACCATGGGCCATGTCGAAGTCGCGCTTGACTTGAAGCCAAAAGCTCCCGCTCCACAGCCGCCTGCAGCAGTGTTGCCTTCGGCGCCAGAATTGAAACCTGAGGTGTTGTCTTCTAAGCTCAGCCACCCTCCGGCCACGTCTATTCTCCTGCAGGGTAGCCCTAAAACAGCTAGACACACGCTGTTTCTCTTCCCCGATGGTTCTGGCTCGGCTACATCATATGCGACGATTCCCAAGATCTCATCAGACGTCTGTGTCTATGGGTTGAACTGTCCGTATATGAAGACTCCAGAGAAGCTGAACTGCGCCCTTCAGGATCTTACAGCCTCTTATGTGGCCGAGATGCGACGTCGTCAGCCCAATGGCCCGTATAACGTTGGCGGATGGTCTGCAGGAGGTATCTGCGCTTACGATGCAGCTCGCCAGCTTGTTATCGAGCAGGGTGAAACTGTAGAGAAACTCTTCCTTCTAGACTCGCCATTCCCCATCGGCCTCGAAAAGCTCCCTCCACGCCTGTACAAATTCTTCGACGACATGAAGATTTTCGGCGATGGCGAGAAGCCTCCACCGAAGTGGCTGCTACCGCATTTCCTCGCTTTTATAGACGCACTCGACATGTACAAAGCGATCCCATTCCCAAGCACTGACCCGCAATACGAAAGTCGTCTCCCCAAGACCTATGTCATCTGGGCCAAGGATGGTGTTTGTGGTAAACCAGGAGATCCACGTCCTGCACCACCTAAAGATGGCAGTCGGGATCCCAGGGAAATGCTTTGGTTGCTTAACGACCGTACAGACTTTGGCCCCAATGGCTGGGACACGTTGGTTGGCAAAAACAAGGTCGCTGTCATTGAGTCCATATCGAATGCCAATCATTTCACAATGATGGATGGTGCTGGAGCACGGGGATTGTCTGATTTCATCAAGAATGCTTTTTAATTGTTTAGTTTTTGTTTTTCTCTTTCTCTCATTTTGGGTGTGTGGGAGTTATTGTTCTTTTGGTTTTTTTGTTCTCCTTCAGGCTCAACATGTTGTCGTTCCTTACCACCAAAAGTGATACGCGTACTTGATACTATGACTACTACCTAGGTGTGTTTCCGTGGTGCTCTTATGGTATATATTTCGGGTATTCATAATATGTTTTATAGTGATATGGGTATGGGATAGATAATAATTTCACTTAATAAAACAGTTGCCATGGTAATTTTCAGGAAACCTTCATGTAGGTATTCAATAAATCTTACCTAGGTAACTACGAGGATAAACGTTATAGTCATCTGTGTCTCCATTTTCGACCATCTTTTGAAATTCTAGGTATTCTTGCATAAGATTAAGCCGAAAATCCATGCCAATTAGGGTATGTGATACTGTCACTGTCTCTATGCATAAGAATAGCTTCTACCGAAAAGTTGAACATATGTATAACAGGAAGGACATACGAGGTATAAGAGATGAAAATCGAAAACAATATTTCAAATGCTCAAACACTCAATTGAGGAACCATGATTACTGAAACAAACACCTTCACGCCCTCGTATTCTTTGCACGGGGAAGAGGAAACAAGAAAGGAAAAGGACAAAAGCAATACAAATGACACGCTAACATGGATCCAACCAAGAATCATTCTTGATATCATCCCAAACATCGTAGCCATCCAACAGCACCAAGCCCATGCCAGACATCAAGTGGGTTTCCATGTGGCAATGGAGCAAAAATGGACCAGGGTTCTGCACGAAGTACCTTATTGCTAACCACGACTCTCCTCTAGGCGACGTAACGACAGTGTCTCTATACACAGGCTTTTCAAAGAAATCTTGTGGACTTTCAACGATTCCCTGTTCGATGGAAGACCAGTTAAAGGTCCCCTGCCCGGCACCCATCACGAACATCTTGTTTGAATGTTTGTGAATTGGATGAGGAGGCTGAACGGGGGTGACCGATGGATCTCCTAGGCGTAGTTGGTAGACGATGTCGACCCAGGTGTTATTCCTGGTAGTGATTTTGAGAGCGTTGTCGAGTCCTGGAGATTCCTTGTTGAACAGGACGGGTTCCATGCTATCCAGATCGGCTGGAAGGAACGTGGTGCCGCCAAGAGACCATTCCCAGGAAGAGTTGATGCGCGATAAATTCAAGATATGGAAATCGTCTGCCTGAGGCGCAGGGAGTATTGCTGGGAAGGGAGGTAGGTTGGTGACATTCAACGCAGTAACGTCTGGTGAGGTAGGTTGGCCGCCGTAATTGAGGTAGGGCACGGATGGCCGTGTGCTATTCTCTCCACCAGCATACTGCAAAGTCGCATAGCCCGCAATTATCTGGTTACCGCCGGTGTCCGTGATGGTTATATTGTAATTGGCTGGTTCCTTGTCGAGTTTAATGAGCGCAGAGTAACGCTCGCCATTGTAGAACTCGAATGTATCAACGTATTGAGGCTCTATGTATCGGCCATCGACCTCATAAATCCACATTGGATGTTCATCGACGGAGACAACCAAGGCTTTCTCGCTGGCTGCGCCGATGAAATTGAGACTAGCCCATCCATGAGCTGGGTCAACTTCTATGACCGCCTTGTACCCATTGCTAGGGATGCAGCCATCGTTAAGATAAGCAGGAAGCTTTTCTGGGTGGTGTTCCCAGAGACCCTGAGTGCCGGTTACAAAAGGGAGGCATCCCTTGTCCGTTACGTTTGCCTGAAGAACATTCTGAACGGACTCTGGCATCAGAGAGATTAATTCCGACTGTGGAGGGCAATAGACGGCGCCCTTGCCTTGGATCAACACACTGTCCATACAGCTGCAGGTAACATTGTTAGTATCGATGGACTGGAACAATCGCACAGAGAATGCCACTTGGAGCGCGAGGGGAATTAAAGCAATAAAGGTAGAATGCAAGGGATGGAGATTCCGTACAAGATGTCATAGCCTGTTTGCTTCAGTGCATCCATATAGTCAACAGAGGTGTATCGACTCCAATCAGAAACGACGATAAGTTCGGCATCATGCTCCGCTTGCTTTATTGCTCTAAGTTCGTTCTCGTCTGTTGTAATCATCGAAAAGGGATCTTCTCTTTCTGGCGATGGCCTGCATTGCTTCAGTTAGCTAGAACAAGCAAAATTCTCTAGTGGCACCGCCAAATTTTCTTCTGGCATAACAGGCTTTTTTGAAACTAGGGATGCGGTACGAGAATAGAAATGGGACCGAGGATGGGTGTTCCAAACACTTTTCTGATATGAACTGAAATGAACTAAGATACTCACCGGACACGGACTGCCCCATATAGGCCGTCTTGCAGGGTTGCCATATCGTGCGAATGATACCAGTAAGTCCCATAGATATTATTGGCATGCCACTGGTAGGTGAACGACTCTTCGGGTTTAATGGCCCACTGGGTCAAGCCAGGTACACCATCTGCCCACGCCGTATTCTTCTGCCTATATGAGGAATAATGAGTATTGGAAGGTCTTCAGCAAGTGAAGGGAAAAAAAGGGCGTCAATCACATACTCGATTCCGTGGAAATGCACTGTCGTATTGAACGGTAAATTGTTTTTCACCTTCACTGTAACATCGTCGCCCTCATCCACAATCAATGGAGGTCCCGGAAACTGTCCATTGATAAAGACCATATCTCTCTCCTGTCCATTGGGCGCTCCGAGCCCCCATGTAAGTTCGAGATCGAAATGGACATGGGCACTTTGTGCCAGATTCGCCATAGCGGCCAAGGGCAACATCAATCGGCTGGAAAGAGCCATGATGTGTCTTTGGGCTGGTTACTAAACTGATCAAATCGACAAAGAAGGTGACTATCAAGCAACGAGTCAAGGGAAAAAAAGTCACTGGCAGGAACTCGAAGTAAAATGGAATGAATTCCAAACACTCGACTTAAAAAGAGTTTCTGCATCGAAATGCAAGTTTGATATACTACGCCTACGGCCAATCCCTTGCCGTTAGCAATCAAACTCCATTGTGTAGAGATTCGATGAGCAAAGGTGCCGCGTTTTGTCAACAACCGCATTTGGAAGGCGTGTTATTGTTTGCATGTATCCGGCGCTGTTATCGCTCATACACACATTCCTCGGCCCGGCGCGTCTGAGCCCTAACCAGGGCCTGAGGTCTGCTTCCAGTAAGTCAATGTTCCCAGTGTGTTTTCGATTGCAATTTATTCAGTCATTATCTACTTCAACTGGCAGTTTTAGATCATTTTGCCACTAAGCAACAAGCCCTCATTCTCGCGGTGAATGACGCGTGGCAATCATCTGGCTTCAGCCTTCACATCATGCATGCAGGACTGATAGATTTCAGACTTAAAAATAGAGCGTTACTAGGCGCACACCCCTTTATTCTAACTATTCTAATTAATCCAATTTTAGCATACTCTGGAGTGCCATAGGCATATGCAATGAGAACAATCTGAGGCTCTTAGTACAATTTACTAGTAACCTACCCTACAGTAGAACCTAGCTATAACGGAAGGCCTCCCTAGATCAGAATTGATCCCAGCTTAGATTACTTAATATGGGAGTGAAGGGCATTCGGATTATTAATAACTAAATGTATCAATGTTCTAGAGTGCTCTTCATCTCCAAATCAAACTCACTTCTAGGTATATCGACCTGAGAGGCCTTCAGTTTGTTGATAACCAGGTTCTGCTGTAGTACGCTGTCTAGTATGCTTTTCAATAAAATAAAAGGGGGGCGTGCTCTGCATACTTATTGGTATGCTTGAGGCACTTCTTTGGGTTTTTTTCAACGCAGCTCGGTAACAAGAGGCTTGGAATTATTACTACTCGTATGATGGCAAAAACAGAATCAACAGAACTGTGAACTAAAACTGAAAGGACATGCTTAAACTCTCAATCAATCTTTCAACGTTAGAGGTAGACGCCTGCAATCTTGGCAGGCTCAACAAAGCTCCCTCCGACAGGCGCAGTCTGGCCACCATTGGTCGCAATGTACAAAGTTCCCCAGGGTCCGTTTTGAACAAATTGGACGGTTGTTGGTCCGGCAATGTCAGTCGAATTGATTCCGCCGTAAATGACATTGGTTGGGTGATCATCGGCGTCAAGGTCGATTGTGATTATGGAATTCTGAGTAAATGTTGCCATGAAAGCTACACTGCCGTTCGGAGCCAGGGCAAATCCATCAGTCACAAGGTTCTGGTCGTCCAAAATAATCTCGATAGATCCAGTAGCATTGCCTTGTTCAAGGTCGACCGGCACACGGCCAAAGATCTTCTTCTGCGTAGCAGTAAAGTATAGGTGTTTGTTCTGCATGTGCAGATTGTTTACCCCAGATAGACCGTCGTCTTGAATAACAATAGAGTATTCACCGCTTGTTGTGTCCAACTTGTAAATTGCGCCCTGGACAGCATCTGCGATCAATACATAAACAGTGTCTCTGGTCTTCTGGAAAGTCGTGACTCCATGTAAAAATCCCGCTTCGGGAATGGCTGCAATTAGGCATGCTGTGGCATTATTGTCAGAGTCGATAGTGACTTTCCATGCCGAAAATGAGCCTATTTCTGGAGCGAGTGTGGTAGTGTTCAGGTTTCCCCCAATAACCACGTACTCATCATCATCAATCGCAGAGATTCCAATTAGATTTCTGGCATCTGAGATGTTTGTGGCTAGCTGAGCAGTGCCTTCGTCCACATTGATGGTCCATACTTCTGGCACATCGGTTCGTGTGATAACCAGATCATTGTTCGGCCGGTTAGCTATATTTGCAATCCACGTTCCGTTTTCTGAGTACTGATAGACGGTGAATGGACTGGTTTCTGCAACTCGAAAGCCGGGTGTGTTGGAAGCTATGGCTAGCAAGGGCAGCACTGCCGAGCTGAGCAACGAAATAGCGTTTCTCATCTTTTCGGTAGTAGTTCTCTATAGATATAGGACAGCCTTGAAGAGATGGGTTGGGGATACGTACTTTCTACAAATTTTTAAACAAGGACAAAAAGAAAAACAGCGTTAATTGTGTTGTGGTACATTGTCAACAACCCTGGAGTATTATTCCGTGGCCGAGCCTGGCCGAAGTATTCATTCTCATTCCATCCTGCATTCCACGCGTTGCGCTGACTACCTAGTTACAGAGCACCAAGTTCTCATTCTTCAATCCTAATTAGTTAATTTGTCCCTTTGTTGACTAATACCCTTCTTGATACCACACTATTTGTAACAAGCCTTGAAGACATCCTCAAATTGATACTCATTCCAACGAACGGTAGGTTTCAGACCAGCAAACTTCCACACTCCATCTATCTTGCGATAGTAGTGTTCATTTGTGGCATGACCATGTCCTTTAACTCTAACAGTTTTCATGTCCGTATCGGTGTAGACCTGGTGGGCAGCTCGAAGCTGATGATGACCGATAACCTCGGTATCAGAGATTTTCTCCCACCATGTCTGTCCCAAGAGGTGCTGAGTCTTAACAGTAGGATCGCCCAAAAATCCAGGATCAGTCACCATATCCATAAAAGCGTCGGCGCTCATTGATTCCCAGCGCCGAAGCCCAACTTCGGTGTAATCGACCTATAGCATTGTAAGTGGGATGTAACACATTGGCTTCGTATGGCTCACAGTCAATGTTGGAGCAATAATTCCTCTTAGTCTTCCCCAGTCCTAAATTTTAATTAGTCTCTTGAATAAAGTCATGTGTTTGTCAAGATTACCTTGGAGTCGTAACTGTCGGCCCAGTCAAAAACAACTTTGGATAGTTCAAGGTAGTCTAATGCGGTTTGTCAGTAATTCCTTATTCAATTTGGCTCCAGAAAATGTCCACAAATGTTACCTTGAAAGCTGATGTCCAAACTTGGTTTGTTTGAGCTCACAAACACGGATGGCGAAAAATCATCGTTTTCAAGAGACGGGGCCATGGCGGAACCTGAATTGAAGACTTTGCGTCTATAGACCTCAAATGAATTGTTTCGATCAGTATTGCTGGTTGATTATTCTTAGGTACACAACTGGCGTATAGGTCAAATGTTCTGCACCGGATGATGTCTGTTGTCCTGCAGAGATAAGATTGGAATATCAATCTCCAGTCCGATCTCTAGGAAACACTGGAATCGCCGTTGTGCCGGAGAACGAGGTGCTTTCAGGCAATTATCTTGCATTATGCCTAGCTACACATTCCGCATTCGTGCTATAATCCACGCTCAAATATCCGGCTAGGAATACGCAAACCTGTGGCCAACGCACCTGTCCAACACCTGCATCAACTGCAACCAAAGCTTGTATCTATCAGCTGATGGTTTGGTTTCACAAACAGGTGGAGTAGACTCAAAATCCGATGCTTTCCAGTGTGTGTTTGTTTTTCAACGTTTCTTGGCACTGCGACGTACCCAAAAACAGTAGAGAACGCAAGATTTCCGCTTTCGGCAATTTTCAGATACAGAATGTAACCCTGAAGGTGAATTTGCCACAGCCACATAATTGAGACTGGGGTTTATTTTTATCCTACAGTAGATGTATGTTTTCCCGAAAACACCGGATATTCTTGGCTCTTCTGATTTCAGGATGTTTGTGGTCTTATCTTTCAAGCCCAGCGGGGGATATTCCCTCAGATAAACACGCTCGCGGTCATTTACTAATATTTAACGCGCGTCCTCTGGCGCATTGGAAGCTCAAAGCTACACATTATACCGCATAGAGAAAAGCATCTAGCCTCGAGGCTTCCTTGCATAAGTTCCAGTTCTAGTTCATATATATCTCATTTCCGTTACCTCGATACTTGCTCTCATCATTCTTCCCACCATTTTCAGCGCTCCTCTTCCACATCAATTCACCATGGTAGCTCCAAGCAACAACACAAATGGCAGTGTTAGCTATGCCACACAGAGAAATCTTCTTGGTAAAGTAGCACTTGTCACTGGTGCCGGCCGCGGTATTGGCGCTGGCATTGCCCTCGAACTAGCCAAACGAGGTGCATACGTGGCCATCAACTACTCCTCCAGCGCAAGTTCTGCCAACCAAGTCATTCAATCCATTGAGGCCTTGGGATCCCGTGGCGCGGCTTTCAAGGCCGACATCACCAATGTCGACGAGATCGAGGATCTGTTTCGCAACGTGCAGGCACACTTCGGCCGCATTGACATTGTTGTTTCCAATGCAGGCAAGGAAAAGTTCAAGCCCTTGAGCCAAACGACATTGGAGGACTTCAACGAGATATTTGACCTCAACACACGTGCCCAGTTTTTCGTCACCAAAACTGCCCACAAGTATATTGAGCAGGGAGGGCGCGTGATTCTCATGTCATCAATTGCCGCCGGCGTTGCTGTCCCTGGCCACGCTCTGTATGCAGGCAGCAAGTCAGCAGTTGAAGGCTTTACGCGCTGCTTTGCCGCTGACTTTGGCGAAAAACTTTGCACGGTGAACGCCATTGCGCCAGCCGGCATCAAGAGCGACATGTGGCTGGCGAACGCTTGGCGATACGCTCCAGGATGCGACAAGATGTCTTCTCTGGAGGAAATCGAATCCGCCTTGGCTAATGGAAGCCCACTCAGAAGATGCGGTGTTCCTGCTGATATTGGCCGAATTGTTTCTTTTCTAGCCAGTCCAGATGGCGAATGGATTAATGGTAAGCTCCAACTCTTGTTTTTTCGTCCCTGGCAAATATCAAGCTAATAATCGATTCTCTATTTTGTAGGTCAAACAATTCCAGTCAATGGCGGTGCCAACATTTAAGAAGCTCCAAGTTATTCTCATTTGCCACATGTTTCTCTTTCTTCTTCTCTTTTTTTTTCCTTTTTTTTTTCTTTTGCAGCTTGTTTCTCTTTTCTTTCTAAGGTTTGACGCATGAGGGGGTAATGAGGTTCATTCAACTGTTATCTGTCTACTCTGTAAATACTAAACATGAGAAAGGAGATTTATTGATTTCATTCATTGATTTCATAGTAACTACAGTTTGTAAAGGCTTCTACACATACTGATCACTTTGAAGGCAACAAATTGCATTTATAGTATTTAAATCACGAGGCAAAAGGTTTACAAAACCTTTGCTGTCTGCAAAGACGCTGTCATAACGATCATGGGAAACCCGCTCCCCATCGGGTGCCCCTACCGGAAGACGGTCATGTAAATCCACAAACAAGAGAATAATAAAAAATCAAAATCTCCGATATAACCAGCAACCTTTTTTTCCGCTTCACTGTAACGTTAGGTCTGATAATACTTTGCCTCTAATTGCAATTTTGAGGGTATGTTGCATCTTGGCCGGGCTTCTGAACCTGGTTATTTGGACTTTCCTATTTGAGAAAGAATTTCCGAAAACGGAAATTCTTCGTACAGCTGAGGAATTGCGCCACCTTGCTAGCAACAAAAAAATAATTGTCTTAAACTGCTATAAAAAACCAATTCTAGAGATATCTAAAGAATCGAGGTGATCAAATAATGTGGAGACAGAGGACGTCTGCAAGTTTTGCTCGGGGAATTACCTGATCGCAATCGGAAGTGAGGAAACATGTTTTCAGTGGCGCACAGGATACTACTCATAGACTGTTTGTGACTTGAATCGGGTAAAAGCTATGCGCATCAATTGTTTGTTGTGGCAAGATTGAATGCTCACGTCTTTTCTGCAGACGGAAGAACCCTTCGCCTCCCAAAGAGACGTTTTTCGACACGATCTACCCAGTCTCGGAAGTAAATCGAATACGCATTTGGATTGTACCTCTTTCTAGTTCAATTAATGAAACCTTAGATAAACCTTGATAAAGGCAGAGGGTACCGAGGAAAAAGTATAATGATAGTTCTGTATTACTTTCAAACGTAGTGAAAGTTAATTTTCTTCTTTGCTCTTCCAATTTTCTTTCTACCTTGCCAGTCATTTATAGTTTCCTGTCAAAAGACAGAATGACTAATTGGATTTTGGGCGACAAGTTCTATGCGGTTTATCCGCACAAGAACTCAATCAAGGGCCTGTGGGAATCCAAATGGAAAGCGGCTGTAAGTCAGAGAATTATGATCTGGTCGCCTTATGCTAACGAAATCAACATAGTGCATGAAATCTGTCTATCCATTCCATGACGGCGCTTATGAAGACTTCGAGCCCATATTCGAGAGGCTCATTGCTGAAAATATCAATGACGCCTACGCAGACGAGTTCACCAACTCCTTCTTGCCGACAGCTGAAGCTCTCGAGGCCAAAGCCCGTGAAGCAGCAGAAGATGGCAGACAAGAGCAAGCCGCCGAATACTACCGACGTGCAGCTGTTGTCTATCGCATTTCGCGCTTCCCATACGTCAGCCCTGATCCTAAAGGCAGCGTGGCAACAAGCCTTCTGAAGCGCGCAGCTTTCAATCGCCAGAAGCAGGTTTACCTCAAAGCCGCATCAACGTGGAGCCCACCAATTAAAGAAGTGGTCATTCCTCACAAATACCGTGCAGGCAAGGATGGTGCCTCCATTCCTCTGTTAGTTCGTATTCCACAGCATGCAGACCGTACTAATCCCGTTCCCGTTGTTCTGCTCATGACCGGCCTGGATGGATATCGGTGCGACAACTCCCAACGCACCCATGAACTTGTCGGTCGCGGATGGGCAACTGTCATCTGCGAGATCCCAGGTACGGCTGACTGTCCTGCCGACCCTGCCGATCCGGAATCTCCAGATCGGCTGTGGAACTCGGTGTTGGAATACATCGCCTCTCGACCTGAATTCAATTTGCAGAAAGTCACAGCGTGGGGTTTGAGCGCTGGAGGTTTCTATGCCATCCGTGCAGCTGCAACTCATCGTGACCAGCTTTTGGGCTGCGTCGCACATGGGCCCGGCACGCATCACTTCTTGGATGAGAAATGGCTGGAGCGAATTGATGATCATGAATACCCTTTCATGTTAGTTTCTGTTCCTTTTACCTAAGAGATTTTAGAACTCTCCATGCCTCTATTGCTTAATACTAATGATCGTTAATATAGACTATCTACTTCTATGGCCGAGAAGTTCGGATACAAAAGTGTCGAGGATTTCAAAAAGAATGCGCAGAAGAAGTTCTCGCTTCTTGAGACAGGAATTGCAAAGAAGCCTACCTCCAGGCTCCTTTTGTTGAATGTGAGTATCTCTTCTCCACCATCTAGTTCAAAAGAGATAGAATAAAATTCGTGGTCCATTGTTCGCTAATAACGATCCGTAGGGTGTCGATGATGGCGTCGTCCCAATCGAAGATTCCCTTCTCCTGTTCAACTATGGAAGCCCCAAGGAAGGCCGGTAAGTGCTTCGTCTATTTCCATTGTTCAAAGCTTTTCTAACATAAGGAGCAGATTTGTTGAAAAATTAGCCCACATGGGCTACCCAGACACCCTAGCTGTCGCTTATGAGTGGTTTGAAAATCTTCTGGCCAAGGACGCGAAGCCAGATTTGAGAAACTGATGGCCTTTAACCCACTATCTCAAAAAATACCTGTACTCTGACTTATTTTTTTTTTATTTCCTACTGTGTCTGTATCGTTAGTTAAAAGGAACGCATAAAAATGTCGAGAGCAAAGGGTGAACAATAGGAGGACTTGCAAGCATGCCTGTTATGTATCTGGGTACTATTGAAGGAAGCTAAAATCATCTATCTGAACTCTGTATGGATTGCTATTGTAAAATTGTTTTTCTTTTACATACTTATGTAAACTTGCTAATGGTAGGCAGATATTATAGATATCTTCAAAGCCGTAAGTAGACATGTTTATTGGCAAATGGCTGGATGCAAATAGTCAGTCACCTCAATTGAAGTTCAACCAAGAAAATTGAATTATTGGTTGATAAAAATCTAATTGATAGATATATATACATCTGAAACAGAATTTATGACAAGAAAACTAGAAATAGACATTACATCTAAGAATATGTGCCACGCTGGCAGGCAGACTTCGAAAACCTGGTTAAAGAGAGACAAGGACCGAGAACAGATTTAAACGTGTTAATAACTTCAATTTACCACAGGCAGACTTCAGGTGGCAGTTCTTTTAGATATGCGGTATGCAAATATAAAGCATGTAGGTAACCAGCTTTGCAAAGGCCAAGAGCCTTAGGCCAAAATCAGCCCGAAACGGAAGTAAATGATTTACGGTTCCTCAGGCGGGGGATAAGAAGCCCTAATTCCGGGTTAGTTGAGAACCTCACAGGTCATAATTGATTAAACAGGAAGCAACAAGGGAAGTACAAGGCTGAAACTCACCCTGAATCACCTGGATATATATAGTCATTTGCACCGTCAAGATCCAATCCTTCTTTTCCAGCCGCATTCCCGCTAGAAGGCGATCCGTAGGCATCACAGATACGTATATCTTGAGGAGTTATGTACAAGTCTTGCAGTTTGTCGGGTGCTTCGATGATGGTTGCCGTAAAGCCAGCCTCGACATGATACTCAATGTGGCAATGCAACAGCCAGACTCCTGGGTTATCAGCGCGGAATCGGATCACCGCATGTCCATAATTCTGCACCATGATGGTATCACGTAAGACTGGGGTGGACGATACATTGGCGAAGTAGCCATCAAAGTAGCCTCCATCAACAGCGCTACGCTGAATTACTTGAAATTGATGGCCGTGCAAATGCCATGGATGGAGATTATCATGATAGTTATTGATCACAATTTCCACAACGTCATTGTACTCAAGAACAATAGGATTAACGTCCCCGTACACGTCCGGATTGGAATAATACTCAGAACCGACGGTCAATGCTGTGTAAAGTGTGGGGACTTGCTGAGGTATGTATGTCTGTCCATTGATAGTGAACCGAGTCACCCCATTTTCGACCGTCTGGCCAGTATGGAGAATAATTTGGTGGTCGACCGGCTCCAGAATAGGATCACCATTGTATGGCACAAACTCAACATCATCGATAAAATCAAATTCATTAACGACGGGAGGTGGTGGCAGCGGTAAGGATTCATCGTAAACCAGCCATGCAGTTGCATTAGGGTTGTAATTGTCTGGGACCGTCCGGTTTTCGTAAATGAACATCATGTTGATATCCATGGTATCCCAGAAAGCATAGTTCTTGCTTGCATCGTCTTTGGTTTTGATAAGAACGCCCATACGTTGACCAGTTGTGATGCGAATGTTCTTGTCGCCTACTGGATATGGTTCTATCCAGACGCCGTCTATTTCGACTACGGTCATCTCATGATCCTCAAAAAGGAACGTATGACCGGGCCAGTTTCCAATGCAGATGAAGCGAATGAAATAAGTCTTCCCCGGCTGGACCTTGAACTGCGTCTGCGTGGAGTCATTGATCAAAGAAGCATCCGGAAGTGGTTCCTCGCCGAAGTTATTCTCCGTATTATCAACTGACTGATACTGGTCGAGCAATTCAGTCATTTGCTCATGGTACCAGTCCGTCAAGGTGATGGTTATTTCTTCGTCAAAATCAAAAGGAGGATTTGGATCATGGACAATCAACGCGCCGCGCAGGCCATCAGGGTATTGTCCCATGTTGTGCGAATGGTACCAGTACGTTCCAGCTTGGTCAAGCTGTTGATATTAAAAGAGAGATTAGCACGCCGTCTTGGGAACACCTTTTCATGGAAGGAACTAACAATAAAATCATAACGAATACTCGAACCAGGAGCAACAGGGCATTGGGAAACGCTTGAAGTGCCATCCATAGTTCCGGTCGTGTATTGGTGTATACCATGCCAGTGGAGGCCAGTTGACTGGTTTCCCAGGCCGTTCTCAACGTCGACAATAAGCCTGTCACCCTGTTCGGCATCAATCTGGGGACAAGGCCATTCATTGTTGATACCAATCACGGGCCTCTCATAGCCATCTGGGGCAGCATTGACCCAGGTAATATTCCATCTTAGGTGAACATCCTTCGCCGCGACGGACTGGACAATCCCGGAAACAAACAGCAGGAAAAGCGGCACAAACATGAGCGCAATCTTTGTCTGCCTCAGGCTAGAGACAATAAGCAAATGATTGACTTTAGTTGGTAATAGCGACCGACAAGAGAGAAACAAAAACAAAAGGGAAAAAAAACGACTTTTGGCGAATGATTGGACGGTGTCGAAAACCTACCAGAGAACAGAAAGGAATCAGAAATACAAAAGCCCAATTGCAGCTTCTATTTTAAATGCAAAAAGCATAAAGGCCTCCGATCATGCAATGTTTTGATTAAGTCGTATGTGGAAATACCAACGCGAATCAAGTCGAAATTGCGGAATGCTGCCTCCTCGCAGCATTGTCAACATAGAACATGGTTCGTTGGAACGAAAGGAAGCTCACCTGAACAACAAACATTGACAGAGAGCTATGTTCTAGGCACGCAAAGAATTTTCTTGGCCTTATTAACTGGTTGAGCGTAGTTGCTTTTCTAGACGGCAGGGCAAATTGCAAGTGTGCCGAGGTATTCCCCTTGCGTCTGTATAAGGTGAATTGAAAATTTGGATAAATGTACTATACGATCTTCCTTGGGTTGTCTAAAACCTTAAACAGGGCCCTCAACTTATAAAAATATAGCTTCTATAGATTTACAACAAGATGAAAGCCACTTGGACTCTTCGGTACAGCCCAACGTTTTCATCGACTGAGTCATCAGGTGTTGTTACATGTACTTTGCCCAACTTGTCTTGCATTAAACCGTAATTGGATATTATAGCCAATGTCAAGTATTAAAGTGGATGCTGTGTTTACTTAAACACAAGGAGATGTAGTTTGCCTCAGGGCCATTCGAATGCCGGTGGCAAAACAAGGTACAAAGAACCAAGCCAGAAACTTGAATCACACCCAAAGATTCGGCCAGGAGATTTGATTAGTTCCCGAACAATGACTGATTGTTTCCAGGTCCTGAGGTTGCAATCGATCGAAAAACGCTGTTGATCAACTTCTAAAGTAGGGCTTATGGTAACGATATCGACGTTCCCGGATAGATGTAGACAGACGGACTTGGAAAAGTGCCGGGAAATCTCACTGCATGGAAGATGAGCCAGTTCAAGTTCAAACGCAAACTGCTGTTACATAACAGAGACAATACTGTGTGAGCTTCTCGAATGCTTTCAACTGGGTAGGTATCTCTCTCACTTTAGGGTTACTGTTGTTAGGGCTAAGTGCGGGACGGTTGTGTGCTTTCGAGGAACAGCTCAACCACCAACCTTTCCTATGTAACCTTTCTTATACTAGTAGTAGTGTGTTAGATTAAGAGACTTTATCTTAGAATATAAGAACTTATTTAAATGATGAAGTGTAATTCTGAGGTATTCTAGGGAAGAGAGTTCATTACCATCGAATTTCCCTTTATATATATGTATTCAGCAGGCGGAGGTAATCCCGATGTGTTCTACGCCTGAGGAAACTTACTCCAGTGTTTTAGAGTGTTTTCAAGGTTGATATCAGTGGCTTGAGCCCGAGTTCTCTCTAGAAATCCATTTAAAACAAGCCTTTTCTTTATGATGCAGAATGTTCTAGGTTAACCCCGCAACTCGGAGACAAATCCGACGCGGATTATTTTCCTAAACGCAGGCATATCCCCTCTACTAGATACAGGTCAAGGTTTCTACATAAAGTGAATGGGTGCGATGTTTATAGATGTTCAAACAAGACTGGGAACCATATTCCCCGCACCTCGAATTATACATCTATCATATCACGCCTACCCCGGATTCCAGGGCCACCTTGAATTTTACCGCCGTATCTTTTTGATGCTTGGATATTAGAAAAAGATCGAAAACATGTCTCCAGTAAAAGAAATAGAAATTCCGTCTTTCGACAACCTCACTCTTGACCCCTCTGGCCCCAAGGGCAATACCTGGGGCCTCTTTGGCAAAGACAACCACCTGGGTATGCTGAATCTGCTCACACCAGACGTTGTCAAGCGGGCAGCAGCAGAGGAGATAAAAGACGGAGTTCGCTTCTCACTGGACTGGAAGCTGAATGCGTTGCATAAGCCTGCATTTGGCCGACAGTCGTTCGAGCAGAAAATTCATAACAAGGCACCTAGATCAGTGAACGACGATGTTTTGGTATTCAATACCCAGTCGAGCTCGCAGTGGGACGGATTTAGGCATTTTGGTTCCTCTTCTGATCTGAAAATATATTTGATTCAGGGATTCTGACTAACTTTCAAGATCAGGAAATCAAGCGCACAAGGTATTTTACAACGGGACGACACAGGAGACCATTGAGAGCACCAACATCCTCGGAATTGACAGTAAGCAGTGGCTTATCATTACCGTCCTAACATTCCTCTCCCAGTTCCAACTCTGTGTTTCTGACTTTTGATCATAGCATGGGTAGACAATGGTGGCGTTGTTGGGCGCGGTGTTTTGCTCGACATTGCCTCTTACGCCGAAGAACATGACATTATATTTCCTCCTTTCGAGAGCACTGTCATTCCACTCAATGTCGTCAAACAGGTCGCCGCAAAGGAACAGGTTTCATTCCGGCCTGGGGATATACTTTTCATTCGCGTTGGATTCACCAAGGCATACGAAAACCTTCCCGTCGAGGAAGGCATCGCACTTGGTCAACGACCAGTCTCGAAATTCGTAGGAATTGAGTCCAGCGAAGCCACTCTCCGATGGCTTTGGGACAACCAGTTCGCCGCATTGGTAAGTGATGCAGTCGCAGTCGAATCTTCCCCGGTGGATGGTCCGCAGATACCTCAGGAATGGTCTGTTCATCAATGGTGTTTGGCCGGTTGGGGAATGGCCCTGGGTGAGATGTTCAACTTGGAAAAACTAGCCAGTCATTGCGCGGAGAAAAAGCGATGGACCTTTTTCTTTTCTAGCATGCCCTTAAACGTGAGACACTATTCTTCTTAGCATTGTTGAACCCGAGGTCCCCCTACTAACATAGATGCGCGCTGTATACAGGTTCCTGGAGGTGTGGCTAGCCCGCCTAATGGTGTTGCTATAATGTGATATCTTATATAGTTCAGCTGTATTCATGGCTCTCGCCACGCATAGATATGTACATAAATTCTAACTAACAATAAGATGCAACACGATGCAAACGAACACTTTTGGAGTATTCTACCCAGGTATCCAGACTTACCCGATACGCCCGCCAAAAGAATATGCAAAGACCGGTCAGAAACAAATTGAGATCAACAACTCATTAAGAGACTGGCTCCGTTGCCAGCGTCAGTTTACTTCTGTCATTTCCTGATCAACTGGCGCACTCTCATCAATCCTCAGTGTGCCGTTTGTTCTCTTTGACCCAAGAACAGGTTTAGACAGCAGATAGTTCAGGTCATACACATTCTTTTCTGTGAGGCGCTTGAGACTGTCTCTAAAATCATCTAGAACTCTCTGTAGAGCGCGGAGTTCCGGTGCTAGTTGACCGTTATAGTCTTTCAGGTACCGACCGTGCACGCTGAGAATAGACTCGATCCAGAGCAAGTTAAACTCAAAGTGAGGTGTCTCATCTGTTGAATGGGCAATGAACCGAATGAACCGAGGGAGATATGTCTGCGGAATAGAGCGTACAATGTGCGGAATGTCCCGATATGGAATGCTCTCATATACGGTCCGAATAAGCGGGGCTTCGTTCAGGCGAAATGCCATTATCAAAGCCTTGAGGAACGAAGCATCTTCCGTAGATGTTGCGTGAGACGATTTTCGAGCTTCTTCTAGCGTGTCGAGGATAGAATCCGGAGTTATGTCTATATCCAAATCGAATGGGTCAAAGACGAATTCTGTATCCAGACTATATATCAAAAGGCCTTCTGTCGTCGCCGCACAGAAAGATCGGCCAGTTGGAGAGAAAGACACGGCTGAAACCCGCACCTCGGGTTTTGTGTTTCTCGCTCCGGCATCGCCACGCTTAGCACCGGGCAAGCTGCGGTCGATACGATCTTCGAGATCTGATGCTTCACCGGTCTCGTCGAGTAAGCCGCGGGGCCCAGCTTCGGTCATGTTCTTGCTATTCAAATACTCCTGGGTACCATCAAGTGACATGTTCACAGACACGGTGAACTTCTTAACGAGCGAGCCTGTGGTAACATCATACAGACAAATGTGTTTGCTGTTACCACCAGCTAGCAAGCAAGATCCATCAGCGCTGTATGCGATTTTTGTAAATGATTTTGTACCCTCCACATTGGCAGCTGTTCGCCGATCAGAGATTTTTCTTCCTCCGGAAACGTCCCGGCGTCCTTCAATGGCGCTTTCTTGAACGGCATCGAAGACATTCCAGAAGCTGAGTTGGCCGTCAAGACTCGACGCGGCTATTTGATTTCCATCAGGCCGCATGTCGACACTCAAAACATCGGACTGTAATTGCAAAGGCTCACTGGTTTGCGACCGGCCAAAAATACTCCATATTCGGACGGTTCGGTCCCAGCTACCACTGGCCAGATGGCTACCATCTGCAGCAAATGACAAGGACACGACAGGCCCTTCATGCCCAGCGAGTTGTTCAAGCAGTTGACCGGTCTGCACAGACCAAACATGTATGTCGAAAGAATCTTGTGACCCAGCGCAAACAACCTCGCCACTGGGATCAACAGCCAAAGACGTGAATCCAAGTCTAGATGGAGCTGTGAAAGTTCTGAAATTGCGATATCTTATAAGATCCCAGGCTCTGACTGAACCGTCCAGTGACGATGTATAAAGAACATTTCCCTTTTTGGAAAACTTGCAGTCTGTGACAGCACTGGTGTGTTCTGTAAAGGTAACGATGCAAAATCCGGATGTAGTATCCCACACCTTAATTTTACCATCCTCGGCCGTAGTGATTACCCGCTGCCCATCTGCTGAATAGACTAGGGAATTCAATGAATCCAAATGCCCTTGCTGCTTAAGGATGTATGACTCCGACTGCCATTCCCAGACGAGGAGTTGACCAAACTTAGTCGACCCGAAGGCCAGCCATTCTCCTGACTTGTTCATCGTGACGAAGTCGATGTTACTTTGTGACACACTGAAAGCAATCAGCTTTATATATTAGGAGCTTCCACTAGTTGATTGACTTACCTCAATGTATGGATGTTGTTAAAGTCCGGCAATTCATATAAACCGAAGATGCCATTGGAGAAACCAACCACCAGGAGATTTGACTTGGCATGGAAAGAAGCGCATTTCAATTTGGCATCATTTTGCAAAAAGAAATCCTTCTTCATGATTCTCCAACGTTCGTCCTGCTCCATTTCCTCTTCTAGCCTTTTTGATGTGTACTCCCATCGGAAAAGCGCACCATCCTCGCTTACTGTGTAAATCTAACGGAGAGTCAGCAAGACGCTATGGCAAACATTGGTCGATCAAATCTTACAGCTTCTTGGTCTGCGGAGAAGAATGCGGCCTTGACTCCCTGACGATGTCCTGCAAGGGTAGTCGGCTCGAATCCGTCTTCGGGGTCTAGGCTCCATATCCGCGCAGTCAAGTCCTTCGAGGATGTTAGGATGAAACGAGAATCACTCGACCACTCGATATTTTGAATGACGTCAAAATGCCCTGTTAGCTCCCTGTGTAGAACAAAGGGCGCGAATTCCAGATCTCCGCCAGCATCAGTCCCTGGCACCGACGGTGTTTGCCATAGTTGCAGTCGCCGTCCCACGCCCACTGCGAAGTGACGGCCGGACGGAGAGAATTTCAGGGCATCGGCTGGGCCCTTCAGTGAGATGTGGTAAATAACAATGCGGCGCTTGAAGTTGGTCAAAATGGCACGGCCGTCTTCATCGACGGTCAGAAGCAAATTGCCTTGGGGATTAAGGTCGAGGCGAACGATGTTCTTGCGGTGGAAAAGAGGTAGAGTATAGGACTTGTTGCTACAATCGCTGTTAATCATTTGTTTTTGCTTCCGGCAACCATAAATAGCACATACTTGACCAGGTCAAAAACGGTGACTCTGTTGCCCACGGGCGACAGCAGGCAGGTTCCGTCGGGGGTAAAAAGCAAATTTCCTTTGCGATAAACAGTCCCCAAAAGATTGGAGAACTGCAATTGGGGGAGAGTCAGCATGTGAGCGCTAATGCGAGAGCATACGCAAAGGGCGTACCTTGAAGTCCGTCTTCATTTTCCGGTGAATGAGTGGTCCTGCTGTCTGGAACAAGCATCGCCCCTCCGCCAGAACAATTTTTTGAAGCTTTTCTTCGACCTCGGAACGATAAGCAATAGTTAATCCGCTCCGGAGACGCGGCTAGCCTGACTCGGACAAGCGCGGTCCGGGGCCTGCGCCTTCCCGGATTAGGGGCTGGCTGGAGGCTGTCATTCGCTCGTTTCTGTTTAGCTGTGTACAACTCGGACTCAGAGTTCAGGGGCAGACAAGACAACCATCGCCAGAACAATCACCGCCAACCTAGCCAGCTAGTGTCTCCTAGCCCGTCTCCGTCTTTTGCTTCCCCATCTGATTCCCCTTTCCTCTTCATCTGTCTTGCCTGCCTCCCTCTGTTTTTTCACTGCTGCAGTTCTGTGGTCTAAGACAGACAGCTCCTGTGACTCGGCTCTTTTTCAATTCTCTGAATCACTTTGTTAAAGATGGCTACCACTGAGACTGCCTCGCCTATTGGCATTGCCAATGTAAGTATTCGTAACTCTTCCAGTGCGAATTTGCATGCAATGCCTGTATCATACATGAACAGCTACTGATCGATGTCTCCTTTTCTAGCTCCCCAACCAGCGGTACGTGAATTGTGTGATGATCTACAGTGAACCAGTGATTGTTCGGACTTGAATTGATGGATGGAATAGCCATAAGATTGTCGCAAAGCGGGGAGCAGCTTTCACGATTATGGTGTGTCTTCCCTGGGTTTTGCAAAAAAACGCAACTAGCAAGAAAGCTTACAAGTAGTGCGTGTGTGCAGGTTGCTGGTGAGTCTGGCTTAGGAAAGACTACATTCATCAACACGCTTTTTTCGACTACGATTAAAAACTACGCCGACCACAAAAAGCGACACGCCAAGCAAATTGATAAGACTGTTGAAATTGAGATCACAAAGGCAGAATTGGAGGAGAAGTTCTTCAAAGGTACATGTCATCGTGATTATCCATATGCTCTGGCCATGTCTGACGTCTTGCAGTCCGCCTCACTGTTATCGACACTCCTGGCTTCGGCGACTATGTGAACAACCGTGATTCATGGCAACCCATTATCGAATTCCTGGACGACCAGCACGAGTCATATATGTTGCAAGAGCAACAACCTCGCCGAACAGAAAAGATTGACCTGCGTGTCCACGCTTGTCTTTACTTCATTCGTCCCACCGGCCATACCTTGAAACCCCTCGATATTGAAGTCATGAAGCGTTTGAGCTCCCGCGTTAACTTGATTCCTGTGATTGCCAAGGCCGATACTCTCAGTCCCTCCGACTTGGCTCGTTTCAAGCAGAGGGTACGTTGCTTTAACCGTACACATGTCTAGATTTTTATTGACGTGATCTAGGTTCGTGCTGTTGTTGCGTCTCAAGGCATCCAGATCTATCAGCCACCAGTGGAAGAGGACGATGAGCACGCCGCTGCTCATGCCCGTAGCCTGATGGCTGCTATGCCATTTGCCGTTATTGGCTCTGAGAAAGACGTGAAGAACAATGAGGGCAAGGTTGTCAAGGGCCGTCAGTATGCCTGGGGTGTCGCGGAAGTTGAGAATGAAGACCACTGCGACTTTAAGAAACTTCGTTCCATCCTCATCCGCACTCACATGCTTGACCTCATCCACACCACCGAGGAGTCTCATTACGAAGCCTACCGTGCCCAGCAGATGGAGACAAGGAAGTTTGGGGAGGCCCGACCTCGCAAGTTGGACAACCCCAAGTTCAAAGAGGAAGAAGAAAACCTGCGCAAGCGCTTTACCGAGCAAGTCAAGGTCGAAGAACAACGATTCAGACAGTGGGAGCAGAAGCTTATTTCAGAGCGCGACCGTCTCAACAAGGACTTGGAGGCTACACATGCCGCGTATGTCTTAATTTTTTTTCTCCGCCCCGTATGTGTTTGTGAAGGTTAGTCTAACTTTTTTGCAGTATCAAACAGCTCGAGCAGGAGATGGAACAGATGCAAGGATCTGCCCGAAGCGGTCGCCGTTGAACTTCTTTGGATTGATACCTACATTTCGAGAATATTCTTTGGTGGCGGCTTATCAACATGTGTGCACTCTGCGTTTCTTTCTATTTCGTTTTCGTGACTACCCTATATCTTTGGTTTGATCCTGAGTGAGCGAACAAAAAGTATTCATTCTCCTGGGCCAGACGATCCCTGACCGGGATGCGTCGGTGATTCTTTTTGTCTCTGATGTCGATTGAGTAATGGTTTCTACTTGCGCCCTACATAATATCCCTTCACTTGAACCGTAGCTTGTCAAATCGAGTTGTTTAATACTTTCATTGTTCCAACATGAGCACTCTGTAGTAGGAGCCGCTGGAAGATAAATAAAGTGGTGGGCCTGAGCTTCCGCAGACCCCACCGCCGGAGGAGCTTCTTCAATCGCAACCATGGATGATGTTGTTTGTCCTCAGTAATGAAAACTTCATCGTCTGCATATTTAGCGAACTCCGACGTCTCACAAGCCAGTTTATCTCGATGTCACGCAGCCGCCATTTCCCATCTAGCCATACGCACACTCTGAAAACCCATAATGGTACGTGACGCAGCTTTGTGCAGCGAAGAATCTTTGGTATTGACACTTTCACTTTCGAGGCCCCGTCAACACCGTGACATTTTCCAGTTACCCAGGAACATACGTCCTGACAGGTTCGACTGACCGCGCTATACACTTGTCGCGGGCTCTACCAAGCTCGAATACCCAGTCGCTCGTCGAAACTATCCACCCCATCCAGAAATACGAGGCGCATGGGTACTCGGTACTTGATATCGCCGTTAGCTCGGACAACTCACGTTTTGCCAGTGTAGGAGGCGACAGACAGGTTTTCCTCTGGGATGTTGAACAGGGGGCTACTGTGAGAAGGTGGTCCGGCCACTCGAGCCGTGTGGAAGCCGTGCAATTTGCCGGCGAAGAGGATTCCGTAGTTGTCACAGGTAAAGTACAACACGCCTATTGATTCCATTGTGCGATGTCCACTAATTGTGTTTCTTCAGGCAGCGCTGATACTACGATTAACTTATGGGACGCGAAATCCAGCTCGTACAAGCCCATCCAGAGCTTGACCGAAGCCTCCGACACAGTCTCCTCGCTCCACGTTCACATGCCCAGCTACTCGATTGCCAGCGGAAGCTACGATGGCAGAGTACGAATATATGACCTCCGCATGGGCCGTACCACCGTAGACGTCGTGGCTCACCCGGTCACCAGCGTTCGTTGTTCAGCCGACGGCAATGCGGTTCTCGTTTCCAGCCTGGACGGCACGATCCGGATGCTCGATCGCACAGACGGAAAGCTACTAAAATCCTACGGCGGAGAGACACAAGTCAATAAGTTCGGAGAGAAATACTTGAACAAGTCGCTTCGGATCCGCTCCGTGTTTGCCAGAGCGGACGCTGTCGTCCTCAGCGGAAGCGAGGCTGCAGATATGGGAGCCAAGGACAAGAGAAGCCAAGCGTCTGTATTTGCGTGGGACGTGCTGAGCGGCAACATCGTCGCGACTATACCTGCTGGAGCAGGCGTCAAAGTCGTAAGCTGCGTGGCGTGGAATGAGAAAGCACAGTGCTGGGCCGGCGCCTGTGCCGACGGTAAGTTCGCATCCCGGCAATGAGACCGCGCTGGCCAATGCTAATCGACAACTCCAGGCACGGTGAAAGTCTACAGTTGAATGAAAGACCCGAGTCGGAAAAGAGAAAAAATATCTTGTTTTTCGTCCATAATTCCACAGTTCACCGGCAGTGCCGGCAGGTACCCAACCTAAAAACCACTCGATGGTGTCGAATGGCATATCCCCGCATCACAACGTGCCAGACTATCTCCCCGGTCTTCCTCTGGCGCTTACCAGCCTCCCAGCAACGGTGAAGCTCAAGATATAATGGCTATGATAGTATAAAACGACCATGACCTACCTCGAGCAGTCTCTCGTCTTATTGAATTTTTGTATGTCGCGAACCCCTCGAGCGGTTCAAACTCAGTCCCTCTGTCTGCCGCGTTCTTAGCTATATCTTGCAATACACACACACACTCACTCACTCACTCACTCAAGATGCGTGCCTCTGCCTTGTTGCTAGCCGCATTGGCGACGGTCAGTGCAGCTTCTAACACCAATGTTACTGTCTACCGGAACGAAAGCTTTCTTCCTGGTAACATTCTGCCGCCGCCGCATGCCGTTACTGATGGCGGCGCCATCGTGGATCTTTTCCTGTCGTTGAGTAGTTCGACAAAATGGAAACTGGTCTCCAAAACCAAGATGCAAGGCAACACTGGAGAACCCGAGGGAATGGCGCGCGTAGGCGACGAGCGTCTTTTCGTCACATCCAACCAGTACACTGAATCGACGGTCAAATACAACGCAACCATCAATGGCACTGACCGAACTGACGGTGCTGGATATTGCCATATGCTCATTTACAATCTCCAAGGCCAGGTCATCGCCAATGCGTCACTCACTCCTCCGGGAGACATGGAATACCATGGCGGTGGCATCGACTATGATGGCCGCTACGTTTGGATCACCCTCGCTCAATACCGACCCAACAGCACGGCCACAATTGCTCGAATCGACCCATTAAACCTGAACACAACGCGTCTCTTCCGTGTGGGCGATCACAACGGCGGCATTGTCCACGACATCTTCACCAACGAGCTAGTAACACTAAACTGGAACGGCGCCAACGCAACGACGTTCTCATTGAACGAATACCCCATGGGCTTTACACCCATGCCCGGCTTCACCCACCCAATGAGAGACGTACCCAACCCCAGTTTCTACGTTGGCTACCAGGACTGCAAATTCCTGGGTCATCATGCTTTGCCCAACCTCCTTCTTGCTCAGAGGGGCTACAATTACCAGATCAACTTCAACCCCGTCCGCCCCGTGATGCTGTGCGGTGGCGTCGCTACGCTCGATGGCTTCAGCCTTGGCGGAATAGCGCTCGTTGATATGCTGACCATGCTACCGCTATGGGAAGTCCCCATCACTCTGACCAGTGATCTGGGCGTCACCTTGACCGAGAACCCAATTGATGCGCAGGTTGTGGATGGAAAGTTGAGGATGTGGTTCATGCCTGATCAGCATAATAGCACTCTGTATATTTACGAGGCGCAATAGAGTTGTGCGGGTCGGGCTCGTGCCTTCTCTTGGTGGATTACTGATTTCTGAGGAAGAATTATGCTGCCATGTTAGATATCTCATAGTACACACTTGGTGAATTAAAACCGAGTTGTAGAGGAGTAGAAAAGATTTTGGTATTGATCAGGAAGAATATCACTGAATTCACAATAAAGCGTGCGTATTATCTCAGAGCTCTAGAATATAGATTGTTAATCCTCTTCATTCCAGGGTCTCTGCTGTCTATCAAGATTAGGGATACCTAACTTGACTTCGTTATTAACAATAAATTTGGTTTTAGTGTGATAAAGGACTGGCACTGTACAGCAACCTTAATGTTCAGGATTCACGTCAAGATATACATCTCTTATGTGGATGAATTGCGGACGAGGAGGATCAAGACCGATATCATCTCCGGGTATCTCCTTAGCATGCCGCCAGCTTGTTATACGCCTTTTTGAACACTGAGATAATTCAAGCAAGGAAGGAAAAATAACCCGCTCGGATGAGACTGTAGAATTATTGAAAAGGGCTAGGTTTGCACGGAACGTGTGTTATTGCGGGAAATAGATTGGTTCTAATTCGTACAGTGTAAAACTATACCCTTCGAGTAACTCTACAAGGCACCACACATAATGAAGACTTCCTTGTTCGGAATGAATCTTAAACATTGGAGCAGCCATCATATGTCGAGAATTCTGCGGTAATGACACAACCAAAGACTACTGCATAATCAGAGCTTGGTTTCCATCATTCATAGGGTTAACTACCTAGGTAGTGATTTAAATCCATCATACATTGTCATATTCACATAAAACTCCACGCCATGTCAGCTCCAAGGCTATTGGCATCCGTACGTAACTATATGATTGTTCTAAATAGCAAGGAAATCCCTCACGGATCAGGCTTCTTCTGCGGAGGAGGATCAAGCCATCTTCCATCCTTAAGCCAAACACCAGCTCCTCCGTAATGACCAGCTTGAGCTCCCCTCAAGAATGCAAAGCGGAAAAAGAGGTCTTGCGGTTCGTCCTTGTCCCCATCCGTGTCTATGTCCATATGTGTGCCTCGATCTACCGAGCGCGGTTGTAGATCGTCGTTGAGTGCTGTAAAAGGAAAGTCGTCATGGTCGTCATTCTCGTTTTGTACATCAAAATCAATACCCCTATACTCAACTAATTCTAAACCTCGGCGACCTTGTCGGCGCCAGGTGAATTTTCCTGTCCGATCTTCGTCTAGATATCCACGCCATCGTTCGACGTCGTTGAGGAGAATACTGATGCCATCAACACCGAGATTCTCCATGCGTTGTCGCTCCCAGAGGTAGAATGTGATGTTCCCGTTGCCGCTATATATTTCATCATTGTACGGCATGATTGTGCTAGGGGCGGTGTCCAAATGGATTGATACAGACGAGTTTGTGATATTTGGATATGAAGCACCCCACCATCCGCCAGGAGTCGTGGGGTCTTCGCCCAAAGCTGCAGGGGTTTCGACAATAGAAGCAAACCCCCATCGTGCAACGCCGTTAATAAACAGACCCAAAAGCAATCCCTGATAAACATAGGATGCTCGGGTGGGAATCACAGTTCCTGGCATGAGCAGCATCGCAAGAATGTAATGGTGAATCCGAAGCCGGAGTCCAGGCAACGAAAGCAGAAAGAGAAGAAAAGCCACAAAAGAAAGATATACAATCAGATATCGTGGCATAAGTCCAGCCTGCCGGATTAGCCATGCTTGACTCAGCACGATCACCATGATGACAGAAACCACAACTGAAAGTGCAGCCTTGGCGCCAGGCTGGTTTTGCAGGTCATGGGGAGTAAGTCGCTGGAGTGGTATCCAAAGAGCGAATGTGTAGTTGTTCAGCGCGCCGATAAATGCTGGAGTCAGGTACAAGATCGTCTTTTCCAGCTGGTATCCTGGATGTGAAACTCGTTCCAAAAGCGGACGTGCGGCATAAAGATACAAAACGTATACTATGAAGGACGCTGGAAGTAAGCGCGACAGCAGGATAGAAAATAGATCTGTCAGTGTGGGAAGGTTCGGAGGGTCAGATACCACTCCGACATGAAGAATGAGCAAGCCAAAAGTGCTGAAGTAGAACGCGGCAGGTGATACTGTAAAGATGGAAATAAGGGCCACCGCAGCCACGGTGATACCGAGCAGTGGCCATCGTGGGTCCGCAGGGCAGGTGGCCTGCCCATCAGAGAGTGGAACAAAGCTAAATGACTTGGGAAAGGTAGATGAGAAACCTGTAGATGTTATCCCATTACGCTTTGACGATGGAAATGAGTGTGCTGCACCATTTAGTTTCACTACACTGCAACCACCTGCTGAGTCGCTGACGACGCCAGCATGGATGGCAGCTTGACAGATAAAACTATCTGCCCGATAGATGCCGGGGTCTGAGGAGTCAGGCTCTGGGCCACCTACAACGAGAGACTGGTAATTGAGAGTTTGGTTGCCGATAGTTTGTTCCTTTTGAAGAATAACTGATCTGCAGTTAGCCGGACAACGGAAAGCAAAGTGAGAGGCACTGAACGGTCGACAGTCATTTCCATTCAAGCCACAGCCGTTCCCAGCAGACCTGTCATGCCGATTAGCATTTCGAATCACCACAGGGTGTGATACTGTGTATGACTTACCAATAGCTTGCAGTGCAAGATATGGCTTGCGGACGTCCAAACCCTTCAATACGGCCGGATGAATTCGACTTTACAAGCGTAATGAACCACGGCAGCAGCCAAAGCACATAGACAGAGAGTAATAAAGTCACTTTGTGGGCCTTCCTGGGCGCATATCGGTCAAGAAACCTCACGGGAAGCTCTTGGAACTTTGGAAACAAAGGTTGAAATAGCAGATCATGAGGAGGATCGGGACCTTTTATCCAGCGAGCTGTGGCACGGCCAGCCTTTCTCAATGGAAGAGGTACCCAGGTCCAACGGAATGACGAAGATGACTCTCTCAGCCAGACCGGCATACGGAATGTGGTGCCGGTTTCTGCGTCGGCGGATTCGACGTCGAGCAGATGTGCATTCTCATCCTGCAGCTCACGGTCGCCTTCATCATCGGTCAAGGGAGGAGCAAGGTAGATGCGCTGCTCTTCGTCATTGTTCAACGCAATCATGCTGAGCGGATCTCCAGGAAGAATGCATATGAATGCTGGGGCGGAAGGGCGCGGGTATGGAGATTTCGAAATATATCAAAGCAAACGACAGCGCTTGAAGAAGAGCGTGAGGACGCTGAGAGAATATACAAACATATAGATAGATAGGCAGATATAGGACCATTGATGGACTATGAATGCATGATCCATGGGCCGCGTTCGCCGATCCTTGGGGAAGGCACGCTGGCCCGGATCATCAGTAAATCCGGGCAGCCACAGCCAATCGGCACGCCCTACGTCATTCCAGAGAGTCGCTGACCGTGGCATATCTCATTACTTTGAACTACGGAGTACTCCTTGTGCGGAGCGAGTAGAGTGTTGAGTATATGAGTGTTGAGGATATAAGTGTATAAGTAACTATATAATGCAGACTATACATATTTGCATTGTTTGCACGGCGGGCTATCTCGTGCGGTCTGTCTTATCTTGATCTATTGCTGCTCTGGTGACAATACCGTATACATTGAATACCTGAGCTGGCTGTGATAGAGCATCGTGATTGGCTCACTCTCTCTTCCCCATGGAGATACCGAGAGATAAGCACGAATCTTACCGTAACGAACCTTGCCGGGATTACAAATCGGCCGGTGCCTCCTTCTAAGGAAGGCAATCGGCAACTCTTATTTCGCAATCCCGCCCCATACCAGTCTCTCTCGCTCGCTCTCGCTCTCTCTCCCTCTCTCTCTCTCTCTCTCTCTTCTGTGTCACGCATAAAACATTGGAGATTCGCTGCTATACGCCGTCGCCGCATACGCTTTGTGGCTGTCTGCACACGATAAGGGACGATGGCCAATCCGCAGAATGTCCAGGGCACGCTGTGTGCACCGCTGGATCTCTCGCATCATTTTTCAGAAGTCACTAAAAACCGTCTAAACAGTCAAGTCAAGGGCTTGTACAAATATTTATCCATGCCTGGGTTGCACAATCTGGCCGGTGGTAGGTAGTTTTCCTTGACCGCCTTGACTTTGCCGGCGTCCTCTGATACTTTTTGTTGAAACATGGCTTAGGCCTTCCCCACGAGTCATACTTCCCCTACGACACGCTTGAGGCTACTGCCGCCCGTCCGGAACGATTCAAGCTACTGGATCCGTCAAAGAGCAATAGCAACAAGCCGGCGGAGTGGCATTTGAGGGTGCCAAAGATCAAGGAAACCACCGATCTTTTGAAAAAGATCGACTTGGAAACCGCTCTACAATATGGCACCGCTCAAGGTTATCCGCCTCTTTATACCTTTATTCGCGAATTCACCCGCGACCATCTCCATCCGAATGTGCCGTACATCGATGGACCGGAAGTTATAATGTCATGTGGCTCAACCGATGGACTCGGAAAGGCCATTGAGGCCCTTACGAATCCCTGGGATGAGAAGAAAGACTGGATCCAGGATAAAGAAGGTGTTCTCTTCGAGGAATTTGCATATATGAATGCCGTCCAGACTGTCAAGCCCCGAGGTCTGAATGTTGTGACCGTCGCGGTAGACTCCGATGGAATGAAAGCCGCTGGACCGGGCGGTTTGGAGGATGTGCTCAGTAATTGGGATTTTAAAAAGGGTAGGCGCCCGCACTTGATGTATACGGTAACGTCAGTATTTCCTCCCGGATTTCAGGTTTGGCTTGACGAAGAAGTGTTAATGTTAGTCTACAACAGTCTCGGTCAAAACCCCACTGGCAGCACAACGCCCATTGAGCGCCGTAAAGAACTATACTCGCTCTGTCAAGCGTACGACATAATCATTATCGAGGACGAGCCGTACTGGAACCTCCAATTTCCCTCGTTGAGGGAAACTGCTGCTGGGTACCGTGGCGAAGCCGTGCGTAGAGATTCGTATATCAAAAACTACAACTCCCAGGGGCGATCTTCTGGCTACCAGTTTTTGGACAGTCTTTGCCCTTCCTTTTTGTCAGTGGATGTGGATGGTCGTGTCGTACGCCTAGACACCTTCTCCAAGACCATTGCCCCCGGCTGTCGTCTTGGCTGGATTACTGCCCAGCCAGCAATTATTGAGCGTATAACACGCATCACTGAGACCTCCACCCAACAGCCCTCGGGATTTGTCCAGGCCATGATTGCTCAGTTGTTGCTGGAGCAGCAAGGATCCACTGTAGCGCAAACCCCCGATAAAGATACATCGGGCTGGTCAATGGACGGCTGGGTCGGCTGGCTTGAAGGACTGCGAGATGCTTATCAGCGTCGCGTGCATGATATGTGTACAATCCTTGAAGAAGGTAAGACTGTTGCTATTGACGGAGTCCCCGGACTGGACAGCTGGTCTGTCATCAGTAAAGCACCCATGTATGATTTTGACTGGCCCGTGGCCGGTATGTTTATCTGGATCAAAATCCGCTATGACACCCATCCATTGCTCAGTATATATGGCGCGGAGAAAGTGTGCACTGCGCTGTGGTTTTTCTTGCTCAAGAAACCATTCCAATGTATTGTTGCACCCGGCATGATGTTTGCGCCCACGGAGACTATGCGGGGTCGGGCATTCCAGTACATGCGACTCTGCTTTGCGCCGATGGCCGAGGATGCAGTCTCTGATATTTCTCATAATTTCGTCGCTGGCTGCAGGGCGTTCTGGCAATTGGAGAATTTCGACGATATTCCGGGGCTGGACGAGACGATAATGCCTGAGAGGATGGGAGTGCAGATGTGTTGACGGGTGAAGTGATGATTGATTATAAGTTATTGTTGATGATGCTAGGTAGAGAATGTAGAAAATGATGCCATTGTTGTCGCGAATTGCGCAATTCGTGTCACATGCCAGTGTGTTTATCAAGCCGGAAATATATACATCCGCTACAGTAATCTCCATGCATACACAGTGCTGTACTATATAATATCTGCTATGCTACCAGCGATTGGACGCTGATATATAGCCAAACCAAAGAGAAACGAGACCAAAAGTTGCCCCAACCCGTTGCCGTCATCATCATTATCATCATCAGCATCAACATCATCAACGTCATCTTTCCCATGCAACAAATCAAATGTTAGCCAAGGTAACTTGCTGTAGACAATTCCCGTTCTATAGAATGGCCGTAGTCACAATAATCGTGTTCTTCCTCTTCTTCCTCCTCCTCCTCGATTCTATCGTCGCAGGCCTCCTCAATCTGCCGAATAGGAAGTATTGTTGTTGTGATGGGGGTTGACGCTATTGGGGCCAATGATGGTACGGACGAAACATCGTGAAGCGGCATATTCACCGAACAGCCCCAGCCTTGGTTCGAGAGCTTCTCGAAAAGGATCTCCATCCTCGGATTCACATTACCTCGCAGCGAGGCTAAGAGTTGCGCGATATGGCAGAGCATGTCGCCTGGGCCGACTTTCATGACTTGCCGGCGCTCTGATATCCATGGTATGCAGAATAACATGTCCGCGAGGGAAATTGCTACGTCTGCCAATTTCATTTGCTTTTTTCAAGGTTAGTAGTTATGTTTCTTGTTTTTTTGGTAATGGGGAGACAGGAAAACATCTTACCATTCCTATACCATGCGCTTCGATGATATTGCGAGGAATTTTGTTCAGATATACAAAGACATTCCCTGCCACCCGTTCAGGAAAGCAGATGCTGAGGTTTTCATCCTCAGAATTCGCAGAAAGCTTGATGTGAAATATTGACATCTTCCAGAGCATGATCCGCATCCACTGCTGGGTAATGAGGAAATCTGCCTGCTGAAATTCTCTCTTGGACTGCATTTGGCGCAGCTCACGCAGTTTAAAGTCAGTCGAACTGAAAAACCCAGAAGTTCTGTTTGATGTTTCGCTGTCCATGGCTTGGCCGAAGGTACGGAAAAGTTGACACAAGTCTGTAAAAGCCACCAAGCCAGGGGGAACCTCCTTGGTTTCTAGCGGTGGTAGATTAGGATCTAATTTTAAGATCCGTGGAAGATCGAAACGAGTTGTATGGCCGCTGAACCGAATCGGGTCAGTGGATCATCAGGGATATTAATTCAACTTAAGGCAAGCAAGAAAGCTTACCGTTCTGTAATACTCAAAATCCAGATTATGCGAAGATGCAACTGTGCCTGCTTTTTGGGCAACTGTGTATAGTGTTTGGCCTGATCGAGTTCTAGGAACTGGGCAAGTGTGATAGCCTCTCGAATGAGCACAGTGGCTCTGCAAACCTGCCCGTTGTTTGCGTAAAATATATGCAAAAAGAAGGATGAGAGCAACAATTCAAGGCTAGGATTTTCATGGTACCGGAGTGACGCTCTTGCTCGCTCTGACTCCGTGGCTATCCAGAAATTGTCGACGGAATGGGGAGCTTCTACAACTTCAGCAGGATTGAATGTCAGGTGCGCAAGAACGACCGCCGTCAGAGCCGTACACAACGCATATGCATCTGCATCATCCGGGTTCTGAAGTCGCAGGCTCATTTCGTCCCGGTCGACGACTGGCCACACCGGATACAGGCGTTCATGGTAAGCATCAAGACACTGGTGTATCAGCGAGACCGGCAGACTTGGCGTAAATTGAGTAGGAGAAGTTGGCAGCGACTCCAAAATTGCGTGATGCTGCTGTTGCTCCGAGACTATTGGCACAAAATGGCTACTCTCTGCCAGTTTTGCTGCAGAGTGCTGCAGCGTATTTTGTTGGAGACGGGCCAGCCGTCGCTTCTCGGCCCAGGGCCCTTTGGGACCGGGCTTCGACTGAGCTCGCGATGTAGTGCATGGAATATCCAAAGTATGACAGCGCCGGCAAGGATTTCCTCGGTCACATTTTATTTTCCTCGTGGCACACGGATCGCAAGCTCTGCTACGGGTCATTGGCCTGAAGTATCGGTCGTCGCTGACGCGCGGAGCCCATGAGTAGTATACATAGAAACTAGCCAAGCAAGCACTTCGCTGGGTTGCTGCAATGTCGCGTTCTAGAAGGGGGCTTGACTGCGTTATGAACAAGGAGCGAGTATGCGAAGACACGACACGAATGCGTCTGAAGGAGCAGCAGCGCCTTTCGGTGGAGACGACATCGCTCGGAAATCGAATTAACGGTTGGGGAGCACGTGAGGCGGCCGCTGATTGCTCCAGCGTCTCCAGCGCTCACATTTCGTACCCACAACAGCCTTGGAACAAGCAAATTATTAGATCAGAATAATCACTACGACGAGCCTAGCCACCCTCGACTTCTCCATATTTCGGCAGCTCGGGCCCCTCCGCGGCGCAGTGCTCGGCAAATGTGCTCGTAGCTAGCGAAACGTTTGAACAAAGTCTCTCATTCGACCTTTTAATCGGTCATCTTTAGGTGCAAGAAAATTGAAAACCATGGCCGAAACCCTCTTCTCATCTACTCTATTAGATTACCCCCCGACAATCTCTGTGGCTTGAGAAATTCAGAACAGCTAACATTTCACCTCAAAAGCTATAACACCCAGTGGTATATCGCAAAGACAGGCTTCATTCGATATCGTCGAGTTCAGAGCTATCAAGCGCAAACACGAAGCTGTACAGCGACGGTGGTGGGCATTGTCAATGGCTCGGCGTTCATTGGGTTCTAGAAGTGGCAGGTCAGCAGTCAAGAAAATGAGGCAAAAGGTTCTTTATCAAGAACGGGCCATGCAGTGGTGATACAACAGATGGATTGTCCGAGAGATTTCGCCCACAAGCCTTTGCCAGAAATCGCATTGGCTGTATCCAAGTCAATGTTTTCTTGATAGTCATAGACCAGCTGCCAGATCCTAAGAGCCTTGCTTTGGCAGTAGGGTCCGTAATTGAGGAGCTGGAGGAGTCAACTTCTTCTTATTCGGGCGTCGATTCGATATATTGCACCCAGTGTTCTTGGGATGTGAGCGGCAACGAGCGCAAGCACTCCCCGGGTTCGTCACTTGCCCCCTCCCACTGTCACTGTATACCCAGCACTCCTGACTTTCTTTCTGACACGCGTTGCATCTAGCGTTTCCAAATAACTGGATGCCAAGCTCTGTCTCCATTATTCGCCCAACGTTGCTGGCCACCAGAGGTTTATCGGGATTCTCCTGAGCCCATACATACCACCACTTACCAACAGCGGTAGGTTTGTATTGAGTGCTGGTCTTTGTACCAGAGAGAGACCATGCCCATGGCAGACGAGGCTGGTCGGCTTTTTGAGCATCATCGAAGTCCGATTTCCAAGGAGTAAGTTGTGAGGGAGAATGACTAGTGGAAGTCTGAGTAGAGATAAGAGGTTTCAGCGATGGTGCATTAGGAGAGGCAGAAGAAATCAGAGTAGAAATGGGAGACTCCGTCTTGACGAAAGTGTGTGATGCTGGACGAGAAGCAGAAGGACTGGCGGGTGTAATTGGAAATTCCACCTTGATGAAAGGAGACGATGCTACTCCAGAAGATACAGAAGGATTAGCGGGCATGGGAGTAGAGATAGAAGGTTTTGCTTTGATAAAAACAGGCGATGGTGCACGAGCATGGGAGTGAGCTTTCAGTGAAGTAGGTGAGCATCTAACAAATATTAGTGAGGAGAATATGAGTATCAACTGCTGGCATATCTCTCTTTACCTCTTATTCTCAGCACTAGAAGCAATCGGCCTCGGGACTTCGGCAACATTTTCAATGCTTTGATTGAGGCATTGAAGGAGTTGCTGTTCAGCAGCTTGTTCGTCAGCAAATTCAGTGTACCTAGCTAGGCCAGAATCACTAGCATCGCCATTGCCATGCCTTGCTGGTGGCATTTCCGCGCTTCCATAGAGCCTCGGAATGTTCTCCGATTGGTTGGACAGTGAGTTATGCTTTGACTATGGTCTGTCTGTACAAAGCTACAGTGCAGATTCTGTAGGATCAAAGTGTCAAGAGCAAACAGTTGACACCTCTAGAAGGAAATGCGAGAAGTTCTAGCGCGGGAGGAAAACGCGATAACGCGTCGTGTATAGTTCGTTGAGCTTAACAACCCCTACAGACGCCGTTAATCTTGTGGGATAATGTTTCTATTAGGTTAGACAAAAGTGACATACACGGACAATCAAAAGAAATGAGCATTATCTCATCATCATGAATGCCAGACGCTTATATGAGGCTATTTGCTTGCCGAGGATACAAACAAGCCCCATGCAAACAGAACAAACAGAGGAAGACAGCAGTATGATGTAAGCCTGCGTCTTTCGTGCTTAAACGACGTCTCGCCATTATTTTCAGCTTCAACAACTTGATTGTTACGAGGCTTGTACATAATGTCAGCTACACACTTCGTCCACTCCCTGCGGCCTGCAATTGGAAACAGCTCCAGATTGCTGCCATCCTTGCAGCAGCAAAGCCGAGCTTTTGGGGCATCAGCACTCCGTGGCAATAATCGCGCACCTAGTACAGCAAAAGAACATGAAGAAATACAGAAGAAGCGACCTCTGAACCAACATATCCCCAATACTACCTCGACACAAACCAATGACTTTCCGAAAGTTGGCGCTGCCAGCGCTCCCCCAGAGTTCTTGAGCTCCGTGGATCCCAATTACAAGCCGGCGGATCCATATTCTGGCAAAATTGAACACTTGACAGGTGGAAGGGAATCCGCCGGCGCTCAAAAGCCAGAGTTGGGAGTGGGTGAGATGGAGGGAATTACATTCAAAGTTGAACCCTTGAAACGGGAGGGTGAAGACGCAAGCACAATGCGCGCCAGACTTCTCTGTATGCCAGCCAACTTTACTACAATTCAACAAGTTCCCACAAGTTCTGACATTTTGTATTATAGATCAAAGCCGGAAGCGCGGCATTCTCGAGACCGATCTATTACTTTCGACTTTCGCCGACGTTTACCTCGGAAAGATGACTATAGAGCAACTACAGCAATACGATCGGTTCCTTGATGAAAACGACTGGGACATATACTACTGGGCCACTCAAGAGCCAAAGGAGGCTGAAGAGACAGCCGCCTCTTCCGCCGGGGACGCAGGTTCTGCCGTGAAGGTCGATACGCCGACAGAGACATGGAAGCAAGGAGCCGCTAAGTCCGGCGAGTGGGCGCAGACAGTGGGTGCGTTCAAACCTGCATATCGCCCGCTTCCTTCGCGATGGGCCGAATCGGAGATTTTGGCTTTAGTAAGACAGCATGTGCAGGATAAAAGCGCAACTGGATTCCACGCCGCAAAACAGAGGAAGCGGGGAGGAAGCGGCCTGGGCCGGATGCCGGATATCAAAGTGTATGACTCATAAGGAGTAATCAACGCCATTATGTATAACAATCTTGATGTTTATAGTGCTGTGCTGTACTGTATAGTTGCGTTCAATTATCACTTTCGTCGACATTCAGGATTCGAAGGATCCTTGGGTATTTTACCGGCAGCAGCGGCTTAATGCACCGTCTTCGCGGAAGGGACGCAGTATTTCAACGAGCCTTGGTCTGTAGCATGCTCCGTGCGTACTACAAGTCTGCTGTGAACGAACTATTGATCAGTGATGATTGATGACAGCGTCAGCCACGGAGATTCTGCTGGCGCTATTCCGCATCGGATACCGCCCTGTTCGGCAGGCGGTCAGGAGGGAACTGTGGCGTAGGGAAAACTCGCTTAGGCGGCTGTTACTAGGGCTCAAACCCCGAACTAGTGCGCTTAGGGATAACTCGCTCTTTTTCCTCAATAACGAAGCGGCCAAGCGTCCAACGATACAGCCCTTCAGTCGTCTTTTCTTCCCTTCTCCGTTTCAAGGTTCACTTCCTGTCGCCCAACCTTGATCATGGCTGAGCAGCTCATCCTTCGCGGAACCCTTGAGGGCCACAATGGCTGGGTCACCAGCCTGGCTACCTCTCTTGAGAAGTAAGCTCGGCGAAAAATCTCGAAGTTTTTTTGAATGTCATGGAATTGGACCGGTTTTCTAATTGCAATGCGATCACAGCCCCAACATGCTGCTCTCCGCCAGTCGCGATAAGACTTTGATCGTCTGGAACCTGACTCGCGACGACCAGGCCTACGGTTACCCCAAGCGAAGCCTTGAGGGCCACTCCCACATCGTCTCCGACTGTGTACGTTCTTTTTCTCCAAGCCGAGTCCACGATTGAAGAGGATGCGGATGATAATGAAGAATGAATGGTGCTGACTGGTGTGCTATCGATATAGGTTATCTCCTCGGACGGTGCCTACGCTTTGTCTGCCTCCTGGGACAAGACTCTGCGCTTGTGGGAACTTGCGACTGGCAACACCACCCGCGTCTTCAGCGGCCACACCAACGATGTCCTTTCAGTTTCCTTCTCTGCCGACAACCGCCAGATCGTCTCTGGTTCTCGTGACCGAACCATCAAGCTCTGGAACACCCTTGGTGACTGCAAGTTCACCATCACCGAGAAGGGCCACACCGAGTGGGTGTCTTGCGTCCGATTCAGCCCCAACCCCCAGAACCCTGTCATCGTTTCTGCTGGCTGGGACAAGCTCGTGAAGGTACGTCTTTTTTTGTGTGTCCATTGCATTTCTCGCCAATCAAATGATGTATTGCATCATAAAGTATTTGCTACTTCAGAGCCCTTCGTGGCCATGAGACAAACAACACCAATTATGCCCTGATTCGATTCACGGATATTTCCATTTTTTTCACGCAATATTTTGTGTCCGGTAGACCAAGTCTGCTGATCTATAATTGTGAAATAGGTCTGGGAACTCGCTTCCTGCCGTCTTCAGACCGACCACATCGGCCACTCTGGTTACATCAACACCGTCACTATCTCCCCCGATGGATCCCTCTGCGCCTCCGGTGGTAAGGACGGTACCACCATGCTCTGGGACCTCAACGAGTCCAAGCACCTCTACTCCCTGCAGGCTGGTGATGAGATCCACGCCCTCGTCTTCTCTCCCAACCGCTACTGGCTCTGCGCCGCTACCAGCAGCAGCATCACCATCTTCGACCTCGAAAAGAAGAGCAAGGTTGATGAGCTCAAGCCTGAATACGTTGAGAAGGGAAAGAAGAGCCGTGAGCCAGAGTGTGTCTCCCTTGCCTGGAGCGCTGATGGCCAGACTCTGTTCGCTGGTTACACTGACAACAAGATCCGCGCTTGGGGTGTTATGTCACGAGCTTAAACGACGTCGGAGGGAAAGCGAGAATATAATGGGCACGAACCAAATCTAAAAAAAGAAAATACCAAAAATCAATTTGTCTATTCCGATGGATTGATTGTTTTTTTAGGTTCTCGGGAGATGGAATGAAGCGATGAGCATATGAAAGCCAGGAAGTATCTATTTTTTTTTCCTTTCGTTCTGTCTTGATACTTTTTCTTCTCTTATGCGCAAACTTGAAAAAAATGCGGACATATAATTTTCAGATTTGCGTTGTTTGGGAGTTCTAGTTGGGACGGGGGAGGAAGAAAAAAAAAAACCAAAAAGCTTTCTTTTCCTTTTCAAACTGCTGTGACAATTGTCTAGCTTTGCTTGACGTTTTCCTTGAATCTCTCTACCTTTGATGAAAAACTAGGAGTGACCAGGGAATGACCGCCAATGTGATGTTCTAATATCATGCAGACGCCTTAAGAAACGAAAAAGACATTTAAAAATTTTACCTTGTTCCTATTTCTACTTTATATTTCGTAAATCTGTCCCCATCCCTTTCAATTCAAATTAGGCATGAGCCGCCTAGTTTCTTGATCTTAGGAATTAAAGTGGTATTTATTGTCTATATAAAAGGCTGGAGCCGAGAGAAGAAAAAACTGTACATTTGTCCTTTTTCTAGACGCTTCAATAGTTTACATGCAGTGTATATCTAAACGCAGCAATGTCTTTCATTTGCTGCTTTTTCGAGCAGGTTGAGCTCGATCTTTCTCTGCCATCAACTTGACTACCTTGTCGATACCCTCCGCATAACTCGCCGATTCACAATATCGCTTTTCTTCACGCAGCCATTTCCTAGCTTCTTCATCTGCGCCTTGCCACTCTGCAATGGCCGAAAGAACATCTGCTGCAGCCGCGCATCCGAGGTCGCAATCATCATCGCGCAGGTCGTCTTGGACCTTCTTAGAGACCTCAATTGCCTTGAGGGCCCAGTCTCGGGATGCCTCCATTTGTTTTTCAACGGTAACTACCGGCTTCTCGTTATCAGTGCCACTTTGTTCATTTGGTTTGTGATCAAACATTGCCGCTGCAACATTCGTGAGAAGGACGACCTGTCGGCAGGTTATTTGTTTCCCTTCGACTTCCCGCAAGATCGCTATTGCCGGCATAAGTAGCTCCAACGCCTTGTCAGGTCTCCCGGCACGTAGCCAATTCTCTCCAAGATCAGACATAGTGTTCCCGGCCTCCTCAGCGCTCAACCAGTCGTCCTCCTCCTCAGGAGTTGCCACTGGAGGGAGACCGCGGTCCTGGCGATTGAGTATTTCTTGCCTTAACAGGTCCAGAGCATTCCTGCGTGCCATAAAAGCATTGCCCGGTTCTTTCAAATGCTCGTCTTCATGCAGATCGCCGAGAAGCAACTGTAAGCCAATGACCTTTTTGAGTGTCCTAGTAGCCTGTCGGGATTCATATTCGACATCCTCCTCACTAGGTGATAATATCTCCTGCAAATTAGGATCCGGCATGGTCTTCTGTGGGCCTTCCAACTTCAAAGAAAGCCTATGCCTCGTCTTGTTAATCCATGCAATGGCGTCGGTCGATATACGGGACAGCATTTGCGCTGCTCTTTTGTGGAACCCGGCTTTAACCAGCATATCCACAATTTGAAGTTTGATTCCCATCACCTCATCGGAATACGGATGCATCCCTATTTCATCTGCGATTCTCAAAGCGGCCTTGTAGTGAACCAGAGCCTTTTGGGGTTCGAGATTGACCTCGGTGAAGTACAGCGCTTTACGTAATTCTTTCGCGACTGAGTCAGGAAATCTGGTAACTTTTTCATTGACTTCTGTTGTTTGAACGTAGACGGCATGAAGTAAATATGTGCAAAATGCGCTGGCGGCGATGATGGAGACGACGGCGAAGGGGAAAAAGACCGGATTCTTTCGCCAGATATCTTTGCCTGCAGCTCGGTAGGTCCGTCGCAGACGTTGGGAGAACATAGCGGTTCGAATTTGCATCGAAGAAGCTGCATAATTGATCGGAACTTTCGTTGGTCGTATACGTGTGCTCCTCGTCGACGTCGGTAGTTGTGGTTGTTGTGAGCACGATTCTGTTAAGAAGGATCGACGCAATTCCACTGGCCGAAAGGTCAAGGCGACAAACCGCCTTGACGCTCGGTGGAACATGTTGACGCCTGATGATGAAAACTTTTGGAACTGGCGCAGGTGTTTGGGGATATCAAAGGAGTTGAGGGGATTTTCTTTCAGTTCGCGCAGGGTAATCGCGGAGTGGCCCGTGCTCCACCATTCGCCCATGACGTCGCCTACCATATCGTCTTCTCAATATAAACTCGCGACTCTCGTTGATACAATGAAGATTGCAGAGCAATTCTCTTTTGGTTTGCAGGCGATGGCCTAGTATTCAATATTTCTTTATCTCTAGGAGGGGCCGCAAAAAAAAACACCCCAAGATGTGCGGGCGATACGCCCTTGGTGTGGTAAATATATTCGCCCATCAGATAATCCCAGCTACCACATACTGATCCGAAACAGCGAATGGCCTTTGTGCGACAGCGTCTACAGCAACAGGGAATGCAAGTCGACGAGGTGCCCGAAGATGATGAGATACGGGAAACCTACAATTTTGCTCCAGGATACTACGGTGCTGTTTATCGCGGCGATGCACAGAACGAAGCCAGCGACGCTTCCGACGGCGGGCATGAAGACGCCGCTGCGTCTGATACCTTGAACTACCAGGAAAACACCAAGTTCAAACTTCAAAAGATGCGATGGGGCCTCATTCCATTTTGGACGAAGCGGCAGCCTGATTATGGTTCTATGATGAGAACCATCAACTGCCGCGATGACTCACTGATTGAGAATAAGGGAATGTGGACATCCATGAAGAAGAAGAAACGCTGTGTGATTGTCTGTCAAGGATTCTATGAATGGCTAAAGAAAGGCCCGAGTGGCAAAGAAAAGATACCGCATTATACAAAGCGCAAAGATGGCGATTTGATGTACTTTGCCGGGCTGTGGGATTGCGTTCAGTACGAAGGTCGGTCAGATTATTCTTCTCGTTTGTTGTTTCGATCTACTTTTATTAACGTGACTGCCATTTTAGACTCTGATGAGAAGCTCTACACATATAGCATCATCACAACGGATTCAAATCCGTATCTGAAATTCCTCCATGACCGAATGCCTGTAATCCTAGATCCGGGCAGCGAGAAAATGAAAAAATGGCTCGATCCACATCAAACAACGTGGACAAAGGAGCTACAATCAATTCTCAAACCATATGAAGGTGATCTGGAATGCTACCCTGTCTCGAAGGAGGTCGGCAAAGTTGGAAACAATTCTCCCGACTATATAGTACCCGTCAACAGCAAGCAGAACAAAAACAACATCGCCAATTTCTTCGCCAATGCCAGCGCAACGGAGAAGAAAAAGAAAATTGATCCAAAGACTGGACTCCATAATGAAGACTCGGCACTGGGAAGTGGAGCTAGAGATGTCCAAATAAAAAATGACCTGCGAGAAACGGTAGACGATGAATGGACAGAGGACAATGCCCCAAAACCAGTACTTCAGAAAGGAAATGATGAAATACCGCCAAAAGGTGTCAAGAGGGAACGTTCTCCTGACGATAATACTGATTTCACCACCAACACCAGCAGCAGCAAAAAGGCAGTGAAAAGGTCAGAATTGACTACTCCTAGGAAAAGAGAGAAATCGACCTCGCCCATACAAACCCAACTTATGAGCGGAAAGAAAATGAAAAGTGCCGCAGAAAACAACACCAATATGTCCCCGATGAAAAACAAGAGCCATAAAATGAGCAGACATGTAATTCCTAGTGACGGCTCACAGAAAATTACAGATTTCTTTAAGAAGTGATGAATACCTAGATTTTTCATTGGCTAGGTTTCACGCAAAATGGAATTTTCTTTATTATGTCAATTACCTAGATATAAGTACATCGCCCTGAAAATATGTAAGCATCCATCTCATCAATGCTAATAATGATTTCAATATTATCAGTTCACATAAGTATACATAAGATATGATAAAAAGTAATGATAGGTATGAAGAGTGAGCCCTAATATGAACAAAGTAAAAGTTGCAATTCGCTTGATGAGAGAGAAAATTCCCTTGGCCTTGGTATCGTATGTCATGACACGTTATGATAATAATAAAAAAAAGGATGATAATAAAGACAGGAAAAAACAGGAAGTCAAGCAAACTTTTGGTGCGGTGCTGTGGTATCCCGCTTTTAGATCCCATAAATATGAACTTTTTTCTTTCGTTTTTATTTACTCCGCATCAACAGATTCGGATTGGTGTTTCTCTGCGTCGAGAGCTTCGACGGCCAAGTTGATCTCACGCTCCCAGACCAGGACGGTACCAGCACGGGCAGTGCTTAGGAAACTAATCTCGACAGCATCGCCGTATTGCTCCGGCTCAAGGTGGTGATGTGGGATTGTTGTGGATTGGCTTCGATCATATGCGACTGTGTCCTTGTGAATCGTATTATAATATTCGGGAGCTGGTGGAAGGATGCCAGAGACGACTTCTGGGACATGTTTGTTGGCGGAAGAAGAGGTACTTGGGGCAAGGCTACTGATGCTGTCTGATAGCTGGAGGTCATCAATATTTGCCGACCCAAAAGAGAACCGTTTGGATTCGTCAGCAGGCGAACTGCCAGTAGAGTAAGCTGCGCTGAGGAAAGTGTCCCGGTGTTGCCCCGTAGCGTCGGCCAAGCGACCGGCCACACCGCAGACAATTCCGGTTGCGTCAATAGGGACGTCACGGAGATCAAGTGTGATAGGGATCAGAATGTCTTCTTTCGATCCTAGGAGGATGCTGCTCTCCTCGTCATCCGATTGCATGCTGGGATCCAGCGTGAAGCGTGGCAGTAAGCGTTTTTCTAGCAGCAGCGATGCCGCTGGATCAGCTGGTGTCAATGTCAGAGACAAAAACCGTGGATGATCGACCAAGAGGGCAGTGGTAAGTGCATTGCGCAGAATGGCCGCTGAGGACTCGGTGGCACCATCGCGGTGATGGGCAGAACATTGTACTAAACGGACCGTTTGATCAACGCGAGGAATGATGTGATTCTTGCGTAGAAAGTCAAAGGTGCGAGTTTGGAGCTCATTCACTGTGGCCGGTGGTGGGGTAGATGGAGGTGAGATATGTATTGACGATTGAAGGGTTGGCATAGAAGGCGATTGGATATTGTTGATAAATTGATCGGAGTCGGTCTCGAATGTAAACCCTTGACTAGATAAGGTACGAATAACCTGATCTTTCGACCTGTCAGGGACCAGGATGTAGTCGGAAAAATAGGTGGAAATGAAGAAAATAGATCTAATAAAGTTTGTCAGTATGGGGATGGGCAAGAGAAAACAATATTTGAAGACTGTACGTACATTCCAGCCAAGGCAAGAGGGCCAGTCAGCTCGAGAACTCGACGTCCAGCGTCCAAACCTTGACCCTCAACCTGCATAGCGATGAAATCATCATCGCTGATCCATACTTTCTGGCCTGAAGTGGCCAATGTGTTGAACCTGGATGCTAGCGGCATGAAAAAGCGCTCTGCCAGTTGCCGGGAGCATACCACGGAACATTCGACTGGGGTCACGGAGAAGTTAATGAAGCCGAGATTGAATGGAGTTAGACTGGCGCGTTCCGCATCCTCTCTTTCTTCCCTTGAGGCCTCATTGATGGCAGGTATATCACAGTAGAGAAGTCGAAGAAGCGGTTGGACAAAGAATGGATACAAGTCCAAGGGGATATGTACCAAGGCCAGGCCCGTATCCTAGGTGAGATGTTAGCGTTGGACCAGGAACGTCAAGACAAGGACAGTACATACTGTGATTTGAACCGTGGCTGAAATGAGAGATAATGACTGATCCATAACGAAGAAAGTCAAGGGTTTGATGTTTATGCCAAAAGAGGGAGAACAGGGGGGAAATTTAGATTCTCCCCGGGCTCTGGAAAACTAATGGATAGCAAAAGCACGCATTGGCATGTAGCAGCGGGATAGGGAATATATATATTCTTCTCCCTCTTTTGTCTCTGAACGTGTGTGTATTACAGACAAAAGAAATGTTGGGAGTTTCCCGCTAGATTGTGCAATTGCGGATGATATAGCGCGAGTGAGTGTAATTTTAGTGTCGAATGAGACTGGGGATGCACGATGTCGTGGCCGCCGTTGGACAGGACCAAATAATCCGTACTGGAGCAAATTTGTGGATAATCCCTTTTTTTTCCCTTTTGTTTTCTTTTTCTTCTGAATTTTTCTCGGCCTGGTGTCTTGTTCTGTGGTGGCAACAGCCTTAGCGCATCAGATCAATTATTTGATAATGGGCTCATGTAACTAGAGTCGATGTTACAGAGAACTATGCCCTAACCAGCACAGGGAAACCCTAGCTTTGACATGGCCGTGGAACAGAGCTTAGGAGTCGGTGGGGAAGTGGACGCTCTCGCAGAAGACGAGGAGAGACGAGTACAGACTCAGAGAATAGAATGAAAGCGAGAAGATTGTCGTCACAACGAAGATGGGGAGAAGAGGAGAACGAGGACGAGGAAGAGAAGAGGAAGAGGAGGACGGAGAAAGAGTGATGAGTAAGAGGAATGAGGGGAATTAATTGGAGGGCCGCTCTTTCCTCTCGTGCTCTGCTCTGCTCAGTTGAGTCAATGCTTATCCGGAGTGGGTCGCTCTTGCTCGATGCAAAAATTTCCTTTTTAGTCTTTTGCGCTTTTCCAGCGCAAAAAAGCGAACAAAAAGGCAACGCTGTTTTTCTCCTCTTCTCGTCCACAGGTGCTTATCTATACGAGCGCTTTTCTTTTCTTATCCTCGCTCACCTCACTGACTTTACGCTTCCGGGGATTTTTTTCCCGTGTAGCATTCTTTCCCCACGTGGTGCTGACTCACAATCAAAGGACCCTGAAGACCGCGACAAACCGAGGCCTTGCATTCTACAGCCATCCACTCTCGGGCAGGATCTCCAGTGGCAAGGTCGATGCATTTCAATTCGTTCGACGCGGGTCGGCCAAGTCATACATACTCTGTGGCGGCCACTGGACGATGATCAGTACGTCAAACAGCAGAAAGAACTCTTGATGCGATTGCTGCGGTTCGTTCTCGCGAAAATTTCCGATGCCGATTGGCGCTTTACACCTGACTGCTCGATAACATATTGCAGGAGATAGCAAATGGATGGTCCCACGTTTGAGAGTTTTTTTTTCCCCCCCTTATCTGCATTGAATATCTATCTCTATCTGCGCTTTGGAACCGAGTCAAAATAGTAGAAGCTGCACTAATACTGATTCCCGGAATACTGCTTAGAGCATTCCGCCAGTCGATGCTCGCTGCCTATCAGCCAAAAAAAACACTTCTTAAAGAGGGGTAGGTTAAACCGGCGGCCAGGGCGCTTGAGCAGGCTAATCAGTAGCGTTGCATGCAGTGTGTGTTTATTTGTTTAGTTGTCAGGCACGCACATCGCAATGCAAATTAGTGCTACTATAATAATGCCCAGTTATAAAATATCGTCTCACTGCGTATAACTAACTAGAAATTTTACTAGACGCTGCGCTGGATGATACTCCGTCATCCTCCCTTGATCCACAAAGCAAACGGGCTCTTCCGCCCGAGCAGCCAATTAAACCTTAGTCACGGGCAGGTTAATGCGCACGGAGCAGAAATTCAAAATTCTCTTATCTTGCGTGCCAGCTCCTCTGGAGTAGACAAAATAGCTTGCTGTCTACGGAGTAAAATAGGAATAGGTATGCCCCGCCTCTATACATGCAGGACGGCGGACGCCGAGCACCTATGCCAATGTACGTACCTACGTGCTAGTACTAGGTACTAGCTCTAGTGTCCGACTCGCTCCCTCTATTTTCATATTCTGATGGACATAAGCCAGGGATTTATGCTATGCATCCGTGCGCGAAGCAGTGCTAGACTGCAGATACGGTCAAGGATGTTTATGCAGGTCGTCTCAATCTACAGACGATTAGATTGATAAATACGCCGCTCAGCCAATCAGGGTTCAATGTCGCGTCAGATCGGAGAATAGCGGAGGCAGTCTGTGGGGGAGGTCCCCTATTTGGGACTGGCACGAGCGAATCAGGCTTTGCGAGTGGGGCCGGAGTGCATGCACAACCAATGAGAAGCAGGCTCCTCTTGACATTGCAGGCTGCACCGGCAGGCGTGACATCATTTATCATGATTCTACATACAGAAGTTAAGGGTATATGATCTTTAACTTAACCCTTGAATGTGAATTGCTGGCTGGTAGCTACCATACAACCCGCCAATTCCAGCCCTTGATGCGCACTCGCACCCACAAGAAGCACGCAAAAGACGCAATGTAGCTCATCCCAGTGAATAGAATGACCCCCCAAAAGCTGCCCCTCCCCGTTTCATCGGTAGCCTTCATCAGGTTCCCAGCAATAGGAATGCCAGTCAAACACCCGAAGCTGACCATAGTGTAGGCACTCGCATAGTATCGACCGTAATCCTGAGTCCCACACAGCTGTCCTACACAGACAGGCGTCAGACTGATATTAGACCCGCTTGCAAACCCGAACAGAACGACGAATGCAACAATAAGGGCCACATTTGGCGGGGAATGGGCCACGGAATCGGGCAGCCATAGTCCCACCACAGACACGAGGCAGAACAAAGTTGACACAATCATGGTATTGTATCGTCCAATTCTATCCGCGATGTATCCTATAAAGAACCTCCCAAAACAAGAGGCTGCATTGAGGATTGCAAGGAGCTGATATGCAAAGGCCGCCTCGCCTCCGGTCACCGCGTCATGGCCGGATAGCCCTTGTCGTGTTAGATAGTATGTCGGCACATAGGTGACGGGGATGAAATATGCCCATTCAACAAGAAAGATCCCTGCAGTAGTCATAGCCATCGCGCCCGTCCCATCCCAAAAGATGCGTGGGCTCGGCAGGACGTCGCGCCAGGATGTGGCCGAGCCCTTCTTCGGCGGCAAACGTGCTCGGCAGAGGGCAACGCCGAGAACACACAAAAAGAGTAGCACGAAGCCGACCACGCGTGTAGACCATCCCCATCCCAACCTCGGCAGGAGGGATTGTATCATCAAGGGAAAAATTACGCCTCCTAACCCACTGCCAGTGAAGGCGAAGCCACTTGCCAGGCCTCGCTTGGCGTTGAACCAATGGGAGATGGTGCCCATTGCTGGTGTGAACAGAAAGGACGAACCAATTCCATTGAGAATAGAAAGAGTTAAGACAAACTGGTAGTATTCTGGGACAGAATCAGCATTGACGTGTCCATTTATTAGTCCGTTCAGAGAGATCAAACCTGTGCAGAAACTCAGAGTGAAGATTCCCACCACCGAACAGAAGCTGCCTACTATCATCAACTCACGTGGGCCTCTCACATCGAAAATAGGACCGACCTGCACGCCGCAGAAGTAAGAGACAAAGACATAGATACCAAATATCCAACCTATAGCACTAGAGGAGTAGGAAGGAAGCATTGTGGCAGAGACGTACGCCTCCAGAACGCCAACGGAATTTATGAGACCAAGAGCAGCCGTCATTGAGCACCAGCAGCCGATGGCTACAGTCCAGGCAGCGAGGCCACCCTCGGGATAGGTGAATTCGGGTTCCTGTTCGTTCCCATCATTGCTTTGGTCCGCTGGACCTATATGGCGCCTTTCTAGCAAGCTGGAGGAGCCGAGTGGATGTTCTACTTCAGTAGAGATGGCGATGTCATTCATGGCGACAGCCAGTGGTGGGTTGGAGATGTCCATCGATGGTCGTTTCCCTCTTCTATTCTCTGAGGGAGAAGGACGTTTGTCTCCACGATGCTTACTAATTCCGACTCGCTTAGTTAGTTACCTATTGCGTACTTATGAATGCCCGGCGGGGTGTGCGTCCAACCCGCATAAAAAGCGTGAAACCGGAAGGAGAATGAATGACTTCGACAAAAATGTAGAGAACTTATGGAGATCAACTACTCTAGAGTCGAAGGCTCAGTTGTCGTGATGGTAACAACAAAATGACAAACGCCGGGTGGAATGCAACATGAAGTTTTGAATGCAGCAAGAAAATTGATCCGCCGAATCTATATACTATGTATGGCAATGATATTTAATCTTCTTCTTCCACCCTCGCCCGTTTGGATCCTCGTCCTCCATCGCCATCAGAGCCAGCTTCCTGAATGCCGTACCTCTTCTGGCCGGTGCTACTTGAGCCACCACCAGTGACATCGGCAATCATGGTGTCGATGCCAAACGGATCCGCCGTGTCTTTTTCAAACTCCACGGGGCCATCACGAGCCTGCGCCATCAAATTGTATTAGCATAAACTAGGGAAGAAGAGGACAGTGGAATCTTAACTCACCTCGGCTTCAGCTGCGCCTCGGAAACCCTCCTTCGCTCGCCCAAGAACCTCGAAACGGCCGCTCTTTTGAATTTTGCTCATTTCCCCTGACGCCGCGTCTTCGTCATACTCGTCGTCAGCTTGGGCTCTCGGTCTGTATATGCTGCTTATAGCATCCTGCGCAGCAAACAGTGGCTTATCATATGGATTATCCTCGTTAAAGCCGGTTCCAAGTCCGCTTGTTTGGTTGAAAAGTCTCGAATCATACATAGATTCACTGCTCTGGGTAGGTTTTGCCAAACCCAGTGCAACTTTCTCGGATATGTCACGGTTTTGCTCCCGTGCCAACATCTGAACACGGCGCTCTGTACCCATGCGCGACTGTCGCAATTGCCGCTCGGCCTCCTGGCGACGCTCACGGCGAGCCTGCTCTCGTTCACGCGCTGCCGATTCGTCATCGCTGGGACTGACCGATCTGGAACTATACGGCGATGGGCTGCGGCTGCCACTGATAGACCGAGCACGAGACTCACGCCGACTTGAAGCTGCTGTAGATCGCTGCTCGCGAGCCTTTTGTGCGAGTTGGCGGAGATGCTCTTCTTTCTGTGCCTTCTCCTTTTCAGCAAGCTTCTGCTGCATTTGAGCTCGTTGTCGAACTTCCTCTCTGGCATGTCGATCGGCTGTAAACAGTGCCTCGGCAAATTGTGCAAATTTGTCGTTAATTGTGACATCCTGCAGACCACGCCCGTCGGCTGCTAGACGCTTGTCGAGAGGCACTGTGTAACCCTTCGGGTTCTTCCAGTTCGACACTGGCGGTGGGATCTTCCATGCTTCCTGGTCTTCCGCAGTCAATTTGCGCGGAGGGGAGTGCATCACAGGTGGTGGCGGTGATGGGGGGCCACGAGGAATTTTCTTGTGTTTAAATTTCGGTGGCTCCATAGGATCCTGTTGTCGCTCCATGATTTTCATAATGCGATCGTTCTTTCTGCCTGTGTCTCCCATCTGGTTTGCTGGGGTGTATCGCACAAACGTAGGATCGGCTCTCTGTCCACCCCTCACGTTTTTTGGCTTTTGAGCTGCGACTGCTCCAGAAACAAGCTTAGCGAGAGCATCCTTCGTTCTTTCCATTTGCTCTGAAACTTCTTCCTCTGAGGGTCGGTCAAGAGAGATTTCACCCATATCCACCCGTTGCCGCAGCGGAATGAGATCCTTGAATGAGGCATGGACAATACGGTTATCGCTATGTCCGCGTCGTGCAATGGCATCGTATTTGACTTTTCCTTCACCATCTACCTGTACTGCTAGAGCATTTAATGTGGTCTGAGAGCCTTTGCGACCCATATCCAGCGGATACTGTGCGACAAGGATCTCTGGAAACGCACCGCCATCACCGAAGTCTTCGGGTGCTCGTGGTCGCCATCCCGTTCTATTACCGTATGCAGGGGGGCCGGATTTCTATATAAGAAGCCACTGTTTGTTAGAATGTTCAAAAATAGCTTTGCAATAAGATTAATCCACTCACCCTTAACATAACCTGTGTCTCATCCAGAGCGCCTGCGCCCAGCACTCGGGGTCCTCGCTGCTGCGCGTGGGCAGGTATTTCTTCATCCTCACCTGTGTACTTGGGCTTGGGTAACGACTTGAAGAGACCTGAAGCGACAGACGCCATGGTCGATATATGTGTGGTGGCGGATGTTTGATGTGAGTCGGTTCTGTTATCGAAAGAGAAGCAAGTTCTGACGAAGACAAGATTTGCGTCTTGTGCGGAATGCCGTGAGTGCTTAGCAGGGAACGGTCTGCTTCGACGAATGCGAGCTGTAAGCAGCAAACTTAGGTCTCCAAATAAAAAGCCTCATCGACTTCACTGCCGGGTTTGACGCGCGTATGATTGATTTCGCTTCTCAAAGTTTAGAAACCTTGCCGAAATCAACGTTCAAGAGCGGTAAGTCACGTGCTGCAATTGGAGCTTTCTACACCGCTTGCTAGAAGCGGGCGTTCTGCCAGTATTGTTTAGCCCTGTCAAAGAATTTCTTCGATGCCGATAAGCTCTCAATATTCTGATTGGAGAATGTCAAGATGAAGAGCCATTGTTAAGGGATGCCTATTGCTGGATCCATACCGCAATCCCGTAGGTTAAGCTTTGATGACGAAACAGTCATCCTGACAGTCTCTACCTAACTAGGTACTGGTATGATGTGATGAGATGCCTTGGGCATTTTCATCTCGCTAGATACCCAGAATGTGCTTGCTGTGGATTTTGCTTCTTCCTATAGATCCTTTCTAGATGGTATTGATTGACCACCCTTTGGCATCCCGAGATATCCTCCCGATCATGATGTTTGCTATTGATTGCCACTTTCGATAATACAAATATCAATGATACATACCCCGGGACTGTAAAGTCAGTGAATTGGGCGAACGACCAAGATAGATGGATATTGACAGTCAGTTATTCAATCGGTTGTATGGCTTTTACTAGTGCGACGGTACAATGGATTTTGATGATGGTGAAAACAGCAATTCAGGCTTTAAGTATTCGAGGAAGCTAGAGCTTGTAATTGTACATCAAGACATCTTTGGCTTTAATTCAAGTTTTAAAAGTGAAAGTAACACTTAGTTGGTCCTCAATTTGAATATTACCAAACGGTTTACATCCTGTAGTGCTCTTTGAGTGCGAAGAGCACTCCCGAGGTCATGGAGATGTCAAACCTTGGAATACCCTAAGACTGTACTTGGAAGATCGAAGCCTCGCTGAAAGAGTAGCTATATGTGATTGGGAAACCATGGTTGCAGTACTGCGGCGAGTGCTACTTAAGTTACTGGGATGCACCCCTTGGTCAAGGAATAGGTAACGTTTCAGATGCTGAGAATCAATTACCACTGTACATCAAGCACCATTGCTTTCGGTGCATCATCACTATGCTGCCCATCCCACGTAGAAGTTGGATTCTCTGTTTTCCGTTCAAAATATGGAAAGCCTGCATCGTCTTGCTTCCACTCTCCTGGCTGGCAGTTGTCTCGTATTTCTTTCCCAGTCTTCAATGACCAGGAACCATTGGACTCGTGAACCCAGAATTCCATGACTTTGTCGTTATTTACCCTAGGCTCTCTAGAGTCATCCAGTTGCTTTTCCTTTTGAGGTGCAGCTGCTCCAACCTCGGTCTGCTCGTCCTGCCAGGAATCAACATTGGAATTTTCGGTGGTTTGTCCATTCCATGTATCAGTAGTTGTAGTCGTAGCTGCCCCATTATCCCACTCACTGGTAGCCTCTGCAGAACTGTTGTTAGACTCCCTTGTTCCATTGGCCCATTCGCTACTACTGGCATTTCCAGCATCTCCGACGTTTTCAGTTTCATTGTTATTTCGCCAGGAGGAATCAGCATCGGGAGAAAACCAGGACGTCTCTCCACCACCAGGCTTTTCACCTGTATTCTCAGTGCTGGGTTGTTCTGAATCTCCAGAATTGAAGAAGTCAGTAAAAGGAGCATCGTTGTTGGTGCTTGTATCCTGAGTTTGAATGCTCGAATCGCCCTCTTTCTTGTCACTCTCCGTTGCAGTGACACTCGCTCCCCATTCATCAGGGGTACTCACTGCCCATTCTGTAGGGGCGTCTGTAAAGGTCACCTTCTTCTTGTTGTTCTCATCATTCGTAGCTGAAATTTGGGGTTTGTCGTTGTCCTTGCTGTTCTCACTCTGATCAGGAGGCGCGTTGGAAGATTCGGACTGCTCAGCATCAGGTTTCGTGGACGACTCTTGTGCGGTGGAGCCTTTTTGGTTCTTCTTATTGTTATTATTCTTGTTGTTGCCACCTTCACCCTTGCCCTTTTTGCCTTTCTGGTTATTAGACTTGGTGGATTCTTCCTTCTTTGGCTGATCATTGCTTGTATTTCCTGATTTATCATTCTTGTTGTTATCGCCTTCTTCGCTGGCGTTTTCACTTTTCAAGTCTTGATTAGATGAGCTTGCATCATTTCTAGAATTCTCATCACCCTTCCCAGAATTTCTCGACTGGGAACTATCATTGTTGTTGCCATTATCATTGCTTTCTTTTGCTGCATTCTTGCTCTTCTTTTTGCTCTTGTTGCTAGTATCAGTGGGCTTTTGATTGGCATTATTATTCGTCTGCGCAGTGTTGGCTTCCTCTGCCTCAGCTTTATTTCCCCCTTCCCCTCCTTGTTTTTTGTTTTCGCTGTAGCCTCCATCTGTTGACGTCGCAGTGTCATTACGACACGCCTCTGTCGAATGATTATTCGTGTTTGAGTCACGGCACGACACTGTAAGCGGCAGCGTTGCAGTCGTCGAACGCCTGTTCTCGAAAGTCTACTCAATTAGACAAAATACTCAGCAGCCAGTTGCATAAAATAACATACCTTGCCAAGAACATTTGTCCCATGCTCAATATGCCTCGCCACTATCCTCGTGCCAACTCGCTGGCGCACATATCTCCACTGCCGTTTGGGGGGATATGGCTCTAGAACGTAGCTTTTCGAGGGAAAACAAAAACACATTGTGTATTTTCCCCCCTCTTGTCCCCTGTCCTCGTCTTTGCTTTGCTTCAGATCTGTTATTCGAGATTTTGAGAATTGACCAACTGCAGCTGCAAGAAACAGATATACATAAAAATCCTATGTGACCAGGTGTAAAAGCCAGAAGAAATGATGAGTGAGTGAGAGAGAGAGGAAAAGATGATCCTGCACATGCTATTAGAAAGAGAAGTGTATGAAAGTCAACTCAACTCTTTACTTGTCGTATATTTCACGTGAGACAAATGCCCTAAAGCTGCAATAGGCAAACACGCGTGAAACAAACAAGTCTGTGTGAATTTCCAATCAGTGACTGACATGAAAGAGTGTAGAATAATGAGTAATGCATCAAAGAAAACCAAGGTAGAATATTACCAAGACTGACTGCATACCTCCTAGAGAGGATATTTGGATGCTATTATAAAGTAACAATGAATATTATCAATAAGCTTGCTCCCAAACGCCTGGAGATGGGAAACACCAAACACCGCCTGACATGCAGCAGGGTTTCAAAGAGAAGGAAGAAAGCAGAGGGGAGAATAAGCATTGTATCTATAATAATGCACCTTAATACACATGTTTTCAAGTGTACTCGTCTCCACCAGGGTCTCTATGCTCCCTCCGCGGAATCGCAATGTCTTCTTCTCCATCTTTGGCTTCAACGTAATGGATCTGATCGCGGAAGAGATACCATATCCTTAATATCTTGGGTAGTAGAGGAGCTGGATCGTAGAAGCCGATGATTTGGAACTGTAAAATGGATTTCCACGTTAGACTTGCTACACCATCATCTCATCTCGAAGATGAACTACTCAATTTCCTAAAATATGAAAGGTTGGACTCACCCGACTAGTATTTTTCGATATAAAAAGCTGGCCTTTGTCTACTCGCGCGGCCACGGGAATTGTCACATCAATGAGTTTAGACTCTGCCCGCTCACCAACGCACCCTGGGCTCTCTGGCGCTCGATATCCATACTCAGCTTTCGTTATATATAGTCCGCCCTGGGACCTTTCACGCAGTTGGCGTCGTCCAATGTGCTCCTTCATCATCTCTATTTGCTGTTCACTTTCTTTTTTTCGCGCCGCAATCTGAGATTTTAGAAGCTTTCGTTTTCGAATGATTGCTTCACGTCGTAGGCGCCTTTCTCGAGGACGGATGTAACCAAATTCGACTCCCACGTAGGCAAGCCAGGGAACCATGACAGCCCAAACGGACAATTCAGCATCCACGAGATCGACGGGGCAAATCGCAATGGGTACTCTGATGGTCTGTCCCAAACGACGCCAGGTAAGGGCCATGACCAAGCCGCGCGCATCCCGAACACTTAAACCCAATCCTATACTGGAAACTTCGCCAACTCGCCGAAGTCCAGAAATGCTCCATGCCATTCCGCCGTCAAGAGAAGCGGTCACCTCGGCCTCGATTCGCACACCACGACGACTTTGTGAGAACATAGATGGGTGGTAGCCGTCTAGATTCCATTCTGAGCGCGGCGGGTCTTCGATTTTATCGGCAAATAGAGTACGTGCATATTGCAAACTCAAACTGCCACCGTGTGGAGAAGCAGAGACAATCCACTGCCATAGCTCTTTTTTTGTTGGTGGGTTCGGGTGGTCAAGTTCTTCGGCTTCTTCTGCGGTCATGGCATCGGGCATAGTGGTGTACTTAAGCTGCAACGAGCTAGGTTGACTAGCCAGTAAGAAAAGTTCTTTCGGGTCAGGCGATGTGTCCGTGTAAGATGAATACATGCTTTGCACAAAAGACGGCCACATATGCAACCCACTTGAGTACGTCAGAGAACCGAATTTGCGGACGCCGAATCGCCTTGCCACAGATGCCGACACAACCGGCATGTGTTGACTTGGATTAGATGGCATGGTACTGGTGACGGTGACAGTAAATGGCTTGCTGTGGGGAAACGGAGACACTTGTTTTGACATGTACACTGCAAGCCCTTGAGATGGGAGGATATCAACGTTGCCACCAATTAGGACTCCATTGAGAAAAGACCACAGCTTGGAATGAGGACCTGCCCGTAGCCCAACGCCTGTGATTTGGTGGCTGATATTGGCGTTCAAGCTGAATGTTGCTGCGCCCAAGATAGATGGACCGTCAACCTGTGGAATTTCCATCAGCAAGGATGCTTGATTTTGGAGGAGTTTCACGATCATATGATTACCTTAATAATTTCCGATGTTCCGTCTTCGCGCTCCACCTGAATCTTCTGGTTCGTCTTTCGTACTGCACCGGAAATGGAAGTTTGGAAGGTGACCTCAGGTAACTCTGGTTTTGCATCTTCTGGTAACGGTTCCCCTTCAACATCACCCTGGTTGCCAGATACCCATGCCCAAAGACCCGAGAAATCCGGTAGGGTTGTCTTGAATGCATATCCAAGACCGTATCGACTAGGGCGTACAGTTGGCATGTTAAGCTGCACATAGCCTTCCTCTTCGCCAGGCGAGACTAAAGAAGATGCATCGATTCCAATAGACATGCTTCCCTGGAATTTGGTGTTAGCAATTCAGTAAAATGCCTTTGCAGTTGCTGTGCAAACACCAGGTAAAGAACTGAACAACTGAGGGGAGAGGGAGGGGGGTAAGCAACGAGTAGCATCAATTGAAAGAGGGAAGAAATGGTAGTTAACGAAAACAATAATATTGACCAAAGCTCTAATATTCTATGGACAACACCGCCGAGGGACCCATCAATTGAAGTAGTACATACCCTAGCACCAACCAAAGAGTCCAAAGCCTCCCTCTCCCTTGCCTTCATTTTCGCAAGAAACCACCGTCGAAACTCAGTCGGCGACATTGTTCTAGGACCAACTTGCGCAGAATGCCCATTCTGAATTTGTGCCCTCCTACTTCCCATAGATCCAGTTGCGCCCCATTCTCGCTTCACGCCCTCCTCGCCTTCAAGATCATAGACAATTCGCTTTTTGGGATCAATAAGCGTCTCATAGGCGTCTTGGATGCGCCTAAATTGTGCCTGAGCTGCCTGGACTAAATGCGCCGGCTGCTTGTCCGGGTGGAAACTCAACGTCAAATGATGGTATGCAGAGCGTAGCTGGCTGTCAGTGGGAGGCGGTTCTCGCGGGACTCCGAGTATGCTATAGTAGTCAATGTTTTCGGGGTATTGAACTAGCAAGCCATATTCCTCCTCTTCGGCTTCATCGGCGTCGAATGTAGCGTCGTTGATGGTGTGGGCGCCATGTCGTTGGCTCTCTCCAAATCTTGAAGCGGCCATCCCCGCACGAGAGCGTCGGAACCTTTGGTGACGGGGTGATTGTCAGTAGTAGTGGTTAGTGGCCAATACTAGAAAATATTGCTGTGAATTAAGCTGTTATTTCATATTGCCTTCATCCTGAAAGCATACAAGCTGCATGGGCGGAGTTATATACTGCTGTATATAACTGTATGACGAGGATGAAGAAAACGCAGATGGAGGAAAGCTCCAACTTGGCTTAGGCCGGTGGGATCGAAAAAGCTTGGCGTTGCGATAACCCTGACTCTAACCCTAAGTACATTTTTGTTTATCTCTTTTTGGGGGGGCACTCGCAGGGCATTGCATAGGGGAAAAAAAAAAAAAAAAACTACTACAGCTACAGCTTGGAATCTCAACCACGTAGGTGCTTTGACTGCCTACTCAGTCCATCTTCTCTTCCTTTTTGTAACTGTATCAATGGGTTCAAGTTGGTGTGTAGAGAGATGACATGCTGGTAGCAGACCATTGAGAATATGCTCGTTTGATAAGCTGAATCTCTGCAATCCAGACTGTCTAAGTACATGGGTTCTCTCAGACTGGGAGATTATGTGAACATATTAGACACCTCAGGCCTCCAGGACAAAAGCGGCGTCACATCAACACAGTGTCACTTTTTATCAGCATCACTCTGTGCTGGAAATTTCTCATCACACATTCAACCATACTGCACTAGGTAGGTTATATGATCACGCAACGTAATAGCTTTGCTTGTTGTATGATCATCTTATCTAAGTCGATGCATTATACCGGTGCATCTGCTTTTCGGACAGTTATACGAAGCAAATACAAGCACAGCAATGTGGCTTGTGTCGGACGACGTCGGCACTTCAGCCACACATCATCTTTTAATCTCCACAGACTCCGCTCTGCTTCGTGAGAAAGTCGGCCTGTTTTGCCATCAATCCGTTTCTTCGTATTGAACGGGAAGTTGATGTGGTCTGACCTGTCCTGTTGATGGAACACACTTTGTTTTGCTTGTTCAAGCAGAAGCAATATTATCCAACCAGGTCTGATAGAGTTTGAAGTCCCTAGAGTCTTCTAAACGAATTCGCATTTCATTTCAGAAATCATTCATCGGCTGAAGCCCAGATCATGGGGCTGGAATTGAGAAAGTGAACAGGCTCGGGTTTTCGCTGCTGCTCTTTATGGTTACACCGGCTGCAGATCATATGAAGATGACCTTCCTCGACTTGGGCGGGGTCTAAGAATAAGCGATATAAGTAAAAAAAGGGGGGAAATTTGCCAATGTTTGTTTCAATTTCATATAAACGGGAAGATAGACCTGGACTCACGCATTGTCAAACCTACACTCCCTCCCCGACTTCTGACATTGATCACATTTCGGCAGATTCGGCTGGCACTTTACTTTCTTTTCCCTGCACTGAATACAGGCCTGTGCCAAACGTTTCCGGGCCTTGCCAGCTTTCGTCAGACCCCAGTTTGGATTGACCTGTTGGCCATCTATCGATTTGGGACAGTAAGAATTATCTGCATATATGTAACAAATACCCTTCCCCGGAAGATATCGTTCGTCGACTACCTGCTTCGTAACAGCAGGCCCTTGTGACGCAGACTCTCGTCCTAAGTGTGGCACGAGGTGGGACGATGTCGAGGGAATAGATTGCATTGCGAGATCCCTCGAAGCAGCAAAGTGGCTCGGGGGCGAATCCTCATCAGGCGCAAGTCGCGCACGAGAATTTTCCGACACCCGCGAATGCGATGGGGGCTCAATGCCTACTTGTGATAATGAGGGCAGTCTGGCAGGTTGCGGTGTATGGTATGGCTCGTATTCCATGCCCCCAGATGGCGGCATAGATGGATAATTTGAAGGTATCCGTTCTGGATTGCCGGAAATATTCAAACGTGAATCGGAAGAAAGTGGGTAATTCGACGGCGAGTTTTGTAGGCTACGGCCCTGGAAATGACTTGTTTGAGGAGGAATAGGAGGAGGAGGAGGTAAATAACTAGCACTTCTTTCGGACGACAGTAGTTGATGGACGGATGGCAGTTGCTCTCTTGACGGGGAATTGCCTTGCCTTGAGTATGACAGGTCTGTTCTCTCCGGTGATCGAGCCTCTTGTTCTTCTCGGTCGTTGTCCACGATGATTCCTATAGGAATGGAAGAATGTGGCGGTGGAAGCAGATACTGACGGTTTTTTTGGTCCTGGCCATGTCTGCCACCGTTGTACTTGAAGGTCATGCTCCGAAAATGAAAGTCGTGGCCAGGTATCACAGTTTGCGAATAAGTTATACTCATTATCGGGACGGTAGACTAACTGTGTGAACAGAAGCCGATTCCAAAGAACAAGTGTACGCAGAGAGCCGGCAGCGAATACAAAAGAGGGGATGTGGAAAATTAGTTGATAAGTTCGATGTGCTGGCAGCCTCGAGGAACTGCAAAATATAGTTGACTCAATGCATATGAGCAGCTGTTTATAGAAACGCAGAATTCCGAAGTTGCAGCATTAGAGGGGTCGAGCGATTGTATCGTGTTGTGTTAAACCGCCATCATCGAATCAGCGATTGAAACTAGATCCGGTCGTCTCTGTTGCATGATTAGATTTATCAAAGACGCGATGAATGCTGAGGATCTCTCAGGGGGAGGGGGGGTCGGACGAACAGCCAGAGAAGCATGCGTTCATTGCCGAGAAAATACGCAAAATTGTTCGGATATTATATCTCAGCGCTCGAAGAACATGCACGTCCAGCCTATATCCAAACGATCGGCAAATGGAGATCGAAATCAGGCTGACTGACAGCAGGTAGAGTATACCACACACACCGTGGAAGAGAGGAACGAATGGGGATCGGAACAGTATCAGGGGAACCTCAAACAAGATGACCGCCTTGGAGGGTTGAGAAATGGAATTAGGGACTAGTCCAGGCACTTGATATCATCCCACGATGAGAAATCCGGCATGTTCTTCGGTCTTAATATCTGCATGGACCCGTGACAAATACCGAACAACGAATAAGAGGCCAGTCTCCAGACTAGAGGCGTACCGGCTGTATTAAAGGCAAAGTCAGCCACGGAGAGAAAAAGAAAAGAGCATGAATCTGGAGGAGTATTGCTCAATATAAGGGCATAGGTAATACCACTGACGGGCAAAATCTCCACGTTGTAAAAAAATAAGATAAGTAGGAATTCTCATTGATAATTGGACCCTTTTCCTCGGCTAGGGGTCATTGACGATCGAACTATCCTGATAGCTGCATAACGTACTTTAGATTCTGGATGTACCGTTGCTTTTTTTGTTTTTTCCCCCCTGGAGTACGTCGTATGCACTATGCAATCACGGCCTTCCGCCACGGAGCCATATCACCAACTGTATTAGGGTACCCTACCGCGAGTCCACCTTGCTACAGCCCCCATCAGACCGTCGTGGCTGAATCAGTGAGCGGGGGTTGTTTGTGAGGGAGTCGAGAAGACGAGTGGAACACTGGAAACCACCGAAGAATTGAGTGCAGCCGAGAGTCGTTGACAAGCTACGGAATACTTCCGTCCAGTATGAGCAATTCGTACTCCGTTCCTCCGTACAGACGCTGTCAGACAGAGACAATCACGACCCAAGACTCGCCCGGTGGGCCAGTGTGGCACTGTGGACTGTACCTCCGCCGCCATTTGACCCTAGCTTCGCAGCACTACTATATTAATCTTCCCACAGTGACCGGGGTTGAGGGTTTTATTCCTTACGTGATGCGGCGTAGACTACATAAGTACAAGACCTTTCAAAAGGTGGCATTACGGTGGGAAAAAATGAGACGCCTCAGGGACTTCGTTCGCGCAGATCAGCATAGCATCCTTGTCAGGTTCATATGAATGAACCGGGTGTGCAAATTGTGGCCACTGTCCAGACCCCAGACATGCAACTTCTGCAGCCGAGCGGCCAAGGCTGAATCGGCAAATGAGAGATCTGCTTACTTTGACCGCGCTGCTAGAGCGAAGTTGTGTTAGTAAAGCGATTGTAAAGATGTCGACAAATGCCATCACCGATCGGAAACATAGCTGTACGAGAGAGAAGACCGATCGGTTGAGGAACAATTTGGCAAGTGCAACGTAATTATTTTGCATCTTACTGGTAGGCTAACAGTAGCTGTCTGGTAATGTAATTTATCAAGCGAATCTCATCTTATCGGGAGACCCGTTCTCTCCAACGGGCATTGGGACGGACAAGAGCCAATCGACCAAGTTGCCAGCGTTTGACAAGTGCTGTCAAATCTTGCAGTTGTTCAACTAACGTGCTGCCACTGTGGCTGGTCAGGCGTTGGTATCAATGCAATCGTGGCATATGCGATATCCTTAAGTAGACACAGGGACGGAAAGTTCTTTGGTTGGAGGATGGCATATCTGCCATACGAAGCTTGCCGAACATTTCCAGGATCTTCATCGAAGATCTGCCCACTCATGGTACTGTTAGTCTTTTAGTTTGTTGTATGAGGAAAGAAAACGGCGGCAAATCATGGAACTCGGAAGTTGACCAAAACGAGGCGCCTCGCGCTAAATTGCGACTAACTTAGCTCAAAGCCACTAGGCAAGATTGGTACCTGACGCCGTTTGCTCCATACTCAATATTGCTAAATTCACAGAGGACGTGCATCCGGATGACTAGTCAAAAGTGCCGTCTGGCATCTAGGCTATCGTTCAGCCTCTCACACGCGGAATTTCCACGTACGTTTTACGTGCTAGTACGTAACTAGCGCAGATATCGTCCATACGTAGAATCATCTCGACTCCGATCGGCGACTGCGATTGGTCGAGTGAGACGCTCGGCAGCGGTGCCGACAGCCTAGGCGATGCCTTCAGTTGGTGGCGCACGTTTAGAATAATACGATTGGAGGACGCCGAAAATGAGATGCTGCAAGTCAGTGGTCAGGAGTCCCTTGTTTGCTTCTATTCTCCCTCGCTGCTTTTCCGAGAGACACAGACAAAGGGAGCGGATCTACTCCGGAGCGGGGGGCGGCAGCCACAATGGGGGGGGGAAGGCCTGATACTAACCTTGAGGAACGAGCAGGCTAAGTGCTAAGTAGTAGGGGCATGTTCCACTGGCGGGCATGAAGTGTGACTAGTGGTAGCTAGTGTAGCTACTAACCGTTAGTTCAGGTGGTGCATGATCATAATCATATGGTCTTATTTACCTAGCCACCTGCAACTGCCAGCTAGGAAAGCAGGCTGTAGTGAGCGACGCCGCACTGTGAATACATTCCGTCTAACAATTCGACTCGAACTTATGCCTTGAACCAGGCATTTGGGACGGGAAGTTGAAGAAGAAGAGAAAAGAAAAAGCCAAGCCCGACGGCGTAATCAATAGATCGACCCGCATCAACATCTTGATCCGCTGCCAGGCATGCGATTCAAGGGCAGCGTTTCGTATTCTCTCATTATTGGGACAATTCTCTCGCGCGAGAGACGCAGCTTCCATGCTCGATCCACTCCACAGCTGCATTGTCATATCCATCGTCAGGGATTGTTTACCATTGTCGTTGGCTCGACTGGGGCTTCTCCACTGAGCAACGTCGTAATATGCAAGTCTTGTGGCACGGCAGTCCGATTGGGAATAGGATCAGATAGTGTCTAAGATCAATAAGGACGGATGCTCGGTAGATACCTAACTGGAGTTGCAACGTAAGGAAGAAGGATTCGACGATGATCATGTAACTGTGCGAGTTGGATTGGGGGTTGGAGGTTGAGGTTGGAGATGCTCTGGAGGAAGGCACAAGCAATATCACATGATTAAAGCTAACCAACTATTTGTTACGTATGATACTCCGTACAGTGACTATCATAATTTATCACAGCACGGTTACATGTTAAATATATTAATACGAAGGGCATACTATTATAAGTAATATATTAGCACAACTAAAGCTTCACTAGCAGAGGCAGGGACTATTGAACTCTAGTACCATAGCAGTAACCAAACAAGTAATACAGCGTAATACATTCATTCTCCATCTTCTATGTAGTAGCCCGCCGAAGGATTTAACGGGATTCGAGAATATCCAAGGAACATTCTTAAAATCCCTTTGCCGAGGTTCGGAGTGAAAAGTAGGTATTTTTTTCTTTTTATGCCAGCTGTCATTTCAATCTGGATTAGGGCTACCAACGCGGATACTAGTCCCGACCCCAGCGAACTGCTACTGTCTAGCGAGCATTCATTTACATGTCCCACTGTCAATATAGTAGAAATAAATGTAAAAATTCCGTGTCCTGGCCTAAAGTTTATTATCTAGCCAGACGCCATATTAATCAATACGTCGCATCTCGGGCTTCGTGGTTAAGTAATTACCCAAAATGTATAAGCTGAACGATAATATCAAGGCCATTTGCATGATAGCACTGATTATGATCAAGACGGTCGGAATATTCCTTCTCTGCGCCGTGTTTATCGCCCATCTTACTATGATGATGATGATGATGATGATAATGCTTATCTTGCTGGTTGACGCGCGTATGTACGGAATATCCGTAGTGACTTGCTAATAGCCCCGGCTTCGGTTGATTACCTAGGTATATGCACGTAGGATGTGCTAGCACATGTGCTATCTCGAAAGGGCGACAACTCGACCAAAAAGGGTATGAGGGAACAGACTGAACAAAGAACCTCAACTTGCATACTTTTTTACGCCAATGCAGGTTCAACCGAAACCTTCAGCATAAATTTACCCGGTTGCCGACGCTGTACAACATCGGTTGAGGTGACAGCGGGAATGAGCAGATGCTTAACTACTACCATTTATAGCAATTGGAAGTGACAAGCTTCTGTCAAATTCTTTGCTTGGTAAGCTGGGTCCGCGAATGAGACAAGGGTTCCTCGGCGACAGGTCTATCGCCGGTTTTACAATCACATTCGGCACTGTAGACTGCTCAGGCCTTCCGCAAAGGTCCGCGCCTGCGGGCTAGATTCGCTCAATGTCATCCGCTGCGTTGACTATATTGCTACGCAGGACTAGACTACCTAGGTAGCATTAGAGCTGGAGGTAGGTTAGCATGAGTACTCATTGCTGAGTTAGATGGAAGGTGTAGAGGTCCGCGGATATGTTTTCCTGGTGTCTGTCTGCCAACGTATGGACCAGAAGTAAATGTAGGTAATGTCGCATCGATTCTAGACCTACCTCATGTCTCAAACTACCTAGGTAAATATTCTTCTCCTTCATAAAAAGGGGTGCGGGGGGACGTGACAATGTGGTTATATACTTACTGGGCGGTCATAACAGAAATGAATTTCCTTGAGACATTGCTCTTCCAATGCCAGTGGCCTAGACATGCTGCATGGATATGATAATGGCAGCATGCGAAGTTCTATATAGAGAGAGAGAGAGAGAGAGTTATATACCAGTCGCTAGTATGCGCTCAAAACATCCCTAGCATTGCATGGTGGATGCATACCTTAAGACGCTCAAAATACATTCCGAAACATCGCCAGTACCTATCCCTGAGCAAGAATTGATCGCATAACTGATCAACAAAGTTTGCGTACTTCCAATGCACCTAACACCCTGATCAACCTCACTAGATATGCACTGTTCCCGGCCATACGAAGCAGGCGATTAAACCTGCTCACCGAGGTTATGCGCCGACCTAAGCGATGAAAAACTAGCCAAGCAGCCATGCGGGTTGTCGGGAAGGATTATGTATGATGCTGGGGCAATATTGAAACTGAACCCCTCCCAAGTGCAATTACCCTCTGCCTAGTTAGGTAAACATAAAATCTAGACATTGAAAGCCGGAGGCTTACCCTAACCGCATTGCCTCGATTCAGTAACCTATCTAGTGTCCAACAACGTGGTGCATACGTAATATATATGAAGTCCATATTATTTGGCTGGCATGAAGCAGAGCTTGCATGAATCCCTGCAGTCAAGAGATTCCATGTAATGCCTCTAATTGATCAAGACACCATTTGTGAACCCGGATAGAGCATACACGCGAGTCATTCTCGAGTGCTACCTAGATACCCTTTCACTGCCCAGCTAGGTTGGCTGGAATCCTCCTGAAAACCGGAAGACCAGATACCTTATGTGCTCCCTCTCCTCCCCTGTTCCTCCCCCATCCCCCAGTCCGTAAAGACACAGAAACTGTCAACGTTACGCGATGGGGGGTATAGGACGGGCCAGCTGGCTATTTCCTACCTCTTCAGTCACCTCGTCAGTCAGTAGGTATTTCTTTGTGCGTCCTCCACACTCGAAAACAAATACCATACTCTACATAGTGTATTCATGGTGCGATCTTCGGAGCTAACAGCTCTTGCTTATATGCTGCTGGCTTGAATGCTCATTGTGTTAAAGACTGAAGAAAAGATTTTTATAAAAAAAAAAAAAAAAAAAAAAAAACTGGTAGAGGAAGTCAATTACAAAAGGGTGACATAAGATCTCGTGATACTCTCCATGATATCAACTCTCTGAGGTTTATTTCGTAGTACTACAATGGTACTTGGTCTTAAAACGCCGTAGGCTGCAAGTCAAGCTTGAACCTCCACAAGCTCTCCAGGCAATGACGAGTTTGAGACTCCCAGTCCAAGGAAAATCCTTCTTTCATATCTATGCTACTCTTTTTCCTTCCTTGTGTTCGTACTCAACAGCCACGGATATTCAAATCCTCAAAATGCGACTTCGTTCCATAATACCGATCATCTCGAGGAAAAGTCCTGATGTCGCGACGAGACTTCTATCAAATGTAGTCCTTACATTTCATTCTTAGAAACTCATAACCGACAACGGCTCTTCCCACTTCTCCACACAGACAAACGCTTACTATACAGCAAAACCAATCTCGGGGATGCCAGCATACTACAAGCGCAGCGCCTGCTAGTCCCACGGCTCGAGACCAACCGTTGGCGGCATTGTGATGACTGCTGGAAACTCCATCGTCCTTCAGCATGGAGGCCGCCCTTATTTTCATGGCAAAAAGAACCCTTCGTGCATGCCGTTTGCTGGCAAGGTTGATCTCTGCCCTTGCATGACAATCACTTTCTTGAATGCACTTCACTTGCTTACCGCCACAAAATATACACCGCTCAAGCATGAATGCACCTTCAGAGATCATGGGCTTACGGACGTTAATATTATCACTGAAGTTGGCTTGAATGTGACGCATGAAGAGTTACTGGTGAAGAATATATATACATTCAAATTATTACTTCAGAACTGCTCCCCAAAGTTGCTGTCATTCTTGGGGGTACGAACTTCTTTGCTGACATCACGCAAAAACATCGAGAGCTGGCTTCAAAAGCTTTTCGACAAGGCCAAGTCAAGCTTTATGGGATGGGGTAAGCCCTGCAAGGTGGATGCATCACAATTACATTGTGACTTCATGGAAGAGAAGAAGACAGACGGCAGATTGCGAGTTCTTGAAATAAGTGTCGTGCGCAGTCTTGGGAGCGGAAAACGGACTGATACAAAGTGGAAAGCGAATCGTTGCAGGGGATGGAAGCGCCAGCAAATACCAACTGTACCGAGCGTCCAGGACTTTTCTAGAGATAAAAACGAATCTTGTGACAATTCGCCAGCCTCAATCCTGAGCATCTCGAACTTGATTGAGGAAGAGCGGATGGCATGGTCCTACTTGTAAACTGAGAAAGCTACATGTGAACTGCGATATCTTCAAGGCTTTTTATACTATGTCACCAATCGTAAGTTCGGCCACAACGGTGGTAGGTACTGCGGCGGCGGAGGACGACGATCCAGGAGGTGGTAGGCAATTTCAAAGAGATGAAGGACCACGTCAAAGACATGGAGGATGGTAACGGCGTGGATAGCAACAAAGGGAACTTCCAAATTAGGAAAGTTCTCAGCAGTTAGGGCAAACTTCAAAGTCCTCCCTAGCGAATGCCTCAGGTAAACTTGACTCTCTACATTTGAGGCTTTTTGGATCTTCTGTTACTGAATGGATGCATTAGTTCGCCCGGGCTTCTTCATTACGAATAGCCCAATCATAGGTAGCTCTAAGTTCTCTTGACAAGGCTGCCCTTGCAAGATGCCGCTTGAATTGTGTTTGCATCAATATGGTTGTAATAACATCACGAAAATAACCGGATCGGATAATCAATAGAGTAGTACTGCTTATTTTTAGTTCGTTGCTCTACGTAGGATAGGAAGACAAATGAAAACCCAAACTCATAGTCTTTTGGTTCATTGATGGCATCACACATTAGGGCACGTATGCATATTCATTTCTGTAGCTGTGCTAAGACTACCAGTGGTAGAGAAGGAGTAAAAAAAACCCCCCATTTTGAGAGAAGATATGAAAATCAACATAAAACAAAAATACGTTTACTGCTCAGCCAGGATCTTCTGGAACTGCTCACCAGCACGCTCGGGCTTGCCAGCCTCAACAGACTGCTGTCCAAGCTTGTCCTTGGAGTATTGAGCAGCGTAAGGGTTGAGGCGGAGGAGGACTTGCTTGTTGCGGAGAGGGTTCTTCTTCTGGACGTGGGGGCGCTTGGTGCGGGCCTCACCCTTGGGCTCGCGGAGCACGGACTGGATTTCAGAAGAGTTGATGATACGGGTGATATCAGCGTTGGCAAGAACGTTGGAGGGCAGGAGGAAGTCCTTCTTCAGGGCCGAGGCAGAGGTGGTGGTGCCGTAGACCTCATCCAAAGCAGCGAAAGCAGAGGAAGTCCAGATGATAAAGCGACCGAGGTGACCACCAGGGGCGAGTTGAAGGAGGTTGAGGGCGTAGACAGACGAGGTCTCAACACCGGGGATGTTGCGGAAAGCCTTGACGAGCTCCTTGCCGTCGGTCTCGGGGTTGTAGACAACGAGAGGGCCACGGCGTTGACGGAAGCGGCGGCCTCTCAGCTTACCCTTACCAGCACGGAGCTTGCGAGATTTCTGGACCTTGACGAGGTCAGGGCCGGCACCGACAGCCTTGAGGAGGGCAATGGCAGCCTTGGTCTTGGCAATGGCAGCGTTCTCGAAGGTCTTGGACTCGAGGACGAGAGGAACCTCTGGGACGTTGGCGACACGGTGACCGCGGGCGAACAAAAGAGAAGGAACAGAAGAGGCAGCCAGAGCAGAGGCGGTAGCAAAGCGTCTGTCGACATCAACCACTTGTCAATTTTTCCCCCCTATACAAAAGCGAGCGCCGGGCTGTAAATCTTACCTCTGACCTTGGCTGACCTTCTGGTGCCACTTCCTCCAGACCTTGGTAGGGGCGAACATGCGACCAGAACGGCACATGTTACCGAAAGCAGCCTGACCAGCACGGTGAGTACCACCACCAGAGACACGGGGAATACGGGCGACAGCACGACCTATTCACACAAACCCATCAGTCTCGAGTCCCAATTGCTGACGCGCGCCGCATCGTCCTTCCAAAGTCATTTCAACATACCAGTACCCCAGGACTCGGCGGAGGTCTGTTCACCAGCCTTCTCGCTCACGGCATATGGCTGTCTCTTGTTCTTCGCAATACCGGTGTGAACCTTCCTGTGCACCTTATCAGCATTCCCTTCTCTCGACGGCCATTTTCAATATTTCCAAAGCCTCGGCGAACTCACTGGACAATATCCGGACGGATGGGCGAAGAGAAGACAGTGGGCAAAGGGTGAGTAGCACCGGAGGGCTTGCCCTCAGCCGTGGCGATGGTGACAGTCGGTCGGGACGCCATTGTTGTCGACAAGTTTGCTGGAGTCGTCGTTCGTTGTCGAAGTCGATGTTGAGATAGCTCTTCTCTCTCGATTCAAGGTGTGGATTTTTTTCTCTCGCTTAGTGGAGACTGGCCGCAAGTGCGGGTAGTCTGTTCCAGAATAGGAAACGAGGGCTTAGGGCTTTCCGCTGGCATTGTTTACACGCGGCCCACACTTGGGAACTTAAGCCAATCATCCATCGCGAACAATACTCATCCTATAACTAAACTCTCATCTGAGATCTAGTACCACGTACTCATTATTCTGTGCCAGATAAGTTGGCTCTTCGCCGTTATGCTTGATGCGTAAGGCACGAAAATTAGACGCAGAATAATACTGCATGCTATGTTTCTGGTATTTTACTACGTGATGCTTTATGTACCAGGATGACCGCCGATACTCCGCGTATATCCATGTCCGACGTAGAGGGGGGGGGAAAAAAATAATATAACAGAGAAAGTCATGAATCATGTGGCTAGAAAAGACACCGCTGAATGAACCAGTGCATATTCTTGGACTGCTCTCTAACCACTATTTGCGACCATCCTCTATTGAGAATGGCCGAAGAGCGAATGACGCCGCCTATGTATGTGGCCGGGGTGCTCTCGCTTATCTGCAACAATACTCAGATCGTTCGACAGCCCAGAGGTGCAATTGGTTCCCGCTGCAACAGACCCAACAGCTGACCACATGCCACTCGCGCAGCGCTGAAAGTATGTCCCATCAATGCAATTCCACTCGCCCTCGGTGGCGCAGGCCCCGCTGAGACCACCGCTTGTGGGAGAAGTAGATGAAGTGCTCGGAGCGGTTGTTGCTGGCGTCTCTGGTACAACAGTCGTCTCCGTAGGCGCTGTATAAGTGGTAGAAGTTGGGCTTATGGACAACGATGAAACATCGCTGGCAGTAGGAGCACTACCAGAGGAGCCACCTGAAGCATCACCAGAGGATCCAATGGCTGTGCCAGTGAGCGTTGGGGTGGCTGCCGGATAACTACCTGTAGCGGTGATGCCTGCACCACCAGTACAAGCAGCCGAGCCTGAGGGTTGAAGATTCGAAGGGGTACCATCGTACTCTACGGAGTCACCAGGATTTGGAAAACGAATATCAACTCCTTCAGGAGTCATACATTCGTTGATGTTGGCGACAAACAGCTCGGGGAAATCAGTACGTTTTGAAATAAACGTCGTCTCTCGTTTTTTGCTACTGCCTGATTTCGGAAGGATGAGCACAGGAGCACAATTCATGTACATTTCGCGATTTCCAACTCGATTAAACCAGGTCCAGGCCAGGCTATACCTTCCTTCGGCGATGTCTGGGATTGTGAAGTGGAAGGTTGTTGGGTCGACAGTATCAGCACCTCCACCAAGATTGCCAGTGACGTTTGCGGGACATCCACCTTCAATAGAATGAATGACCATCCATGTTGAGTTTACCGACGGTTCTAGATCAGTGGTTAAGCTGACTTGACAGGAGCCACCACCGTGCGTAGCACTTCCAATGAAACTCAACAATGGGGAATCGCCGACATGGAAAGTATTTTGCTGCAAGGTCGCCGCGGTATAGGCATATGTGTCGCTGCGCAACTTGCATGGAAAATCAGAACCATCAGCATTCAGGGGAGAGTTGTTGAGGGTGTCGATGCCGTAGGGGACAGGACTGGCCATTTTCATGTGCCCGTGAACGGACGCTGCGAAAAGGGCAGCCGATAAAAATTTTCGTTTGATGTAGTGCATCTTGATATTGGCAAATGAGTGTCGTGACTCTGAGCGAACCGCCGACTCAGAAATTCAAAATGTGCGTATCTTCAAAGGAATGATAACCACCGCGTCTGCCACAGGCGACACGGTTCAGAAGACACCTGTTGACTAGGGAACAAAAAGAAAGAAAGTTGTCCAGGACTTGCCTATAGAGGAATAATGGAAGGGAAGGCCGATCTTCGAACCAGCGTTGATGGAGTGAGAGACAAGAAGAGACGGGGAGAAGGAAGGAGACGAATTTATATGCGTGGGAGGCCAATAGCACCAGGCTTGTTTGTTGATTGGCTGTCGCGTATGCAGGGATTGATTTTTGATGTGTCGCAGGGAGCATGGCATTATACAATTCTTTATTCTACCGGGAGTTTTCCTTGTGCCTTAAAGGGTTTGATAGCCCCTTGCCATGGCATGCATCAAACAATGGTGATTGTTCATTTGATGCAAGGCACATGGACTCATGCACGTTGAGTCAGACCCATTGAGTCAGGCAAATAGTCAGGCAGCATAGGACTTTCGAGAGTGAAGAATTGATTTGTTGTCAACTATTACATGGCCATACTACTACAAGGAAAGAAAAGTATAATCATGGTCACATACAGACTTTGCCTGACATAGGAAGAGCGCAAGACAAGGATTGGCTTAGATCGACCCAAAACCAGCACTAAGCGTGCAACAATAGTACACAATGAGCATTGTTTATTCACATATCTTTGGGTGCTATACCTCTATTATTGACACACACGGAACAATATGCTTTGTCCACTGTTCAGCAAGGATTCTCTGGTACACCGCAAGGTGCGTAGCTGAGGAAGCCAATCAGAGCGCCCGAACGGCGCCAAGAGGACGGCCGAGCCCTAAAACAGCCTCGATTAGGTCTAGTCGATTCTCGTATTCAGCCTCAGGCATGCGCTTCAGTCTCGTCTTCAGCCAATCAGACCTCCAATCTCGACGCTCCAAACCAGCGGATGAGACGTTTCAGATCTTAGGTGAACAATTGTTCAGACAAGACGAGCCTGTAGAGCTGGACAAAGGCATCACCTCTTGCCTTTCTTCTTACCTTTGTCCTTGGCACTGGGGGTGTCTTTCTGAAACCCTCCTTTCACGAGCGCATCTTTGCCGACGTTGTTGATGATTCGGAATCGATCTGGTCCCAATAAGATGCCCCCGTACCATCTGGTGACCACCACCAGCACATCCCAGACATCCATCAGCTGCATGAGACGCAGCAGTCGTCCGCCGGCAGCGGTCTCCCCATCGTCATCGCAGTCTTGAAAGGTCGATTCGGTGGTGCCATCTCTTCTTTCCCGGATACGCCATGCACTGATATTATGCGTTGCCGTCGCGACTTTTTTGTCCGTTGCCAAAAGGTAATCCAGATATGCTTTCGCTTGGTCTCTGCATGTGACAGACACGGCTCGTCCAACGAAAACAGATTTCTTCTCAGTCACTATATCCGACAATATCCATTCCGGGGGGTTATCAATGCCAAAAGCGTCGCGCAAGGAAACCGTCGCAAAAGCTTCCCCAGTTCGAGCGATCTGATCGTCGATATTATTGCCTCTATTTTGGTTTCCATTTGTTTCTTCTCCTAACGCATCTCCATTGTTTGTAGCTGACCCGCCGATGCTGAGTTCCTCGAATTTTTCGCTTGCCTCACTAATGACTTCGAACAAGCACACCTGCCCCGGTTGATGGGATCGACTGATGATATCTCGTAATACATCCACAGCTAAACTACCTTCACCACGCGATGAAGTCGATGCTGTACCTATCACTCTAGGCGGGGTATCTGGGTACTTCTCGTCAAAGCCAAGCACAAAGGACAGGTGGGGATGGTTCGGGATATGCAGTCGTATCGTAGTCGTAATAGCTCTATCGACGTCGGTACTATTGGCTGCTCCTCCTAGATCTAGCGTGCGTGGTCCATTGTCCGTTGAGGAAGCGTGGCTGATAGTGTTGATTTCTATTGTATTCGCGTCGTAAATCGCATTTATGGCTTCAACCTCCTCGGCAAGCTCGCGTTGTTGCACGCGGTCGAGATCGGTAGACATACTAGTAGCATTGTACCGGTTGACCGTCCTTGGGCGAGGGGTATGATCGTATTTCACGAGGACGATGGGCCCAACTGTGCATCTGATCGTGACTGCATGATAAGAGAAAAGAGAAATCGAGTTTATCCCATCTCGAATAGTTTCGGACTTGTCCGACCAAACCCCTCACCGCCCGCATTGCACAACTGAGTGGTTAACTAATACTGACCCTAGATATACTTTCAAATTTCTAGAAATTCAAGTAATATGATGCATAAAACCTAAAAAAAAAAAAAAAAAAAAAAAAAAAAAAAAAAAAAAAAAAAAAAAAAAAAAGAAACCAAGAAATCTAAAAATCTAAAAATCTAAAACTAAAACTTCATAATTTGTCTCTAATTGGACTAGGGGCACGGATCCTCAGGTTTGATGCTAATTCATTAGTGTTATAGTCTGCCCAACGGAACTTTGCACTGCTTTTACCCAACGATATCAACAATCTTCCATCATTAACATCGCGTAGCCTTCCTTTGTTGGCGATAAAAACAGACAGAATCCTTCTTGCTGCAGTTTTTATTGACATACCAGTTGAAATGGGCCATTTCTTGGACCGCAAGAGAATTCTAGGTTCTATTCCGATCAACCCGGATGATTGCACAGTAGGCCGTATCTTCCACCCGGCGTTGCGACAGTTTTGCCCTGCTAAAATGAAGGAGATATACAGCCTCGCATGATGATCGATCCATTGACGATCTAATTTCGGGCCAACATGACCGAGGCTCCAAAGTACAGTCTGGACAGCCAACCTACATGGTTGCCTGCAGGGTGGGATATGGAGAAAGCCATGGATATGACGCCTGATGAATGGGATAATCTTAGCAAGAGTGTTTGTACTTCTTGCTCAGGTGATGATAAGGTCTCTTCTGATGTTTGGATGTATAGCAACAAGATGTCCTCCGTGCCGGGTTTGAGGCGCATTGCGGAACAGAATTCCAATTTGAAGTGTTCAAGGACATGTCTGAACGATCGCAAATTAAGGCTGGTAAAACGCCATTTTCCTTTCCCCTATTTCTATATGCCAACTGTGGGTTTGTTCAATAGATACGTATGTCTCGCAGGCACCTATCACACGACCAAACTTCATGCAAACTTTGGAACGATACTATGCCTCTGGAGATTGGGGCTTTGTGTTTTACCGCACTACATATGCGCAAGATGAGGAGCAATGGTCACTTGTTCAAACAAAAATGAGCAAGATGATTGAACGAAACTTTGACTATAACAGCGTGGTCGACGGCGTCAACGAAGCGAGGCAGAGGTGGAAACTCCATTGGATCGAGAACCCCCAGAAATTCGACGGGATGGCACCGCATGATGTGGCCACCCATTACCGGAGTGTCGTAAAGACACTACCGCGAAATTATCAGCACTCCATATGCTTTGTAGTTGACGAAGCATCGGCACGCTCAATTTTGCTTGCAGACGCAAGTCGAACGGAGATACGACCCCTCCTCGGTGACATTGTACCATTCGTCATTGCCATTGACCGGTTCCTCGGCTGGGAGAACCCTGATGCCGAAAAGTACGAAGATGAAGAAGACCTAGGAAATTGGCGTGGTCCATTCCGCGCTCATCCCGGGTCGATCGTTGAAGATATCTTTGACATTGTGGGATCGCAGTTGATGGAGACGCACGAGTTTGCATACAGCGTTCGAGGGACGAATAACGTGTGGTGGAATTCGTGCGCTGGTGTCTGGACGGTTGATGGTGAAGGACGGTATGCGGAACGGCTATTTGAGAGTGCAGCCTTGCTGAGGGCCGAATATAGGCAGAAGAAAAGGAGGGAAGAATCCTCATAGATCGAAAATTGGGGTTCCCTCCTCGCTGTTAAAAAAAATTTTAAAAAAAAATTTAAAAAATTTTTTTTTTCTAGCTCTTGATTGCTTTTCTCTCTCGCGAAGAACTCTCATATTTACAGAATTTGCCAGCCAATATAATGGTCAACCCATCACTCATCTGGGCCAGTTAGAGGCTCATGCGATAATGGAATAAATCTCGCACTTATATTTGGGCGAGGCTCGAAGTCAGTATCAAACGGCCACATTGGCCGGCGGATTCGACGATGGCCAAGCCTAATCAAGTCTTGGTCAACGCCACCAGGGGTGAGACCAAGCATCCAGTCCGCTGCCATGGCATATAGTTCTGGTTCTAGATAGCCAATCTTAACAATAACAATGTCAGCACAGCGTGGTTGGAGATCAAGATCAGTAAAGTCGTGTTCCTTGTGATACGGTTTACGCAGCTTCGTCAGAATAGCGAAGACGCTTCCTACTTGTAAGACGACTTCAATACCAGCATTTTTGTCACCGTGTTTGATGGAATGTACACGCCCAGTCATGGTAATAGGACCGGCATGGATGTTATCAACCTCCGCACCTGCAGTCACTGTTACTGTTGCTCCAACGCCGGCGGCCACAGCAGTTTCGACAGCTCTTGGACCCGGAACACTTGCATATATGACGGTAGGACTCGAAGCATCTTTGAACTCTGGTCGAGCTAGTAACTTGGTCAAGCCCCATGTCATATCGCCGCTCCCACCTGCTGTAGGGTTATCCCCGCTATCTGAAATGAAATATGGGCGAGAGGAAGATGCAAGAGCCGTATCAAGGCACATCTTGAAGCTTCCAGCTAGGCCAACGAATTTGAAATCAGCATGTGCGTCCCAGAAGAGCTTGGCCAGTTTTTCTGCACCAGCTGCAACAGCGGCTTTGTCCCAACCCGTCGCCATGACAATGGCTCTATTTCGAGCTTCATCGGCCCAAGCATAGCCGACCCATATTGCAGCATCTATAACGCCAGCCATGGCTTCGACACGTGAAACCGCGGCGTATATGTGTTTGGCTGGTTCCACTCGCGTGGAGGTTTGTTCGCCTGGAAGTAGAATTGGGAGAGGGATCCAAGCTTTAAAGGGCCGCAGACGGTTGTTTCTTGATGAATGTTGTTTTGTGAGCAGATCCACAAGGTTGCGACAGGCACGCTCTTTGGTTTCCAATTCATCCTCGTGCGGTGCCATTCTATAACATGTTATCAAATCGGTCTGGTGAGCAAGCTCGCGCGATACGTTTCCATGTAAATCCATGGATGCCGACACGACGACATCTGGTCCAATAACTGCGCGAATGCGACGGAGCAGCTCTGCCTCGACGTCATCGAGGCCCTCCACGCACATGGCGCCGTGAATATCAAACCACAAGCCATCGAGACGTGGAGTAGACGCCACGATATCCTTGAGCCGTGATAGGATTTCTCCTGCGAGCTCTTCGAATGCGGGGCGAGTGACTATTCCGCCGGGAAGGGCGTGGCCGATAAGAGCACCACGCCAGTCGGCAATATTGGCAAGAGAAGTGCCGGGGTGTAAAAAGGCATATTCCTGAATAACTTCATGCCCGCGCTGTGGATGGAACGCTGGCGCCAGAGTCTTCGAGGGCGTGAAGGTCGAGGTTTCACAAGCAAGCCCGGCAATGGCGATGACTGGACGGCTATGCATGTTGGCAAGAAAGCTGGTAGTATATGATAGCAAAGAGAGTATCTTCAGGGTTGTACGTACATAAAAGTCGGCGGCTGTTGTAACGTAGAGCGTGCCTTCCCCACTTCCCCCCAGTGCCTTCCTTGCCCTTTCCTCCAGGCGTTACCCTCCCGCCCGGATTGCTATCAGACACAAATGCACAAAGATAAGAGACATTGACCTACCAGCGTCTTGGGTGCCAATCGGCAGGAAAGATGAGGGGGCGGAAAGTAACATCGCTCCGTTTGAGTCCCCGCGTTGGATAAGATGGCGGTTTGGTCTCGAACTTCCCAGCATTTGCTGCTGGCTATTGGCTTGCCCGTGGGAATAGTTCCTTCAGGATTGCAGCAGCTCCTGTGGCGTGGCCTATCTCAGCACTAGCACGACCTTGGTCGGCAAAAGACATGGACTGTGCTTTTTCTTTTTCTACGGGCTGCATTCCGCTTGCAATGAGGAATTGTTCTTTGTCTCTGTGTTCGCATCGCAATATAGCAAGAAGATGTTGAAGCATTCGCCCACCGGCACCTGGATGCCAGCATGGGTACCAGAGTCAACCGCCATCCTCTCAGTATTGCTTACGGTCTGCTCAATGGTACAATCAGCGGTGAGTGCAAGCTGGCTGTCGACATACGTATCAGTAGAATACTAACACCAAAGGTATCCCAAGACCGGTGGATACGATGGTTCTATGCTGAATGGTCTCAACATCCTCCCCTCTTATACCGACTATTTCAACCTCAATGCAGCAACTACCGGTTTGAATACGGCATCGGTGTTTATCGGGAGTTTCTTCGGCACCCTTAGCTCAGGAATAACTTCAGACAAGCTCGGTCGGCGGCCCGCAATTTTATGGGGTTCTGTCATTACCCTGATAGGCATCATTCTCCAGACTGCTGCGCAAGACATAGCAATGTTTGTTGTAGCTCGCATTGTCTTGGGTTTTGGCACAGCGATCTCAGGAACGGCCGGAGCAGTGTATCTTGCAGAGACTTTCCCGAGCCGTTGGCGCGCATGGGGTGTTGGTTTGCTCAATGACTTTTACTAGTAATGTGACCTATTTCCTGAAAGTGCATCGAAAGCAGATTCTGACTTCTTGCACAGTGTTGGAGCCCTGATTGCAGCAGGAGTCACACTAGGTACTGGCAAATGGAACTCAACTTGGGCGTGGCGCGTACCATCTCTACTCCAGGGAATCTTTTCTTTTGCCTGCATCATTATCCTGCCATTCATGTGAGTCCTTGTCATTGTGGCGGCAGAAACTGCTGAGAACCTAGCCTGACTTTGATCCAGACCTGAATCACCTCGGTGGCTGGTGCATCAAGGTTATCATGAAGAAGCCCGGATCGTGGTTGCGCAGACAAACACAAACGGCAATCAGGCAGATCCCGTTGCGCTCGCCGTGTACAAGGAGATCCTCGATACGCTCACCTGGGAAAAGAACCAAGGGAGAACAATGAGTCCGCGGGAGCTCATAAAAACCCCTGGTGCTCGGAAGAGAATGTTAATTGGGATATCACCAGGTCCTTTTTCGTGCGTGGCAGGCAACGTCATTGCTTCTTATTATCTGGGTTCAGAACTTGATACCGCTGGTATCACGAATAAGGTATCACAGTTGAAAGCTGTACGTTTCTTTATTCTATCTCTCGTGCAACCCAAAAAAGAAAAAAAAAAAACTGATGTTTAGCAAGAATGTGGTTCTGAATGCTTGGTGCTTAGTCTGCGCGCTCGTAGGAACTCACCTTGCTGCTAGATGGGGCCGTAAGTCTACCGCATTGCTGTCCCAGATATTGCTTATTGCGTGTCTCTTTATCATCGGCGGTCTTTCAAAAATGTATGCCGATAACCCGGAAGGGGCGTCCAGTGCGCTTGTATATGGAAATGTTGCAGTGATGTTCTTATTCCAGGGTTTCTACTCCATGGGCTGGACACCTTTGTTGTACCTATACCCCCCGGAGGTGATGAACTACTCAATCCGGGCAAACGGCTTAGCCTTGTCAGAGTTTTCGCTGACTGTGTTTGCGTAAGTCTTCTCCAATCCTATTATTTGTGTGCGCAAGGATGGCTTACACAAGGAAGTCTCGTTTTCGTTTATATTATGCCTATTGGCCTGCAGAACATTGGCTGGAAGATGTACATGGTCAATGGTTCATGGGATATAGTCATTTTTCTTCTTATCGTACGTGTTAACTCTATCCTTCCTTCCTGGCGATGCCTGACCACTCATTTACAACCTGATCATACATACAGGCAGTCTACTGGGTCGAAACGAAAGGTAAAACTTTGGAGGAAATCGATGCGATTTTTGAAGGAGAGAAGCATTCTTCGGTCCCAGACGTCGAGTTGGTTCGGCAAGGTAAAGAGACAATTGATATTGGGGAGGTTGAGCAGCAGATTGTGGCGGAGGTGCTCGCGACGACGACAGACAAAGGAAATGCGCAGATAAGCTACTCGTGATTGCTTGAGTACTGGGATTGGCCAGGATTGGGCATGTAGCAGCACTAGTAGTTAGCATATTCACGAATCATGAAGAAATGCAAAGTGATATATAGAATGTGAATGCTGCCTAGCCCTAGCCAGACCCACCGCGGAAAGATTCTACGGGAGCTTAGTTAATTCGGGCCTCAGGCCGTAAGGTTTACCTAGAAGATTCCACTCATATCAATTCAGTCAGTCCTACAGAGCAGAGAAATAAAAGAAAAAGGAGATAAATTGACAATCAGCATTGTTCATGGCTTTCTCTCTCTCTCTGTACACTGTTAGCTTATACTGTTGGAGGATTATCAATACAAGTATATCATTATAAGTATACGAGTCGCCACGTAAATGGACTGCACTTGATTGGCCTACGATATCATACTATTGATCTACTATTGAAATCCAAATTTGACAGTTCGTAATCCCAGTCCACGTAACTTTTAATTAAAAATTTGATTGTTCCTGTGGCCGTTAGAGCAGATCTCAACGGCGCCGAGTCTTCAGTTGCACCCATACGAAGTAATTGTATAACGTTGTATGCATGCATGATCGGTGAGCGTCATGAGATAGCGTGGCTACGTACCTAAGTCTTAATGCCTGCAGATGAAACCCCATTATCCTTTACCATTGATGATTGGTCTCTAAATTCTTTCGCAAAGGAGCTTTCGAAAATACGAAAACCGGTTTTCTTGAGAGTCGCTAAAATAGATAGTCAGTATATCGGCGACTTATAAAGACCTTATCTTGTCCTTTGCAATTTTCCTTCTTGTATGTATGCCATGTTGTGATCTCCTTCCCTATCTGACAAGGCATCGATTTTGAGCATCCCCCATTTTAATATGGGTTATTTCACGAAGCCACCTTCGCGGAATACGTCAACGTCCGCATGGTACTAAAGGCCCTTCAACCAGTCAAGTCTTGCTGTCGAGCCATATCCTAGTTTCAGGAGGGCCGTGATCATGGCCTATGCGGTAGGATGCAAAGGCAGAGAGCTGATACTGGTGCAACACACCCACACAAAACCAATTCCCAATGGGCCTTGAATGTCGCCAACACGAAGCTTCAGCCTCCATGAGGCGAGGATCTACCTTCGATATAGATATTGCTTTCACGCATTTCTGACGAAGAGGCAACATAGTGCAAATCAGTCTGTGACGGACCAGCCACTACTGACACCTTTGAGAAGTTGTTTCCCGCCCTCGAGTTTCGCCTACATGTCCTGCACAATGGCGCCGTTGCGGGTATTCTCTGCAAGTTCGCACCGCCAATCGAGAGGACACAGTAAGTGTATGGCATCGGGTTCTTGTATAGGCGTCTACCAGTGCAATGGGGGTGCATGGCTTGCGAAACGAGTACTCATGTCGTCGGCACTCATCGAGGACAGGCCTCGCATCGCCAGTATCGACATAGACGGTCGTTCACGATTCCGCGAGCATGCAAGGTCAGAGATTCGCGATCTATAGGGCTCCCACGGTGGGCAAGGAATGCAGTGGCAGTTCATATGAAATCAGGTGGAAGCAGCGACGGAGCCGGCCCGAAGAGGAGAGGCTAACCTCACTCGTGGTTCGACGGCAAGTGCGCAGTGGCCAATCAGCGCCGCTGCCACCGTGAACGCCGCGTAACATGGACGATACGAGGCAAAATCTGTTCTCTCTCTCTCTCTCTCTCTACCTGCGCTGTCTGCCATCGTCTTCCATGCTCTCGTCGCAGGGTTGCCGTTCGCGAGATGTTCTGGAAGATGCATGGCTGTGGCGCTTGAATTTGCAGCCGTGCCATCCCAGACCCTGTTTGTGTAAGCGCCAGGGTGTCACAATGTTCTTCTGCGCTTTCCCCCTCTTTCAGGAATGATACTGCGTACACGGCTTGCTTGCCTCACCCTGGAATGAGATGCTTCGAGAGAGACCGGCTCTACTGGACCCCGATTCAATATCCCGAGCCAGCACGATGACGCCTGCCTTCGTCAAGAAAAACCACTTCCTGTCGCACTTTACTCCACGTCTGGCAGCAGCCGTTGGGCTGATTGCGCTATCAAGCCTGAATTATGGCTTTGACAACCAGGGAATTGCTACAAGTCAGGCAATGGCCGCCTACAAAAAGCAATTCGGGACCTATGACCCCAAGACGGATTCTTATGCCATTCCGACATACTGGACGTCGTTGTTGAATAGTCTGAATTTTATTGGCTTTGCTTTTGGTGCGCGCTTCCATTCCTTTCATTTCTCCCACTCCATTGTTTCGAGAGTAGTGGCATTAATTTCCATGGGCCAGGCTTGTATATGGGCAGTGTTGTTAGTGCGCGGTACGGCCGTCGTATGTCGATGTTCTGCATGTCTATCTGGGCTATCATGTCAACTACAGTCCTGATAACTTCGGCGCGAATCGAGCAGGTTTTGGCCGGGCGAATACTCAACTATGCGTACATTGGCATGGAACTGGCCACCTGCCCACCGTTTCAAGCCGAGATTGTCCCTGCGCCTATTCGAGGATTTGCCGTGGGCACCTACCAAACCAGTCTCCTACTTGGTGGTGTCATTATCAACAGTATTTGTCGTGGCACATCTGATTTGCCTAACAACGATGCCTGGAGGATACCTCAGATTCTGTTCTATGTCGTACCGGCAATCGTCGCGGTCTGCGTCTGGTTCATTCCGGAGTCTCCACGCTGGCTGCTTCTGCAAGGTCGTGAACAAGATGCGCTTGAGTCGCTACGCCTACTCCGAGGTACTGGAGTAGGCTGGGAATCCGATTCTGATATCACCAGAGAAGATCTGTTTCTTTTGAAAAAGTCCCTTCTGGAGGAGCAGAATCAGGGAACATACAGGGATCTTTTTCGCGGCAGCAACCTCAAGCGAACCTTTATTGCTATAGGCATGAATTTCTTCATCCAAGCCACCGGCTCGCCTTTCACTGCTGCTTATGGTACACTATTTGTACAATCGCTGAATTCTTTGAACCCATTCGACTACTCGATTATGAGCTCTTGCATAAACACCTTCTGCTGCCTTGTCTCTATACTTATAACTGACAGGGTTGGACGTCGGCCCATCTTGCTCACGGGCGTGGCTCTGCAAGTGCTATGGCTTTTTGCCATGGCAGGACTCGGGCTCCACAACAACAAAACACCCAGCGAGATACATGCCATCATTGCATTAACAGCACTGTCTTCAGCCAGTCTATGCTTTAGCTGGGACCCGCTGAACTACATCATCACAACTGAGCTACCAGCATCTAGGTTGCGCGACAAGACACAACGAGTTGCATCTTTCGTCAACATTGTCACCAACTTTGCATTTTCTTTCAGCACTCCTTACCTTCTTGACGCCCCATATGCAGATTTGGGATCTAAAGTTGGTTTTATATACGGAAGTCTTGCTATTGCGGCGTTTCTGTTTGCATATTTTTGTGTTCCCGAGATGAAAGGTCGCACACTCGAAGAAATCAACCAGATGTTTCAGAATGGTGTTCCGATTTGGAAGTTTGGTATTTATAAAAACCCAACAGCAGAGCGAGATCCAGGATTCGACGAAGCGTCTGCTGCTGGGGGCCCTTCGGTTGAGATTGAGAGATTTGCTGGCAAGTGAGCGTAACTGTACCGAACAGGAGCATTATCTCGTGGGATTACCAGACATATATAACATATAATATACGTACTCGTAACTATTTGGCTACTTGGAAATGCAATGTTTACACTCGTATACCTAGGTAAGATCATCTAAATAATAACATGAAATCAAATCAACCTTGCAATTCATCAATGATCACTTAGCAACGCTATACTGAATTTTCTTCTGCATATAAATCTTAACCGTGTCACGCTTAATTCGATCATTTCCAGCAGATATAGTGAAATGTGTGCGCAAACAAGTATATCATAAACTAATACATTTTTTTCATTAGAAAGACATCGCTCCGCTCGCTAAACCTTTCAGCTAAATAAGATGCTTCGATCTAATAAAAAATGAAAATGTTAGCTGAAACCAATCCCATGGCAAGACCGCAAGACGTAGGTACGAACCTGAAATATGCCCTCAAATAAACAATCTGCCATGCCCCCAACCCCACTAACATGCCCATGGTCCCAAAGGCGAACCATTTCACACGCTCGTTAGTCGATTCATTGGTATCACGAAGCTTCTGCTCACGCTTGCGGAGGTATTCCATCTCATTAACGATTTCCTCGACGACTTCCTGGATGCGTCGCAGGTCTGTCTCGACGGGTTTCAATTTCTCCTGTGCCTGGATGCTAGACCAATCGCGTGCGTCGGCGCCGATTTCGACGTCTAATTCGATTTCGCGGCTGAGTGTTCCTCGCGGTTCTGTATTTAGAGAGTTAAATGTTAGTTCTCCTATTTCACAATGATAGCGAGAAACGAATGGTTGCGAGACTTCGAACATACGGCGCTTGCTGGAATCGAGCACGTTTTCAAAGCAGACGTCAAAGGCTGTATCGGCAGGCGACGTAAAGGCCTGGCGAGTTTCTCCGACAACATTTTTAGGACGACCATAGTCATTTCCCATGGCGTCTTTTATCTTTGAGGGGAAAAAAAGCAAGTCATGTCAGCACTTAAATCGCTTCAAAGAGTAGGGTAGGTGTACATACGTGCATGTTAACAATCTGTCCATCTCCCTTACTGCCCGACACAATAGCAGTGACGACAACAAGCTGTCCATCCGACACAAAGTTGCGGATGCACCTCTCGTTCTTGGACGATGAAGACACAATGTCGAATTTGAGAGCAGAACTCAGTCCTAACAAGAACAAAAGACCAAAAATGGTCCTCAAATTGAACGCCATTGTGTATGTATGTGCGTGGTGTGCGGGTTTGGCGCAATCACTTGTCGCGCGGGTTGCCGAATCGACAATTGATGCCAGCTAACGTTCTCAAAGCAACAAGCTACCTAGACGGCTAAGGGGCTTGGCCGCGGATCCGGACGGATCATCAATGTTCCGATCTATATACAACATCTATTTTCATCTCCATTAGAAACAGAGGCAAGCACTAGAAGAGAAACTATTCAACTATGTGAATATCGATACAAATCACAATCGTACCACCATCATTATTATCGTCGAATAATGCATACATACATCGTAGAGTAACATCGCCAACAGTGAGACTCAAAAGAAATTGGGAGACAAAACTCTGGAAATGAACGCATCTATATGAAAGACAAAAAAAAAAAAAAGAACCGAAATCCCTAGTCCGAGAAAAACGAGCTGTTTGTGCAAAACAACAAAAAAGTGAAGAAAAAAAGTAAATACAAAGCAAAGGTATCATCGAAATATGAACATAAAATAGAAAAGAGCGAAAGAGATGGCAGTAACAGCTGATTGAATGATGAAAGCTATAACGCTCATTCGAATATTCGTCAACAATAAAGGTGTGCAAGAAATAAATTAGTATAATAAATAATGAAGGAAAGTGATATCATAATACGAAAGCAATTTTGTTCGTCATGGCATATATATATCAAGCCTCAAGTCTTTTGCGGCGAAAAAACCTGGAAAATGACGAATCCTTTTTATCCTCTGAAAAGGTTGAAGAAGCGCGTGTCATGGACTCAGGAGGCCCTGTATTTCTCAGGAAATCGGCGAGAGCGCCAGTCTCGGTCTTCGGCGTTGAGTATAGTTGCGGTCCAGATGGCTGGAATGCAGATGCTTGACCAAAATTGAATTGGGAGTTGAGCTGACCATTCAGTTTAGGAACCATGGGCACCGGAGGACGCCAGGAGGACTGTTGAACGGGTTGGCTTATTTGTGGCTTGGAAGACAATTTGGCAGACCGCATCGAAGTCATTGACTTTTTCAACGTGGGGCCGGGTAGCTTGTCAACGAAAGTATTTCGCCTAAATCGGCCCCTAGTGTTGGGTGTGAACTGTCCCGAGGAAGGCATAGGGTGCGAGCTAAGAATGAATGGCTCAGGGGCCTTCTGGCTGGTCGGCGGCGGTGGAACGGAGTTCAAGAAATCAAGCAAACTCTCCTCTGCTCGTGGTGCCTTCGAGATTTTGGCAGTTCCAGATGCTTCTTCAAGACCCTCATCATCAAGGTCGTCAATGGCGTATGGATCTCGGGGACCACGTCGCTTTCGTGCCGGAATAGGCGGTGCATTGGAAGCGTTGTATTGTGCGAGAAGAGGAGAACGTAAACTGGAAGTAGATTCGGCACCCGTACTGGCGAGAGACGGTGTTATGCGGGCGTCATTGTCACGGACTGTATCCATCAATAAAAGATCTTCTGAATCCATGGTATTCCTGAAGGGGGCCACCGTACGGGGAATTCGATGAGTAGATGCACCTGGAGGGCCCTCTCTTATAAAGTCAATTAAATCAGATGTCTTGGCACCGTTGTAGCCGGAAGCATCCCGAGCTTGGAGTCGTGGTCCATTCTTCCTAGCGGAGTTATACGATTCCCTTGGTTTAGCAGTCGCACGGGATGAACCAGAATGTGCGGTATCTGGCCTGGAAGAACTGACTATGGAGTCCGAGCCATCACGAAGATGAGCGTGAGTGGAATTCCCTCCAGGAAGACGACTATTCGGGTCACTAGGCGTGGCTACTCCGGGTCCAGTTGAACGAATGAATTGTGCAAATTCCCGGACGGAATCACCTGTTGCACGGGGACCACGAGCTTGATGCATAGTTGTCCTGCTTCGATTGGAAACGTCACTCACAGGGCTAGTTAGTGGATGTACACTAATAGGACTCGACTTCTCAGAAAGAGTTTCGGCCTTTGGTTGTATTTGTAGACCGTCAACGGCAGGTGAAGATGGCTTCATGTGAGGCGTGGGAAGGTCCCGTCCTATCGCGACGCGCGGCGAAGGCAGTGGTTCTCCAGGAGGGGCCGTATTCCTAAAGAAGTCGGCGAGGTCGGACGTATCAGTCCGATCGTTATGGATATCGTTACGAGCAGTGTTCCAACGGGGGGATCCAGGCAACTGCTCACAGCGATTGTTAATATCATATGCAAATCTGCTAGCTATGGAAACTTACTTCTATTTCTCGCATTGTACGCGGAGTCAACGTAAAGCGTATCGTCTCGTCACTCTTGATGAGTTGATCTAGTGTTGTCTCATCCGCATCATCGCTAGTGAATTTACTAGCGTCTGAAGACCTGCGGGGTGGAGCAGGTAAAGGTACTTCAGCGTCTGTAGGATGACGACCGATAAGGACTTTCAACTTCGTTGACACGCTTGATGTCGCCGAACCAGATGTAACAGGTCGCTTGTCGCTAATGCTACCAGACCGGCGAGATCGAATGGATGCTTGCGACGTAGAAGATCCTACGTGCACACGCTGAATCGCAACACGTTCCCGCGGTGTAGAGTGTTCGTCCTGGCGAGGCTGGCTCCTGATTGAGGTCGCATGAGATGCGGCGCGAGAAGCAGCGCGAGAAGGGATTGATCGATAGACGCTCCCCTCGCTATCATCTGAAGTAGAATGCGGAGCACCTATGCTCTCTGAGTAGAGAGAAGATGTGTGCCGGCTTGTGTTGAACGAGTCGCGCGGGAGGTTATTGGCATTCTCTTTAGTTGGAGGCTCGATATTTGTGTCGAGCTGGCGCGGATGAGAAGTGGGTGCGCTTCCATGTGAAATATTTTCCGACTTCTCACTGTGTATGTGTAAATGGAACGAATCACCTGCAGGGGTGGCATTTCGTCGGGTGGAAGAGCTGGCATCCTGTACGATCGCTGCCCCTTGCATTAGCGGCTGATGATCATCACGATGGCCGCTCTGGTTTTCGGCCACCTCAATGGATAGAGCCGCCACCGCCTCCTTTTTGGCTGCTGTATCTCTGGATACTTTTCTTTTGGGCCTTTGCAATGAAAGATTGTTGAGACTTGGTCTTTGATATGTTCCCTGTCCTTCAACAACCTCATCCTCGGGGGGATGACGATCTTCATCATTTTCGGAGCCCTTTTCAGTGCTAGCCTTTTGGTGGTAAATGACCTGTGGCTGCACTTCGCTTCCGTCTACAAGGTTATCTGATGCCTCATTTTGACATGGATGTGAAGTTATCTCCTCTCCTTTGTTATTGGGCAAAGACGCTTCCGTGGGCACGACTTCATCTTCAGTAACGGTTCCCAGGGATTTGTCATGATCGATAGATTTGATTATATCAACAATGTGAATAGGAACCGATTGCGAACGAGCGTGCTGTGGTGAGTTTGTCGCTGGCCACGTTCCGGGGGATCTGCTTGAAGGGGAAGTCGGAGTCATCGCTCCAGAACGGGAGACAATCAGACTCCGCGGACGCACTTTTTGAGCAATAGCAGCCTGCATTGGCTCTGCTTCTTCCATATCTAGAAGCCCAGGGTTTTCAATATCCTTGATATCGTCGTCGTTCATAGGCAAGGCAATATCCGCTGGCTCGACAGATTTTGATCGACTTTCCTCTTCTTTATCAACGTGGGGATAGATTCGGGATTCTGGGCCAGCCAATTCCTCCGGGGTGTTGACGCTACCTTTATTACTAGCATTGCTTCGTCGAGTAAAGGACTCTCTAGAAAATGCCCTAGACAGTGTGGGCGCACGAATCCCCTTTTTCCATGTCCTCCATAATCGACCCAGTGTGGGGTTTAGAGCCAGTTTCTCCATGTCGCTCTCATCGACAATGATTTTATTGCCGGCTTCATCAGCGATTGAGGATTTGGGGGCGAGCCTTGCAGCTGTATAATATCTGTTGCGGGTATTTTCGCAAGCAACAGCTAGGGCATGTTCGCCTATATTTTCAATAATCGAGGTTAGGAAGATGGCAGCCGCTGGGGTGATGTTTCCAGCATGGCCAGAGAAACGTCGCGGGGCACCGCCTGCTTCGTCCAGGCCCTCTCGGGCGATGTACTCGTCTTCCTCTTCTTCTTCCAAGTCGCCCAATCGTGTATACACCATGCATCGCAAACGGGCTAATTTCCAAGCTCGCACCAGGTCAAATTCGCCATGCGGCGCACGACCGCCTCGGAACTCTTGCAGCTCATCTTCCTCGCCGCCACCCATATATTCACGGAGCTCTTCATCGGCAGTGGATACCACCTCTCTTGCTAATCGGGGTTTTAGAACATCAGCGATGGCGGGACGAAGAGCGCTTAGCTGGGTTGATTTAGCCGAAGCCAGAAAACTAAAGAGTAAATAGTCGAGAAATCCATTCAACAACACAAGGCCATTTGATGTGAAGGATATATCGTCGCCCGAGCCCGAGCCCAGTTCGTATTGTTCCATATCGGCGCTTATTATTTGAGCAGCAGATGAAGCGGCGATAAAGGCAGGTCTTGGATCGACGGGCGGCGGAGAGGACAGTGAGATTTTGGGGCCAGCATCGCTAGAGATGCTCACACTGCGCGAGCGTGACATGGGGCTTTGATCCCCGGGTTCCTGTGGATTCCGCATAGTATGGGTTATATGTATGTGTCGGAAAATATTTTTCAAATGAAAGTGCAAGTATATAATCAAAAGAGGGACGTATATTCAAGAAAAGACGGGGTTCATTGTTCGATCGACTCAGTCGCGAATTACCTAGACTGCTCGAGTCAAAGCACGTCAGTCCATTTTAACAACCGAAGTCAAAGCAAGCGCAGTCCAGATCAAAACTAGAGCAAGGCTAATTGGCCGATTTTAATGCAATTGGGTCGTTTACTGACCGACACGGCGAATATCAAGACAGGTACGTACCTCGAGCAAACGCACTAGACAGCATAGCGCAAATCGCGGGAAAAAAAAAGGGAAACCCGGGTAGAACTCGAGCAAATTATATATCCACGCAATGATTGACCGTCAGGCTATCATTGTAGGGCGCAGATCGCAAGCCTGATGCCACAGAGAGAGAGATACGGGGGGAGAAGAAGAAGAGAGATGGAGAGGGAAGTGCGTTGAGGGAAGAAGGGAAAAAAAGGAAGGTGGGCAGCCTCGTGCGGTTCAGGAGATATACGGAGAAGGCACTAGGCAAGTTAAACTCTGGTGGCTAATAGGACGTAGTCACTTCAGGCGAGGGCGACAGCGCAACCCGCTTTTCGTGCTTACTGCGTCTTCATGCTGGCACAGAGCAGCAGCAGCAGTGTTACATGCTTTAATTCCTGGTTTCCTTACTCTGCTCTAACCTCTGAGTGTTCTGCGTTGCTATCTACCTCTGCTTGGACGGTTCAGCCACCGAAGCAGCCCTCTGCCGTCCCACCGATCGACCCACTGCAGGGCATCTCCGGAGTACAGATGGGCCATTGAATAGTGCTAGTAATAGTCTCGCGGAAATGGCCAATAGCGGTGTCCTCAAGCGGGCGTTGGACAGTTTATTCAATAATGTTTATACTTTCACTATGGCCTATGCCAGGGCTATATAGTATCTGATGTATAGTGTATATTCGTCTATCATATCAATATCAATAATAATAGCCTTAGAGTTATAGACTTATAGCTGTACGGGCTGTGCCTGATACATACGGAGTATGTTAACTATGCAAATTCAGGAATCTCGTGGAAAATTGGCCCCACGCTGCAGCACAAGCCACAACATACTCGCGCGCTAGCACCAGAGAGGCCTAGCCCGAGGGCTGACCTGGGACGGCGGGGCCGGCGGGGCCGGCGGTCGGAGGCCTATCCCCTTTTGGCCGCTTGGCCACGGAACGAGATCCAATGGATCCGGACCCCTTCCAGCAACCTTCTCTATCTGGCGTAGCGCAAGCGGGTCCGCCCCATAAATTGCTCAAACAGGCAAATGTGCGGAATTTTGGGAATTCTTGAGGGAATTGTTCTCCCCCAGTCTCCTGCTATTGGCCGATGCCGAGCCGGCTAGCCTGATGAGGACTACCACACTATATATCACGATCACTATCGCAGTATAAAGTTAACAGCTAGAGCTACTCTTTATATGGGGATAAACAGTGAAAAGTCCCAGTCTGCTTATCATGGCTAAGATCTGAACGTGGCTTTGGCTTGCTGACATCCATCAGCACTTGCGCCCCTCCATTGATTGATCGTGACCAGCATCGCGCATTATGGTAGCACGGCAAATGGGGGCGACATGCAAGCAGGCCCAGTGAACCCCGTAATCCATGGCATCAAAAGTATCAAACATGTCAGAGTGAGCTCCGGAGCCCGTACTAACCCAAATTACTCCGCGTAATCAAAGCATTTGCCCAGGTTAAATTCCCCGCTATTTGAGTGCTGATCCTTTCAGTTCTAACAGCCTAGTGTCTGGATACTATTGAACATGCTGGATTGAGTCCGTAGTACGATTACGGAACGGACCCTACAGACTGACATGGAATGGGTAACGGCGTACATTACTCACCGCAGTCAGAGGTCCACCTGTGCTATGGCTGCTGCTGTTTTCTCGCCGATTAATCGCCATGTACGTCTACGTCGTACTTCGTACGGTAATCTACATGGAACGAGTGTATATCGCATTCTGCACGGTCATACTGCATATCCATAATCGTATCCATTGTGCCAAAGCATTGAAAATAACGGCAGTCTCGGAGAGCATCAGACCGCCATCACACTGATAGTATCCGCTGCTGTGGAACACACCCGCTTCAACTGAAGAAAGGATTCGCGTTTCTTCATGACTTTTCGACAGCTATGGCCCCCTGAATAACAAACACACGGAACCGTTATAAGTTGCACGTACTAATCTCTCAACTGAGTAAGCAGTGAAACATAACCAACTAGTTATAAAACTTATTCTGTTGTCAAGCAAGACTCTCCCGCCTCGGCAAGTATCATCCCGGCCTAGTTTGCGCTTCCAAAAAGAAGAAAAAAAAAAAAAAAAACCGTAACCGTCACTATCTTGACTATGTACGTAGTATTCGTAAATCACGGATATTCCAAATAGGTACTGCGAATTCGGGACATACGCATGGTATTGCTGTCATTCAATAAACCGTTCCACTTCAGATCCACTATAGTCTCGGATGGCATGCCAATCTATAATGAAAGCTACTATGATTGAGGAAAGTCCAAATCTTGTTGGTCGTAACTTCGATAGAGACGGGAACGTTAGCTGAACTTGAAGGGCATTTAAAAAGGCTTAAGAAACATAAGCAATTCAATAATGATCACACTAGGTACATGAATAAATAAAAAATCCCGTCCTATCTATGGTCATAGTGAGATAGATGTCCCATGTAACTTTTTGTTTGTCCCACCAAACTCAAAAAGTAATCAGTCAGACAGGAAGCGTAACATGTCTATGTATTGTAGTTGCTGTAGGATTCTCGATCTCGCTGGTCACCGGAGCCAGCCTCTAAATAACCATTTCTCTTCCAAGTTTTGTACTGTTGAATCAGATGAGAGGCCGAAAATGTCATTCAATGTTATCAGCCACTCCATTTCATCTCTTGGAAAGACATTACTCCCCATGAATCATATAGCTGCAACATCGTAAGCATATATGTTCGGATGTGCGAGTGCATAGACCACTCCGTCCGCAAAGAAACTCAACTCATCCTGGCCCACGCTAGTCATGCCTTGAAGCAAACGTTCAGACAAAAGACGTTCGATTCTTTCCAGGAAAGCAAAAGACTGTTTTTTCGTCGACGCAGATACCTGTTCCTGCAACCTTGAAGACTGGGCAAGACGGGCTAATTCATCAAACTCCTCACGGAGAACGATGTGGCGGAACATGCCAATAACGTGCTTTAATGCTTCATCAAGGAAGAGACAACCTGATGAGTCTGTCTCCGTTTCGAAGAAAGGTGATTGAAACCGGCCCTCTCGAAATCCTTGCACGCGATCATGGAGATATGATTGGTATCTTCGCTTCGTGTCCCCGTGAATGCCATTGATAAAAGCGACAAAAATTTGTTTATCTACGTCCAACATGTCGCTAGCATAATCTTTTGCAAGCTGTTGTATAATGATGTTTGCAATAGAAGTGTCTCCATTGCCAGAGTCATCGTTGTTGCCGTCTTGACTGTCATACATGACATGATCGCGACGACTATTCGCGAGCAACATCATTTCATGAAGGGTCATTGGAGATTGGCCTCCCGCCTCGTCGTCAGCGTGGTCATCGGGATGCTCGACATTTTCAATGTACGAGACATCTGTGTCAAAGTGGACGAAATTTTCAAATGCAATGTGCGAATCATCAAATTCCATGTCATCCACATACTCGTCAAGAGCTTCATCAACTTCATCGAATTCTTCAAACTCTTCAAATTCAGAGCCAGTCTCGTAAGCGTCGTATGGCGAAACGGTGCTTTCTAAGGGATCATAGTGACAGTCTTCAAATGCAAATATTTCATCGCCTTGCAAGGAATCCTCTGGATATTGCTGAAAACGCTCACTGAACTCCACATGCTCAGCAGACTCTACTCTAGAATCATCTGATTCATAGCCAAAATCCGCGTTATTGAGACTTTGGATAGAGCTTTGGAACTTGAAATGCTGCTTGGGGATGTGTGGAATTGGAATCCCCAGGTCTGGCAATGTAGACGAGATATTGGTGATAGTTGTGTTGGTCGTAGTCAATGAGATGTCAGAAACATCATCGGATGTGCAAGAGCTGTCGCGGAGAGAAGATGCAGTCTGTAATCGTGAAAATGCAGTGGGAAGAGAGTTCCAAGGGCAGTATTTCTTGATAGAAAATTCCATGTTGGCGAAACGTCACTAGATTCGACCTATTAAAGGAAAACGGAGGGGCTCTCAGAGATGGGGTAACGAAGTGCTAGTAAGCTGAATGCCGTGCAAACTAGAACTATCAAGTAGAAGCCCGTTGAAGCCTGGGATCTGGTTCAAGGCCGCTGCGGTGTTATTGTGGGAGAGGTCAACAATAGAGGGGCTCCAGCCACGAACAATGCGTGCGCAGTCCATTATGGATGATGTAAAAGGGACAGTGACTTAAACAACCGGCAGAATGCCAGCATAGGAACACTTTTGAAACATAGCAGTATTGAGATATTTTGGTAAGGCAGAAGTGAAGTAGTTGTCAGCGCTGTCCACGAATTCGGCCACAGTGCCTGTTGAATTCGTGTGTTTCGGTGTTTGAAAGCGGTGGTTTGTCCTGAATAAGTCACGGTGCTATCCTTGAAGCGATGTGGAGAGGCTCTCTCAGGGGCTTTGCGGAGGATCTTTGGATGGGTGCGATGCGACGCGTCGAGAGACAGATACTGATGAGATATCAACCGCCACAGCGAGATCGGTTCTTTGCAGAAATACCGGGCGAATTCGCCGCTGCGTGTACGTTGATTTGCAAAACTCCGACCCGGCAGAAGTGGTCTTGGGATTATTGGGAATAGGCCCCCGCAGTCTAGGCGACAAGGCTGTGTGGAAAAGTCGAGTAGGCCTAGCACATCAGCGTGTGACTGCTAGGAACAAAGCTAGGCGTGTTCGCACTGATACGGGTGCGAGGCTATCAAGTATGTGTCGTGTTGGTGGATGAGGTGAGGTAGGGTGAGGTGAGTGGCAGTCAGAGTTTTGCTGGTTGCCATCATGACTCCTCGCTTTCGGTCGGCCGCCGGCCCGCCAACGCCAACCCAACGTCACATTGGAGCCTGAGGCCGCCACGGCCCGGCAATAAGTCCGTTCCAGCCTTCCTTCCACATGCAACTACTACCTGCCTAGGCACATCTGGCCCTACCTACAAGTCTAGTCTTATTCCAGCATTACTCAAACACTGCTTGATAGAGTGTTTTCCAAGGCTCGCGCTCTCATCGTGATCTTGCGATATTTCTAGGACTTTACCTCCAGGTTTCGCTGAAAGGGCCCGGTTATCAATGAAATGGCCTTTGCACTACTCCGTGACGCGTGTTGCTTTGATTCGATGACTCAGGGGGTTCTTTGTCCCATAGTTACATGCTATGGATGATCCGAGTCTACACATCTCTCCAGAACGCATGCCGCGCTCCTTGAGCCCCAGGAAAAAGGAGAAAAAGGAAATACCGAGGGTCTGAACTGAGAATATCCTGCAGCTTGGCGTATTCCAAGACAAAGAACCCGCCGTGCCCATGTTGCACAGGGTAGCTATGTTAATTCGAGAACATTTCCACATTTGTTTCATCTGTGAACCCCCGGTGATCTACAGAGTACCTCTTACCGGAATCTAATAAGCGTGTCTCCTATTTACTACATGGATTGATTTTGCTATATGCTTGACACCCAAAGAAGCTTATGGAAGTACGACGTCTCGGATTGTCCTTGTGTGGTAGATTCAAATTGCCACGTCCCATCGCCAAGTCTCAATTTTGAGCAATGACAGCTTGCTCAGGCATTGCTGAAGCTGGCTTTTCACATTCCTTTGAGACTGCAGCATTCCAATGATTGAAATGTCACCTCCATTAAAGAATGTGTCAGGGAACGACCTGCTTGGCATTGTGGAAAGCTCTCGAGGCAAGCTCTGGAAAGAGATGCTGCTAATGGGCCATCAAAGCTTGCAGGTCCTGACTGGCTTATATTAAAATGAATATTATACAGACTACATCGCTGCAAATTGCGGGACATGGGGTGCCATCCATGACGTTTACATTCTAAGTACCACATACACCAATTCTATCGTCTTCCTCTTTTAGACGATTGTACCAAGGTCCAGCCTTTGTCACGAATGGCCCCAATACCAGTTTTCTATACTTAGATACTTTTCATTGGCCACTCCGTTCGAACGGTTGACCCGCAGTGCAGGTCTAGGATATACGACATGGCTGCTTTTGGAAATAGTGGTTCTGGGACATTCCTCCCCGTGGCTAGACAGCGGCTCTCGCAAGTCTTGTCGGGTGATTGGAATGCTAGCCACTGGAAAGCCAACCTATGACAGGGCTTGCGGTGGATAAGAACCATTTGAACAGCAAAGCTCGAGCATGTATTGGCTTCAATCTTCCGTCCCAACAGCATTCCATGACTCTTTCTTTAGATACTCCAGGAATGCCGTCTTTAAAGTCGGGGGCTGGTTGGAGCAACAGATGCAATTCAAATACCGCCTCTTGTCTGTTTGTTTACTTTGTCTTTTTTGCATTGATGTATTACTTGTCAAACATTTTTTTTCTCTGAGTTTGTTGGGGCTCTCCTGTTGTTGCATTGCAGCCTGTCGATCCACATTGCGCTAATTGGCACCTTTGGCAGTCTTTCTCCCAACGTCAAACGATTGGAACCCTTCTATGCCCATAGCGCACTAACCCAAAGCGGGAAATACTGTCTTCATCATGTTCGCCCCAGCATTTGATCATTCGTTCAACGACCTATTCAACCAATACGTCAACACGGATCCTTCCGCTAGTAGTGACGGTAACAAAGACGTTTCGTTTACTGGTGGTGACTTTGACCAGTTTTTTGCAGTCAGTGATTGTGGCGAACTTTCACCCACCGGTTCCAAACAGTTCCTGCAGTCGTCGCCGCAAACTTGGCGAAAAGATGCATGGACCGTACAGCAAGACTCGTTCAATGAATCGCAGTTGCACCGGCCCAGACCTTTTCATGACACAGTACAACCCTCTGAAGTTGTCTCTGATTTTAGCGCTGTAAGCCTGGAAGAGTCGTCTCCTCCCGAAGCTCTTGCCCTACTATCTTCTTCACCATCCTCGCCGCCAGCAACACCCAGCCGCAAGATTCATTCCAGAAGCGTTCCAATCACTCCCAAAAGCATTCGCAAACGAGAGCTGAATGACCGCGGTACTTTGCTTCGTAAACAGAGCTACTCACCTAACTTGATGCGCTCAGCGCATATGCAGAGGTCCAAGATGGCGTATCCAGAAACCTGGGCATCGCGACTACAGCGCTTCAACAGTCAAATGCGTGGTGTTGACGAGAGACTTCCACTCTCACCTCCTCCATCTGATATTCTCGTTCAGAATGAGAACATGCGCCGCGATAGTGGCATCCATCTCAATGCGAGCAGCGAGAACTTGCTACGAGATGCAGCAGATATCTCGTCTCAGTATAACCCAGCCATTTTTGCGAATAAAGCTCAACAACAGCAGCAACATTCATATATGAACCAGAGCACCTCGACGCCACCTCCGGTGGATGACATCTTTCAGACTCCACCCTCGTCAGACTCGCAACAGCTGCACGCGTGGCATGCAGACGCCCTTGCGTCGACCCTTCAATTCACACCAGACATCAATGCCCAGGATGGCCATTGGTGGACATCGCCTTTACCGACGCGTATCTCCCAACCCCCAAACCAAAACTCCTATCTTGCTTCGTCACTTGCGCATAAATCGCCGATTAATAACCCGATGCAACAGCATGACCTACTCCAAGGTGGTCTGATGATTGACTTTGGCTCTACATATGATCTTGGCTCAAATTCTGATGCCTTTACGCCAGCACCAAGCCTGCATTCTTCAAACACGCCGCACATTCCCGCCACCTCTCATCAACAAATCACCTTTTCGCATCATCCTTACATGACTGCAAGACAGCCAAGTCATCAGCAACAATTCCTTGAGAATCAATCTCGCTCCCCTTCGCTGTCTCCCACGAATACAACATCACCAAAGTCACGCGCTGCGTTGAAGAATCAACGCCGTAGCCACCCCCGAAAACTGTCTTCCCATTCCACAACAGCCGCCAAACCTGCAAATAACAAATTGGGCACGCCCTCTAAGAGTACAGCCTCCAAGTCGGCATCGAATGTGTCCTTTGTCAACTTTACTGCCAACGACAGCAAGAAAATCCTTACCGGTGTCGCTCCTAGCGGCAGTTCCAAGACTAAAGCCCGCCGAGAACAGGAAGCTCGTGAGAAGCGTCGCAAGCTTAGTGAAGCTGCCTTGATGGCTGTCCGGAAGGCCGGCGGTGATGTCGAGGCACTAGAAGCGGTCCTATGTTAAGGAGCCTAATACTTATACCTTTATTGTTAATCTAACTCTAATCATATTTTGCCTGTATTATTACTACTAGTTATTTATATACCTATTTGAGCTTTGGAGGTCAGGCGCATTTTGTCATTTGGGATCTGAATCTATACTTGTATAGATGCATTGCGTGTTTGCTTTATTGTATTAGCTGAGATATCATACCTTACTGTTCTACTTAGTCTAGAAATCTGATTTTCAATATTCTACTTTAACCGTTTTGATATTACTATTTTCATGCTTATATAGTTATATAAAATGAACACTAGTGTACACAGTCAAGCTCCACATCATCTCTTCCCACTCCAAGATTCAATTTATTTTCCAGGTCCAATAAAATACAATGTTAAGGAAGCGAAGACGAAGAGCTAGTTGGCAGTAATAATATGTACAACAGACATCAATGTGTTTCCCTAATACATTCTGTTAGTACGTCTGCGCAGATCTCTCAGATGTGTCCTGCACATCGCAAGATTCAGCGAATGAATACCCAAAGACAGAATGCACACATCCCCCCCTTTTTTGTATGTCGAGTTACCGTCTGGTTGCGTCTGGTGCCCACGACTCAGGTTGCCAGGTCTCCCCCGGCCCGGTTGGGACTTTTGGCGAATGTTTCTTCGCTTGGTCTCGTATTTTGTTCTTCACAGCGCCTGGCTGTTCATGATATTTTTGGTTTGATGGGTCCGTAGCATGCGTTGTCTGATCGCTTGTTTGGGTCGCGGGCGTCGCTGACTGGGTTTGCGGTCTGTCAAGCAGCGATGGTTTGGATGCCCATTTCTCGTCAGCAATCTGTGCTAGTTTCCTAATCTGCACTTGTCGAATTACGTCTCTCCTTTGTTCCTCGATGCTCGGTGGTTCGTGTCGAACATAGCGCAGCCATTGATGCCACTGTGCTGTTTCATTTGTTAGCACGAGAATGCCCTGTATCAAGAGATATGATATCCATACGAGAAATCTGCACGTCTCCCAAGTGTGCTTTATTGTTGTATTTGACGATACGCCGCAATCGGTTTGCGTTCAAGGCATCTCGAAACTCCCAGAATGTGTTGCCCAGCAGATCCTGGCCTTGGATCGATTTGTTAGTTGTTGATCTGTGATTGGGACAGGTACCTCCTACCAACTACCCATGACCTTCTCCATGGAAGCTTCAAAGCCTTCCATTTGAACCATAAGCTGTTTACCGGGCTCATCTTGCCAAACAAGGTTGACTGCGTGTAAGTTTCGGCGTAGGAATACTTTAAAGGCCACGCGTGGGGAAAATCGATTATTTTAGCGTCGCGCAACGTCATCCGCTGGATGGGGCTGATGTTTGGTCCCCTTTCCCCCCCGTGCTTGCCCAGAAGGTCAACACCCCTTCCTTTCCTTTCATCTCTTCTTCTTCTCTCTCTCCATCTCATGATAATAAAATCTTTGTTCAATTCGCCCTCTGTCTCCGCGTCACACTCGAATTCTCGTTGATTGCACTAGGCCAGTCTTTCACACCCACCCAGATCCAAACCCCGCCACAACAGGTATACGCGCTACTTCTCTCGCATTCCGTGCCCGCTGGGCTAAATAAACATACACACATACACACCATGGCTTCAGTCACCAGTCTGGATAAGGACCTGCGCAATATGCGCCTCTCGAAATACACTCCGCAGGCTGCCGATGAAGTGCGTGACTGGATCGAGGGAGTTCTTCATCAGAAACTACCGCCCGGGGACCTATTGGATGTCCTTAAAGATGGCGTTGTACTCTGCAGGTATGAACGATGCATCCGCCTGTATGGTTTTGCACGCCATGAGGCTTACGCGCTATCAGACTAGTGAATCTTGCTGTCTCCCCCGGCGTGAAATACAAAGAATCGGCGATGCCTTTCGTACAAATGGAAAATATATCTCATTTTCTTCGCGCTTGCCAGCTGGCACCATTGAGTTTACCTCCTCACGATGTTTTCCTTACTGTGGATCTCTATGAACGCAAAGATCCAGCCCAGGTCCTTCAATGCCTTGCTGCATTTAGCCGCCGTGCCAACACAATCCAGCCAAGCAAATTCCCACACTCGATAGGAGGTGTCAAAAGCAAAGGTGGCCTAGTAAGCCCTCAGGGGACAGGATCTAATTTAGGATTCGGAACGAGGTCTCGTGGCGTCAGTAACGTGAGCCAGACCGGCTCGGCCACATTGGATCCTACTACCAACGATAGTATATCCGGTCGTATTAGTCCACACAAGGCCGGAAAGTCTCCGACATCGCCTTCAACAACACTTAGTAGCTGGAGTAAAAAGTCAGACGAGGGAAATACTGCGCCGGCATGGAATATCCATCAATATGGGTATATGGGTGGAGCAAGTCAAGGCAACCAGGGAATCGCTTTTGGTGCTAGACGACAGATTACAGCGCCGAGTCCTTCTGTGCCCAGTGTCGCTGAAAAAGAAAAAAATCGTCGAGAGGCAAAACTAGAAGCGGAACGTCAACGACAGCATGAAGAACAACGCGACAGAGAGGAGGAGGAACGTCGCTGGGCCGAGGAGACGGCACGTTTGAGAGAGAAGGAGCGTCTGGAAATTGAAAACGAGAAAAAACAGTGGGCTGAAGAGCAGCGAAAGTGGGAGGAAGAAGAACAACGCCGCCTCCAGGAAGAAACAGAAGCCGCTGAAAGGTTTGACAAGGAGCGACAGCGCAAAAGAGCAACAAGTGATGCGCGCCTGAATGGCCAATTCCTCAGTCAATACCAAGCGACACAAAAGACCGGCGAGGAATCTGCAGAATCCAGGCGTATTAAGGAATTGGAAAGAGAACTTCACTTAGCCAGAGAACGCGAACGTCAATACGAGCAAGAGCGACAGGATCTCCAAGCCAAAGAGGCAGCTAGCAAGGCTCGTTCTCGAAGTCGAAGCCGGCCACGCCCTGTGCAACCTAGCTACGACTTTACCTCTCAGGAAGAAGAACGCAAACTTCTTCGGTCGGAGTGGAACCACCAGCAACAGAAGAATATCGCGCCTGTAACTGAACAAGACAATGTTCCGCCTGCTCCGCCTGCTCTGCCTTCTCGGCCATTGCCAAATCCAGCAGACGCGGCTGCGCCGTCCCGGCCTCTTCCTGACCCCTCTAAGTATGGTGGTAATGAAAGTAGGGTCGACCGCTTCCTTGCTTCTAACCCTGCGCCTGTACAATCCAGGCCAATCGCACACCGACCGCAAGACTACTCTACAACCGCCGAGGTTGATGCCGAAAATGATCGCCGAGTTGCTGCACAAGCAAAGACCAAGGCCGGTGGTTGGGCCTCCAAGTCACTCCTTGAACGCGAGATGGAACGCGAGCGTGAACGCCAGCGAGAGTGGGAAGAGAATCAGAAACGCACCGTGGAAGCAGCAAAGCGTGGCGTTGGAGCTGGGATTAGCAGTGCTCCTGGTCAAGGGGCTTGGGATGTGCATCAATATGGCTATATGGGGGGCGATAGCCAAAACCGAGGAGGTACTGGTCTCGGTGTAGGAGGGCCTCGAAGGCAAATCATCGGCCCTCGTCCTCCCCCGTAAATAATACTACTAAGTCACTGATGCTACTGTCCCAAGCCAACTCTTTTAGTTGCTGATTGTACAGGTCCTAGATTTCAAACTTTGCTCATTCAGCGTTGCTTGGATATTTTCTTCTTGCCTTCCATCTGATTCATCTGTTTCTCTGGCCCTTTGCCATGAATTGCGCGTTTTGTGCATCACTCCTATCCGATTATCCCATATAAATATCGAGCATCCAAGATAGTGACAAAGAGAATGAAATGCATGAAAGCTTATGCTCGCCCCCGGGTTGTCTGCTTCCAACACCTGCACGGATCTTGAATAATCTATCAGCCAACATGATGAAAAAGCAGAAAATAAAATGTATTTTATTCATCGTTTGACAACCCTTCCATTGGCAGTAACTCTTGAACGAGATATAGCAATCGATCTGCACTCTCAACGAGCCAGGTCCATTCTTCGTCCTCAAGCTCACGGCTTGCTTTATTACGGCGAATTTCAGCCTCGGCTTTGACTATTCGCCTGGTGTTGCCCGTAATAACAGCTTCTCTGAGTATAGGGGTATTGCGAAGCAAATCGTTGTTGGCCAGAAGTACGATTAGCGATTCTAGAAGGATCGATAGTTTGGCATTGTCTACTGCGCTTGCAGTACTTGCGGCATATGGCAGGTAGCATTCTTGGAGCTTCTTCTGATTGAGATAATCATCAGATGAGTCGGGCCCCGACGTCTCGCGCATCCGCCAAAGCAGCGCTTCACATAGCGTACTTTGCGCATGTGGCTGGAACCACGGAAGGATCGTTGGAGAAACGAAGGCTTGAAAAACGGGCAGAGGCAGGTGTCGAATGTTTTCAACGTACAGAATGTAGAGCGCATCAAGATTCATAAAGGTTTTAGGCATAGCATTAGACACCCTGGAAAGAAGAGCTAATAGGCGCTGACGGAGCGCGAGGGACTGAAAACCACCGGAAGCTGCTATCTCTTCTCTCAATTTATCACCGTCTGTCAAATCCTTTGTTTCTGCTTCTGTTTCAGCAACAGTAGGGTCAGAGGCTCTTGTGCCCACACGAGCACGTTTTGCCCGAGTTCTTGTATATTTGTCTGGTGCGTCCGAGTCATCTTCACCTTCAGACAGGTAATCACCATATTCGTCTTCGTCTATGTTTACTTCGGTCCTTCTCTTCGCACTGGGAGTTTTATCCTCTTGGTTTAGCTCCTTCAGCTCATTTTTGAAAACTTCGCGAAATTCGGTTAACGATGTGCCACTGCCATCGGCAAATATAGCCCGCAACATACGGCGATCTCGCCCGTTGCCAGCATGGCTTGTTGAGATAAATTTCCATACCAAGCTTTCCTTCATAACGGTTTCTAAATCCCCTTCTCGGTCTGCATTAATCGCACTCTCGCGTTGCATCCAGTCCACTTCCATGGCCAAGCACATGAAATCCAGCCATGTCTGCCATCTCTCCCAGCGCCGTGGATACAGGACCGAGCAATTGAATGCCCAACCGACAATATGCCAAAAGTCTTCCGCTCGAGACCACAAAGATTTCGACCTTGCAACGTCCAAGTTTAATGGCGTCTCATCGTCATCGAATCCAAACCCAGATGTGGTGGTCTCTTCGCTTCGCCACTGGCCGCCATGTCTTGATGAACTAAAATGTTTGAAAGTAAAAGCAATGTCAAATTTTGCAGAGATCGGCCCCACTAGCTCAAGGGTCAGACGCAGGAGCTGCAATGCGGCGCCAGCGGCGTCCGCCTCCTCTTTCGATTTGGCTTGGGTAGTCGTGGAGGGGTGAACTAGGATTGTTGCAGCAAGCGCCAAATGCTGGGGTGCTGGAACCAAGGCCGGGGCATGGATAGTGGTGCCACAGGTCAATAGATTTAATAGAAGGCTCAAAGCTTGAGAATCTGCAAAGGTCAGGTGTCAACGTGAGCCCTCGCCAGCAAGAAAGTGGCCGGTACTAACATAGTTTCTCTTCAAAATAGATAGCACAATGTTGGCGTAGTTCAAACGGGAGAGATTTTGCAACTCGATAATCAGAGTCAATCTTCTGAGCCGTCGAGGCCATGACGAGGTAAATGGAGAGGGCTGCCAGCCCACTGTGACATGCTTGAAACCTACGATGGGAGACTGAGGACTGCAGTGATAGACGCTGGGCAGGTCAGTCGCAGGCGCGCGAGCGCGTACTGAGCTTATCGATAAGACTCGCACGCGGTTGTCCCATTATGTGCCAAAAGTGGTTTAGTCTCTTCACATGTACTAGTATTTCAATCGCCGCCATTTAGAGTTCTCTATGATCATATACTACAATGACCTTGGGGCTTTGCATACATGCCAGTCTTCATCTCAACGGATGCCATGATCATTGATTGCTCCTTTATTCGCCGAAAGGCCAGGATGCTACACTATGCCAATTATTATCCTTAGAGGCAATATTGAGCTGACTCTATCACTCAGAACCACCGACTACATGATCTGTTCCAGCTATAGCCCACCCAGTAATAACTTGATGGACTGTCAGGGCTTTCCAACCGGTTACCTGAAACCATGCCTCAAAAATCTCGAAAGACACTAAGTCCATTGTATTTTCGTCATTTCTCAACTTAAACCTATCTATGATAATCCGTACGACCCAACCGTTTTGCTTTGAAAAGAAAGACAATGTGTGGATATCTGTCACTGTAGATAGACAGCCAGTTCAACTTTTGTTTATTAGAAGGAATGACACCATTAAGACTATCGCAAAAGGGGAGCAGTAGATCCATATAATATGAGAGGTTACGGTTCATCCGGGATCTCTGAGAAAAGACCTATCCGCATACGATGAGACTATTAAGAGGTCAGCATTGAGCAATTCACTTTCAGGCAACAGAATAAAAGCACTCACAATCGGTAATTTGGGAATAACCACGCCTAGTGTCGCCAAAAAATTGATAAGAAAGGATGTCAAATCGTAATGGGTGTAGTGAGTGCTGAGGAGAAATAGAATGATAGGCACGCTAAGCAAGAACTTCTTTGCAGGGGTATATTGATCTCCATTGTCGATTTGTTCCCACATGTTGAGGTTGTCATAAGCGCCAGCATTGAACTCAAAGGGAATGCCCCGCACCCAGTGGAACATGATGAAAGTGACAAACATGTAGGTAATATTGGTGAGCGTCCACGACGTCTCCTGAGAGACTCCTGGGATGATGTCGTAGAAGATTTTGAGCGCAGCAATCAAAACAAAATGGATCGTCCAGGCACCTAGGTTTCCCATCTATGTCAGTATCTTGATATATCCTGTCCGATTGATGCAAACGTTGCTCACCTTTGGCATTGACCCAATTAGCATTTAGGTTTGGGAGAGCCGCCTGGTCGCTCATCTGCTCATTTGACTCTGGGGGTTCCTGGTAAATGATGCTGCTCGATCTCCTCCGCCTCCCCTGTTTTGCTTGACTCATCTCTTTGGAATCTGAGGACGAACGGCCGGTGCCTCCGTCGACGTCCGGTGTGAACGAGATGGTCCGGGGGATGAGTAGGGACGACAGTTTGGCGGTATTGGAGAGAACCTTGTAGATGAATGTGTGATTCAGAGAATTATCAAATGCAGTCACACCACAGAATGAGTAGCCTCTGCTAAAAGCGGCCCAGACTAGTGTAGCAAGCAACGGATATCCAAGTGGAGGGTTGAGGTAGTACGAAGGATCCCCCGTCGGTGAACAAGCCGGGGAGAGGGGCAACACAAGGGGGGGGG